ACCCTAACCCTAACCCTAACCCTAACCCTAACCCTAACCCTAAACCCTAAAACCCTAAGCCTAAAGCAGGCACATTACACCAGGGAACACTACCCCCTGATCAATTCGGTGATGCCGATGAAGGATGGAAAGCATGTCTTGGCCTCCATGCGATCAGTGTCTGCTGTGGTCATCATCGAGAAGGCCAGTGGTGACATCGTTTGGAAACTTGGCCCCGAAACACTCGCCCAGCAACACAACGCCACAGAGCTAGACAACGGGAACATTCTGATTTTCGACAATGGCGCGTTCCGTAACGGTGAATCGATCACCTATACCAGAGCCATCGAGGTGGACCGCAAGACGAAGAAAATTGTTTGGGAGTACAGAGATCGGTCGCAGATGCTTTACTTCTTCACACCTTTCATGGGTAGCGCACAGCGCCTGGCAAATGGCAACACTCTGCTGTGTGAGAGCGCTTTTGGTCGAATCTTCGAGGTGACGAAAGAAGGGTATATTTGTTGGGAATATATCAATCCACATTTCGCCCCGTATCCTGACCAGGCAACGGCCAAAATCTTTCCCGGCGAGTCCAATGCGTTGTTCCGCGCATACAGATATTCACAAGATGAAATTCCGTGGCTAAAGCGCAGGATCCAAAGTGATGCCGCGAAATGCTCTGTAAGCTAGTTCTGCAAATTAGATTTTGCCCACATTAGATAAGCAAATATGAGAAATTCATGTGCGAGCTCAACTGAAATGTTATTATTGAACTTCTTGATGTCGAAATTCATACGCCGCGAGCAAGGCACTCTAACCCTAAACAAGACACGAAACAACATAGCATCTTATACAATGACAGATTCACATCGTAAGACGTGCCACCATTCTTCGATCAACTCGCGGGTATGTATCATCACTCAGACTCATGCTCATGTGTTTTTGTGACCCTCTGGGATCCGACAGCACACCGACTTCTTCACGAGATCAGCCTAGCATCCCTGACGTAAGACCTCTTCAGTCCATTGCCAACGACCTTCTTCATATAACAGGCTGTACCACTTATTGACACACCAATACAACTAACGGTACCGTCGCAAGCATCGAGACATGCTTTCATGCGATCGTTGCTCACATACACTATCTTCAGATCATTACACCCACGATCAAGTTCGCATTCGATCACATAGTTTCTTCCTTGCTTAGTTGTAAAGACGGTGCTATTCCACTCATCACGAGTCGGGCTTGGTGTTGCCGGCTTAGGTGTACCATTCGTAAACGAACAAGTACGGTTCTTAAACAATGTTGCGGTATCCAAGACGCTGCCATCACCGCTGACGACGAAGTCGTGCGTCAAATGTATGCAATTGTGAAAGCTAAGTCTGCTCCACCCATAATGCGTGTTTTGCACGAAACGTGAACATGGTGGGTTGAGGGTGTAGCCCGCTTTGCCTGCGTAGTGATTAGCAATGCCGTTGACGATGTACCATGGCGCGGTGGGATTATTGAGTTCGTTTGGGTCGGGAACACCATTAGCGGTGGGTGAATTACGTTAGTAGAAGTGGTTGCGGCCGGTAAGTACGAGGTCGACGTTGTATTGGTTGAAGAGAGGTTGGAATGCTTTTTAGCATGATGTACAGCCTCCAGGATAGTTGACGTCCAGCCATGGTGGAGCACTGGAATCACAGTCAGTCTCCTGTTTGTCGACTACAAGATACAAACCGAGTTGGCACTTACTAACGATGACCCATGGGGTGCGTGTTCTGTCTACAGCTGCGAGGTTCTTCGCCAACCAGTCCACCTGCGCATTCTGGTACGCGCCAAAGGGTCCAGAATTGAGTAGGGCTGTCTCGTCCGGGCGACCAATACCATTACCGAGATCGGTCTTAGAGTCCAAAGAAATGAAGTGGGCCATGCCGTGGTCAAAAGGATAGCACATGTTTCCGGTGCCACCAGACTCGGTGGCAGGCTTGCGAAAATGTTTGATCAAGCCTGTGAAATTGGTCTGGCCACTAACACATTGACTTGAGCCACCGACCCAAGCCCCGTTGTGCCAGTATGCCACGCCATTATTGCCTGTGCACAGCTTAGTTAGGTTGGGCGTGCAATCGGAAACGGGGCTTTGGTCTTACAGTTGGAATCATGATTGCTGGGGCTGATCATGTATGGTTTCGAAGATGTGACAGGGACAAGTTCGTTGTAGTACTCGTTGAGTGACTTTTCGTACAACACAGCACCGTTAGCTGCAGTGAAGTCATAATTCTTCAATAATCCTTGCACAACTTCTTCCAACCAATAGTCCGCGTACGCAATGTCACCAGCTAGGGTTCAGGGTTCATCTTTATACTCAGTAATAGATAATAGTTATCTTATGTGTTTAGCAGTGCAAATAGTCCGATATCGTTCCAGTGTGAATAGTAACAAGCATAGTGTCTTTAACTAGTACTGTGATTTTTCTCTTTATTCGGGAGCCTTACATCTCCGAGAGGTAGTAAACTCGCGGAATATGACCTTTTCAGGATTCAGAAGTTTTCCATCGCGATACTCAGATCACGAGACTTGGAACATGGAAAAACGTTAGGCCAAGCGAGGAACGAGGTGCACGTGGTCCACGTGGTGCAAGCCAACATCAAGCTTTCGTATTCCCGAGCCACGAGCTGATCTGTCAATTTTCGTATACTTCTAAAGTTGCCCTTGATTGAAATAAGGCTCGGCCGCAGGCCAAGCTTTCGTTCATGGAAGTCGAAGGACATCCCTTTTGTGGAATATCCCACGATCTTTGCTACAGTAATCTGGAAGAGCCCTACCTGATGCCAAGCATTGGGGCGTTCAATATGGTATGTCACCACAAGCTGTCGAAAAGCTTGAGAGCGTGACACAGCAGTTCGTGCCGAGTGGGCGGATATCCACGAGATGAACGGTCACGACTTTACTTCACGCCAGCTGACTGTATGCAAGCGATCTTAGCTGGGCAACCTCGATTGAACGCCCTCAACCGCGCATTCTTGATTGAACGACCTCAGCTGGGCAAGCTCGACTGAGCGACCTCAGCTGGGCAACCTCGACTGAACGATCTCAACAGGCAACCTCGACTGAACGACCTCAACTGGGCAACCTCGACCGAACGACCTCACCCGGGCAAGCTCGACTGAACAACCCCAGCTGGAAACCTCGACTGAACGACCTCAGCTGGGCAACCTCAGCTGAGCCATGTCCCAATCCTATCTGACCATTTGCTTGACTGTGCTTGAAGGTCATATCTGTCAGAACATAAAAGACAGAGAGAATCCTCCCAACATTGAAATCACACTCAACAGCAATTCACTCCTGGTTCTTTCCCTACTACAGTTCATACATACCAATCGCTTCTCAGCCCTATTCTTTTGATCATGCGCCGACAAATTTCCGCTCTGGCTGTTTGCGCCTCCCTTGTGGCTGCCCAAGACACCACCTCGTCCATCGACATCAACGACATTTCCGTGCCTATCCCCACGACTGTGTTCAATCTCCCTGTCATCTACGTCACTGATGACAGTGCTTCGACCGTCACTGCGACTACCCTGACTACCAACGCAGTCGTTTCCTCGGACCCTTCTGCCACAGATGTCTTCGACTCTCCTGCAGATGTGACCTCGGCTCTCTCTGTGGCCTCTGTTCTGGCGACTGCTACATCGAGCTCCGCTGTCGAAAAGCGCGCAGCCTCGAGTTGTGTGCCTCAACCTACTGGTATCCACCATCAGGTTCAGCCAGATACTGCTGCTGGTTGGGTCGCCGACAATTTCTTTGCTGCAGCCGCCTCGGCAGCCATCAACCCCTTGCCAACCGGCTACGTCTCGAGCTTTGTCAACTTGAACGCCTCGAACTCGGCCGACAAGTACTTGGGTTACACCCTCATGACCTCCTACGATGCTGCTGGGTGCGCAGCCAAGTGTTCCGCTATCAGTGGTTGCAACAGCTTCAACCTCTACTTCGAGCGAGACCCCAGCGGTAGGTCAATCATCTAGGGGTTCTAACGTCCCAAAACAATGTTACTGACCCAGGGTATAGTGAACCCGGACGATGCTACTTGCTCTAACCCTCCCTCAACTGTTCAAGTCAAGTGTGTGTTCTGGGGCGGTGCCGTCACCACAGACAATGCCAATAACTACGGCCAGTGGCGCAACAAGTTTCAGGTCTTGGTCGCTGGAAGCAACGGTTTCATCAACTCTACCTATGCCGCCCTTGTTGCTTCTGGCAAGGTTCCTTCCGATATTGTTCCTCGAACCTCTCAGGAAGCCAGTGCTCAGAACACTTACGATATCTACTCGGGATACGACTCTAACGTGGGCGCCTACTCCAATGCACACGCCACTTCATCCTACCAGGACTGCGAGACTGCTTGTGACGCTGATGTCATGTGCAAAGCTTTCACTTACGTCGGAAGCACCGGTGGTCGAGGATCTGGCACTTGCTGGTTGAAGCAGAAGCTGGGCAAGCCAACATCCTCCGGAACAAACGTCGTCACCGGTAGCAAGACCGGCAAACTAAACACCCTTACAGTGCTCTCTGTAGCCTACGATGGCAATGATATCACCAATCTTGTTCAATGGAAGTCCGGCAACAACATCGTCATTGATGCTACTGATCTTACCAAATCTTTCGGGTCTCCCAACAACAACTCACCCTACCAGGGCGATGATGTCCTCTCCCTTCTCTACACAAACGGCTCTACTACCCGCGTTTTCACCACCCAGAACAATGGCGGTGTGTTCACTCTCGCTCCCTTCGGAGCAGCATCTGCACCTAATTGTGTCGATGCCTTTGCACAACCCGACACTGCCTCTACAGGTATTGTGTCCATTGTCTGGGGTCCCGTTCAGGTTGCCATTCAAGCTTTATACGACAACTTCAATAGCTTGCTTGTTTCCAAGAATTATTGGCAAGTTGAGAACAGCTTTATGATGGGAGACACTGCCCCTTGGCACCTCAAACATGGTGTCGTCTGGTACACTGACGGCTCTGGTACGATCAAGTCGCGACTTATCACCGAACATTATGGCTATACCTTCTAAGTCTTATACGCATAGACTATTGGCTTCTGGACTTGTTTTGGAAATCTTTGACCTAGCCCTCTATAAGGTATGCAATCGAGCCTCGATCGGTTTAGTTTTGTATAGGGGTAGTGCATCCGGGAAGGGTTTGTTTAGTTCATGGAGAGGGGGCTTGGTTTTCATATCAAATTACATTTGTTTTTCTAGTCGAAGAAAGTTGCAAAATTCTATCAATATGTACTGATGTTCTTCTTTTTGCCTGTCTCAAGCTCATAACAATCCTGAGAAAGCCTCTGACTATCAAAGAGATAGCAATCTAGTCTAGCCAATATCCTTAAGTCTTTGGAGTACAGAGCCAAGCAGCTATACCTGAGATGGTTAGAACAAGAAGGAGTAAGATGTAGTAACGGCACGTGGCTACTTCCAGTGCGATTGGGTTGATGAAAGACAATACAACCAACGAGGTGTGAATAATAGCCAGATCGATGCTCAATCCCTAGCATAGGATATTGAAAGGCAAGAAATCAGTCGGACATAAAGTGACAAAAGGAGTGTTTGCGATGCTGTAGCGGAAGACGAAGATGAAGATGAGAGCAATCACCGCAATCCTAATTGAGCCGTCTTCAGTGTTTGTAAAAGTGGCGGGACAGGCGGTAAGGATGAATCACGAGGTGAGCAAAGCCGCAATGGACCAATCGGACATGACACGGCGAACAAGATGATCGACCAGGAAGGAAGCGGCAATTGCAGCAGCAAAATTTGAAAGCTTGAAGCAGACCATTGCTCGGGGATTGTGTATCAGGGTCAGTCACACTGACAGTGTTCAGGATAAGAGTGGAATAATAAGGCACGATCGAAGCACCATACCTACCAGTTGACTCTGGAGATACTATCAATATTCGTGTCACTATATCCTGTCCAACGGCTTGTCATTTTCAAGACACTATCATCGCTAGGCTCTCAGTAATCATCGTACTCACGCTCTGAAATAGATACAGAAAGATAGGAGAGATGCAATCTCTGCCATGCCCGTCTACCTAACATTTATCATGATTATCGAGTGTCGAAAGACTGTTCATTCCCCGTTGTTACAATAAGGAGATGCATTAATTTTGTGACAATTTTTGCGCATGTTCATGCGAAAGATTCCTTTTTTCCGTTTGAGGACTTGAGTTTCGGCTTTGCTAAGCCTAGAGAAGCGGTCTCTCTGGCCGAAGACATACCTATTTTATGAACTTGGTATAATGGAACCTAGATTAAATCTCTAAAGTAGGCATAGTACTGAGACCGAAATCATGTATCATATTTTTGGATAGGGGCTTCTCTAGGATTAAGTCACAAAGGAGCCAAACACTCAGCTGATCTTAGCAGCTACAGGCATTGGGAAAAACCCTGGGACATTGGTCAGTGATCTTTCGGCTTCTGCACTTACAAAACTACTCACACTAGCTGAAAATCTTGCAAGAATAAGGTGGCGCGTAGATAGTTGGGCCTGTACAACCTTGACCTCGACCAGTACCCCACTGGGCAACCAGTTCTGGAGAGGTAGGAGACGTCGAGGGAGCAGATAGTGGATTTCTGGGAGTATTGGTCCTCAAGAATGATATGCTGGAGGTACTGGCTGACGCCTACGACGGCTTTGAGCTGTAAGCCACGGATGGAAGTAGGACGGTTGGGCATATGGACTTGACTTCAATCAGAGCCTGGCAAGCGCGCGAGCGACCATTGCCACCATTAGGCCCCTGCGTATTGACACATTGGAGACTCGGACACGTGGTTCCACCAGAGGCCCCAATGGATGAGGCTAGTGCAATCTCCTTCGCGCCATTACTGTCGGTACAGACGGTCGTCACATCGACGGGTCTGCAATTGGGCTCCAGCGCCTTGGCGATATCGCCAAACCAGTCTGTAAGGCGAAAATTTGACAAGGTGGCAGATGATTGTGGCTATGTATTCGAGTCGACCGCCAGCAATACCCTGATATGCGAATGTTGCAGAGAGATATCGTATGATGGCATTGGCACCAGACCACTGTGCAAGATTGTGACAGAGCATGGCAGAGAGAAAGCGATATGTGGCCTTGAACAATCCATGGGCTATGTTAATTTACTGTTCATTGTCAAGACTATCTCTGCTTGCATTCCACAACATCAGTCTCAGCAGGCATGTCCAGGTGGCTCTCAGGAAGACGACGAACTTTCTGCGAATCTTGCAAAGCTCCCGGGTCCATCGACAGACAATACCAAACAAAGGTCGTGTCAACCTGTAGCGCAGGTGGTCACATCCGCTGGGAATTAGTCACGGCGTGGATGTTGTCAGTGATTCCATCATCGACAAGCAGACCTGGGACCACTTCGAGTGCTTTGCAAGCTGCGTACTGCACCCATGTTAAGGCTGACATAAGCGTACCGGACCGAACAAGTGTCGTTGACTCCGCTCGGCAGTTCATTTGGTATCTGATCTGATGATCACCCCACAAGTGATCTTTCATTAGTGTGGAGACCGAAGGCTAGCGCAAAAGTCTTGGCTCCCGAGTCCCGACACCGTCGGACTTCCGGGATTGCGGCACTGCTTCTCATCGGGGGCACCCCGAGCCAGTGGGTCCTGTGATTGCAATGTTCGAAGTTGAAATACAGTATAGGTGAGCATGCGCCAAACTTGCGCAGTAAATCAAAAACGCACCAACATGAATTTCTACCCAGTTCCACCAGTCATCGAAGCACAAATTCTTACACGCATCCCGGAAGAGCTGCGTTGTAAGGGAGAAAGCGATTGGCGAGGAGGCTTTACTGGAGCCTTTCAGAACATCTTCCTTGAAGGACCGACCTGTGATGGAGATGGCCATCTCTACGTGACCGACATTCCCTACGGTCGCATACTGAAAGTAGACAAACATACCAAGCAGATTACCGTTTGTGTCCAGTATGATGGAGAACCCAATGGCATGGCACGGCGCAAGGATGGCAAATTTATTGTTGCGGACTACAAAAAGGTAGGCGAATATGAAACAAATTGAGTTCCCTTTGGACTTGTGGAGCTGACCAGTTCTTAAGGGCCTTCTCTTGTTCGATCCAAGGTCAAATCAAGTCTCGCCTCTCCTTACGAGAAACAATCTGGAGAGCTTCAAGGGTGTCAACGACGTGATTGTCGACAGCAAGGGCAATGTCTTCTTTACTGATCAGGGACAAACCGGTATGACGGATCAATCGGGCAGGGTCTATCGACTTGGTATTGATGGCAGACTGGACAAGTTGGTGAGCAATGGTATCTCTCCTAATGGGCTTGCTTTGTCGCTGGACGAGCGATTCCTCTATGTGGCAATGACCAGGTCGAATGAGGTATGGAGACTGCCACTGCATTCTGACGGCTCGACGTCGAAAGCAGGAGTTTTCTTCCGCTCTTTTGGCAATGCGGGACCAGATGGCATAAAATTGGATGAAGAAGGCAACGTACTCATCTGCCACCCGAGTCTTGGTTCAGTCTTTGTGGTAGACAAGCACGGCGTTCCCAAGGCCAGAATCGTCAGCGGCTCACCGGGTATCAACTTGACCAATTGCACGTTTGGTGGTCCAGAGGGAAAAACACTATACATCACAGATAGCTTGGAAGGTAACGTGCAGACGGTTGAATGGCACTGTCGAGGCGCGCTATGCAGATAGACAGAATTGCAGAGAAAGCAACCCCATATTTTGATGACATAAGCAATTCTCGCGTCTGTGCTCCAGATTTTCTGGGCGTTTTGCCCCAAGCCGTCGCGTGCTCTCTCCGCACTTCGTCTGCATGCAAAGACCAACCAGATGGAAGACGGAGACAGTCGCTTACCGTCATGTCAAGCATGTCGGCGGAAGAAGATCAAGGCACGCTAGCTCTTTCCAAGTAAAGCTCGACTGTCCATCTAATACTTGCGTGAACAGTGTAATAAAGATGTCCCGAAATGCTCAGCTTGTGTCGCATCGCAGACTGAATGTGTCTTCGAAGATCAGGCCTCGGCCCAAGTCTACTCGCGCGAGTATGCGACACCTCCTTATTTGGTTTCTCAGTTTCGAAACCAAGCTAATCCGTCCTGCAGAGAGATTGCAGACCTCGAGCAGAGGGAACGAAACCTCCGGGCAGTCTTAGAGGAACAGAATGCTCCTACCTATCACAGCAGCAGCAGTCCCGCAACTGGTCGAAATCGTGGCAAAAGATATGTTGGTGACGAAGTTGGGTTGAAGTCAGTCAGAATTCACCATATTTATCTGGTTCAACGCTGAAATGTTTAGTCTGTTTCAATTCATGTTTTCATCCTCAGCATGGAGATCTTCACGACAACGACTTTTGCAATGTTTGGCATACAAACCCAAAATTGCAGAGCCACTGGCTACTCAACACCGACTACCACCACTGGACATGGCAACCCAACTCCTGAAATTCTATCTTAATGGCTCACATGTCATGCACCCTTTTCTTTTGTACAATCAGATCATGCAGTCCTTCGACTCGATATACCAGACCCGGGAACCCCAGCAATCTTCGCCCCAAGACATGTTCACCATCTTAATGATATTTGCAGTTGCTGCCGTCACCATGCATCGACAAGGTAAAATTCGCGAACATCCGTATGGATACTACTTGAGCGCAATGCGACATCTGGGCCAGATTCCACATTCTAAGGGGAAAGATGGGGTCCAAAACCTATTGCTTGTGGCCCGCTTCGGCATCTACCATCACGTTGGCACATCACTGTGGGAGCTTGCGCGACAATGTATGAGGGCTTGTATCGAGATGGAATATCACTTACCACCAATCATGCCGGGGCGCATTTCAGATGAAGAGAAGCAACACAACCAGCGTATCTTCTGGGAATGCTATCAGCTGGATCGATACAGTTCAACAACACTGGGCCGACCATTTGCGATCGCCGACCATGATATCAAGGTGGACTTGCCTTCAAGAGTGGGGCTGGATAATGCTACCTCCATCGCTCTTGGTCCCACTTCCTTGACCTCGTCGGACCTCTCGGTATTCATATACTCAGTCCAATTAAGACAAATCACCTCCCGAATACGCAGCAAGTTGCTTGCCATGAGCAGTAGCAGTCTTGAGCAACATCGCTCATTCATGGCGACTGGCGAGATTTACGCCAGCCTTCACAAGTTCCTTGCAGAACTAGACCACTGGCGTGCTTCCGCGCCACACTATGAGCAGCATACATGCTTGTATGAGAATCAAGAGTGGTACGACTTTCTACTCGAGAAAGACAAGCTGTTTCTCCTGCGAGGTGGCGTCAACTTGTTGTTCAAAAGTCGACGAGGCGTGTCACAAGACATCATGCGACTGTGGGGACGGTGCGCTACTCGTGTTGTGGAGCTGTATGCTTCGTTGTACAGGGCAGGACTTATCACATATACGCGGAGCTACTTTCAAATGTTGTTCCATGCGGGTCTGTCTGTGATCTTCTGCGTTTCCTCAGAGGCCAAGACTCGCACTGGAGCAGGTCGTTTGATTCCGAACTTCGATTCTACCCTTTCCGTTTGTGGTGATGTGCTAGATGCTATCTCGGAGAAGATGCCAGATGCTAGAGGCTACGCGGTTGTGTTTGAGTCTATGAGAAGGTCGGTATTCGACAACTTTTCGGCCTCTCCTGCCACCACTGGCCATCCGAGAACTCCTCAAGAGGCATGCCCAACGTCACTTGCATATCAAGACAATAATTCAGTGTACCAAGAGCCGCACCATGTCATGCCTGAGACTACACACAATCAAGGACTATATACGGCTCCCGGAGCGGTCCAGGCACCAACCTATTCACAATGGATGCCCGAGGTGGACTGGATCAACATGGATGTCAGCGCGATGCAAGGAGTGGAAGCTGGACTGAGCGAATACGTGTGGGGAGATCTCAACATAAACGCCGACATGTGGAACAGGATTGAGCATATGATTGACGAGACTATCGATGACGCTTGAAACAAATAATCATTGCTGCTTGGCAAACTCGAACAAATAATCCACCGCCGCGCTGGCAGTTTCCATCTGTGTCTGATCTGTTGCGGCTCCAATGTGTGGTGTGCTGACAACCCTTGGACTTGACCATAGCTTGGCGTACATTTCCTTGGTTGGCGGCTCTTGCATGTGACAGTCGAGGCCTGCACCCCAGATCAAGCCCTCGTGAAGTGCGCGAGCAAGATCTGCTTCATTCACAATACCGCCTCTGGCAGCATTGATGAGGATGGATGTTGACTTCATACGCTGCATTTGCTCGTACGAGATGAGATTTGTGGTATCCTTGACCAATGGGACGTGTATTGAGACGACGTCTGCTGTCAGAACCTGGTCGACAGTCGTGGCACGCTCGTGAGGAAGATCTGACCAGGCATTCTCAGGCAAGAAGGGATCGTATGCGATGATTTGTGAACCGAAAGCACCACGGAAAATCTCGGCGACTCTACGACTGATGTTACCCATGCCAATCAGGCCGATGCTCTTTCCAGTAAGGATAAGACCAGAGCAGGTTGACTTGGGAACTGCCTCGCCGGCGCCTTGCCTGAGTGTGATTGGTCGAATTTCGCGAGCTACAGTCATGGTGAGGGCGAGCACAAGTTCCGCCACAGCAGTCGCATTGATACCAGGAGTGTTGAAAATCTTGACACCTGCAGCCTTGCAAGCAGCGGCATCAATCTTTTCGATGCCGACGCCCTGTTTGCCGATGGCTCTGAGATTCTTGGCTTGTGCAATGTCGTCAGCGGTGACATGTGACCCCTTCACCAAGAGGTATTGAGCATTTTGTCTCCAGTTCTTGATTTCTGGGTCTTGAGGGCCGATGACGTTAAAGAGAGTCTTGCAGTGCTTGACAGCTCCTGGGTGGTATTCATCGATGAGATAGACGGTTGGCTTGGTCGATTGACCGTCTGATTGAGGTTCAGGGCTTGAATCGATCCTTGAGGGGGCCATTTTGTGTGTGAATGATGAGTTGTGTGATGGGAAGAATTGAAGATGTTGGTTGTGGGGTTATATTGTCTGTGTAGTATATGGGTGCATTGTCATTGCAGTCAGAAGTGGAGGCTCGGTCGAGTTCCGTCGGATATCCGACGCTCGAATATCGTGGAGAGCGTTCCGAACGAAGCGGGGCACTTTCCCTGGGGTGTCGATCATAGCAAGCACGAGACCGTCTTCGGCACGCCCGATTCCGATGGCATTTGAGTCGGCAAATTTGAGGCTGACGATCATTTCCAATGCTTTTCGGAACAGTTTAGCTTCATCGAAGGCTTCGGCAACAGCGTTGAAGAGACCAAACGACAAGTGCAAAAGTTCCACCAAAGTTGAGCGACCGGCACATGTTGATTCTTCGACCGTTAGACAACACACGACACAGGCGCTGAGTATGTCGTAAAGGTCCAATCTACATGGTATCAGAGTTCCCTCATCAAGACGTTTTTGCAACAAGGAAACGAATGTCCGAGCACGCGACAATGTCTGTTCTTCAAGACTCTCCTCATTCTCAAACATGTGCAGTCTGCAATAGCGCACACCACGTACGTCTGACAAGGATATCTGGACCAAAGTACGACAGGATAGTTGGAGCAGATGTCCATTTGCATCGACTGATTCGTCGCTGTACGACTCGACATGCCCAAAGTTCAGCGGTAATGTTTCCTCCCAGTGTCTGAAACTGCTGAACTGGAACAACAGATCTCCTTGCATCGATGATATGAGTTGAGCTTGGTCAACAAGATGTATTTTGTCGGCTCGAGAACGTCTGGCTTGGTGGTTGTTGGCATGCCAGAACGCAGACGATATGTCTTCATCTTGCAACGCAAATGGACGGTGCATGGAAGATGTCACACTTCTCTCCAGCAGATACAAAGAGATGAACAGTTTTCGGCTTGCAGCGGTGACACCAGGAACCCCTTCCGCAGTTGGTCCGCGGTGTACGCCCAAGAGTACCGCTTGTTGCGCTGCCATATTCACCAATCGCCATGGACATCCTCCATTGTTGCTGTAGAGTGCATATATCGTTAGCGCAAGTAGGCAGCGTAGTCCTGTCAGAGGAGACTGGTCTAGATCGTCTTTGGTGATCAATTTTATGGCAACGTGGTGCAGCTTTGTCGCGAGACCTTGACAGTGACGAGCTTCCGGTGTCACTAGTATACCAATGGCAACAGCGAGGTAGACAAACGCGAATGAAAAAGCCATCTCACCCTCGACTGCTTCACGGTCATTGTGGCGCAGCACGACCAACTTGTGATCTTCTGTCAATTCTTCGTAGTCAATGCCATAACGTGCGTCGAAGTCGGCGCGGAATTTCGCCAGAAATTGTGCCGTGGCATCGTGGGGGAAGAGGATTTCAGATTGCGCCTGATTCAAAAATTCTGTGACGGAGTCTCCGGTGCCCCTCACAGGTCCTCCAGTCTCAGCTCGCAGGAAGGCCGTGGTCGACAAGGCGGAGATAATGTCATGGTCTCCGGGCTCGGCCATGGCCGTCAAGACAAGACTTCCAATTTCGTTCAAAGTCTCGCGTGAGTGCTGTGTTTCCATAGGATCGGCTTGGCTTGTAGCCGCAGTCTCATTGTTGTCGTCGTCTGACGTTGGCCGTTCTGTGTTTGGTTCATGGTGAAGAGTGTGGCCGTCCAGACGTGCTTCCTTGTTGGCTTGTAGAGTCTGCAAATGGTCGACCTTGCGCTTGAGTGAACTGATGTAGCTTTCACCACGTTCAATGGCAAGGCCGACCTGATCGGGCGCAGGTGTGTATGTCAGATTGCGTGAAGCACAGGCGGCATTGGCCTCTGCACAATTTGTGCATGTCGGGAGCAGCCTGTCACATTTCTGTTTTCTCCGCCAGCACCTTTCGCATGCTTTCCGCCTGACCGTCGCCATGTTTGATGACTAGAAAGTGAGAAACAGTCTCTGCTCGGACATTGTCCGAATTTGCGCTCTGGGGAGCTGTCCGATTGCGCTTCCCCGCGGCACTAGTGTCCCGATACCGTTTGCAAGCGGCTTACCTTCCTTATTTGTACTCTACCGGTATGGTAGGTGCACCCAAGTCTAAACATGTAGCAAGCAGAGTGTTCAAGACTCTGGCACGGCTATCAAGTCTCTTGAATTGTTCGGGTTAAGCTAGCAGTTCGATGTCGTCGCCAGGTCAGGCCCAAGACCCCATCACAGTCTCAGAGATCAAGGCTATAGCAAAAGAGCGTCTTGACTCAGCTGTTTGGGACTACTATACTACTGCCGCTGATCGGAAGAACTCTGCTCGTCGTAACTCGCTAGCCTTCGAATCGTAAGAGACCTCAATGTAAGGAAGTTCAATGCTGATCAAATATAGACTTGTTCTTCGACCCCGAGTCCTTCGCAACGTTAGTGCCATTGACACCAGTGTTTCAGTGCTCGGCAGACGGTATGACTTTCCCATAGCTATTGCACCAACTGCGTATCAAAAGCTTGCTGGCGGTAATGGAGAAATCGATGTCGCTCGAGCAGCTTCTGCATTAGGCACGAACTTCATTCTCTCTACAAATGCCACCACTTCGCTAGAAGATGTCGCTGCCGCCGTACCTCCTCGCGACCAAGAGTATCCCAAGCCATGGTTTCAACTTTATCTGCTTGGCTCCCGAAATGTGACGGCAGAACTCATAGGTAGAGCGGAGCTCGCAGGATACGAAGCTCTAGTGCTGACCGTCGACTCGCCTGTACTTGGAAATCGTCTGCACGAACGCAAAACACCTCTTCGTCTTCCTCCTGGGCTCACGACAGCTAACGCAAAGTCCCGTCGCATAGGTGGTATCTCTAAAGCTGGATTACTCCTTCGAGCAGAGACTGCTACCGAAGCAAAGCTGATCGCGAATGAGCATCGCGACTTTCTTGTAGACTCTACCATGACCTGGCAGAACGTTGTGCCCTGGTTGCGAGCACAGACATCCTTAAAGATCGTGCTAAAAGGGATAATGACTGCTGAGGATGCACAACTTGCGCTAGATTGGGGTGTAGACGCGATAATCGTGTCAAACCACGGCGGACGTCAACTGGATGGCGTCTCCTCGACCATAGAAGCCCTGCCAGAGGTTGCAGCTACCATCAAAGGAAGAATACCGGTGATAGTTGATGGAGGGATTGAACATGGGACGGACGTCTTCAAAGCAATAGCCCTCGGTGCTGATCTCTGTTTGATAGGAAGAAGCGCTCTGTGGGGTTTAGCTTGGGATGGGCAGAAGGGCGTCGAAAAGGTCTTGAACATCCTTGAGAGAGAGTTATCACGCACAATGGCTCTAATGGGAGTCTCAAGGATGGCAGAGGTCAGTAGAGACCTGCTTGGTTACAGGAGGGCAGATGGTTTTGGTATAGCGAAGCTCTGAGCGAAATATCCATCTCGGCAAGGACTGTGAAGTTATTACTCGGTTTCCATGATCATGTCGTCGTCGTGACAAAGTCTTAGGCCGCATCTGCGAGCGTGCCTGAGAATGTCAAATCACGCATAGAGAAGGTATCATCAGCAGCTCTGAAACCTTCGGACATCACCAGCAGATCGCATGGGATGTCGGCATCCTGACCAGGACGATCCTAGAACAATGGGTCGCAAGATATCTCTACTGACCTTCCATCGCCCTCGAATGGTTTCTGCGTTGCCGAGTCTCAAGCTCCATCGGAATATGTCCTTGTCATCGAAAGGATGCATTGTCTTCGCCTCACTGCATCGGGGCAGATCTGGCGTGATCGTCGCTATGTTTGACCCAGAAGCTGACATCAGTCTTTCCTCGGACATTGGCCGGCTCTGCGTGCTTGGATCATGTCCGATCGCGCTTCCCTGAGACATGTCCGACGCCGTCTGATGGAGTCCCCACATCTGTCTGTGCTACAACTCCACACACTCAAGCCTTGATCCCCATCTTGACACCCCGAGACGAGTCAACATCGGACCCTGGGTGATCAACAGCTTCAGAGCTTGAAAAACTCGGCAAAGTCTTGCCGTCTGGAGTCGATCCCTACATGACACCAAGCACTAGGTGTCAACGATGTCATCCTATCCACCATGTCTTCTAGCAAGTTCCAACTTTTGCAAGCATATTTGCTATGATTAGGTCACCTTCACATTGTTTTGTAACCTGAATTTGCAGGGCGGACTATAATCGTGGTTTCGGCCATGCTCCGAATGATCGTTGGAGGGAGCACCCTGGCAAAGAAAAGGCATCATCATGTATCTTGTAGCGTCGAGTTTTTTCCCAGCGAGTCGAGCTTGCTCGAAACACAAAGACAGTCATCAAGAGTGAAGAGCCACTTTACGATATAACTAGATACAGATCAAGTACTCTGTATAAGGTGAAACTGTTTATCAGGAGATTGCCAGAGGTTGTCGACTGGTCCGTTGTGTCACACAAGCCCTTGTATAGCATAATTTTCTTAGATAAGATATACATTCCCCAAAACCGTGACACGAGCAGTTGTCACTCTTTTCAAGCCTGACAATCATCTATTATATTCATGATTTGAGGTATGATAAGTCAAGGATCTTGAAAAGCAGTCGGCAAGGCTCAAGCTTGGCAGCCGATTCCAGTAACCACATAAATTGGTTGCACCGTTTTCATGTTTACTTCCTCAAAACACATGACACAATCAAAATGAATGATTCCTGGGACTGTCACGTTCATTGCTTTGATCCAGCCAAATTCCCGTTCAAGCAAACTCGCTCATACACGCCCTATCCGGCGACTCTCGACACACTGGTTGAGAATGTCAAATCCCGAAATCTGATCATCACCCAAGCCACCGTTGAAAATGGAATCGCCGGCATACAAGATGTGCTAGAAAGAGCACAAGCATGTCCAGAGCTCTGCATTGTGCGCGGTACAGTCATGGCCAGTCATGTTCAGAATCTCGACGTTCACGAAACGCAAAGGCTGCATGAGGTGGGAGTCCGATGTGTGCGCATTCACGGAGCTCATGGAGGAGCTGGAAATGACCTTGCCTGGATCACCGAGCAACTCAGACTAGCGGCCATGTCGATCGGAGTAAAGCAATATGGCTGGTACATTTCTGCTCAGCTACCCTTACAGACTTGGGCTTCTCTCGGGCCTTGCATCTCAGAGTTGAAGGATGTGACGGTCATTGTGGATCACAACGCCTCAGTGCAACCTTCTGACTTGGATCACCCCGCTTTTACAGCGTTCCTCGACCTCCTGCGTGCACAGAATATGGTGATCAAAATGGGAGCTCTCCACCGCAGGAGTCAGGGAAATATTGAAGCGATGAGACCGATTGTAGAAGCATTCATTGCAACGGCACCGGACCGAGTCATCTTCGGCAGCGACTGGCCGCATGTGGATGCATCGAAAGGCGGACAAACTCCGACACCGCACCTTCAAGGTGTGGATACTGCAGAAGAGTTGAGAAGGATGCGAAGTTGGATGTCTGAAGAGCAGTGGGACAGGATCATGCAAAGCAACGCCCATAGACTTTTCGCGAAATAAATCAAGGCAAGCTCTTGATGCCTCGTCGGACAAGCCCCGATGGCAAAGCCCGGACCACGCTGCAAAATTTGATCCGCGGATAAGAAAACACGGGGTGATTGCGGGGGCTAGGTTTTGTGGAGTAGTGCAACTGTCTGACCGACAGGTTTTTCTATATCATATAAACCAGGAACTCATTACGATAGGTGAATGGGACCAGTCTCTTTCATTTTTTTTTGTTCCAGCAAAGATGTCTACCATGGAGCCTGATCAAAGCATCGCCAGGAAGGAGTCGGTCGTCGCCGAGATGATCGAGGACACCGGCAAGCCGGAAAAGATCATGGACATCTATCGTTCATACGAGCCCGAATATGCCGCACGAGCAGAACGTCGACTTGTAAAGAAGATTGACAAACACATTCTGCCTCTGGTTGTCATCATCTACCTTTTCAACTACCTCGACCGGAACTCCATCACTCAAGCTCGTCTCTATGGGCTTCAAAAGGATACCCATGTCAATGGCGCTGTCTATCAGACATCCATCTCGATCTTCTCAGCCGGTTACATCTTCATGCAGTTACCTTCTACCATTCTCATGACCAAGCTAAGGCCATCATTGTTTTTGGTACGCTTCCCCAGATTCTTTACCATTATACAAGCTAACATCATCCAGCCATGTTGTATCATCCTATGGGCAATCGTCAGTGGATGCACCGCAGCTGCCAGCTCCCCTGGCTCTCTATTGGCCATAAGGTTCTGCCTGGGCCTTGTCGAAGCACCCTTCTTTCCCGGTGCGATTTACTTCTTGTCGTGCTGGTACACCAAGAAAGAGCTAGGCATTAGAATGGCACTCTTGATCTGCGGCCTTCTTCTGTCAAATGCGTTCGCTGGACTGATCTCTGCCGGTATCCTGAAGGGTATGGCAGGTGTCGGTCATCTTCATGCTTGGAGATGGTTGTTCATCCTCGAAGGTTCGTGATTCGTGTGCTAGTGCTTGGCTAGTCAAGAAAGCTGACTGTTGTACTCAAAGGTCTTGCCACCGTTTGTATTGGATGTATCGCACTCTTCGTCCTGCCAGACTACCCCGCCACTACTCGTTGGCTCACCGAAGAAGAGAAAGTCATCGCTCAAGGTCGTCTTGCCGCAGATGCAGGAAGTGATGATGTGTTCGAAGAAGAGAAGGTATCAATCTGGCGAGGTATCGCCTGGGCCGCAAAGGACTACCGCGTCTGGCTCTTTGCTGGTTTACAAATGGCGACCACAGCCTCCATCTCTTACTCACACTTCTTCCCAACCTTGATCCAGCAAATTGGTATCAAGGATCGCACTACCGTCCTTCTGCTTACCTCGCCACCATACCTTGTTGCCTTTTTCTGGGCTCTTGGTCTCGCATGGATCGCTGACAAACGTCAAATTCGATCTATCCCTTCTGGTATTTCTTGCATCATCTCCATGATTGGCACCATACTCCTGGTCGCTCTGCCTCATCTGTACTGGGCCCGATATGCATTCACTTTCCTGGTCTGCATCGGCACTTTCGGAATCTACTCAACCACCTACACCTGGCTCTCATCAACAATCCCTCGCCCACCAATCAAGAGAGCTGCTGCTATTGGTATTGCCAATACCTTGGCTAACCTTGCCTCTTTGTATGCAAACTACTTCTGGCTGGACGAGTACGAGCCAACCTTCCAAGTCTCTTGGGGCATTCTGCTCGCATTCCAAGGGCTCGCCCTGGCTTGTATCTTGACATTGAGATTCACATTGCAACGCAGGAACAAGAAGTTTGAAAAGCTCCAAGCCGAGATCAATCTCAATCATGAAGCAGAGGTACAGGCTCTGGACGAAGACGCTCAGAGAGCAGTCAAGAATAACTTCAGATATGTTGTTTGATAGTGTCATTGTATATTCGAAATGATTTATGTATTTTCTTTGGGCAATCGTTCAATCTGTCCCTTTTTTACACAGAATCAAATGTGTGCAAATCTCAAGACCATCGCATATGCCAAAGATGTCCGATCTCCAGTCTCCTGAATATAAGATGATACCTTAATCCTTCAACAGTCATCAGTGTATGGATATCGCTCCCAAATGGTCAACCGACAAGACCATCACCGAGATGTGCCATGTCTTGGACTTTCATCGCTTCAGCCTCCACTCCAGTCCGCCTAGAGCAAGTTTGCTTCGGGAAACATTGCTCCAAGACTTGCGAGTGAAGAGAGACAGGAAGACCGAAAGCACGTCCAAACTACGTCCCTCATGTCACAATGCCAGAGCTGTTGATTTGCCTACAATGGTCTAGAAAGCCGGCAGCATCGCCACGGCCTGATCTTCTTTCCTGATCCTCTTTGTCAGGGGTCGGATGACCATTGCCGTGTCCATCTCGACGCTGTCAAGATCGCCGTCACTAGTCACGAGTGGGACTATTTCGCCATCGAGAACGATCTATACCCGGCGCTAAAGATCAGGCCATGCAGAACGCCGCGGAAAGAAGGTCTTCTCCATTCCGGTCTCTAATCAAGGTGCCAAAAAATGTAGACGCCTCACGCCAAAGGCGGGGATACACGAGTACACGCTTCCCAAACATGGTCAAGCTCTCTTCGGAAGGGAGACGGATCTGGGTTGTGTAAGTGTTCCCCACAACATTCGCCAAGGTCCGATGGCGCCTCGCAGCTCACCCCATACCCGCGACCAGGATGGCGGCCTGATGACCAAGAACGTTCCAACGATGCGGGGTGTGGAGCGCCTTACGACCCCTTGTGGTTACTGCACTGACAAGTCGGCAAGCTTTATTGGGGTATGTGCTTGTCATCGGAACAAATCTAGTCTGTCGGGGCGGGTCCGATACAAGTTATGCAAGCGTCGGCTCACGCGCGACCGTACATCTGGGGTCCCCGGGGACTCTTGTCCCCGAGTACTCATGTGGGCCATATGAGGTTGTATTTCGTCTTGCAAAATTGGCCAGCCAGGTTTCCCCACAAGCGTTAGTAACGGGTCAAAGTTCTTTGAGCACATATATCTCCTGTCTGTCGCTCATCCCGAAGCTTGTCAAGGATCAGATTCGACGCATCCCCCAACTCAAGCATTTGCCATGGACGCTAGAACTCTACCTGCTGTCGAAAAGCTTGACAATGCATACATCGAAGATGCCTCGAAAACAGTCACAAATGGACAACAAGAAGTGGTCATCCGGGAGTTTGATCCCAAGTTCATGAAAAAGACCATGCTCAAGGTATTTCGACTTGATAGGCCTTTCGAAGATCTCGTGCTGACTCTCACAGTTGGATTTGATCGTTATGCCTCTGTTGACGCTGAGTGAGTAGAGGTGTTGATCCGAAAGCCAGACTCGTTGCTGACTGACCTACAGTCTACCTTGCCTCCTCGTTGGACAAATCCAACCTGGGTAACGCAAAGGCACTTGGCATGATGAAAGATATCGGCCACGATCCCAATGGCGATACCTACGCGTTGCTCAATTCACTCTACTACGTGTCCTATGCCCCATTCAGTAAGAATCGCCGAAAGCCATCCATAGAGTGACTTGATTAACACAAAATAGTGGTACCTTTCGCTCTGCTCGGCAAGCGTACGCGTATGGTTTCGGTTCTCACTTTCTGTGCTCTTCTTTGGGGCATTGCCGCAACGAGTTTCGCTGCTGTACAAAACTACTCGGGCGCCTTCGCATGTCGATTCTTCATTGGTCTTGGAGGTAATTTATCCGCTACTCCATCTTGAGTGACATCGCTGACATACTCCTAGAGGCTGGATTTTCCCCTCTCATTCAGGTCTTCCTGTCACGCTTCTACGCAAGAGAGAAGTTGGGAACTCGCGTTGCTGTCTGGTTGGCAATGGCTCCTCTAGGGTAAGGAACAACTTCATCTTCAATACAGAGCTTTAGCTAACAACGTGTAGTGGTTTCGTCAACGGTATCGTCGCATATGGTGTTTCATTCATCCACGGTTCGCTCGAATCATGGCGCATCCTCTTCTTGATTGAGGGAGGTGCCACAGTACTGGTATCCATCATCGCAATCATTGTGTTGCCAGATGATATCGCATCTTGCAAGTGGTTCACAGCTGAAGAGAAAGACTATCGTAAGTCTGATGAAAGAGAGGGTGCAAGGATTTGCAGCTGACACAGAACAGTGATGTACGAGCGCTTCATGAGCATGGGTCCAGAGGTCAAGGAGATCAACTGGAAGCAAGCACGCGGTGCCTTGTACCGTTGGCCACAGGTCATGCGTGAGTGGCTCGATTGCGCTACTATTACCAGATAAGAACTGACACAATCATAGCTATGCTCATGAACATGTGTCAGCAAATTACAGGAGCTGCTCTCAGTGCCTATCTTCCTACTCTCCTCAGCGAGAACGGTTTCAAAGGTGCCACAGCACAGATCGCTACACTGGCACCCTATGGATCCGCCGCCATTGTATGTCTTGATCTTCGGTCCTTCAAAACTCAAAAGCAGAATGCTGATAACAACACAGTGCATGATCATCGCAGCAAAGATCTCTGACAGATTCGGTAATCGTGGCTGGCCTACTCAATTCGGTTGGATGCTCCTGATTATCGGCTTTGCGACTTTCCTTGGTGCTCCCACCCACAACAAGGCTGCCCACTTTGCAGCTTTGATCCTTGCCGAAACTGGCCACTACAGTATGTTTTTGTCGACTTCCATGCAGAATGCTCTTCTGACTGTCGTACCTAGTCTGCACTCCTTTGATCGTTACTTGGTCAGCCAACAACGCTGGTAGCGAATCTCGTCGTGCCGTCGCCGTTCCTCTTGCTGTCGCTACTGCTCAGGCTGTCGCGTAAGTAGCTTCTTGTCCTACCATTCTACTTCGCCAGACCAAGACTAATCTTCGCCTAGTATCGGCTCCGGATATCTCTTCCCCAAGTCGGAAGGCCCCCGCTACACAAGAGGAGCAGCTGTCGAAGTTGCACTCTCTTGCGTCGGAATGATTTTCACGTTCATCTACATGGGCTTGATCAAGTGGGAGAACAAGCGCCGCGACAACAGGGAGGGAGGACCGCCAGCACCTGGAACTCGTCCAGACACTGCACAGTTCGCAGACGAGGCCGAAGGATTCCGATACCTTGGTTGATCGGCAGGTCACGATCCATGCAGCCAAGACGTCCTCATCGCAGCAACCTTGTGACATGTCTCGCACAAGTGTACATAGTTTTTTTCAAAATTGATTCATGTCAACAACAGTATATGTCTTGGTCTCACTAACTTCGACTTCTCAAACGCTTTTTCTATGTTGTGCAGTCTTGTACAAGATTGATCGAGGACAAGGAAATCACTCTTGGATTTTGCTCATCGGTATTGATAATTGCGGATTTGGTACGTGGCTTCATCGAACCCCTGTGGAGGCGAGAGCACTAGCTCCAGACTTGCCAGACCTTCAAGCTTTCCATGTAATTATCCTGCTTGGAGATGGTCTTGGAACGTATGTTCTCTTCCGCGTCTTTATGCAAATGCTCGATATAGATTCTGGGCATAAGAAATTCCAGGACGATCCTGCTAACATATCGAACTTTATGGATAATCACCGATGAACACTTTTATCCTCACATGGTCAGAGAGTTGCGACACAATCGAGTCTGTTCATAAATGGTATCATAGGATTATCTTTTTCTCAAACACTAAACCGTAAAAATGCGCTATTTTGTTCCATTCGTGCGAGATTCTTGCACTCTTCCGTCAATCTCTGCATAAGCCTTGCCAATCTTGTTCATGCCAGCTTGCAGGATTGATCCGTCACCACCGCTGAGTGACCAAGTTGCACCGAGCTTGAAGAAACGTTCTAGCAAGTCGAGGCGGCCACCAATTCCTCCAATTCCGATAGGCTTACCAGCCTTGACACCAGCAGCGATAATCTTCTCCACTGCATTCAGGTAAAGCGGGTTGTCGTATTGTCCCGGAATACCGAGATCTGTGCAGAGATCGTTGGAGCCGACCAGGATACCATCCACGCCATCAATGGCGAAGAATTCGTCTGCAAGCTCAACCGCGCCGGGAGTCTCGATCATAGGGATCACCATGGTCTCACGGTTGAGTAGATCGTTCTGCACCAATGTAGGTACTGTCTGGAAGTTGAGAATAGGTTGGTTGTTGGCACATCCGCGAATACCGAGAGGGGCATATTTGGAATCACGGACAATGTCCTTGACATGTTGGACGGTTTCGCAGTGAGGAATGACGACAGCAGCTGCACCAGCATCCAGAATTCGGCTGAGTTGCCAATGTGACTTGGATGGAATGCGAACAATGGGGCTGACTCCGACGTAGTTGCATGCGAGAATGAGTTGTGATACGTCTCGGATTGTCAAGACGGAGTGCTCCATATCGATAAACATGCCATCAATTCCAGCCATCTTGACCATCATTGCGACCTCGTTGCTGACGAAGAACTTGCAGGACATGACTGAGCAAACCTCGCCCTTGAGAATTCTGTCTCTCCATGGGTTCGAGACCCTGAAAACTGCTCCGTTGGTCGACATGCTGGGAAATTGGGTGTTCAAGGCGCCAAGAGAGATTGAGTCGAGTGAAATTAAGCCGTTTGTGTCGTGGAGGACTGATGTGGGCACGCAGACGAGTGATGGGTATACAATGGTATGGCAGGAGGCGATGTCTTTATAAAAATCACTCCGATATATTCCGCTTGTGCTGACAGAATAACAAGACAGACTATCCTGCCATATATCGGAGCCTGTTCGGTTGTGGGGCATACATCTCGGAAGTGTCCAAGCTTGTTACTCCACGCCGTCGGAGAAGTGCCGATAGCCGCACCCCAGTGTCCGCAAATTTCGGCTTTCGACCGATTTCTAATGTGGGTTCAACACAAGTGGGTCCATGAATCTATGTTGCACGTTTTGGTGATCGGCTGACCTGCTGGAAATTACGACTTTTCGGACCCCTCGACGGACCACGTCGGAATGGGTGTTAATAAGGAGGTCCACAGAACTGAGAGCAATGCGGGATCCGGACTTTGACTAAAAATTCGAAATCGCCCAAGTCCCGAGTATTGTATAGTTCGGCAGATCAACGTCTGTATCCTCGGCAGTAGCTCAATCTTTTGTTGCCATGCATGCGATGTCGCATCGTGACTTTATGAGAGTCAGAGCGGCATTATGGGCTGTTTGCAGCTGACAGTATACGACGTAACAGATCCTGCTGGTGACAAAATCCTCTAAGATCATGGCAAGACAGGTTGATGAAGGACACCAGACTTGAAGGTCTATGTGGCTGCAGATATGACCACAAATGACTGGAATTGACGTTTATAGATGCCCGTTGAGGTTGGCTCGAGGACACACCAGAACCACATATCGAGCCTCTATACATATCACACATTGGAAACAGCCGGGATCACTCAACACCATTCCGAAGTCTTGGAGGTGGTCATCCTACGTCTCACCACTTTCCCCCGCAACCATCCGACGACTCAACTGCCAGATCAAGATTTCTCTTACTCGTAACCACGGGCGAGCTACGTAGCAGCATGCCGGCTCCTTAGTTCTGAGACATGGACTTGCAAACGTATGAGAGTTTGGAAAGAGATGTATGAGAAAACTTTGCTTGCTATACCCCATGTTTGCAGATCAAGCAGGCGCATGAAAGCACAATGTCTCAGAATGTGCATATTATGCCCGGCATTCTCACCTTGGTAGGTACAAGCAGCGAAGTGATCAAGGGATGGACATCAGGACGAAGTTTCTGGTGATTTGCCAGGCAAGTGACTTACACGATAAGGAACTGGTCTCTTGCCTGATGTCGGCGGCCTTCTAGACTGTGGCAAGCAGTCAATCCCTTGGTTGGACTGCGAAAGGCTTTCAATCTGAGGAAGTCCATTGTGATTCAACCTGTGCACAGAGATATTGCCTCCTTCAGTCGTTCGTCCGAGAATCTCTCGTATGCGATATCAGCGATCGTGTACCTGCAGATTGTTATCCTTTCTTCCGCATTAATTCCAGTGCATCTAGATCCCTTGTACTGCTATTGTTGCAACTTCTATCCATGCCATCGGCTGATCTGTCGAACAGTGGAATCTACACATTTGCTTTTATTCTTTGGATGTCCCCCTTCACTGCACTTCCCTCTCCAGATGCGCTTGTACAAGGTCGAGTCTGCTGATCGCCGCGCACCACTCATGACTTTGCCTTACTAGTCTATGTCTCCGCCACGCTCAAGACAGCAAATGATTACTTTGAAGGCTGCAGTAGACTGTATGTAAAGCTGCTTATGTACGGGAAGAAAAGCCTTCCAGCTATGGTGGCGATGAGATCGACGAGAACAAGATTGTCGAGCGCATGGAAGAGGTCTGATGTAAGGATGACTAGTCTGGCCAGATGACTAGTTCTGGAATTTGATGCGCAGCTTAGCAGTAGCTTCTCCCAAGCAAACGGCTCATTTTGTACTGCTCATCTCGCGTCATTCACACTTGTAGTCTAGGCCTCCAATTTATCACACTCTTATCATGCGGACTGGGAGAGGAGATGCACGAAAGCTGGTCATGTCGTGACCCAACGGGTTGACAACGGGAGTTACTCTGACGAGAGTTACTTTGGTTGCCCACGAGTACCAGTGCTTCAAACTTCTGCTTCCAAGTAGCTACGGCAGCGCTCAATCATACTTCCGATTATGTTTGCCCGACTACGAATCTGTTTTTCTGCTCAGCATCAAGAGCATTTCGGACATTTGTCTTGGTTGTCAATGCCCAGTCGCCAAGGTATATGCGTGTCGGAATTCTGTCTAGGCACCTCCATCCTTCGAACTCAACTGTATGAATTTGTCCTCCTTTGGCGTTTTCACACAGCCACAAAAGAACATAGTCTGAATACAACGCTTGATTCTTGCTGCGCATAGCCTGTACCAAGAAGACGCTTTCTCCACTTTCCTGGTCGGCAGACCTCCGACCGTTCGAAATCGACAGATGTAGTGGCTGTCAACAGGTCGTGATGCATCTTTGCCCCATGTATTGCCAGACATGTGCGGGGGTCCCAGGTTTGAGCAGTACAACCCCATGGGGTGCTCCACTTCACGATCGACTTACTGACATGAGTGCAGATCTATAAAGAGAGCCATCTCTGCTGATTCTGTCCAGATATCAACACATACTTCGATATCATCAATTCTCCAAGATGCCTCTTTCGCGCCCTTCTTCTCCCGTTTCTGTTCTTGACAAGGAAAAGGCTGTCGAGCACATTGAAAGTGCTCCAGTCGAATCAACCTATCTTGAGGGCTTCCCTCTCCTTCGCGATAAATCAGAGGAAGAACTTGCTGTTTTGAACAAGAAAGTCTTGAAAAAGCTCGACTGGAAGTTCTTGCCATGTATCACTGCGATGCTGCTCATGAAGTACAATTTCGTCCCCTCTATTTGCAAAGTCATTCGCTGACACAGCCTGCTTGTAGCTACCTGGACCGAATCAATGTGTCCAACGCCCGCCTTGCTGGTATGCAGAAAGATCTAGGAATGAATGATGTCATGTGGTCTACTGGTATCTCCATGTTCTACGTCGGATACATCATCTCTCAAATTCCTGCCAACGTTATCATCGCCAAGGGCAATCCTCGTATTCTCATGCCATGTTGTATGCTCGCTTGGTCTGCCGTCACCATCTGCATGCCTGCAATGAAGAGCGGTTGGTCTTTCTGCGTGTGCAGGTTCCTAGTCGGGTTCACAGAAGGCCCATTCCTGCCTGCTGTTTCTCTTATGACATCTTCATGGTACACCAAACACGAATCGCCACTCCGCATGGGTATCTGGCATGCTGGTAATATCATCTCCAACGTCATCTCTGGTTTACTTGCGGCAGCAATCTTGACAAACATGGATGGTATCGCCGATCTTCATGCTTGGCAATGGTTCATCATCCTTGAGGGAATCGTCAGCATTATGGTTGCTGTGACTGGCTTTTGGCTTCTACCTAATTGGCCTAGCAACACTGGAACATACTTCTTTACACCTGAAGAGTCGGAAATGGCCCAGTGGCGTGTCCTTGTGTCTGCGGGTGGTGTCTCCGAAGATGACGAGGGTGACTATTGGGGCGGTGTCGTCCAGGCCCTCCGCGATCCTTTCACATGGATGTTTGCTTCTCTGCACTTTGCTCTCATCATTGCGCAGTCCTTCAAAGACTTCTTCCCATCCGTAAGTTCTCTCGCAGTTCTATTGATCATCCCAAAGCGGGTTCTGACACGATGCTCAGATCATGGCTACTCTTGGATTCTCCAAGGTGGTGACGTACCTTGTCCAGGCACCACCCTACGTTATCGCCTACTTCGTCACTCTCGCCATTTCCTGGTCTAGTGGTCGTCATTTGGAGCACTGTTGGCATATCATTGGCAGCATTGCAGTCTGTCTTGTGGGCGCGATCATCATGATCTCCACTCTCAACACCGGCGCCAGATACTTTGCCTTGATCCTTCTCTGCTCCGGACCTTTTGTCGGTCTCAACATCCAGATTTCTTGGGAGACGACTGTCGTTCCCAGACCTCGCACAAAAAGGGCTGCACTCATTGCCATCGCCAACTGTGTTAGCAGTGTGAGTCACTGGTTCTCTCCCTACTTCTTCCTCACCAGCCAGGAGCCCAGATATCAGACTGGTGGTGGTGTCATCATTGCTGGATGTGGTATAACCATTATTTCCTGTTTGATTACTAGATGGTGGTGCATCAGAAAGAACAAGGCGCTTGATAAGAGAGAAGCAGAGACTGGCGAGGTCAACAGTTGGCGCTTCGCTACTTAAGATGGGAAGGCAGAACAATGCTGCTTCAGTCGAAAATTCTGACTGACATTCTTTTTGGTGTTCACTGCGCTGCTGCACCTGTCTCTTTCAATAGCTTTAGGTGGCGTTTTTGCTCATGCCAACAGATACTGTATTCAATCTCCAATCCATGCATCGCGATTTTTGCTTGCTGTGCTGACTGTAGACTAAACCATTCTTTCCTGTTACGGATATGTGCAGTTTGTCTTGAACATTCAACAGTCAGTCTTGTTTATATGAGCAATATGTCTCACAGAGTCAAAGAGAGCCCACACAGCATAATCCAGTGACTGCTGTTCTGCTTGAAAGTTTTGATTCGATGTAATCTATTCATGTTTCCAGTCGTAGATTGTTCAATTCTCTGACAAGATTGTCTAATCTTGAAGCTTGAACATTCGTGTTAGCAGTGTTGAACACAACAACCCAATTGGATTTACCCCTGTTTCGATCGTCGTCCTCTGCATTCCTGCGCTTGAAAGCTTCAAACATAGCCTTTGCTTCGTCCGGCAGGACAATATTCATCCCCGAAGCCGCTTGCTCAATGCCCATTGCTGCATATTGGATGACTGGAAGTTGACTGCTAGCATGAAACAAAACGCGAAGAGCGTCGAGGAAAGCAGAGGCGGCGTGGTACGAGAAGGTCGGACTCAATGAAGAGATTGAGGGCAACGTCTCGAAAGCCACGGGAAGCGCGTAGTAGGGGAAGAAGTTCATGAACTGATCGCGGCTGTAGAGCTTCGCGACGCGGCTTTGCACGGCACGTGCTTGCAAGGCAGAGTTAATAGCCACAGACAGACATGGCTCTACCGGCAGCTTGGCTTTTACCAGTGGCGCTGCATGTGGTGTAGGATTCGTAGATGTCATCGTGAATGGTCGGAACAATTCAACGATCGCAAAATGATATGTGCAACTGCAAAGGTCAGCTTGGGGTTTGCTAACAAATGGTCTCAAGCCAGCAAGGAGTGCAAAGGAGTACTTACATGACCTGGAAGACATGGGGCGGTGCTTCCTCCAAGTAGTTCATATTCTTCAGCATCGGATCGATTCTGTCCCACCAATCCTTGAATCGCTTATATAGGTCGAGCGAAGCTGTCAAGTATTCCAAGGTAAGAGGTCCGGATGAATACTTTGTCTGTAAAGGTATGATACGCTTGAAGATTGTAGTAAGACGCGCTTGAGCATCAAATGTTTCATACCTGAGCGCTGGAACTGTCCTTCCTTGCTTTGGCCAGGGCCAAGGCATCCATTGCTCGTGTTCCGAAATGTTTACCACTCGTGGTGGTTCGATCGGTGGCTCGTTTTTGAAACCAAGATCGGCTCGGAACGCAACTTCAGCAAAACTGGAATAGGGTCAGTCATTTGCACTGGCTTCAAACCTGGTTTTGCGACTTACATGGCCCAATCATGCATTCCCCAGGCGAATACAGCTCTGGCTTGTGTCCTACGTGGTTGAGCAGGATCATAGACTTCAGCGCGACGACCCTTATCGTACAGCCCCATGTTTGTAGTGATATGTCGCATTGCCAAAAGATATGGCATGCCGAGCTTGTCGGCACCATGAAAGGTGTGCATGGCCCAGATCATCATGGCAGCCGCGCCGCTGGCCAAGTCCTGTTCCTTGTCGATTGGCGTCTCCCAAAGACGTTCTGCTTCTGACCAAGAAGCCTTGAGTACAGCTGCAGCAGTTTCTCGATCCACGTGCGCATAATTCACCTGATCGATCCTCAGTTAAACTCTTGCTCCGTAGAAGAGCTGCAACCATAGAACTTACCGAACCATATGCCAAGACTGCATGAACAAGCACTTCAGAGCACGTATCCGATGGCAATCTGATCAAGCCGTCAAGAAAATCATCTTCATCGAACATATGTATCGATGGATGATCCCAAACAAAGAATGAACTGATGATGTTCCGGAAACCTACATCATCCACGTATGTGACATTCCAATCTTGAGCGCTGACACGAGACAAACGATCGTCGTACAGCCAAATGTAGGGTGATGTACGATGTCTTGAGGGGATGGCATGTACCTGTTGCAGATTTGGAGCACTTGGAGATCTTCTGATGCGGGTGCTCCTCTGAGCCGGTGGACTCGGACTCAATGGCTCGCGTAAGGATGCACTGACAACGACATTAACAAGCTTGGTAGGGGGAACATGAAGCGGCGTACAGCAAATCAGGCATCGAAGGCAACGTAGTACCCGGATTGACCGAGGAGAGGTCATGAGAATGAGTGGTGATTCTGTCGTATCTGTCACGACCTCCGTTCAGGTCCAAGGCGACCGAAGCATGACTTGAGAAGCCCCCATAAGGTACGGATGTTAGCGATCCTTCAGACACATTCTGATCTCGAAATGTGCTAAGTAGTTGTTCGGCAGGTGCGCCAGGAGCAGGTAATGTCCGCGCGAATTCGATGGTTGAGCGCACATCCTGTCCGTCGCGAAGAAAATCCAAAATTTTCAGGGCGTCCGGTTGAGCGACAGATTTGAGATGGCTCAACAGTTGGTTTACCTCGTTGTTCTCGCGCTGAAGGGCGTCATGCTTACGCTTGAGAGCAATTATTGGGGGGGCGTCTGGCTCAGCGGCGTAGACACATTCCAAGCCACGATCGGCACATTTCGCGCACGTCGGACGTTGCCCATCACACTGACTGAAATTCAACTTTTGACAACTCGATGCGGCTCTGACGATAACGACTGACTTTGACCTTGCGCGTCCGGCATTTGTTGCAAGCGACAACTATTTGATGGCGCTTCGTTGTAGGATGAGATGGTTGATCTGGCGGTACCGCCGTCGAAGCCATGCCTAAGGTAGGGCCGTCGCGAAACCTTGATGAGAGGAAAGGCGAAAATCAGATGTCAAGTGACACCGACTTTCCGATGGCAACTTCACAGCGCATCAGGAATACGGTAAGGCAGGAGCTGGGTCCGAAATAATCGTGAGGAGGCGGAGAGAGGTGCGACAAAAGAGTGCTGATGAACAGGGAGAAAAACCACGACAGCCGATGGCAATCCTGCACGCTTTGGGAATCCTATGACAGTGGAGCTGGGTCCGAGGTAGTGACGACCAAGTGACTCAATCTGCCGCTGTCGACATGCACGGAACTAAGATCTTCCGGCTTCCGATTCAACTGTTTTGTCAACAAAATCAGACCATCCTCTCCTTGCCAGCTTCACCGCTGTGCTTCGTACTACTGCCTGTTATCAAACAGCCATCTACGTCTGCTAGCTGGAATATCATCTTGTGCGCGTGAAGAGGCTCAAATCTCGATGAGTAGATCAGAAGGTTCATCCCTGAGGTATAGCTATATACAAAGCCAGGGTTGTCCTTACAACGACCATCAGGTGACATTCTACGACCTTGCACACAACATGACTCCCTTTACGTCCAGTCTCCATTAAGTACCGTCGGCCGCCCCTTGGCATGAGCTTCTAGCAGAGTATCTATAGTCCATGGTATGTAGACCATCCCAGGTGGCACATTCGTGTTCTTAAACGACGTTCCCTCTTGCAGATGCATGGCAGCTTTGCAGTAGTTTTTCAGGGCGTACTGCTCCGGGTCATGACGAAGGATCCATCGACCAACTTGAGCATGCTTCCCTTTTGACCCATCCCTCGAGACCTGTCCTCTTTCGTTAGATGGTTTGCCCTGAGCCTCGTCCCGACTGATCACCCCGAACGCTTGCAGGCATGAAACGCGCTCGAAGCGAAGAAGATTATGTACCCTTGTCGCGGTCGGAATCTTCTGATTATCGCCTGCTATCGCAATGCACGCGGCAAGTGAAATCGCGTCTTCCATGGCTTGTGTGCCACCATTGCCAGAGTTGGGCAGAAAAGCGTGCGCTGCATCGCCGAGCTGAATCACACGTCCAGCAGGGGAAGTCCAGTCTGGTTGGGGATCACGCCACATGAGTTTCCAGTCGATGATCATGCCTGGTGGAGTCGTTCTGATCACCCTGTCGGCTATCTCCGGCCATCCAGGAATAGTAGAGGTGTATCGTATAACGTCTGAGGGGGTGACCTCCACAGATCAGGACTCTTGCGCCTTGCCATCATCCTGATACTTGTCAGCAAATACAGTAATCCACCTCGTCGAAGGCATGAAGACACTTACGGGACGGGACAAAGACCAGCTCATTTCGTGTTCATTTCGCCAGAAAGCTGCTTGTACCCCAACGCCACGCCAAAGCTGGATTGTCGATCTGCCGTCTTCGAGCAATGGAAAGTGTTCAGCGACTTTGGGATCAGCAAGTGCCAGCTCAACAGGATAAGCCACTCGGAAAAGAGCATCACCACTGCTGCGAGCAGGCACTTCTTTACCAGCTACCAATCGCCACGAGTTGCTTCGAAGACCATCCGCCGCCACCACAAGGTCGCCCAAAATCCGAGAGCCATCTCGAAGAACCACACCCGCCCGATCGCGCTCGGCTTCTTCAAAGTACTCGTGGACTTTGCGGTCATATTCGACTTCGATGCCGATCTGGCTGAGCTGCTCAAGTAGCATAGAATGAAATCTTGGTCTGGAGTGACGATAGACCTTTTCTGCATCCTCAAAGTAGAGCATCTTGGAGAAGTCTTTGGGGCCGGCGAATTGTTCGCCGGTAATATGATGAAATGAGACAAGAGGGTCGTAAGCAATTTCCTTGTTCTTCGCACTCAAGAACGGCCAGTGTTTGAAGCCACTGATAGCTGATGGGTCGATGCTGAAAGAGTCACCGGTGTGGACGTTAGTCTTTCGATCAATCCTCCGAGACGAGTTGCATACCACTTGTGATGTTTTGTTGAGACCTCTCAAGAACACGAACAGAGCAGCCGATGCGCCAACATTCGAGAGCCGTCATCAGTCCACCAACACCCCCTCCCACAACCACAACTGATATTCCATTATTTGGACGATGTTGCAGAAGAGTGTGATTGATGCTTGCGAAACCGCATCGACGACTGATTTGAGTTGTGGATGAGCATGAGTGTTGGCACGAAGATCTAACAGATGCAACTCTAATAGTTCGCCCAATCAGCGGCAAGCTCGAAGAGATGTGCATTCTCCTCAATGTGATGCCCGGCTACGGTATAGCAGCGGCTTAGCGTACTATATAGCAGTAAGCTGCAGGATCTCGGTGTTTGATTTCGTGTATGCCCATTTCCGAATCTCTGGGGCGGGAAGAAGTCACACCGAGATGGCTGTGACTAACAAAGCCTATCTCTTGTATAGCACGCTCAGCCAATACGAGATATCAATTCTGTGATGGAGATCTCTCTTATCGTTCACCATTCAAGCTTGTTCTACGGCAACAGGTCACAATCGCTGGGCTTGACAAGACTGCGATTTTGAAGAATTAAAGAGCTTATTACAATCTCAACGTAAAGCACAACGTTGGCAACGTCGATTATCACCACCACTACCTCTAGGACTACTGCTCAAATTGTACTACAAGTATGCGTGGCTTTGGGTGGGGCTTTGCGCTTTGATAACTGGAGGGTGCTGCAGTGGCGCCTGACCTGACGCTTCCATTGCCCATACCTTTGGACAGGAGGTATTAATGGCTAAGCTTGTTGTGTAGAGCCTCTTGCATTTGAATAGTGTTCAAATTTTGAGTGTAAATATTTCGATAGTGTACCGGGGCCTCACGGGAAAGCTTAGTTGAGCTGAGCAAATATACAAGCACAATGATTGACATGCCTCCTTTAGAGCAATCAGTGTTTGGGAGAGTCCTTTAAACTCTCTTCCAATGTGATCTATACTCCTCAATAACGCTCCGTGGTTTAACGTATTCTCCCAAAGGTTTGTACTCGAAATCGTAGCCAAACGCACTCGGCCCGCCAATCTTGATTCCTTCAGGTGTGTCGGTCCAAAGAGGCGAGCAAGTGATGCCAATCACAGTGACATAGTAGCCATACTTGAACTCCGGCACGCCCAACGCACAGCCAGAGCCAGAGTCTAGTACTGCAATGAGATCGGGGACAAGCGCGAGATATTCTTTCTCTCCAGAGTCGGATGTGTACTCGGCATAAATGTTTTCGTTCTTGAACGGAATCTTAAGAGTACCACCCACTCGCATGGCAGGCATACGATTTGCATTGGCTGCACTTTCTTCGTCTTCTTCTGTTCCACCGATCGTGATCGAGCCGTGAGAGTGGCCTTTGTATACTCGTCGTTCGACTTGAGTGATCTTACCGCGGAATAAGATGCGAGCACTCTTGGTTCCGCCAGCCTCATTCACGATCGCTTCTGCAACGGTGGACATCGTGTTTGTGGCTTCTGCCAGAGAGATGCACCTACCGACGCGCCAAGCCAAAGACATGGTATTCAAAACACCAGAGGAACGAACTTTCTCGGTTGTTGTTGGCTTTGCTGCCATACCCACGCGCGAGCCCATCTCGGCACAGGAGGCGCGCAGAGCTCGATCCACAATTTCATCGTTCGGTGCCTTGGTCATCAAGATCGTCTTTCCGTCGCCAGAGTCGATGACACAAGGTACAAGTTCACCTGGATAGTGTACAGCCAGAGTAGTCTGCCAATAAGTAGGGTAGGCACGGCCCATGAAATCGGCGTCGATCACTGGACAATTAAAGAAGCGAGAGGATCCCACAAGCAGAGGCTCCATGCCGTTGGCACCGCCTATCTCCAGACCCATCACTGCATCTAGCTTGTCGTGGTGTAGATATTCCATGAGCTCATTGAAAGCACCGACTGTTTCCAAAGATTGGAGACGCTCGACTGACACTGCTGGAGAGCCCATGTGGCCTCCCCAGTAGATCAACGCGTCGTCGGCGAGAGCGGAAACATCTGCGACACGCATCTTGTGTCCCTGGCGGAGCATCTCGCGGAGTTGTAGTCGTGAAGCTCCTGTGGACCCACCTCCTGCGCAGCCCAAGACATAACAACCTGAGACAAGATCAGCTTGTGAGCGGGTCCCGAGGATCCTTACCACTCACCTTTGGAAATGAAATCAATGTCTGTCTCAGACAGTAGCCATTCCGGATGTCCAGTCGCGTCATTCTCTATGATCGTGGGCATGTAGATTCTGGGATCGACCTGCTGTGCTTCAACAGTCTTCGGCGCCACCTGTTTAACGCCTTCCTCTGCATGCTCAAAGTCTAAACCATCGTCATCGTCCTTGAATACAGTCTGCGACTGAGCGTTGATGTCGAGCTCGCCCACAGCCTTCACAATTGTTCTCAATTGGTTCGCGACGTATGAAACTGGTAAGCTCTCGACCTCCGCAATCATGATGCTATCTTTAAGGGCACCGGCATCAACTGCACGCTGAATCGCAATCTGCTTAGCTTTCTTTTCAGCTTGCTCGAATGTTTGACCTGACACATCTTGGATTGTGTCGACAACGCCTCCAACCTTGGATATGGCAGCGCCAACAGCATTTGCGACATCATGAAATGGTGGTAGTGTGAGCTCGGAAGCACCTGAAAGGGTAGTAGGAGCAATGACTGCACCACCTCCTACCAACAGAACAGGCATCGGATCAGGAGAGGTCTTGATCACGTCAATAGCCCGTTCGAGTAGTGCTTTGATACTGCATTGTGCATCTGCAACTTCCTTGGCATTCAAATGCTTGACGAGAGTGCTGTCACCTATCTTAGCCTTTCCTGCAGCAACGGCGATGTCTGATGCTGTCAGGACGTCGCCTCCGAAGACCAAGGCATCTCTCGTGAGATAGTGTCCCACAGAATCTGGCCCGACAACAATCTTGTTAGCGGTGTGTTTACGGACCATAGTACCGCCTCCAAGACCAATGCTGTGCAGGTGTGGCATGGCGTAGTTCATTCGTACTCCAGCGACGGTCACATATGCAGCAGCTTGGCGAGGTAGACCAGAAGGCAGCAAAACTCCGACGTCGCTTGTCGTGCCTCCAATATCTATGACAATGGCCGAGGACTTTCTGGTATCATGAGCAGCCAGGTAAGCTGCACCACGCATCGAGTTCGTCATGCCCGATGCAAATGTCCGGATAGGAAACTTGGCGGCGGATGCTGAATCAAGCAAGGTGCCGTCATTCTGGGTGAGGAACAGTCGGCAATCCAATTGCAAAGACTTCATTGCACGACGGAAGCCACTGACTGTTCTCTTGGCGTAATCAAGGATTGCTGCATTCAGAATACTGGCATTCTCTCGCTCGAGGAAACCAATGTTTGCGACTTCGTGTGAGCAAACGACCTCAACACCTGGCAGCTCTCTGAGCACGATCTTTCTGACCTGCTCCTCCTGCTGGAAGATCTCATCGATTGGCGAGAACACTCCCGCAATCACTACTGACGACAGGCCCAAAGCTTTGATTTCAGCACATCTCTCGACTACCTGAGATTCCACAATGGGGGATTCTTGAGAGCCGTCGATGTGAAGGCCACCATCGACATAGCCCACATATCCATTGATAATAGCTGCCAGTCCAGGTGGAAAGTCGGAGAAGGGAGGTACCTCGCGAAGGAAACTTTTGGACAGGCGAATGACGGCCACCTTGTTCAATCGACGCGCATCATGCTCGATTGCTGCATTGATGAAGTGCGTAGTACCGACAGTGACACTCACAATGTCCGATGTTGACAATTGTGAGATGTCAAGCACCGCGCGTATCGCGGTCTCAATGCCTCTGGTAACGTCAGGCGTTGTTGGCGTCTTGAAGTGTGCAAGGAGACCCCGAGTCTCTGTGTGTTGCTGCGATGTGTCGATGGCGACGGCGTCGGTGTTGGTTCCTCCTACATCGACGCCAATGCGAATGCATCTGACGCCTGATTGAGAGCCCATGTCTTGTCTGTAAAATCCAATGTCGAGCTTGAATCAATCTGATTCAGGTATCTTAATGGTGTTCGAGACTTGAAATGTATTAATGCTACAGTCTTGTCACCCTCGTGTTTGAAATGCAAGCTCAGCCCCAATTCCATGCCTGGTGGAGCGATAGCATGTTGGAGTCGCTGATAAGACAATCAAGTTGGTGAACCTTCGCCTAAGCCAGCAGGTACGAGCGGATAGCCTGATTTGGGCACAACCGCGGCGGCATGGTGGGGTTATCAGAGATAGATAGGCGACGGAGTGGGAAATCGTCGCCGAAATTGCCGCAAACAGGTTGGCCGACGGCGAACTTCGACATGACCCCGCATGATTGTCTCTGTTGAGCAGCACCGCATGCAACGAGATGTTCGAATGAAACTTCTATCATACTTTTGCATACGAGAGGCCTCCATCCCGATGTTACAAAATCACAAAGCCTAAGTGCATAGAGCGATAAGCTGACTGATCCACCTATCAAATCGTCTTGTTGCTCTCCATGTCAACACCATGCACTGCCCCGCCGGAATTTCTTATCGCCATGTTGCTCTCCCTACAGAGGTCATATACATATGATTGCTTCCATGGTTAGCACAGGTGATACTTCTTGACACAAATCAATCAGTCAACGCAATGGCATTCAAGTCTCTCTCAAGGCATCTGAAGGTGCCAGAACATGAGGAGCACATTTCGAATGTTTGGATCAACGATGACATCCGACCTCTGCCTCCGCACAGGCGGACCTGGACACGTTGGGCGTAGGTTTCTCGTGCAGATCACCACTCATTGAGCTCTCATGAGACTGACTCAGATCGTCAGCTTCATATCATTCTGGGCAATCAACCAGATCGCTCTCTCTAACTGGCAGCTCGGTGGCTCTCTGGTATCCACTGGCATCTCCGTCTGGCAGGCAATCGTTGCCATCATCGTTGGCAAGATCATCATTGCAGCGGTAGCGATCGCGAATGGCTACGTCGGCGCTACCTGGCATATTGGCTTTTGTGTTGTGTCCCGATATGTATGGGGCGTCAAAGGACAATATGTAGCGTTGATACAGCGTATCGTTCTGAGTCTGGTCTGGTTCGCCGTACAATCTTGGACCGGTGGTCTCTGCGTTCAAAACGTACTTGCTGCCATTTTCCCTAGTTTTCAGCACATGAAGAACCACTTCCCTGCTAGTGCGAATCTGGATACGAAACAGTTCATCGGCTGGGTGCTGTTCAATGTCATCATGGCTCCCATCATATACATCAGGCCCGAGGGCATGAAACATATTGTCTTGTGGATGACTGTCGTTTCGGGTATCACCTTGTTGTGCATGACGATCTGGGCGTTGTCTGCAGCTCATGGGGCTGGTCCCTTGCTCAATCAGGCAGCATCAACGAAAACCAGTCAGGAACTCGGCTGGAACATCACTCTGGGCGTCACTACCGTCATTGGCAACATCGCTGCCGGACTGGTCAACCAGATGGACTATTCTCGCTTTGCGCGACGTCCTGGCGATCAAGTGTTTGGTCAATGGATTTCCATCATTGGACTGGGCATCATCATGCCACTTTTCGGTTGCCTTACATCTTCAGCTACGCAGAAGATCTACGGAGAAGCGCTTTGGTAAGTCGCGAAGCAGCAAGTGACTTCGAAACTATGTCCTGACTGTCTACCAGGAATCCTCCAGACATTGTCCAGAAGTGGTTGAATACCGACTACAACGCAAAGTCGCGCGCAGCTGCTTTCTTCGCTGGTTGCGGCTTGGTCACGTCGCAACTTGCAATCAACACTATCGACAATGCCTTCTCGGCTGGCATGGATATTGCTGGACTCTTCCCTAGCTACATCAACATCAGACGTGGAGCATACATTGGACTCGTCATCAGTATTGCTCTATGCCCGTGGCAATTACTAGCCTCCGCATCAACTTTCATCAGCGTCCTCTCTGCTTACAGTGTGTTCCTCGGACCCATGACTGGAATCATGATCTGTGACTACTGGGTAGTAAGAAGAAGAAAGCTAAAGCTCTCCGATCTTTACCACGGCGGCAAAGATGGCGTCTACTATTTTTGGCATGGTGTCAATTGGCGAAGCTTCGTGGCCTGGGTTTGTGGTTGGAGCTATCTCCTTCCTGGGCTCGTTCATGCTGTCAATCCTGGGATCAATGTTCCAGTTGCTTGCGCAAGACTTTACTACCTTGCCTTCCCGCTGGGCTTTGTGGTCAGCTTTGGCATCTACTATGGCCTGAATCTCGTTTGCCCTCCTCAAGGCCTGGGAGTCATCGACGAGGTTGACGAGTTCGAGACTTTCACGATGGACGAAGCACAAAAGCTGGGAGTCCTTCCTCCAATCATCCATGGTGACATGCAGCAAATCAGCAATGAGCCTCGCATCGATGACGAACTTCAGAGGCCAGACGACAAGACTACCGTGGTCTGCAAGTAGGTTTGAGATATGCTTCATACTCAGGACACGGAGCGTCGACATCAAGGGAGACGTCATGATTGACATGTGTCTTGATTTATGATTCTATTATTCTACATGATAAGCTCTTCTAATTTCCTGTTTGCCTCTGCAACCATATCGTCCATGTCTACCCTCCAAATCTTGTGGTTGCGCCAGAGAATCTGCTCCTTGATCTTCGCAGGATCACGTTTGCACAAGCGGTCCCTCCACTCGTACAATTCGACGCTCGCACGGCTGCTTTGCACCAACCACTGTGTGCGCTCCCGTCTTTCTCCATCAAATACTTTCAAGACATTTTCCAAGACTTCTGTTTTCGAAACCCGGGTGGATTGTTCCTCAAGCCTAGTCCAAGCAACAGCGAGTAGCTCAGCCAATATTGCACTGTCTTCGATGCAGATACCTGCGCCAGCTCCGTGGTGGGGTCCTGTTGCATGGGCAGCGTCTCCGACAATCGCGATACGTCCTTTAGCATAGGTTGACACTGGATGGTCCCCCAAATCGAAGATGGCCCATTTGTCAAGCTTGTCTTCTAGAAGGTCTACAATCGCCTGGACCTTGCTACCCCATCCCCTGTAGTCTCGCTTGGCGTCTTCTTTAGTGGTTGGGACCACAAGTCTTGAGTCTGTCCATTCACCCGGGTCGTATTTGAAAGCGACGACATTCAAGATCTTGCCATGTGCCACGGGGAAGGTCAGAATGTGACCATCCTGTCCCAGGTGCATTGTCCTGTTAGTTGCCAAATCTTTTCCTAGAGCTTTGACGGCATTTTCCATTTTGAGCAAGCCTCTGTATGCATAGCGGTGGGTGTAGGTGGGCTTGGCTACGAGAGAATCTTTCCCGAACATCATTCCGCGAACACTCGACTTGATGCCATCGGTAGCGATTACTTTTTCTCATTAGTATACGGCACTTCACAGCTGTTGAATAAGACGTGACTTGCCTACATCAGCTTCCGCAGTCGTTCCGTCGGAGAACTTCAAAGTGATAGGCTTATCGTCGCCGTTTTCGACAAGGTTATCGAGATGCTTGTTGAAGTGTGCGGTCCCTTCAGGAACCAGTTTGATCATCTCCTCCAGAAAATGCGCGCGATGACAGCCGTCGGCCGGAGCGTCTCTCGTGACGTCAAAAAGCCAGTGTTCGGAGTCCTTGTCGGTGTAGCCATCGACAAAGTCGTACCATGTATTGACCTTGTCAGGATTTCCGCTTGCAGTTGCGACATGAAGATATGCTTCGTGGACAGCCGGGTCGCACTTCTTCATCGCTTGCTTTGCATTGGGAGAAAAGGCAATACCAGCGCCAATCTCAGTGAATTGGGGTGCTTGCTCAAAGATTTGCACATCGATGCCTCTCTTCGCAAGGGCTATTGTCAATGTCACACCAGCGACGCCTCCGCCAACGATTGCGACTGAAAACTGAGAGTCCTGCTTTTCCATCTTGCTGAAGGTTCAATTGTCAAGCCAGAGATATTTGTGAATTGTGAACTTCCAGACAAGAATCGGTGGGATGCTTCAAATTTATGAGCAGACTTGCACGGGGTCTGCTCAACGGTATACATTCATCCTAGTGTCTGTGACGCAAGTGTCGAATGTCTGACGGTGTCATCGGCATCACAACCTCCGTGCTTGAGCCTGTTCGACATCGGTTGGCGAATCCGGCAACTGCATTTCGGTTTGGTCGGGGAAGTCTAAGGAGACGAATGCGGGGTCGTGCTGGCTCCTTCGGTCCGCATGTTACGGAGTTAGCGGAAGACGCGAACTCAGATCTCGTCCGATTTGGAAATTGGGGGCTAAACAACGGACCTGGTCCAGGCTGTTCTACGGTTACCAGGAGCGGCACTCAGAGTAGTCTGAGCTCATTGCTTGCACAGTTCCTCCCTAGAGTCCCTCCAATTCTGTCGTCTCGTTCTACAAGTCCGTTAACACCATGCCTCAGAATGCTCGTGCACTTATTGTGAGAGAGCTGGGAGGACCGTTGACCTTCGAAGATGTCATCGTTGACGACATACGGTCTAATGAAGCTCTCGTCAAAATCGAAGCCTCAGGTATCTGTCGTACAGATTTGAACGCTGCGGCTGGTCATCATCCGATACAACCTCCAGCTGTCTTCGGACATGAAGGTCTGTCAAGTTCAATACCATCTACAGAAATCTAGCTAACCTTAGTAGGTGCGGGAACCGTGCTCAAAGTGGGCGAAAGTGTGACAGGGGTTCAGCCCGGCGACAAAGTCTTGCTCAGCTACTCTATCTGTCGTATCTGCAAACAGTGTTGCTCTGGAAATCGGGCTTACTGCGAGAAAATACTCGCGCTCAACTTTGGTGGTACACGAGCAGACGGCTCGAGTGCCTTGACCCTTCCAGATGGACAAGCTCTGTTCAGCAGCTTCTTCGGCCAGAGTTCGTTTTCCAGTCTAGCCGTGGTCAACGAGACTAGTCTGGTCAAGGTCCCGTCAGACACTCCTCTGAATCTCTTTGCGCCTCTTGGTTGCAGCATGGAGACTGGAGTTGGCGCAATATTCAACACTCTGGACGTGCAACCAGGATCCACAGTAGCTGTCTTTGGTGTAGGCTCTCTGGGGCTATATGCAATTATGGCATGCAAGCTACGACAAGCGAAAGAGATCATTGCCATCGATATCCAGCCATCACGTCTTGAGCTTGCAAAAGATCTTGGAGCAACCGCTACCATCAACAGTTCTGAAGGTGATGTTGCTGACCAGATTCGAACCATATGCGGAACGAATGGCCTCGAGCGAGCGCTTGATTGTTCAGGGGTTGCAAAGATTATTGAAACAATGATCGAGTCTCTAGGAACCAGGGGAAAGGCTTGCTCTGTGGGCTCCAACAAGCCCGGGACACGCATCAGCATCGATGTGCATAAGCATTTTGTCAAGGGCACGCAGTATGTCGGCAGTCATCAGGGTGATTCGGATCCTCAAAAGGTGAGTTCTAGTAGCTTGATTAGCAGATTTTCGCTGACTGTGCTATAGATGGCTCCAATGCTTATCAAGGAGCATTCGCTTGGCAACTTACCTTTGCACAAGGTCACAACCTTCTACAACGTGGATGATTTCCAGCGTGCACTCGACGACGTCCAATCAGGCGAGACTGTGAAGGCTGTCTTGACCTGGCCATGAGAGTCCTTGTAGGAACATCGTACCTCATGGTTATCAGGCATATACGGGGTTCCAGTAGGAAGATTGTTGGATTGAGGCACAAGGCCAGCATGGGTGGGGGGTTTCTCGGGCTAAAAGTCGCCTAGCATCGCATTTCGAAAGCAATATAACGACCTAATCGTAAGGATCGAAGAACAGTTGACTCCCGGAATCGATTATTTAGGAGACTTAGAGCACCATGCAAGTCTCAGAATATGAACAAGCCTTTTCGTGATACAGACATCGCGAAACACAAATGCTGAATTGATGGTTACGGGAAGCACTCTGACTGACCTTTGCCGTATACCTAAAGCGGCACAGCGATAATGTTCCTTATGACCGCTATTCTGCACATCACTCAAGTAAGTATCAACAGAGACCCCGTAGTAGTAACACTTTGAGTTACAAGAAATCATCTCGTTTACGACTCTCAAGTCATGCTCAGTTACCGCTATCCTCGCCGTGCCAGCTGATCTGTTTGGTATTGTAGAATTGCTCTAGACCCCAACCAGCATTTTGCGTGCCCCAACCACTGCCCTTGACACCTCCTTGAGGTCCAGTTGCTGCGTTGATGTCAGTGGAAAGTATGTCGATTGTATAGATTTGGTACTTACGACTAATGTAGACAGTTGATGAGTTGGTGTGAACCTGACCATATTCAAGTTGTCTACCCATCTTAATCGATCGTTCTAGGTTTCGCGTATGGATCGCGGCATTCAGTCCGTATGCACTGCGATTTGCTATCTTGATAGCTTCGGCGTCGTCATCAACAATGTAGACACTTGCGCTCGGTCCAAAAGTCTCCTCATCAACGATTCTGAGATGATCAGGAGTCTTCTTGGGGTCAACGAGTACCAAAGTGTTCGAGATAGAGCAGTTCTCCTTGAGTTCACCATCACCGCAAAGGAACTTCGCACCTTTGTCTTTTGCGTCTTTCAGAATGCTAATAGCGTTTTGTGCAATGGACTCTGAAACTGCAGATCCAGATGGCGCTTTCTTAGTCTCTTCAACCAAGAGTTTGAGGAACTCATCCGCGACACTGCGTAGCACAATGATACGCTCTGTGCTGAAGCATATTTGTCCATGGTTCTTCACGGCACCCTGAGCACAGAGGCGAGCGGCCTTTGGCAGATCTGCGTCGTCCAGCACAATTGCAGGGCACTTTCCACCCAGCTCCATAATTGTGGGTTTGAGGTACTTGGCTGCTGTTCCTGCGATAATTTTGCCAACCGCTCCGCTTCCGATGAACTCAATCTTGCGAATGTGTTCATTTGCAATCAGACTCTCCGTGACGGCTGCCGCGTCCTGGCGTGAAGCCGAAAGGCTGTTAAGAACACCAGCAGGGCATCCAGCCTCACGGAAAATGTCGACGAGAATTGTATGAGTTAAGGGTGACAACTCGGAGCATTTGAGCACTACCGTGCAGCCAGTGACAATTGCAGAGCTTATGGCCCTGGTGGAAAGAATGACGGCCGCATTCCAAGGCGGGATGACAAGAATCGGACCAATTGGTTCCTTGAAGACGAAAGTCATAGTATCGGGCTTGTCAGTTGGAGCGACAGTTCCCTTGACACTACTGACACATGCTGCAAATTCGTTGATATAGTTGGTTGCAGCAAGGACGTTGAATTTCGCCCAGTCTTCAGTACACGCGGTTTCCTTCATCTGCGCTTGGACAAGCTCGTCCACACGTTTCTTGTAGAGGTCTGCTACCCTGAGCAACAATCCCCGACGTTCTGTTATCGGCGCATTTTTCCAAGTTTGGAAGGCGTTCCAAGCTGCGTCGCATGCACGCCCACAGACTTCTGTATCCGCACCGGCGTAGTAATGGACATTTTCTCCAGAGATAGAGTTCTTGACCGGGAGGACACGATCAGCATCGAATGGCTGCTCCTCGTTGTTGATTATGGTAGAGACAACCTCGCGACCATGCGCGTCTTGTTTGAGCTGCATGTTGGATGGATCTGAAATGGGCGCGAAAGCACTGAGTAGCAAGAGCAAAGAGATACTGATGAGGGGTACTCTTAGTAACACAGAAGCAAGAGTTATGTAGTCATGTAGTTTGATGATGTAATGACGCACGTCCTCTACTAGACGGAGGAAATGATTCTAACTGAGCCCGGATGCATCGGAGATAGGAGATAGCCAAGATTTTCCTACAGCGTCCTGGAAAGAATACAGTTGTATACAGGGGCCAGACGATACAGTGACACGGGAGATAATATCGGTAATTCTGTCCTCTCGGCTAGCAGCACACTTGCAGATACGGATATCACGGCGAGATACAGGTACAAGAAATCTCAATAAGGTTTCAAGCTTTAGCAGATCATTGAGTTCCTTGCATGGAAAATTAGAGTTTCAATTGTGATGAACTTGGATTCTGCAGCAAAGTCAAATTCCAGAAACAATCATCATGAGAAATTTAGATCATTCACTAAAGTCACAGCTCGGGCAATGCAGACTCGAAGGTCCGCTATGGAAAGGACTCAGCGTGTCTCGGAGCTCACCTGACGCCGACATCCCGTGGTATCAGCTCTAACGTAGACGTAGGGGCAAGGAGGCCTCATGAGTGCCGAATCTACTGTGGGAGCACCTGTCAATTGCTTCTCTGAGAAAGAATGATACTATTTTCGTCACAATCATCATCATTCTGGCAGGTTTCTCACTTGTAGTATCGTGACCACTGCTATCTATCTGCATCGGCGTCTACGTTAACCAGGCAAACATGAAGCAGTTTGCGATGCTTCTGCACGCCATGTTCTTAGTATCGTCAAACATGCTGGCATCATCAGCCTTCAAGGATGAGTGGATGAATGGCTTTGGCCCTCCATCACGGCTGACCTAGGTATCCGAAACACTACGGCAGTCCAAGATGACAAATGTCATCGACCCAGTACCGTCAATCATGCTGGTATCATTAGCCTACAGAGAGGGGCGCAAGGACATTTCACGGGCTGGAACCTCCGTTACTGGTAGAAAAAAAGGATTACGGCAATTAGATGAGGCACATGTCATGAACTCAGTATTGTCACTCGTGCTGGCCTCGTCAGTCTGCAAGTACACTCAACGGGCTGCGCCATCCGCTACAGATTACCTAGGTAGTCGGATTCTCACGGCAGTGAGGTATGGCAAAGCAGGAAGTGGGGTAACAGCATTCATGGGATCCGAGTCATAGAGGAGTACAATCTACTTAGGTGAAAGATTAGCTTATTGACCATCCTGCCATCAATTCTTGCTTTCTCCTGCATATCATTTCAGCTGTCCGCCATGATGGAATCTAGACTACACCACAAGACCGCCTCCGGTGTGTACAACGACGTTGAGCTCGAGGTGTCTAGATACGAGAACCATGATGAAATCCAAGAACTCTGCTCCTACTCACTTCGATGCCATCTCATAGAGACTATCCTATCGGAAGACACGGTAGTTGGGTGCTTGATCCTATCCTTGGTTTGGGATAAGCGGATTCTCTCAGTCTTCCTCACTGGAAGAGGATCAAAACCCCTGCCTTGTTGCCTTCCACGCCATGATGTCTCCTCTCATTGCTGCAGTCCTCATTTCAGCTCGTGCTGGGCATTATCATCCATCATGCATCTTACCTGACTTCAGACCAACTCGCCATTCTTGGTGCTGCATCCAGGTCGATATAGTGAATGGTTGAAATCCTTATCTTCTTGGTCAAAATCAGTCTCACCAAGACGGAATGTCACGCCTGTGATTGGGGCTGCTATTGCAAAAGTTGGCAATCATATCATCACCACAGTCATGATCACCTACGCTGCATACAGTCATCAAGAAGAATCTGCCTCTGTGGGTGTATTCATCGCCTTCGTCAAGCAGATTTGGGGCTTTGGGGGTCCCTTCTGGTTCCCTCAGGTCTTTGAGGAGATTGAACTTGCGGGCACTGTAGTAATGGATTGTGGGTTTGTGATTATATCGTCTATGATCCTAATGGGCAGTCTTCTTATATTTCGTAGAAGGCATGTGTAAGCATCAACTTCAATGCTAGATTGCTTGCTAGAAAGAATAAGGATTTTGCAGTTTATGTTTCAAGTTCAATCAAGATCCATTCAACAGTTTCTAGAGTCATCCAGCAAGCTTTGGGACTTCTGAGAGGGAATTACGTTGCTTGCGTTCGATCGGTGCATGCTTGTCAGCAGGATCACCCTCACTGAATCCAGGAAAACCTTTTGCGCCGAGTCTATGACGTTGTAGGGCCTTCTGACGCGCCTCTCTCATGCTTAAGATTAAACGATCGTCTCTCTTGTATCAATTCTTCTATACTGTCGGCGCTTGCTGCGTGGCAGGTGCTCCCCCCCAGATATCTTTGCTACTTTCTCCTTCGTCTAGTTCATAGCGTGATGGAAGTCAGTCTTGATGCGCTACCCCATCCCAGCCATTACCGCTGACTACTACAACCAACGTGCATCTCGCGACACGAACAATCTCAATCACCCTTGGGTTTAAAGCTCTTCCACTGTATACCAAAGCTCGCAAAGCAAGCCGCCGCAGCCAATCCCGCTCCAAGATAAAATGTACTCGTGACTCCCTGATTGTACGCATGCAACACTTGCTTAAGATCATCCTTCGGAACAAGTTTTCTGAAATCCGCAGGAGCTGCATGCACGATGACCGATACATCCAAGCCCACAATATCAGCAGATTTGAGAGAAGCACTGAAGATGCTGGAGAAAACAGCTTGTGCAAGAGCCAGAAACAGTGCTGCACCAAAAGACTGGAAGAACTGCAGCAGGGCGGTGGCCACAGGGATATTCTCAGGTTTCAAGACCGTTTGGATAGCTACGTATGGCATCCAGAGTGTGATTCCAGCACCCATGCCAGGAAGGATCTGATAAGGTATCCAGTATTGACTGCCTGAAGATGTGCTGAGTGTAGACAAAAGACCAGATCCAACAGCCAGTAAAGTTGTGCCAGCCAGAATGAACGGGTTCGTAAGACCAACATAAGGTAGGAGTATGCCAACCATCAAGGCAGAAGCGACATCCGACATTGACAGTGGTAAGTACATGACGCCAGATTTGATGGGAGAAACGCCCTTGACAATTTGGAACCATTGAGGCAGGTAATATGTAGCGACATAAACAGTACCCATCGCGAAGAGTTCAGTCAGACAAGCGAAGAAGACGACGCGTTGAGTGAAAAGCTTGGGAGGTATCATAGCGTCATCGCCTTTGTGTCTCTGCCAGAAAGCAAAGATGGCTGTGAGGACTGCCGCGCCAACAAAAAGCCCAATGATGGTAGCGCTTCCCCAGGCATAAATCAGGCCGCCCCACTGAAGGGCGAGAAGCATCATAATAGTGGCTGGTGCGAACAACAGAAGACCAAAAAGATCAAGACTTGCCATCTTCTGCACGGAAGTATTTGTTCTGTTTGCTGCCGGCGGATGGAAGAACAAGACCAGGAATAAAACAGTGACAGCGCCGATGGGAAGATTGATGTAGAAGCACCACCTCCAGGTAACGCGTTGTGTCAAAACTCCGCCGAGAAGTGGTCCCAGCATGATGCCGATACCGAAAGTCGACTGCAACGCGCTGAGATATGTGGTTCGTCGTGGAAGGCGGACAGAGATCGCGACGATCGAGAAAGCGCCAGTCGTGCAACCAGCAGCTCCAGCTCCAGCGATCGCTCTTCCAACAATCAACCCGACAGCGTTCGGAGCTGTAGCGCATACTAGGGAACCGATTTCGAATAGTGCCATGAACACGAGGAACATTGTCTGGAATGGTCAGACCTGTCTCAGAGAACACTCATTGCGAGGTCTACCTTGATTGAAAACTTGGCGTACAGCTTGCCGGCGATCGGTTGCAGAGCACAAGTTGCAAGAGTGTATGCGCTTCCATACCAAGCAGTGTCGCCAGCAGACTTGAATTCCGCCGTCACATACGGGATAGCTGTCGCGACAATGGCAGAGTCTAACGATACCAGAAAGATGGCAAGCACCAATCCAGATATGACTGTAATCAGCTTGAGGCCAGTCAGCTCAAATTCTTGCGCGGCGTCCTCGACATTGAGAGGCTCAATGTGTCGCGTCGGTCGGTTGTCATCGTGGCTTGCGGTCATATCGATCATGTTTGGATGCCCAAGTGATGGACCGTGATGGACAGCGAAGGTTTATCTATATGACTCGCGCCGGTCCGATGTTATGGTGCAGTGCCGAAAAGGGAAGTCTCGGTGTCGCTACTGTTGTGCGGGGTCCGCTGGTGTGGAGCGAGCGAGTCGGGGTATTAGCCGGCGAGCATGATCCAAACGTCGATGGGAGCCACAGTTCATGGTCTCCAACATGTTGCCAACCGTCTCTCATTCATGCTTCACTGCGTGCAAGAGCATCGAACGCAGACACATCTGGTCGAGCCCATTCCGTAATCTGTTTTCTTGACTGCCGCGACCAAGCCAGGCTCTCCAAAGGTCACCCGCAAACTTTGTGCTGCAATACCAAGTACTTCCGATAAAATTGTGTTCGAATGCTCCAAACACAGATGAAGCATTGCCTCCAGACGAACCATGTTTCCCAGCATTGAACGTTCTATCAGCTGTCACAATTGGCCACTCGCGATCGTAGTAGACAGGATGTGGTGCAAAGACTGCTTTTAATCCGTAGTGCAAAGCGAGACTCGGTGGCCACATCTCCGTCCACATGGTGTGTTTTAGTTCGACCATCTCCGTGTGCATCAGATTCAGGAGCCGACGAGACATCCGCGCTGCTGCGATGATGGCAATACGACGTGGTGGTATGGGTAGCTGTGTGTCATACCCTGTGACATCCCGTTCGAAGAACCATCCCGAATCCTCGGGATCGAACAGAGGACTCATTGTGATCAGGTCAGCATCCTCTCCAAATCCTGTACTAGATGCATTGTATGGTGCCTGCGATTCAAGCTTTCGAGAACCAGCAAAGTCAACTGGACCAGAGATGGTGGTGGGATTCTCTTTCTCCACGATATCAGAAAATTCTGCCCACGTCCCGTGCAGCTTCTCGAGATAATACTTTGCACTGCGCTCCCAGATGCCGCGCCTTGGTTGTGATTTTGTCCATTCTCCTAGACGGTCAAAGAACTCGTAGTAATGACCAATATAACGAATATCCATTTCCCAATTCCAGAAGTGCTCATATTGTGGATTGCGTTGCGCAAACCACTGCAGTGGCATGTGAGAACTCCTGTAGACTCCGTAGAGGGGCTGTTCAGATCTGTTCAGCGTCTCATTGCAGAATGGGCCAGGGTAGACATGTTCCATTTGTTTCTCGGACCAAAGCGTGACCAAGCCACGGAACTCTGCTGGTACACTTTCATGACGGATCTGGTTGTACAACTCGTGCGACTCCCAGAAGCGCGCCGAATTGTTCTTAACGTGGACCAGTAGATGAACATCGTACTCGCCGCCTGAGCCCAGGGAGACTTCACTGATTAGCGCCCTGAGATTCTTTATAGCTTGGCGTGTGTATCGATAGCCTGTCCATGTTCGTAACACAATTGCTTGCCTGGGAAGCTGCGGCAAGGCATCTGCCGTTGCCGATGTCGTTGCGCCCTCGATATTAGATCGTAGGGTATTGTCGTCATAACATCTCTTCTGTGCAACTGCCCAATCGACATTGCTCCAATCTATCGGACTTCGCTGACTCTCACGATCGGAGAATTGAGCGCTTTCTGTCGACTGTGTGGCTGAGCCATAGGCTCCCAAACGACCATTGCGGTCGAAGCAGACGTCGTCGCGCAGACCAAGTACTTTATAGGAGCCGTAGAGAGGGTCGGGGTGGTCTTGCGGCATACCGAGATAGGCATACACTTTAGGGACGGCGACGGTTCGCGCATCGTTGAGGAAGCATTCTTGCATGAAACTTGGTCGGCCAGCAGTGTTTCGGAAACCGTGGTAGGGGGTGTATTCGACCAAGCGGTTGTGTATTTCCTGCTCTTTCAATTGGACAGTGGAGCTGTCATTTCTGGTCTGATCGAGAGACGCGGCGGCCTGCTCATGATGTAAAGATGGCACAAGGCTGCGAACGCCAGAATAGTAGCCGTCGAGCCTGCAGAGTAGCCATTAGCAGAGTCGGCCTCAGGATGGAGGCATGCACCCACAGAGGAAACTTCTCCCAATGCGCGCCAAAGAACAGCAGCTGAGCGCCTCTCCATGTCCGATCAGGGATATGGTAGAGCACGAGACACAGAATCAAGGCAGCAGCGGTAATATTGCGCAACAACCTAGCAGGTCGGTTGCAGAATGGCGACTGGAAGCCGCGCATTTGTAATTGTGCGGTCGAGGTGGGACGACCAGTCCTTATCTCGCACGAGAGGCGAGTAGCATGCGAAAATCACCATGTCGGGGGACCTACAAAGAAATGCTACAAAATACAGATCCATGTCGCGCAGGGCAGCGGTCTGCAAGCGCTAAGGCGCAGCAATTTCAACGCGTGTTCGTGAGATCATGTCTCCAAAACGAGAAAGGGGTCAGACATTGTGCGCGTCTATCGAGAATCCTACCCAGAGATACAAAGCAATCGAGTACTTGACTGCCCGTGCCCGCCTAAAAAGTTGGCAATGAATTGATTTGAAGTTTGAGGGTCGCTCGCTCTTTGGCTGCGTTTTGGGTGAGAAAACCAATGGATATGGCCGGAGTCTGAAGGCAGATCAAAGGCAATCGGCGCCCCCAGCCGTTCCCCGACGCAAATCGACGACGGGATGACGTCCGAGCTTTGATACGGTTGAGTAGACGAGCAAGCATCTGCAAAGGACTCGAGGAACATGCTTAGCATCTCTGATTGTTCAAATATAGCGTGAATGCGATGCCAGCATGGCACGATGGTCCGATGTTCGGCTCAAGAGTCGACGTCGAGCGGCCCAGACGTCGAGAAGGAACAAGATTTGGATGATAGCACGCCAGAGGCGCTCAATGTCTCGAAGGATGAATGCCGAAGCTGCCAATGGCAGGACGACCCTAGTCCATGCCGTGGATGGTTCATGGAAAGCGACACACGTGCTTCTGTTGCTTTTGTCGGCCCTGGGGGTGTTTGGTGAGCAAGTTACGGATCGCTCGAAACACGTGCGATCAAGACAAGCTCTCTCTGGGTCTTGGCCGAAATCTTGGCGGGAAGCTCTCTCCGGATGACGACGATGCTATGCACGATTACACTTTTTCTCCCGACACCGTGGGAATTATGTTCAAACCATGCAATTCGCGCCGGTCGTGGATGCTGCGAGCTGCCTGATATGGCCTGGGGGATCTGCCGTAGTCTGCCGAGACCTTGATGGCTGCTTTACTACAAATGTCTAGTCGTCGGCACTCCCAGATGCCAATCTGTAGACACCTGAGACTCCTTCGACTCGACCAAGATGCTCTCTTCTTTGTTCAACGTAGCTGCTCTGGCTCTGGCCGCCGATGTGGCCTCTGCTGCTGCCGTCAGCTCCATGAGCTCGGGCACCAAGACCAGCTCGGCCAGTGTCGTTTCCGACTCCAAGATTGCCGGCTCGACAACCAGTGATGTCTTCCCTCCTACTGGCAGTGAGTACTATGTTCATCTATCCTGCATGCAGTTCAATTGACAATCCTCAGCCAAGGTCAACACCTCAATCTTCCCTAATGAGTCCGAGGTCGGCTTCCCTGGACCTACTCCTACTGGTCTCGAGGGCGATGCCATTCAGACCGCTCCTCTCTACCCTTACAATTCGGCCGCTGCTGCCGCCTTCCCTCTGGCTGTGCCTCAACCTCACGGCTCGTCTGCCTTTGGCGACAAGTTCGACATTACAAAGTACTGGGGTAACCTCAGTCCCTGGTACTCGGTTTCATCTGCCGACTATGGTCTGGATGAGGCTAACCCCTTGATTCCCGAGGGCTGCACCATCAACCAGATGCTTCTGTTGTACCGTCACGGTGCTCGTTACCCCACCAGCGGCGCTGGTCCTTCCACTTTCTCCCAGAAGGTCCACAATGCCACCGCTTCTGGCTTCAATGTCACCGGTGAGCTGACCTTCTTGGCTGACTGGACCTACAAGCTCGGCGCTGAGCTTCTTACTCCCTTTGGCCGCAGCCAGAACTTCCAACTCGGTATCGAGTACCGTCAGCTGTACGGTGAGCTCCTCAACAACTTCACCGAGCAGGATGCTCTTCCTGTCTTCCGCACCGAGTCGCAAGACCGCATGGTCAAGACTGCCGAGAACTTTGCCGCTGGTTTCTTCGGTGTCCCTGAGTACTTGAACCAGGTCAACATTGAGATTCTTGTTGAGAACTCGACCGTCAACAACTCTGGTGCTCCCTACGAGGTCTGCCCCAACTCGAACATTGCCAGCCGCGGTAGCATCGGTAGCACTGTTGCCACAAAGTTCGCCAACAACGCTTTCAACGCGACCCTTGCTAGATTGAACTCTCAGGTTTCTGGAGCTCTCAACTTCACTTCCTCCGATGTCATTGATATGCTGCAGCTCTGCTCCTACGAGACCAACGCTCTTGGCTACTCCAAATTCTGCGGTCTCTTCACCCAGGAGGACTTCATCAACTACGAGTACTACTACGACTTGTCTTTCTACTACAACAACGGTCCTGGCTCGCCCGTCTCCGCTGCTCAAGGCAAGGGTTTCCTCGAGGAGTGGCTTGCACGCTTCACCCACACCTACCCCCCGGCCAACTCTGCCCTCAACAAAACTTACGACAACTCTTCGACCTACTTCCCTCTGAACCAGTCCATCTACGCCGATGCCACCCACGAAGTCGTCGTTCTCGACACTCTGACTGCTTTCAACTTCACCGCCTTGTTCAAGGGCGCACCTCTCAGCGCCACTGGCAATGAGGGCACCAACTCATTCGTTGCTAGCAAACTCGTTCCCTTCGCTACCCACTTCACCACCCAAATCATGACCTGCCCCTCCAGAAACGTCACCAAGCAGATTCGTTTCCTCATCAACGATGCTGTCATTCCTGTTTCTGACTCTCACCCTGGCTGCCCCGTCGACAAGGATGGTCTCTGTCCTTTCGACACCATGGTCAGTGTCTTGCAGAAGAGAGCCAACGAGATCAACTACAACTACGACTGCTTCGGCAACTACACCGCCACTGCTGGTAACAACTACAACGGCCGTGCCCCTACTTCTTAGACTTAATGTATAGCTATATCTTGTACAGCAGATAGAGATAATAGTAGTTGCGGTCTCGAGACCGAAAAAATATCTTGGCGGCTGAGACTCGCCCTCGTATTCTGAAATTGCTGGCACGTGCCCTTGTACCTCGATCGACTTATAAAGCATGTCTTCCCCAGATTCGACTGGGACCCCTACTGGTCAAGTTACGTCGTACCTTCTTTAGCAGCCAACAGTTTTCTTGACAAATTCAAGCAAATATCTGATCGCGTGTGAAGCTAATTCGACATGGCTTCACTTTCTATCGACTCTTTGTACCACGTCAGCGCGTACCTCAACGATCGCGATCTCCGCAACTTCTGCCTAGTCAATCGGCGATGTCACGAGTTTTCGAGGAAGCATTTGTATAGGACTATCACTATCAGCTTTTCCTCGTCGGAAACACTAAACTCTGCAGTGGATCAGTGGAGTTGTATACTGCAGAGAACGCAAAGTTTTCAGCATGTCCAGCATGTCAAAGTCCTCCCAAGCGACCCCTACCAAGATCCAATCGCTGGAGTATTAACGGATTGTGGAGATAATTGGAGGGAACCTTGGAGATATTGCTGGTCCCTTGGTCGAGAACAAAAAACTATCGAACAAGACTCAGAGTGGCAGGATTTGAGCTGTCTGATCAAAAAACTTCCAGCTTTAAAGGCACTCACATGGGGTTGCAGCGAGCAAATCCCCGCGTCTATCTTGAGATACGTGAATCAAACCCGGCCAAATCTTCGACTGCATATGCGAAACTTCATGTTACGTTGCCTGTTCCAGTTGTCTGCCGGATCCGTCGTCCTTGATCCCTATGAGGTTGAGTTGGCAACCTCGCCATGTCTCTATTCTCTGACAAAGACCTACGACTATCACCATCGAGGCCACAACCAAGCTGCAATCATGGATCTACTAGCTGGCGCGGCGCCGAACTTGCAGGAGATCAACATGACCTGGCAAGACGACAGTTATTTAAGAGACTCCCAAACACCGCAAGGGCCGATGTATAGATACCAGCCTGGCACTTTACCTGGTTCTTCCCCGTCACGTTTGGGTCGTCTAAAAAGTCTGAATCTTTTTGCAAACGGCTCGTCTTCTGTGATTCGCCGATGGAGCTCAATAACGGACTTTCAGTGCTTGGAGAGCCTGGAAGTGGTTTATTTGATGGATGATGATACGCTTTTCTGGTTGGCTTCTTGTCGCCTTTCTGCACTTAAGCATGTGTCCTTCAGTGTTGATTTCGGAGAGTCGAACACGGATGGACTAGAGGCTGCGAGCATGTTTATACAGTCCCTGGACTCTCTTACGAGCCTGAAGCTCAAAGGTCCTTTGAACCTACGTACGCTTTTGCCCACTTTCGACACCTGCGGCCATCGCTTACGACGTCTTCTCTTGGCCACTTCCGAACTACAACCAGGAGTAGAGAAACTTGCGAGCGTAGATCTTATCCTCGCATTGCGAGAAAGGTGTCCGCGACTAGAGGAGCTAGCTCTGAGTATCATGAGATCCCACGGAGATCAGAGCGAAGTCGCCATCTACAAAGCCTTGGGCACTCTTCGCTACCTGACCAAGATACATCTGGCTGTATACTATCCCCAACCAATCCCGTTACCTCGAGCCTACTACCTGAGGAACAAATTCGAGGACTATTGCACAAACGGGAAAGTTACAGACGAGCAGATCCACCTCACACTCGACAACGCAATCACAAACTCGGCCTTCGATCCAACCCTCGCCCAGTCAATCTTCCGCACCATCTCAAAGTCAAAAGCCGAATTCTCCTGTCCTCTTGAACGCTTGTCGTTGCGTGTGCAAAAGGTGGATACTTACCCACCATTGAGAGACTTACTTGCTTACATCGGCCGCTCATGGGTTTGTACCCGCAACGAGCGGGATGATAGACCGCATGAGTGTTTCGTCAGTGAGTATGATGATGCCGAGTATAAAATTGACAGAGAGTATATTGAGGTACATAACGAGTATCCCAAGTTGAAGAATGCAGTGATCGCTCAGGCCATCTATCGTATCTGGCCTGCTGCTGAAAGAGGAAATTGGGTGAAGGAATGGCGGAGCTTTCCACTTGCTGGTTCTCAATAAGGTGTGAGGGCAATCTGAGGGGCTTGCTTGATCAGACTGTACTGTTCTGATAGCGCGGGAAGAAGACTCAAATATTCAAACGCCATCCGAAACGTGTTGTATTGCCCAAAATCTTCATCAGAGTTTGTCGATCACGAAAGCGTTGCTTGTATGCGAGAACACGGAGGAATGATGAATTATCATGGTAGATGCTTGCACTATGGCGCCCGTTTGCCATGTTTTTGGACGTTGCTCAAGACTTGGGTCCCCATTGCGAGACACTTCAGTCTCTTCATGATATTCAGCGGATTCAGCGATTAGATTTGGTGGACTTTTTGCTAGCTCGACGACGGCGTCTTGCTTGGTTGCGGTTTGGAACAGCACGCGTGTCCGACTCAATACACCGGACTGCCTCTTCAATCACAACGATTATGGCTTCCACGCGAGCTATGCTGCCAATAGCATCACACCATTCACCTCATTACCATTCTTTCCATGTTGACTTGAGTTGGATCTAGCATATGACCTCGTCCGATAAGGTGGCCTTTCTGTATAGGAGCGGTACTTCTTAACCCCAACAGTACTTCCTGATACAGAATCGATGGGATTATGCAAGCGACCACACAACTTGTCTGTATAGAGAGGGTGGAACGCGTACAAAAGATCCCCTCAAATGACTCGAAGCCTCCTAACCTTTTCACTAATGTATTTGCTCGAGGAGCGGTAAAAGTCTTTCGGCATAATGGCAATCCATCCGAGCAGAGGTACATAGCCGCGAACAAGACCAATGACTTCGTTTCTTGCGACGGTAAATCGCCCACGGGGATAGAGTGCAACATCATCTGCCTCATTGTTGTCGCCTTTGGTCAGAAACAATTGCCTGTCTTCCGGTCAGCCACTTCTCATGATGCATAAATCTGGCTTCGCTTACGTCGGCTTGTGCTCGATCATTTGCCAGTGGACTTGGATTGCGCGGTGGACCATCGGAAATGGATGACCAGTAAACCAGACGACTGGTATATCCCCCACCTGAATCACTTCTTGTCGATTATAAAGCAAAAGGATATCCCCCCGATGAAAAGCTGGGGCCATAGATTCCGAAATGACCACAATGATTGGGCAAGGTGAATTTGTTGTCAGACATAGAGCTTGCCAGAGCATGAATGTACTACTCAGAGCCATGATAACTAGCAGAAACACGTTAAGACACCGCCTCATTTCTTCGTGTGCTTGAGGAGTGTGCCACGTGGAGTGAGAAGGAGAATGTGCTGTGAATCTGACCGTCAGGTATTTGTCTTGTTTTGTTTGAATCAGCAGAGCTCCACACAGTGTCCATGCCCGTTGGACATGACCAGTAGACGATGGATTTATCTTGGCTGATACAGTTATGCCCACCTCTTACTTGATTTCATGTTGTGCTATGAGAGCACTTTAGCTTGTTGTGGTTTTATTGATGGTCTAATCAAGCGAGGTAACTTCCCATGCGGTCAAAGCTTTGGCCAGTAGCAGTAAATCAAACACGAATGAAAATTGCCAAGACGGTAAGAAATCCGGTGGTGTTCTATATGATCTTTGATGATTTGTGACTTTGTAATCTCTGCTCCTGAGACACTTTAGCTAGTGAAGTAGGAGTGAGGTTTAATCTTTATGCTAGTTCTTGTACCCTCATGCGTGGGAGTCAACGAGACGATCAATGGTGATCAAGGTAGGGCGAAAGTAACGCTCAAGTCAATAACAGATCTCAAGATGCCTGCACCAGATATTTCGATGCTCAAGCAACCAATTGCGCTCCGTACTGAGCTCGTCGCTCAAGCTCCTGAGACGCTGCTGGTCAATCAGCATAGTGGTGGGCTGTCAAGCGCTGATTTCTCTATCGTTCGCGAATCAGATCATGCGCTTCTCGTCTCAGTTGGTGGAAAGCTATTGTCTTGGACGCAAAGACGGACCTTTCGTGACGCGTCTGGACTCCCTTTATTTGACCTCTATCGAAAAGCTACAGGGGTAACTTGGTTTGTTGAACTGCCAGAGGAGCGAGGTAGCGAGCCTATCATGACTCTAGCACCAAGGACCAGCGTGTTCAAGGACAAGCTCGACTTGTTCGTGCACAATGCGGCAAATCAAGGCGAAGTGGTCAATCTTGAGGTCCGCGGGCAAGACATCTGGAAGATGAGAGTCAACGTGTATCTCGGCGATCAAGTTGTCATGTCCTCAAAGCGCACGGAGAAGCTGGCTGGCTACATTCCTGGAAAGAGACCCGACTGGAAAGTCAACATAGCCGAAGGATTCGATGCTTCTTTGGTAAGTGTTCCCACTGTAGCGTTATCAAGGACCATGTCTCACATCTGATATAGGCAGCGGTAATCATGGTTGTCCTGGCTGCTACTCTTTACGATAGCAGTATGACAACATCTTTTTCTACTGCGGTTATTGCTGGTGGATCAGGATCAGCTACCACTGGCAGTTGAGAATGCCGCCGGTACCGATAGCGAATGTCTGTTCAGGGTTATGTGGTTTTGAGTCGTTGATAGCATGTCTGATCGCTGCTTTCGGATATGTCGAAGCTGAACAATATTTGACACCGTAAATTCGTTTATGCCACAGTCTCGGACCGCAGGATTTTGGACTGCAAAGATCATGATAAAGGTATTGAGATGAGAGTTCGTCGCGAAGCTCAGGAATGAAATAAGCTCCCTTAATTCCTTCGTCAACTATTAGAGACTCTCACGAACCCGCCTGATAGAGTGAATGAAGAGGGACTTGAGCCAGGGACAAGAGGATTTGAGCATGACGGCGTACTTGGCGACCCACAGTCAAACCCATATGTCTCTTCCTGCGGAAGGATTGATATTCAACCACGCTATTGCGCCGTGGGGCTATTGTGGATCGAACGGTACTGTACCATGTCAACCAGCGCATCTGAACCTACAAGATCATCCGTCCGAAGCTTCCTGCTCAACCGCACGGCCAACTCTAAGCATGAGTGTGACCTCGAACCAGTCTAGCACGCATACCGGGGCTCCACAGCGTTACTCATGTGATGTCCATGAGCGACCCGTGACTTGTGATATCACGCCCCAGAGGCCAATGGTTCAATATAAAAAGGACACTCTGAGCAGCTCGATGGAGAGATATTTCCTCTTCCACATCTCCAATCAAGACATCCCCCAAATACTTCTCTTCCAAGATTAGCAAACATGGTCTCCACCAAGTCTACTGGCATCTCGGTTGTGGCCCTCATTGGTCTCATTCAGGTTCGTATCCTCTTTTTCTTTTTTTTTTTTCTCGTACACTGATTGCTGAATGTGCCGTCAGATGTGCCCAGCCCCATTCGCCGCCATTGGTCCTATCGTTGGGGTGCAGTCACGGGTGCTGTCTCGGGAGCTGTGAACGCTGCTGTCAACCGTAGAGAGGTTGCAGCTGCCTTCATGGGTAAGCGTGACTTGCCTCCCGGTATCTCACAGGAAAGCATCGACCAGTGTGTCGATCAAATCAATGGACAATTCAACGATGCTGGCATTACCGTCAGCGTTTACCGCACCAACGATAATGGTATGTTAATTCAAAACATAAATCCCTTGGCCGCATCTCTGACTCAATTCGTGAACAGCGGCACAGGCTGACAACGTGCCTCCGGCTTGTATGAACCTTGCCACAGTCCTTACGGGTGACCCAGCCCAGACTGGTGGACCCCTACCTGTCGTTCTTGGGACTTCGAGTCTCCAGTACCAGAACCTGAACGAAGAACAGTTCCAGGAGCTCCAGAGTGCCCTCGACGGATCAGCCTAAGACATGCCCGATCCAACCATAACAAGCCCGAAGATTTGCGAAGATACATCGCAAAAGTCACTCTTTTACCTAGAAGATCAAAAATGAACAAGATACCGGCCTCAGTCCAACCATTGGTGTTGTGAATATTTTTCCAAATCGCTATGACAAAATCCTCCACGGGGCACCTGCAAGCTTTTTTGTTCTATTAAAGCAACCAAATCCATGGTTAATGCCTTTGAATCAAACTTCGATTTCGTGGGTGATAATGATGTAAAACTGTTATGCTGAATCGAACACGCTTTTTGTGGAGCCACGCTATGAACGTGTTTCGAACAACAAACAGCACCGCGTCATCACATGAGACTCGGACCCACCAATGCTACAAGCCTATGAGAGACATAAGTAAGCCTTGGCCCTCGGTCATGGTACTCCATGCTCTTTTCCACATCCATCAAATCTCTTGCTCTACGTCCACCCTCCTTTGGTGATAGTTTATACTCCACTTTTTTCACAATGGTTACGGCACAGTCATCAAATCAAGCCAAAGCCATAGCGAAGCCGATGATGTACCTGTTATTCTCCATTCTCACGTTCTACCTGGCGGTGACTTGCTATCTCCGGAGTACAACGTCGAAACTAATGTTACATACCATACTGATCACATTCGCATGGCTATCATTCACCAACATGAATGATCTCGTACCACCGCTGGACATGATGTGGGGGTTGATGATGGCTGTTTGGATCTCGCACTCGGCGTCTCTCTTATGGATCGAGCAGAACCTTCTCGAGAGTATCATCCACAATGAATGTTGTGCTCTAAGTATGTTCTGCTGCTGTCCGTCTCATCAAAACCTTAGATCACTTTGGTATGACTGGTCATCGATTCGAGAATTGAGCTAATTGGCGATGTCGACTAGGAACAACCCGCGTCTGATCGGGACTTCCAGGCAAATATCCAGAACTCGCACCTTGGGTTCTCGTACAAGCTTATTCAGATTCACCTTTTGGCGTTTCGGGAAAATCGTTGCCTATATATTGTTTTCCAGCCATATATTGCCACGCGTCTTTCCAAACGCATTTCTGCCGATTCAGCTGGATGAATTCAACCCCGTACACGAGATCTTCGTCCGCCGATTGTGGTTCTTTCGTACCGTAGACAAACCCCCGATATCTTTGCGTGAGATTCTCATGCGAGCGGTGTGGGCAGTCTACTGGGCCTGGAGTACTTTCGCGTTTCTTGATGGAATACACTCAGCATTATCGATCATCTGCGTATCAGTCATAGGCTTCGATCAACCTGAAAATTGGCCTCCGTTGTTCGGAACCCTTGCCCAGGCCTATACAATCAATCGCTTTTGGAGCCGCTTCTGGCATGGTTTGGTCGTGCGTCCGTACATGAACTTTGGATCATATCTGTCTCGAAATATCCTTCGCTTTCCTCGAAGATCTCTCGCATATCGAGCCTTGGTCCCATTGATCGTCTTCTTCTTATCTGGACTATCTCATGCAGGAGTTGCGCGGCAGCTGGGTGACGATTGTGGATGGACGCGCGACATCACATGGTTTCTTGTTAATTACTCCGTGGCGATGCTAGAGATCGTAGCCGCAGCGATGTTGCGGGTTGTGGCTATCCGATGCGGTAGTGAGCGTCAGATCCTGCGACTGCAGAACAGCAGATATATGAAGTTCCTGGGATCTTGCTGAGTTTATCTGTTCTTTTTTTGGTCGGTACCACGATGGCAATATCCAAAGATGAACTGCGCAATACATAAGGAACTCGCGCGGATTACAGAGACGGCATAATCTCATAGTGTCGGAAGATCTTGTCTAAATTCATGAGGATGGTACAACCAGTCTAGTTTGAATAACATGTGTAACGAGAGATACCGTTCCAGCCATCAACAGCGTTGTGGTTTCTAGCCGATGTTTTGACTCATAGCATCAAGAAAACCCTGCTCATCTGTGGTAGAGCTTCTCCCCAGAGCCACGTTCCTGTAAGGAAATCGTCCAAATCGTTTGATGGCGTCGTAGTGCTCATCGACCGCCTTTTGAAGTACTGATCTGCAGACCTCAAAGTCTTTCTTCCTCTCCAGCACACATGTACGCAAAGACTTCGCAACATCGTCTTCTGTGTCGAATTCACCTTTCATCAACAAATCCATATCCTTGAACCTTTGTTTCTGCTCCTCGACCATGAGTTCCTGCATTTCCAAATCCTCTGCGTGTTCCATAGGCATGAAGAACCAAAGTCTGTATCCCAATCGAAACCGCACTACTCGATCCTGATGCATACCCAGCTCCCTTGCTCTAAGCGCAATTGTACGAGCCAAAGGGTCGAAGATCCTCGTCACTTTTGCGGCTTCCATTCCGCGATAGCAATTTCGCGGCATTTGGTCGAGGAGGATAATCAGTGACATCCACTCGAGCGTTGTGTTTGGATTTGCAGCTGTGAGGATGTGTTGCGCGCTGGCTTGTTGCGAGGCTATCAGATCGAGGATGGAGCCAAATTTTTTGCTGTAAAGCTTTGCATTAGAATTTTCAGTCGGCTGCTGGCAAGTGCGGTCGCTCTCGACGAGTCAAAGCATACCGGCAATCGTCGTCGTAATCATCGCTTTTGTCCACAAACCAGACATTCAGGTCTTCTATGCTGGGAACGACGGTATGACTTGGATCCGACAGATGAGAGAACCAGAAGTCGTGTACCGAGTTTAGGACATCCGGAGTGAAAGCCTCTCTCAAAGTCTTGAGCGGATCTGTCTCTGTCATTGTTGGAATTGGCAGTCAACCCTGATAGTCAATGCCAATGGTTCTTTATATTTAATGTCAAGGCAATGACAAGAACACGTGGACCCTGCAACGTCATAGAGCAATGCCAAGCAGATCCGGAACATGCCAGGGTTCTCCTGCTGACGAGTTTCAGAACATGAGCGACGACCAAAAGTCTAGATGCTACAACAAGGATAAATTTCAAGAAGCTTCCCGAGTCAGAGGCTAGTTCAGATATCATGACTTAGCTTCAAGTTCAGCAGCTCCGAAGTTGTTGATTGTATCATGAGTTTCAATATTCGTTTTTGTCCATGCGTTAGTGCATACGCATACGCCATTGAGCCAAAAGCAACTGACACTCAAGAAGTGGAACCGGTCTCATTCCAGACGCACAGGTATGAGAGTGAGCATCAAGAACTTCGACCTAACATAATTTCACTGACAATCTCTGTGGTCCCTATTGGAGAGGCATTACAGTGGCGATACTAGATAGATGTCAATCCTTATCTAAGGTTTCGGAAGGAAAGCTACTCCTCTCGGAAGGTGAACTCGTGACCCTTATCCCCCGCCTTTGCGAGTTTCCCTGATAGAGCCAAGTCTCGTGTGCTCGACACGCTCAAGATATCTTGCCTATCTGACATACTCTAACTCTTTTCTAACACTCTTGATCTGTTCTTGCGAATCATCATGCCTCGACCGAAAATCCGACCGGAGAATCGACAACGAGCATACAGGGCTTGTGCTTCGTGCAAGGCATTAAAGAAGCGATGCGACTCGCATCATCCGTGCTCGACATGTGTGCGGAGGCGGCGGGCTTCCTCGTGCTCTTATGACAATGATGAGCCTGCACCAGGCACCTCGCAACGCAATGGATCTCCTCGCACCGTCGCCTCAACAGAAGCGCAACATACATCACCGACCACCGAAGTGGCGGCAGAGCCGATACGCGTGGATCAATGTTTGACACCCGGAGCTAGCCCCAACGACACAAACAAAGAGCCTCCTGGACCCCAGGTTCCCGAGAGCCGCATGTTGCTCAACTCCAAGGGCGAGAGAGGTTCGCATTTGTGATCTGAGAACGAATGCTCAATGATGGCTAACCCACGCATAGTATTCGTGGGCAAGATTGCGTCACTATCTTTTCTGCATTTCCTGAGAAGAGTCCTCAAATGGCAAATGGGTCCGAACTCTTTTACCGAATATGCGCGCGAGAATGTCATGCTGGAAGCTGGTGACCTTACTGGTCGACTCCAAGCTTCACCAGGCAGTGAACAAGCCGAGGAAAGATCATTAATCGATTGCTTCTTCGCAGCTGTGAGTTTTGGAATGTTTGGTGCAAACGGACTTGCACTGATATAGTGGTAGACAAACGGAATCCTTCATCTCTACACTCGCGAAGAGATGATGTTTATCATGTCCAATGTCAATGACGTGAGCTCGAAAAGTTATCGTGAAGACAACGCAGCGATAAACCTCGTCATTGCGATCGGCGCGCAGTGCAGAGGTTTGAATCAGAGTGATCTGCAGATTGCGGCCAAATACTTCGCGATGGCTCAGAAGGCGGCCTTCGAAGGCATGCTCCAGGATCCAAGCATCAATATGGTTCGAATATTCCTGCTGATGGCATTCTATATGCTTGGCGCTTGTCAGAGGAACGCAGCTTTTATGTACATCGGCGTCGCGTCTAAAGCTGCATCTGCACTTGGTCTGCATGTGGCTCCGAGACACCGATGCTTTGATGAGGAAGACCAAGATCGAAGGTGTGTCCATCAACTGAATTCTCACTCCGACCGACCATATATTCTAACCTCTGTCCCCGAAGGTCACGCACATGGAAAAGCCTTTGCATCCTGGATCTCCTAGTAACCTCCATTCTCGGCCGCTTATCCTCTTCACCAACAAGCAAACTCGAGTTCTCGACTTCGACCCCTTCAGAGAGCTCTACTGAGAGCTTGGCATTCGAGGCAGTCCACGACGAATGTGCAATGATTGGCGACATGGTTAACAACCTCACTCAAAACGGAGATCTGGATGTCACGTCTGCAGAATCATTCCTCCAGCGGCTGAGTGAGTGGAACCGAGGTCTCCCACCCCAACTACGAAAGTTCGAATGTAACGACAACATACTACTTCCGCAGGACCGTGAGCTGGCCATTGGAAGGATACATGTTGCTTGCGTATACTATTTCGCTGTCATGTTGGCAACGAGACCTTTTCTCATTCGTCACTCGATGTCAAAACTTCACAAGAAGGGCGGCATGCAGAACAAGCAGGTCAATGCTGAAGCAAGACTCGCCGAGGTCTGCGTCGATTCCGCCATATTCATGGGCAAGATGACTCACGAGGCCTTGAGAGCTGATCTGCTTCTATGCAACATGTGCATGCTCAAGTCAGTCACCAATCTTTATCCAAAATTCCACAAGATCTTGAAACTGACCCCAACAGGGCCTGGATGTTTGCAGCAGGACTCGTGCTCGGATTCGCAATATACGTAGACGACGCCGTGCGAAGAGACATCGAAGAAGCCTTCTCTGAAGTCCGCAACGTCCTCAGAAAACTCTCCGACCTCAGTCCTCAAGCTGAAGAGTACTACGAGATCTTGAGTTCCTTCTCCGATGCCATTAATGCGCACCGAGACGAACTCTCCCGAAAGCGCCGCGCAGCAAACCAACCATTTGTCAGTCAAATATTGACATTTGAATCCGATCAAGCAACAAACGAATCTGCGGATACACAGATGATGGAGTTTTCGTCGACGAACTTCAATTACGATCTTTCGGATATGATTGATCCTTTGGGTCCACAGATACCTGACGATTTGGATATGATCTTTAACTTTGAAGCAGGAAGCGATGCGTCGTTTGGGATTCCTACGGACTTTAGTGCTAATGTTGAGCCTTTGGGGATGTTCTTTGGATCGATATGAAATATCAAGATGTCGAAAAATGATGAAGGGTTTCTTCCTCTCTTCGCTTCAAAAATGTGATGTACGATAACGAATCTTTGGAATTGTGGTATTCAGCGTCTTATCTTTAGATGTGATGCGGAATAACGCATCTTGAAGATGATGGCTTTCAGTGTCTTGTGCTTGTAGCTGATAAGTGGCGAATACAAGTTTGTCAAATACTCTGAAGACGTTCCCGTTTATTTGCATTCATGTTCGCAGAAACAATACTTGATTGCGATATAGACATTTTACTTATCATCTACCTCCCGCACCTTGTAATCAAACATGAGATTAGACTCCACCGAATTCTCGTTCGTCAACTTCAATGCCGTATCTGCTCCAGTAGCAGGAACCCTATACTCAAAGCGCTTTCCTGGAGCTGGCATCTTCCCATCTACAGCGTAAGGAAAAGTGAGATACTCGGGAAGTAGTCCCAGCTGTATCAGAACGCTCGCCTGGTCCCACCAAATATGCTCATGGTAGAGCTTGTCGCCTCGAATGTTGACAACTCCTGTAAACGGCACGCGAACTTTTCTGCCTGTTGGAGGAACACCTGGCAACCTGATTTTCAACATCTGTCAGCCATGTACATAGAAGTGCCTTGTTGCAAAGTCAACTTACAGCCAATCGATAACTTTATCGTGAGTAAAGTTGAAGATGAACTCATCAATCACTCTGTCAATGCCTACAGTCCTGCTAACAAGCTCCAATGCCGTGTCATCAGGGTTGTTGAAGATAAAGTGGTTTCGGTAAAAGTCAGTAAGTTTGACTCTGCCAATACCACCAGTCAAAGTTGGGACATGGTTGACATAAGGTTCTTGAACCATCGTGGCCATGGTCTTCTCTACTGCACGTGTTTCGAACTCGTAACGAGTATGCTCGTCCCAGATAGCTTCGAGATCGAAGAAAGGTCCGCCGAGCGAAGATTTCAGAAAAGTCAATGAGCGGGTGTGAGAGACGGCGGCTGAGGATGAGTCAAAGGCTGAGTGCGATGGCAGCACAAAGAATGGACCGGCCATTGGATAGGTATACATCTTGTTCGGTTCCTGGGCTGGAGCGGCTGGTGCTTGGCCTGCCACATGGGCAAGATGTGGCTTTGAAGATAGAACTGGGTGACCTTCTCCATAAGACACAACCGCAGAAATCTCGGCTGCTTTATCAATGAAGCTCGAGACCTTTGCACCATTCTTCGTGTTGAGACAAGCTGCAGCAGATAATTAGTCTACGGCTATGATTCAAAGTATCTTTGCTTGAAATACATACAAATGAGACCAAGCCCTTGCTTGCCATCGTTGGCGGGATGTACTTGCAAGGCGGAGATAGTATTGGAGAAGTCCGAGGCGAAATCACTCTCACCCGAGACCATCAACTCTGCCACGAGATAACCCTCTTCAGCCCATTTCAGACGTGGGCAGGGGTCAAGATGGTTATTGCTTGTGATCTGGGACGCTGAAGGACTATCGACAAGCAATAGGAGGCCTGGTCCTTTGCCCGGCCTTGTGAGTGGGAGCTGGATAATCATGCTAGATGTTTGTTGTTGGCTTGAAGTTGAAGGCATGCTTGTGCCATTGACTTCGACGGCTGTCATAGTTGTGCAGTTTGAGTTCAAGGGAGTGTTGTGATCGTGATTGATATCTCAATTTGAGAGAGATTTGTACTGATTGATTGATTGCTTGACCTGATTGAACCACGATTTCTCTTTTTGTACTCAATATACAGTCGTGTGCTTTGAAGACATATGTATACGCCGACAGTCGTGACGTTCACCAATCACTTGGAGTTTCGGAAGGTCGAGGTCAGATCAACCCTCTGATAGACTTACCTCATCCGCCTATCTCCTCGCGATAAGTGCGCGGCCCGCGCACCTTCGACAAGTCGTGGTGTGGCTCCCGCTATCGGCCCCAAGACCCCGCAATTGCCAAGCCCTGCCTGAACCCTGGTTCAGGACCTCGGCTCGGCTTGATAGGCTACCTTTGGCACGATTAGACTTCCAGATAAGTAATCACTGATGATCTGAGGCATTTTCACCATATTGGAAATGTACGCATGATCTTCAGAGGCCCGTCGCTTCCTATCGTTACAGGTTTACGAATTGATTGAGTACGAACCCGGGTACTGTGCATCGGGAGTGTCGATCAAGACCCTTCGGACCGAGTCATATCGGAAGGTGCATTTACGACGGAAAGTGGCGGGGTTGCTGGACCCTGAAAAGACAGCTATCAAGACTCCACAGCTTCGACTCCGTCGGAAGCTGTGATCTTTCGTAAAAGCGTGCTCAATCCTTTGTTTCCCCTACACATTGAACATATCCCCTTCACTCCAATCGCGCGTCTCTGGTAACCACATTCCCACGACAAAATGACAGACAAGCTTGAAGACGTGCGCCCCATGTTCGAGTTGAAGGGACGTAATTACATTGTCACCGGCGGAGCACAAGGCATTGGTTTTGCAGCAACACGAGCTATCTGTGAGATGGGCGGCAATGTTGCTGTTCTGGACATCCAAGCAAAACCTATCGACGAATTTGCGACCTTGAGCTCGAAATACGGCACCAAGACTATCTATATCCAGACGGATGTGACCAAGCAGGACAGCCTCAACGACTCATTTGCCAAAGCTCTCGAGACGCTGGGCACGATTGATGGTTGCGTGCCAGCAGCTGGTATCGCTATAGACAAGCCTTTTGTGGACCAAACTTGGGAGGAATTCACAAGGATTCAAGAGATTAATGTGAGTTACTTCGACATTTCGAAAATCTGAAGTATGGACAGTACACTAACGCGTACAGGTTCGAGGAACATTCTTTATGGTACAGCTTGTAGCCAAGCAAATTATCAAGCAGGGTACCAAGGGCAGCATTGTCATGATCGCCTCACAATCTTCCCACATTGGCTTGCCAGGCTATCGCATGGCAGCCTACAACGCCTCGAAGGGTGGTGTCTTGATGCTAGCCAAAGCATTGGCTGTGGAACTGGCCAAAAACAGCATTCGCGTAAACACCATCTCGCCAGGTTTCGTGGATTCAGAAATGACTAGAAATGTTCGCGCATCGAAGAGTAAGCGAGAAGGAGATCAGATGTGGCTGGCTCCACCACTTCGCCAACTCAGCACTCAGAATGATTTGACACCTGCTATCGTCTACCTCCTTAGCGATGCATCTAGGCACACGACTGCTGCTGATATCCAAATCACCGGTGGTCTGCATGCCGGAACAATTGATGGAGTGATTAGCCACGATGACTAGATATTTGAAAATCAACAAAAGATGGTTTGAAGCTGCAAACGTTCGGAGTTGATAGTGTGACTTCTAGCCACAGATGAGCTTTTTGTGTGACGGTGGAGTTCTGCAATGATGTCTATATGATCCACATGGTTGCCGAATTCTTGCAGGGCTTCTAAAGCACGTCTCCAAAGCTAGAACGGCCTTCTTTGTTTTGGTCCAAGCACCAGTCCCGATGTGCACAGACAACCATTGGTCTGACACGCGAGCTGACTCGGGGAGAATTGACATGAGTCGTCAACATGCAAGGTCAACACGATGGTTGGTAGCAGGAACAGCATGAGGTATCGGAAAGGATGAACGCTTGGAAGTGGAGTAGCACGGATATAAGTTGAGAATGGAATTATTGACTATATACATTTACTTCACTAGGGGATGCTTGTCAGACCACTCGTCGTAGACTCCTGCATAATCCTGAGGGGTATACGGAGAAGTCAGTTCTGCAAAGAGAGAATCCTTGCGATGGTTCCTGACTCCCAGATCTTTCAGCAGCATGTCGACATACGGAATGCCCTCAAACACAAAGTCAGGAAGACTAGCACCATATCCACAAGGGTATCGCCATTTGCCCCACTGAGTGTGCAGCATGACTTCTTGAATGACTTCTTCTCTTGTCCTGGCCACACGATCGAGCTTGTTGTCGAAGTGAGCAGAGATCCACATGCCCTGGGTAGCCGCACATATCGCTGTACTGACGGAGGAGATCATGCCTGCATAAGCCAAGTTTCGCTTCTCGAGATAAGCTGATGGTACCATGAAGCGATAGTTACGCAGAGGATTGGCTGGTGGGGGTTCGAATCTGAGCTGTGGCTGTTGAGCCAGGATAGGGAACATATCCAGCACCTTCTTGTCGAACTGAGCGTTGACCAAGGCTTGTTCTTCCTCGGAAAGTCTCAAACTCAGATCATCGGCCTCTACGCCCTTGAACTTGATTGTTGACTCCTTCTTCCATCCAGTCGAGCAGATCAAAGCATCTGCGTCTAGCATTTTTCCGGAATCGAGTACAACCTTACCAGGTTCGAGATGATCAATATTCTCCACATGGACCCGAATTTTTCCTTGTTTCACCATGTCGAACAAAGGAGTATCATAGTTTAGGATGCTCAATCCACTTCCGATCCAGAACACAGGATGCCAGGGCTGGAGTTTTTGCAATTCGGGATGCGACTCGTATTGGTTCGCTGTCAGGACATCGCCTCCCAGGACTTTCCAAAAAGTCCTGACGATGAATCGACCAAGAATTGTGCTGTGTAGGAAATTACGGGGGCCGGCATAACCATCTTCGCTACCCCAAGGACAAGGACTGAACCAAGTCATGAATCTGACGTTGAGAATCGTGTCGATACGCTTCTTTAGAGGTGTGACATATCGAGGCGTGATCCAAACCGGGCCGTGACCGTTGGGACGAATGATGAGATCCACTGTCGAGCCGGTTTCTACCATTGCATAAGCCACATCGTAGGCAGATTTCGCACCGCCGACGACAACAGCATTCTTGACATCTTTCAGCTTGGGTGCCATAGTGCAGAAGTCTTTGGCATGGAAGAAAGGCTTGTTGAACTGTTCCGAACCAGCGTAGACAGGCATGTTGGGAGTCGACGTCAGCCCAGTTGCCAGGATCAATCTTTTCGTCTCAACGACTTTCTGGCCTTTCGGTGTTTGTGCTGTAAGCCTCCAACCATCTGATGGAGTCGGCTCGACCTGGATAACCGTGGTTTGGAATTGAAGACGTTCTAGAACTCCAAAGTGTCGAGCGAAATCTGTCAGATAGCGGTTCAATACTGCTCCAGGAATATGGCCACCTGGCTTGACGCCATAGACTTTAGAATCCATTGGGAAGTCGGGGTATTCATAACTTCCAAGCATGTTGTTGGATTTGAGTCCTGGATAAAGTCTGGCTTTGGACCAGGTGCCACCCACAGTCTCATTGCTCTCTAGTACAGCAATCTTCTCATGTGGGTGGTTTTGGATGTATGCTCGAGCAGCAGCGAGACCAAACCAGCCTGTATCAAGAAGCGTTAGCTTCAGACTCTTCGCTTCGTTTACCTCAACGCGAGGCGATCACGTATGGACCTACCTGAACCTACTACGACGAGATCGTAGGATTCCGTGATGTCGTCGATTTGTGACATGCTGTAGTACAAAAGGGATCTATGCAAAAATTGTTTTCTTGAGGTATAAAATGAATGACCGATATATGCTGGGAGTAACACAGCAGCTCGAATCACGAATATGCGGGGATATAAGAGTTCTAAAGCGTTGGCTAGGGCCCTATCTACGGAGTAGCAGGTCCCGATAAGGACCCTTACTGATTCTAATGCTGTAAACTCCGGTTGCCGATAAGGACTCACTGCCCCCTCACCTATCGCTGCGGCTCGTCTTGGAGTTTGAGCCACGCGGAGGAGATCAACATTCCCCGCACTGTCGGCTAAGGGTTATCCAGAGGCGGTCCGCTCAGCCGCTGCCAGTGCGAGTCCCGTCGTTCATCGTGTTCAGCATACTACAGATGGTCTTGGATGAACAACGGAACAACAATAACGCGTATGAGGGGTTGCATACTTGCAACTACCTACGCAGCAGATCCTAGCGGAACTGGTGTCGTGCCTATCACGAGCCAAGTACGAGCGCTCTCACCCCACACGTCAATGTCGGCAAGTGTCGGGCCGCCGTCAACTCATCTTCTGTCAACCTTCCGACAAGAGCAGTGGTTGAAACAGTAATGTGATTGTTTGGAGAATGTCTCGATGCGCTTAGTTCCATCTGAGTAGGCAACCGATATGCTCCCGATAAAGGGTAGTCAACTACTTTTCTTATATCATGGTACTTTCGTCAACGTAAGTACTGCTTGGAATCAATTCATCTTTCGACTTTACTTCACTTGACTGGCATTTTTGGACAAGTGTTTCACTTCGAATCTATAACGCACATTATCAAGCTCATCATGGATTCTCCTCAATCAGGATGGAGACGTCTCAACGTCGGAGTTGTGGGAGGCGGTATTGGTGGTATGTCCGTGGCTATCGCAATGCGCCGCGCTGGCCATGATGTAACCATCTACGAGCGAAACGATTTCGCAGGAGAAGTCGGTGCATCTGTGTCCTGTGCTGCCAATGGAACTCGTTGGTTGCACGAATGGGAAGTCGATGTGGCCAAAGGAGATCCCGTGGTGTTGCAGAAGCTTATCAATCGCGACTGGAAGACTGGAGAGCCTGTCAGTGTCTACGATCTGGACGACTATGAGAAGCGATGGGGCTATGTCTACAACATGTTCCATCGCCAATACATGCATCGCATGTTGAAAGATACAGCTCTGCAAGAAGAGAAGGCCGGAACTCCTGCCAAATTAGTCGTCAATCATCCTGTGAGTATTCATGAAATCAAACGGGTATCTCCGAGACTGACTGATGTCGTAGTGCAAAGACATTGATTTCGACACTGGCACAATCACTTTCACCAATGGCGCTTCTGCACAACACGATGTGATTATTGGAGCTGACGGCATTGGATCCGTCGTCAGAAAAATCATTGGCTTGAACCCAGTGAAACGACCATCTGACTCAAGCTGCTTGCACTGTAATGTCGACACTGACGAAGCCGTACGCCATGGTCTCGTGGACTACTCTCAGAACAGCGCTCTGGAATACTGGGGCGGCCAAGAAGGAAAGTGGGACAAAATTGTGCTCTCACCGTGTAATGGTGGTAAGCTGCTCTCCTACTACTGTTTCTTCCCACGCAGTATGGGCGACTATGTGAACCAAACGTGGGGTGGCGAGGACCGACCCGTCGAAGAGCTTCTCAGTCCTTACCCGAATCTCGACCCTCAAGTCAAAGCACATCTCGCCATCGGCAAGGACATCCAACCCTGGCGTTTGTGGGTGCAGTAAGTGATTATTCAGACGAGACAAACTTCCAACCATGCTGACCGAAGTGCCAGCGAACCTTACGAATTCATCACGCGCGGTCAGATCTGTCTACTCGGCGATGCGGCTCATCCAGTATGGCAATCCTACATATTGTACAGTGTTGAAATATAGCTAATGACCAATAGATGATGCCCCATCAGAGCCAAGGAGCCTGTATGGCCATCGAAGATGCAGCAGCTCTCGGCATACTTTTCAGTCCTTCATACTTCGACGGTAACATCGCTCAGACCCTACAAGTATACGAGAAAGTCCGCCTGCCACGAGCGACCAGAGTCCAAGCTGCTGCTGCGAAGGCTGCTCAGAATATCAACGAGCGAATCGGTAAGTCTAGTTCTCTTTCTCAAGGCACAATCGACTAATGTCACTCCAGGCTTCTCCAGTAACACAAACATCTCGAACTACAAGGTTGACGATGAGGGCAAGAAGCTGACAATTGAAGAAATGAATGCGTAAGTTTCATCCTCAGCGTTGACGACCGTGGTCTTCGAGTATTGACCATATCTGCAGTTACGACATGTACAAAGATATTGAGGAAATGCTTGCAGCAGCACGTAACATGACATATACTGAAGGAGATAAGTGGAAACGGGGTCTGCCTGTCGACCTATTCAAGTCCGCTTGAAGGTTAAGATAGAGGGTGTGGAAACAGGCCGATGAGAAATTGCTTTCGCAACGACCGAATGCTGCGAAGGATTTAAGATCCGAGGCTTAGGAAGCATTAAGTCTTGGACTACCAATGTGTCGGGCTCGCCGCGCGTTTGGCCACACCAATCATAAGAATCTTGGTGCCTTGCAATCGACATGTAGATACAGGTCCATATTTCAACAACATCCATATTATGCCGAACAAACACATTTGTTTACCACGTCTTTTGCATGTCACATTGTTGTCCTGCCCAACATGATCGGGTATGATTCCAACCATTGCCACCTATTTCTATGTCACTGACAAGATGTAGTTCTGTACAGTCTTTACGTATATGCACCCAACAAAGTTGCACCAGCGATCTTCGCAGTGCTGTTTGGGATCTCAGCGGCCGGCCATATCTGGCAATGCATGTGAGTCGATCTAACGTATGATCATGGCAGATCTGACTTCCGTCGCTAGTCACTACATTGCATGGAGAATGATCGGACTACAACCCTTATGTGCTGTATTTTACACTGTCGGTTACGCACTTCGAGAATACGGCGCTTTCAACTATCTATACTCTCCTTCGAACCTTTATTGTCAGTCAGGTCATGATATATATCTGCCCGTCAGTATACCTTCATCTTCTCTACTGAAAGTCCATGCTAAATAAATGTATACAGTCCATTGCTTGAGTTAGCCAATTACCACGTCCTCGGACGAGTGCTTTACTGTGTTCCATACTGCGCACCGTTTCCGCCCCATCGTATCATGTCGCTATTCGGTGCCCTTGTCATCGTAGTCGAAGCTCTCAATGGCTTAGGAGTCGCATTTACCTCCAATCCTTCATCGCCGCCAAGCACCCAAAAACTAGGAGGTCAATTAACCAAAGCATCAACCGCCTTCCAACTTGCCGTCATTACAGTTTGCTTCCTTCTCGCCAGCTTATTCTACCGCAAGTGTGTCAACTCCAACATCCACAGCAGGAACGTCAAAACACCCCTTGCTGTTCTCTGCTTGAGTATGTTTTTGATCCTTGTTCGCTGCATATACCGCTTCATCGAACACGTTGGGAACGTCAGACTTGCTATTGAAGACCTTCGGTCGATGAAACGATTGACACCACTTCTTCGCTATGAAAGGTATTTCTAAGTCTTTGAGGCTACGACTATGTTGCTGAACTCTGCGGTGAGGAATTTTTGGCATCCGGGGAGGTATTTGCCTCGACGCCATAATGTTTGCCTCTCGCCAGAGGGGTCAGAAGTAACAGTGCATGAGGGGATGGATGGTAGACCATTGCTAGTTAGGGCAGGCTCGGTATTGACGTTTGGGATTTTGTTTCGTCAGAAGATGACGGCGAGACAGCAGAGTTTTGCGCTTGATAGTAGCAACAACCATGATGCTAGATAATGAACGGCACTACTTCGATGAGGTAAAACATCTACAACACCTACACGACGATCCACATTGCCACAACCGTACCAACGACCAAATACACCATGGCATAGAACCCGATGTTCAATCCAGCCGCGCCACCCATCTCTGCAAAAACCCAGCACTTGCCATGTTGCTCATCCTCAGCCTGCATACTGAAACTCGCAATCTTATACGGCAGAGAATCACAAACACCCTCAGTCTCAGTCCAACAATTTAGTCCATACCAAGGAAGCAACTCTTTGCTTTGTTCAGGGAGTTCCGTACATCCCTCGCCTGGATACAAGAACACCGTCCGCGGAGCATACGTGCCTGGCCCATTCTGCTGATCAGACCCAACTGGATTATGCTGGTGATACAAGATACTGGAATAATTTGTTTGGGCGTTGAAATTGTTTTTGTTGAGGACTTGCCAGTGGATTCCTGCTTGGCCCGGTTCACCGGTGTATCCACTTGCCCAACCGAGGTTTGCTGTTTGGTTGACGAAGCCTTGGGATGAGTTGCCTCCGAAGATGTCTGCGAGGTTGAAGCAATGTCCCAGCCCTTTCAAGGGAATACTCTCCGTTGTGAATGTGAGAGCTTCGCTCGAATTGCTGTAACCACATTTCCCGGTTTGGCTTTCTGGAAAGAAACGCAGTGTGAGGTTTGCGCTTGGATGGGGTCAGTGATGTTCAGTCTTGAGAAGGTATTATTGTCAAGACGAACCCGTATATGCTACTCTGAGCAGTGACTACTGTAGGAAGTGCCCCCAAAACCAGAAAGGCTGCTGCAATAGATGCTAGAAGATACATTCTTGGTTGCCGTCTAAGGTGTCTAGGTGTTTAGAAGTTTCCGAAATCTCACATAGTCAAGCAGAATAGGCACTCCTAATCGCGGCATCAAGACGGATATAACTTGGAAGAAATCAACCATCATCCTGTAGGATGAGGCAATGCCCAGCTGCCAAGGTTAAGTCTTTAAGCACACGACCTATTCTTACGTTATGGCCAAGCGTTTGAACCGACCTACACAGGAATGATATGCTAGTATACCACTATAGCGGGTAATGTCGAGTCATTTTTTCCGGTGACGCTTGGCGGATTGATGGCCGTGAATCCTTCAACGCTGTCTGTATGCGGGGCTGGGCGTGGGGTGGGATTGTGGCATGACATGGTAGATCAACAAGCTGATTGAAGCAGTTCATCCTTCGGTGCACTTTCTGATCTTGTGCACATGGATCAATTCAAATCCGTTGAAAAAGAGAAGCATTAGTAGCAGTAGTCATTTGACAAGTAGGAATCTATTGCAGGATGGCAAGTGACAATGCGGGCTCTTGCACCAATTGATCTCTACAAGCAGTCATTACGATGTTCGATCTAATGGCTTCTCCCCTCTAAGCAAAGCTTTTGTGCCTTGCGTCAGGGTGAAAAGCTCAATGTAATGTACATACGCCATACCGACCAGGCTCGCGCCTACCAATGCAAACCTCACCATTAACCACCTGTCAGCTCTTGCAGCGACAAGAAAGACCATAGCCGCATCAAATTGAAGGACTGCCATGATCATAAGCATCCGACTCTCACGCCAAGCTGAATCTTGGAGTTTGAGACTCAATGAGCTGGGTGAGTACTCGAACAACCAGAAGATTGCGAGACACAGAAGATGAAAGAACACCTGGAGGATGGTCTCGAAGGCTGGGTTCCTTTGAGGGTTGATCTGAGGAGGCGTTGGTCGGACAGCGAGCGCAAAGCCAGCGATGACCAAGACACCGAACCATGACCAGAGAGCAGCTTCAAGCCCATCGCTGAATACAGCAAAGCATACAAGACAGTGTGAGAGGCCGAAAAAGACGGGATTGGTAACCTTGCGACGGATGCGGTCTGACTCGGCCACTGTGAGTTGCTGTGAGCGCATCGGATAAATCTTCGCAAACACCCAACAGAGCAAGTATGATGCAGTGAAGACTTTTGACCAATATGCATCTTCCAGTCTCCAGACCTTATAAGCGTGTAAGATACTGGGAATATTCAATGCCAGTCGCAGAGGCAGGTAGCTTTGCGCAACGAAGAATATGATCCCACCATCGACATCATGACCGCTGTACCACAGGAAGTGCATGATGTCGACAATTCTGGCTGTCAAGTCGTAAAGACATTCGAAAGGCGACACTCGGTGCAGCGTCACTTCGCCATCGTAAGAGCCAGGGTCGAGGATCGAATTGGTTGCCAATATCAACAACCGAAGAAAGGTCGAAGCACCTTCCAGCGCCATCTCATCGAAATTGGCCATACATGCAAGCTGATGGGATTGCAGCTAGTGAAGTCCACCTCACCTTGGAATGTTGACCAGAGTTTTGTGACAATGGGTCATTCACAGGTGAGGATGCCGTGTGTTGTCTTGTAGCTGTGCCCACGTATCCGTAGCTGTTGACAGATGTCATGCCGGGAAAAGCTCGGCAATGGTCGGCTAAGTGTATACCATGGAAAAACGTGCCGCTGGGTTATGTCTTCTTAGCAACTGATTGATCGCTCCCAATACTGTAAGGGTTCGATGCGAGCTCTGTTTTGTGCTACTAGGTGATCATCTTTCAGCTAGGTCAAAGCATACATCGAGCCCTAGATCGATCAATAACTTTCTTGATGCTTGCATGATTTCGATGGTGAGGAGTCGATGTTGATCCATTCTGAGGACCAGAAGAACAACCCTATCAGCATACAGTCAGGGATCTCAGCCATGTGGCCAGCAATACATCCAATAACTATAAGTCATGTTTGATTCTTATGGAAACGCAACCAGTCAATGACTTCCTGAAGGTATAGAATTGAGCAGGGTCGTCCTTACAGCGATCCAATCCATTCCTCTATGTTGTTACCAGCATGCTAACATGCTAATCTCGCTCCTAACATGTGCAGAGTTCCCCTTCAGATGATCGCAGTGAACATACACGCAGAAGCATCTCTTGAACCGTTCCACAAGCTAGGAACAAGTTCGGGGTACTTACCCCAAATAGTGGGCCTCTACCACTTCGCCAGACCCTTGTTTCTACCCCGCCGTGATGGAGTGGGGCATTGGCATGACGCAGATAAACCACTCTGCCCCTCACTTGGTGATTTCCAAGATTGCTGCTCTCTCTTATCGAGCTTCGAAACAAATTATTAGCAATAGAATAACCTCGGCGAGTTGTGAAGGGTGTTTATTTGGGGACCTGCGTCTGCCGCTTGTTGACTTTCTTGCTGCGTTGCGACCACTACTTTGACACAATATACAAATACCTAGCAGATATGGGCAAGAAGAGAGTTTTGGTTAGCTATGGTGTGTCTTGCTGATTTGAAGGCTGGTGGATGAGTGTCGCTGACTAGAGCTTTCAGGCGTCGACATTGATGCTGTCGCAGGATGGCTAGGCTCATACGGCGGCGAAGACTCGACCAGCGACATTAGTAGAGGTGCGTCGCCCGCCTGTTCTTCGACCTCTGCGTTTAGCTTATCTGACCATCGCAACAGGAATTTTTGCCGGCACAGTCGGCGTTCAACGCCTACTTAAACTGTTCGACAAGTACAAGATCAAAGCAACATGGTTCATTCCCGGCCACACACTCGAGACATTCCCCGAAGACTGCGCAGCAATCAGAGACAAAGGTCATGAAATTGGACTGCATGGATACAGTCATGAGAATCCAGCGGATATGACGATTGATCAGCAACGCGATGTGCTGGACAAGACGTACAAGATGTTGACAGAGTTTTGCGGCAAGCCTCCCAAGGGTAGTGTGGCTCCGTGGTGGGAGACCAGCAAGGAAGGAGCCGAGTTGTTGCTTTCGTATGGTATTGAGTATGATCACTCTATGAGTCACGAGGATTGTCAGATGTACTGGTTGCGCACAGGTATGCTTTTCGACGCTGGGGAGCATTTGAAGACGAGACTGACATCGCGATACACAGGTGACTCATGGACCAAGATCGACTACAGCAAAAAAGCAGAAGAGTGGATGAAGCCTTTAGTCAAGGGTGAAGATACAGGCATTGTCGAGATTCCCGCCAACTGGTACATTGACGACCTACCACCAATGATGTTCATCAAGAAAGCAGCAAACAGCCATGGCTGGGTCAGCGCAAGAGACGTCGAACAACTCTGGATGGATCACTTTGACTACTTCTACCGCGAGCACGATGAGTTTGTGTTCCCCATGACGATTCATCCTGATGTCAGTGGAAGGCCACATGTGCTGTTGATGCACGAGAGGATTATTGAACATATCAACAAGCATGAGGGTGTTGAGTGGGTCACAATGGCTGAGATGTCGGATGAGTTCAAGAGCAAGAACTCGCCGCCACCGAGTGCACTGATGCCCGCGACCAGAGAGGAGGTGGAGGAGATGCTCAAGAAGCAGAAGAAGTGATGCTTGATATGGCGGGAATGGTCAATTGGTTCGGAATTATATGGTTCACCTTGATGAGAACGGCAAATTCTGGATCGGCAGCGGCAGCGGCAAGCAGGCGCCAAAAGCGGGGCCGGCAAGCGCGCCAAAGCCGGGGTGGTGGCTGCAGGAGGCACCTTCCAGTTCCAGATTCCCTTGAACCGAATGTTTTGTTCCTTCCTCTTTGAATGTAATCAATCAATCAGTCCATGTGAGAATTCAAGATGGAGGAAAGAGTCGTCGACTTTCGAGCACTCGACTATGTGTCGGCGTATGACAGCAATCTGATGTGCCCGATCTGCCGGAGCGCCTTTGTCAACCCGGTTGTTGTAGCCGATTGCGACCACCATTTCTGCCGCGACTGCCTCGACTACACAACCAGCTGGAACCAGTATTCGGGCACTTGTCCTGCTTGTCGCTGTCCTGGACGCTTGATCGGCTCTGGCTCAGCTTCTAAGCTTCTGCTCAACATTCTGGATGACCTCGTCGTCAAGTGCCCCAATCAGCCCGAGGGATGCGACAAACAAGTCAAGAGAGGCCACTTAGTCGACCACATCAACATCTACTGCGACTACACCTTGATTGACTGTCCAGACGACGAATGCGACAAGAAAGTCCGCCGAAAAGACGCCGCGCATTGTGTGCATCAGCCTGTCTCCTGCCTCGCTTGCCGCCAGTCCATGACCGTCCAGGACCTTCAAGTAGATTGACTCTACCTCTACTGCACTCGCAATCGCTGACATGCGCCTCACAGTCACACTGGCAGACCGTATGTGCCGATCACGACGTTCCCTGCCCGTCCTGCGCCGCCTCAATACCCTACCGCTACCAGCAAACCCACCTCGCCAACCACTGCCCCGAGACCAATGCTGCCTGTCCCGCTCGACAATTCGGCTGCCCCTTCAGCACCAAGCGCAAGCACCTTTCGAGTCACGCTATCATGTGTTCGCTGGCGAAACTCGCTCCATACCTCTCAGCTCAGCAACAACGTCAAGACGAACAAGACCAAGCTCGTCAGCTGCTTGAGAAGAAGTTACAAAGCCTACAACAAGACTTGTCCGAATACAAGAACTTGTCACATCAGGACAAGAGAGCCCCTGCCCCGCGAGAAGAACCCTTGTATTTCCCCAACAACGTCGCAGACTTTGAACTGCCAGACTTCCAAGACTTCCAACCTCACGCCTCGCCAACCCAGCACCTCCTCTCTCTGCATGAGAATCTGCGGGAAGAAGTCTCGCGCCAAGCAAACACTATTCATGAGGTCGACACCAGGCTAAGCATGATGCTGCTGAATGAGAACATGCGCCTCAAGGACGAACTGGCCTACCAGGGCGCTCAGCTCAGCGCTCTCATGCGACAGGTCGGCTGGTTGACAAACGCACGCCTGCAGGCTGTTCAACCCGCTTCTGTCTCTGTCACAAACCAGGCAGATCAAGGTCCCAGCGATCCATCAAGGATCGTCCCGCGCCTGCCGGTTAGACGCACCACGGATGAGGGAAGGACAAAGCTGTGACGAGATTTGATGATTTATGATGAAATGAACCATGTATGCGTATACCCTTACGGAATATTGATGCTTTTGAACTCGCTCAAAGAGTCTTTTCGCATGAGAAGCGACATGTCAAAAGCGGCGCCATCCTTCTCTTATGCAAGGGCAAAAGGGGTCGCCCTGTCTTGCATCTTGTTTGAGAATAACTTTACTCGGAAGCCAATGACCATAAGAAGGGATCAAGGCATCCAAAGTTGATGCACGTCATTCTGCATCTGATACGTTCTCTACCCGTCTCCTGCAGTTGATCGATTTCGCCGACTGGTCATGTTTCTTATGAGGAGCGGACCGTCGACCATGTGTCCTGTCTTAGCATGAAGCAAAGTTGTTCCCAGAGGATGATCAACACATCTTTTGTGATTCCACATCAGGCCTGAGGCTTGTGCAACTCGACCACGAGCCTCTGGCAATTTATCTCATGCATGTCATTTCTGTGACTTCTACGATGGCTATCACGAGGCTGACAAGCTGAGAGACCGCTTACAACAGACACACTTCATCCTGCAACATACCATGCGTCGCTCGGTGTTTGTTTGCGCGATCACAAAGGATTGTGGTCCAATCTGTCGGAATCACCAAGAATCCAAAGAACTAGAAGGATTGGAGATCAGCAGTTGCATCTCGACCCCTCTTTTACCTGGTTCACATTCAACTCGTCCAGTCAATTCTCGCTTCGCGACTCCGACCAACATGCATACACGCATGCATGCAGTGAGAAGCTTAGCAGAGGATGAACGCTCTTACTCCCGTGCGACTCGACTTAGCTCCCTTGCCTGTTCAAAATAGACGCTCAAACCCCTCTCCCTTTTGTGAAAGGTCTGGAAGAGGCGGCATTGACCTCAGACCATGACACATGCATACGTCCGTACGACAAAATTGACGATATCCAGCAGTTTCTACATCTCTCTATGTTTCACGCAACGATACTTTTCTGACTCTTGTTTGCCTTCCTGTCGGCCTCGTGTCGAGACTTGACCGACGTTTTCTCACCGACTTTTGCAGGCGTCTTCGCTGGGGGTGAGTCTGAAGCAATGTTGGCAAACAAACAGACAATAGACAGTCCTTTCAAAATCTTCTTGGGCATAGACGCATATCTTGAAGCCAAATAGCCGAGCATACTCTTGGTGTCATGCAGCCCTGGACAGAAAACGCCAATCACGGCACGCGAGGATGGTGAACGTCCCGGTGGCATGGATAGGGGAAGTCGGGACTGATTGTACCGGCTATCCAATCAATGGACAATTCGGATTGGTCTGTCTTCAGTACCCACGCGCCGGTGAGATGTGATATGCAATGCGCTGTGTATCATATGCACAAACAACGGGTTTCATCAGTTGAGAGGAGAAGCCTCTTTTCTTGCTGCCCGATCTCGAGACAATCGACCAGTCGCGTGCATTGTTTCTCCAGTTGTGTTGTTAGACCGAACATCTGTTGTTGTTGGCGGTGTAGCGAAGTAGAGATGAGCGGTCTGGTCGCAGTCTAGGTGAAAAATGTGAATTGGTCAAAGAGTCGCACACACGAGAGACAGCGAAAGAGGTCTAAAGAAAGGTGAAACCTTGGGGACGGGGAGAACAGGGCTGGTGCACGTTGTGACAGACCGTTGACCCTTCCGCCCCCGGGAAACAACTTCATGTCATAGCATGAGCTTTGACGACAAGATAAAATTGAATAGGAGTTGTAGAGACTCGATCTGGGTTGAGGCCAGATCTTTTTGCAGTGTTGGGAATGGGCGTGTGCATGAACTAAACGCTTATCGAAGGGAAAAGTAGGCATGCAAGTCGGGCATGCAAGCCAAGGGCAACAAATAGACTCACGGAAAGACATGCGCTGGCGGCCATATTGGGATGTCACCAAACTGGTTTTGTGGCGCTGGATGCTGCTGCATCAGCGTCCTTCATCGCCTGCACGCGAGTTTACCTTCAGCTTTCTGCCTCTGAGCAAGGAAGGATACGAAACTTGTTGCGGCTACCCGCGCAGGGGGTCATTTGGTGCTGGATTCGAAGCAAATGATTCCAGGCAGCATGGGAGGTTTTGGCCATCTATTGGAAAGCAAGGAAAGCAAAGCATCACAGAAGGTGATCCGCTTTGTGTGATTCGAGGTTGTGTGGTACCCTCATCACAAACCCGACCTACCGGAAGAAAGCTGTTATTGGGACGTTTCTATTTCTTTCTCAGCACACATGTATTCTCGGCAGGATCAAAAAAGATGACGGTGGGTGCCGCAAGGACGGGACTAAGCTGATGCATGTGTGGGCATGGATTGGATTTAGTGTGGGAGGATTAATAAAGGAGCAATACATGCAAGGGTTAGGCAAATTCTTGCATTTTTGGGCTGAGAAAGCCTGCATGCTGCCGGCGCTGCGTCTTTCTTGTCATCTTTTTATGCGCGAGGGTTCCCACTCGGCCAAAGCAGCTAGAGAAACAAGAGTCGATCATCACCCCTTTTTTCTTACTCGTCGACTGCATTTTTGCGACAAGACAAAACCAGCTGTTGTCATTGTGTTTTCGCGTCAAAGACAGAAAACAGAGCAAGACGCATATCTCTGGACAGGGCTATCAAGATTTGATACGGAAGAGGCACCCGCACAGACGCATATTTTGTCCAGCCACAACAAATTCGCGCTCCTGGCGAGATTTGAGGAACGGTTCACGCAACTGCTTTTCGTGTGCTTTGTGCTGGGTGAGGTTCTTGCATCCCAGCCATCCTGCTCTCTACTCGATCTTGTTCTCTTTTACTCGAAGGCGGATTGCTTATTTCCTGCTTTTCTTCTACTTGCAACGTTGGCAGCCAATCCCTGCCTGCCTCCCGTGTCATATTAATCCTTTGCGACGAACTTGCGACGACGCGACAATAACGATCCGCGTCTGCCGAGGGACTCTTTTATTCTGGAAACACACCGACCTTCTCCTATCCGTACCACGCGCACTCTTCAAAAACTTGCAAGAAGCCAAATGTTGGATACACAAGAAGCAAGCAAACGTTCGAGTTCAGAAGCAGCAGCAGCAGCAACGGTAGAAGAGTCGTCTGGCTTCTACACTCGACTATAAGATTCGACCTGGACTTTTCTTTTCCTTGGTTTGATCATCTCCTTGCTCGTCGACGACTTTTTGATATCACTTTTCATTTTTCTTGATTTTTGCTTCTTCACTTCAACCATGTATCCACCTTATTCTTCATATTATACTGGATCGCCTCATTGCAACATGGGTTACGAATATCACACGTCTTCTACGACACCACCGCCTCCTGGCTATGGATATTATTCACCACGCTATTACACGACAGCTCCTCCAAAAACATCGGCGCACAAGCATGCTCGACGGGCCACACAGGATTATTCTTATCCTTCGACCAAGACGACATCATACTATTATCCCGATACTTCTTACGGCTACTCTGCTGGGTATTCGCGCAAGCCTGAACATGTAAGTTCGAGTGACCGATACCAAACTCGGCAAGGGAAGACAGAGTCTAGACGTGCATCAACGACCTATGTCTACTCGGATGGACGGTACTACACCTACGTGACCGAAGACGAAGTCCCGCCGGCATACTCGCGCGACCCGCGTAAACACACGCCTCCACCGCAATACTCCGAGGCTGATGAATATCCTTGTTACCAGCATACATCTGCTCAGCCAAGGCCAGAACCTCAGCAACCAAGAAAACAAAGAGCGGCTTCTTACTCTGCGCCCCCTCGACATTCAGCACCTCCTCGCGACTCTGCACCTCCAAAACCCCGCCAACAACCACCAACACCAAAACGCGCCACAGCAACCGATCGCGATGCCCGCGCAGCAGGTATTCCTGCAGGCTACAACTTCAAAAACTGGGATCCAAATGAAGAGCCCATCCTGCTTCTCGGCAGCGTCTTCGACGCAAACAGTCTCGGAAAATGGATCTACGATTGGACAGTAGCTTTCCACGGCCCCAGCACCGCCTTTGCAGAAATGGCCGGCGATCTCTGGCTCTCCCTCATCCACTTGGCAGGAAAAATCAAACGCGCCGAGGAATCGCTTCCAAAAATTCGGCATCGCGATGACCGCGAACTCATCGACGATTTCTTGGATAGCGGGGAGAGGCTTTGGGAGAGGTTTAATAAACTGCTGAAGATTTGCGAGAAACAGATGTTGAAAGCTGCGAAGAGGGACAGAGGGAATGAGGGAAAACTGTACATGGGGAACAATAGCGGGAGAGAGTTTGTCGAGACGATATTTGGACGGGATAGAGAGCTGGAGAGGACGGAGAAACTGACTACCGGAATAAGACTTTGGAGTTTGAGATTCGATGCTAATTGTGAAGAGGTGTTGAGCGGGGTGTGTCGTTGATGTGATGGCGGCAATGGACTGACCACCTCTAGCCTTTGGCCACATCAACACTCTTGGCCTTCGTTTCTCCTTCAACAATGATCAAGGATCCAGATCGACCTCCAAAAACTATCAAAAGCCACGACTTGTTCAACACCCTCACACACACACACACACCTCATAAACCCACGTCGGCAAAAACTCCAACGCATCAGCCAGACCCATCAACTTTCAACAACAACAACAGCAACAGGCGCAAAAGGATTTCTTCTTCCTCAACCATGGCTTTACATCTTATATGCGCAGAGATACCCCTTTTTGCTTCCCAACTCCCAGCAACTGACTGCATGGCGCAAACGGACCAGGCTCTTCTCAATCCCTTTTGGACTGGACAATCTCATTGCTGCTTTGCTCCTTCTTTCTTTCTTTCTTTTTTGTTTCTTTCTTTTTCTGCTTTGATCTGTTATTTGTTCTTGGAGGGACAGGTTCAGGAATGGAGGGAAAAAAAGTGTCTTTTTTCTTTTTTTTTTTTTTTTTTTTTCGTTTACCTTTTTGGGCTGGGTATTTTAGATGAAACTTTGTAATAGCTTTTGTTTCTGTTTTGTTCTAAGTGCCTCGCGGCCTACGAAATCCATTCTTCCTATTCATGTCTATCCATTATCCAAATCCCCTTCGGTTGAGTCTTGATATGGGTATTCGGACTTCCGAGTCCGTCACTTAAGCTTGGGCATAACTTGATGGTATTACAAGAGTACTCTTTAAGCTAAGCGAACCAATAGCAAGAGCCGTCACATTCTTAGGGGCGGCTAATCCTCTGACGCCTTCATGGTCACTTAGTTGCTTGTCGGGCTTCGCTGCCGCTGTTGCATGAAGGCGTTTTTGGGCAGCACGTGTGAATGTCTGCCACGTTGTTGGGCATCGAAGTCACGAACGGACAAGAGTTAACGAGGGAGTGGTAGGGCTGTACGAATGAAAAAGAGTGATATCACTGGTGAGACGAGGTCTCTTTCGCAAGACCGGTTCAGAGCAGCCAGACGTGTGTTGTTGGACCACCAGTAGTGCTTGTGACATGTTTAGTGATCAAGCTTCAACAATAGCCCAGAGCAGGAGTGTTTATAAGCTCGGAAAGTTTCGGTGAATGTGCCTCTGTTTACGCCGGTAGGTGAATGTCGGTATGCATGTTCACAACAAGATATCGTGATAGTATCTCGATGCTTGTCAGGCATTCTTCCCGAGTCAGCAACACTACAAGAGTCATGAGACCGAAAGTTCATGCGGGTGCAAAGTGGTCTACCGTGATAGCCTGGGTAAATGGAGAGGTGGGAGCGGGCCGAGCCCAAGTGTGCATGAACTATAGATCACCTGCTTCTTCGCATAGCGAAGCTCATGGTGTCATGTGCAAACTGCTGCGAACTGCTTTGATCTAGACAGACTGCGAAGTGAGAGAGATCAGCTGTCTCCAAACAAGGCTGTGTTGACGGCAGACGGCGAGGCGGGCCGTGTGTACTGTCAGATGTACATGATGTACAGCACACGTGGGGTTCTGAGAGTGATAGGATGATGCAAAGATCCGATTCGTCAGAAGCTGGCGGTCATGGGATTTGCGCTCCACGCGAGTGATAGTGGTCAGGTGAAAGATGAATGTTGTCGGTGGCGTGGAAGAATCGGCGTTCATCCAGCACCGAGATACTTGTCGACCTCGTCGTTGGAGTAAAACAGACTTTGCAGTCTTTCATGCTTCTTCTTGTTGTTCTGTTCGAGGTTTCGTATCTTTCCAGCGTCAAATCTCTCGACAGGCTTCGGGGGTTGTACAGACTTCCTCTTCTTCTTCAAGGTGGGTTCGTCGTTGTTGAGGTCGACGCCCAGACCGACAGTATCGCGCTTCTCTTTTGCTTTGATGGGATGTAGAATGCCCTCTCTTTGTGCGCCTAGACCGAGTCTCTCGTCGGGATTCCAGCCGTACGATTGAAGAATACTGAGACCTTTGCGGTTTCTGTCAACAGCGGACGGAGGGTGGGAATGTGGGAGGGCGATCTGGTGAACAAGAGAACTACAATGTTCTGCTTCGTCACCTTGAAATTGTGTTTTGCAAATGTCGCATGTTCTCAGGGACTCAGAAGAGGAGGAGGGCGGTGGCTCGGAAGAGGCTTTGGCCAGGACGATTTGCAGATAGCGTTCGCTGGCCGAGAGGTTCGAAGGAGTGGATGCGCCGGCAGGAGTGGTGGACTCATCGGTCGAAGAAGGCACGAAATGGACGCGCTGGCGTTTGATGCCCGCTCCAAAGTATCGCTGGTCTTTCAGCGGCACCTCGTAATATTCATCGTCGCTCTCTGACATGGTTGTGTGTAGAAGAAAGGGAAGGCGCAAGGAAGGCGCAACAACAAATGACGCTTGAAAGATGGCAGTCGCGACCCGGAGATTGCGGGGTTTAGATTGCGGCCACATTTCTCTCCTTTCTCTCGGTGGTCGCTCCTTCCTTTCTCGAATGTCATCAAAATGCCTGTTCCGCTAATTCAAAAGGCGATTTTGGATGGCCTGGACACGGTGCCCAACTCGGCCGTACTGCTCAAGCTCGTGCCTGTCGTGCTGGTCCTCTGGCTGGTCCGAAGATGGTTCCAAGGAGCTTCAAACACGTCCGAGAGGACCATGCACGGCAAGGTCGTCATGATCACCGGCGGCACGTCTGGTATAGGTGCTGAAGTTGCTCGCGATCTGGCCACGCGAGGCGCTCAGCTGGTCCTGCTTACCCAACACGCTCTGGACGACTTTTTCCTCGTCGAGTACATTGAAGAACTGCGCGACCGCTCCAACAACGAACTCATCACCGCCGCCCAAGTCGACCTCACTTCGCTCCACTCGATTCGCCAGTTCGCTACCAAATGGGTCGACAATGCTCCTCCCCGCCGACTCGACATGATCATCCTCTGCGCAAACACCCTGACTCCCAAGGGTGGAAAGATACAAAAGACTGACGACGACGTCGAGATCAACTGGGGCTTAAACTACCTGGCAAACTTCCACCTTCTCAGCATCTTGTCCCCTGCAATCCGCGCCCAGCCGCCAGACCGTGACGTCCGTATTCTCATGGCAACCTGCAGCGCCTACATCGGTGGAATCCTCCCTGTCACCGGCAACAAGGAAGCAAAGATCAGACAAAAGGAAAGAGCTGAGAAGTTCAACCCATACTCTGCCTACGCATCCTCCAAACTCGCCCTTATGACTTTTGCTCAATCCTTCCAGAAGCATCTTTCTGCTTACGCTCGTCCCGACAAGAATCCTATGAACGCAAGAGTCATCTTGGTTGATCCTGGTCAAACACGTACCCCTGGAATGCGCCGCTACCTCACTTGGGGTTCCATCACCGGTCTTGTCCTCTACCTCTTGACATACCCCCTGTGGTACATCATCCTGAAATCGCCCTCGCAAGGCGCTCAATCCTTCCTCTACGCTGCCATGGAGGCTCAATGGGGAAGAGGCAACGGCGGCTGGCTAATCAAAGAATGTCGCGAGATCGCTCCTGTTAGAAGAGACATGCTGGACGAAGAGCTACAAAAACAACTTTGGGAGTATTCCGAAAATATGATTCAAGAGGCTGAGAAGAGAGGCGCTAAGAAGAGGGCGGAAGCAAAGGCCGAGGAGAAAGTCAAGCCTGCAGAGCCCAAGAAGCCTGATGAGAAGAAGCCAGGCAGTAGAAGAACTAAGAAGGCTTGATTTAGATACAAGCACAAATAAAAGCATGCTGAATTCACCTTACAACATTACAATCAACCTAGTCACGGTGACAGTTGGACAATCATTACGAGTTGTTCAACGCCATTCTGTTATTTCCTCAATCGAAGCTTGAGCTGATTCTGCCTTATCGACTAGATACACAACATGAAATTCACATCCAGACTTTCTGATCTCCATCCCCACAACCCCTTCATCCAGGACCTTCTGACTCAATCCTGCAATCGCGTCTTCCACTCCACAACTCCCTTTAACCTCAATCAGCGGTCCAACTGCTTCTCCCTCTTTGTTCTTGACTATCACGTATACTTTTGGCATTTCCTGGTGCTTATATCAGCATGGAAGAGAGAGAGAGAGTGGTACAGGGAATATCTTTACCTGCAAACCTTCATCAATCATCTCAACCAACTGCCCCAAAAGCTCTCGTCCAGGATCATCGGGATAAATTTCCATCGCTTTTGCGTAGATACTCCGTTCGGTAACAAGCTCCTCGATATATCCTCCTTTGAGCAAGTCACGTAAATCGTCTTTTATTTCGTCTTGAATAGGCTTCAACCACTCTATAAACTTGCCGTCTATGATGGCGTTGGTTCGAATCATTCCTGCTGGTGTAGATGGGGATTGGGTGTAGGTATATCTTTCTATCAACGCTTGACCTAGCCATCCTTTCTCAAGATAACTGAGGTAGTTCTGTACTGCAGTGGAATTGCGAGCACCGCTTTGAAGGATTTCTTCGGCTGTGCAATGCAAGGGTTCGAGGAGGAGCATTGATTCTGGTAATTTCATGATGGTCGCGGGGATAGGCAGAGTGAACGTGGTGTAAGTTTGTGATGTTTTGCTTGTGGTCTTGGGACCTGTTTTCTGATCTAAATATTGTGGTTTGGCGTGACTGCTGCCTTACCTGCCTTTGAACCGTGCGGTTGCGACGCGTTCTCCCAACTTGCCAGCGCGAGCAACTTTTGTCTTTCGCTACGTTCCTTACCACTACTTGTTCTTATTCAGATATAATTGTAGGCAGCAGGAATTCTTTGAAATAGGACGTCAATGTTCACAGGCCGCGATCAACGAGCAACTTGGAAGAATATCCTGGAGTTCGAAGGAGTCCTCGAAAGTTTCCAAAGACTCGACCTACTGGTTGAGTCTAGCAATTGTACATATATGATCCTAATCCTCGAGCATGTCCGCGACATTAGTGGTGAGTTGCATGAACTATCGCAAAGCGAACGTAGGTAACTCGAATCGGTCATGTCGATCGTCGCCGCAGGCATCCGGATCGCTTGGGCAAGCCGACACATCTTACGGCCGCTCGAACGACGAAGAGCTCGATGTGACTTTGCTTGACGTCGAGAGCAGAAGTGATGGGCCAAGGTCTAGTGGAAAGAAGAGACTCGAAGGAGGTGATCGGCGCAGTCTCGGGAGTCGGAAGCGTCTTGTTCTCGGACCCTGCCCTCATCTCTTTCCCCTCTTCGTCACCTCGCAAACTGACTTTGGTCCTTTCGAATGAGACCAGGTAATTCTGTGACGACTGACAATCGCGGACCACGAGACACCATATCGAGGCTTCTGGTGCTAACGTTGTCGTATTGTATACGGCGTATCAGCGTCAGTCATAGACCATGTGACCGTATGCGTATCAAGACGACGATCTTGATGCGGGAATAAGCAGGACATATGACTTTTAGCACAACCAAGCATTCGGACAAGCTTCTACGCCGCTTCGATCATGTTGAGCGATTATTCCGGATGTTTCTCTTCCGTGAGAAGGCAAGGCTGGAACAACGCTTGACTATACAAAGCGAAGATAGCTGTATCCTATCATCTATGGGGATCTCCGCGCTGATCTTTCCTATCACTTGCGCGACCTGAATAAGATTCCAGACCTGGATCCTTTCCAGACTTTTGAGATGACACTAAACCAATAACTCTCTGGATCCTTCAAGACTCAAAGAAGAGCTGCAATAAAAGCCTCGTCAGTCCCTCCATCCATAAATAAGTCCCGCGCCATCACCGTCTCAGGCATAAGTACAAACATCTCGTCCTTCGCAACTACCATCACAGCAAACAATGTCTACACTCAACCCTCCCACTTTCCCATCTGAGCCCAAGTCGGCTTCAGACCCTACGACCACCACACCTGCTCAGTGTCAAAACTGCAAACCTGCACCCCTCTTCAGTATCAAGACCCTCAAAACCCTTTTCTGGTACATCTTGATCGGTTTTACATCCTCCGTTTTGCTTAATTACCTCGGCGTCAACGTCTCCACTCCCGCCAACGGTAATCCCAGATCCATCTGTCTCAGTCGGAACACAGGCAATCTATGCATGTCGTGGGCATCTTATCCCGGTAATGGACTCCCTGATGAAGCCTATGACACCATCACCCGGTTTTCCACTGATTGTGTTCATAATGGGGGGAGGACTGAGTTCAAAGCTACCATGGCCGATGGTGGTGTTTTGTTCATCTGTCAGCCATTGAGATGATGGATATGGCAAGAGCTTTGTTGGGAAGAAATCAATTACGGGTCTTGTTGAGTGTTGTTTGAACAGATATTGGAGCCTGTTGCTTGGTAGGACCAAGGATCCGACTCGTTCGACAAGTGGTGATGGACATGTTCGATTTGCGGGTTCTTGGACTTTTGTTTGCCTCTAGGCCTTCTATTGGGCTGCCGCCAATGATCCAACTATGCATGTCTCACCCTGTCGCTATGGTCCACATTCTGTGCTCAACTCCATTCGTCGCCCCCAATTGACCCATACGTATGCCAAGTGGAACTTACACATCAAGCAACAAGCTTGTTAGGAGCAAACATATACCTAGCACCGACCGCAACAACAGAACCAGCCATCATGACAGAAGCACTAAACACGATTCCCTGCTCATAACCAGGATAAGCCGCAAACAGCGCACCGATAATAGGTCCACCTGCCAAAGCAGAAAAGCCAATGAGGAAAACTGCTTGGCCGAGATAGGTCCCTATCTGCCCAAACGTGTTAGCAGAGAAAAAAAAGTCAGAGTCATAAAGTGCAAACTTGCCTTGCTGGGATGATCTGCCATTTGCGCAATCACTGGGAACATGAGAGCGATGATCAAACCACTCGTAGCTCCAAACAAAAGTGAGAAAATGATCAAACCCGCTGTGGAAGTAATGGCTAGCCAGCAGTAAAGAAGCAGTGCAGAAGCAAAGCAAGCAAACACCATAGCATTGAACGCACCAAAGTAGAGTGCAACAAAGCCACCTGCCACACGACCTATAAGAGATCCAGCATTGAGAAATGCAAACAGGTAATTAGCCAGATGCGGTGATACACCATGAGCCAAGCCATAATCAGCAACAAAGAAGTACGGAGACCAGAAGCCTAGGATGACGAGGAACATGGCGACGACTATGATCGAATAGGCTGGTTTCTTGAATGCCTCGGGGAGTATCAAACTGCCCTTTCTTCTGATGTTCAAGGGGCGGAGCGTGACAGCGGCTATACCCAGCAAGAACAGGCTTAGGAAGCCGCAAACACGTTGAGCCCATCCAAAGCCAATGCTTGGGATCAGGTTATTCAAGATGATGGGGTAGATGATGCCACCAAGCGGAGATCCGCTGGATGCTAGAGACATGGCCAGAGCGCGCTTCTTGGAGAAATAATGACCGACGACAGAAAGAGCTGGAGCATAGATGAGGCCGGAAGAAATCCCAAGAAGAATACCTTGACACAGGAAGAACTGGTAAAACTTGGTGCAGAGACTGGTGAGCATCATGGCAATGACCAAAGACAGCGAGAAAGGCCAGATGATCACCTATCGACAGAATCAGAAGAAAGTCATAATATTGAAGAGGAATGAGACTTACCATCGGACCGTAGCGATCGCTGATGGGACCTGAAATTAGAGTGGCTGAGAGCTGGACCCAGGCTTGAATGGAGCCTATCCAAGCAACAGTAGAGGGAGAATAGCCGTGGAGGTAGGTCTTCAAGTAGTAGGTTTCGTAGACACTGCAGCAGGTTAGCAATCGAGCGCAAGTCACAAACATATGAAGAGTCATACCCGAATGTGTTGACTATATCGAAAGAGGCGAAGGCGACACACCAGCATCCCAAGACTACAAGCCAAGCTCGGGTGCCACCCTCCGCATAGGAAGGCCCGGGTGTGGCAGGTGAGGAAGGGGCTGACTCTGATTCTTGCTTGCTGCTCTCGACATCCTCCGCAACAGGCAGACTTGCTTGACTCTTTTGAGAATTTGAAGAAGAGGTCATGATAATGGTGTTAGTCGTAGAGCAAACAGGTGAATTGTGGTTTGATGTGTCGATGCAGGCAGTAGCAGACTAGACTAGCTTTATACCAAAAGCACATTTCAGCATGCTGCAGGATTCTGATACAGAAGTCACATAATAGCTACTATCTCCGACGAGTTGTTGTTTTGAATGGCTCTTTGGTAGTCGGATATATTCGAAGATGGTCGGAGATATTCGGGCATCTGATCGGACTTGAACATCTCCGACCATCCTGCTAACTTCTTCAGTCAACACTTCATTCCACACAATTTCTTCTGTCGTACAGACCAAGTCGAGCGGTTATATTCGGACATTGTGACGATGTCGGCCAGAAGCGACGTCGGACAAAGCGCTGGTGCTACGGCTGAGTCGCCCGATAAGAGAGCTCGCAGACGGCGACTGCCCTTAAGCTGTGGTGAATGCAGGTCAAAAAAAGTAGACAGCATTGCGCAATCACCGGTTTTGACCCAATCCGACTGACTTTTTTTAGCTTTCATGCGACCGTAATTGGCCTTGTCAACGCTGCTCGCGGGCAGGTCGTCAAGATCAGTGCGCCTATGACACGCCCACGGGTCAGCCGCCTGTGCCTAGTCAACGATCACAACATCAAAGGCATGCGAAACAGAATGACAGCGAGGAAGTTCGCCGTTTGCGAAAAGAGATAGGCAGTCTGAGGAGCCTCACGTCTCAGCGCCAGCTTGAGCCAAATCATGCTAATGCCGAAGCGAGCACTCAAGCCAAGCTCGATTATACTTCCACCATGTCATCACGGACCGCGAGCGATACGGTCGATTTCCAGTCAGATATCTTGAGGAACGCATCCTCTTTCCAGCATCCAAAGTATCGCTCTCCTCAGGGCTACTACTCTAAGCACTCTCTTTTCAAGTTCTTCACAGAGGTACAGGTCAATTTCGAAAATCTCGGTGATGCAAACAACTAACCTTACGCTGTAGATCACTCAATTCGTCCCTTTCATCACTGAAGTCACGGAGGAATATCTTCGTCCAGCTGGCGTAAAACTCAAGAAACAGAAAACGCTCATCTCCAAGGATGAGAACCTGACTCTTGACGCTTTGCTTCCTCCACAAGCTGATGCCGATTCGCTGGTGGACTTCTATCTTGACAGTTACGAACATCTTCATCGTATCGTTCATGTGCCTACCTTCAGAAAGGAGTATCATGGTTTCTGGTCATCAGATCAGTCGCGCTCACCAGCTACTGCTGCTCTGGTTATGTCCATTATGGCCATCTCCGCGAGCGCCCCGCCTATAGGGGACCGTTATCAAGACATGGCTCCACGCTGGGCCGTAGCGATCGACGAGTGGCTGCGACAACAGAGTCCAAAACGCTTCGAACTCATTCACTACCAGGTACTGTGTCTGAGCTATCTAGCTAAACGAATGAATCAGATTCACAAAAAGTTGTTCTGGACAGAGTCAAGCAACCTTCTACAAAGAGCCATCCTGGATGAGCTACCTTGTACTGACTCAGTACGCCGCTCGGAAAATGTCTTCCAAGTCGAGATGAGGCGTCGTGTCTGGCATGTGATACGCGAGCTTGAGCTTCAGAACTCATATGAGTTTGGTCTGCCGACTCTTCTTCACAACATTGACTGTAACCTTGGAGCGCCTGCCAACGTTGAGGACGAGGATCTTGATGAGTATTGTACCCGAATCCCAAAGTCCAAACCAGCGGACCACTATACTCAAAATTCATATCAAATCATAAGCGCACGCAGCTGGCCACTACGTTTAGAGATATCTCGACGCTTGTCCAGTCCCGCCATCGCTGATCCCATAACCTACGATGACGTTCTTCGGTACACACACCAGTTGACTGGTGAGATTACCGAGCTTCCAACCTGGGATACATCCTCTCATCAAGGTCTTCCCACGGTCGTCAATGGGTTTCTGAAGTTCCAACTCATGGAGTGTGTCCTTGCTATTCATCGACCATACCTCGGGAAGGACGGCTCGAAATTCTGGCTCTCGGGGAACATCTGTCATCAGATGTCTCGAGAGATGCTTTTGCTGAACTGTCAGATCAGCGATCTAGGTCTTCAGCCTCTGACTCGTTTGCGCGAAGATCTGATGTTGGCTTCGTTGACCCTAACACGAATCATGTTGTTGCAAAACCCAAGTGAGTTGTCCCTGTGATCCTACGAGAGCATAGCATACTCAAGCTTTCAGATTCCACCAGTGTCGTAATAAGTTGCTCCAGCTCTGACATTGAGCTCATGGAACGCAGTCTGGCCATAGCAGCTGAGAGATCTTTGCGCTGTAGCAAGGCCGAGCCTTGGTGCTTCATCTCAATCAATGCTGCTATTTCGTTGATCAAAGTCCATCTAGGAATCATGGACCGACTAACCGCGAAATACTCCTGTGCACAAGCTTTCTTAGATCTACACAAGCAGCAATCTGCGAGCCAAACACAACAATTGACTGCTCAATCTACTTCACATGATACTAGAACGGTGGGTTGTGTATCAACAAAGAAGCCATCTCGGCATTCAACTTGGAAACTGACCAAGCCTTGTACTAGGAGTTACATGCGGGCATCGATGCTTCGACTCAACAGCTCAGTGACATTCCGCCATATATAGCATGGCTTGATGGCGACATCTTTGATGTGAGTGTTGTCAGAAAACAGTGCTGCTTCGCTCTGCTGATTGCTGATACCATGTTGCAGTTCGGATTGGAAGCACACAACCTTGACATGAATGTCAATGGAATATGGCAAGATATGGCAACAGATCCGTGAAAGTCTCGCTCTTCAAGGTCGCCCGGAGACTGAATAAGGCAAAGAACTCTTTCAAAGTATCGTGGTCCAAGTTCGCAAGAGATGTGGTTACCTTTTCGGATACTTACTTGAACAATCACGTTGGATTCTAGTCAAGCTCCGCGCGAAATTTTGGGAGCCAAATTTATGGTACCGAAGAGATCTTGACTGCTGTTCCAGAATCAGCATCAAAACATGAAGGATGACAGAAGAGAAAGGCTTGAGAGGCAAATGTATGGCAAGGAAGCGACGAAGCACAGACGGCATACCATGAGAAGGAATCTCGATCTTCCTAGTCAGATCACCGGAGCATCCCGCATCTTGGCTGGCTATTCTGTCATTCCTCATGACGTGAAGAAGGAGTAACCTGAACTTCAACGAACAACCGATGTTAGTGAAATGCTTGCAGCTACCCCGTCTAGGCGTCGAAGCTTTTTGACTAAAAGACAATCGAGAAATATGTCAGCGAGGATAACTTTATCACATCAGACCAATACCACAATGCTTCATCGGAGTGACAATCAACAAACAATGAAAAGTGTTGTCTTGTTTCTAATTCTTCCTGCGGAAGTCATCAATACATGAAAGTGATGCGGTGTTGGACACAATGACCAAACAAAGCAAGCAATCTTGGGCATAGTGAAACTGGGACAATTTGGCTGTTGTCCCCAACAGCTTGCAGGCCTCGAGAAGAAAACGCAAAGACAGCTGAATCTGCCTCTCCCTCATCTCCAATCCGCCAACACGCCATTAATCCTCACACCAGCCAAATGTAAGAGATCGATAACCACAAACGCCAGAACAAATCCAATCACCAAAGCATCCATCTGATGCCAAAGCCTGGTTAGGTATGCTTTGGTCTCACCTATCCAAAGCCTTTCACCTCTTGTTCTTCTGCCTGCTTTAAGTCCAGGTAGACCGTCTAGACTGTATGCATTGTTCTTGGCGCGATAATCTACCATTTTGTTGTCGGACACGGTTTTGCCTGCCCAATGACCGAGAGTTTCGCGATCCAAGAGACCTTTTTGTTCTGTCTCTGAGAGTTGCGGTACGCCATAGCCGCAAGAAGTTTGGACCTGAAAGATAGACCAATGGTGTCAGTTTCGAAGCCGACAACAACTGCCTTTGCAAAAGAGGACGATATTCAAAAGTCTTGGAAAAGAAACACATACCTTGAAAATATCCAACACAATAACCGCCCTAGCCCCCACCGGCACCTCCATTCCCATCTGCCTAGTCAACATTCCAAACTCCTCATCCCAAAACTCCACCACCCTACCCTTACAAAACAATCTCAAAATCCTGGGTACCTTTTCAAAAGAACAGAACATAATCGTACAACGACCATTTTCGTACAGGTGAGCGATGGTTTCGGCGCCAGAGCCAGTAGCATCAATGTAAGCTGCTTTGTTTGAATCTAGTATGGAAAAAGTGGTTGATGGAAGACCTTTGGGCGATATGTTGACGTGGTCACCGTAGCGGGGTGCGGAGGCGATGTAGAAGAGGGGTTGGGACATGCACCAATCGCTGAGGTCTGGAGACAGTGATTTGTAGAATTTCACCATTGTGATTCACGATAGAGAGTTAAGCACAGATGTTAGAACTGAAGATTGACTGATGCGATGATGTTGGTATGGTCGAAACATGATGACTCGAAGTGAGTCACCCCCGCTTTTGCTCGGATGCGGCTGTTGCGGACGTTGGCATCTCGCGATCCTTTGTTCTAATCAGGAAAATGTTAGGACGTTTCACATGATCAAGTATTTGACTATTAGTGAATATGGCCAGATGATAACGGATCTTTGACGAAGATGGATCCTGGGAGCTCTTTCCGACATTGATGATATATATATACCATATCACATCTCTCCGAACACACCTAATTCTGGACCTTTGTAGTGTATTCTAGCCCAGAAGAACCAGTTGAGAGCAATAAATATACCAATCACACCTATCACAGCAGAAGAGTAATCTAAGAGTTGGTTAGCAACGTAATCGCAATAAACAGCAAGAAACGAAAGCTAACTTACTCATATTCGAGCCCGTCACAGGTAACACAGCTGGAAGATCCCAAAAGATCAGACAGATCAGGGCGAAGCCGACAGTGAACAAGTTGGCGATCCATCCGAAAGCATGCGGCAACCCGAAGGTGAGTGAGTGGGGTAGCAGTCGAGCAGGCCTCCCTCTAGCAAGCAGCAAGGCAGCAGGAAAGGCGAATGTGACAAGTTGCAAGATGGAACCAACGCCGATGAACGCATTGAATGCAGTCGAGGAGCCCAGGTAGACGCAACCTATGATAAAAACGACAAAACCGTTTGCCCAAAGTGCCCAGATGGGGGCTTCATGGCGAGCATTCATAGTGGACAACTTGGAAGAAAAGATCAAGCCCGTGTCGCGGGCGAAGGCCCAAGTAAGTCTTGAGGCAGTCTGTAAAAGAATGGTCAGAAGATGTCATAGAGTGCTGCGGACAAAACATACTTGCTGGCAACCGGCCAGAGCCATCAACGCTCCGACGAAGAAGAAGGCCACGAATGCGTCTGCTGCAACCTTTGATCGCATGGCTTGACTCCACAATTCGAGAACAGGGAATCTTTGTCGACGATCAGCAACAATATCCTTGTCCACAAAGCTGATTGTACGTACCCTGTTGGTGTTGACGCAATTGCGGTAAAATCTTGTGCAGAGTACATGGCTGCAACCGAGATGACGAAAGACGTCAAGAAGCCAAGCGACCATGTGCTCAGTAAAGCCCTCGGGACAGCTTCCCTGGCATTCGTGGCTTCTTCAGCCAGGTGTATAGCTCCATCGAGACCTCCATACATGTAGCCTGGCGTAAGAAGACCAATGAAGAATATGACCCCACGATTGCTCCATCCACTGCCATCAAGAAAAGTGACCCAGACCGACTCAGTCGACTGATGTGTAGGTGCGCGGACTAGCGAGATGATCGTGGCAGCAAGAAATGCGACGAGAGACAGAGCAACTGGAACTAGTCAGCGAGCAGGTCATTTGTGATCCGGTTCCAGCTATACTCACAGAAACAATTGAATGTCCACATAGTACGGCGTATCGTATAAATGTTGTGAAGAAGACACAAAAGGTTCACGGCTTGGTAAATCAGAAATACATGCCATGCCTTGAGGGAGAACGAGGGGTCATGGTGAATGACCAGCGCCATTAAAGCTTGGGGCGCAATGACAGCTACGCCGGCAGAAATGGAAATCCATGAGAAGATGTTGATCATTCCGCACGTGTAGCTCTGCAAGATATTAGCAGGATGCTTTAGAAAGAACAGTACATCATGAAGATGGACTCACCAGACCTCGAGCCCACAACTTTGGAGCCACGATAGCTGTCCAATGATACCTGGTTTTACTGCAGTCAGACTTTACAATCATTGACTTGTCACCGTAGAGATTGCTGACTTACTGGCCACCAGCTGAAGGATGTAAACTCGCTAGTTCTGCGAGAGTGTAGACAATGAACCCATACATGATGAAAACAAGCCATAGTCCATAGAGGAGGTTTGGCGAGCCCCCTTGAATGATCACGAAGGCTAGTGTGGACATGACACCTACCCAGCTGTTGCAGATGCTCCAGCCTACAGAAGCCGTTTCAAGCATACTGATATGGCGAGTAGCCTCACTGACATGACCAACTCGACATGACTCAACGTCAGTTCGTGACTGACTTGTCGTAGCGACTGCTTGGGGTCAGCTAGGGTGAGTATGAATTCATGCAAACTTACGTTGTAGCTCTGGAAAGGTCTTGTCCATCTTGGCCAGTACAGTCGCTTCTTCTGAGTTCTCTTCTGACATGCTGGTAGACGAAATAGAGATGGACAAATATGCTGGTAATTCTGACCAGTGACGAGGAGAATCGTCCATGATGTCGCCTGAATTTTATAGTCCATCCTGGACAAGTAGCTGTCCTATCGCAGCTGGAGCAGGACGCGTATCTCGGAATCATGCGGGGTCGCATACTTCTTGCCTATCTCCAGGCTTGTATCTCTGATAGATTCCAAGGTACAAGCCACAAGTCATCTGGCGGACGCAGTGACGAAGAGAGTTTAGGACCGGGAACGAGAAGCATCCAACGCACGGACCACGGCTAGATAGTCCAAATTGGGAAGTTTTTGGCTTTCCCAAAGCAGAAGTCCTTGCCTTTGGCGAGGATACAGCTCCCGCCAAGATCGAGCAGTACTGCAGTGATACTGATGTGGCGGCGATCTTCGCCACTCGAGACATCAGCGCCGTGCGATGCATTCCCAAGTGATAATCAGAGCTGTTGCCCGCTTAATGCGAGCTAAGTTTGTACTTCGCAATTTTACAGTACTTGAAGTGCTCTGCACCAATATTGAATTTCTTTGAGTCTCACTCGTGTACCACAACCATGACTCACTCGAAGGAAGGTCATCAATACGACAGCACTGGCATACACCAAGGTCTGAGAACAGATGCTGTTGTTTCAAGCACTGTGAACGCAAAAAGCTCGTATGATGTGATCGTGATTGGCTCAGGATTCTGCGGCCTCGTTGCCGCGAGGAATCTTGCCCTCGATCGCAACTTGCGTGTTTTGCTTCTCGAAGCTCGTGACCGCATCGGTGGTCGTACATGGACGGCTAAAGCATGGGGCGAGGAGTTTGAGATGGGCGGAACTTTTGTGCACTGGTATCTTGACATCTGCCAACACTTTTACTGTCCTAGGGCATCTGACTAAAAATCTGAGCCAGGCATCAACCTCATTTCTATGCCGAGATGCACCGACATGGTCTGGAGAAGCACTTGAAGATGTCAGCCGGAACGACGGCTACGGACACCATCTTATACAAGCCTCGAGGATCGAATGTGACGATGCTTGACGTGGCCGAATACAATCCCAGGATTGCGAGAGTTGCCGAAGTTTTCTTCGGCATTGACGGCATGACTCCACGCGAAGTTATGCCCTATCCTCATGAGCCATTCAGGCCTCAACCCTGGCATAGATACGACCTCATGAGTTGCCAAGATAGGCTTGATCAGCTTGACATCCCTCAGGAGGACAAAGACCAGTTTATCTGCCACACAAACTCGTTCGGAAGTTCTACGGCCTCAGAAATTGCTTGGACAGATGCACTGCGATGGTATGCTCTAGGCGGCTATAGCCTGCAAACCATGTATGATGCCGCTGCGTGCTTCAAGCTTGGTCAAGGTGGCATGACGAACCTGGCCCGTCACATCTTGGAGGAGTATAATGGAGACAGACTCTTGAGCAAGGTGGTGGACTCAATCAAAGAGACGAAGAATGGGAAGGTCACAGTCTCTTGCGCTGATGGGTCGAGCTACAGGGCACGCCGAGTTGTGTGTACCATTCCTCTGAACTGCCTCTCCGATGTCCAATTTGATCCACCTCTGTCTCTCGCAAAACAGAGCGCCGCTCAAGCAGGCCACACCAATCTCGGCGAGAAGTATCATTTTGTCCTCAACGAGATCCAAGGGAATTGGTTCGCAAACACGACCGACATAGAGTGTGACTTCCTTTTTGGTCTCAAAGATCATGATGGTCAGTAATCTCGATCCTGGCTCAGAACGATGATCCAGGACTAACAGCCCCAGGTACTCAATCTGCGAACAGAAATGGTTCAATAGCCATGATGTTCGGCCAGACCGGAAAGCTGACCGATCCGACCAAGAGCGAGCATGTCATCAGCGAGTTCAAGAAACTCCAACCAAGTGGTGATGTGCGCGGTTATGTTTCACACACTTGGTCTGAAGATCCTTATGCCAAAGGCGCATGGTTCTGTGCATTCCCTGGTCAGGCCACCAAGAGCTTGAAAGCACTGCAGGAACCTCATGGAAGAGTCTTTATGGCAAGTGCCGACTGGGCACAGGGATGGCGTGGATTTATCGACGGTGCCATTGAGCAAGGAGCCCGGGCTTCCGCAGTCGTGAAGTTCGCATTGGAGCAGGAAGATTGTATCTCAGCTCCTAAGCTCTAGGTGAATGTAGCCCTACTCGAGTATCATCTTCATTATTCTTTTCGCGTTCCGTTTTGCCTCTGTCATGTGATTTCATGATTTGATCCATCAATATGTCATCTCGGTGAATTGTAACCACTCGCACACGATTTCCGTGAGACTAGATTCCACGTATGATGTCAAAGAGTGCGCCCTCAAGCTCGCAGGGAATTCCACTCTACCAGACAACATCGACTTGCTATAATCAATGCATGAGGATCCTTCGCCAGGATATCCTGCCATGTCCACTGGTTGCTAGTGACTGAAAGCAGAGCGAGGACGTTGCGTGGGTGACTTCTTGCGATAGGATACTGAGAGTCAGCACAGATAATCTTCGAGTCCGGCAGATGGCTAGCCTGGGACTTCCGCATTAGGAAGTGTGAGCCTAGATACCGCATCACCTCCACAGTGTGCCGAGCTCAAAAAGAAAGACAAACATCATTTCAGCGCCTGCCTTTCTCATTGAAACGCCTCCCAAACCATTCTCCGCAACAAATCCTGACTGTTAAGATGGTTGTTGATTACAAGTCCGCGACGGAGCGATTCAAAATCCCAGATCAGATCAACAACTACGTCTTCTGGAGTAAGTCATTACTATCCTTTCCACAGAATGTGAACATGGAATCTAATTTTGTCACGCGAAGGTGATATCTTCAACACAGCAGACACGACCTTGAAAGACCCATTGGCCGGCATCTGGTTTCGCATAGAGCAAGGTCCACCAGTAGGACCCGGAGTCCACGGCTATGACGAGGCTGGCGTGGTTTGGGAAGGTGTGTATCCTCTCCAATGAGAAACTTCGTGCTGTTGCGATTACTGAGCAAAGTACAGGTACGGTGACTCTAAGTGATGGAAGCGGAAGAAAGAGAACGCTGGGACCAGGGGATAGCTTTTTCATCCATCGCGGAAGCACAGTCAAATTCTCGTCGGAGAACTACGGGGTCTGCTTCAAGTGTGCGGCCAGACCGAAAGGCAAGCTGTGAGTAACGGCTTGGACAGCAGTCGAGATCTAGTCCTAGAAACCTCTGACAGGTGGCTGTTACCCAAGTTCACCTATGTTCAGATAAGGCGTAGCTTGATAATGGGAACGGTCGAGACAGTACGGAGCTGCGTACCAAAACTGCTTCCACCCTACTATAGGTTGCCAAGAAAGCCTGCTGATCAGCGTAGTCAGCTTTGTATACGGGTTTCACTACTCTTTTGGCAAAAGATCTAACCAAAAAGCAGTTCTTTCACCTTATCTTTCACTACGCTTCCCTTGAACCGGGAATTTACGAAAGATTACGGAACCCAGAGGGGTGCAAGCACTTTTGGTACGCAGCTTCGTAGTGACAGCAGAGAACGATAGTCCTATCAAGAATGACATTGAGCGTTGGAACAGAAGCAGCTATCAGAGGCGCGTAGATAAGCGTTATCTCTTGGCAAGTTGATACGTGCAGCAGTTTGTATTGTTTGCCTCGCCCTCAATTGCGGGGATAAGAATTGGAAGGCTCCTGTCAAGTTCCAATTCCAGACCACAATTACCCCACTTGGGAGGCGCTGCTCACTCAGATTCAATAGTCTGTACAGATTGACCTGCGGTCCTTGTTCGCCTGCATGGCGGTATTCCCGACGACTGGAGCATAAATCTCCAACCAAGTGGACAAATGCCCAAACACGCACGAAGTCGAGGTCAGTAGATTCCCAATCAGAACAAGGAGCGACGACTGACGCTGCGGGGAAAAGACGGATGTGCGAACTGCAAGCAAAAAGTGATTCTACAAAATCCGGTCTCTATCAAACTTGGCCTCATGACTCTGACCATCCCTCCAGCGCATCAAATGTGACGAAACACGACCGCAATGTAAAAATTGTATTGACAGACGTCTCAAATGTCCTGGCTTTGTTCGGCAGCTCAAATGGAAACCGATCCCTGCTTTTATAACCGCATCGACATGTGGGTCCCAGGACTCTCAAGAAACTTCTCCTGGTTGTGGCATTTCACCCGGTGAGATCAACATCTCGGGCCAGGATGTGTCTGAAGCGCAAAGAGTACAACTATACTCTTCCAATGCAGCTGAAAAGCCAGCCCAACCACCCAGACCGAGAGTGCATTCGCTGCCATCAGGCTCGGAGGATACTTTAGATCAGCTTGGGTCCACGCAAGGCCCGGACAAGCAATACTTAACGGCCCCTTTCTCTCATCAAGGTCGGGGTCAGACTGATATCTCGACTTTTCCCATGCCCACGTTTGAGTCAGCCGGATCAAATTTAGCGTGCTTTGGACAAGACTCTTTGTCTGGTTTTACACCATCTAATGATACGTCCTCCCCTGACCAACAGCTCTACCCACCATCGATCGACGACACATGGGCTCATGTATTCCAAGAAGTGGCCACTGTCGCATCGAAAGACACGCAGTCACCTGCCAAACAGTTGTCTGAAACGTTGGCGCATCTCGATGACACCTGGCTATACGAATCAACCAATCTCGCCTCGGTCACCGATCTACCTGGCATCAACAATACCGCTGAGAAGTTCAATCACGAAACCACACAGCCGGCCCAGTCAGACCCCTGGAAAACGTCTTTTTCCACTATGCCGCTGCCTAACAATGCGCTGCTCGATTCAGAAACGAAAAATGCCTTGACAACACATTACTTTGACTTCATCTGCCAGATAGTGTCATGCTTCGATTCTCATGAGAGTCCCTTCCGTGCTGATATCCCTCAAAAGATGCTTACTTGCGAGTACATACATGACTGCGTTGTTGGTATGTCAGCAGCACATCTGGCCAATTCCGTATCGGGGATGGACAACATAGCTCTGCGTCATCAGAATCGAGCCATGTTCGCGCTTTCATCAGTCATTGATTCCTTGTTTACCTCAAGAGACGGTGGGAGTAAGCAGTATTGGCTATCATGTTCGTCCACAAGAACTACCAGATATCACGCACTTCTGGCGTGTCTCTTGCTGAATATGAGCTCGGTAAGCACATCGGAGGCAAGTGCCTGTAGAGATGAATCTACTGACAATATCAAAGGCTTGGTATGACTCTTCTTTGACGGGTCTCACGCATCTGTTTGGAGCACGCCTGCTATTTCAAGCATGGATAGTCGATGAAGGGTTGAAAGTTGGAGGAGATCAGCCTTCGCTGTTGACACGCGAGCAGAGTTTTATCGTTGGTGCAATGGCGTTTCTGGAATGTCTGGCATCTATCATCATCGACCAACCAATTGACGTCTTGAAGTATCTGCAGCCATTCGCCAACGTCGCTGAGGGTCAACGGATTTATCCAAATCCTTGGACCGGCGTCAGCACACCTCTGTTCATCATCCTGGCCGAGGTGGCTACACTCATAAGACAGAAGCGAAACCTCAAAGCCTTGAGCTCTGCTGAATCACCAGCCGACTCATTGTCTGGATTAGATGAAAAAATGAACAAGCATGCTGCTCAGCTGTTTGCTTCGGCACTCGCGCATCGCACTCCTGCTAGGGCGAAAATGGAAGAGACTAAAGATTCGAAAACGCCTTTGGATCATCTCATCGGCATGGATTGCATCTTCCGCTTTGTAATCCTATTAGAGCTCTCGCAAATCTTCCCTGACGTTGTCCTGAGTAACGACACCCAGATTCTCGACACGACGGAAACACAACGAGAAGCTGAGAAAGTGGCACTGAATTTTGCTATAGCGGCCCTGAGATTGATCTCCGACTTACCAAAGACGTCTGGAACGTTAATAATGTTGACCATTCCTCTTGTATCTGCTGGAAGTACTTTGCAGAACCTCGAAAGCTATCATTGCGATTACAATTTCGACTCTAGTTCGTTCAGCGGCTTACGCAAGGATGTGTCAGATCTCATCAACCAGCCGCTCCCGATAGCTGCATGGCGGGATCAAGTTGAGCTGCGAATAGCGCAACTGGAACGCCGGGTGGGTCTAGCGCCGGTGCGCAGGATGAGAGAACTTTTGGAGGCCGTTTGGCGACAGGCCGATGAGACAGACGTGAGTCGCGGATACTCGTTGCGAAAGCATGTCCACTGGATGGACGTAATGATAGACGAGAAGCTGGAGACGCTCATGGGATGAGACATCGCAGAACTCGGTCGAGAATGTTGATGTAGGGAGACGCATCTTCGAAGTGCCCTTCCAACTCTGCTATATGCCTGGAACCAGACCCCGCCCCAAAGAGCCAAAAGCCTCACCACATGATCACCGCCCAGAACTCAGGTAGTCACAAGCGCCAATGCTTTCAAAGTCTCAAGATCTTACCGCAGCTTCCGAAAACAGGCCCCAGTCCGACTTCCCAAGCAATTCTTCGGATAATCAGGCAGTACAAACCTCATGACAAAATATTCGGCGACCGGACATGCAGACCAACTGCTGTCCAAAATTGCGTTTGCTGATCAACACCTGACTACATTCGTGTCCATCCTATGAATGCAGTTCCAGGCGAGGGTTTCTCCCACCTGGGTATTGACGGCGTCTATCGCTCCTCCAACTCGAAACTAGAAGTGGTTGGTTACAAGCAACTGAATCCTCAAGAAATTCAAGCTGTGATGCGGTTACACCAACCCGCATTAAGTCCTGAAATGTACGCAGCCGCGTAACAGAAATTCTCGGGGGTTGATGGTAGAGATGTGACGGATTTGGAACAGCTGATGCATCCCGGTCCTGGGATTGCTCCGGAGAAGCCATCGGCTCGAGTATGCTGGGAAGATGGCGAGAGGCTATATGCTCAGCAAATCTAATTCGTCTCAGGACACGATAGACACATAACCATCACAGCTTAAACTCAAACAATCGATATTATAACTATTCAAACCAAAATACTAGAAATCCCTACATAAAACAAATCAAGCCACCAACTCCAGATGAAAATCATCATAACAAAAGAAAGCGAATGCCATAAACGATGTACTGAGAAGCAAGTCATTGCGAGATAAGACAACCAGACGCAGAAATAGCAAAAACGTCTGTAGCGACAGTGATGATAAACTGTTTTCTTTGTTTCCTTGAGTTTTTCTTGTTCGTGTCGCGACCCGCAATAGTCAAGAAATGTTTGTTTCTGTGGAAAGCGAGAGATGTCTTCGGAAGCGAAAATCAAGGACTGTTGTAAACACCCTTCTGAATTCTGCGATTGCGTGGTAGAGGCGTAGGTGTCATGCTATATCTCTTCTGTTCGCTTGTCAGCTTGATCTCCTCGACCTTCTTCTATCATGAGAAAACTCACATTGAACTCTTCATCATCCAAACTACTATCACTACTCTCTTCCCCTTCACCATCTGCCTCCTCTTTGTACTCCGAATTTTGTTCAGCTTTTGTATCTTCTTTTTCTTCGCCCTCTTCTTCATCAACTCTCTCAAGTCTCGCCCTAACATCTCTGACAGGAATATTCAACTTCCCTCTCAAAAGCGTAAACAGCAGCGCATACTCATCACTCCTTTGTTCCTCAAACTCAAACTCCACAGCTCTTACAGCAGCAAGATATGCTCTTTCCTCTGCCAAAGCCATTTCTCTGTCAGGATCACTGATCATACGTTCAGCAGATCTGCGTCGTCCTTCTGGTGTCAAGGGCTCAAAAGAAGGATAGGGAGGTTTGGGAGTAGGTATCGGAGCACGTTTAGGTGTATAAAGATAATGCGGAGGACCAAGAATGTCCAGAAGTCGATTGGGGTTGAATCTGGGGAGTCTGGACGTCATGCCTCCGGTGACTAGACCTTCGTAGAATGGGTCTTCGAGGTTTGAGAAATTGGTGATGATGTCGGCGGGTCTTTGTTTTTTGGTTTTATCTGTGGAGTCAAGGCTGATGGGTGTATGAGGCAAAGCACTAGAGATCTTGGGTTCGGTTGAGTGCTCCAAGGTGTCAATCTTGCGTTCCAGTCGCTGCGTGAGAAGTGCATTTTCGCGAGCTAGGCGATCGCGTTCAAGTTTGAGTTTTCTGGTTTCGGCTTCGGCGAGTCTGGTTGCAAGTCTGGCGTCCCGGAGTGCTTTAGAAGCCACCTCTTGTTTGTTAGTCTGATGCGGTAATGGAAGAAGTGTCGAACATACCTGAAGATGCAGAGCCCTCATCGTCATCTTTGATCTCAGGGGGACAGATCTTGGTCTTGTCTTCGAGTTGCTTGGCAAGTGCTTCCTTCTTTTCCTCAAGTTCTCCTACCCTCTTCTCTGCAGCTTTCTTCGCCTCGTTTGCGTGGTAAGCTTTTGTCTTTTCATCCAGGAAATCATACCACATTTGGGTGTTCTTGTCCGCAGCTTCCTTGCGTGCTTCTTCGGCCATCTCAGCCTGCTGCTTGTACATCTTTTCCATAGCATTGCATTGCTCATGATCCTCGGCTTCGAAAGCTCGTTGCAGGCGTTTCCTGTACCACTCAAGGTTCTCCTCGACCCTCTTCTTTTGAGACAAGAGCATCTCGATATGATTAGTCCTATCAAATAAGAATCGCTGCAATTTGGCGACTTCTGGGTCTGAAGATACGTTTTCCGGCACAGGAGTCTTGTTGAGTTCAAACTGGTTGACCCAATGGTCAAGCTGGTCCTTTGCATCTTTGGCTTCCCTGTTCGCTATGTCCAGTCTTTCTTGTGCGAATGAATCTTCCTTGATTTGAACCTTAGCTCGTTCGCACTCCGAAAGTTGGGTTCTGACAGTTTCGAGATCATCAAGGGCCTTCTTTTCGTTGGCAAGGGCAGCCCTGTATTTCGTGGCTAGTTCCCTGGAGTGCCTTTCTTCGTCGCTAAGGTCGTTTCTCAGCTGTTGAGCTTCCAATTTGCACCTCTCAGCAATGTCTTGTCTATTCGAGGCATCATTCTTGAGACCTTGCATCTGGTTCTTGAGATTCTTGATGGTTTCTTCGTGCTGGGCGACCCGTTGATCTCCGTCTCTTTCATAATCGGCAACAAGCTTTTCAAGTATCTCGCGTTTGCCACCTCTTAGGCACATACCATGGTCGGCGCCGCGGTTGTACATGCCTTTGTAGTGGTCAAGCTCTCTGACGGCGGCGTCGATTTTGCTTTCCAGGCGCTTGCTCTTGTTGTCTAGCACGACTAGTTGGTCTCTGAGTTGACGGGCTTCGCTTTCTGCGTCACGGCACTTGGAGTCTGCTTCGGCGCGGTCGTCCCTGAGCTGATCACGCTGGGTCAACAGATCGCGGATCCTCTTCTGGCACTCCGTGTGATCGATGCCGCCAGAAGAAGCTTGGGGATCCGGTTGGCCCTCGATCTTGACTGGAGAGGTCTGAGTAGAAACACTTGAAGTCTGCTTTGAGGCTGCAGCCTGTTTCAATTCCTCCACTCTCAGCTTCTCAGCTTCCCATCCATCACGTTCGTCGTAGAACCTCTTTCGCAAGGCCACATTGGCTTGGTGACAGTTCTTCAAATCTTCAGCAGCCTTCTCGAGTTGTTGATCTCTCATCTTGACCAAATCTTCTGCGACGATGAATTTGAGCTCAAGCGAGCCGGGCGGAGGATATTCGTCGTCACCATTGTTTCCTTCATCTTCACCATCCACATCAATGCCGTCTCGCTGCTTCTCAGCTCTTTCCTTCTGCTTCCTCAACCAACTACTCTCGACTCTTGCTTCCTCAAGCTGTTTCTTCGCACGCTCCAACTCTTCATTGACATGCTTGCAAGGGTCCATCCAGTCATCATTGGATGTCTCGACAGGATCCCAACCTTCGACTTCCGCTCCCGGTTGTTTCTTGTTAGCTGTGATCTCCTTCTTGGCATCTTCAAGTTCTTTCTTGACGTTGTCAAGCTCGGCTTTGAGATCCTGCTCCGTCTTTGCAGGGCTTGATGGTGCGGTAGTAAATAGAGAAATGGTGGTGATCTTGTTCCACAATCCAACACCCTTATCGGCGGTAGGATCAACCTTCTGTTCAACAGTTTTAGCTGCTTTCTTAGCAGCTTGAGGTGCAGTGCTGATACTCTTGATAGCCGAGTGCGCCAAGGCCTGACGCTTCTGATCAGCACAAGGACCAGCTCGAGGTCTCAAGTCAATCGAAGAAATCGCCGACTGAGTAAACGCAGAAACCTTTGTTCTGGAAGCTAACAGCTCTCTCTCGAGTCTCTCTACCTTGTCTTCAAGTTGTTTGCAGTATGGAGAGAGATCAGTAGTCTTACTTCCTGCAGATACGCCTGCTCTAGGTTCAGTGCTGACAGATGAGATGTAGGAGTGCTTCCAAGTCTGTTGGCGGGTTGTCTGAAAGCCTCGAGGAGACTTGGGAGGATTGGGGTTAGAGCGCTTGGAAGTCGGAGAGCGAGGTGAAAGCGGCAGAAAGACGGAGAGTGGACTCTTGGGGCTATTTCCCTTTTCATCATCGTCCTTACCATCACCTCCATTGTTGCCATCATCGTTGTCGTCGTAGTAGTCAGGGTAAGGACTAACTCCACGGTTCGCAGAAGCAAGCGTAGCAGCCCAAATCATCAGCACAACAAGAACGCTACCACCAAGAGCGATAATCACGCCATGATAGCCTCTAGTCGACTCAATAGTGTCATACCACAAGATCTCGGTCACAGAAAGAGCGGAGTCCTGATACATAGGCATCTGGCCGAGAGTCGTGTAGGGGAAGACCAACAAGGAAAGCAAGATTGACAAAGCAAGAGTGATCCAGAAACGACGCCAAGTCATCTGAGTGGAAAGCGGCACAACGTTTTCCTCTTGAACCCTCGGTGTAGCAAGTCTTCTACTCTTTTCAAACTCAAGTGCTCTACGGTACTCATCGGCGCGTCTCTTGAATTGATCAGCTTGTGCTTCGGCTGCAGTGATCTTCTTCTCTGCTTCCTTAGCAGCAGAATCGAGTGCAGCTTGGTGAGCTTTAGCGTCCGCCTTCTGTTGCTCGTTTGTCTTGATGGTCTCAGGATCGGCCACAGCAACCTTCTGCTTAGCAGCTTCGTGCTCTTTCTTCTCCCCTGCCAATTCGGCCTCAACACGAGTGAGCTGTTCACGAACGGGATCATACAGAATAGTCTTGGCTTGTAGCTCTTCGTAGAGCTCCTTGACACGCCTTCTGACTTCGGCACAATCGTCTTCGCTCATCAATAAGTCAAGCTCCTGTTGAGCCTCTGCGAGTCTCTCCTTGACGTCTTTGCAAGGGTCTGGCCATTTCCCAGAGGCATTGAAGTCAGGCACTGTAGCCATACCAACTCTGAAGTTCCTCAGATGATCTGGGATCTGAGGGAAGGCTGCAGAAGGCTTGGCACCAGAGGCACCATGAGCAGCATCGGCAGGAGCGGCAGGCGCAGCCTTTGCACCGGGTGTTCTCGATTGCTCTGGGATTTGAGGGAAAGCCGCAGTATTCTTGTCACCAAATAGACCATGAGTACGAGCAGCAGGTACAGCCTTTGCACCAGGCGATCTCAAGAGATCCGGGATTTGGGAGAAAGGCTCAAAAGCCTTAGGCTTAACCCCAGGTCTTCCACTAGCAGAACCACCAGCCCCTCTCAACGCCTCAGGGATCTCCGTAACTACCCTACGCTGCTCATCAATATCCTTGAGATCCTGTTCAGAAGGAGGCAACAAAGCATAAGAGGCACGCCAAGCAGTCAAGTCTCCATGACTCGGGAACTTGAGTCCATAAGCCCCACCCATGGATTTTCTTTGCCTTGCTTCGTCGCCGAAGTCAACGAAACCAGGTTTCGCAGGGGAGCGTTCCCATGGGTTGCGACCGGCAACGAAGCGACGCAGGCGAGGGTGTTTTCGCAGGTATGTTCGCCATGCGGAAGCTAGGGTTGCTTGATCGGGTGCGTAGGGACCAGGGATGGTGTTTTTACTGGAATCTGCGGCAGGTCGGCGTGGACGAGCGTAAGGTGATCCGAAGTGGTCGGCGCCATGACGTCCTAGTGGACGATGCTTGCATACTTTGGGTGACTCAGAAGCTGAGGGATCCGGATTCAACGACTTCTTTCCGATCTGCTCGTTGTAGTCTTGTTCACAGCAGACCTGTCTCATCTTGAGTCTCTGAATGAAGTCATCTTTATACCTCCTCGGCTCTCGAATTGGAGGTGTGCTGGGGTCGAAAGTACCGTCTCCACCGCGGAAAGGCGATAGCCAAATCGGCCTATTGTTTGCAGATTGGGGGGCAGCAAGTCTATTTTGGACAAAATCTGCATAACTCATTGGTGTGTTGTCCGTGATAGGATAGGTGAAGGGAAGCGGCTGCATATTGAAATCCTTCGCTATTTCAGCATTGAGAGTTTGAATCCATTCGAATGGCGTCTTCAACATGCTGGAGTCAAACTTGGGAGCGTCGGTCGAAGCAGTTGCAGTAGGGATAGATGCTGCATCGGCATGCATCATATTGACTGTGAAGTCCGTATCAGCTCCGAGTCCAAAGAGTCCGGCTGCAGCAGCAAGTCCATTCAGGTCTGCCTCAGCAGGTGGGAAGAATGTCGTAAAGTCGAACGGAGATACATAATCAGTGGCGACATCATCCTTCACCTCAGGAGCGGCAGACTTGGAACCAAGCTTCTCCGTGGCAGTAACGTTGTCAGCATCGACCCATGCATCTACTTCGGGAGTAGGATATTTGTCGAATCCTGACCAATATACATCATCCGGAGACTTGAGATATGCAGCAAAATCGAAGTTCTCGAAGTCCTCTTCAGTGGGTTTCAACTTGTAAGGCGGAGGGGCAGATCTAGATCCAGATCGAGATCCGATTTGAGAAGCAAAGTGAACAGAAGGTTCGCTAGATGCACCAGCACCATTTCTCTGGAACTCTCCAAATGTAACAGCATTACTCAACCTCGGTCCAGGAATGCCAGCAACCTCCCAAAACTTTGTGTTCTGGAGTCGTTGCCACTGTGAATTGCTTCTCTTGTCATTCTTCCAATCAATGACAGATTTCTCGCCGTTCAGTTGAGCTTGAGCGTCGTTGAGTTTTGCTGTTGTAGTGGCGAGTTCGTTTCTGATGTCTGTGCAGGGATCGCTGTTGTCCTTGTTCGAGTCGTCCTTCTTGGAGTCGTCTTTCTTGGAGTTATCCTTGTCCTTGTCGGATGATTCCTTGGCTTTCTCCAATTCAGCCTTAGTATCAGCAAGTTCCTTCTTGACATCCTTGCAAGGGTCGTCCTTCGGTGATTTGTCGTCAGAATCATCATCGCCACCATCGCCGCCATTAGGCTTGCCAAAGATGCCCCTGAGCTGATGCCACAGCCAGAAAGTATAGATGACCAAGAACAAAAAGAACAAGGACGCCCATCTAATGAGGAAGCTGTGAGGTCCACGTTCATGTCCAAAGATGAAGTCCAATGTTGGCATGGTGTAGTGGTTGTAGCCAAGGTGTTCCAAGACCAGAATCACAGCCCATACTGCTGGCAAGAAGTACTCATTCTCAGTGTACTGGTTGGACTTCTTGATAGCGGTCTGGTACAAGGGTATCTTCTTGGGTTCAGTGAGCTGCCAACGGGTATTCTGGACCTCATTCCAGAGACCAGTGATGTCGGGCTTGGGGTGATTGGGGACACGATCCTTCAGCACGTAGACAGGATTGTTGTAAAGTTTCTCGTTGGCGTCGTACATGTCGTCGAAAGTCTTTTGCAATCTAGGAGGAGGTTGGGGCCAGCAGTCATATGTAATTTTCGGCCATGGGTTCTCGACAGTACCTCTGAAGTCTTCTCCAGTCTCGTGGCTGGCTGTCTTAGGTGCAGACTCGGTCGTCTTAGAAGCGGATTCGGGTGTCTTAGAAGCAGATGCGCTTGTCTTAGCTTCAGCTGCCTCGATCGACTCGGGAGTCTTGCTATTCTTAACCTTCTCAGCAGGTTCCCAAAAACCCTTTGACAACTGTGTCTTTGAATCGCGCCAATCATTTCTCGCAGCATAGAGCTCACTCAGCTGTCTACCCAAGAAATTGAGCTTCTTGCCACTCTCAAGATTAGACTTGAAGAATTTGCCTTGCACTTTGTCAAGTTTCTTCTCCAAGTCGAGGTTCTTGGTCATTAAGTCTTTTATGACTTGATCTGGCTTGAGAAGAACTTCCAGCTTCTTGTAGAGTGCAGCCATTTCCTTGTGGTGCTGAGCTGCGACGATTTCATTGCAGCCGATGATGTTGGCTTGTCTACGATTGGCTTCTAGAGCTTCAGTGAGACGCTTGCGAAGTGAGGTCGGTGCGTCGTTGAGAACAACTTCGAGCTTGTTCTTGAGTTGCATGTTCTCCTTGTCTTTTCTCTCGACGATTTCTTGCTCTCTCAAGAATTTCTCCTTGTACAGAGTTAGCATCTCGAAGGCATCGACTTGCTTCTTGACGTCCCTGAGTTGCTTCTTGTATGTGCTGCAAGGGTCGTTCTCGGGGTCTGTTTCTGCTTCGGGTGCCGGAGTCTCCTCTGTCTTAGTTGCCTCTACTGGTTTTTCGGCAGCGGGTTGAGTGGCAGTTGCGGATTTCTTGAAGACACTGAACACACTCTGGATGAGACCCTTGGGCTTCGGCTTGAGCTCTTCCTTCTTCTCCTCAACTGGCTTAAACTTCTTCGCAGGGGCGTTTAGTCGGTAGTCATCGATAAGTCCCTTGAGCTGAGTTTGAGCGGCAATGAGTTCCAGGATAGTATCTTTGCACTCATGATCATTCTCAGGGGGTCCATGTCTATCGCCGGCAAGCACATAGACTTTGGAAATAGCCTCAAGCTTGCCAATCTCAAAATTCAGCTCGGCAATTCTGACAGCATCATCGCGAACTCGTTGTACAAGCTTGTCGATCTTGGCTTGAGTATCGTGTGCGCTCTTAGTCTTGGCGATCTGTGCCTCAAGGTCACAGATCTGTTGGATCAGATCACCGTGCTGTTGTGCAGACACGTTGGTAGGCTTTTTCGCCTTCTCTTCGTCGAGCAGTCTTTGGAGCTCGTTCAAACGAGTTCTAGTGGTTTCAAGCTCATCCCTGATGTCCTTGCAAGGGTCTCCGGAGTTGGCATCTCCCGTAGCCTTTACTCTGCTACTCTGGATGCGAGCTTGTTTGAGTAGTTTCTTGTTGTTCTCATTTTCGACCGACGTAGTTCGAAGGGCATCTTCCAAGTCTGCGTGTTCGATCTTGAGGGCTTCAAGCTCGTCCCTGACATCCTTGCAGGGATCTTCGCTTGTGCCACTGCTCATGTTGGTGGTAGCGGCATCAACAGAATTTTCCAATTCCTTCCTCGTTGCAGCATGAGCATCAATCTCCTTCTGGAGTTCAGTCCTGGTAGCGAGACAACACTCAGGTCTCTTGCCTCCGTTGAAATACTCAACTCTGCCGATGAGATTCTTCTTCTCCTCAACCAGAGTCGAGATCCTCTCTTCAAGACCAGGGATAACTTCCACCTGTCTCTGTAAGTTCTCGATTCTGGCATGAAGACCGACGCTTTCTGCGTTTTCAATCTGAGAAGCCGTGACATTGGCCTCGTCTTCCCAGATCTTGGCGGCAGCTTCGAACATGTCGAGATTGTTTTGGATAATTGCGACTTGCTCTTGAAGCTGTGCTTTTTCGGCGGCAAGTTTGCTTGCATTGCCCTCGGTACTGAAGGAATCCCAAAGGTCGTTTTCTTTATCGGCAGGAGGAGCTGCGAGCTTTCTGGCTCCCCATTCTCCAATCAGGCGGTCACTGATCTTCTCACTCAAGGATTGCTGAGATCTCTCAAGCAATGCTTCAAGCTCCTTGATACGGTCATCCTTTTCGGAGTCCCTGAATGAGGCACCACCAGCTGATGTTGGTGCCGTAGATGTACTGCCGGGGGATGCAGAACTGTCTTCAGCACGAAGTCTCTGAATCTCCTTCTGAGCGTCGGCAAGATCGTTCTGGGCCTGTTGGAGCCGTTCGTTGGCCTCATCGAGATCACGTCGAGCCTCATCTGTTTCGTAGTTGCAGCCACGGATTTCGTACTTGCGGAGTCTAAGCTTCTCTTCCAACTCCTTGTTCTGGCGTCTGGCATCACCAAATTGCTTGGAGAGATATGCACAGTCGTTGCAGTAAGGCTCTGCAGAAGCTGCTTCTTCGGAAGTTGGAGATGCACCTGGAGGGGAGGATGGAGAACCAGCATTGTCTCGATCTTCCAGAGCCTGTCCCTTCGCTTTTCTGAGCTTCAGGTTCAAATCTGCAATAGTCCTTCTCATCTTGTGACAGTGAGGACATGCTGGAGAGTTAGGCATCTGAGCAGCAGCCACGTCTTGATCTCTACTGCACGCAACAAGCTCTTGGTTCTGCTTCTCAAGATCATGTATTCTTGCTTCGAGATCGCGGTGTGCCAAAACGTTGCAAGTCCCTTGGTCGGTAGAGCCGTTAACAGTAACACCCCCAGACTCTGCCTCTGAGCGTTCTTCAACAAGCTCCTTTTCGTAGTATGCAACCTGATTTTGTAACTCCTTGTTGGCATCCTCGACTTCCTTGAGCTCCTCACGAAGGTTGGCATGTGTAGCTCGAAGCTCGATCAACTCTTCCAGAGCACCTTCAGGGTTACCATGGTAGGTTTCGAATGTCTCAAGAGCTTGTCTGGCTTGCTCCAAGTCGTGGTCTTGTTCCTCTAACTTGGTGGACAATTCGCGGTCTTGCTGCTCAAGCTCGGTCACTTTCTCTTTTGCGAGTTTGAGATCAGTCTCTGTCTTGATCATCTTCTTTTCCAGACCGTCCATGACAGTGATCAAATCGGTTTGACGAGCGATGAATTCCTTACGAGAGAAAGGCCTGTCCGCAAAGACAAAAGTAGAAAATACGTCGTAGTTACCATAGCACAAGCCTTGCTCAATGAGGACACGCAAAATCTCTTGTTCAGTCTCTTTGTCGAGTTCAAGACCAAGAGCACGGATTTCCTCGAAGATCTTGGATATTCCCAAACCTGCGGCAAACCATGTGACAACTTGATCCCTGGTAAGCAGGTCAGGAAGAGGAGCATCCTCGACAAGTCCGGTGCGCTCGAATTGGATATCGCGAGCAGTTTCTGCAGGTTTGGAAGACTTTTCAGAAGGCTTTCGGTTCTCGTTGACCACGCTAACAATCAGTTGAGCGATATGCTCTCTGGTTGCGACAGGCCATGGTTCTCTGACCGTTGCATAGTGAGCGAAGGACCAGACTCGTTGTTCCTCGGCAGCGTTATACAATTCTCTGAACTTGAGAGACTCCTCTCTGGTACTAGCGAGCAGTCTTTCAAGAGCAGAGTTCTTGCCCGAGAGCGACAAATTCGAGTCTCTCAGAGTTTGCGATTCTTCCTCCGATCCGATGCCTTTGGTCGAGAAGGTCGAGAAGAATGAGTCGACAGGTCCCACTTTAGGTTGAGCAGCGACGAGCTTATCTTCCTCGAGCTCTGATTTGGTGGTTTGGCAGAGGTCAAGTTGGATTTTGAGCTCAGTATTCTCGTCCTCGATGTCGCGTCTGGCAGCTTGCAAGGTCTGAACGCGAGCCGTCAACTGAGCATTCTCCTTCTGAAGCATCTTGTACGCTTTGGTGATTTGGTCGTTCTCAAGTTCCTGTTCGTCCATTCTATGCTTGAGCTTCTCGTTCTGATGGTCATAAAACTCTACCTGGTTCTCCAACAGTTCCGTATTACGGCGAAGCTCCTTGTTGTCGTCTTTGAGCTGTTGCGTAAGATCGAGCTGAGAACGAAGTTGATCCATACCCTTGGAGACTTCATCGTGCTTCGTATTGATCTGTTCAAAATGCTTCTCAACCTTGGCAAGTGCTTCGCTGGCCTCGACAGAAAGCTTGATGGGAGACTTGAGAATGGCTTCGCGACTCTCATTCATAGTCTGCTCAGCTAGCAAACGTTCATTTTCGGCTTCGGCGTTGTCGAGTTCAGTCTCAAGCTCTGCGATTCTTTGCTCGTTGGCGATCGTTTGGAGCTCGAATTCAGATTTGATCCTCTCTACCTCAGATCTCGCGAAATTTCTTTCGTCTTGCAGAGTGACCATACCCTGAATGTCGGATTGCAACTTGTTCTTGTGCAAGGCTTGAGAGATAGAAAGAATCTTGTTATCCTGCGTGCGTATGAAGCTCCAGAGATCATCTTTGGTCCATCCTGCGATACGATGGGATGGGTTGACTGCAAGTCTTCTCAGATCGCCATAAATCATGTCATATCTCTTTTGCATCAAGAATTGGCCGCTGAGCTCCTTCGAAGCAGATCTACGGTGAAGATAACCAGTCTCGGCAGGGGCGCTGACACCTGGCAATCTCGTGTGCTGACTGGCAGGGTTGTTGCTGTGAACCGGAGTCTTTGCATCAGCTGAGACGCCGAGCTGCGGTGACTCGGGGCGCGCAGGGACAGGAGGTGGAGTATGCTTGGGCCCATTCTTGTAAGACTCGGCGAGTTTCAGGATCTCTTGCTCCTCGAAGGCCCGCTGGATGGCATCTTGAGCATCCTGAGAGATGTCAAGAGCTTTATTGACAGGAGACAGGTTAAGCTGACCATTTGCCAGCTCCTCAACGACCTTGGGGTCCGTGATAGTGATGGTACCATGTGTGGGCGAGGTGACAATGACAGTATCACCCTTGCGAGTGACAGATTTGATAGCAAGAGGACTTCTCGATTTCGTTGTATGACGTCTCTCACCTTTTGCAAGTCCTTCTTTGCTGCGGCGTCGGTCAGATTCCTTCTTCTCAAGCTTTTCCTGGCTGTCAAAGCGAGTGATGAATGTTCTGGACGGGGACATATATCGATCTCTCGAAGATCTGCGAGCGCGGCCTCTTCTTTCCTCTTCGTCGGAGTCAGAGTCAGAGAAGCGTGAAGATGTTACACTCTTCTCATCTTCTTCTTCATCCTCGATGGGAGAGACAGGTCTTTCGAGAGCCTCTCCGCTGACCTCGAACTCGTCATCCTCGGGGGAGACCAAAGGCTCCTCCTCGAACTCGGGTTGGGCATCAGCTGCTGGTTCAGAATGAACCTTGGGCAATGCCCCGTCGTCTTCGGTGTCGTGCGATGCTTGAAGCAAGTCTTTGGCAGATTCAACCTCTTCATCTTTGGTCGAATCCTCAGCAGAAGTGATGATGATTTCAGGAGATGTTGGTGTTACTGGCTCCTGTTCGGGAGCCAGCTTGTTCGAGCCGGATTTTGGGGTTTGATTCCCTTGGTCCGCCATACTGTTGTCAGTCTTTACAGTCAGGGATGGAGTATACCTTTTTCAATATCTCTCGTTCCGTTCTAAAGCAAACAAAAAGGTAATGTAGGATATTCGAAAGAGCCGAAAACAAGAACAGCATTCGACAAGATGGTAAAACGGGTAAGGAAATAGTTGATGTCAGCAGTGGTGGCACTCTCTCTTGTTCGTTGAAAGAAGAAAGAGGTCGAAAGACCTGTGAGCTGGCCACCATATGTGCTGAAAGCGTGTTGGGTCGAAAGCAGCTTGAAGATGTCCGCATCCGGATGTGTATGTGTTGAACATCCACACAAAGAAGTCATGATTCCAACAGTATCATCGATGCTCTTCGAGATATACTTGGTTGTAGAAGGAGCTGTCGTTGGACCACCATGGCGAGACGGAGTTGCTCTCAATCGACTCTTGCAGTCGATATGCTGTATATCAGCCACATTGATCGGGTCTTGAGGATGCTTCTTCAGGCTCCAGTTGTCAAGCGGCATCGTCGGGGCAAAGGTGGTCTCTGCAGGATTGAGGAATGCAGATCCACACAAAGGATTGTTCGCGACCGAAAGCGGAAAGCTTCACGGCCACATTCGCATCAAGCTGAGCGATTGTCGTCACCATTGTGACGATACCTAGATGGCCTCGATGTTCTCGAAAGATGTAGGCGGCAATGAAAAGCAATCAATGAATACAATGGCAGAAGGTTATTGCTCATTGGTGTCGAGGGTCGAGTGGTATTCGCGAAATTCGGGGCGACCGATCGTGCCTGCCGTAACTACAGATACTGACAAGTACGCGCCGCATTGCTGCCAGGGTGCTTCCCCTGTCAACCACAAGGACACATCGTAAAGCTACAAATCTGCCTGTAGAAGACTTGTAGATCCTCTGAAACATTTGAAAAATCATCGAGACTTGTTGCTTGAGTACTAGAAAAGATTGAGTGCTGCAGGCTCGAAAGGCCCGTCGCTTCAAGGATCTGTTCTAAAGCTTGAAATTCTCGCTTCGCTGCCTCCGTTGGTGGCTCACTCTACCTAAGAGCAGATTGTGGACACTCATGCTTTGCTCTCAATCTCTGCACATCTAGCCCTCACCTTTCTCTCCCAAACCCTATACGCTCTCCTCCTGTCCCCACTCAACCAATCCACGGAATCCTGAAACATAGTCCCCAATCCAGATCTCAAACCCGCACCAGGTCTATCCCTATCTTCCTCTTCTGCCTCCTTATCCACATCCTCCATCACTGTATCCATATCTAGATCTTTTTGCACTGGCCGTGGAGCATGTTTCTCTTTTCGATGTAAGGGAGTCTTGGCGGGTGGTTTATTCTTCTTAGGGGTTTGTAAGGCAGGGATGGAAGGGAGGGTTGAGGCTTTTACAGTGGTGAACCAGGGGAGTTCGAGCCAGCCTTCTGTTTTGCTGGCGTGCAAGAAAGCATCGACGTCTTTTGGTGTAGGAGAACTTGGTGAGAGGGCGGTGATGGCGGAGGAGCGGGCGGTGGCGTAGGTTGTGCCGTCTATGACTGTGTTGCGAAGTGTGAACGTCGTGACGAGAGAGAGTGCTGCGATGAGGGCTGGAAGGGATGATGGTGTGATGGTAGAGGAGTCCTCAATCGCGGCGACTTCTTCTCCGTCTGTGGATGTTCGTTTTCGCTTCTTTGCGGAGGAGTGAGGAGTTGGTTCAGGCTGGGTGTCTTTCCAGCCTCGTAGAGGTAAAATGGCGGACAGAGCAGCGCAAACATGTGGCGTAGCCTGTGGCACATTGAGAGCATCGCAGACGGCCTCAGCCATAGGACGTACATGTTCCGGCAGATTGTCTTCCTCTTGATCTTTTGCCGTCTCCCTCTGTCTCTCTTCTTCCGAGTCTTGTATTACGACCTCCTCTTCTGTAGCCTTTTTCGCTGACCTCGTCCGTCTACCGGACCCTGTAACACTGTCCACACTTTTCGCAACAGAAGCTGGAGTCTTCGATGGTGTAACACCAGCACTCTTGACACTCTTCGCAGGAGTCTTGGACGGCGTACCCACAGGTGTACCCAACACACTTCTTCTTCCTCTTCCGCTTCCAGGCGTCCCTGTCGTACTCACATCCTTGAGCCTATTCGTCCTCGGTGTCGCAGGCTCTTTCAGCGCTGCATCCAAGTATCCATATAGTTTCTTGTAGATGCGCGGCGCAACAGGTGGTCTAGCAACCACTTTATCGATATCCAGACGGTGTTTTAGTCGGTCGACGGCGATGTGTGCGCAAGTGTATGTTCTTCCAATTTCTTCTTCTGGTTTTAGAGAGGAGGCTTTGTTTCGTGATTGAGCGAGGAGGGAAGTCGAGAGATCGATGAGTTCTTGCGGCAGAGAATTGAGAGTCGGCACCAGCGTGATTAGAGCCTGCTCGATCGTCGTCGGCATCGTGAATGTCTCCAGGACCAGGAAATGTGTTGATGGGATGAAGCTCTAGACAAACATTCAAGCTCTCGATCGCGGAAGACGCGAAGAGTTGGCCCGAGGCACGTCACGCGCACGTGCTTTCGTGAAGTCAATCATTTTTCCACATCCAGTCGCTTCTACCATTTCACAAAAGACAAAAGCATGTGATTCACAGAAGACCGAGGAATGTAATGCGAGGGCTTTACTTCGTCTGTTAACCAGACAATGAAAATCATGAATTGTCTCTCCACCTTTCCGGAATAATCTATACTAGAAACATCTCAACTTTTAACGCTTGCCAGCAGCGAGCATCTCCTTCCTTCTCATCTTGTCTGCTGTTCTTTGCAGTGATGTTCTCATGTCTCCCTTCTTGAAGTCCTCAATGTTGTAGTACTTGGGTGCAATGTCCAACAACCACTCAGGACGCACCGAAGTCACTGTGCGGATGTAGTTCTTTGTTGTGAGCACAAATTCATTGTACAGAACCCACTCGCTCTCGGTGCCCAATACTGTCGAAGGGTGCAACAAGACGGTCTGTTCATCCTTGACTGTGATGTACTGCTTCTTGCCAGAGTCTTGCTTGGCACACTGCATGAAGTAACCACACACCAGAGCCTTGCGGATGTTCTCGTAGTACTTCTTGTCCTCGAATGGTGTCGACATGAGCTCGATCTCGCTGCGCTCCATGATTCTCTTGAGTTGCATGCGCACATTGTCGGCCTGCTGCAGAGCACGGTATGACAAGAAGTGATCGTGACACCATTGCTTGGGGTTCTCTTGTGCTGCCGGTGACTTGAAGGCGTGGTAGACGTTGAGCATGGTAAGATGGTCACCGTCGGGGTGTGCAAACAGGTCCTTCATCTCATCGGCACGCTTGCGAGCGCTGTTTGGTCGCACGAAGATGTTGGGTACTGAGAGAAGTGCTGTGAGGGAAAGGATTTCGTTGGAGCAGTAGAACTCAGGCGATGAGATGAGCATGACTGCAAGGGCAGGGTCGAGAGGGAACTCTGAAGCCAGGCGACCAAGCTCGGTCAGCTCACCCTCATCATCAAGACATGCCAGGTAGTTGAGCTCTTCCAAAGCACGCATAAGAGTCTCGGGTGCAGGAGGATCCATAAGGTCGAAATGTACCAAGTCGTCGATACCAAGCTTCTTCAATTCCAGAACTGTTGATGACAGGTTTGAACGCAGAACTTCAGGGTATGATTGGTCAATGAGCTCTTTCTTGAATGCGGCCTCGGTGTAGAGACGGAAAGCCTTTCCAGGCTTGGTACGTCCAGCACGACCAGCACGCTGTTGAGCTGAAGCCTTGGAAATAGGCGAAACGAGCAGAGACTCGACTCTGATTCTGGGGTTGTAGACCTTCTGCTTGCTGAATCCGGGGTCGATAACGTAGACGATGCCATCGATAGTGAGCGAAGTTTCGGCAATGTTGGTAGAAATGATGACCTTGCGACCAGGACGACCACCAGCACGGAAAGGTGCAGGGGCAGGGTCAAAGATGCGCTGTTGTTGGGCTGGGGGCAGAGAACCGTACAGAGGGTAGACCTTGAGTGGGCCTGCATCTGCTTCTCTGATCATCTCGTCTGACTCTAAACTAATCTTTCTGCAAGCATCTTCAATCTCCTCTTCACCAGTCAAGAAGAGAAGAATATCACCTTCGGGCTCGGTGGCGTGAATCTGGAGAACGGTGCGAATAGCGGCTTCGACGTAGTCTCTCTCGGGTTCGGCGGTATAGAAAATCTCGACGGGGTGGGTACGACCAGGAACGGCAAGCAGAGGGGCATCGTTGAAGTACTTCTGGAACTTTTCGGCATCCAGAGTAGCGGACATGATGATGATCTTCAGGTCGGGTCTGCGCTGAGCGACCTCCTTGAGAAGACCCATGAGGATATCGGTGGCAAGAGTACGCTCGTGAGCTTCATCGAGAATGATAGTGCTGTAGCGGCTGAGGTTGTGGTCGTTCATGGCTTCACGCAGAAGCATACCATCAGTCATGTACTTGAGAATGGTGTTTTGCGAAGTCATGTCCTCGAAACGAATGCTGTAACCAACTTCCTGACCGAGAGTGACATCCATCTCTTGAGCGACACGCTGGGCGACGGACATGGCAGCGACACGACGAGGCTGGGTACAAGCGACCATCTTGCCCTGCTGGTGTGGGAGATCATCGTAGAGGACGAATTGGGGGATTTGTGTCGTCTTTCCTGAACCAGTCTCACCGACGAAGACGAGAATTTGGGTTTGCTGGAACATTTGGAGGAACTCATCTCTGCGCGCCTGGTTAGCAAGTGACACGGTTGGCTGCGAATAGAAGGGCATACCTTTGAGCGTGGACAGGCAGGTTTCTGCGAGTCTTCAGGATGCCAAAGTAGCGCTCTGAGAGGTTGTTGCCATTGAAAGGATTGGAAGGACCGTCCTCGGCCTTTGCTGCTTGGGCGGCGGTAGTGGTGTGGCGCTTGAGGTGGGTGAGACCGTCGGTTCCGCTTCCTCTGGATCTTCCGTTGGAATAGACATTGTCTTCGTCGTGGTTCATGTGAGCAAGGTAAGGGTTCGAGGCAGGGTCGGATTCCATCTTTTGACGCTTTGCGCGCGACTCGTCGCCGGATCTTCTGTCAGACATCTTGTCACTCGGGGGTATTCGGCGGGTGTGATATGTCTGATGTTCAAGAGCGGTCGAGATAGTTCGAGGTACGACCGGACAATGAGTGCGACTGGAACGATAGAGTGGGTGCCGTCGAAAAGTCAAGAAAGACTCTTGAGTGGTTCAAAGAGTCGCCGCTGGAATCCAAAAAAGTCCCTGCAACTCCATCATCATCACGGTCTTGGCGTTTTCAGCTCCGCGCAACGCGCCTCACATCTTATCTCTGCCCTCTCTTCATCTCTTTTCGTAATCATCCTCACGTCTCATTGAATCATCGAGAGACTTTTTGAATTGCCCTGTGATCTTACAGTCACTTGCCGCAGTCTAATCAGAATAGAATCAAAGTCACTTCGTGGCGCATTACTCGTAGTCGATCTTGACAAGAAACGCACAGCCACCTGTGCCCCTCCATCCTTCGAGCTCAGCCTCATATAAATCCATCCCACCTGCATCATCGTCATCCTTTGTTTGTTCTCTTTTCACATCTGTATACGCACACACCGCATCCTAATTTTTATCATGGCAAATACCAAATTGCTATTGTTCCTATGCTTGGTAGCAGTCTTGCTCTTCGCAACTCCTACCCATGCCTTTGGCGCTGGCAACATTGCTTCAATCTCCAAGATCGAAGGCAAGAACTGGCGCCATGGTGACATTGAAGACATGCTCAAGACTGTTGACTGCCTAAAGAAGCACAAATGGACTTCAATGATGATCAAGGTAGGCTTCATTGCTGTGGCATGCTAGCTTTTCATTTGTTGATGACCATAATCTGCAGCGTGTCTACTTTGGAAACTGGCTTCGTGACTACAGTCAAGCTGTTGACGTGGGCACTTTGAAAGGTGTTCCTGCAAGCACTATTCGTATCCTGGTCTGGGTCCTGGCTTTCATGAGCTTTGGCTATGCTACTGGAGAGTTCGAGGTCACCGATGAACGCCTTGGTGTCTACCGCCCTGAGGAACACATTGATAATCCTAGAAACTACGCAGACGATAGTACGTAAGAATAGGCTGCAGTTAGCATGGGTCCAACATCGGATGGCTCCGGCAGTCGTCAGGTGGCCTTTTGGCAGCTGTTCTACCATCCGTACACAAGAAACATGCTAATCTTATCCTTGTCTTTAGTTGACGCGAGACAGTATGATCAACGTCTTCGTGGTCCTGTACAACCGGAGGAGCTCGCGATTGACCCCGACACTGGAATGAAGAACTACATCGCCAACGAGCGTGGTGGCTGGGCCACTTCCTCAGGCTATGTCAGATATAGCTTAAAGCGAGCCATTCACTTTGGACGCATGTATACTCACGGCGCAAATAAGGGTGACGAGAAAGACCTGTGCGAAGCACTCCGCTGTCTTGGTCAAGCTCTTCATTGTATGGAGGTCAGTAAACCTTAAGCCGCGTCATGTGCTCGTTGCTGACTCGTCTCTGCCTACAGGACTTCGGTGCTCACACCAATTATACTGAGCTGGCTCTTCGTGAGCTTGGTCACAACAGCGTGTTTCCTCATGTCGGTGTGAATACTGAGATCAATCTCCGTGGCAAGCGTGTCTTCCCTTTGGTCACTGGAACTTTCGGTGGTGTCGATTTCATGCACTCCGTCCTTGGAGAAGCTACCGATCATGTCACCCAGAGCGAAGTTGATGAGATGCAAAGTGCTCTGAACAACGCTTCGGCGGAGGGAAAGCGCTCCGGATCCGGTCTAGCAGGAGAGGTGTCTGGCCTTGTCAGCTTGTTGTCAAAAGTGCCAGGTACAAGTTCTCTCTGCCAAGAAGCTGTTCGTCTGCAGGCTGAGTCGGACCAATATGCTGCTCAGAATGCTGGTGCAGGTGCTCGTGGCTTCGATGACGGTGGCTACAGTCAAGACCGTGCATGGAATCCAGTCGCGTCTGCCAACGGCGCTGCTGATCCCCAGGCAATCGTCGCAAAGATCTACCCAATTCTCGTCTTCCGCGACAATGTTGTTCGTAGCATCAGCAATATCGTCTCCAAGATCCCTGGTCTCGAAAGTCTCATTGAGAAGATTACCGAGAAGGTCACGTTGACAGTCATGGGTCTCCTTGCACCTTACATCACCCCTCTGATCGCTGCCGCTTCCAACAGTCTCAAGCAAGGCAGCACCAGTGTGGTCGAGGCCAGTGGTAAGCATCAATATGAGGTTTGGACTGATCCCTTCAGCACCGACCCTACCCATTCTTTACTTTCGAAGGACCATTTCAGCAACATTCTGAACGAGCCCGCTGGTAAAGTGGCTGCTTGTATCCTACAATACGTGGCACCTCGTGTCATCTATGCTTTCGACCATCCAGATGTGCCTGAGGACGAGGTACTCAACGATGTCCTTCGTGCCTTCCACCATCCTGCGATCCGTGATCCTCACTGCGAGATTCAGAAGAACATGTTCGCTGTCGTCGAAAACTGGGCTCGTTCGCGTCCAGACGGTGGTCGGGATCTAGACAGAGTCCTTAGCTCTGAGAGTGTCAAGGCTGGACACAACCACACAGGCGGCGCAAATCCTCATCTCTCGTCCCACGGTGGCCCTGGTGATATGCAAAACGTCTTTGGCATGGGTCAACCGCAGCGCGACATGGATGCGTCTGGTACGCCTCAGCAGTCAAACTATGGTCAACCTGCTTCACACGGCAGTTGGGGTGCACCTCCACCCGCTGATTACAACCAGCAGTATCAACAACCTTATCAGCAACCTCCTCCTGCAGGGTTCGCCAACAACGACCCATCAGCTTATCCTAGTGCCTATCAGCAAGGCTATGAGGTTCCCTACGGAGCACCTCCTGGACCACCTCAGCAGTATGGGGGTCAGTACGGTGCTCCCCCTCACGGGCAGCATGGTGGCTATGATCAGCAACAGGGATATGGTCAAGGTCCTCCTCCTGGTTACGGTCAAGGACACTCGTCTGGATATTACCAAGGAGGTGGCTACTGAGATCAATCATGATGATAGCAGAGACTAGATTCTTGGAAAGAACGACCCCTAATGCGTATTGGAATCTATTAATGAACAAACATTTACCTTTATCAATACTGCTGTCTTTGAAGGAAGAGACAGTCATCCTCAGACCTCTTTGCGCTACCTGATGAAAACTCTTTGACCTGATCTTCAGTCGACTCAAATTTCTCGTATTGCGAAAGACTAGTATCGCTCATGCAGATTTCCTCAGTCAGATTGACGCTAAGCGATCAGGGACAAGCGGAAGAACCAGCGAGAAACAGCCTTCTTCTTGTTCAAATCGTTTTCAAATACGAGAATTGCATTTGTTTAATTGACTTGCGCTGAGATCTAGTAAAGTTACATATCTTGGTGTCTCTCCGATTGCGTGCTCGAAGTACGTTTTTACGTGACAGGCGGGGTTGGAAGTTGAGAACATCACACCTATCTGACTATCCAACTAACATCACTTTGCAAAGCTATTGCGACATTTAAAAATGATCCTGTTCGCTGCAGTGAACACTCAACAATACTATTATCAGCGTGAATGCGGGTATTGTCGTCCCGAAGACATCCTTCGCTGCAGAATGGGTTCTTGCGTGCTACAGAGCCCTGAAGCTTGTTTCCCATAAACATGTGGTCGATTCCGGATTTTTGCCCGTATGTGTTGAGTTGAGTCTGAGTGTTGGCTGCCATGGATGTCAAAACAGTCGCTGTCATTGGTGCTGGCGTTAGTGGTGTTTCCTCTGCCATACATCTCCGAAACGCTGGATTGGACGTAACAGTATTCGAAAGAGGAGATGTTTCTGGAGGTGTTTGGTAATGTTCACCCTCCTGAACTCCGCTTTGCTGGGATTCTCGATACATCGGAGAATGCAAACTGATAATTTAACTATAGGGTATACGACCCTCGCACGGCCTTAGAACCATCTTATCCAGCGACCTTACCTTCGGTGGGAGATTCACCTATCTTTGATTCTCTTCTCGAGTCCAAAGGTCGTAAAATTCGCAGAGATAGTCCTGTAGACCATGACTATCCCGCTTTGAAACCTCCTCCAAATACCAAGGAGTTGGAGATCTTGCATGCGCCGCCCGGGTATGTCTACTTAATCAATCAACCCTCTTCTCGGTGGCTTGACTGACTGCTGATAGGCCATGTTACCAAGGCCTTCACAACAACGTCTCTACTCCAGAGATGGAATTGCGTACCCACGATTGGAAGCCAGAGACTCCTGATTTTGTGCCTCATGATGTGTTGGCGACGTATATCCAAGACACAGCTGCTGCCAACAACATCCTTCCGTTGATCTCTTTTCGCACTCGCGTGACTAGGGTTGAGAAGAAAGGAGGGAAGTGGGAAGTCAGCACTGCAAAGTTGGTTGACGAAGATGGTGAAAAGGAAGTTCGAGAATCAGTACAGGTGAGTACCAGAACCTCGACCCAGAATCGAAAAGTGCACAATGTTGATGAGGAAGTTGCAGCTTTTCGATGCGGTCATAGTGGCAAGTGGACATTACCACGCCCCCAACATCCCCTCATATCCCAATCTCAGCGCTTGGAAAACCGCTTTCCCAACACGCATCTCGCATTCAAAATCCTATCGCTCGCCTGCACTTTTCACAGGGAAGAATGTCTTGGTGATTGGTGCTGGAGTCTCGAGTACGGATATCTGCCGCGAGTTAGGTGGTGTTGCGAATAAAGTCTGGCAATCTAGTCGAGGTGGGGAGTATGATCTTCTGCCTTCGATGTTACCGGGTAACTGTACTCGGATTGGGGCTATTGCTGGATTCTCCCCGCTTATCTCTATTTCCGAACTTAGAGATGAGGATACACTCACAGGCAGCATCGTCTTGGCCTCCAACGACACGATCACCAACATCCACCACATCATCCTCGCAACAGGCTACCACATGTCCTATCCATTTCTATCTCATCTCCACGGCGATGATTTACTTCCCAACCAAGCTTCAGAAACCACACTCGTTACTACAGGACAAGTAACCCATAACCTCCACAAAGACATTTTCTACATCCCAGACCCTACACTCGCATTTATAGGCGTCCCCTACCACGTCGCAACTTTTTCACTTTTCGAGTTTCAAGCAATGGCTGTAGCTGCAATATTTGCTGGATCTGCAAACCTACCGAGCGAGAAAGAGATGAGGAAAGAGTATGGAGAGAGGGTAAAGAGGAAGGGTGTAGGAAGGAAATTGCATTCTTTGAAAGATGATGAAGGTGAGATTGTGTACGCGAGGGAGATGATGGCGATTGTGAATCAGGGGAGAAAAGAAGAGGATAAAGTGGAAGGGCATACGAAAGAGTGGTTTGAGGCTTATCGGAGGAGGTTGGTGAGGATGCAGGAGAGAAGAGGGTGGACATCGACAAGGAAAGAGGGTGTTATTTCTATAGATGGCACCAAACGGAACACAGGAGATAGATGATAGATGCAGGAACCGAGACATCCTAGCATGGCATAGCAAGATACCTCAATGGGAAGTTCTATGGAAATTTAAGGTCCGACTAGCGCCCGCATGTGCTTACATAAGCAACGTCCCTCCTGTCTCGTCCTCATGCTAACCACGTGAGTCACTTTATTTACAACCAAGGATTAATATCAATATCATAATCAATGGCGAACAAAAATCCATGGCTATACGCAGGTCTAGCCTCCTCATTCCCCAACATCTCACGAGCAGAAGACAACAAAACACGCCTCTGCAACCCCATTCCTGACCCCTGGGATCCACCTTCTGATACCCCTCAACCCTGCAAAACATTCACAAAGCCCTCTGCAGACTCCTCCACTTCAACACTATCCGAAACACCAATTCAAGACGCATCTACAAACTCCGTCTTGGTATTCCGCTACAAAGAAAAATTCCACGCGATAGAAGCAGCGTGTCCGCATCAAGGGTATCCAATGACCAGAGCCAGTCTCTCAGACATCGAGGACTTTGGAATTGTGTTGAGTACGGGGATAACGTGTCCGAAGCATGGGTGGATGTTTGATTTGTTCACGGGGGAGGCGGATACGGGGAGATACAAATTGGGGTTGTATGAGGTTGAGGTGAGGAAAGGGGAAGATGGGGAGGAGGGAGTTTGGGTGAGGAAGAAGGAGAGGAAGAGGATTGGGTAGGGGGGCGAATTGGGTTGGTATGGGAGATGATTGGACTCTCCTGGAAATGTAGGAGAGGTCGCATGTGTGTGCTTGAGATGAGCGCAATAATGGAGAAATCCCAGGAGATGGGCACGTTGGCTCCGGCCGCCATCACGGCAAAGAATATCTATTGTCCGTTGGCTTGATCTTCCAAGTCCTGGTCATCTCTAGCACTTGGGTGTCAAATTCTGGCTTGCACTCTGCCGGATAAACTCGACTGATCTAACTACTCTTTTGCTGGTCTTCAGTGTGCTCGACCTCGGCGGAAAGCGGCATTGAGACTGGCACCTCAGCACCAGAAGGGTCAGGTTGGGAGTTTGTTCTTGAGCTCGAAAACATATCCTCGTAACCAACTGGCATTGCTTTGGAGACATCCGGAGAACAGTAACATGACATTTGTATTGACTTGGATCCGAGATTTGTTGCCCTGTTATGGAGAACGGCTCAGTCAGCACCACTTTGACGATGGGTAGGATAATAGCGGTTGAGATGGCCGGATTTTGAGGCACTCAATTGTTATGAAGTCTCCTGGTCACGCTCGGGGACAGACTTGCAGTACTCACACCAAAGTTTTAGTCCTCCCCACGGAGGATAACCACAACCCACACAGGTGTGCTTGACTTTGTCTTTATACAGTATTGGGACGTGTGTCTTCCAGATAAGACCTTCGCGGAGTTTCTTGCTCCCGTGTGTAAGCTAGACAACCAGTCAATTTATATCATGTAGTCCACATATCGGGAAGACGTACCCAGTAGCGAAAGCGCATTCTCCCAGAAACTTGCTTGTCCTGGTATCTTTGTCTTCCGTGGACTCTTTTGAGTTCTTTCCTGGCCTCCCGCCAAACAGGATCTGCATTTACTTTCTGGTTATAAGCGGCGTTCCTTTTTAATTCAGCCTCGCGCCAGGCCTCATCTTCTTTTCGCCGCCTATTCAGCCAAGCCCTGATATACTCCCGCTGCTCTGCCCGCTTCACAGGGTTATTGCTGTACGAGACAAGCGGGCTGCTGACCGAAAACTCTCGGCGAATTAATGATAGTCCGTTCACGAAAGATCGTGGCAGACATCTTGCAGTCTGGTGCATCGGAGTGTTCATGATGTTAAGAGGCAACAAAGCAAGCTGGGGAGTCCAATTGGGTGTCTCAAATCATCCGACAGATGAATGTTGGGTCTCTGTTGATGATGACCTAGTATTAGATGATGCACAACCCCTGACTATCAATAACTTCACAGTGAGAGAACGCAAAGGAGATTGATCGCGGTGTGATGGCTGCACGCGCCGCCGCAAGCAAGCTCGGCGTTTCGGCGTCCGAGCTCCGACCTGTATCCAAGCTTCACCACCAAAATTTCGATCCATTATATCTCGACATTCCAAGCACCGAACGACACGAAAACTAGCTCAAAAGATGCGCTGCAACTTCTTCTACCCTTTGACATGGTCAAAAAGAAGCAAAAAGCATCGACGCCTGTGTGATTCGAACACACGCTCCCGAAGGAAATGCCTTAGCAGGGCATCGCGTTAACCACTCCGCCAAAGCGCCTTGAAATTGATCCCGGAACTGGTTAGATTCCGAAGCTGGATGGAAAACATCCAAACTTTTGCATATATGAAGCTGTAGCACACGAGAGCTATATCCCAGTCTGGCGATCGCTGGGACCTGCTTTCCCCATGAGACAATTGCTTAGACCAGTGGACTTGCAAAGCTCATGAACGGATTGCAAGCTTTCATGATTGTTGCGAGGTTTAGGGCATCGTGCTGCGGTGAGAAGAAAATTGAAAGACGCTGGCGGAGGAGATTTTTTGGCCTCGAGTCAGATTTTCTTTTCTGCCTGCGCAACGGCGAAGATTAGCCTTTCTGTCACCACGTCCCTTCCTTTACACAATCATCAAATTTATTTACAGGCTACATTCTGAGGCTACTACTCCAGTGCCCAAATCCTCATCTCCCAGATGGCGAGCATTGAGGCTCCTGAATTGGCTGCTCCCATCAGCGAGACCAATGATGCCTGATCTCTCAGGCAGGTTCTTGACCAGCCTTATACCCCTACCGTCCTGATCCTTGGTGCTAAGAATGCCCTCTCTGAGCTCTCAATACTAAGTCTAATAGATCCAAGTCTAGCATCATTTACTATTTTACCTTCATTGGTTGTGCTAGAGCTAAGAACAAGGGTAATATCTCCTGTTTCCCTTATCAACGAGGGTTTAATGATGTGCAGATATGCAACATTTGAGATACCTTTAGACGATGTGGTTCTGCAGACTATATCTCGCTAATGAATTCTTGAGGTTAGAGTCAGCGGTCTGTAGCTATGTCTCGATTATTGTTATAGCTGGTTCGACTCGACACTAGCCACAGGTGCGGCTTCTCGTATAGGCCAAGACGTCGAAAACATCGTCGAAAGCCGCGCCTGTATACCGTTCACTAGCTATGGAGTTTCTGATTGGTCTTCGTGGTCTTTCGACTCGAGATGAATAGCAAATGTAAGTGCAGGAGACGGTCACTCCATCCAATAGCAATTTTCTTTTCTTCTTGTCGTCTTCTGCCCCTCGGCACACAACATTCTCGAGACAATCGGCTTCAACATGTCTTTGCTCGATCGAATCAAGGGCCATAGCAAGGAGCCTGCCTCTGATGAACCAGAATCAAAGATCTTGCGCGAGGATAAAGTCCTGGAATCAAAACTGCGAGGTGAGATGATCCCTTTACCTGTTTGACTTGCGTATTGACCAGAAGATCTGCACAGAGTGCACCAAAAAAGTCCCAAGATACCTCTTCAGGATGTGGCACCCACAATCTGGCGGCAACCGACAGTTGAACACAACAGAAAAGATCACACCCCTTGCGTTTCTGAATGGTGCTGGCCACAACAGCGTCTACGACATGTCCATTCAAGGATTCATCGACATGACCACCAGCCATCTCAGCGGTAATCATATCGCCACAGAATTCTCGTCATGGTCTGCGTCTCCTCGATTTGTCTTACACTACGCCACAAGTGAGAGGGAAAGCGCCTATATCGCTATCATCGACACGCTAGGGCTCCAGGAGGAAAACGGAAACAGCATGTTCTGGGTGCCTGATTTAGCGATATTTGAAAAATCAGCACCTGGTCGTTCTCCGGACTACGAAATGTATGATTGGGAATACCTCGTGCATGGAATCGTCGACGGAAGACACTACAAGGCAGTCCCATTCAAATCTCTCTGTCAGGCAGGGTTGACCAATTATCTGCCGACGTTGAGAAACCATGTCCAAGCATGGGGTGCTAACAGATTTGCACTGCCGGTTTCTACTGTGCCGTTCAGCAGGGAAGAGCTGGAGGATCTGGGCAGAGTGGCAAGCCTTTTTGGACTGCATTCGAACCTGCGCGCTGCTGTTGCCGTCACCTTGTTCTGTTGCAAGAAGCGTGCTGAGTCCGGCAAGGGGCTCGAGGAGGAGGAGCTGGAAGAGATCGTCCACCACATCGGCGGCCGCAACCTTGGTGTGCCTCCCTCTCCAACGATGTCTATGATCTCCGCTACGAAGACAATAAGCAGATGATCAACGTGATGCGCGCCGTGTCTACCTACTGCTGGGGAAGGGGCTCTCGAGTTCGTTTCGCAAAGTAGGTTGATACTTCGGCTTGCTTCCACTCTTCACGCGTAGCTATAAAAATGCACAATATCATCAGAAAACAGGACATTGTCCACTGAGAGGCGACACGACATCGAGAAAAGTCAAACAACACTTTTTCAAACCATCAAAACTTGTGCTCTTGATAACGCGCAACAAGAAACGCGTTTGCGTTTGTCGGCAAACAGCCATTCAACTACAAACGCAGAGCACATTACCTTCATGTTCGTCGCATTGCTCCATCAACTCATTTATCTCCTCATTAAAGGCTCAAAACTGTTCAGATCAGAAGTCATACCAGTAGTGGCCACTTTCCAACCATCAACCCACCAGAAACCATATCAACATCAAAACCAACACTCCCTTTTTCTTGCTCGAGCAACCCACAGGTATGTCATATTCTCCCTCTGTCCATCTCTCCCGCTTTCACTTACCTTTTTACTCACCAGTCACAGATTCCTGACCACTCGCAACCATGAATCTTGTCGATATGATGATCCTCGCCGTCTGGATCCACTTCTTTCGCAACCCCACTGCTACAGGCTGGCTTGTCGTTATCTATTGTCTTTACTGGGACATCAGGGGCATAAGGAGCTGGCTTTTGAGACTGGCTGCTGAGTACATGGATCCTGCCGTATGACTTTGAGACCAATGCCATGGAAGTGGACAGCGAGGCAGAAGAGGACCAAGACCGTGCGAGCAGATATTGCAGCAAGAACCATCTCCGTTGTTGTCAACCCGAATCACAGCAGAAGCGGACTCCTTTACGAATCGTACTTAGAGACGTAGCGAACGAGACTTTCGAGCGAACTCAATCTGAAAACTCATGACCATCATTTGAATTCGTCGCAAAGTGGCTGGATCGTCTGGAAAACCAGTATCGCCATCCGTTCTACTTGTTGCCTGTGAGGCTGAGGTACTCTGCTCCAACGATCCGGATGCCAGAAATTTCGCTCCTTGACCAAGTCTTTGTGACTAAGTTCAGCACTGCGATAAAGTCTTTCCAGGCTGTGTACACAGGTGCCGAAGCATGCAAGAGCATTGTCGCAGCCAATTCTCGAGCAGGAGATTGATGGAGGTCGTGGTAACTGTCCAATCAGTTCAGGATTCTCAGACAGGGTCCAGCATTGCTGACGCCATTCTTTGAAGGCGACCTTGGTATGAGATGGTATGAGAGGATGAAGCCATATCGGTAGTGCAGGTGCGTCTGAAGCGGCGAACTTGGAGTGATCGCCTCGTTGGTAAGTCTTGTAGACGTCTTCGAGATGACGATACAGGTCTTGAATGAAAGCTTCTTGATCGGCTTCCAAAGTAACAATGTCGTCGTCTTGATCGAAATCGCTGTAGATGGTGCATAGAAGACGATCTACTCTTCTTCTCTCGGCGTGAACATATTGCCAGTGTCTGATGGCACCGAGACTGGAGTCTACTGGAGCTTCGAGAAGGCAGCTAAAACGATACCATGTATCACTGTTCATCAAACTCGAGCCTTGTTGGAGCTTTTTGTGATGCTCGGCCGGACTGGTTGAAGAAAGACACTGCCGAGGCGATGCTGGGTATATTTGCCGAGCGTCAATCTATCCACGGGCGTATCGGATTTTAGAAAGCGAAGATACAGAAAGCGATGAACATCCGGTGTTGGTATGCCACTCTACCGAACTAAGTAGTATGAGGTATGCAGATAAGCTGAGCTGCTTTACAGGGGTCAAGGACGAGTGGAAGTCAATTGAAGGATGCAAGGATAGTCGGACAGGGTGGGCAGTTCCTTTGGTGAGGGGCATTTGTAAGCTTTAGATTACCCCGCGTCATGCCATGCTCCACCCCACTTTTGCTGTCACCAACTCGTTCCTTCCACTTAGACCTTGAAACCTCCATACCACAGTCTCAATTACACAGACAATCAACATATCACAATGCCTGCTGGAAGCTCTTCCGTAAAGCCCCCTCACCCTCCGTCCGGATCATGACAGCAACTGACACACCTTGCAGGTCATCTACCCCAAGGGTACCAAGTTCAACATGGACTACTACCTCTCAACCCACATGCCCCTCGTCTACAAGAACTGGAGCCAATTCGGCCTCAAGGGCTGGTCCGTCGTCCAATTCCCCGACGACAGCGAATACTGCGTCCAAGCCATTCTCGAATGGGAGTCTGAGGACAGCTCCAAGAAGGCCTTGACTTCGGATACCGTCAGCACCGTCATGGATGATGTCAAGAACTTTGCAGACAAGGCTCCTACTTTCTTGAGTGGAAAGGTGGTTGGTTCTTCGTGACTGCAGCAGGGGGAGAGAAAGAGATGGACAAAGATGTGATACCGCTGGATTAGGGGCGTGCTTGTACATATTTCATGTCGCTTGACTGCATGTTCAATAACAGACAATCTGCTACATTTGTCCGTGCTTCAATCGTGTTGCGTGTCGAGACATGACTGAGTAGCAGCATTCATGGCTGCCGCCAGTCGGAAGTTTTTGCTAAGACAGAGACTCGGTCTTACACATCATGAGACCTTGTCTCATGAATTTGGCGCCGTCTCGCTGGCTTTCTAGTGCGCAAGTCATCATGTCGCATATCGAGACATCATTCAGCTGCTGATTGCCGCGCACATCCCAGACAAATGATGAATATGTTTACGCTAACCTGTTTGCAGCGACGGGAAGGGAAGCGACCAGCGAGACTATCAATAGTGCTTTACACCACAAACTGTTTGAGAAAAAGACCCAAGGCGGAACAAACATAATCTAAACTCATTCTCATAAAAACTATCTACACCTATTCACCATGCAAAGCATCAAGCTCATCAACATACATACAATGAGAAAAGAGAGCCACATCAATCAAGATGTCTCTTAACACCCCCAGCAGAAACATAAACAAAAGTGATATCCAAAAGAAAATTACAAAGAAAATAGAAGAAGGGGTCGTCAAAAAACCTCCCTGTCCAGAGGGGGATCCTCTATCCTGCGACCATGCCATGATATATACAACTTTTTGATCCCAAACACTAACAACGAGATGCTCCTTTCTTAAATGACAAAGAAGGCACCGATGAAGAGTGCCAAGACACAAAGGCCAATGTCAGTGTGAACGTTGTCGGCAGCACCTTGGGCTACAGCCTTCATCTCCATCTGCATAGCCGAGCGCTCGTAAGCAGTTGTGTTGCTGGAAGAGCCGTGGATACGGCTGTTGGATGTAGTGCCAGCGGTGGGGCCAGCTGCGATGGCAACAGATGCGGTGCCGGTCTCCTGGGCTACAGCAACGACGGTCTGAGTCTGGTAGACAACGACCTGGGAAGCTGAGGGTGAAGAGGCGGCGGATGAGGAGGCAGAGGACTCTACAGAGACAGGTGTGTATGCGGCATTGACGATGGCAGTACCGCTGGGAGCAAAGACGTTGGCAGTGGCGTTGTTGAAGGCGAAAGGTGCAGCTGAACCACCAACACGAACGGTCTCGGTGAATGTCTTTGTGGTCTTGACAGTGGTTGTTGTAGTAGACATGCTGTCGGTGTTGGTGGGTGCGTAGTTGACGATGGTGGAGATGGGGTACGAAGTTGTGTATGTCACAACTGATTCGCGGATAGTGGCAGTGACGAAGAGGGTGCTGTAGACGGTCTCGGTGACAGCGCTGTATCTTGGGTCGTTTCCAGCAGCGGGCATGGTGTCATCATTAGAGGTCTTGCCGCTCTGGTCAGCGACAGTCCAGTCGGATGAGCCGTAAGAGCTTCCAGCGTTGGCCTTCTTGGGAGTGGCGACCTGAGTAACAACAGGAGTGACAGTAGTGTAAACGCTGACAGTCTTGGTCACGTACTCGGTGGTCTCGGCGCCTTGAGGGTTGGTGCGAGTGACAGGCTGGACCTGAGTCTGGTAGTACGTACGAGTCACGAAGACGGTGGTGTCAATGATCTGTACAGATTCCGAGGGGTCCGAAGGGTCAGAGTTGCCAGAGTTGGGTGCGGCGACTTGAGTAGGAACAGCGGTAACAGTGGTGTACTGGTTGATGGTCTTGGTGACATACTCGGTAGTCTCAGCACCCTGAGCATTAGTACCAGTGACCGTCTGGATTTGAGTCTGGTAGTAAGTACGGGTAACATAGACAGTGGTGTCAATGACTTGAACAGCACCGGCGCCGTTTGCATTGTTGGCGTTGGCGGCAGCGTTACCAAACTTGCCAGTCGAGTTGGAGTAAGGAGCGACCTGAGGGAAGCCAGCGGAAGGAAGGACCTTGGCAGCAGAAACAGGGGCGGTTCCATAGATGGTCTGAGGAACGACGACGGTGGCACCAGTTCCGATCAGACCACCAGTTCCGGCGGCGGCGGCAATGCCAGTTCCGAGAGGGGCGATGATGGCAGATGCAGGAGCAGTGCCGGCGAGAAGAGTAGAGTTGTTCTCACCAGCGCCGAACTTTGCAGCGCGAGAAACCGTGGCGTACTTAGTAGAGGCGGAAGAAGCCTTCTTGGAAGAAGAAGAGATCTTAAGGGTAGAAGAAGAGGTCTTCTTGGAAGAGCTGGAGGAGAGCTGAGTGCCGCACTTTCCAAACTTGGGTGCACAGTTGGCAGTGCTGCAGTAGTCAGTGGTAGAGCCGCAGTATCCGTACTGAGAGCAGCATGAACCGAAGGCTGAGCCAGCGCAAGTGTATCCGTTGTAGCCACCGCAAGTGCCGTCCTTGGAGACGGGTGCAGCAGGGCAAGGGTTTGTGGCGGTGTTGAGAGAAGTGCCGTCAGCCTGAGCGGTAAGGATCTGCTTCATCCAGGTGAGGTAGTTTCTGTTGCAAATGACATTGTTGCCAGCGTAAGTAGACTCCCAGACCATGATACCACCGAATCTGGCGTTGCTGTAAACCTTGCTGATAAGGGTCTTGACCTCAGAAGGCTGCAGATAGTAGCTAGCATCGCTCGCGGCGGCAGTGCTTCCAGGAAGACCAACGTAGAGCTTGATGTCAGCGTTCTTAGACTGAACGCCAGTCCAGTCGTTGTAACCCTTGAAGGTGCCAGAAGAGATAGCCTGGCGAGCAGAGCAAGCAGCAGTGTTGTAGTACTGGATGAAGAGGAAATCGAACCAAGCATTCTCGACAACACTGGCAAAGTGAGCATCGGGAACGATGCATTGAGGAGCACCAGAGATGTAGTAAGGCTTCATAGAATCCTGGGGGTAGAGAGTGTTCTTGAAGGTAGTGATCATCTTGACGTAGCCGTTGGTCTTGTAGTTGGTGAGAGCTCTGCCGTCAACGACAGGAGCGGATGAGAGCTCGCTCTCAATATCGAAATCGAAACCATCGACAACAGCAGTGCCGAAAGGACGAGGGCCACCAGTCGAGGTCCACTCGCTCTTGACAGGTCCGAAAGCACCCCAAAGGAACTCGGCGAAGTTCACAGCACTAGCGTCGTTCTTGATAAAGTAGTTTGTAGGGTATCCACCACCGATTGAAAGAAGAACCTTCTTGCCATAGAGTTGTTGACAGATAGCGATGTCGGTACCAATATCGGGGCAGTTGGAGTAGAGCTGAGTTTTTGTGCCATTGTAAGTGTAGGTCTCGCTGCCACAAGCATTGCCGAAGTTTGAGCCAGGCCAGCCACCAGCTCCTTGGTCAGGGAAGACATTGATGAAGCCAATGCTGACGATGTCGACGTTGGGGTTCTTGCAGACATCCTGAAGACTACCTTGGTTGGGACCCTGTCCCCAGTATGTGACGACGTTGGTCTTTGCGCTGGCGGTGAAAGCAGATGCAAGACCCGAGAAGGCAGCTACTGCAGCTGCAGTGCTGGTGATAGCAGATGATGTACGCATATCGACTCTGAGATAACGATAACGGTATGGTGTAATCAAACAACGGACGGGTATATCGTATAAGAAAGAGTGTATAACAGCTTAAAGCCGAAATGAGAGGACGCAAACACAGTTTGCTTAAAGGAAAGTGAACAACAACCGCGACCGGCTGCAAGGAAAACCGAGCACAAGATAGGTGATAAAAATGAGTGTATAGCAGGAGAAGAAGCAGATGAGAGGGAAACGGCCATAGATAAAAGGTAGGCACCAAATCTCCCCCATTCCCGAGTCGTGCCTGTGTGAACCTACCGAGTTGGAGTCATGACTACCGCAGCCCACTTACCGTTATGCAAGCGCGTTCTGGTCGGAAACGGTATGGACTCGAGATTGTAATTACGGCGCCACTGTCAAAAAGAGGGGCGAGGATGCCTTGGGGGAGGTGATGAACCGCAGCAGGTTGGATGGATGAAGTCGAAAGGGCGCTTCTGAGGTCTGTGCATGGCGTGCCGAGCAAGCGCCAGGGGCTTTGGTCCCTTGATTGGTGCGGGAGGTGATAGCCCAGGCACCAAACTCAATCTTTTCCCTCTCCACCAACACAAAACTCGCCTGAGTAGAGTACCGAGTCACGCTATGAAATGAAGATCCGATGCGATGGTGCAATAGATTGCGCTGGAGCCTGAAAGATCTCGTGGACGGCGAACCTCCGACGTGATTTTCAGACTCGGGCGATCTTCTGAAAATCCTCCACACAAAATCGCTACGCGAGGTCGAGAACGTCGAAAGCGACGATACGAGGACGAACTCCTTGTTGTGCTGCACCGTTCTTCAGGAGAGACGGCCATCCGCCAGGGATCGTGATGCTTCTGCTCTTTGCAGGCACGTTTTGCAAGGTGTGCAGTACAATCGATACACAACGGCGAACTCACCTCCTGCTCCTGAACAACGGTCTGGCTTCCCGGGGGTACTGGAATAGCAATTGCGCGAATACTGTGCCGGGCCAGAGTGTCTACTTTGTACCTCACAACTGCCTGGTCTTGCGAGGTCACTGTTGATCTGCTCATCACTTTTCCGCAGAAGGATTACAGATCTGCATTTGATAGATGTTTTGTGGTTCTCGAGCAAAGCTATGTGTTTCAGGGTGATGCTTAGGGGTTTTGGCCCGCCATGGTGGCTTGAACTCAAAACATCCACCACCGAACATCTGCTTGCTTCTCTACTAACGACGTAAAGACACGCCGGATCTGTTGGAATCCGTATGTGTAGGCAAGCCAGGCTATACATGCAATACCTGACATGGTGCGTCCACCGCTCTCGCAAGAGCGTTTTCGTTTCACGATGCTATCGCTGTTTGCCGAGACTGTTTCTCTGCCGTTCAGCATACCGGGCGTCATATCGATAGACGATGTGATGGCAGAGGCAGCCTTACGCCACGACCTGGTGTCTCGGTACTTTCTTCCTTCAGGCATGCAGGCTGAGTAATGAGAGGGCTTGAAGAGCTGCATGCACATATAGCTTCTAAGTGATGATGTAAAGAAGTGACGTCTGATATGAACAGATTTGTGACTTGAGATTTGCGCCTGGTTCCTTGCTCGAAACAGCCTATTGCTGCCAGCCAGTTGGTATTGTAGACTACGTGAAAAGATCTCTTCCAAAGAGAGGTCTGTTGTATAGGGGTATACTGGTGAAGAAAGGAATAGTTTTGAACCCTCCTTCTAGAATAAAGATCACTGAACGCCTTTTGCAAGAGAAAATCAAAGAGGAAAATCCTCATCTTTTAGCTTGTCCCCTGTAATGTCAAAACCCAGATGTACAGAGTTGGAAAGCGAGACTGGAAGAACGTGGTGGTAGCCAATTGCTCAATCCAGCATAATAGCACCATCATCATCGACGACGATGGCATTGTTCTCCTCGGCGACCTTGCCGCGCTTGGCGATCTGTTCAGCCTCGGTTTCTCCAGCGTCCAAGTCAGCATCATCAGCAGTACGCTTGGTAGATGTACGGGTAGGAAGGTTGTGTCCGTTGGATGATCCGGAGTCAGTCGTTGTTGCGGTAGGAGCGGGAGTCTTCTTGGGGATGGTCTGAAGATCGGGCATGAGGGTGAAGGACTCGGTTGTGGCGGCTGTGGATTGATCAAGTTCCCTGGAAACAGGTCAGTTATAAGTGAAATCAGTCGTGGGGACATGGTCAAGAACATACATATTGAAAATCGAAAGCTCAAGGTTGACGCGCTCGCCCTCATCGTCCTCGCCACGAACGAGAACAGTTGAGTTGCTGACCATGCCGAGATCGTTCAATGTCTTCTCGAGATTCTCGTTGTCGTCCATTGCCATGTCTGGATCGTACCAGACTCCGCCGTTGTTGCTGACCTCGACTTCATCTTCCTTGTAGCCAAGCTTGCGAACCAGAACCTCTTCGACGAAGGTTTTGAGGGTTGTCTTGTCGGTGTTGATGACCAGTCTAGCGTAGGCAGTGGCGCAAACACCACAGTCGGGTCTGGGTGGACGCAACGACTCCTTGTTGATAACGCGTTCGGTCGATTTGGTCAGGAAGACCATCTTCGCCTTGGCCCAATCACCGCGCATAATCTTGAAGGCTTCTAGCACACACAGAGCAGCTGTGGTAGCGTTTGTGGTGGCAATGGCAGGGATAATGTTGCCAGCCATCTGCTTGATGTCGAACTCTGACTTGGTTTCAATACCGAAGGTGATGGATCGCAGGTTGGCGGCAGCTGCCACAAAGTCGAGCGTGTCCCTGTCGTCCTTGTCGAATGTCAAGATTGGGGGAGCATCGCCAGTCTCTTGTGATGCTCGCAACTTGTCAAGGCGGTCGCTCAAACGGGTCAGGCTGTCGGAGAAGACGGCGAAGTTCTCTTCCAATGACCAGTTCTTTTGATCGTCCGCTATCGTCTCGCGGTCGACGTTGGCGGCTGCGGCATTGACGGCTTCGAAGTCCAGAGCAGTCGGAGGCTTGCGCGTCTTCCACATGTCTTCCATACCAAGCAATCGGTTGATGTCTTGGGTAAAGACCTTGTCAAAGACCTTTTGTGGGAATTCTGTTGAGCCCATAGATGCGCGAATCTCTTTCAGGGCAGCAGCCTCCTTCTTCAACTCGGCGATCTCCTCCTTGTTATTCTCGTCTGATGTATGGTCAAGATCTGATGCTTCATCCTCGCTGATGCCGAACAGCTCGTTGAACAGATAGCTCTTTGCCCAGACGATGCAGTGAATAGGTTGGCTCGGGGTGCTTCGGATGGTGCAGACGGGGAATGACTTGGGAGTTTCTTTCGGGGCGCAGTCGTAGCATTCTGTGAGGCGCTTGCGAATGGGCTGGACCTGGCCATTGAAGCCAGTAGTACCACTCTCGATCAGTGGTACGTCTGCGGCAAGGCACATGCGATTGACGTGACGGCGGGCATCGAGGTTGTCGAGGGCGTTGAAGACGATGACGAAGTCGCGGAACCAGTCAACGTTGAATTGAGGGTCTTTGATGTTGGCATGGTACGCCTCGATCTTGACGTTGGGGTTGAACTTGGAGGCAGCCTCGCGGGCGACCAAGGCTTTGGACTTTTTGATGTGGGCATGGCGAAAGAGGAATTGGCGGTTGAGGTTGGAGAGATCGATTGTGTCGAGATCAACGAGGTGGATCTCGCCGAAGCCAGTGCAAACGAGGTTCTTCAGGAGTTCGCAGCCAATTCCGCCGGCGCCGACGACTAGGATGCGCGCATTCTTGATGTTGGTGAACTGTGAGCCGAGCGACTGCTTGAGGTAGCGTTCGCGCGTCATATTGCTGTGCTGTGGCTGTGATGTTGCGGTGGGAATGAGGAGCAGAGGAGTTGGCGGCGGAGTGGCATGTGATGGAGTCAACACAGAAGGTGTGTCGATGGTTGAAGCGAGTGAGAGTCGCAGCCGTGTTGTTGATCGAGGCCAAGGGTTGATTCACTCGCTCAATTGACCACCCCAGAAAACTGTCTGCGATGACGCGCCCACTTTTTGCTGCAAAGACCGAGGTTCGATGGAGCCAGCACACCAGCTGAGATTGCCGTCGCCTTGTTCTTTCAGAGAAATCAATCCTCGTCAAGAGGGCATGGAAAGTCGGAGATCCTCTACTCACTGCCGAGCTGTTTATGATTTGTTTTTTGCTTGTGTTTTGGCTTTGGGCCGGGCAGAATAAATCGACAAGTCGACAGCTCCAAATGGACGTGTCGCAAAGCTCCAGTTAGGAAAGTGCAACTTTTGGCAGCCAATCACCGTGCTTCATCCCCTGCGCCTTCACTCTTATTCTTGCCTATTCTACCATCAACTGTTCCTTCCACTTCTTTTTCAGCAATCAAGTCGGACGACATGTCCGACGACGAAGTCGACCATGAGCTGCTCGAACTTCTAAGACAGTCGCTTCTTGGACCCAAGCCGCAACTCGATGACATCGGATCCGATACGAAGGTGTTGCGACATGCAGAATTTATCTATGACAATAGTATTGATGTGAATGTTGATGCTCGCGGCACCAGAGCTGCTGCCCGTCTGATCTGGGAGCAGATGCAAGAGCGCAGCTACAGCACAGAGACTTGGTCTGAACATGATTTGCATCCAAAAGCAAAGGACGAAGCCACTCTTAACTTCATCTTCATCATGGACCTTCTGAACTTCAGCTTCTGGAGCGAAAGATCTGAGAACGAAAGATATGCTGTCGAGTACCGTGGTAAGACGTGGACTGGCTACTGGAGTCTGGTAGCTTGTCTGCAAAGGGCTCTTGAGGAGGGTAAGTCTCTTTTCTCTCATCGATTCCTTTCCTGCATACGAGGGATCCCTTGTTATCATGTCGTGAAAATCTAGTTCAGGCCTCGTCGTTCTTGATTCTTATTACATTACAGACATCCCCATCACAACTCCTTCCTTCTATGCCGATGAGATAGAATGTCCAGAGGAGAAAATTGCATACGTTTTCCGTTCGTCGACCGAAGAGGCAATACCTTTACTACAGGAGAGAATCCAGTGTCTTCGGGAAGCCGGTCAAGTCCTCGAAGATGTAAGCTTTCTTTCACCCTGCGCAATCTCTTCACTAACTCGTGCAGAAATTTGACGGCAGTGTTGCCAACCTTGTTGAAGCAGCCAATCATAGCGCCGGCAAACTCGTCAACCTCCTCGCTCACCACTTTACATGCTTCCGTGATGAATCCACGTTCGAGAAGCGTACGGTTCGCATCATGAAAAGACCACAAATCCTTGCGGCCGACATCTGGGCTGCTTTCAATGAAGAAAGCTATGGTGAATTTACCGACATTGACAGTATCACCATGTTTGCTGGTATCCCTCCTTCATCTCTCTCGATCACGAATAGTCGGCTAACACGTGTAAAGATTACCGCGTACCACAAATTCTGCACACACTAGGCTGCTTAACGTACAGTCCACCTTTGGATAGCACAATCCGCACACAGCAACCAATCGCCCATGACTCTAGCTATGAGGTACAATTACGTGGCTGCAGCATCTGGACCGTGGAAATGATCCGCAGAGAGATTGCAAGGAACAATCCAGGTGCCAAAGTTAATGCCATCTTGATCGACTTCTTCCTGTACGATCTGGCCAAGGAAAAGGAAAAGGCTGGTGAGCCTGCCATCCCTCATCACCGGACAAGAAGTATCTGGTATTAATCGACCAACACAATTGGAATACGATTTGTCGAAGAGCACTCCTGTTTGATCGTGTTGATGCTGGTCGTACGTCGGTCCGATAGGTGAATCTTCGGTTGACTGGACGCACCATGTTCGGTGTGCGGCCTCGACTTGCAAATTAAGAAACATAGTCAGTCCCACCCAAAGCGTATACATCAATTGGTTGCGTGGCCCAATGGCAAGGCGCTTGACTACGAATCAAGAGATTCCAGGTTCGACCCCTGGCGTGATCATTGTTTTGTTCATCTGCAGTCTTAAAATGCTGAATGAAGCCTTCTGTTTCGCAGGACATGTAGCAGATCCTACCAATTTGCCATTTTGCAGTACAAACATATACACTGAAGCGTATCAACAGACGTGATGATTCTGCTTTTTTCGGCGACTGAAGATAGTTGTATGGGCGATGCCAAAGGCAACGGTTCTTCTCGCCACTGGGTCCGTGGCCAGGGTCGTACTCTCAGCAGTCATTTTGAACACATCTGGCAGTGATATGTCTCAATCGCAAGACAATTTCTTGTGTCAATACTGTTTACCAGATGCTTGGATGAATTCAAAAGGAATCGCGGGAAGACCAGAGTTATTTTGCATCCGTTGCCTCTCCAATCCCGATCTCTGTATTTTCTCACATCTTCTACGTGAGTCTCGCCTCCGATCCTACTAGTCGATACAGTGCTTATATCGATGGTAACAACAAACGGGCGTCTACATCATTCTGGAGGATGGAGAGCCGCTACTCATTCCAAACTCTTCTAGAATGAACACATGTAAGCCCATATCGACTCTGTTCATGACTGCTACGATGAACACGAGGGCCACGAGGCGCGTTTCAGACGACAGCAACCGCAAAGATAGAGAATATATTTTGCATAAACCAATTGTGCTTCAACAATTGGTTCTATAGTGTAATGGTTAGCACATCGGATTCTGATTCCGGTAATCCCAGTTCGATCCCGGGTAGGACCTTCTTCTTTTGCCGATTGATCCTTCTCCAGCCCGCCGAGGCTCAGCTCCATCCACGGCGTTTTGATGAATTTCACCGTTGGCTGTCTTTTTGTCCTGTGAATTGGAAAAGGAAGCCAAGACTGAAAGGACCAGCCAAGCCACCATGGCTTGACAAGCACGCAATGCCACTTCGTGTTTCGTGAAGAATATTTTTCTTGCCTCGACTCACTGTTTTGCTTCAAGACTGTCCATGTGTGAAATGGTCAGAGTACACTACTGCGGCGAGATTACACCCATGCCGGTAGGACGCCCAACAAGCAAACAATGTTTTGCAAAGCCACCGCCCCTTCGGCACGCGACTTCCGACTTGTGACGTGCCGACTTCCATTTTATTGGAATTAGGTGAAGCAATACAACAAACATGGCCTTCGGAAGAGACGATGCCGTTCTCAGCTGCACAACTGTTCGGACTTTAGGACTTTAGCTGACAGACTCTCCGATTTTCTATATTAATAAATACAAGAGCGATTGCCATTTTCAGCCCTTCCTTAGCTGCATTCTTCCTCCCTTTGTCAAACAACGTTTGCTGCACTCACATCGTCATGGAAGACGAGCACGAGACCACATTGCAGCCTATCCGCACTGGTCGCTCAGCACGCCAATTTTTATCACGGACACGATCAAACAAGTCGACCAAGTCCAACAATTCATCCAGGTCGCGCCCACGATCAACCTCAAGGCCGAGTCGCCCAAGCAGTCCTCTGGAACGACTCACATCGGCAAACTTCATCGATGACCACGGAGTCTATCACCACCATGCTGAGTCAGATTACGAACAAGAAGAGGTAGAAGAGGAGGAGTCACATCATGATGGCAGCAATGGCCTGTCACCACAGTCGAGTTCCGACTTGGAAAAGAACCAGGAAAAGCGTTCGCCGGATGAGCCAGATGAGGTATTTCTGGAGCCATTCGGCGCAGAGACAGCACTCGACATAGAGGCCCAGTCAGAAAAGGATGCGCCTCGATTATCGAGGAAATCGACATCTAAGTCTGCAAAGGACCCAAATCTAGTAACTTGGGATGGCCCGGATGACCCAGAGAATCCCAAGAATTGGGGCAAGGGCAGAAAGTGGGCGGCCACCCTCGTCGTTTCCTCATTCACCTTCATCTCTCCAGTCTCCTCCTCGATGGTTGCGCCAGCTATTGGCGCCATCTCGCGCGACTTCAACATCACGAGCACTGCCGAGCAGGAGCTGGTTCTGTCCATTTTCGTGTTGGCATATGCTATCGGCCCCCTGTTCTTGGGGCCCATGTCTGAGCTTTACGGCCGTGTCAGAGTCCTTCAACTCGCCAACGCCTTCTACTTCGTGTGGAACCTCGCCTGTGGCTTCGCTCAGAACAAGGGTGAAATGATGGCTTTCCGTTTCCTTGCTGGTCTAGGTGGTAGCGCTCCTCTCGCCATTGGCGGTGGTCTGCTCAGTGACTGCTGGAAGGCAGAGGAGAGAGGCAAAGCCATTTCTATCTATTCTCTGGCTCCGCTGCTTGGTCCAGCTGTAGGTCCCATTGCTGGAGGTTTCATCGCCGAGAACACGACTTGGAGATGGGTCTTCTGGTCGACCTGTATTGCATGTTTCCTTATCCAATTTTCAGGCCTTTTCTTCTTGCAAGAGACCTATGTTCCAGAGTTGTTGAAGCGCAAGAAGAACAAGCTCATCAAAGAAACCGGCAACACTGACTTGCACACCGAATACGATGATCCAAACCGCAAGCTTACGGTACACTTGAAGACAGCTTTCACTCGCCCTTTTATTTTGATCGGAACTCAGCCAATTGTCCAAGCCCTGGCCATCTACATGGCTTACGTCTACGGCCTCATGTACTTGGTCCTCTCGACCTTCCCAGGCCTCTGGACAGGCGTCTATGGCGAATCTACCGGCATAGGCGGTCTCAACTACATTTCCCTTGGCTTGGGCTTCTTCCTCGGTACCCAGATTGGTGCACCTTTCAATGACTGGTTCTACCGCCGCCTCAAAAGGAAGAACAACAACGTCGGAAAGCCTGAATTCAGAGTTCCTCTCATGTTCCCTGGCTCCGTCCTTATTCCAATTGGTCTTTTCATCTACGGCTGGACCGCCGAAAACAAAACCTTCTGGATCGGTCCCGACATTGGCGCCGTTTGCTTCGCCGCTGGCACCATTCTGGTCTTCCAGTCTTGCCAGACGTACGTTATTGATAGTTATCAGAGGTACGCGGCATCCGCAGTTGCATCGACCACAGTCTTAAGATCTCTGGCCGGTTTTGGCTTCCCACTCTTTGCACCAGCCATGTACAATGCACTTGGCTATGGCTGGGGCAACTCGGTTCTGGGCTTCATCGCTGTAGGCATTGGTATTCCGGCACCATTCTTGCTGTGGAAGTTTGGTGAGAAGCTGAGAGCGAGAAGTAAATTTGCCGCTGGTAGTTAAGCGATTTTTGTTCCCATCAGGCAGATATATATATAGAATAATACATTGACATGACATTATCTGCAATTACCTGCGCTCACCACCTTTGTAGCATTCTTCGTGCATTGTGAGACGAGGAACTTGTGGAGAGTAGCACACTGTTGTAGCTTGATTTATATTATGTGAGATTTGCTTTACTGTCACGTACGGCCACAGTCAGCTGAAAACTGGGCATCCCGTCCGCTCTGCCATACATAAGCAGTTGAACGGCAGATTAGTACTACGGTGGGTGACCACGTGGGAATCCCTGCTGCTGTACGTTTTGCATTTCTTTTTGCGCTATGCATATTCTAGTCATGATCTTTTTGTTTTCTCTGTCATGTCGTGTTTGGTGTTTGGTGATATGTGTCGAGTGTGAGGGAACGCTCGTGAAGATGCGAAAATTTGAAGCTGGAGGATCGCGAAACCCGACTTTTTTTCAATGTTGTTTGTGCTTTGCTTGTACGCGATGATATGATATTTTTGGTGTCTGCTTGCAGAGGATAAGGTGTGGAAATACGCATGTTCTCATGAATTATAGTCGATTCTATGGAAAGTGATTGATGCTGTCGAAAAGTGCTGTATGAGTATGCTTCCGGTGTCCAACAAATGAGAGGCTGACCAAAACCCAGATGCCAGAACGCCGAAAATGTGTTAGTCGTCACTCGTAGCAAATCTTTGTCGCGCAACTGCAAGCAGTGTTGAACCACTCAGGCAGAGTGGAGCGAGGCAATGTCGAAATCACTTCCTACCTCTCTTCTGCGCGGGCTTTCTGGCAACCTTCACGTCTGCGTGGCCTGCAGTAGGCGCTTCAACAGCATCACCACGACTCACACTCATCGAAGCCATCGCTCCAACAATATCCTTCTCCTCAACCTCAGCGTCCTCATTCTTAGCAGCATACCTAGCCTCATTACCTCTAGCGCCTCTACCATAGCAATGAGTATACAGCGCGAGCATGAGATTCTGAACCTGTCTATTCGCATCCCAGTTGGCCGGGTATACAGTCTTACTGAACACACTGCGGGAACTGCACCAGTCCTGGGGTATCTCTTTCCAGCCACCGAGCACTTTGATGATGGTCTCGAGATCAGAAGTGTTGAGCTACGACCAATAGCCTGGACGTTTCTTGCAGCAGAACAGCACAATAGCCATGGGGAGGGAGAAAGTGTCGCCGTAGGAGAGAGCGATGGTTCTCAGTTGGCGCAGTTCGTCGATTGTGTAGTCTGCTTCTTCACCTGGGATTACGCGGACGCTGCGGACGTCAAAGGGACTAAAGTTGTTGGTGGACAATGCGGGAAGGTGTTTGAGCAGACCCGACTCGCAGAGTTTGTCGTAAGAGACGGCTTTGTAGAACTGTCCTTCGATGACGCCGTGAATGAGATACTCCTCTTCATAGTCGTATCCACCGCTGCCCAAGATCTTGCCCAAGGCAGGCACGTGAAAAGCTGGGTTGGACTTAGCCAGTTCCTCGGTGTCAATGATAGCGACATGGACCGCACCAGAAGACCTGCACTGATGAGCGTAGTAGAATGCAAAGTACGGCGAGTGAGACCAGGAAGAGAATTCAGTGAGAACGATATCGCCGTCCAGATGTGACATGGTGTTTTCGATGAACTCGGTGCGAGTCATGTCGTAAACGGACTTGTGACCTTTTGAGCAGGCGAAGGCGAGGGGTGTGACGGCAGTCGTGGTATTGAGCTTGGGGCTACCACCTGACTTGGCATTCCACATGCGAAAGAGATACTTGGGGACATTCTTGCTGGCTTCTGTATGTCGTATAAGTCAGCTGCGACTCTTCGCAAGGGAGAGAGTTGAATTCCATACGCTTCAGCTTTGTTCTCAGAGCTTGGTCATCCTTAATAGGCTTTTCGTTGGCATTTGAGAGAGATTTTCTGTAGTTCTCGAAGGGATAACCCCAGCCGAAGTTTGACATGTGGTGTTGATGTGTGAGAGCGACGTGGCCGAGATGATAGTTTCTTGAGCGTCGGTGGATGGCTGTGACAATCTGGTTGCCTTGTTACGCTCATATTGGCACCCCATGGCCTTGAATTTATATGCTCTATCAGATTTAGCCTGGTCGACCACGACAAAGAGATGAGCGACTCATTCTGCTTTGCTGCTCTCTGCAGCGAAAGACAGATGAGCCTGTGGAAGATGAGCCTGAGAGCATGTTTCTGTTATGTCAGTGTCTCAGACAGCCACAGGTGTCTCTGTCACATCATTGCATTCAGAAAAAAAAAAGAGTCTTGAGTCGCCATGCATGTCCGACCAATTGGAACATTTCGGAGAGGAGTTCACCATTGGGTGCTGTTTGGAGACCTCGTGGTCTGTTGGTATCCATCATCTATTATAATGGCTGGTCAACTGCGAGCTGAACTGACACAGCATTGCGGCATGATGATGTATGTGTATAACCGGTATCCAGTTCAAGCAGGGTGATCTTTCGAAAGCAGTCAACAAAGAAATCCTCAGACAATATTTCTTCGTGAAAGTGGACCCGAGTGACTACTTCGGAAGATGAGCCTAACTCTGATCAACGCTGTCATATACCTGTCAAAAAAAATATCACTCGTATAGGGAAATATTGATATAGCAGTTTTTGTCGATCTTTTGTGAGGCTGCCAATAAGAATCCGGATATACTCGTAGAGCAACAAGGCACAACGATTGTAGCCTGACGTGTGTGGAGCTTCGCGATAAGCCGATAAGGTTCTGGTGACAGTCCTGCTTGGAATCGGCCCGACGATACCAAGTACATGAATAGTCTACAACCACGATCTTACGCGCTTGCGATGTATACGTTGATGTGTTACAAAGAAAAGTGAACACCTCGCGGCTATTCTGTCTGCATCTGCAGCTGCATGTCTGACCTACTGATCTGATACATCCAGAGCCGTTCGAGGGCCAACTGACAAGCAGTTTCCTCAATGCCGGTCTCGCGCCTGGCACTGCTAGCTGGACTGACACGAACTCATGTGCCGTTGGAATACTATAAAACGAATGCTCACTGATTGAGATATATCCCCGCTCTTCTGGATCTAGGGTGGCAGTATCCGTTGACTTCTTTTGTACGCGAAGTATTTGTAGAGGATCCACTCCTGAGAGGCGTTCCTGAGGAGGGCTCGATATTGGCGTCCCTCATATGGAGGACTCCACATTGCGCGGCTACGATGAAAAACTTATCTGATGTGAAGGATTGGGGTGTGTCTCGAAGTAGGTGCTTGTCCTAAAGTGATAGATGGCAAACAGGATACGGCAAGCGTGTTTGAACGGTCTGACCGGCTGTGCTTGCCATACGTTGGAGCCTCGCTGTCGAGACTGTAGATTTTGTGCCTTACGCCGAGTCGACTTGCGAGAGCGACCTATTCATTGATCCAATACGGCAAAGATGAACTGCCAGAGCAAGTAAAAGCCACTCGGCTACTCCACACTGAAGCCGTTGTTGTTAAACGCTCCGGGCGTAGTCTAATAGACACGTTAAAAATGTGAGACCAATACTTGCTTGCACTTTTTCGGGATCAAAAGAGTTAATCTTGCAAGGGCTGGAGCCACAGGGTACGAGGCTTAGCAGATACCAGGTAACGAACTGCGTAGTGACCGCCCCGGAGCGAGGGAACGAGAAAGAGGCGTTCTTGCTCGCTTTTTGTGGCCGCTTCGAGAGAAACGTCGGCGGAGTGATGGCTCTCTGGTGATATCATCACAAGACCTCACGGTACACCAGCAGACAAGATATTCCATGGTGAAGGAGCGTCTTTGATGTTAAGCAGCAGATCTTTGTAAGTATGTGGCCAGAACATTCGCATGCTCTTGAAGATCATGGCTAGGCTCTGACAGTTGACCGTCAGAAAGAGACATGTCTCTTAGCATGCGGACAGAGTTGCTTCGGGGATTGTGTTTGCTCCGTGCGTGAAAGTGCCGTGCCGTCCATCTAGAGGCGGATTCACAGCAGACCCTGATATCGATAACGGGGTGTAGCGCGCCGGAGTTGGTGACGACTGTGGATGTGTTCCCAGATGCACATAACCGGTATATGCTTGGCAGAAAGGGAAAACAGTTAGAGGCTGGACGTTGTGTGGATTGGGGGTTGGAGAGGGATTTGGGAGTTAGGATTCGAGGCTTTCGCGGCGTATCTGCGGACGTGTTTCCTGCAAGTTCCATACAAGCAAGAGCACGCATTCCCAACAATCTCTTGGATTCGCAGATGCTACGAGTACGAGTCCACCTCACGAAATCGATTCGTACTTGCACTTTCTGCTGTAGAAATGAACGTCCTCGTAGCGATTCTCAAGCAAAGATCACTCAATAAGATCTAATGAGATGCAAGACAAATCAGAGTCCAAGTTCATGTTCAAACTCCCATACAAGAATAGTGCAGGGGCATGGACCAGGCAAATTTGCCGAAGAATTCGCGGCAACCACGAGGTGATCTGCGAACGCTGCACCCTGCATCTGTGAACGCTCTCACATGATGAGAACGTCGTCCATCGAGGAACCCACTCCGTCCTCATCGTATCCATCCCTTGCGTCCGCTGCTATCGACAAGATCCCGGCTACCCGACAGAGTCCGCGGTAGAATGTGCTTGATGCGAATCCGTTGTGCAAGCAATTTAACATGTAAAGCTGAACACGAACAAGACTACAGCTGAGCTCAACTTCCAAAATCTAGTCCTTATGCCCGAGGTTCGCGACCTCACCTCTTGCCACAACAACATCCTTCCCACATATAATAAAAACAATTATTGTGAGTTTGTGGACAACACATCCACTCTTCAATTAAAATGCACTATCACTATGGCAAACTTTGTTTGGCAAGACTTTCGTATGCGCCGTTTCAACGACGCCCGCTGAGCGCCATCGACCGTTATACATCGATAATTGCCGACTCAGCTATTGTACGTTTTGTTTTGGAGAGACATTCCCCTTTCCCAGCTCAACGATCTTTTCATCTACTGCTTTTCGAATCCATCATGTTTGGGATCTTTCTATAAGTACAGTCGACAATCCGTGCCTCAATGCTCTCTCCAGACCGCAACGATCTCGCCTACTAATCACAGCTTCATCTTGTTTGTTCATCCGCTTGCGGATTTTTAATACCTTTGTTTATAATTTTCCATAATGAGGTCCTTCGATTTCAGCGCTTCGGCGCTCAGCGTCCTTGCTCTCGCATCATCTGCTTCGGCATTCTGGCGCATGCCCTGCCCTGGACGCATCGCTACCGAGCGTCTTGACCCTATTGTCTCCCCTGGCGGCATCTCTGGTCACGTCCACACCATCTCCGGCTCAAACGTGAGTTGACATCAAAACACGGCTCTGGCGAACACTATCTAACAAGTTGTATAGGGATTCAAGCCTGAGATGACATATGCTGATGCTCGTGGAGGTGCATGCTCTTCATGCCCCATCAAGCAAGACATGTCCAACTACTGGACCCCCAAGCTCTACTACCAATCTGAGAACGGCACATTCATTGACGTTCCCCAAGCTGGTGACGGCCAAGGTGTCTACGGTGGTATGACTGTTTACTACCTCCAGAGAGGCGGTCCCAACAACGACAACCTTACTGCTTTCCCTGAAGGCTTCCGTATGCTTGCTGGTGACCCCTTCAAGCGTGCAGAGACCGACGACTTTGCTGGCCAGGCTGTCAGCTTTGTCTGCCTCGACTACAGCGGTACCTCTTCTTACACCAGTGGCCTTCCTAACAAGGTCTGCCCTGATGGTCTGCGCGCTCAAGTCTTCTTCCCCTCTTGCTGGGATGGCCAGAACCTTGACTCTGCCGACCACAAGTCCCACATGGCTTACCCTACCAAATACTCTTACGACAACGGTCCTTGCCCTGCATCTCACCCTGTTCACATGATCTCCATCTTCTACGAGATCATCTACTCCACTGCCGGCTTCGATTGGTGGAACGGCACCAACCAGCCTTTCGTTTTCGCTCAAGGTGACCCTACTGGCTATGGGTTCCACGGTGACTTCATCAACGGCTGGGATGTCCCCACTCTTCAGGAGGCAACCAACACCTGCAACAACGACTCTGGTCTCATCACCGACTGCCCTGTTTTCGACTTCTTCACCACCGCCGAGTCCCAGGCTTGTGTCATTGCCCCTGTCATCGACGAAGCTGTCACTGGTGAATTGGCAAAGCTCCCTGGTTGCAACCCTGTCACCTATGGCCCTGGCGAGGCTCCTTACCACGAGGCTGGTTGCACTGACAATGCTACTCTTGGATACGAACCCGTCTACTACCAGAACATCACCGGCTGGGACTACGTTGGTTGCGCTCCCGACTCTGTCAGCAGCCGCACTCTTGCCAACTCGACTTACATGTCTAGCGATATGACCGTTGAGAGCTGCTTGTCATACTGCAAGGGCAAGGGTCTCAACTACGCTGGTCTCGAGTACGCTACCCAATGCTACTGTGGTTCTTCTCTTCCTGCCGCCCTCGCGCCCACCCCCGGTGTCCTCGGAAACTGCTTCTCTCCTTGCGCCGGTAACTCTTCGCAGTACTGCGGTGGTGCCAACCGTCTCAGCATCTACTACACTTCTGTCAACTTGACCGAGTCGACCATTTCTTGCCCTTCTGGTAACGGCCAGAACTTCACCACCCCCAACAACGCTACCTTCAACGTTAACTGCGCTGGTGACTCCAACGGCAAGGACCTTAACATGGTCTATGTCAACAACGGTATCCAAGAGTGCATCAAGACTTGCAGCACCACTTCTGGTTGCGTTGCAGCCTCTCTCTCCGGCACTGCCTGCTACATGAAGAGCACTTTCGGTACCATGAGAAGTGCATCTGGTGTCCAGCACGCCCAGCTCATGTCCGGTGGTGCTGCCGCCTCTTCTGCATCCTCTTCGTCGTCTTCTTCTTCTTCTACTTCTTCTTCTTCTTCAGCATCGGCTAGCTCTTCCAGCAAGGCTTCGTCGACCAGCTCCTCTGCTTCGGCCACCAGCTCTCTTCCCAGCTCGGCCACCAACTCTGCCGGTTCGGTCTACAACCTTTACTACTCTTCTGACTCCAACCAAGGATCGTTCACCAACACTCAAGCCAGCAGCTCTTACACCGACTGCATGACTGCCTGCGATGCCAACTCCAAGTGTACCGCTTTCACCTATGTCGGTGGCAAGAACGGAATGGGTTCTGGCACTTGCTGGTTGAAGACCCAGATGGGTGGTGCTGTCTCTTCCAACAGCAATGTTCTCTCTGGCTCTCGTGTCAGCATGGGTAACAAGGTTGCCGCCTCTAGCTCTTCGTCTTCCGCCATTTCTTCTCAATCTGGCTTTGTCACCGCTTCCGGTTCCAGTGCTCAGGCTGCTTCTAGCACCACTTCGGGCGCTACTGCCACTGCTACCAGTACTGTCGCTGCATGCCCTAATGCCAACAACACTATCTACACTGACAAGACTTCCGGCTCTCAGTTCCTCATTGAGTGTGGTATCGACCACGCTGGTGGTGACTTGAAGATGGTTTATGTCGACTCATTCGCTTCTTGCATCCAGACCTGTGCCCAGACCACTGGCTGTGTTGATGTTTCCCTTTCTGGAACTGCCTGCTACATGAAGAAGTCTGTCGGCTCTGTTGTCAAGTCTAGCGGCATCAAGGGTGCCAAGCTTATCCCTGCCAACAGCGCTTCCGCAAACATCAACATGGCACAGAAGGCTGCATCAGTCAAGTCTTCTTCAACCACCAGCCAGAAGACTACTTCTACCATGAAGACTAGCACCAAGACTACCACTAGCACCAAGGCCACTTCTACTACCCACAAGGCTTAAACACCTTGTGTTTCTTTCTTATGTCTTTCTTTAATGTCATAATGAACACGGCAGGACCGATCATACCGAAAAGAGGAGGATAAAAAAGTAAGAAATATCGGGCTCACTGAGGAAAAACAACAAAAAAAAGCAAACGATAGAAGAACGACTATCTAATGAAGGGATGAAGATCTTGATGATCTTAGGGGTTTGGGCAGTGCCCTCCGACCCCGACTACTTTCTTGTTCATATACAACTGGTTGTATGTACATTAGTAACACTTTTAAATTGTCTCTAGCAGACGATATAATTATAATCTATACTATTTACACTGAATATTCTTTTGCCTCAATATGTCTTGTTCTGAGTGCTTCGATGGTTGTGTGAAACAAACAACGCTCTTGTTCCGAAAAAGGAAACAGCAACCACGGGCAAGCCTGCAGTGATAGGCCAAACATAACTTCCTATCTGGTCGAAGGCTTCAGCATAGGATTACATATTCATGCACAAGGCTGCATATAGATACACATCTTTGCATAATCTATGCACTGATTCGCATGTTTCGTGCCAGCTTCGCGACTGCCTATCTTTGCCATCCTTCGTTTTTGTGTTTTGCGTCCCTACTGGTCGTTTTATCATTGTTGAGGCATGATACTGCATCGATAGAGCACGCTTCACCTCACTATCCGGTCAGCCAAGATGTCCCAACAGCATTATAAGCGATTATATGCCGGCTGAGAGTGGACCACCGCCGTTTGTAGTCCGTCTACCCTCAATCTCTTATCAAGTACAGGAAGATGTTGGAATCTTACCCCAATTGCCCTTCGATACATCTCCAGCATGTCTCCGTTTCACAGGCTCCGATCTACCTAACCTTGGGTTATCCAAAATCAAGACAACTCTGCTGCAACCATGTCGCTTGAACAAAAGCACGATTTCGTAGCCACCGCGTTACCAGACGAGAAGTCTGACGCATCTATCGGCGAAATCCATGATCTTGGCTACGATACAGAGGCAGAGAAAAAGGTACTCAGAAAATTCGACAAGTTTCTGTTGCCTCCTCTGGCAGTCATTCTCTTGGTTGCCTACCTCGACAGGTCAAATCTCGGCAATGCCAAAGTCTTCGGTTTCGAAGATGGTGCGTCCTTAGAATATAATCAATGAACCCTTCTAACATGTGAACCCAGGTATTGGTCTCGTCGGTAACCAGTTCAACACAATCTCTACGCTCTTCTACCCTTTCTATGTGCTTTTCGAAGTACCTTGGACAATGGCAGTGAAAAGATTTGGTGCCAATCATGTCCTTGGTGTTGCTATGATTGCTTGGTCGGCTATCACTCTATCCACAGGCTTCATCAAGAATTACTCGCAAGCGATTGCCGTCAGAATCTTGCTTGGAGCGTTCGAGGCTGGACTGGTACCATCTGTTGTGTTTATTATCAGTACGATCTGGGAGAGGGAGAGACAGAGCAAGAGGGTCGCCATCATTTACGGCGCGAACTGTCTTTCGGGTGCGTTTGGTGGGTTGATTGCTGTAAGTTCTGCCTATATCTGCCTATATACCACTCGGTATACTCACACAATACAGTATGGCATCGAGAGTATGGGCACAAAACGTGGCCTCGAGTCCTGGCGATGGCTTTTCATCGTCGAAGGAGCCATCTCCATCGTCCTGTGCGGCATCTGCTGGGCCATCCTCCCCAAGAATGCCGAAACTGCATGGTTTTTGAACGCCGAAGAAAAAGCTATCATGGTTGCCAGGAAACAACGCAATCTCGTGACCAGAGGCACTGAAGAGTTCTCTTGGTCGCATGTTCGTGTTGCTTTCACGGACCCAATCATTTACATTGCCTCGGCCAGCTTTTTCTCGGCTTCTATTGCCTTGTTCGGATTTGGCACGTTCCTGCCTACGATCATCAAAGGACTTGGGTAAGCAACGGCACAGTTTCCCAGCGAGTGCATTAGACTGATTTCTTGCCAACAGATACACCTCGCTACAAGCCAACTACTTGACCATCCCCGTCTACGTCTTCGCAACCCTCACCCTCATCACCGCAACATTCACGTCCGACAAGTTGAAGAAAAGAGCAGCTGTCCTCGCCGTATTGCCAATTGCACCAATCATCGGCTACATCATTGCTTGCGGCACAGCCAACCACGCAGCAGGTTATTTCGCCATGTTCCTGTGTGGAGGCGGTATTTACAGCTACAACTGCTTGATTCTTACTTGGATTTCGACCAACCTTGCTCCTGATTATAAGCGTAGTATGGCTATGCCGTTCTTTGTCTCGCTTGCCAACGTTTCAGGCGTCGTTTCCTCAAACATATATCCACACACCGATGGGCCTAGATACTTGATGGGAAACGCTGTTAGTGCTGGTATGGAGACGCTAGCACTTTGTGGTGTTGTGGCTGTATGGTGGACGTTGAGACGCAGGAACTTGGAGAAGGAAAAGTTGAGAGCGCAGGGTGTTGAGGACAATGGCAGGGATGGCGACCAAGCGCTGGACTTTGTATACAACCTCTGAGAGACATGTCACTATGTCAATGAAGCGACAGTAATAATATCCTAGCAATGCAACACCGTGTCTGTGGACCTAGCTCACGAAGAAGGCGAAGCAGTCACAGTCTCAACCCTCCCTCTCTCCCTATCCTTGAACCGACAACAACTCTCCTGGCACAAACACGTCTTAGGCAAATTACGCCAGTAAGCATCCGAATAGTCGACTGTGATTTCCTGTCCAGCTTCAATGCCTCTGCTCACAAGAATAATTCTTTGCGTCCCCATCCATACGAAACGCTGGAATTGGGAGTTCGGACGACAGGAGTGATTGACAAAGCGAGTGTAGTTGCCTTCGCGGCCTTGATAGATTTGGTAGCGTTGCTCGGCTTCGGCTTGCATGACGTCCATGCCTTCGAGACCTTTTGTGATGAGGCCTGTGAATTCGCCGATTGCGACACCGCGTTCGAAGGGCTGGCGAGAATAATCAGCATAGGAGAACTCAGATATCGATTCGATTCTGGAATACTTACACAACATGCCATGAGACCGTTATTGCGTCCATTTTTTGTGCGGAAAATTTGGACAGGCGCCATTGGTAGATGGTCGCTGCCAAAAAGATTTGGAAAGCATCGACATGTGCTTTCGGTAGCAATTTCTGACTGTCTTTCTCCACATACACTGCAAACAAAGGCCGATTGTTGGGGAATCACAGCAACTTGACGAGGATCGTTGGCGCCAAATGCATATGGATCCACAATCGAAGAGTCCAGGTGTGTGAAAGAAAACTGTGGGTCATACTGTAGGTAAGTTTGTTTCAACGGAACAGGGTCGTCTTGGTCAGAGACAACCCAATCGTGTGGATGGCCAGTGTAGACGCGAGCAGAAGGGTCGCCAACGATTGCTAGCATATCTCGCCAGTAAGGGTGCTATATGGGGTTAGCGACGATGGAGAGATACTCAAGAAACAATTGCACAAACCAATGTGTCAGCGGCCACTTCAAATCTAGCACGCGTTCGTCTGAGAATCGCCATAGACTCTGGGTCGAAGCCGATGCGATATTTGCAAAATCTGTAGATACCCATTCCTGCAAACACCAGACATACCCATCCTCCGTGGTCTTTGATTTCCTTGTAACCACGCCAGATGGCCCTGAGGTAAGGTTAGTCAGCTTTGGTCGATGACGAAAGACTGAATGGAACTCACATCTTGTTGCGAATCTCCTTCTCACTCCAGCCAATCTCAGAACATGCTTGAGCTAGCGCTTTCATCCTAGCTTTCGTAGCCGACAGCTGAGGATTCTCTTTTGCAATCTCTGAAACCTGGCGATCGAAATATTCAACCCATGAAGCCTGAACCACAACTTCAAGAGCTCGTGAGCATCGACTGGCTTGACTGATTTTTCTACACAACAAATTCATCCTAGTGAAGGTCCTTTCCGGCGCCGTAGGTGGCGGTACTTGTACCGCACTGGGCGGCTGGCCATCCTCCACACCGTCCGTGATGAGTGTTCGACGTGCCTGAAATCCAGCTGTCCGCCATTCACTAGAGACAACGCTGATATCGAAGCTCATGCTACTGAAGATCTGCTCCCAGATGCCGACGACTAATTTGCTCAGAGTGGAAGGACGTAAGGCCGGTTCATCCCTTGTCGTTCGTCTTTGTGGTTTCTCCCTGACATCTGTTTGAAGACGACGGGTGGGTGCTTGCTCGCTTTCTCCAGCCTCGGGGGACATGCTTTGATTTGCTGATCCAGTCGGTCGTTGTAACCTCAGTCCTCCTGTGATTTTCCGCCGTTTCGATGATTCCGAGTCCGAGTCATTGTTCAGCGCTCGTCGTGGCCGATTACTTCGTCTTGGAACAAGACCTCCAGAAGGCTGTACTTCGCTACCAGTATGAGCCTGTTCGGTCTGCCTCCATTCAATCAAAGCTTCAAAAGGTGTCTCTGTAGCGGTCGCGGAAGAATCCCTTCCACTCTCAATCAGTGGCGAGATGTCAAAAACGCCCTTCGAGACAAACAAAAAGTCAGCGATTAATATTCATTGACAAGCTACTCTTTGCACTGGATTGGTGAGTCAATTACAAAATCAATAGAAGACGAAACATCGCCATCAATATAGCCCTTCAGATCGAGCTTGCACGCCGTCGGCGAAGCTTGGCCTGACGCGCTAACCGTCGCGATTTGCTGCACGATTGTTCTGGCGATATGAGCCGACAGCTTGTCCAGCGCACTCGGATCACCATTCATTGTGGATAGAAGATTTGGATTTGATTAATGTATGACATTGAAGAGTGTTGTCAAGGTTAAGAAGTGGCGCGTAGAGGCAGTTGCGACTCTGGACGGTACAAGCATCTGTACGCCGACGCGGCTTGGCCTTGGCAGTTTTCGTGCAGTCTCTTCAACAACTTCTTTTCGTAGAGCATGACCCAGAAATGGTATAACTGGCATCGAGGTGATCAAAGATTGCTTGTCCTATTCATCGAGTCATGATGGCGTAAGAGACAATTTCAACGAAGTTGGGTTCCGTGAAGGATTCAGGCACAGCAGAGGCATATTGAGGCTGTCTCGCTAAAACGGCTATACGCGACTTCCATGCACTCATGATTGCTATCTCGGACCACAGCAGATTTTAATCAAATTGACAGTCTAAAGGTCGAATGCTAGAATTACTGCTAGGATAAAGATAGGCCTCAGACAAACTCTGATCGGTCAATTTTTGAGTGTATAGAGGAATTGTATATTCACGAAAGGAAAGATCGAAAAGAAGATCTGATTCATCTGCTTAGCTGTCAGATACATCCTCACGAGTCGGATTGATGTCTGATTGAATTGCAAGACATTTAGCAGCTGGCGCCAGAGCCGCTAGGAATGCCAGAGCACTTGCTTGACTTCTTGCCGCCAGAGATCTTGTTGCCAGACCACTTCCAGTTGGAGCAAGCACCAGAGGCACAGAGAATGTAGGTGTTGGTACCAGAGCTGGAAACACCAACAGTGTTGTCGGTCATGGTGAGGCCGGTGATTGGAACGCCGTTGGTGGGCTTGCCGGTGGGAGAGCCGTTCTCGTAGTCCTGTTCGATGACAACACCGTACTTAGTAATACCAGAGAGAACGTTACCAGAGTAGGTGACATCAGAAACCTTGCCAGTAGCACCATAGACAGTCTTGATACGAAGACCGTTCTGGGAGTTGGTAACCTTGTTGTTCAAGAACTTAACGCCAGAGACTGTGTTGTCATCACGACCACCAACGGAGCCGATGGAGAGACCGTGGCCACCAGTGCAAGTAGAGCCAGAAACAGTGATGTCAGATCCAGAGTTGATAGCGACACAGTCATCCTGCAAGGAGGATCAGCACACAAGTCTCGAATATGACACGAAAACGAGATGATTTACCTGGTTGTGGATGTTGGCACCATTGATGGTGATACCGGAGGAAGAACCGATGTCGAAAGCATCAGTGTTGTGGCCCTTGTTGTCGCCGTCTCCGGCGGAATTGTCGACGGTAACGCCGGTGAGGGTAAGCTGCTTAGAGTTGTTGATGGAGAATACCTGGACAGGCGAGTTCTTAATCTTGATGTTCTGGATCTTGGAGTTGGTCATCTTGTGGGCGTAGAAGAACTTAGGCTTGGTCTTGCCGCCGTTAGTACCCTTGCCGTCCCACCATCTACTGCCATCACCATCGATGACAGATCCAGAGGCACCGACGACGGTAATGTGGTCACCAGAGACGGAGACGAGGGGACCCTTCCACTCCTTGTAGCCAAAAGTGGTGGTACCCTCGAAGGTAACAGTGGTGCCAGAAGCCAGGTCGGTCAGGTCAAGGGTGGTACCAGCGGGAACAACAGCATCCTTGATGATGATGCTAGAGCAAGACTTCTTCTGCTTGAGAGCATTGGATGCGGCGGAGGAGCCAGAGAAGGTACAGCTGCCACGCTCCTGAAGAGTAGGAGCTGCGATGGCTGCACCGCTGAGAAGAGCTGCGACAGCAAGGCCAGAGAATTGAACCATGATTGCTTTTCGAAGAAAAAAGTGTTGATGTAAAGAGTGTAAGGACGAGACCGGCTCGAGAGTTGGAATGTGATGAGAAAGAGAGTGTGAGTGATGAGAGAGACGAATCGATTGCAGAAGGAAAGACAGCAGTACTTATAGATTCGTCCCTGCTCATCTAGATTGTATGTCGCAAGGGTACGATTTGCATGGAGTTTGACTTCCTACTTGGCGCGTCTGCCGCATTGAGTGCTATGGCTACTCACGAGTCACTGCACCAATCTGTATCCAGGTTGACATCAATATAGAGCTCGTATCGCGTCGGGAAGCACTCAAAGATGATTGCAGGAGTCAGGTGTGGCGGCCATGAGGCCAGTAGATGAAGTCGGAGGTTCGGGAGAGACTTTGCAAGAACGCTCTGATCAGAGAGCTGTCGACGCCGCCCCACAACAACTTCTGACAAGCTCGGTCAAGCACCACTCAGCATATCTGAAACAGCGATCGACCTGTCCTTCTGTAAAACTTCAAGAGAGCTACAGGGCTGCACTAAACTTGGAAAAACACCATTCGAGTTGCTCTAGATGACTGACAGACCAAGACATCCGACGTTTCTCGAACCAGCGTTCTCAGCTGCCCAGCCTAGGGCATAGCAGATGCAGTGTTTCAGGAGACGAGTTGAAACATGAAAATTCATAAAGAAAGCCCGTCTCGAGCGACCGTATCTTGCCCTGTAGCTTGGCAACCTCGCTACCATCAATCGCAGTCCTATCTGTTCTGCAGACGCCTTGCTAGTTGTTGCGCGTGTTGGGTCCATCACTCTGTCATACACAAGAGTGTTAACCTTGCCCTGATGTTTCACAGTATCTGCTGCGATTGGAATCATGAGATGATTTGCGCATGGCACATGAGGATGCCATCGGGTTATGGAGATGAACACAGCGCCAGCGGCCAACAATGCTTGCTGAGCCCTGAGGCTACCCGCACGTCTCAAAGTCAGGCTGCTGCACGATGCCAGGCTCAATTAGCCTACATGCTTCTATCGTCAAGAAGACGGAAGAACTCCACATACATTTGTTGATCAGACGGAAATTATCACTTGGCGGTGGAGAGCAAGAAAGACGATGGCTCTCGACAGAGAGATATGCCAAGACCGGGCGCTCCTGTAGGTTCAAAGATGAGACTTGCACTTGATGCACACCAAAATCTGAGATACTAGGAATATTGGGAAGTGAAGCAGCTTCTATACATTCAGCATGAGTCGTCGGATCAAACTCACATTGTTGATCCGCATCGCTCACGGCACATCTGTGGCGGCAACGCCACACCGCCAAGGTTCGTCACGTCCGACGAGCGCCATCAAGCCTCATCAAGCTCATCGTCCGACGCACGACCCTCCATAGTACGAACAAGGATGTTTTGCTAGCTTTGACATCATGAATAGGGCAAGCCAGTTTCATTACAGCAACTGCCGCATGATGGGCTGTATGGCTATCTAGAACATGCACTGCAACCGAGGGCAGACATCACCTTACAGAACCCTGAACGAAGAGGTCGCCTTGAAGTCTCTGCTGCTCAAGCCAACCGAAACTCCAATCTCTCCTGCTGCAATGATCCACTCTTGCTGGAACACGCTCCAGTAGCTGAGATCACGTCTGGTGAGATCGAAGTTGACTACCGTGCTTTGCCCTGGTTGAAGGCTGACCTTCTCGAAACCACGAAGCACATGCAGCGGTGTAGGATCCTCGCTAGGGATCTGAGGGAGTGACAAATAGAGCTGAGGGACTGTAGCGCCGGCAATATCACCTGTGTTTGAGACAGTCACTGTAGCGCGGTAAAGGACATCCCAAAGAGTAGGGTTGCCACCAGGGATGATCTTGGCAGGGGGAGGCGTGCTGGTGATGTTGGAGCCACCGTAGACATTGCTGACGCTCAAGGACGAAATATCGAAAGTCGAATACGAAAGGCCAAAGCCAAACTCGTACTGGACGCTTTGATTATAGTAATCGAAATGACGGTAGTCAATCAATAGACCTTCCTCGAAGTCCGATTGCCAAGCATTTGGGTTTGTGGTAGTAGCCAAAGCAGTGCTGTTAGTGATGTCGGCAAAGGAGTAGTCTTCCTGAGTCTTGGCAATAGTGTAAGGCAGTCTACCACTGGGGTTCACATCGCCATAGAGGATATCGACCAGGGAGTTGCCACTTTCAGTACCTGGAAGATGCGCTGCTAGGATAGCAGTGACATTGGGATTATTGGCCCAAGGCATGACGTTCAGTCCGCCAGAGTGAGTGACAACGATGGTGTTATTGCAAACACTGGTCACTGACTCGACGACCGCAGTACTGTTCCAGTCTGCTAGGAGCGTGCTTCTATCGAGGCCTTCCTGAGCCCAAGTCTTTAGGAAGACAAGACACACATCTGGTGGCGATGGCGCAAGGCTTGAAAGGCCACTAGGTGTAGAAAGCAAAGTGTTGTTGAGAATCCATTGTACAAGACTACCGTCCTGGGCAGCTCGGGCCTTGATAGCGGTGAGCGGATCAACGAGGTAAGACATGCGACCCGTGCCAGACCCGCCTCCTACTGGCAGCGTACCATACTCTACACGGAGATTTAGCCATAGTCTCTGTAAGTTGAAAATTATGACTTACCAAATCCAAATGCATTCTGCGAATAAGGAGAACTATCAAAGTATTCACCATTGATCAGATCTCCAGCGTCATTACCTAGTACCGCGATGTTTTTCGGCGCCTTCAATGGCAAAGCATTGTTGACATTCTTCAACAGAACAGTTCCAGCAGAACCAAGTTCTCTGATCAATGTAGCATGGTTGGCACGGACATCGACGTTCGCAACTGTACCAAGAGGGAACTGGACAGTCGTGGGTTCAACACTGAAAAACCCACCTATCGCTCCGCTAGGGTCAATGGAGGGATAGTCTGTGTTCTGCTTGAGGTGGAAGTATGGTGTCATGATACGCTTGATCATGTCATCGAGACGAGCCTCGGAAAGGGAGCCATTATTGACAGCGGTGGTGATGTTGCTGCCGAAGTAGCTGTTGTCGCTTACAAAGAATCCGATCGTACCAGGCATATCCATGTCGAGGCCTGCGTTGATTGAGGGGACTCCGCTGTGGGTACCCTGCAAAAGTCAGCACACCATAAATACTCACTAGGCAGGAAACACTCACACCCCAATCACTCATAACGTAGCCCTGGAAACCAAACTCTTCTTTAAGGATACCGTTTAAAGTCTTGGAGTTCTCACAGCTGTACGAGCCATTGACTCTGTTGTAAGAACACATGACCGAAGCGACACCACTTCGGACTGCATTGGCAAATGGCCATGAGTAAAGCTCATGCATGGTGCGATCATCGATATTCGAAGAAACTGCTTCAATAGTAGTCCCATTTTTGGTGATAGATGGATTGCGTTGAGTCTCTTGTTCGTTTCCGATGTAGTCTGCAAGGTATCAGGGATGCGGCTTCCAGGTTGGGTACGCTGTGGACTCACGCTTGACACAAGCTTGAAGCCCTGTAGATTGCATGCCCCAGATGGTCTGCTCGACAGCAATACCCGTGAGGAAGGGATCGGGCGAAAAGCCTATCGGGTGGTCAGTTCAGGTCTTCGCGTGTCAGATTGATCAATACTCACCTTCCCAATTGCGTCCGCCACGAGCATTGCGACCTAACCCTTCGTTAGTGATCTGAAACTCATGCTAAGTCACGCGTGACCTACCAAGTGGGCCAACAACGGGTCCAAGTGCAACATTAGCTCCCTTGCCTTTGAATTCTTGACCCATATACAGCCCTCTGGTATACATAAGTCCTTTGTCCCACGAGGCTGCAGTAGTCAACCCAGCAGGGAACACTGAAGCATAGGTCGCTTGTCTAATGGCCAAAGGGCCGTCCTGCAAGCAGAGTCCTGTGATGATAGTCAGCGGGAACGTTAACAGGGATAAGATGAGAGAGCTGCTCTTACCATCGAAACCCAGACGCTCAATGGGAGCGATATTGCCGACACAAGGTCCAGAACAGCCTGGAGCAGGTGTAAGTTAAAACTTTGTTGGACAACTTGATTTCAATCACCTGTAACCATCCCAGCTTTCTCCTCCAAGGTCAGATTAGCTAGGAAGGCTTCTGCTTGAGCCAGAGCAGCCTCCCAGCCAGTGCCCGCGGTTTCCGCTGTATCTTGTTTAGCTTGTGCCAACAATGAGTTATTGGGCCAGCTTCGAGGCGAATCGAAGCCTGTCGTTTCGAGATCCACTTACGACTTGGATACACTGGTGGACTCGAAGTAAAAAGATTATGATTCCAGCTGCTGTTCTGTGCACCAGCAAGGCCAATGGCCGCTAGAGTCACAGCAATTGTGTTCAAATGATGATGCATCGTCTCGCGCAAGAATCTAAAGCTGACCTGCGCTCATCAAGGTACTTTTTGGCCTACTTTTATAGCTTCGCGAACTCGGGGCATCTCTCTCCACGATCCCGCTATGAGAGGGGTCCGGTAATGCAAAGTCGAAGCCAACTCACCGAAAGAAGCTCCATACCATTGCAAGAACGCCTCATGATGTAAGCAATATGAGGCTCAAGAAAGTTCACAAAAGAAAATGTGACTTGAGCCGTGATCTATTGAGGTCGATCTCCTCATCTTGGCGCTGGAAGCAATGAGGGGAAGCATGGGAAAGGTGATGATAAAGTCGGCTAGAGCTCTTTCCGGCGATACTTAGCCTGTGTACCGGCTCACGACACGAGAAACCTGATTCAACGATGATCACAAAGAACGGCAGTTGCGATGATGTGTTGTGTTGTGAGAAGAGTGGCTGGGTTGGAGGGGTCGAAGCTGTGAGCAGCTGGATAAAATTGAGCCGAAAAAGCCGAGGGCCAGAAGCTTGATTCGATTCAAGCATCTTCAGCAATCCCATCTTCCATCAATTGTGCCCACTTACCACATCTGCCTGGAGCTGCCTCCGGCTGACAAGCGAAGAAGACCATGTCTGCTCTTGTCAAATGATTAGCTACAGAATGGGCTCGAACATGGGTCCTCAACAGTTCACAAGCTTTTGACGAGAATGTGAATGCCTACGAACTGGCAGTCAAACAAGACAGAATTGAAGTAGGATTCACGAGCCTCTTGGCATAGGATCTGTTTCGCGACTCTTCGACTCTTCCTCTGCTAGACTTCCTCACCGTGTCGGATCCCATTGTAGAATTGGACCTGCTACACCATCAGGAGACCAACAATTCGCCATGACGTCCCAAACCGAAGACACACTCCTGGACCTGGCCTTAGCTGGGAACGTTACACAGATGAAGACTCTGTTGATGGCCAGCGAGAGGCCGCCGTTAGAGAGCACCATCCAGAATCTTCTGGTTGCGGCTGTGAAAAGCTCTCAACTTGACGTCGTTGAATTGCTCTTGGATCAGTACCCTTCTGTTTCTCTGAATGAGGAGATTGTTCGAGGCGCGGTCAATACAGGTTCGATACCCATATTCAAGATCCTGCTGGCCAGAGACCCTTCTATCATCAATATGCCCTTCGAAAAACGCGGCTCACCTTTTATCGTGGCCTGTATGGGTCGACAGACAGTCGAATATCTCAAGTTCCTTCTTGAGGCTGGCGCCGATCCAAACCAAGACCCGGACGCAGCTACCTATCCACTTGCACTTGTCGCAGCACTATATTCTGACATCGATGCATTCGATCTGTTGCTACAGAATGGTGCTCGCCTACAGCACTCAGGCGCTCTTGCTGCCGCCGCTAGGCTCGGTAATGAGCCTATGATCCGCCGATTATTGGATCGCGGTGCCCGTCTCGAAAACGATGGCTACTCTTTAGGGGCTCGTACCACGCCTCTTCATGTTGCAGTCGAGTCTGGTCGCCTTGGAGTAGTAAAAATCCTACTACAGAACGGTGCCGATTCCACTGCAACTAATGCTAGTGGTGCTACAGCATTTGATGTTGCTAGGCAGATGGAAACCAAAGGGAAGGACATGTCACAGATGTTGGAAATTTTAGGAGAAGACGACAGCTAGGCAGACATTGATAAGGTAAATAGACATATCGAGAAGTATCGTTGTCAGTTGCTTGTGTAGTCAGAGCCCCGACATACAATCAATATCAAGTTACGAGCACAAAAGGTGCGAATATGGTCTCGAAGAGTTCTGGATGGCATTACTGTTGCCTTCGGGCTGTTGCCTTCAGTCGATAAAACCGCAACCATCACGTTGTCAACAAATTATCGCTGTTCTTCCAGAATAGGACGATCATGATTTCGAATCATATTCGACGATTCAAAAAGGTATGTACCTGGCGCATATCAGATCGCAACACCAGAGACGGACTCTTGGTGCTACAACATGGTTGTCCCTGACAGCCTAACACTCGTACAGTGGTTTGAGTCGTTTGTGATCATGTTGCTAGATGCAAGCCAAATTGATCGCCTACAAACGCCGGATATCTCAAGTCTTGGCATGCCCGAAATTTCCTGCGACCTTGATGAACGCGAACACCAAACGATTGAAACACATCAATCACCTCTAACACCTAAAAATGGAGACCCTACCTGGAGTTGCTCCTCCGGAGCAGCAAAGCACCTATTTCTATATCGGCCAACATGAGACGAAGAGAACTGTTCCTGTGACGACTGAATTGGGAAATCAGGCACAAGATGCTGGCGTAAGTTTATTCTTCTAACTTGATACCTGCAAGCAGCAGCTTGTGGTTTGACCTTCTGCTGTTCGGTGGCGCTGCTTTGCTATTCTGAGACCTCGTCTTTCTCAGCATACCAGATCTTTCAATGAACGAGCAAATATGTGAGACAGAACATGGCTAATCACAATAATAGTACGATATGATGACCAGACCCATCACGTCTCCTGGATTCCAAGCACGAGTCCTGGAATTGGTAGATGCATACTTTGAGGCTGTCTCAGCATCCTCCAACCCAAATGCTGTTCCCTACCCTCTTGTGGCACCTCTGACTCCTGAAGACACCAATCTGGTTCCGGATGAATACATTTCTACCATGATCTGCTGCACGAGTACCTGGATCGATCTTGCTTCTCCGGACCCTGTGATTGCCCATGTTTCTCGCCAGGTCTTCAATCATGAAGTTGCTTATGCTGCTTTCTGCGGTGTCAACAATATTATGATTCAAGGACCGAATCTTGAGACTTCGTCTGTGGTTAGTCAGTACGCCAGAGCTATCTGGCATTCGCTTGAAGTTGGACCGTACATCAATTTGCAAATCTTGCTTCCTATGCAGCCGACCGAGAGCAAAGCAGCTGAGGATGGATTGAGTCTGGCTGGCCGTGCAAGAGACTCATTCAAGACTCTCAAATCAATCGCAACTGACGCACTTTGGTCGTGGGATACCTGGGAATTGATCAGATCGACCTGCAAGTACCATCCCAGATTGGCTGTCGCTCTTGAAATCCCTCAGAAGCTCCCTTCTTCTGCCATTCAATCACGCTGGTTCTCTGAGCCTCTACGCACTCTCATCATTCCTGAGTCTACCTTTGTGCAGAACGCAAAGGGCTTCCCTGTCTTGAACAAGCCCATTCAAGCTTTACTTACAAAGTACATGCGCCTCAAGACCGTCCCCTGGATCATTCTCAGCGACGTCGGTCTCATCCCTGGCCAAGACCACCCTGGTATGCCCGTCAACCTTCCCGATAGATCAGCTTCTCCAGACTTGCCTACCCCTGCTCAGTCCAAGCGCAAGCAGCAGACCCAAAAACCTAAGGACCTGACTCCCCACTTGAGCTACATTCGCCATCTTCAACGCACCCAACCCCCTCGCCCGATCATCGACCGCTTTGCTGCTGGATACCAGGATTACTTGCAATCACCTCTGCAGCCATTGACCGACAACCTCGAATCCATTACTTACGAGGTGTTTGAGAAAGACCCTATCAAGTATGAATGGTACGAGCGCGCCGTGGCTGCCGCTCTCAAAGACCTGCACAAGAAGTTGCAACGATCCATCGTTGTCGCCGTCGTTGGAGCCGGTCGCGGTCCCCTGGTGACTCGCTGCCTACGAGCCTCCGTCAGCACCGGTATCCCCGTCAAGCAATGGGCAGTCGAGAAAAACCCTAACGCCTATGTACTACTCCAACGCCGCAACGCCACCGACCCCCTGTGGAACAAACGCGTCACCGTTGTCAAGACAGACATGCGAGCCTGGAAAGGACCTCTTATCGACTCCGCACCCGCAAAAGTAGACATTCTTGTTTCAGAACTGCTCGGTAGTTTCGCAGATAACGAGTTGAGTCCTGAATGCTTGGATGGCGTACAACATGTCTTACATCCTGAACATGGAGTTAGTGTGCCTACTTCTTATACCGCGCACTTTACACCCATTGCTCATCCTAAGATTTATGCGGATTTGTTGGGCAGAAGTGGGGAGGACGCGCAGAAGTGGGAGTTGCCGTATGTGACTATGTTGCATCAGTACGATGACTTGTGTCTGGACACCACTGGAACTCCTGACATCCAAACCGCATGGGAGTTTACGCATCCCCTTCCCGAGTCCATAATCGCACAATCCAATCTTCGCAGAGGAGGCAGTGTGCAAGCAGGAGGAAGTGGTATGGTCGGCGGCGACGGCTGGAACGAACACAACGCCCGCTTCTGCCGCTTGAGGTTTACAGCTTCTACACGCGGCACCTGCCACGGTTTGGGAGGCTACTTCGAGACGGTGTTATACGTCCCTGAAGACAAGACCAAGAAGCCTATCGAGTTGAGTATTAACCCCAATACCATGGATGCAAAGAGCAAAGACATGATTTCTTGGTTCCCGATTTTCTTCCCTTTGAAGGTAAAATACTTGCTCTTTCCCCTTACTCTCTGGTCATCCGCTAATTTGGTCAATAGACTCCCATTACCATCCCTACAGGCGCAGAAATTGAAGTCTCCATGTGGCGCCAGACTGACGACAGAAAAGTGTGGTATGAATGGCAGGTTGAGGTGTTTGTTTCGCTCAATGGAACACGTCAACGCATTGCTTGCAGCGACTTGCATTCATCCATCAAGAATGGATGTTTGATGTAGAACAGAAAGTGTGAAGTTTTGTTGGGTAGGTGGCATGGCAGGAAGTTGGAATGTCGGGTTGGCCGAGAAGGACCAAGGCAGTAAGAGTGGATTCAAAAGATAGCATCAGAGCATTGGCATTTGGCAAAAGTATGGAGTTCTGTTTCATGTTTCTGGAGCATACAATCATTTCAGTTTAGTCTTGCTGTGTATGAAGATTGGCCGTTGTTGCAGTAGTGCTTGACCAGGAAGGGCTATCGAAGACTGTGTATCGACCACCTTCCTTCAATAATCAACATTCTTTCGAGAGGATGCAAATCGTCCAGTGAAGCTCCAAGACATGTCGCAAGCACTTTTGGAGACAAGAAGAGACTGAGAAAAATTGTTGAATGTCTGAGAATGGCTTCGCTGGTAAATACAACAGAAGAAGAGTACGATATACTACAAGAGCGGCTTCTTTTTTTCAAGGTCTCAGAGTTTGGTTGGTTCGTTATGTTGATACAGATATATGCGCTGAATGTGTTTTTGGAGTGATTCGTCGAAGGAGGAGGAAGAGGTTGTCAGGGGTATCATGTAGTTTACTCGTTGATCTTAGCAAGAAGCCTGTTGTCTCGTGTTAGCCATACTATCCCGTCTCTTGTTTTGTGCTAGGACATGGACTCACTCGTGATCGCGGAAGAGCGAGTACTCGTCCTCGCCAACCTTGATGGGCGAACCACCGAACTGGGGGATCAAGACCTTGTCGCCGGGCTGGACGGAGGGAGCAATGCGCTTGCCATCGCGGTCGAGGGCACCGGGGCCAACGGCGAGAACCTTGGCCTCGTTGAGCTCCTTGACGGCGGACTCGGGGAGGAAGATGCCACCAGCGGTCTTGGTCTCGGCCTTGATGCGCTGGACCAGGACGCGGTCGAGCAGGGGAGCGAGCGACTTGATGGACTTGGCGGCGATGGTGGACTGGGAGGTTGTGTTAGTTGGGTGGTTTGCGCGTGGTGTTGTTGGGCTGCAGGCAAGGCATACCATTTTGACGGTTGAGATGTGCGACAGAGAGTGTTCTGACTGGGAAAGTGTGTAAGAGATGTGATGGATGGTTGATGTATTGCTGTCGGTGGAAAATTCCAGAAGCGACAGCGCTGTCGGTCCATTCACCTCGGCCGGGGGTTTGCACGCGGTCAAAGCTCCTGTATCCAGAACCCTTCCGCCCTTCCGTTTTTCTTTACAAAACATCAATTCATGGCTGTCGAAGACGCCGTCATGGCTGAGACTACTGTATCATGGCAGCCGACATTGCGATGCGTTGCTTCAACAGGCGACACATATCGCTGCACCGTCGACGAGGCGCACCCGGGCTGGGCTGAACAGACTCGCGGCTTTGCGACACGCGCAGACAAGAACGAGAGTAATTGTTTTCGTCACGCTCTCTTGTCTGCAGACGGCACTGCTGTAGTCACGTACAATGAGGATCTAATTCTAAGAACCTTTGCAGTGTAAGGATTGCTGATCATGTTTTTTCTTCTTTCAATTTCTCTTCTCTTTGCTTCCGCATTTTCCAAATGGCTCTCTCTAGCTAACCTTTGCAAGTCCGCTGGCTCACTCGGACCAAGAGCCTGCTGACATCAAGTCCTACTGTTCCGCTCCATCGCCTTCAAGCCTCACCTCGCTCACACTACACCCTGCCTTCCATGTCGCCAACCCTGCGACTACCTTGCTCTTGACCTCTCAGCCAGACCTACCTATACGCCTGGCCAACGCTCTCAATCTTTCATACATCCACGCATCCTATACATGGCAGAATCCTCTGACCGAAGCGTATATTGCACCCTCCTCCCTTCTCTTTGTCGACAACAACCATTTTGTAGCAGGCGCAAAAGATTCTCTGGCCCTTTTCGACATTCACAACCAAGATGGTCCTATCTTTGAATGTCCGACGAGAAAAGGCCGCAAGGCAAGGAAACTGTACGGAGCTGATACTACTGGAATCGGCGGTATCGTCTCTTCCCTGGCTCTGTCAAGTGACAACGTCCTGGCTGCAGGCACCTACAACCGTCAAGTAGGCTTGTTCAACAATGCTGGCCAAGGAGAGACTATAGCTGCATTCGATTTGAAGTACAACGACGCCGACGACAAGCTACTCAAGGGCAATGGCATTAGCCAGCTTGCTTGGAGTCCATGTGGGAACTACCTCTTTGTCGCCGAACGCCAGAGTGATTCTCTATTGGTCTACGATATCAGACACACCGGACAGCGTCTGAGTTATCTGTCTGGCCGACACGCTCTTACCACGCTGAAGCTTTCCTTTGATTTTGCGAGCGACGCAGACGGTAAAATCGACATCTGGGCAGGTGGTATGGATGGTAAGGTCAGAGTGTGGCGAGACGTCACAAGCAGGGAAGGTCGCATAGAGCCGGACCTTGCACTGCATGCAAGTCATGGTAAGCATGTCTTTGTCTGATCATGTCATACTCATACTGATGATCAGTACAGCTGCCATCAGCAACACTATACTGAGCCGTCGTGAACCAATGCTCATAACAGCGTCTGGTCAACGTCGCAATCCCAGCGATCTCGTGGGCTTGAATGACTTCAGTTCAGATTCAGACTCAAGTTCCTCAGAGGGCAGTTCAGACAGTGAAGAGTCTGAGTCAGCCGATGGGGAGCACGAAGATGGCGGTCGCCAGGGCCAGGAAGCTCAAGGTGAGACGCCGGCCTCGGGCATCACCTCAAATGTGGCTGTCGAGGATCCTTGGCGAGGACCCGCTCTTGACAATGTCCTCTCCTTTTGGCAGATCGTGTGAGGCAAAAGCAGAACAGATTTCGTATACCTTGATGATGAATTGACGAATATGAGAAACAAAATCGGAAGAATCCATCTAGCCAAGAGAGGCTCAAGACGAAAGCCAAAACTCAACTCAGGAAGCGGGTAACGCACTAGGCCGACACCTTGATGTTGTGATCTTGTGAGGAGAAGGTTTTGCTTACAAATGGGAGCTCCTCCGCATTTGAGCGGGATCTAGACCTAAAAGTCGCTGTTACTCGCGACCATCAACTCTTAAAGCAAGTCTATGCGGCTTTGCTCCACAATGACAACACGTGGCATATGGGCAATTCTTTGCAAGATAACGAAACGGACGAAAACATCTTCCACAGATCCGAGTTCCCAGCGCTTGGGATATGCAAGATGGCGGTGATAATTTGAAGGATTTTGATGCCAAGATATAGTGAAAGTCGGGCATGCGGAATCCCACCGCAAGGGTCCTCTCGAGATGCGGAGATGGAGAGAGAGCTCTCAGGATCGGGGAGGGGTGTGATGGAGGGGCTAATAAGGGACAGACAAAGGGAGTAATCCGAGGCTCCGATTGACCACTTAGATTGTGATATTGACCACCTTTCGTAATGACATCTGGCAGCTCTTACGTCGGAGGCAACTAACCCGAGCAGTTTCAACGCACTGACACTGTCGGCTATCTTGAGGCCATGCTTGCGAGCAACAAACATACTGACCTCTTCTCTTCGGAAGGAGCACCAGTAGCTCAAGGAGCAACGGATGTCGCCTGATCTTTGCAGCAGTTACAAACATGTGGTGGCTGAATCAAGCGTCTTTTGGTTGTTGCTCAGGCATGGTCCATCGTTCCTTCCCCGGGAGCATCCACAAAGAGAACAGCGCGCGGGGTAGCTGCCGCCTCTTGCCCCGCCTAACCAAACACACTCCGCGAGTCCGAGGTCTTGCGGTCGCCTATCATCTCCAATCCTGCTCCCAATGAGGCAAGGCCCGCTCGAGGACGAGTGGAGATTGGTCTGGTGGACCCAGAAAGTGTGAAGCTTGCAAAGGTGAACACGTTGAGTACAAATACCTTGATCGAGTCCGCCTCTCTCTTGCTCACCTGTTCCTCTATTGTTTTTTTGTGTTTGAGATACCCCACATATATATTCCACAATCATGTCTACGTCAATTCAGCTTGAGACCCCAACTGCGGGCAAGTACGAGCAGCCCACTGGTTTGTTCATCAACAACGAGTTCGTCAAGGGTGTTGATGGCAAGACTTTCGAGGTCATCAACCCCTCCAACGAGAAGGTGATCTGCTCAGTCCACGAGGCCAGCGAGAAGGATGTCGACATTGCTGTTGCTGCTGCCCGCAAGGCTTTCGAGGGTGACTGGCGCAAGGTTACTCCTTGTGACCGTGGCAAGCTTCTCGTCAAGCTTGCTGACCTCTTCGATGAGCACTCGGACAAGATCGCCGCCATTGAGTCCCTCGACAACGGCAAGGCTTTCACAATGGCAAAGGGCGATGTTGCCGCTGCTTCTGGCTGCTTGAGATACTACGGTGGTTGGGCAGACAAGATCGAGGGTAAGGTCGTCGACACAAGCCCTGACACTTTCAACTACATCAAGAAGGAGGCTGTAAGTTTTGATTCAATCATCGTCCACAGTTCGACACTGACAAGTGTATTAGATTGGTGTCTGTGGTCAAATCATTCCCTGGAACTTCCCCATCCTCATGTGGGCATGGAAGATTGGTCCCGCCGTTGCCTGCGGTAACACCGTCGTCATCAAGACTGCCGAGCAGACTCCTCTGTCTGCTCTCTACGCTGCCACCCTGATCAAGGAAGCCGGCTTCCTTCCTGGTGTTGTCAACGTTATCTCTGGTTTCGGAAAGATTGCTGGTGCCGCCATTGCATCGCACATGGATGTTGACAAGGTTGCCTTCACTGGCTCCACCGTCGTCGGAAGACAAATCATGAAGGCCGCTGCTGGCAGCAACCTGAAGAAGGTCACCCTCGAGCTTGGTGGCAAGTCTCCCAACATTGTCTTTGACGATGCCGACATTGACAACGCCATCTCATGGGTCAACTTTGGTATCTTCTTCAACCACGGCCAGTGCTGCTGTGCTGGCTCAAGAGTCTACGTCCAGGAGGGTATCTACGACAAGTTCGTCCAGCGCTTCAAGGAGCGTGCTCAGAAGAACGTTGTTGGTGACCCCTTCGCTGCCGACACTTTCCAGGGTCCTCAGGTCTCGCAGCTCCAGTTCGACAGAATCATGGGGTATGTATCTTCATTCATCCTTGACAAAGAAACACGGTATGCTAACACTCAAACAGCTACATCAAGGCCGGTCAAGACGAGGGTGCCACCGTCGTCACTGGTGGTAAGCGCAAGGGCAACGAAGGTTACTTCATCGAGCCCACCATCTTCTCCGACGTCAAGGACGACATGTCCATCATGCAAGAAGAGATCTTCGGTCCCGTCTGCTCCATCGCCAAGTTCAAGACCAAGGAGGACGCCATCCGCGTTGGCAACAACACCACATACGGTCTTGCTGCCGCCGTCCACACATCCAACCTCAACACCGCCATTGAGGTTTCCAACGCCCTCAAGGCTGGTACCGTCTGGGTCAACACATACAACACTCTCCACTGGCAGCTTCCCTTCGGTGGCTTCAAGGCTTCGGTATGTGTATTCTACTGTTCTGACTGCACGAAACATGTACTAACTGTATTGCTTAGGGTATTGGCCGTGAACTTGGTGAGGCTGCTCTTGACAACTACCTCCAGACCAAGACCGTCAGCATCAGACTCGGTGACGCCATGTTCGGTTAAACGAATCATATGTTGATGATGGGAGTGTGAACTCTTTTAATGACTTCTGGCTTTGACTAGCTTATCTTACGATTCAACTGTATCTATCTATTCTGAACATTTTTTGATCTCCAACTCTACGGTGCCTATGATCTTGTGATGCTTCTTGAGTGACACAAGATGCTCTCGTGATGCATCTGTCCATCAGGTCACGTTGAATAAATGTTGACAGTGCATCGCCGTTATGCCATGCGTATCATAGCAGTGATATATTCCCCATTTTCATTCCGTCACTATATAAATCACTCTCCCTCTTTCCATGACTGATTACCAGAAGCATGTACGACATGCCTATGAACGAGAGTTCGTCGCCAACGTAAGGCCTACCCACCCACCCGCCGACATCATGGAAACGCTTCGGGTACCGTTCCGTTTGCTCAACAAAGCGGTGTCCCGGATGTCGAGTTTAGGGAGGGAAGGACGGGCACGAAAGGACTATTAGTAATCGACGTTTTGTGAAGCCTGATGCTCACAAGAATGCTTCGGATACCATTATCTTGCTTAATGAAGTGGTGTCCCGGGATGTCGAGCTAAGGAACCGAGGAATGGCACGGAAGGACTATAAGCAATCGACGTTCAAGAAGCGACGAACCATAGTTTAAAGGGATAGGGGCGACATGATCGTGTCTATGTAGACAACAAACATCTAATGCAGCAAGTTGAAAAGCTTTTGTGCAGTGCAACAAAGAATTAGAAGTGTATGTAGGGAATAAAGCATTCTGTCAGGAACCCAGCTTTTACCTGGGAGTCTCTTTTGAAAGCAGTGTCTTACTCTACTAAACACTGTCGAAATGCACAACGCAAACCCATTCCTCCACTTCCCACTCAAAAAGACTACTCCCTTAATGCTTCCCAACATATCTCAAAACCTGCTCTACAAAACTCTCTGGGTTCTCTTCAGCACACCAATGCCCCGTCCCCTCCACCTTCGCCACCTCAACATCTTCATACATATCCCTAGCCTGCTTCTCGGCAATCTCGATCATAAAACTCAATCCACCCCACAGCGCACAACAAGGCACCTTACACTTTCCCTCCTTCTCTAGTATCTTTTTATTGTCCTCGTGGTCTTGGTGAAAAGCACGATAGACATCAAACCCAGCTCTCATAGCTCCAGGTTGCGAGAACTGAGCTGCGTAAATATCAGTGTCGACAGAGGAGATGGCAGAGGGATGTTGAGTCAATCTATCGTAGAAGGATTTTAGGTATGCTCTTTCTTTGCCTTGGGTCAAGAGTTCAGGTACATCGATTTGTTGGTGAAAGACAAAATGCCAAAGACCGCCGTATGTGTTTTCGGCAACGTAGTTGGCGTAGATGGACGTTCCTGGCAATGGACATTCTCCCCAAGATACGCTGGCTGTGGAGGAAGGGAATTGGATTGCGTAGGCGTGGGCAACCATGCCCCCGATGTCGTGGCCTACGACGTGGATTTTGTCTTTGATGCCGATGTGTTCAGTCACAAGGGTGTGTAAGTCTTTAGCCATGGTGAGTTTATCATAGCCATCTCTGGGACGTGAACTTTCTCCTGCGCCGCGGTAGTCGGGTGCGATGACTGTGTATCCAGCATCCGCGAGTGGAGTAATGACATGGCGGAATTGGTAAGAGGTCTGTGGGAACCCGTGGATGAGAAGGATGGTTCCCTTGGATTTTTGGTTCGGAGGAGGAGAACAGGATAGATAGTGGATGGAGACTTCAGTTGGTGTGGATGGTTTTCCAGAAAGCAGTTGGCGCTTGGAAGTCCAGCGGGAGGAGTCAAAAGTACGTGCTGCCATGATTGTTCTCTTGATATCAGGCGAAGCGTTCAGCAAATATGAGAAAGTGATTGTGCTGAAGAGACGAGATCTGGAGAGCTTAAATGTATGAAGTGTAGTTCTGTTTGCACTTGTCGTTTGTCATCAAGAGCGTCATGTCGAGCGTCACCTTCAGCGTCACCATCCTGCCCTCTTGAGCGTCACCGCACATATCTGTGTTACCTTCTGGCTTCAGCGTCACTTTGCTGCTCTTTTGAGCGTCATTACACATACAGATCAATCATCTACAGGGCGTGTCTAAAACATAATCCCATTGTTCATGAAACGACGTCATCCTGAACGAACTCTGTATGCTCGGCGAGCGGGGTGCTTGTGGAGCTTTTTGTCCTCTGCGGAGAAAGAGTTCCAGCCATAAAATCGCAAAAAAGAAAGACTTTCATGCCAGGATAAACCCTCAGAGCCCTAAGATCTAATTTCCTCTCAGCATGACCTAGTCATCAAAAGCAAAAGAAGTTTCCGACACGGGGAATTGAACCCCGGCCTCCTCGGACCTAGTCGTTCTTTCGAACTGTTTGAGAGCGAGAAATCCTAGCCACTAGACCATATCGGATTTGATGTAGGCTTATGCATCCCAGATGTATATCATTCTCAGGTAAGACAAAGACGGCATGCATAGCTGCAACTGCCACCCTGCTTGAAGTTGCTCTTGCTCATGACACTGCATCGACTTCTCTCTGAGCAGTTACAAACATAGAATTTTGAGACTCAACGCTAGGTCCATCGCCATGGTATGTTTTTTCTTGTCATAAAGTGTCTATTCGTAGAAGTTGGTGCAAGTAGCGTTGATATACTAGGAAGCCTCGACACACAGGCGAACCACACTTGGTCTAGTATCCATCCCCTGAGCATAAGTGAACGATCGCTTCTCAAGACTCTACTACTTGTGATACATTGTGCCACACCTCCGTATTTGCTCATTCCTGCTCGGGACCGTGCCCCCGAGCCATGGAACGGTATCCGAAGCACTTCTATTGTGTTGGCGACCGTCTTCCTTTATGGCGATCCGTTGTTGCTTCTCCTGGCCCGGCAGCCCGGGATACTACGCATCTGAGCCACGGATCGGTACCGGAAGTGCGTCCATGGTATCGTCGGCCTTGCAATCCCGTAGCATTTTTCAAATCTGCACGCAGCAGTGTACACGTAGTCATCGTATAGTTTCTGCTGGTCACTGCCAGTCTTTACTATCTGCATCGTAGGCGAAGTCGTCTGCAATACCAAGAGTGGGAAGATTAGTTTATATAGTGGCGAGTGAAGGTGAAAGACGGACTCAGTATTCTGGAAACAGTGAAGTAGATGATTGTTGTCAAGGAAAGCCAAATATGATTGATGGATACTCAGACGAAATTCGCTATGAACGCTGGACCAAATGCAAAAAGAAGCAAAAAACAATGCAAGAAAAGGCCATCACTCATTCCAAACACGTCTTGCCAAACTGAGCAAAGCAACGTGCGCTGTTCAGAGTATTGTCAGTGTGACCCATGGCCTTGCCAACTTCATGATCAAAGTCAACACCTGCATCTCCAGCTCTGACTTCACTGGCTCCACCTTCAGCAGGGAAGTAAGGATCAAAGACTTCCGGGTTAACAGAAACACACTTCAACACCTTGTCTTGACAAGCATGCATAAGCATCAAGTCAAAAGCACCTCCTTTGCCCAGCGAAGCATGAGCCAGCAGATTGCGAGCACCTTGGTAGGATACCGCATACGCAAACGTGCAAACAGGATTGATCGAGTAATGCACAATCCGTTGCCCATCCTTAACCACATCCTTAAGTCTCGGATTCAGTCCGCGGTACTTGTCCACCGGCGCCGTAGTATCATCCTCAAAAGCAATAATCTTGCCTTCATCCTTGAAGGGCGGTGGATCACTACAATGACCCATCCAGATGACATCCCAGTTATTGCCATACGGGTCCTTATCCGTCTTTTTCGCTTTCGTCAATTCGCGAACGGCTTTGGCGATGGCTGGTGTTTGTTTGCGCACGTCAATGTCCCAGTCCATGTCGTCTTCGAGGATTAGAGCTGAGCCCCAGTTGTTTTGGATGACGAATTTGAGGAGGTCGAGGTGGCCTAGCCATGCCATTGCTGCGCCGTGGGCTTCTACGGGACCAAAGTCTTTGAATGCTTGGATGAAGGGTTCGCTCCATTTGGGTTGTTGGGGGACTGTTACGGTGATGCCGGCGACTTTTGCTGCGGCGTGAAGGCCATCGACGCGCCATTTGGTTTCTTGGGAGAGTGCGAGGATTGCTTGGAACTATGATCGTTGTCAGTGTTTGCAGGATCGCAAGTCGCAGTAAGAGGCCCTTACACCCAGGGTCGCATTCCCAGCTGAAAAGTCGGGCACGACAGGCGCAGCGGAAGGGACAGCATCATCCTTGAACTCGGTGACCTCGTCCAGCTTGGTATCCTGGTGGTTGGTATCGGGCGAAGAGACATCAGCATGAGGACCACGCCATGCACTAATCTCCTCGTGCTTCCATTGTGCGACAAAGAGCAGAACAAGAACCAAAGCGACTATCGACGTGATAACCACACCGCGCGCATTGATTCGCAACATCGTTAATACAACCCCTGGCAGATAAGCAAGGCAGTAATATCAAGAAAGGCAAGAATGCGCCCGGGAAACAAACGACAGACCTACATCTTGACTTGTTTGCATCCTATCGTACGCTATAGCTTACCGCGGGCCTTAGTGCTCCTATTTTGGGGGCTCCACACTCAACCAAGAACGACCCAGCAGGCGCACACAGCAGGATTTCTGCCAACGCGAAGGAATGCGCTCAAGCCTGGGCGTGGAAATAAGGGCGCCTCTTTTTTTTTGACAGTTTAACCAATGACGTTGTTCTGCGGGTCCCTGCGTACAGGTAAACAGTTACAACACCACAAGTCACGCCCAGGACCCCCTGAACAGACGTGACAGTGTATCATTAGCGACAGGGAGACTGATAGTGTGACCCATCTCTCTTCCAGCAACCTTGCTGTGTCAGAATAGCCATCGCTGTGTGTAAAACAACAATCGGAGTGTTCAGATAAAGTTGAGCCGCACGGAAATTTGCTTCTGCAGCCTCTCGGCCCTTGCAACTCTAATCGAGCCTCGCTTGACATCGATGGAAAGATAGAACCTGGGTATCCTATTGACCTTATCTAGAAAAACCAACACCATAAAAAGTGATACTAACGCCCTCCAATCCTTCTATTCGCCAAATGCCAAAAACGACTCACTCTTCCTCGTCTCTGAACCTCATCATACCTTTGTTGATCTCTGTCGCGATCTCTTGTGCTTCGTCCCTTGTTGAAGCTTCGAAATCGTATCTCTTTGTCTCCTTCTCCCGATAAACGAGCACGCGCACAACCTTGGGATGCTTTCTACTGACTTTGCAACCCACCACACTGCTGAGATGCACGCTAGTTGTTTTGCCGCCAGGAGGTGCCATCGCTGGATCTGCATTGGCGTTGAGGGGATCTGTAGAGGAGGCAGGCATAACGTGCATGAATTCTGCATCAAGTGCCAGAATGCGTGGATGCGAAGGCGCAAAGGACAGGGGTTGACGACGAATAACGAGGTAGCGCTTTCCTGCTCCGCCAGCCAGACCCCAAAGTGCGGTTGCATTGATATCGTTTGTTGATTTGGCACTTTGCAAGCCCATGAAGGGCTTTCTCGTTTTGGCCTTCGTGTTTGTTGCGGTCTCGAGCAGCAATGGTGCATTCGGACTTTCACTGCCAGGACTGCCTACAGCGCTGACCATGCCACGACCATCGCCAACACCAACAAAGCGACGTCTTACGAGGTCAAGTGCCAACCTCTGACCGAGAGCTTCTACTGTACGATCCTCTGGTGCAACAGTCTGAGTGCCACGAACCTTCAGAACATACAAAGCCTTGTCGATGTTGAGCCTCTGACAGGCTGTTGTGAAAAGTTCAGCCAGGTAGGTATCGGAAGTGGTAGGTATAGGGAGCAAAGTCGTCTGAAACGAGTGCGGATCTGTGTAATGTATCGTGACAGTCTTGGAAGAGCCAGTCCTCGGTGTGGAACGTGGTGCTGGTGCAGCTGGTGCGTCCATCAATGGAATAGTCGAATTCTTCCTGGCCATCGGAGCAAATGATGGCGTAATCGGGTTGACATTGGGAATGTAAGTCGGTGCTGCAGGTGGTGCCAAGGTTGGTGCGTCAGACAACGTTCTTTGCATATTGGGAGGCTGCGGCGTTGCTGTGCGAGAGGTATCGGGTATAGGTGTGCTAGAAGGAGCCAGACCAGATGGTTCACTGAATTGAGGCGTGAGCTCCTCGTTCTCCTTGAACTGCTCCTCGGTCGCTCTCACGAGACCAAACTCGTCCCAAGGCTTATCTCTTGCTCTGGCTCGAGGTGGCCGGTTATTGTTCGAAGTGAAATCCCCAAGTGGCTTTGTACGGGTCAAGGCCGGGAAGTCGTAATCGACCTCTTCGTCTTCAACCATGCGTAAGGTCCAACGATTCACATTTAAGTCGTTGCCTTCGAGAGGCGGCTCGATCTTCTCCTCTGCGTATCGCCATAAACTGAGACCGATAAGCTCTGCAACAATGGTGGGGACACCTTCCTTTGCGTTTTTGCGAATAGGCACCTGGATAGGAGTTGAAGCTTTCTTGGAGAAGGGAGCATATATCTTGATCCATAGAGGAGCTGATTCACCTTTGCCAGACAGTTGAGCAAATTGCTGCAAAGGATTCTCGCCCTTTTCTGACGTAGACTTCAAGGCCTTTGACAAAAGACTGACAGGCTGGACGTAGCTTATCGGACGTCCCGCAGGAAGTCTGGGCAGATCTGGAGGAGGGGCCATTTGTTTCAAACGTTTTGGTGAGGCCGAGGTATGGGGTGTGATTGCAGGCGGCATGCTGGGCACATTGCCAGGTGATGACTCGAGAGTGTCTACAGTGATCAAAGGAGCGCCCATTCCCAGTAGAGACTCCGAGCCGGCAGTTCCAGCAAAGTCATCAGATATGTCGGAAGCCTCACCAAGATCAATGTCAGACTCGACATCTTCTCCCTCTTCCTGGATGCGGTCTTGCATCATCTGACCATGTTTGACGGCGCGGTTCTGGACCCTCTGTTTGCGGAAGGTAACCGGATCTGTCTCATTCTCAGAAGAGAACTCGCTGCTTGTGGCAGTATCTCTCCTAGGCCGTTGTTTGACAAAGGACACAGAAGGGAGAGAGGCGTGTCGTGCAGTTTCCTGGCCATTGGTTTTGTCTGGAGAAGCAATAGGTATAGGCACGTCGACGTCTCCATCTCTTGTCTTGTGTGTTGGAGAAGAACCAGCTCTGAGGCGGACAGGCATCTTGCTGAACTTGATCTGGGAGACGGCACTCTTGTCGTCTTCTTCGTCGCTGTCATCACTCAAGTCGCTGCTGTCATCCTCTTCCAACTGCTCTTTCCTCCTCCGTCTCTTGTTGTGGGTGTGGAGAGCAATGGTGTCTTGACTGCCCTGGCCAGTGACCATTCCTCCTTCTTCATCTTCATCGTGCAAAGCGTATGCAGGAGCAGCAGACCGTTGTGGAGCTTGGAAGTATTCGGAAGCGATGGCGGTAGGGATGGGAGGTGAGTATGTGCGTTTGATGTCCTGAGGGTTTGCTTGCCAGCCAGCAGCACGAAAGGCAGGGTTGTTCAAGACATTGGTGTTGAGGGTGATGAGACGCTCGCCGACGCCGTCTTTGATGTGTTGGAGGTAGCCTGCGCGAAGCTGGTAGATGGTGAAGTCTTGGTTGTTAAGGAGCGACATGTGGAAGAAGAGTAGGCCAGACCCGCTGGCTCCTAGTGCATTGTGTCGGTCGTGGTGAGAGAAGGAGCCCCACTGCGAGGTCAACAGAGCAGGAAAGTGTTTGCGTTGTCGAGTCTGGACTGCTGCTTGTTGCTGTCAATCTGAACTTACCCCAGCCGCGGCCCGTCGAAGACATCTGTCTTGGCAGTCATTCAAAGTGCTATTTTGAGAACAACCTGACTCTGTTTCAAGTGTTGATCTTCAGTATACCTAACAAGCAACACTCTGAGTCACAAAGAGCATGAGTCTGAGGTTAATTGGAATCCTCGTATCTATACTGTGAAGGATGGATGGTGTTGATATACAACGGAGTTATGGTCGGACTTTGCTCCAGAGGCCGACTGAGCTTTGACCCCACTTTCATCATGTTTCGCGACTCGCAACTTTCCATCAAGTCATTACGACCATCAAAGCATTTTTGTCGCATGCTCAACATGGCTCTTGTAGGCTACTCAGATAGCGAAGGCTCTGACTCTGAGTCGCCGAATGTCGCTCCCGTTCCTGCTGCTTCGAAACCCGCACCCAAGAAAGCAAACTTCCAAAAACTCGTCGACCCATCTGCGCCACGCAAAATCAAAGTCGACCTTCCTACAATACAGCCCGAAGCCGAACCAGAAGCTCCTCCAGCAAAGAAAGCCCGTACCGCCGGCAAGTTTGGTGGCTTCAACTCCTTCCTGCCCGCTCCAAAACGAACCGTCGAAGCCAAAAAGGGCCTAGGGTCTGGCGTCAACCTCAAGACTGGCGCAGAGCCTGCATTCAGCAGAGAAAGAGTAGAACCTGACCCGGCAGCTTTTGCGCCAAAGGATACAAGTGAAGAGATCAAGAAGGATGCAGACACATCATTACCAGCTCCTTTCCAGGACGAGGCACCCAAAGAGGTCAAACCTGTAGGCAACGCTATGAAGTTCAAGCCATTGTCTGTCGCCAGGAAGAAGGCTCCCAAGAAGAAGGTTCTGCCAAACGCCGCTCCTGCTGCTCCATCACCAGTTGCACAACCCGTTGCAGAGCCGCCAAAAGCTCCTGCTCCTAAACCTAAGGTTTCTCTATTCTCGGTCACCCAAGACGACACATCAAATCCCCCCAATGCCCCTGTGGCAGACTATCAGCCCTTACTCGCCGAGCCAGCAGCGGCTCCCATTGAAACGTTCGAACCAGCTGTATCCGCACCAGCTCCCGTACACTCCGATCCCAACTCTCTTACTGCCATTGCCGACGATCTTGGACTGTCAGCAGGAGAGCGAAGAAGACTGTTCGGCCGCAACAAAGATGCCGCTGCCTTCGCCAACGTCACACATCTCAACATGGAAGAAGAGTACAATAACAACGAGCAGCTCCGTCTCCAAGGCCAGGCCGTCGAACATAGAGCTGTCAAGGCTGTCGCTCCAGGAAAGCACAGCTTGCAACAGCTTGTCAATTCTGCTGCTTCACAGAAAGAGGCATTGGAAGATGCTTGGGCTCAGGGTCGTAGGAACAAGGCTGAGGCTGGTAGTCACTATGGCTTCTGATCGATTCATGACTTTACGATCATTAATGAAATTAATCTTCTCAGATGCCTAGATCATCCAAGTTACACAGTGACTCGTAGTCAGACGGTATGTCAAGGTCTGCTTGCCAAGGCTGGCTGCAATCGCACCTGCTTCGTTTCGACACTTTGCAGCTGCCAACCCTCGCACTTTGAGTAACCTCTATAATCATGCAAGATTTCAATTTCATCAACAATAGCGGCGGTGGTCTAGTGGTCAAGACGCTGCATCAGTAAGTCTTGCAAACACAAGCTCGACTGTGTACAGTACGGAGTGCCTTCGGGTGCTTTTGTACACAGGACGATGCAGAGATCGTGAGTTCGAATCTCACTCGCCGCACTATCTTTTTGCTGTTATTTGGTTTAGTATCAAGCCTTAGGTGCTCCACATAATGTATAGCTCCTGGTATCGAGGCTTAAAGTTATCGCGGAATTGGTTCCGTGGTAGCAGAAGAGCTTCGAGTGTGCTCGAGTCGTGACGTCTACCGTATACATGTGATCATGTGCTACGACCATACATCATGACTGATCGCGTAAATTGAGGCTGAGGCCAAAGCACCTCTTGCTTACATCAATGAACATCGCAATAGTTTTGACCTCTCCAATTCCATCTTGTTAACACAATCATCACAATATGCCAAACCCAATCTCGCCCCTTGGCTCAAATGGTCCACTGTATGCTAGTTGTTCCATGACTTCGCTCTGCATAATACTGACCAGAATAACAGGCGCCAGAATGCAGTGCTGCTCTCAATCTTGGCTGCCGGTGGTGCAGGTTGGTGGATCATAAAATCGAGATCTCTTGCACGCGACCAAAAGAGACAGGAACAGATCTACATTGAGCAAAGGAAACACATCAACACGTCGAAGAGTGATCATTGAGTGAAGAGATTGATGAAATGTTTTTATTATGGTATGAGGCGCTTACGCTAGCCATGTTCTCAGGAGGCGGTCGTTTATATGACGATAACAGGAGATAGGTCCGGGATCAAATGGTGGGGCTTGCCAACCTCAATTCTGTTCTTTTGAATCTTCATCATTGACTCTGTGACCTTTGCCTATCAACATTCATTGCATCAATAGAACATCCTAGTGAACTCATATATCATGGATTGTCCTCAGGAAAGACTCAGCATCGCCGTGCTGGGTTGCGGTTTGTCAAGCCACAATATCCTCAACCTCAATACTCGAGGCTAATTAATAGTCAGGCTTCATGGGCACAGCAATCATCAAAGGTCTCCTCACTAGTATCCGCCCAAACACCACAAGCTCAAATGATTTCAACATGCAAATCTGGGCCTGTGTCAGATTCCAAGAATCCTTCGAGCGAGTTCAAAAGGCCCTTGGCGAGGAAGCCTATCGCGTTCAGAGTGCAACACACTTACATGCATGGGCTCAAGCCGTCGACAAAGCCGATGTAGTTATGCTAGGCATCCCTCCTGCTGAGCTCAAATCCATTTCAGACAATATGCCATTGTGCAAGTCACTGCGTGGGAAACTCGTTATCAGTTTACTGGCAGGGACGTCTTGCGAACAGGTTACTGATGCATTTGTCCATAATGATGTGGCGAATCGAGCAAACCAGTTTAACGTTATTCGCGTAATACCAAGTATGGGAGCACAAAATCTGGATTCGGTGACGATGATTGCGGATACACAACATGCTGGAGACGACCACAAAGCTCTATGCGATTGGATCTTCAGACAAATAGGTAGTGTGCACTACCTACCCGAACACCTCATGAACGAAGCTACAGCAACACATGCGACTTGCAATGCACTTACTATGATTGCTGTGGACGCTATCACGGATGCAGCAGTGGCGGAGGGTATACCACGTACTCAGGCAATGGCATTAGCTGCACAGAGTTTGAAGAGTGCGGCTGGGTTGTTGCAGGATGGCATGACTCCGGAGTCGATGAAAGAGTCTATGTCTGTACCCAGGGGGATTACTATTAATGCTGTGATGGATCTTGAGAAGGGGCAGGTTAGATCTGCTACTTCGGATGCTACCAGGAATGCTATCAGATACACGAGGAACATGACTTGAGGAGATTGGTCTTCTTGGGTTGATGGTCAATTCAAAGCTGTCTATTCAGGTTTGCGATCGAAGTCATAGTCTGGCAAGTCGAACCCGGGCATCTTGTAGCCACCGATCCAACGAGTTATGCCACTCCAATAGACGAGCCAGATCACGGTTCGCATCATCCACACCCCAAAACGCGTTTGTGGTACAAACATCTGTGGCCCGCCTTTCGGAGCACTCTGCGCCTTTTTCACATAACAAGCTAGCTTATCCTCATAAGCCTTGAATGCAAATTCTGGCTTGTTCGGGGAGTTCAAAATCTCCCCAGCAAGCATATATCCGCCCAGGATTGCGAGAGTTGTCCCAGTGCCTGTAAAAGAACAGTACGCGGCATCGCCTACCATTGCGCATCTGCCCTTCGACCATCCTCGCTCTCCCAACTGAATCTTTGCAACGTCTTGCAGATAGAAATCCTCTGTATCTTTCATACCTTCAATCACTCTTGTGGCTTCCCACCCAGCATCTGCGAAGAGTTCTGCCAATGCCGCTTTCTGGGCTGCCATACCCGCCCTCTGTACCTTCCGCAGTGAAGGCTCATCTTTGCTCACCACGAGATAGCCAGAACTGAGTTTCTCGTCTTTGGGTCTGATCATGATGAATCTTCCTCCTATGGCATTGTATCCACGCGACCTGGGATTATCTTGTGGCTGGCGAGGGATAGAGAAGTACGCTACCCAGCAGTTTTGACTTTGAATGAAAGCTTCCGTGTCAGTGTTCTCGAGGATCAGTTGTCGAGTTCTCGATCTGAAGCCATCGGCTGCGATGACCATGTCGTAGCTTTCTTCTGTCCCTGAAGATGTGGTAATCCAAACCGAAGAGTCTGTTTGACGTAAAGAAGTTATACTGGTATCGAATTCAAACTTGACGTTTGGAAATGCAGTCGCCGCCGTGTAGAAAATGTCACACAGATCTCCTCGCATGATTTCGATCTCAGATGTGAAGCCTATATCAGTTCTCTTCTCGCCAACATCAAAGGTAGCGAACGGAATGTTGTTTTCATCCACAAATGCGACCCCTTTTTCTCCGGTTGTCTTTGATCGGATGGTTGACTCCAGTCCCATTTTTCTTATGATTGAGACGGCGGGTCCTTCCATGTCGATGCCTTGGCCTGCTGTACGCAGTGCAGGGGTGCGTTCGAGAACTGTGACATTGAAGCCGGCGCGGCCTAGCCAGTATGCTGTTACACTGCCTGCTATACCAGCACCTGAGATCAAAATCTTTTGGGGAGGCATCATGAGGATGGTTGATGGTTAGAAAAATTTAGTGGTATGTTGCAAGCACGCTGGTAGTTGGCCTGGCGTTTATATTCCTGTTGAGAGGGGTTTTGTTGAAATCCTACTGCCTGAGCAACTGTTTCGCATCCTACGCGCCTCGGGGATGAATCCCCGATGGAGGTGAATCTCGGGGTGCCGCCCGAGGTGAGCTTGAGACTTGACCTCGACCTTCTCCATGTCACAAAGCCATTGGCGATACCTCTGATTGTCAAAATAGCTATTGCGAAAGATGTTTGAAGTTGCGATTGACAGAAAGAAAGGAAGGAACACTCGACTCGCTCTTGCTTTGAAGCTCGCTGAAGCTTTGACCCACCTTTTTCTGATACGTCGACCTTACCATCTCCGTTGAAGAACCATCTCTTTTCCTTCACGAAACATCTTTTTGGACGAATGGATTGACGTGTCAAACGCTCACCGCTTTTAAGACTTCCCGAAGTCCAAATTCTCAATATCTGTTTGTGGCTGGTCGTGACGAGTGCTACGCCACGATGATAGCTATCAGATTGACTGCGCCGCGAGGCTGACAAGCTGCATGATACATGATACCGTCGATACGGCGGGGTTGTGGTCAAGGGAACTCGATGTCAAGCAGCCTTTGGGACTTCTTATACCCTCTTCAATCCTGGACACAAGCCTTCCCACTCTCGTCTTGTTCTGAAAGACTTCATTCTCTTGTCAAGATATATACTTGATACCATGTCACCAAGATCGAAGTCTCGATCTCCTTTGCCTACGATCGCTGCGACAACCACAACGACCAATGCTCTGAGCGATGCTATCAAGTCATTTCAAGATTGTCTGGGCCCCGAGGAGAAAGCGGAATTAGAGGCCATCAAAGCTGTACCTGATGTTCATGCAGTCGCAATGTTCACTCATCAGCTCGACGAGGCGAACGCGAAAAGGAGAAGCCGCTGTATAGCAGCTCGAATCTCACCTTTACTGGAATCGGTTCAGCAATTTTCTGGCGTTGTTGAGACCTTTGTTTCTTCGAGTCCACACATCGCTGCCCTTGTCTGGGGCAGTGTCAAACTCGTGTTGCAGGTAAGTTGACCATAACCTACGATGGGACAGGAAACGTATCGCACCTTCTGCCCTTCGAATGTCAGTCAAAACATAGAGCTGGCATTAGTAGCCGAAGTTCTCTAGTTTCGCTTTCGATAGAAACTTACGACAGATCTCTAACTTGGTTTTAACGTCGAGCAGATTGCGTCGAACTTCACGACTTATCTAGACAACTTGTCAGCTCTGCTCATGACTATTGGGAAGCGCTGTCCAAGGTTTCAAGAATATCAAAAGCTCTATAGAGATTCTACTGAGCTGCAGAAGGTGCTTTGTGATTTCTATTCCGTGATTGTCCGCTGCTGTGAGCAGGCAGTCACAGTACTTCGCCGGACTGGTAGGTCAACAGCACTAATTCATCGTGAGATTTTTTCTCCAGCTAAACTTACTGTAAAGCATACATACAGCTGCTCAGAGCTGTGACCAGTTCATTCAACTCTGAATTTGACCCCATAATGGCGCAGGTCGACCATTTGAGTAAAGAGGTTAAGGAGACGATTCGCTTGGCTGAAGCGAAGCTGAGTACAGTCGAAAGGCAAGATCAGCGTACAGAGCGAGTGGCGGCGGAGAAATATAGAATCAGCTCAATGATGTACCGCAAAGAACGAGAGAAGACCGAAGTCGACCGGCTAGCGCAAACGCAACTCGAAAGACAAAGTGATTATTCAACATCTAAGCTCATGCCGCTGCGTCAGGCTGATTGAAGTTGTACAGAAATTCGGCAGGCATCCAAGCTTGAGCAGTTCTGTGACTACAACCACAAGATTGCTTACTGGAAAGCTCGTACACAACGACACGGCTCCACAGGTCAATGGCTTACCCGCACTGACGAGTTCAAAAGATGGATCGCTGGAAGCGACCCCAACGTGTTCTGGTTTACTGGAATTTTAGGATCTGGGAAGACTGTTATGACTGCCTTCGTTGTCGAACAGCTATCTGCGAAGCCCACTCAGAATTTCGAGAAGCTTGTCTATTTCTTCTGCCAGTATGACAACGAAACTTCTTTGAAGGCTACGACTGTCCTGCGATCAATCATCAGACAGTTGCTAGACCAGGAGGACCGCATCTTTACCGAGCACGAATCCAAGATAGATGCTTTGCTGGACAATCTGTATGACTTGAGTCTACTGGAGTCCTTGTTTACCAATATCATAAACTGCTTGAAGAGTATCACTGTGATTATCGATGGCATCGACGAATGTTCGAACTCAGAAATGAAGTTGCTTATCAAGACCCTTCGCAGTCTTATGCTTCGAGAACCATCTGGTCTAAAGCTTTGCCTCTCAGGAGACGATCGCATCACTGATATCATAACGTCTTCCCTAACACCAAGCTTCGTAGTCAACACTCATAAGCCAGAAGCAGACACGGATTTGCAAGAGCTTATCCAACAATTAGTGACTGTGAAGAGGGAGGATGAGGATCTTGTGGCAACAGATCCTAGCTTGTACCAAGAAATTGTTGACATCTTATGTACGGCGTCCCAGGGCATGTAAGTAAATCATGAGATTTGCTTATTGAAGACTGCTAATGAAACTACAATAGGGTTCTCTGGGTCAAATTCCAACTCGAAGAGATCTGCTGCCAGAAAACAGATGAAAGCATACGAAAAGCTCTCAATCACCTTCCCAAAGACCTTTCCGAGACATACGATCGATTGTTATCTAGGATCGTTGAAGAAGGCAGCGACGAGGTTTGTAACAAAATCTTTCGTTTTATGGCTGCGGCAAAGAGACCTCTTTCGCCAGAAGAGCTTGGTGAGGCTATCTCAGTGCAGCCTTGCCAGCCTTATTTCATGCCGGAGCGCTTGCTCAACGATATTAATGGCATCGTCCGGTGGTGTCATGGGCTCATTACGTTCGATGACTTGGATGAAACATTACAATTTGCACATTCAAGCGTGAAGAGCTTCCTCTGCAGTCCTGACACAGAAAGAATCGCACATTCGGATTTTCACTTCCAGGAGCATGAAGCTGATCGACAATTTGGCGAGATTTGCGTTACATACCTGAGTTTCAACGACTTCAAAACACAAGCCGTCAAATACTCCAGATCTGGAACTGCCTTGAATCCAATGGCTATGGCTAGTCATGCCTTGAGAACAGAACCTTCGAGCATCGTTTTGAACCAGGCCCAAAACATGATAAGCAGAAGAGCAAAGTCAGCTTCTGCAAGCTCAAGACTATTCTTTCCACAAACCAAGGGTTCCAAGAGTCAGATGATCGCGAAAGATTATCAATTATTTCAATACGCCTCTGAGTCCTGGCTCTTGCACACAACAGAGTTCTCACCTGAACAAGGTCATCTATGGAGTCTGTTCCAGACGCTAGCTCGGGATCGCTATGGTATCCCCTCGAACTTCGATGCCTCGAATCCGCTGAGGAACTCAGCGCCTGGAGTAAAACGCCTGAGTGATGACATGTTTATTCACAGACATCATGCACTTTTTCGTTTTTGCTGCAAGGATGAAAAAGGTCTTCGATGGACCTTGTCAGAGATACTCAGAAGGAAGAGTTTCTCTTTTTTAAGACTTCTTCTGCCACTGGCTAATCAGCCCGGGGACCTGTGGCTAGAAGCTGTGATGTCGGTCGAAGATTCCGACCTGAGCGTTTTCCGACGTGACACGGGCATCGAATGGATCCAAAAATTGACATTGAAGCAGCGCTCGAGTATGTTGAGGAATGTCATTGAAATGGGCCCCAATGGCTTGCTGGGTGTGAGCGCGGCGTTGGTCAATTTCGGAATCGACCCTTGGTACAAGTCTGGTTCTCAGACGACACTCCTCGAAAAGTTGATCTACGCTCCAAACGATGAACTCTTGAAGACGGTATGTGAAGCGATGGTCGATTCGCATGCAGACTTCGAGCGTGACATCGCATCCAACGGTAGAACTGCACTGCATGTTGCAGCCGTTGCACGGCGACACATAGCGGTAAAAATTCTCCTGGATCATGGTGCTGATGTTGATACGGTTGATTGTGACGGTCGTACGGCACTGCATCTTGCCATAAAAGGAGAAGCTTTGGCAATGGAAATTGTTGTCCTGAACACCGTATCACAACTGCTCAGCGCAGGAGTTTCTCTGCATGTGAGAGATTGCCACGGAAAGGTCGCACTTGACTACGCGTCGCCCGACTTGGAGCAAACTCTGCATGAAAGGTTTGCAAAGCACAAGAAATTCTTTGCACAACCTCCTCTTTCTCCCACATACCTCGAGTGCTCTGACGCTATTCACGGCTCCTGATATGGTGATCACATCTGTGGAAATCTGTGTTTCCTTAGCTTGGGCTGATCCCGTCACTGTGTTCTATCAAGCAAGTCTCGATGCCTAAGGTCATCTTGACCGCGAGATCGCGATGAAGAGTTAATCCTCAACAACCATTGAGGCATGATCGTTCTAAAATTCTTCCGATAGAGGTTAAGGCGCAACAAGCTCACCAGTATCAGTAATATCACGTCAGCGGTCCAGATGCATCCTCTTAGCGCCATGTGGAACAGCAGTGATCACAGCTTTACACGCCCTATGAGAGTGACTCGAGAAGGAAAAGGAAATCAAAGCTGGTTGTGAACGTGCTGCTGATTCAATGTTTCAGCTCGCATTCGGCAACAATCGACCTGACATTGATATGTGCCTATCTTGGAACGCCATAATCGTTGATCGCTTGAACTGTTTTATGTCTACCATTCTTTCTTAGCTACTTGGGCTCAATTTCTCATCAAGGACAAGCACAGTTCTTTGTGCCATGTCATCACTTGAAGACAAAATCTTTGTGCTTCTTCATGTACTCTTCCTCTTCCTTTGTACCGCCCTCTCTCTCGCCTTCCATGCCTCTGTAACGGTACTTCAGTGTCCAATACTGTTCACTGGGCTTGTAGATGATATTTCCTCCGCCTCTTTTCTTCAAGTAAGTCTGCATGGGCAGAGCAAGAGCGCCTTCTTCGTCTTGTTCTGCCTGGAGCCTCTCCCACTCTGTGTCATCCTCGGAGTCTTCACGGAACGAGACGATGCCGAAGTCTATCATCATGACTTTGTGAGTGAAAGAATCGACCATGAAGCTGCGGGTGTTGAGGTCGCGATTGAGGATGCCACATTCCTGGATGTGGTGGAGTTTCTCGATGGATGTGTCGACAATCGATTGCCAGCAGTCTTGAGGCAGATGTTCGTGCAGGTCGGTGAGATGGAAGCCGTTGATGTACTGGATGAGGATGCCGGGAATGTTGATGGTTTGAGGTTTGATGTCAAAATCTTCGCGAGTGCTTTCGGTCTCGTCTTTGCCAGCTTCATAACCGTCGCGCTGATCCTGATGAGCGGCTGGCTGATCAAGAAAAACCTCGCCAAACACTCTGGGTACATCTTCTCCTTGCAGTTCGGCCATGTGCTCATAGGCTTTCTTCTCCGTCTCGTAGGTGTCTACCGCATCCCATTGCAGATACGCCTCTTGCTTTGCAACACTCCATCTGTCGTGATTTCCCACACAAGCTGCTGACCATTCACTATCTCGCTCCTTTTCAGCGTCCCAATAGCTGAAGAACTCCTCAGCGTCACCGCACTCCACAAAGTCCTGGTACTCCTTCTCGAGCTCGGGTGTCCAAGGAGATACTTCCCAATCTTCCCGATGTTGGGTCGAGAAGCGGCGGTCATACAGCTTGAGCACGCATTCAGATGTGTTGTTGAAGACGGGTGGCTCGACAAAGCGAATCACCATACAGCAGGAAAGAGTTGCCGGAAAGTATTTGACGATCACGGCCTTGATTGAGTTATCGCTCGTGGGACTTCTGAGGAGAATCTCATTTCCAGCGATGTAAGGGCAGCTGAAAGTCCGATTGGTTAGAACATGATTCTTGATTCAAGGGACAGCGCTTACAAAGGTGACAAAGTTTCGGAGGGGTGATTGCAGTCTGGCTGCTTGACTGTAGATGATTCTTCCATAGCAGTGGAAGGACAGTTGGCAGTGCGCTTGCTGGAAGTAGAGTCAATGTAGCTGAGTTTGCCACAACTTTCAAGAGAAGGCTCGTTGATGGGGCGATGAAGCTGAAAAGCCTCGTTGTTGGCGGCGCTTGCGCTGTCAGTAACCGCCGGGCATGACTTAGAGCAAGAGTCGCGCTTATTGTGAGCCAAGGGTTCGGTTTTTTCGCGTTCATTAATTGGTAAGAAGATCCTGATTGGACCGCTGAGGTAAACAACTTGTACGCGGTCGCTCACTTCAGTCAACGATTGAGACTGGGTTGGGGCGAGCTTCGTGGTATTGATATCGGTGTCCATGTTTGTAGCAAATGCTGAAGGTGAATGATTTGTGGCGGTATGTTGAGCCGTCCCAGCTCTGCGCGCGTTGTTCACGTAGGTGTTGAGTTGTTGTGAAGATGAGAGACAAGTTTGAATAAGAACTTTGCGGGCGGTGCGCTCTGATGTTGTCACTTGACACGAAGTTTCCGTGGTCTCGTGGAATATCAAAGAAGAATCAATAGTCCTGTCGTGGGAACGCGTTCAACTTTTGGTGAGTCGGGTCTCGTGTCAAGACAGAGGGTCGTATAAAGGTAAGTATACGGGCAGCGATCAAGGTTCGCTTATATGGCTTTCGTTCTTGTCGAATTTGTTTGTAGCAAGTCAACATAGTAGCTTCTGTTTTGAGATTGTTCAGGGGGTATTCTAAGTTCTAACTCTGTAGATTTGAACCTGGATGACTCTCTCTCTCCTCCAGCAATACTCTCCTCTGTAGGTGTTTGAAGCAACGCAGAGTCTCGAAAACGAGCTTCAGTCGACTGCGGAGGTGACTCGAGACGAGTGGTCGCTGGTTCGCTTTCTGTTCGCTTCCATGTCAATTTTCCGTCTTTACGATTTGTTGTTGTTGTGTCTCTCTACCTTACTCTCTATCACGCGCGTCTCCTGTCAAAACACAATCACTCGCTCATCTCAATACACTAACGCACGATTGATCATATCAATTCATCCATTTTTGTTGAAGCATCAATCACAATGGTATGAAATACCCCTGGTCACCATCTCCAAAAGCCGTACCTCTGCGCTTCCTGTTTCCCATGATCCCTTCCTTCTGCTACACCTACTAACTCTCCTTCAAAAGGCCAGAAACAGCACCAACAAGCCTATCAGCACATCAGATGCCCAGAAGATCTACGCCCAGTACGCTAAGAACATCGATATCCGCTTCCTCCAAGTCAACTTCAGCGGTTCCGTTGGTCAACCTATGGATGTTCATGGCGACAAAAAGAGTGTGAAGAGTGGTAAGCACAACATCACCTGCCACTCTGTCAGCATGCGTACCTCGGACGGCAAGAACAAGGTCTGGGTCTACCGCGGTGCTGGAACCAAGTATGTGCAGGATATTTTCGAGGTTCCGGAGGGCACGGAGGAGGAAACTCTCAAAATCATGCTTGAGCGTGCTACTGGTCTGGATGCCAATGGCAACAAGGTCGAGATCAAGTAAACACACTCTATCGTACGCATATCTCGTGGCTGTTTTCTCCGAACATTGCTGATTGATTAGAATCACGATACACACCACGACACACCGCGGCGACGACTCACGCTATACGCATACTTTCACGACAACAGACAACGAACTTTATTCTCGTCACAAGAACGAGCTGGCAAGCACTTCATTCACTTCAAGGAGGCGTTAGGAGACAAGGATACCCAGGGTTCTTTTTGACTTGTTTCTCAAAATTCAGGGGAAGGATTAATTGGCGTTTTCTGCACATTAGTCACTATTGCGTTCGTCTCGATACAAGAAGACTACCGAAAACACTAGAAAAACTCTGCTGTAGTTCACGTTGACTTTCTTTTATCCGTCTTCGTCGGGCGCCGAGTTAGCTGTCAGTGATCGAAAAATGGTTACATACTACTTCCAGCACAACCTGAAGCAGGCCTGTAAGCAACAACTTAGCTCTTGACCTCCCTCGCTACCCCTGTATCGAAAGCATCGCTCTGTACTCTGTCAATAATACACCGTTACTGATAGACAATCAGGGCAGAAATATTTCTGGTGGTGAACGTCCTTCGGGAATCCCCTGACCGTGCACCGTACGAGTCCCTCTCGCCGCCGAAGAAGCAGGAGATGCTGAACCGATCTGAATTCTGAACTGGATGACGGGGAGGTCAACAGTGTCAATAGATGGCGGTATGAAAGATGTATGTTGGGAAGAGGTCGGCTCTTGACGCGGCCAAGATATATTCAGGGGTAATGGCAAGACATTGTCCAACTCGAGGCTCGCATTGCACTCGAGGACCAGACCCTTTGTCCTTCGATCATGCAAGACACATTCACCAATGTGGAAAGAGCAGGTACGATAAAGGAGTCTTGGGCTTTTGAGTCGTATATCGACATTCTTTTTTTCTATCTTACACCCCTTTTCAAACCCTCGTTATTGCCGGCATCAATCATCCCCATCGACCAGCCTCTCTTTCCCGCTCAACCCTCTCAGCCCTAGCTTCCTCTCCTTCCTCATCTTCATATCTGTAACTAACCTTTCTACTCTTCCTCGATCCCTTCGGTCCCGTCGGCGCCTCGAACCCAGTATTAGAGCCTCTTCTGCCGCTGTCCTCACCTCTGCCTCTCTTGCCCATGGTAGCAGATTCACGACGTTGTTGCTCTTTGGCCATGCGCTCTTTAATGCGTGCTTCGCGTTCTTGGGCATATGGGTCTGCAGAGGCGGAAGCAGAGGTGTCTTGAGCCACAGCAACGGATTGGAGGCTGGGGCGTCTAGCGCCTCTGTCATCGTTGCGGTCTTTGCGGGGGCCGGTGGGCGGTGCAAAGGGTTTACTGCCACGAGAACCCTTGATCTTGAAACCTTGGTCGTCATTCGTAGAGTTTTGGTCATCGCGGCGTGAGCGGCGGGAAGAAGAGTAATGGTCAGTAGTTCCGTTGGCCGAGGGGGATCGGTCTCTACGAGAGCGCTTGCGGTCACGGTCGCTTCTGTCACGATCAGAACGCTCCTTCTCCCTTTCTCTTTCACGGTCACGATCGCGGTCGCGGCGGCTCTTAGTGCGCGAGGATTGCTCCTCTCCGTTACCGCGGTGGTCTTTGTCGCCACGGGATCTGCTGCGACGGCGACGGTGATCGCGGTCTCTGCTGCTTTCGCGGGTTGAACGGTGCTTTTCTCTGTCTCTGCGACGGCGCGACCGTCTAGATGCATCTTCGTCGCCCGAGTCGGATCTCGTCACTTCCTTTCTGTCAGAGTCGACAGCCTCGTCATCGTACTTTCTTTCGTGACGGCGACGTCGCTCACGTCTGCGAGCGCGTGCTTCGCTGTCTTGCGACTCGACACTGTGCTTACGCTTGCGGCTGTGCGAACCTGATCTCGAATGTGAAGGCGAACGGCCACGGTCACGGTCATCGCGAGCTGGCGAAGGACTGCGCTCTCTTTGTGGTTGAGGAGACTGTGCTGGCAGAGATTGAGGTTGAGGCGTAGGTGTGGGATGGGCGTTCCTTCCACCTTGATAGCCGCCTCTGCTGTAAATACCACTGTTGGGTAAGCCCTCACGCATGGCCTTGGGACCCTTGGGCGCATCAATCGGAGGCCCTTCAGCAGAACCTGCAACAACAGTGAAATCATCTGGAGTCTGCGACATGTGTCCATTGAAGCCGCCATGCATGTTGTTGAAGCCACCGCGGCCACGGAAGCCGCCCCTGCCTCTGTAACCGCCCCTTCCTCTTCCGCCAAATCCGTTGTTGAAGTTGTTCTGCGGGAAGAACCCGTTTTGGTTACCAAAAGGCATCATCGGCGCCATAGCAGGATTGAAGCCACCCATGCCCATCATGGCTGGGTTGAAGGCATTAGGATCCATCATGTTTGAACCTGGATACATCAGAAATTGACATTGCGATGATTTGTTTGCTACGCTTACCTTCGTTGTTCATGTTCATCATATGACTGCCGTGCTCATCTTGCATTCCTTGCATCTCATCGCCGTTTTCGAGACCTTGTTGTTCGGCTTGATCTTCGTCTTGGGGGATCTGCTCGTTAGTATCCTCGTTGATAGCATCTGCTTGCTGCTCTAGGGCAGGGGTGTCATTCTCCGGTATCTCGGACGCAGGAGCTACAGATTGGGAATTGCGTCTTTCAGCACCGGCTTCGGCCGATTCAGTGCCAGCCTGAGAAGGGCGACGATCGCCTTGTTCGTCATCTTGAGGATAAACAGCATCGTCTTGCTGAACCTGTGGGTTAGATGGGCCAACACTCCCACCAGCAAACGCAGCACCGCCTCTCCCACGGCCAGCAAAGCCACCACGCTGTTGGAAGCGGTTCTGGTTCTGGTAGTTATTATGATTGGGGAACTGTTGATTGGCATAGCCTCCTTGGTGCATTTGCGGTTGATTATATCCAGCGTTGGGATAATAGCCAGCGCCAAAGTTTCCGCCCATTCCTTGCTGTCCATTCCAATTGCCACCGAATCCGCCTCCAAAGCCCATACCCATGTTCATACCACTCATGTCTTGCATGCCCATACCGCCGGGACCGAAACCGCCGAACATGGACATGGGATTCATTCCAGGCATGCCTATCCATGTATTAGTTCAGTTCGTAGAGATACGTAATCTTATGGAAACTCACCCATCATACCCATCATGGGGTTGAATCCGTTGGCCATGTTCATCATAGGGTTAAATCCGTTAGCAGCGTTCCAGTCCATATTCTGAAAGTTTTGTTGAGAAGCGTCCTGTCCATTTTGATTTTGTTGTTCGTTTTCGCCCTGCTCCATCTCGTTCTTCTGCTCGGCGTCAGGGTTTTCAGGGTCAGCCTCTTCGATTGACTGTGCGACAGTATCTTCCTCGGCTCCATTGGCTTGTTCAGCTTGATCCATGTCCGTGGTCTCTCCAACGGCGGGGTGTTCAGAGACCTGTATGAAACGTCAGAAATTCATCTTGACCATTGGCCTGACATAATCTCACCTCTTCAACCTGAGCAAGCGGATCGGTGGCCTCGGGCGCAGCACCTTCAGTCGCATCTGCCGGGGCTACATCTTCTTCCTGCGAAGGTTCTGCGACTGCTTCGGTCTGGAGCTCAGACTCTGCTTGCGGTTGATCTGTGGGTTGTTCTGATTGTTGAGCGGGAGTCTCCTCTTGTTCAGCGGCTGCGGCTGTAGCAGCCTCAGCGGCGGCAATCCTCTTCTTCTCTTCGGCCTTGATGAAGGCACGGACAGTCATGCGCAAAGACTTGTTGGGCTTGCACATGTCGGCATCCAGAGGGGAGTGACTGCATACTGGGCAGGCGTCAGGAAGAGTGGCTTGGCAGTCCTGGCAGATGGACGAGTCGCAGCATTGGAGCTTGAAGGCATTGACGGCGAGCTTGCTGCAGGTGGCACATCGCAGCTTGGTAGGGATCTCAGACTGGGTGAGTGAGCTGAGTGGCATGTAAGTGATTGCGCATGCTACGAAAGTTGGAGTGTGTCTGACCTGGCGAAGTCAATGGCCGCTTGGTCCTGGACGGCCGCCATGTTGCCGGATCAGTGTGCGCACTGATGTGGATGGACCGGCAATTTCGCAGACGTCGTGTCGATGGTGCTGTAAGTTGCGATAATAATGTGTATGAGAATTGTGAAGTCAGAGGAATCAACTCTTGACACACCAACGCGCGACTGCGGCTACTCCCGCTGTTGGAGGCTCCGGAGGCTTTGCCGAGTCTGACACGTGAAGATGGTCTGCAGACTCATTTCCTCTTGTCGAGAAACGAGGAAAGTGAATAGCTGTATTCCTATCACTATGTAACAGATACTAGATGGCATCTTGCTTGCTTAAGCATTTAATCGTTCAGACCATGGTGAGAAATTCTGAGCTTTTCTCAGCCTGCATCGACGATCATCTCCACAAACGGAAGACCCTGAGAAGCATCAACTACATCATTGGTTCCTTCACACAAATCGTCCATCTCAACCCTTTCAATTATCCATAGCACTCTTTCCTTTCTATATACAAGCAAAAATGATATTAAATCAGATCTCATATCTGGATTGCTTTGCCTTCCTGATCTTTCTCGCTCCTCAATTGCTCATCAGAGTGGGGCTAGTAGAAACAGTTTCCTGTGTCGTTGCTGCGTTGCCCTTCTTTTGTATGTATGCTGAAATCGAAAGATTGAAGAATACTGATATATCTTCGCAGTGGTTCAATTGCCATATTCATTCATCAAAGAACGATTCTTTATTCCTTACGAACAAAAGTCTGCTTTCAATCAACACGCCACTCCCTTCCAGGACTTTGTCATTCGCTGCGTCCGCTATGCATTTGCAAAGATCCCTGCCAACATCGGCAAGGTCTTCTTTTCCAAGGGTGTTGCATTGCCCTTCTTCTGGTTCCGTATGTTGAGACATGGATATTTCAAATCTGCTATTCCATGGCGTGAGATCAAGAAACCTGGTCTCCATGGTATCTGGATGATTTGTGATGAGAACAAGAAACCAGACATTGTGATTTACTATTGTCATGGTGAGATACCCGATATTCTGTCAAAAGGTTCGACTTTGCTAAACGTTACATAGGTGGTGGCTTCTCGATGGGAAGCAGTTTCTTCTACCTCGAATTCCTCCTCGCTTGGATCAGCATCCTCAAAGAATCGGGCTACTCGAATCCAGCCCTCTTCGCTCTCGAATACACTCTAGTCCCGGAGACTACCTACCCAACCCAAGTCCACGAGACGCTGGTCGGCTATGAATACGTCCTCTCCAAAATTTCGGACTCGTCACGCATCGTCGTGAGCGGTGACTCGGCAGGCGCAACACTAATGCTCAGTCTCACGCTCTACATGTCTCAAGAGCCAAAGCTACGTACTCAATTGCCAGGTCTGGGCGTCATGATTTCTCCTTGGGCTGTTATTGTATCGCCAAAGAACAAAGACACGCCTAGCGATTATCTCAACGCCGACTCTCTGCATCTCTATGGCAGCCAATATATTGGTTCCAAGGCCTCTCCTTCCGATCCATTGGTCTCGCCTGGTAAATGCAGGGATAGGGAATGGTGGAGGCGAGCTTCGCCTAGCAAAGGTTGGATGTTCATCTATGGTGCTGAAGAGGTATTCGCACCCGAGACTGTCGACTTGGTGGACTTTTTGAAGGACGAAGTGAACACCGAAGTAAGCGTGCATGAGGAGAAAGGCTGGATTCATGCGTGGCCTGTGGTAAAGCTTTTCCTGTCCGATGGGCAGAAGGAAAGACAAAGCGGATTGAGGAGTATGACAAAGATTATTCGGAATAGACTGAAGTAAACGACTCGAATGCTTGCTAGACTAAATAATGCTATGTAATAACAAATCAACAATGAGAAATGCGAAACTATGCTATATGCTGCTTATATATACAGAACGCAAGAAAGGACTTATAGGCAGCTGTCGTGTGAGCATCTCTGAAAAGATGGAAGGGGGTATCGACGTATTAAGCGAGCGAACGTAGACTCGGAACCGTGCAGTGCGTATCGTCAAATGAGCAAACCATGACAGAAGGCAAGCTGCCTCATGCGGCAACATGCTAGAAGGAGAGAATCAAGATCATCCTCTCTTGAAGAACTCCTTGAAACTCTTGCTTCGTTGTCTGCCCGTCCTGTTGTGCTTGATATCCCCATCCTCGCCACTGAACACTGCCTGACGCTCCTGCTCTTCCATCCTAGCCCTCTCATCATCCAACTTCTTCTGTGTCTTCCTGTCAACCGCCCACCCACCAGTCTTCTCCACATCCACACCTTCATCCTCAGCAATCGTTTGCGGATCAAAGATTCTCTGGCCTCTAGGCGCTCTTCCCGGCGAAGGGAAATCAGGCACAGGAACAGGTTCCATGACTCCATCCTTGCCTGCTTCTTGCTGTCTGCGAAGATGCAAACGGGGAGGTGGCGGTGCGCGCAACGACTTTGATCGCGAAGGCGCAAAGCCAGTGTTTGAGATGTTGTGGGGTTGGTGTGGTTCCTGGCGTACACTCATTGCTCTGCCTAGTGCTTGCTTCATGGATTTGGAGCGTGACATGCCGCCGCCGGTGGTCTTGCTGCGCGCGGGCAACTCGTCGGGTATCACGACTTTGTGGGGGTCATTGGAGTTGGGAGAGCGGTTGCGATTGAGGTCGGAAGGAGGACTGGTACGGTGGATACTGTTCTTGCGGCGAGCGGCTGCCATGTTGCCCATTTGCAGAACGCGGTTGCCTTCGTCGGTGGCAGTCATTCTGCGGGCTAGAGGTGTGATTTGGTCATCACCCTCGTCGAATGAATTGCGCGACATGTTTGTGTGTTCGTAGTGCGAGTTGCCTTGTGGTTTCAAAGTTTGTCTTCTTCGATCAATTGGCGCTTCACTATGAAAGTGAGAGCGCAGGTATGCCCGTATTCTCTGAATGGCTGTGAGATGATGTATCTCGTCTCGTCTCCCAATGCTGGAGGACTATTTTTGTTGACTTTTGTGGAGAAAACTGTTGACGGGTGTTTGTGCGGTGACAACGGTGGCGCGTTAGATATGCAGGGAGGAATTGCTCCGACTATGATGTAGTAATGCAGAAGGGTCCACAAGTCGTATGCCTTGAATTGTTTCGTGAGAAGAAAACAAGAAATTCGTGTCGTGAACTTGGAGAAGAGGACTTTCGTCAATAAATGCGAAAGAGGAAAGAAGAGAGACCAGCGGCGCAAGACCCAACAGCGAGACGGCGCTATTTTGTGCCTCGAAATGGTTGAAAGTGCCACATCTATTTGCGAAAGATTGACCATCCCACCTTCAACCTGAAACGCACGTTTGACGAACACTTTCCCTTTTCTAAACTTCAAGGGGCCGCGCGTTAATTGCTGCTCCATGTTCCAGACCCAATCCAGCAATCACTGCCTCTTTTGCTCAGAGCACATTACGCAAACAACAGTGTCGCTCTTCCATCAATCCTGGCATCAAGTTCTGGTTTTGCTTCTCGTATCTTGACGCGGCCGAAGAGCATGGACGACCGTTGAGAAGCCAAACAAAACGTGCTGTTCAGCCTCTGTTGATAGTGGCTTGCTTCACCCATCTCTCCACACGCGCTAACGCTGTGACGCTGACCAAATTTTAAGATGAGCTCAGTGTCCTTGTTTTGGGGATTATAGGGTCGCCTAAGACATCATACCTATACCGAACAACTCATCGCCGTCTGTCCGTCATTTCTACTGCTGATCACGAGACTGCTTTGGGAAGTGTCAGGGAAAAGCTTCGTGGCTATGCTAGTCATGCCTCATAACCTGAACTTGCGAGGTAGCAGAACACACTTCATTGATAGAGGGCATATGTAGTGGCTTTTGAATTGGCTATAAGGATATATTGAGTGGCGTGAGCCTGACATAGAATATCGAGTGTTGATATACTCAACTTTGCTTGACGAAATTGCTCCTTCAAGCTCGTGTAGATTGCGCAAATACTAACGATCAGAAGTGAGTCAGAGGTATGCTGACATATGGCGATGAAGAATGCAGGGAACAGAGCTCGAAATCGAGCCTGGGAGTCGAAAGCGTAAAAACATGTTGAATAAAACTTTCGGTTGTGCTCAAGACCCTGGCCTGAAATTGTATCTTGTTTTCTGCAGGAGCCGTCGCCAACCAACTGCAATCATTCAATTGGCACGGAAAATATCAAAATCACTTACAAGCCAAGGGACAAGGTTTGAAGTAAAATGGAAATCGAATTCGCTAATCTTTGGGGATATCTAACAGAAAAAAAAAAGGATAAAACCATCCAGGACATCATATCGTCATACTATACTCTTACAGACTTGCTCTCTCAGCACCACCAACTTTCTTAGAGGTGAAGGTCGAGAAATAGCTGTTGAGAGCATCAACAGTGCCAGTACCCTCAACAAGCTTGACGACACAGCCAACATAGCCGTCAGGGCGGACAATAACGACACCACCTTCCTCTTGCGACAGACCCATCTTTGCGTGTGCAGAAGCCTTGGCATCAGGAACCTTCTGGTCCCAAATGTCATCAGCATAGACGTGGTCGAAGTAGCGAGCAAGAAGCTTGGGAAGCAAGTCGTTGATCTCGATCTGAGGACGCTTGGAGTTGAAGATGGTGTTGATGGTGAAGAAGAGACTGTGAGGGTTGTGTCTCTCATGGTAAGAAACCTGGTCGAGGTTGGGGTGACCGAAGGTGCTGTAGAATGAGCCCTTCTTCGAAAGGCCGGCGGCAAAGTCTGCAATGGCACGCTTGGTCTTGCTGGGCTCACCACCAAAGAGGTAGATGCGCCAGCTACCGTTGAGAGGGATCTCTTGCTCGAGGTGAACGACGTTGGCGTCAGCTACTCTTGTGACGGTAGCGTTGCTCATGATACGTCCAGTGCGTTGAGTGGTGGTGCCAGCCTCGTTAGACAGGAAGAGTGGTGATTTGGCAGGGTGATCCTTTGACCAGTTGAAGATGTTGGGGTTGTAAGCAACACCGTAACCCGAGGTGAACTCGCAAGAAGACTTGAACATCTTGACGAACTCGTTCTCCTCGACCTGCTTCTCACCATCCTGCTGCTGAGTAACTGAGCTGACCTCACCAGCGCTGGGCTGGCGCTGCGAGAACAGCTTGGCGTATGCGTTGTCGAAGTTGAGAAGGTTCTCTGCGATGAGCTTACGCTCAGACTCGTAAGACTTGAGGATGGAACGGTCTGCGAAACCGCTCTCGACATGATGAATCTTCCATGCCAGGTTTTGAGCATCCAAGAATGCAGTGTTCATGCCTTGACCGGCCTTGGGAGAGTGAGTGTGGCAGCAGTCACCACCCATGAAGACACGCTCGTCAAGAGTGTAACGGTCTGCGATACCCTGACCAATTGGGTAGACTGAGTACCACTCAATGCGGTCCCACTCAATCTCGTAAGGCTTCAAGATCTTCTTGGCTGTCTCCTGGACTTCCTCTGCTGAAATTTGCTTGCGAGGGTTCCAGTCCTTATCGGTTGATGAAGCGACCTGAATGTAAAGACGGACCATGTTGTCTTCACGAGGAATGACCATGATGGATCCAGCATCGGAGTGAATTGTGCACTTCATCTTGATGTCAGGGAAGTTTGTGCGGACGACACCATCCATGACACCCCAGACGTGTGTGATGGGATCCTTGTGAGTGATACCAACGCCGAGCTTTTCGCGAATGAAACTGCGGGCACCTTCACCACTGAAGAGGTACTTTGCTCTGACGGTCTCTTGCTCGTCACCATCGACGTGTGCGATCTTGACTTCAACTGGGTATTCCTTGTCTTTGCCATCGTTCTCAAAGTCTGTGATCTTCCAAGGTCTTTGCACCTTAACTCCGTACTTTTCCATATCGGCGATGAAGACGCGCTCGATCAAGCCCTGGTGGAGCAGGGTGGTGAAGGGGTAGCGGGCGTCGAGGAAGCTTGGGCATGATGGCCATGTGCCAGTTCGGTGGATACCCTTGCTCTTCTCTGCGGGATCCCAGAAAGCGACCTCGTAGACCTTGGCAGGCTCGTGAGCCATGATTGCACGCTTGAGGCCCATGTTGCGGAGGAAGTCCAGTGATCGTGGCTGAATACCGTCGGCTCTTCCGGTGGGAGTTGGCTCGGGTCGCATATCGATGTGCTTAATCTTGTATCCCCATCTTGCGAGGCAGGTTGACAGTACGAGGCCCACGGGGCCTGCACCTACAATAACGATATCGTACTTCTCGACAGCCATAACGAGCGAGTGGTGGGGGAGTGTGAGGAATTGATGTCAGGCGATGAGAGATGGAGAGACAATTGCCAAAGCGGCGATCCCATAACTTATGTAGGAGCTTGACTTACCCGTCTACTTAGCTACCGGCAGACGTCTATAACATTTTCGGCTGCCTGTCTGCTACCGAATTCACGACTTGCTTCTGCCGCAACATGGCAAAATGACATCTGCGGGGCGTCGATGCCTGAAAGCACCAATCGCGATCATCCCTGGGGTCAGATTAGGCTCGAGCTAGAACATATTCGAGTAGGCCGAAATCCAGCAGTTGTTCTGCCGTTGGTCTTGTCTCCGTCAGAGCCGCTCGGCACAAGTGAAGGTACTTTTCGGGAGGTGCTTGGGAGTCTGGGGAGCAGCTCGAGTCGAGGCCTTTTCTGGTCGGTCAGCCGGGCTCTCCACACGACTCCGCGCTTGGCATCGACGACACTCGACGACCCCATGTTTCTCTCCATTCGTCGGATACGGTTCGATTTCGATCCGCCTCTCCTGCTTGCAAGGCTTGCATTTTTTCTGTGCCCTAAACTCTCGTTGCATAGATCAGCTTTTACTAGTCCATCAAGAGGCAGGGCTTGCATTCGGCATCCATCGTCTCCGCCCAGAAAGCTTAGAGAGACGTCAAATCACCCCTCTTGAAGTTCACTCCCGCGGTTATATCCCTTGACAATATCGTATAAAGTACCTGTCATACCTTTGCATTCCTTGTATCAGTTCATTACTTCTGATAGACCTCTGATATCTGGTCAAAATGCCTGTGATTGATTTCTCCACCATTCCACTTGCTGGTCAGGCTTCGAACACTGTCCTCGTGGCTTTCTTGCTCACAGCTTGCCTGTCGGCGTACGTCGTATATCAGAAATTCTTCCACCCGCTTGCATCCGTCCCTGGACCTCTCTGGGCCAGCCTTACCAGATTATGGATCACAAAGCATAGCTGGGACGGTGACATGCACAGGACCATGATTGCCTTGCATGAAAAACATGGTCCTATCGTGCGTACTGGACCCAACGAAGTCAGCATAGCAGACCTGTCGGCCATCAAGACAATCTACGGCGCAGGCACAAAGTTCCGCAAGAGCGACTGGTATTCTGTCTGGCAAGGCCACAGAAAGTTCGACTTGTTTGCAGAGAGGGATGAGAGGCTGCACGGGAAGCAAAGAAGCTCGATCAGTTCAGCATACGCCATGACTAGCTTGAAAGACCTGGAGCCATATGTGGATGACACTGTCAACCGATTCATGGATGCAATGAGTGAGCGTCAAAACCAGGTGGTCGATATGGGCAAATGGGCACAACTCTTCGCTTTCGGTGAGTAGCGATAAATCCTTATAAGCACTTACTCGACTGACATATGGTGAAGATGTCATTGGAGAAATTACCTTCTCGAAGAGTTTCGGTTTCATGGAGGCGCAAGCCGATGACGGGTCTTTCGCTCAGATTGAAGGCGCCTTGAAGTCCGCTTCGTGGATTGGACAAGTCCCATGGCTCTACTGGCTCCACGATCGCCTCATGCCCCTGATCGGCAACCATCTAGCTCTCAACAATAGGCATGGGTCGCTTCGAACCCTCGCCGCGAAAGAGATCTCTGCAAGAATGGATCGTGGTAGCGACCGCAAAGACATCCTGTCGAAATTGCATGCAGCTCAAATGGAAAAAGCCGAACTCGATGACAATGGTGTCATCAGCATGGCGACCTCGAACATCTTTGCAGGCAGCGATACGACTGCAATCTCCACGCGCGCCATCATCTATTACCTACTCAAGAATCCACAGTACAAGCAACGACTGATCGAGGAGATTGACGACTTCAGAAGACAAGGCAAGCTCAGCGATCCTGTAACATTGACAGAGGCAGACTCGATGCCGTACTTGCAGGCTGTCATGTACGAGGCGTTGCGTTGTCACCCAGCTGTCGGCATGAGTTTGCCTCGAGTGACTCCAGCTGGCGGCGCTACTATCGCTAACACCTTCATACCTGCTGGAGTATGTTTACCACCGTCGTTCGTGTATCAATATTGACGTGAAAGCAGACTATCGTAGGAGCCAATCCTTGGGTTGTTCATCGCCAGAAGGAGGTATTCGGTGACGACGTTGAGGACTTCCGCCCAGACCGCTGGCTCAAGGAGGATACGGGAGACATGCGTATGTTGCTGTGCCGATGTAAATGTCGACTGTGCTGATTCTGACAGGTCGTTTCTTCTTCGCTTTTGGTTCGGGCGCTAGAATGTGCCTAGGAAGAAGTAAGTGCTTGTCGTGCCGTGGTGGTCTGGATGATTGCTAAGTCACATCCCATGCAGACATAAGCTGGATGGAAATGTCCAAGCTGATACCCACGCTTTTCCTCCACTACAATCTTGAGCTCGCAGACCCAGATGCCGAGTGGACGGAGACATGCTTGTGAGTTGTCTTTTTCTGCGACTGCTTGTCCGTGGTGCTAACACATCGAACAGCTGGTTCGTGATGCAGCAAGGCGTCAACGTACGGCTCAGCAAGCGCGCTGTGCCATCGTAGAACGCTGGAAAGTGCTGCTCTGAGCCGGCTGCAGAGGACAGGAAGGAAGGAAGATGTCGAGATGGATTTTGTGATCTGCGTCTTCGCTCAAGGGCATTCGATTAGTGGGCACTGCTGGCGTATATCAAGCCTCGTTCTTGAAGTCGGTCAAGTGCCTGCAAGCAGTAGCTTTTCCATTGGAGATGCTTGTAGACTTGTTTGGTAGGTGCGATGAGTAGGCAGCTGCAATGACGAGTTCTTGCCCTGGAGTCACTCTCCTCCAATCGAGTCCAACCTAGCCCATCATTGAAGGTCATCACAAGCTGAGCCAACAGCTCTGTATCGACCAGGAGAGCATCTCATCGTCGACGATTTCATCATCATGTGACCGTATGGAAGGTGTTGGAACCAATCGTAGGTGAAAGTCCGGTCGTTCAGCAAGTGATGGAGCGAAGCTTGGACCGCCCATATCGATGACCAAACCACTCTCTTCTCCTCACATCCACTCTGACTCCTTCACGTACTCTTACCTTCTCCCACAATTCGCGTACGCATTCTTCTTCTGCAGCCAACCTCAAGCATCATACAGACCTTCATCACACTCTTCTTTCTTCAACATCCACAATCTTCAAGCATCAAACATGTCTTCTCCTGCTTCCAAGTCCACTTCTACCCACTCCAAGTCTGCTTCAATCGAATCAAAGTGCACCACTATGTCCGACATCATCAGAGCTCTTGACGAGACCCGCGACCGCATCGCCAGCATGGGCCCCGACGAGCTGAAGCGCGAGCGTGTTGACAGCGTCAACTCCCTCAAGGCCGCCAACCACCCTAAGTGGATGAAACCCATCAAGGCCTTTGATCAGAAGAAGTACCTTGACGATCTTGAATCCGGCGAAATCACCCTCCGTCAGATTCAAGTTGCTACCAACTCAACCAAGCTGCCTGAGGAGCACATTGCTGATTACATTCGCGTCAACGGCAGTGAGTATTTGTCCCTTCCTTTTCTTGCGCGTCGATGGAACTGACGATGCCACAGAGCTGCCTGAACCCAAGTACGGCCCCGGCAAATGCACTTACGACGCCTACCCTCTCCCTCAAAAGCGCAAGCGCGACATTGTCTCCGACAACGTCGAGGACGCCCTGAAGAAGGTCAAGAACGTCTTCAAGTGAAGCCAGAGGTACGTGCAGATTGTTTTGCGCGTATGAACGTGTTTCTGACTTGCTATCAGCACCAGTATCAACCATTACCATCATTGCTGTGCAAGACGGAATATGAAGCAATGACAGAGCATGATCTCGGGCGTTAAGGATTCGGACGATACCCAAAAGAGCTTATTCGTATTCACATCGTTTTCTGAACCACTTGTGCCTTGCCTGCTTCCATGTGATTGTAATGTATCTCGCCAATGTGATGTAGCAGTATTATCACTGTCAAAATGCAAGATGCCATTATGTGAACAGTGACGTCCACTGAGACAGAAGACCAAAGCCATGTCTCTCTGGATTGTTTGAGAAACCGCTAATCATCGTGCGTTCCTACTGCTTGAAATTGGCAGGCACTGGTATACGGGATCGTGACTTCTCCACGGGCGTTTTGTCACGCCCATCAACCAGTCACGCCAGACCTGATGGTAGTCCCTCTTATGCACTCCCACGCCATCATTTCTCAAAACGTATGTCATGTATTGCTACACTTGCAAGCAGAGCATACAATCGACAATTGAGATGACGATCGAGGACGAAAATGAGGCACCGGTCTGAGCGGCCGCTGGGCAAAACAAGATCGCGGAAACTATGAGCGGCCCAGAGCGTGGCCAATTTCTTGACAAGAGCTTCTGAGATCTGGCAGCCCGCCGCCATTACCGACTCTGTCAATGGACGCTCAGTAAGCACAGAAGGATCCCGAGCATGGATGAAGTCTTCGAGCAGGCGACAAAACCTTTCCCAGCCTGCCTCAACATCTGCACCAATGTCTGCGTACTTCTTGTACGCTCGAAAGGCACCGGAGCCGCCATAACGGTACAGAGATATTATTGTCCGACTCCAGCCTTTCATCGGGCGTGACAACCTTTCTTCTGCAAACTTCTCAGCCCGAACGAACAGTGCGCAGTCCACGCTATTGCAGGCGACATCAAACAGACGCTCGATCCATCACGAAGCGAAGCTGTCTGTATCAGAGCTCACGTCGCACGATACCGTATGCCCGCGCTTTCAGACGCCTTTCGTCGCTCCTGCCTTGTCAAGGAACCTTGCACCCGACAGTACTGGCCTCGGGCTCGAACTCGACCACATTCGACCTCGTTAGCGACCAACAAGGAGATCTGGCCGCGACCCAGCGACAGTATACGAAATTAGAACGGCTCAGATGTCCAGGGCCGGTTGTCAAAGCAGACTGCATCACCACGATGTACTGGAAATACCCAATGCCAACATATGACGAGAAAATTCATGCTATCGAGACTTTCGCGAGCCATCGACGAAACACCATGCATGGCTCACGAAGGTGACGGGTCTCGTTCATAGCTTTTCAGAGAATGGCACTGGTTGGCACAAAAGTGCCTCCCCCGGGTCCAGAACGACTTGATCCGAACGATGGCTAACGAAGACGGAGAAAGCATCGACAGAAGACCAAACCGGGTTTGCATTAATTGAATTAGCCACGACAACTTCGAACAGCCAGACCTCAGGATCGACGTCCTAACAAGATGGATCCCTCGGTGTGCAGAGCGGGCAAGAGTTTGTACACGACGATTGGATGAGATAGAGAGAGCACCGAGTCCGCGGCGTATCTTGTATGCTGGACGCAGCCGCACATTACAGCAGTCATCAGCAGTCATCAGCTTTCGTCAGCCTCCATTGGCCTCCGTCAGCACTCAATAGCGCTGAAGCAGGACTGCCCGACTCGACGATCGACGAATACCGACAGTTGATCGTACGATAAGTCCAGACAAACTTGCGGAACAAGGACTAGCCAAAGAGACTCGTTCCTCCGCAAGAGATGATGACCACACCCGGATTCGGAATATCGTTTGGTTTCAACCAGTCTTTGTGCCAACAAATGACGCTGAACAATTCTTTGTCCGAGCATTCCTTGGTCTCTATACGATGCCTTGCATACGCTGAGGAATGCAAGCTTCTGCGGTCGATCTGCGTGTCCAATAAGATCGGCACAAGCACTATTTAGGTCTCAAAGAACAGTTTATCCCCAGAAATGTGATTCAGGACTCTCGTCAAGGTCGAAGTAGGGTGAAAGACCTGACTATCAGCTCAGAGGACAGTCCGCAAATCGACGTTCAAAGTGCTGGAAGGTTCAGCAACAAGAAAAGTACGCAAGGACAACGATCAATCATCCTGGGCATGCTTCAACAGATTCCAGACTGCCGTGTCAGACTTGGGAACATTTCCATGCCGAAATGGAACAAAGAAACTACCGAGTTCTGCACAATGTTGAGGTTCTGCTTGTGCACAGAGTGTGAGCAACTCTCAAGCTTCCAGAAATAGCTTCATGCTTGCATGTCTGTTGATCACGCTGCGTAAGCTCTGCCTGTCCAGAGGTAAGCCTGCAACGACACCTGTAGCGGCAAACGAACATGGCGTCATTCAAGATTGGACAAAAGGTTGCAGCCGTATGTGAGATCGTTCCCTGAGCTCAGGAAGGTCCGAGTACAATTTGTCAGTTGACATTATGGACCTGGTGGACCTTTGCTGTTTCGAAGACTCCAAGATCATCTCATTCAGGACCACGCGGAACCGTTGAACCCTGTTGGGAAGCGAACCGGTGGAGGAGCAGGTTATCTTGGGGACCGTTACCCATCTGTCAAGTCTGATGTGTTCGTCGTCGGACCATCGTGTCACCCTGCCCGAATCAGGTTTCAAGTTTCCCTTAAACCTGAGGAAATTTTCTAGAAGAAATTTGGGCTGCGGCTTCCATCTATTCTGAGGCGGCTAACAGACGTCATGCTTCGAGATTTAACTTGGCAGAACGTGTATCGCGCGTGTCGCCCAGGAGATATAGAGTGAAGCCTGAGAGGTGATGGAAGCCCAAAGTCGAATCTGATGCGTTCGCGAAGACAGTCGCATGGGTCAAACCGCAACGTAAGCTTGGTTCAGGAGAGATTGGGCATCCCTTTGAACCCCTGGTGGCCCTTCGTGGAAATGAGACAGAGGGATGAGCCTTGATGACGGTTTTCAGCGGAAGCGGGGAAAGCTCATCGGACCGAACCTCTAGTGTGGATTGGTAGATCAGCGTGGCAGGGCAGCGAGGATTAAACAAAGCTGTTTACCATTGTCGTCGTCGTCTTTCACATCCAAGGAAGACGAGACTTTCGACCAGCACCATCTCTTGACAAAATGGACGACCGTGGACGGCCGATTCGGTCGTCCTCGAGAAGGTCTTCCACTCAGAGAATTAGACCGCGTGCTCGAGCATCCAACCAATCCCTTCAAAGCGCTGGCCGACCACAGGAGAACACGACCTTCACCTCGTTCGAGCCCTTTTCGCCGCCCACCAACGTCACCTCAAGCTATAACAGCAATGCGAGCACCATGGCAAATGGCCTTGCAGTCATGAACGGCAACGGTAGCAATCACGCTGGTCGAGATGACGCCTCCGTCCGCTCTTATTCGTCTAGCAAACGGTCCCGTTCAATCTACGCTCCCGACAGACAAAACTCTCTCGCTGAAGACGTCTACGGTGAGGTGGCCGCCAGTTCAGGCACCGAGACTGAAGCCGAAGCTGCTTCTGGTTCCGAGCATGACACACGACCACTTGAACAAGTTTCGGCCGCATCGCATTCGCTCATCAACGTTCTCAATATGGCTCCCAAGGACGAGTCTCGACCACCCCTCTTTAACGACGTCAACGACCAACTCAACAATCCTCAAGTCCTTCAAAAATCCGACGACAAGACAATCGTAGCCTACGTCAAGCGTCAAGGCGGTGCAGGCAAGGTCATCCGAAGACTGGCCAAAGATGTCAGCGACCGTGATGCTGAAATCACGCGGTTGCGCAGAAAAATTGAAGAGTACGGTACATTGTTCAAAGACCACCTGATGGGTGTCCACGAGATGTCAAGACTGGAGGCAGACAGGACAGTGCGCAATTCGCCAGTATTCACAAAGCCTTTGGCGAGTACTCTACAAGAAGAGTTGGAATCTGCTTCATCGGACAATCTCTTTGGCGAAAGTCGTGCTGCTCTGCCTAGCGAGACGCTCACAGTCACAGCCAACACACAGGCTTCTGTCTCGCCTCTTGTCAGAAAAGACACCTCGACTAGCCCGAGCTTCCCTTCTGGTTCCTCGACTATTCGTGCATCACGCAGCTCTGCTGCTAACTTGAAGGTCGATACGTAAGTTACCATTTCTATCAAGATGTGCATGCTTTAAACTGATGAACTCGTAGCAACAGAATGCCTAAGCAGCGAGGTGGCCTCTTCAATCTGTTTGGTGGTCAAGGCTCAGTACGTCAGCCAGCGAAACAACAGAATCGACACTCGATCGCTTCGATGCTGGACCCCAGAATGCTGGGCATTCGCAGTCCAAGTATTGCACAGACTTCACGCTCGAACTCAATGTCGTCCTATAAGCCCCTGGAAATGGAACAAAAGATTGAGAACGAGGATTTACCACCACCTCTGCTTGATATGAAGATCATCAAGATCATTTTCCGAGCTTTCATCGCTGACAACTACGGTTTCATCATTGATGGTCCTCGTGTCCAACAGTGGCTCTGGTCTCTGGAAAGACATAGATTCGTCTCCAAGAGTCGCACTACTTCAATCACCACACGAGCTACATCCGGTACCCGCTCTGCATCAATCACTTCCATCGAGGAGAGCAATGAGGATGCAATCGATACATCAGCCCAAGAGGACGGACCTGCTGAAACCAATGAAGAGTCTCGTCCATGGCACGAATTCCTTACACTCGAGGTTACCAAGCAGGCATTGCTTTCACGTCTTCCCATTCAACTTCATGGCAACAAGATGACCGACAGCGCTAGTATCTCTTCGGTCGAGACTGATGATGGCGTGCCACGATTGGAAGAGCTTTGCGACCCTGCAGACTTCACTCAACATGCAGAGCTTCTGCGTGACGAGATCTCGGCCGAATACACACAGCTTCAAGTTGCCAGAGAGCAAGCTTACGACCGACTGATGGCCAAGGTTGAAGAGCCAAAACTTGCTAGCAACAGGTTCTCGCGAATGTTCACCACTGCATCAGAAACAGTACCAAAGAACCGCGTTGAAGCCATGGGTACCAGTACTGTCGGTATCGCGAATCTTGCACAGTCGGGAGTTAGTGGTCCTTTTGTGAAGTTCGTTCTTGACGGTGTTCCGATGAAGATGCGTGCCAAGATTTGGCTGGAAAGTGCACAGTCAAGCATTCACTACTCACCCGAGGACTTTAGTATGTTGGCAGCCGAGTACAACTCAAATCCGGACGACCAGAGATATCTACATGATATCGAGATGGACACACCTCGGACTTTGACCAACAACGTGTACTTCCGAAAGGAGAAGAACCAGGATGCGCTGGCCTTGCTGCTCGGCTGCTTCGCCATCAGAAACAAGGATATCGGATACTGCCAAGGCTTCAACATCATTGCTGGCTACCTGCTACTCGCAATGCCGACTACCGAACAAGCCTTCTGGGTCTTCTGCTTCCTCATTGAGAAAGTGCTGCCTACATCATACTTCACTGCAGAGCATGATTGGCAAGGCCCTCGTGCTGATACTATTGTGCTGCGTCACTATATTCAAGCTTTGATGCCCCGTCTAGGCGCTCACCTCGACGAGCTAGATGTCTTGGATGAGCAGACAGTGCCGATCAACTGGTTCCTTACTGCCTTTGCATCAACGCTTTCAGTAGAAGCACTATTCCGTGTATGGGATGTTGTACTGGGTATTCCTGGACAAAACCAACAGGTCTTCTTGCTGCATGTGGCCATCGCGCTGCTGAAGCTCAACGAAGACGAACTCTTAAAGCTGGATTCGTCTGCCGCTGTTTACGATTACATGGATCGTAAGATGGCTAGAGGTGTAGTCACTATCGATGGACTGATCCAAGCGTCTTCAAGACTGGGACCGATTGTGACGGCGAAGAGCGTTGAAAAGAGAAGAGCTGAGGCTGCCAAGTCGCTGTGAACGATACTCGATGATGGGTGAATGGTTGCTATTGAGCTTGCTGCTTGCTGGAAGAGAAAAAGAGAATATCGTCTCAAGGAGAGGGACGTTACATGTTGCTGCTTTGCTTTTGCTTTTTTTACTCGCTAGATACCCCATGCCCTCCCAATTTCGGATCAAAATGTTATGTTTTTCAACCATTGAAAGCTTGAGACACGCCGTGAGATATATCAAGTGCATGTTCGATATCATCACATGATTTTCAAAAGGACACTGTACACGAAAGCTGCTCGAGACGAAATAAAAAGTGGTGATATACAAGTTCTGGTATCTTTTACGAAAGAGAAATCAAGGAGTAGGGACAGCGGCAGCAGCAGGTGCTTCAGTACCACTTCCGGCACCAGGTGCTGCGATCGGAGGCATGAAGAGAGGGAGGTATGCAACGGCAGTTGACATGACTGTTCATGAAATCAATAAAGAGAACCTGAAGTTAAGATGAAAATGACTTACGAGCCATGCCGACGGTCATGTATCCAGGAGTAGCACCATTCTTCTTGGATTCGGGAGTTTCTGAGAGCCAGTTCTGGACGGCGAGGATGACAGCAACCCAACCGATCATCCTGGAAGAAATAATGCGTTAGCACACATCCTGCATCCTTATGCTTGGGCACATGGTTCCATCCTTACTTGTTTCTGGTGAAGATCTGGCCTCTGGTCAGTCGAGTCATGTGACTGGAGATTGAAAGGTGTACTTACAGCAGCCATAGGGAGTGTGCTTCCGAAGACACCTGTCACATACAGATTAGATGGTTGTCCAGCAATATAGTATCGATTCAATCATACCAGTGAGATCAGAATCGCTCTTTGCATTTGCTGGCTCGGTATAGGGGACGACTGTCGCGTGGTCAGTTTTGGTAAGAGTTGTTCATGGTCGTGATGCATCATACTGAGATCGCCTCTGCGCATATCTTTCTTGGAAACCATTCTCAATATCAGATAGAAAACAAGTAATGAATCAAAGTGATAATATTGACTGACTACAGAGGTCCGCAATGATGGTATTCAATGGCTGTCGTCGGTGCTTGCCCGGCGGTAGATTGTCGGCGATGCCCATGACTAGCGCCGATTGGTCAGAAACAGCAACAGCGTCACAGACAAAGGAAGGCACGCGCGAAGAAAGGAAACAGCGAACATTCGCTTTCACCTGCTTTGTCAGGCCTTCTTTCAATGCGTCTTATGAGAACAAGAGGAGAGCTGCACTTTATATCTTCACACAAGAAATAATAACTTTCACAGCGACAAAAGAAGGAAAAAGAAGAATTCGGTGGTCATCGATCTCTCTGCGGGTCTCCTTGAGCTTTGACGCCTGGACCACCTGAGTCTTTCGTCGTCGTCAACCCAGTTGTTGAACATCACCGCTCTGCATTCTGCGCTGCCGCCATCCTCTCGCAAACTGGCTTCTCCCGCGCGACAAATTTCTCGACACGCAGCGCACCTCTGTTGGCCGTAGTACGTCAGATCTGATCGACGTGCGGCGACCATCTTCATAGCGTCAACCGCCGGCATGATGAACCATCATCTGCCGGCAGGGCCATCGCATATTCCGCAAACCGCTCTGCCTGCTCACTCTTCGCCCATGCAACACCACCACCAATCGCGCCGTCACCAGGACTACCAACAGTTCCAGCACCAACAGGCTGTCCAGAATCCCTACGCCCAATATGCTCATCATCCGGGCGCTCAGGCCTACTACGCCCATCCTGGCGCTCACATGGCCTACCCTCCGCAGCAACGTTGGATGCCCCAGGCTTACGCCTACCCCATGCACCAGCATCACCAACAGCATCAGTACCAACAGCACCAGCCTCAGTATCCTCCGCGCTCGCCTGTAGTCGTTAGCTCGCAACCACAGATGGCTGGCATGCCTCATCCCGTCACGCGACAGACGAGCATGCCATACATGGCTCCTCCTCCGCCCGCTCCTTCTCAATCGCCTCTTCACCAGCTCCCCGTTGCACAATCGCCGCTGTACCACGCTCCCCCAACTCCCGCCACCTCTATCCCACAATCCCTGCCTTCGCCCCGTCCGGCCTCTGTACAGGCATCGACGCCATCCCTTCCTGCCTCGCGCAGATCGTCTGCTGCCCAAACACAGCCTCTTGTACGCCGTATGCCATACTATCCAGCGGTAAGTCTGTCGTCACTTAGCCTGCTTTTTCGATACTGATCTCTGTCCAGCTTCCATGGTACTCGACTCCCGGCGAAACATTCCCTCCCAAGGCATCGAGACGTAGAAGAAAGAGACAGGATTTGACTGCTGGTAATGATGCTGTCGCTCTGCCATCGAGGGGTGCTGCTTCTACCCAAGAACCCGCCGCCGACGCGACTCAATCCGAAGCCTCTACCGTGGCCGCACCCTCTCAGCTTCCATCTGCTCAGGAAACCCCTGCCACATCTCAGGCTCCTTCTGAGATTGATGCCGGCACAGCCACTCCTTCCTCTACTTTCGCAGATGCCTCAAAGGTTACAACTCCTCAGAGCCAGGCTAAGAAGGACACAAGGTCAGCCGTTCCCATTGTGCCTGCTGTTCCTGCAGTACCCGCAGCTAGACCCAAGACAGCTTCTTCAGAGGCCGTGCCGATTGCTGTCAATACTCCTGAACAAGGCACGTCTGCCGCCGAGCCTGCCGTAGCTCAGCCTGAGGCAAGCGCCGAGACCAAGCCTGCTGAGCCCGCCACTCCTGCACCTAAGGCAGCTCCCAAGTCATGGGCAGATCTCATGCGCTCTAAAAACTCTGCTGCCGCTGCTGCATCGTCCACCGTCGTCAATGGCACCGGACCTGCTAACGGCGCAGTTCCTTCGAGAGCCAGCACACTTGCTGGTGCCCTCAAGCAGTTTAATGTCGATGATAATGATAAGATTGCATTTTTGGAGCCCAGAGGACTTGTAAATACCGGTAATATGTGTTATATGAATTCGGTAAGTCTCTGGAATTGCGACCACAACGAGAATGCCATTAACAACATACAGATTCTCCAAATACTTGTATACTGTATGCCTTTTTACAACTTCTTGGACCAGGTTAGCAAGAGAGCTGCCCACTCTTTCAAGAGCGACACTCCTCTTGTTGATGCTATGTGAGTCTCATTGTTCGATTGAAATGAAGAGTAAGCACTGACCATTGCAGGATCATGTTCATGAGAGAGTTCAAGACTATTGACAGCGCAGAGTCTGCTGAGAAGCTGCGCATGCGTCTCAAGGATCAGGAACTGGAACAATATGGTGACTCTATTACCCCCGAATATGTTTACGATACCATCAAACAGCTGCCTCGTTTCTCATCGATGAGACGTGGTCATCAACAAGATGCGGAGGAGTTCCTTGGCTTCCTGCTTGACGGTATCCACGATGAGTGCACGACTGTAATGCGCAAGGCTGGAGTCGACTCGGATGATTCTGCTCAGCCTGCATCCCCTGCTAGCACTACCTCAGGCGCTAACGCCGACGCCGGCTGGCTTGAGGTTGGTCCCAAGCAGAAGCAGTCTGTCACTCGCCAGAGTGGTGAATCCTTGCCTACTCCTATCACACGCATTTTCGGAGGTTCCCTTCGCTCGGAGCTTCGCGTTCCTGGTTTGAAGAACTCTGTCACCATGGAGCCATACCAGCCTTTGCAGTTGGACATTGGTGCACCCGACGTCAACAACATTATTCAAGCATTGAAGGCCATCACGAAACCAGAGACTTTGACTGGAGATTTCGGTTCACCTCGTGGCCCCGGCACCACTGCTGTCAAGCAGGTCTTTATTGAAAGCCTGCCACCAGTCCTGATTCTTCACCTAAAGCGCTTCCAGTACGACAACACTGGCGGTACACAGAAGATTTGGAAGAAGGTCGGTTACCCGCTCGAGCTGGAGATTCCCAAGGAAGTCTTCGCTCCTCAGAAGCGTGGTGGTCTGGCTGTTCAAGGTGGCGCTCCCAAGTACCGTCTTACATCAGTCGTCTACCATCATGGAAAAAGCGCTGCTGGTGGTCACTACACTGTTGATATTCTTCGCCAGGACGAGCGTGAGTGGGTTCGTGTCGATGACACTATCATCCGCCGCATTCGCCCTGAGGATGTGGCAGAGGGTGGTGCGGAGGAAGACCCAAGAGTTTTGGCACGCGCGCTTGAGCAGCACAAGGCAGACTCGGACGCTTCCAAGCGTAATCTGTTCGAAGGTCTGGACGGCGATGATGACACAGACAGCGTACGCAGCTGGAACGAGGTCAATGGTGCTAACAAGAAGCCTACATGGACATCGACCGTTGCAAACGGATCATCATCTGGCAAGCGCACACCACTGGCTGCCAACAAGAGCAGCGTGAAGGACAACAAGGTCGCTTACATCTTGCTGTACGAAAAGATGAAGGGTTGAGAAGTTTTCTCTTTGACTGGAAACATTCCTGCTACAGACCTGATCCAGACAAGACTGAGGCATGGCCCAAAGGCCCTTCGAGCCAACGAGAAACATAAGTACGAGGAACGATTGGCGAAGGTTCATTGAGAGCTGGTCTAGCCCACATTTTTTGGGGTGTGCGGATCAGCTACGGTTTGCATTTGCATCAAGGCGTTGGAAGGGAAGAGTACGAGGTATCTTCTATCACGCCTGGGGAGGTATCGGATTTGGCCTAACGAAGCAATGACGAAGCAGGGGAGGAATAGGAGCAGGGCTCGGAGGGCTGTAGTGTAGCAAAAATGAGGAAGAGAGTTATGGATTGGAATTGGGTTGTATCCCTTGACAGAGATGCGAACCGAGCCAAGTAGAGGAAGAAGTCAAAATGTGCATGAATGATTTTTAAAACACATTCGGGTCAAGCATCTCTGTTACTGTGAGTTCGTTTGCAAGTATCGAGCGATGCAAAGGAGAGTTTGTGCATTCGAATTCAGAAGCACGGTCTTTTGCTTGGTCTCTCATGGTGCTCTAATCTAAGCAAGCATTTCTTCATCCATCAGGCAGTCAGTCTTGCCGGTTATTCTCTTGACGTAGTAATATCGTAGCAGATACAGATCCCGCTCTATCACATCAAAAGTATCAACAGGTATGGAAACCTCGAGGCTGCCGAACGATACAGTCGCCAATGTCTTGCTTGACATCATGCAGCTTTTTGATTCTTATACTCATGTCCTTAAATCCCGAAGCTTTGGCTTTCTGGCCTGGAACGGCATGCCAGCAGAGTTGTTGTCCTGTCTCGGCTAGAACTTTTTTGTTCTAGAGGTTTGAAGCATTGAGGATTAGGTCGGGTGGATTATCTTAGAGCTTGGATATATGTATTTATGGATGACATGATGAGATTTTGTAGCTAGAAAGCAAAAGGAAGAAGAGAAAAGAGGGGATTTAACAGACAGAAGGTCAGAATGCATCCAATATAGAATGGCAAGGCAAAAATACAAGATATAACGAGGCACGGTGGAGGAAAACAAAGAGCAGGGAGGGTGAGAGCTGCCGGGCGGTAAGGTTCCGAAGGCAGTTCAACTGCATGTTCAACTGTATGTCACGGCTTTTCGAAGCATTAGCTCTACATTCTGGATGCTCACGCCTGTACTTTTGGAGTCATGTCTCGGCTTAAACAATTTTGGTCTAGAGAATTGGAAGATGGAGTAGGAGGGCAGGTGATTCATATTTGGTTCAGGTAATGACTGTAGTGTGCTTGCCCATACTTTCTCTCGTATCTTCTCTGTTTCCTGTCGTCGCCTTTGTTGTACATCTCGATCATTCTGCACGATTTCCTCTCATTGCTTTTCGAGTTTTCTTGTCTCCTTCTTGTTGTTTCTTCTAAGAGATTAGAAGGTACGGCGAGGACGATAACTCTTGCCTTTACGCTTCTGGGCGGCCTTGAACGGGTCGGGCTCGAGGTTGACAAGACTAGGAACAGCAACACCGCGGCCCTTAGCAGCACTGCGCGTGATGCGTTGGTTGGAAACTGCGGCACTGCGCGGCATGCGTGGACCAGGAACTGCCTCTTCAGTGGTACTGCAGGCCCGTCAGACTTCAGCTCCACATGTTTCCGGACGTGAGCGGTTTCTTACTCTCTTGCTGGTTCTTCGTCAGGGGTCTGAGGTCTGGGACCTCTTGGACCATTGATTTTGACACGACGTCTGGGTGCGCTGCTTCTCTGTCAGCTTTCGACTGGACTCATTCCGTGGAAGAGATGAAAACTTACTCGGTTGCCTCGGTCTCTGGAATCGAATCGCTTTCAAGTCTGCGGATGTGTCAGACTTCGGCTCTGACTGTTTCGAGCGGGAAGAAGTAGTTGCTTACGACTGTGCCCATTCTTCCTCGGTGATTTCCATGATCTGGTGGGAGCTGCTGGATGTGTGTCAGATCGCGGCTGGAGTATTTGTGCTTGCAAGGGTCATCTACTCTTGGTCGTCATCCGCAGCCATGATGGCTCGTCTGTTTTGCGCGAAAGATCGCTTCACGGATTGCTCCAATACCGGAACAGCCTTGTCGAGCAGCTCCTGTCTGATTTGTTGCGGCAGCTGAGTCATTTGGTTCTCAATGTAGCTAACTTTCTTTCTGTGAAGTCTGCTTGCATTGTTCAATTCGATGACCTTCGGCATCAGGTCGTTGGCGAGAAAGTCTCCCATTCCGTTGTTTTGAGCTCGAAGATTCGCATTGTCGGCTCGAAGGTTTGCATTGTCGGCTCGAAGACGTGCATTCTCAGCGCGCATATCTCTAACCTCAGATTGCGTGTCTTCGATCTGAGATTGCGCGTCTTCGATCATCTGTCTGAGTGATTGAGTCATGATGGCCTAGTGAAGAAAGATGGATTAATAAATGAAAGAAACACGGGAAGCTAAAGGTCAGATCCTGTGTTGAAACATACGCAGGTGGTAAAGTAATAGAAGTGATGCGAGTAACAGAGCACACTGTGCGCAGGCGCTAGGGAAAAGTGTAAGTTCACAAGATGTAGCAAGCTTGTTTTCCGTTACTCACTAGAAAGGTCCTTAGCAAGTGAGTCTGCACATACCATAAACATTCACTTCATCACGGGATCTAGCATTCCGCCTACTCTGATTGTAGGCCGGGTAGAAGGAGAACAGACAAGACTAAGTAGAATACAACTCTAGAACGCGCACTTATACGTTCTAGTTCCCCCTAAATCACTAGACCAAAACATGTATATCGGTTTCGTAGAGGAGAAAAAGGCCTGACTCCAATAGCTTGCAGGCATACAAAGCCGCTATTGCCTAGCTTTTGGACAAGTTAGGTTACATCGGAAACAGGAATATGGCAATCACTCGTAACATAAGATAGAAAGGCTGGCGCCATGGATAATTCTCGTCACGAGAGCGCAGGCACACAGACATCATTTAAAGAGGCATCATTTGGAAATTCATCATCTTTCGCAACCTGGTTTGGGAGCCATAGACTTGCAGCTCGCCCTGTTCTATATACATCTCACAATCCGACGTTCTCGATTCATCCATCTCTTCGTTCTCGTCTTGTGTAGCGACAAATGGCCAGACTTCCGTGTGAACTGCCTAATGACCTATTTGAATTTTGCTGGAGTAGCCACGAAGCCTGATTGGCCTTGGGTTTGGTTTCTAATCCTTCCGTATCGGCTGTATCACAGATTAGCTATATACATGCTTAGCAGACATTGATCATACCTAATTGTAAAGCCTTCTTCCTTCGGAGCGACGAACTCATCGAGCCCAGCCTCCTGAGCTCTTGGTTGGCGTCGGCGGACTTCTGGTTTTGACGAAGATAGTGATTGTGTGCCTACGGGTGGTTTAGGTGGAATCTGGTCAAGTCCATCCGAGGATCCGTCTCTGTTGCTGTTGTCGAATGGAGACTCAGACCTTGACGGTCCCTTGACTTCTCCATTTCGCTCTTCGGCGAGTCGGGCGTCAGAGCTGCGAATCATGAAACCCGAACGATCGATGTGGGCTGGTGCGTCGTGTATCGTGCGCTTGCGTTTCTTTCCACCACCAGCAGTAGCAGCAGCAGTCGCAGCAGCAGGTGCTGGAACAACTGGTTTAGCCATTGCAGTGATGCCGACGTCGACACTGGGAGACGAGCTGACAATAAGGCTCTGGCCATCTTCACGGGCCGGGCTTTCTCTGTCCTCGTGAGTGTGAGTGACAGCGTCTTCGTGAGACAAGTCCATTTCCTGAGTGATGTTCTCGTCTTCTTGAGTGACATCATCTTGTTGAGTGTGATTGGCATCGACTTGCTGAGTGACACTTTCGTGATTGTGATTGATGTTGGCTTCCTGGGTGCGAGTGATGTTCTCATCTTCCTGGATGATGTCGTCTTGCTGGTTGTGAGCGGGATCATCACGGCGAAAGCGATCATTCGTCTGGACATGTAGGTTTGCGTCGTCAACACGATCTGCTTCCTGGCGAGGATCTTCGTGCCCAAGAGTCGTGTCGTCGGCGATGTCATGAGGTAGATCGGCAATGACATTAGACGAAGACTGCTTTGTTTGTTGTGCTAGCTGTAGTTCTAGCGCGCTTAGGCGGGTTGAGACATTGCGAACTTCGTCTTCTAGATGACGGACAGATTGAAAGATATTGTCTAGGATCGGGATAGCGATTGTGACTGTTGCAGTGGCTGGCGCCGGTGGTTGGGCCATGTTGAGTTTGGAAGGAAATGGATGAACAGACAGATAGGAAAGCTGATGTTAGACGGAAAGAGTAGTCGCAGAAGCAGACCTGAGTCGGCAGTGATCGTTGCAGAAGGCAGGTGCGAGACGCGCGGAACAGTAAACAACGCTAACAAGAGAATAAAGTGTTGACATGTGATTGAGATTCACTCGCGTCAAGGGATGAATTAAAGAAGGCGCGCATGAAGCGAACATTGTCCTGCCATAAAGTAGTTTGGGAACATGCCCGATCAGATAGAGATCTGGGCGTAAGAAGAAGAGGCGAGAAACATGGAAATTTGGATGCAAGAAGAAAAAAAGATCAGGAAGATTGATATTGCTACAAGAAGAAGTGGTATAAAAAGTACATACGACTTGATAATTCAGGTCGTCAACAACTCGGGGGTCGTGAGGAGAATTGGAGGCTGCTCCAATTCATGGTGAACCACTTTCGAGTCCACGATTCTGTGGTCGTATCGAGTATGATGGGTTTCGTATGGATTCGGTGCCGTCTTTGTCGAACGACGAAGACTCTTTCAGCTCTAGGCCGAGCAACAGTACGGACAACCTCGAATCAGTCTATGAGCGTTCGGCGCGCTGTCTTGGCAAGATGAAGGGCCTGCGGTAGGCGTTGGCGTAGGCCTGGTTGACGATGGGCGAGGTACCCTCTGTGCGGATGGTTGAACCGATGGACATGAAGAATCTGAGAAGCCTTAGCAAAGTGCTTATGTGTTTGCAGCGAGGCGAGATGCGTACCCAAAGGTGGCGGCTGAACCAGCCATGTACTGGCCGAGGGTTCTCAGCATTCCATTGGGACCGGGACCGAATCTGATGATGTTTGTTGCGCCAAAGATGAAACCGATGATGAGACCGACACCTGGGACGGGTGGTGAGTGTCGGAAGAAGACGATGATCAGTGAGGGGGGGACGTACTGCCACCCATCATGGCGCCCATCTTGACTATACACTGGTCAGTATTGCGGGCGAAACAAGAGTTGAGGAATCAAATTACGCTTGTCAAAAGTTGAAGGGCCATGGGCACCAGCGGGCATCGAGTTTACAGGTACAGGCATGTTGACGGGTCGAGTTGAACAAAGAGAGACGAGCTAGAAACAATGCGACAGTCCAGTCTTCTCCAGATTTTGGTATGCCCAAAGCCAGAGCTTCGACAAGCAATCAAGGTGGAGGTTGCTTGGCAGTCACGTGTAGATACAAAGAACAATGACGAGGCTGATGAGACGTCTCGAAGGGGTTGCCAACATTGTTGCAGATGATGTGAATCTGATGGCTACAATTGGAATTGGAAGGCAGTGCTGCGAACGGGCTCCTTCACGTCTCGAACCGGTCGGCAGCTCACTGAAGGTCACAGAAGGTCACTCGAACTGCAGGAAGCAGCAGGTGGATCGGTGGTTGGCAAAAGAGTCCATTCAGCTCCACTTGGCTTGCAGACCGAGGCGGCGGCAGCGGGAGACACAACAAGGCACACTCGCTCTTCCTTGTTTGTTGTGGCTCTCTCTCGTCGTCCGTCCTCCTACCATTCTCTTCTCTGTGCATGATTTTGTCTTTTGTCGTTAAGTCAGCCATAGTTATCTAGGTGGACAACGGTGCGCGTTGAGATACTCCTATCGTCAGAGGCCGTTTGCACTTTTGTTGCTTGCAACTTCTGGGACTTGTAGCGTGCGACCGTCTGTGCGTCTTGGATTCTGTGACGCTCGTCCAAGGGTGCTCCCTTTCTTGATCGCTGCTCGCCTGCATATTGTTATTATTTTCTTCTCTCGAGTCCAGTCCTGCGCTCCCAGTCAAGCTCCCGAGACACATCGGTCGCCCTGGATATGATCGACATACGACAAGGCTGATCCACAACCACGTCCTATTACACCTCTCCACACGACCACGCGAGCATCCAAGCCCCGGCGCTTTCCCCGTCCGTCAGAAAGTCGCCAATCTACCTCGACTTCTCGTCTGGAAGCCGCAAATGACGGCAGTCGCGCCCCCCGTCACATTCCAGCCACCTGCCCGCTCTAATGCGACATGGACTAACGGCACATCCGCAATGACCCAGGACGACATGACCAGGATGTTCATGCCCGGTCCCCGTAAGAGCGCCCAGCGCTCCAATTCGCAATCCTCTCTCACATCTGCCTCGTCCTCGTCTTCTTCCACAATCTCTCAAGCCTCTACCCCCTCTCAAACTTCGCCCTCCAATCAAGACCCCACCTCATGGACCACGCGCAAGAAGAGCTCAAGAGGCATCTGGCCATCAGGAAAAGCAGAACCTACCGCCGGCATTTCCACCACCCGTCCTCAGCCTGTTTCCTCGACTTCGTCTGGTCCCTCTGCCGCATCTGCAATCTCTGCTCTCCACGGCCCAATGTTGCCTTCACAGCAAATGTCCACCGCTCAGAACGGCTCGCTGCGAGGTGCTCAACCCCCTTCCGACACGCCCGCCATTCTTCACCTCTCCCCTATGAATGGCACCTTCGAACGCAAGACCATCAGCGTCCCCTTCTTCCCTGATGTCCTGCGCATCGGTCGTCAAACCAATGCCAAAACAGCCCCGACGCCTGCCAACGGCTTTTTCGACTCCAAGGTCCTCTCACGTCAGCATGCCGAGATCTATGCTGAGCGCAACGGAAGAATCTACATTCGGGACGTCAAGTCTTCCAACGGTACCTTTGTCAATGGTCAGAGATTGTCGCCCGAGAACAAGGAGTCAGATCCACATGAACTGCGTGAGCAAGATGTTCTCGAGCTCGGTATCGATATCGTCAGCGAGGATCAAAAGACAATTGTCCACCACAAAGTTGCTGCTCGTGTCGAACATGCTGGCATCTACAACCAGAGTGCTGAACTCAACTTTGGGGAGATGGATCCTTCTCATCAGTTGAAGCGCAGTGGCAGCCAATCTTCACAACAAAGTGCAAAAGCAAATGCTATGGCTGCTGTCATGGCCGCCAGAGATTCGGGTGGCATGCAACAACCTCAGTGGGCTCGTGGCTGGCCTTCCACTGTGACCACCGAGACGATTGTCAAACGTCTGAACCGCGAGCTGAGCCTTGCTAAGAAGCAATCCTCGGACCTGGCTCGAAGCAAATCTTGCCTTGAAGGCTTGTTGGCTGCCGACTCGAAGGGCAAGCAAGACAAATCAGCGAAATCTTCACCTGTCAAGCAAGCGAATGCCGACACCAAACCATCCGTCATCTTTTCCGAACCTCCTGCTCCACCACCTCAAGCTCCGCTTCCCGAAAAACCAGATGTTGCAAAGGCTCTTGCCGACCCCGTCATCCAACCACTTCTCATGCGTTCAGAGACTGCTCGTCCTATTCTGGCTCCCAACGGTTCTCCCACTCGAGCCGACCACTCACAAGCCCTTCTTATCCTCACACACGAACTGAAACTTGCCAAGGATCAGATTCCCAGCCTCGAAGATCGCGTCAAGAATTTGGAAGAGGCGCTCAAGCAAGAGCGCAATGCTCGCGAAAGTGCCGAAGAAAGAGCTTCACTACTGGAGTCATCTAAGAAGGCTCCTGAAGGCCAAGTAGGCGCTTCTGGCTCTGAACAGCAAGACCAGGCCGACAAGAACGATGAGTCTTCGAAGGATGGCACTCCTGAATTGCAATCACAGCTTGACAGGCTTCGTGCTGCTATGGAAGACATGAAATCGCAAATGGAAGCCTATCGTCGTCGTGCAGAAACAGCAGAATCTCAGCGTGACAATGCGCACCAGACGCTTGCTGAGATGGTTGAGCAGAAGCGCAAGGAGAATGCAGAAGTTCAGCGTCAGCAAGAGACTCTGCCATCTCCTCCTAGTTCATTCTCCCACCCATCAAGCCCTACGACGTCCTCGAATGGACACATTTCGGAACCTGTGGTCGAAGGCAGCTTGTACAGTCTCTTGGCTGAAGCTGGCATCAACGCAAACGCAGCTTTGTCATCGGAGCAAGCGGCATCAATTCAACAATTGCTTGCCCGCAAGATGCCTGTCGCTCAACGAGACACTTCCCATGATTCCTCTGACAACCTGAAAGAGCAACTGGTCCATCATGGCTTGCCGCTCGGATCTGGTTTCATTGTGGTTGTCGTTGGCATGGCTCTCATGCACTACTTGGATGGTTGGGAGAAGCTGCACAGGTGAAGTTAATGGACTCACCTACCACTTTCTCCACGAGCACAAGCATGAACCTTCCCTTCCAAGACAAGTCTTCGCTTCGCCCGAGTCACATCATGACACAAAACAAAGGCATGATGATCAGGCACTGACATTGGGGACGCAAGTAGTCTCCGCTATGTCTCGACTCAGATTACACAGACCATGAGTTTGGCAAGCGACTACCTGAAGAACGCATTGTTTAACATGTGCGAGCGAGCATGGAAACAAGCACATCCCACTCGCAAATCCTACGTATGAATAACAGCACCGCGCTTCGCTCGGAGGGCTGTGAAAGTGGTCTACTCACTGAACTCCCGGCGGACCATTTTTAACGACACAAAATAAACTTACGACCAATTCTTCTATGTTCTTACCTCTTATTCAGGATCGTTCAAGAAGAGAGAGCAAAATTCCTTCTCTTTGGACAAGGGAGCCTACAAAGAAGCAAGAGCAATGTATTTGCAAACACTTGCACATATTTCTGACCTTCGCTCATTTTTTCCTTTGTTGCGGACAGAATAGCATTTTTCGCATCGTTGGGAAGGACAACATGAGAGGCAGGCATACACAATGCACCTATGGGATCTGGATGGGTGGGTGGACGGGTTTGGCGTCAAGAGGCGAAGCATTCACTTTCTTCTTGAGTGTCTGTTGGATATGCTGGCAGCACTGTCAGTCTTCTTGGGTGATTGGAGTGCAACCAATTTGGACCCTATAACTCTTACGTTTTACCTTTTTCTTCCACTTTCAATTCTACTTGTGCATACTCTACATCATCTTTCCGTGTCAAATGTAACGATTTGTGAACACGCGTTGATGGAAGCATCTGAGGTATATTACTCGAGGTGACTCTGCTTGGTAGACCGCTCGTCATTCGGCCCTGACACTTTTCTGAAAAGCATGCACCTCCTACAGCATTTGTCTGCAGTAAATATCACTGTTATTATTTTGGCGCCTCAATCGTTCGCATCAGTGTATTCAGTAACTTCTGCAGGCTCGCCATCGTGCTCCTGAGCTTTTCAGCAAGCGAGAAGTCAAGCTTAAGCCAGGGTCGTCCTCTCAACCACAAATATCTGACTCGTCAGCATCGATCTTCGATGCGGTCTTTCATCTGAATTGATGTAACTCTGTCTCTAGCACTACTGCTCTACTCTAACAGCTCGTGACTTGGTTGGGATGTTGTTGTACCAGTACCGTGCAAGGGGGAAGAGGCACGACAAGCGGACACGGTTTGGCAGATATCCTTGTATGTACTCGAGTAATACGGAAGATATTTGACATGCTTTGGGGTATGGACCAGTAATGATAAAAGAGTGATCTCCTCGGGAGCTGCAAAGGCATTTGACGTGATACTACGCGACATGCGAGCATAATGGCGTCTCACCGCTAGCAAAAAGTGTTTAGTGTGAGCTGGTCTCATAACAACGTGCCTCACTGATCATGGTCTACAACAGACAACAACATCTTAGCGACGAACCATAGAGTGACCTTATCTTATCAAAGCCATGATGGCATTTGACGTGATACTACGTAACAATTGAATTCTAAGGCATCTTAATATGTCGAGGTGAGCACGTCTAAACTTCAGAGGATTGCCTCATTCAGTCCTCTCTCCGCATGCCTGTAGTCAATTCTAATTCCGAAACGGAACTGCCGCTTTCAGAACGGCAACGACGGCATCAAATCGTGCGTTTGCCATTTGCGCTTGAATGGAGATCTATGATGAAGAAACGCAAAAGATTAAACTGAATAATTGCGACAGCGAGGATGGGCGCGGATGAGCATTCTAGTTGATTTGTAGTCGTATGCTTTTGAGTGGCAGATTCTGACACAGAGATGCAATATTTCCAAAGCCTTGACAAATAGCTTGCTACGTATCCAGACGTGGGTACGACGAGGTCTGATTTATCCGGTGCGAGCACCAAGGCGCTCTTGTTAATGTCAGTTTTGATACTGTACACTCTCGTCGGCCTTAAGCACCCTAGATTGATGTCGTTCGCTTATCTGATCGTCTAGACAGAGGTCAGCGTACTCGGCCGACTTCGGAATACCGAGGCTTAATGATAGAGTCTATCCTAAAATCAGCTGTATGAAGAGAAGGGATCAGAATCCTGAGCATCTGATAACCTTTCTGATGATCGCATTGCATTGGCGCAATGATGGCATGTTGTAAACAGCCGTACTTGTAGGATTGGCTAGATGCAGCAAGATTGAGCGCTGTACATACCTAAAAGAGCAAGTGCTTTTAAACTTCACTGACGCTTTGTGTCAAAAGAAGCGCAAAGAGGCGATGTAAGAAGCATGATCGAGCATAATACGCTTCCATAGCGACTTGCGCGAGATCATAATGAACTTCGCCATCCGTATCTTGCCTCCAAGATTTGTCTTGCCGGTGACAAAGGTCGATTCGCTCTCGTCAACCGATGGAAGCACAAAATGAAGGAAAGGCGGCTATTGGCGGCTCGCGGAATGTGGGGAAAAAAGAGACAAAGAGGCCAAGCAAGACAAGCATCCAAGGAAGGAGTCGCCGACAAACTCTCGAGGCCCGACAGATGCCGCCAATCGGTCAAGCAAGGCAAGGGTGTGAAGACCTCAAGGACCGAGAGCATCGAGACAGTGCGTCCGGGCAGAAAGCCGTGATGGCCAAGGGATGAATTTTGTCACAAAAATGCCAGCTCACTGCGAGGTCGGAGAGTCTGCGCTGCTCAAGAACATCGACACGTCTTGATCAACAAGCATAATTATGCGATCGACGCTCCAAACAGCACCCTGAGTCGCAGTCAAGGGACAAACGTCGACACTCCGAAAAAGACTCCGCTCCATGCGACCGGTGTGTTCAAATGATCTTTGACTTCGTGATGTGTAATGCGGAGAAGAGATTGTGTATCTTTGAGTGCAGATACGGAACAACAAAGACATGCAGCTCTGTGTCTTAAGATACGACTGATAAGTTAGATACGGTACCTGCTTCTTCAAGGCCTTGAGTGAGCACGTGGGCTTGGTACGGATAAGGCGGCCATTGCGATATGTGAATGCGACGCCTCGCTTTATCTCGAGATATGCAGATGAAAGGAGATGGTGAGATTAGCATGGATAGAGTGCGCGTGCGCATCCGGTCGGACGCAAGGTCACGGATCAAATAGGATACGACGCGGATGTTTTGGAAAGCGTTGAGAGAAGCACGACATGGTCAATCTGATGGCGCATGGCTGCAAGGAGATAGCACGGTGAAGGGACGAAGTGCATGACGGAGCGTTTCTGGCCAATAGAGCGGCCACTTGGGCAAGGCTATCGCTCAAAAGGCAAATAGATCCAAAATGCGGAGAAGGAGGCAGGAACAGAGATGAGATGGACCATCAAAAAGAAAGAAAGCGAGGCTCGGCTTTTGCAAATCAATTGCTTGTCGCAGACGGCATGTATCAGGCCAGGACCGAGGGAGGTCCGCGTTGCTGCGGATATTACGAGAGCGAAAAGACTCATCACGCCAGGATGATGGAGCGGAATTGGCAAAGAAGCAAACAACCATGACGGTGAAGATGAAGGTTTGACAGAGCCGTTTGAGCGAGCGAGGCTGAAAGCACACACAAAGAAAGACGTCGGGGCCTTTCCCCCACCGGGAAGGAGCTGGGCCGAGATAACGAAAAGGTGTTGCAGATTTCGCTGTAGGAATGGACGCTTTGGGAATTGGGGTCAAATGGGAAAGTCAGAGTCAGGTCACAGTCAGGCCAGGCTTGGCGGGCCAGAGAATGTTTGCTGAAAGAAGTCGGAAGGAACAGGCTTGCAGCGGCAATCTAGCCCTGAACCGGGGTAGGAAGCAGCAAGAACAGGAGCCATGTCGCCGGTGGCTTGTGTTCGATTGGGGGAAATTCTTTAGATTGGCGGTGGCGGGTGTTGTTGGTTGATGGAAGGCCGTCGCCAACGTGGGACTAGAGTTGTCGGCAAAAGTGACGAGCCTTGTCGTGCGGTGTACTGTGCGGGCAGTGGAGCGAGCGTTGACCTAAATCCAGCCAAGTTATCAGCGACAAGCGGTTTGGTACGGTAGATCGGATATGACATGTTGCTATCAGCTGCTCTGGACCTCGCCCTCTCACCTTTCTGTCTCGTGTGCGACGTGTGCCTGTGACTGACTTGAGCACCAAGCATGTCGGGTTGTACCATCCTGGCCAACTCCTGCTTTACCCACACCACTCCTGCTGCCTCTGCCATTGCTACGAGTATACCCATGGCTCCTTCCGTCTGAAGCCTCGAGTATGAGGTGCAACCACTCCGCAACAGTGCCATGATAAGCCAACCACCCACGGGCACGCAAGTTCCTGGCCCTCACCCTCGCCCTCTGAACCGCCCTGCTCTTCCTTCCAAACTCAGCAACGTCGACCTGAATCGCCAACATGACACTGCCGATGTCGACGACACGAATCACTCGGCATACACGGCTAACGGCATGCTCCAATACGCCGCACAGTCCGTCAACACTCCCGACGAACCCACTCAACACATACCTCCACGTCTTCTCTCCCAGCGTACAACACAACTACCGCTACCTCGTCGTCCCCAGTCTCTGACCGCACAAGGTCAAGCTCGCCAACCCGTCCCAAAGCCCTCACCTCCACCCGTCCTGGATCCATCAACGCGAGCCAACGGCCTACAACCACCTGCAGTCGCAACTGCCCTTCCTCGAGACAAGGCTGCCGACTTCTTCCCATGGACCAACATTGAAGGCAAGCACCCGGAAGATGTGCTGAACGAGCACCTCATCAAGTCCGGATACAGCGACAAGCCCGCTGGTGCTTCGCAAACCGAGTCCAACATCGCTCGTCCTCATCTCTGGCCTAGCTTGAAGAACAAGAATGGACTGGGTGTACTTTCCGCTCTCTTTGTCCAGGTGCTGGACAAGAGGTCTCAAATGCGTCTGTGTACTGCCCCTTCCACCTTCAAGCCGCCACCAAGAGTCACCCTGACCGACACGAAAAGAGAAGCTTGGCTCAAAGATCTTGCTAACCCAGAAGTCCCGTTACGAAAGCTTAGTAGAACGATACCACATGGTATCCGTGGCAAGGTTCTGCTCGACCATTGTATTTCCAAGGACATTCCCATTGCCAGAGCTGTCTGGCTTTCCAAGTGCGTCGGAGCTAATGAGATTCGTGCTTTCAAAAGAAAAGGTGTCTCTGGTCCCGCTGCTCTTGCTGGTGAACTTAAGTGGATCAAAGAATGGACGGTGTTTGTCGAACAGTTCATCGATGGCATCATTTCCAGCTGCGGACAGCGAGGATGGTCTCAAAAGATGAACTATGCTGTTCGTTTGGGCACCCACTTCTATGTTGAGCATCTCCTTGACGAAGAACACTACATGGACTGGATCCTCACTTCTCTCAAGCAAAGCTCTTCCGAAAAATTGCCCGTGTGGATCCTGCTTACCCAGATCTACTGGAAGCATTTAATCTCTCACCGCAAACGTGGTCACCGACTCTCCGAAGCCTTACTTGGACATGCTAAAACTCTTGCCGGTACACCCTATGGTATCAACCTACAACTCACAACGCGCATCAACCAACTCATCACTATCCTGGCCGTCAATCACAGAGGATGTCTGGTATTACCGAAGTCATGGAACGAATACAAGGCTACGTTCGCTGCTGTCAAGCCCACAGGTCGCCTCAATGTGGAGGCTGACGGCTTGATCAATGTTGCAAGACGAAACAACCGATTATCTGGAGCATCTCCACAAGTTACCTGTCGTACCCCTAGACTTCGATTATGTGATATCTTGGACTCTGTCGGCTTGGATGTTCAGATTGACAGAATTGCTGCTCAATGTGAGCAATTAGGGATCGAGACGCGTTCAATGCTGGTCACGATACTCGAATGGGCAGCTTCAAAACATCGATCTGGTATCGCTCGTGTTTACCTTGCTGCGCAGTTGATTCGATACTGGAGCTTTGCGGGCTTTGGTGCAGACGATGCAGTACTGACCATGCTCGAAAAGGCTCGAAACGACCGCAACATGGAACCGCGCCTGATCTACAAACTTGTCTCCGCCCTCGCCCGATCTGGCCACTTCTCGGTTGGCAGATACCTACAATGGCTCATCTCCATGGGTGTTTTGTCTGGAGCCAATGCTGCTGCGAGTGAGGCACAGCTTCTCCTCGAACTACCGACAGCCTACCTCTCTTCTCACATCGTCAATCTAAGACGTACGCTCTTAAATCGTGTTGGATATCACGCTGATGCCGAAGCGCGTGAGGTCGAAAATTACAAAGCCGTCCTCTCTCAACACCTCGGTGGCATGTCTTTGCCTAGCCCTGGTGTAACTTCGCATGAACCCGTGCTTAGCAACAACCCTGTCGGAGCTGTCAGGATGGCGGTGGCTAGATGGTTATGTGAGAGAGTCGTATCGCAAAGCTTCGACTCTCCTAACGAAACTGTCTTCATTGGCAATCTTGCCGCTTTTTGTCTGGTGCGCCACACATTGGAACAGTTCGAAGACTACCCGAGCTTGGCCAAGGTACTTGCCGCTGCGTCTACCTGCAACAATCCTCAGATCCTGGCCGCTGCAGCAGACACTATCAACCTGAATATCGAGATATTCGCTACCATGGGTTTCTTGCCAGCGTTGATCTCGCAGATCTATCAGCAGCAACGTCGCTTGCGGTCAAGGCAACCTCTAGATCGCACTTTCCTCCTGTCATTGTCAAGACTTGTCCGTCGCATACCATCTAGCGTGGTGTACGCAAAGACTCTTGACAGCGAGCTCGCAATGTGTGAAATTCAAAGCTCTACCGCCGCGTGCTCACCAGCATCTGATAGTATGGCAATCTCGCACTCTGGTAGCGTTGAATCCAACGACGACATCGATCGTGTGCTCACTAGCGGTAACACCATGGACGAGCAGCTAATGGTTCGTATGTTCACCACCATTGCCGATCGGAGTGTCAAGATGGGATCTGAAGGCCTGTCCCGTGCCAGCACATGGTTCGCACAATTGAGATCGTTCGACCAGACCACATTTGAGCAATTGGTGCAGAAGCTTGTCAATCGCATGGCTGAAACTATCGCACCGTGTGAGACTGTAGAAGGTGTTGTTGCCTCCCTGGTCGGTTCTAGCTGCTTGAAGCTTGAGAATTTCTACCAGGTCTGGGAGAAGAAGCTCAATACCATCAGGTCTACGGAACCCGCTAACGCTAGCCGTGTCGCTGTCATTTGTGCAAAGATCCTGATACCCTCGGCATCAGTGTCACACAACCAGTCGGCCGAAGCCTACAGATACAAAGTTGCACAGAGCCTGTTTTGTCTCGAACAGAAAGCAGGTATCCTGCGCATCATCGGATCCTTACTGCAACTGAACCCTCAATCAGTTCTACCGAAGAACGGTAATGCACTGGGAGAGAAAATCACATCGTTGCTCCGTCAGTACATCATCAAGGACCGCAAGCTGGTCTCGCAGGAGCTCATCTCCAAGAATAATCAGTTGATCGCTCAGGGTTCTGTACAACCTCTTCTTGAATCTCTCCTGGACCCTGTGTTACAGGAACAGCAAGTGTCGATTATCGAAAAGGTGAACCAAATTGTTGGGTCAACAACAGAGCTTTCTTTGCCTTTCAGCCAAGTAGCTTTGCAGCAGCTTTCTTCACTGCTCTCTGGAGGCAACAACCTCTCGGAGACCGACAAAGCCAATCTGATCCGTACTTTCCAGAATGCGATCGAGCACACCTCTTCAGTCTGGCCACAATTATTGGGTGCGCTTGACAAAGATCTTATCCATCACATCCACTCTTGGGCAGGTGAATGTATCTTGGAAAAGCTTTCCTCCATCATTGCTGTTGATGGATCCATGGAAGAAGAGACTGCTGTGCGGCGATATTTGAAAGCAGTTGAAGCGTCTGCACTTGCCGCTTCATCACATTCGATGCCATCAACCGCTTTCATCATGCTTGCCGAGCACTTCAAACGTCTGGGCCAGTTTGCAGAGAACATCAACCCTCTTGACCCCGCACAATCAGACAAGAAGGCACGCATGGCATTCGGCATCAACGTGTTGCTACAGCTCACCACCATGCACCATCACACACTGCAAGACGCGAACGCTGTTGCACAGGATCTGATTCCGTTGATGGGTGTCCTGTGTGCTCTTCTGATTCACCCAAAGTTACAAGGCCAACAAGCAATTCTTGAACACATTCTTGACGTCGCTTCCATGATCTCGGATGACTTATTAAATGAGCACATGCACACGATTCTGCGCAACCTTCCACCTCAGACTCGTTGCATACCTCGTCTGCGCTACCTGTTCGGAACCCACACATCTCCTGACGCCTGGTTATCGCTCGCTTCCAAGGTCGTTCCAGCTGCTGCAGGTCAACAGAACCCAACATCTACCCCCGCGCAACCCTCTTCTTCACCAGCTTCAGCTACACAGTCTCCGTCGATGATGCAAAGGCCATGGCCCGTGCCCGCCAGACCTGGCATGCCTGCTCGCCCACCCTCGGTTCCCAACACACCTGTCCTGTCACAAGCACACTTGCAACAACAGCAAGCCCAACAACAGAGACTATCCATGGGCATGGGTGCGAACAGAGGTCCTGTTGAGCTCAAACAAACACCATACATGTTGAGGCGTTGGGAGTTGATGCCCGACCCAACACCTATAATGGGTGCCAACGACACCAGTCTCAGCCTCGGCCTTTTCCAGGCCAGGAAGTGTGTCTAACCACATACCACCTCACTCGATCTACGAATCGGGTATACATCTAGACTTCTCTGTTGATTTGCATCGTCAGTGGGAAAAAGTCTTTTGTTTGCATACCACACTGTTGCTTTATCATTTTCTTTGTTTATTGTTTTCGGATTTTCGGATACTCTTGACGAGTGGCGCAATACGGCTTGAAGGCATTTTATCGGCGTTTTAGTTTCATAGGACGGTGCATCATTTTTATCATTAGGACAGGGAACAGGAAGGAGGGGTCTTGATCAGTTATACCCCAGGGACAACAAGAGGCGAAGTTTGGATAGGAACTGAGATAAGAATGAATAGCATAGGATAGGAGAAATTCCTTACCATTCAATGAAAGACTACTTTTACTTCAAAGCCATTTCAACGATATGAGAATACCCGTTCAAATCAGGTAGGTTCAAAATCTGGAACCTTATCGTCATTCGTTCGTGCATGTCAACCAGGTATGTCATTTCATACAGCTAGATCTTGTCTTGGTCGTGTCTAAAGGTAAGTCTTATCCACAGAGCTTAGACAAAGCAACATGAGTCGGAATGTCCCTTCCCTCTTCACATACAGCAACATCCTTTCTGGTCAAGCAGTGCGTTCTGATAAAGCAACATGAGCCGTGACGTCTTGTCCATATACCCATACATGCATCGACGTTCTTTCTGGTATAGCGATTTGAATTTTTCTGCCGCTCAGACAGGCGAGGTAGACGACTTGTGACGACTGAGACGGCGTTGATACCACGGTAACATCTTGATTAACTCGCGCTTGTTCAGTACATCGATACGCAGCACGGCAGCGACAAAACCCTTCAAGCATGCAGCTTCAACATGTTCTAAGACGGCCACCCCACGGCCGTGAAACATCCTTACCAGTATCGCAGCTCGATATCTGTCTTGCAAGAGCAAATTACCAGGGCCTGACCAGAGCTGAGTTGTCTGGCTGAGCTCTGCAATCATCTTCGAGCCGCACTGAAGTGGGTGGATGTTTAGGATGAGGTCGTTGATTCTGATACGGATGTTCTTCATGTGATAGAAGATGTCAGTCGAATGGGGAGTAGTGGTGTTTGTGTATCTGTCGAAAAGGTCCAGGGTATAGAGAAGGTCCCTGATGGAATAGATCGTGATATAGAAGACGCATTTCTTGTATATTATCGACCAGAGCTCTTTGTAGACCAGGCGACAGACGCGAAGGAGAGACGGTGGAGGATGAACAATTTCGTTGTTCAATACCTCTTGTAGGCGGCGGTCATAGGTCCTCATTTTGCGGGCAGTCAGGTAGTAGATGCCATCTGTTGGAAGTGTGTAGCGATAAACATTCATGCGGATCTCAGGCGGCAGGCCAAGAAAGTTGAAGGTCTGTTCTGGCCAGTAGAGGGGTTTGAGCTATTGGAGATGTCAGTTCCTCATGGCGAACGATGTGATAGAGTGAGTTTTCTTACCTTCCGATACATCTTTCGAATGCATTGACGAAAGTTTGCAACGCAAACGTACAGTGCGCATCCCAGGACAAAGAGAAAGATGGCGGCCACGCAAATATAGATGATGATGGGAAACAAGATCCCTATAAGGGCGACCTTAGATACCATCATGTGCGGTCATGAAGGTATAAGGGGAAGAGAAGGTGGCGAAGATGATGGTGAAAAGAAGATCTCGATCAACATGTTTGTTGTCAGAAAAGAAGGCAAGCACGTGTCTCTGACAGGCCGAGTCACAGGAAGTCACACAGGGAAAGAACCACATACGTGCTTATCATCAAGCAGCACATCTTGCCTGTTCACACCCGCCTGATTTGGAGAGCTACTCAAGTCAGCAATGTTTAGATCGTCAAAGTATCGTAAATCACAAAAGACGCAACCGAGCAATGACCACTACAAAAGAGGACACGACAATCAACATTCTGGAAAAGCTGGCAAAGCCAAGGTGTCTTTATAGCTAGAAAAGATACATCTTGGATATGGACTTAAACACTGGCTATTGTTCAGCCCCTTTTCGACACGGACCACCACATGTATCGGACTATTCTTTTTCGTGATGATACATGATAGTATCGTAACTTTGATAATGAACGGTCGGAATCTCACATACAAAAAGTTCTAGCCACAGAGATTATGTTGCCATCGTGCCTTCCTTTGGTGCTCACTTCTTTCGAGAAGTTATTGTGCAGCTTCGCAGCCTTCAGATGAGAGTCTTCAGTGGTTAAAGAATCTGCAAGCTGCTTTACTTTAGTCAAGATTCACTTCACTCACGACTTCCGACCTCTCCCCTCGCTCCGTGTTTCTCTTCTCCACTGCGATTCCTTTTTTTTCTCTTCCACCTTGATCTCACTGTTTTTCTACATCGATTACCTTTCCTCCAACTTGACTCTTTCCATCTTATTGATTGCTTGCTACAGCTGGAACTGTACCAACTTCAGATCTTCTCACTGAACGCCGATCAGAGATCTCCACCAACGCAATTCTGCTTCTTCACTCAACTTTCAGCTCATAGAGTTAATCCTTAGTGTGAAGCTGGCTTTCGCTTATCTCTCAAGTTCTCAATACATGGTCCCTAAAGATAATCATTGCACGCGGTATGTGAACTCGAGAATGATTCGTCAGACCACCATCTGACACATTCCGTGCAGTTTCCCATCCTGACCACTGCCTCAACTGCAAACGACTGCTACAATATCACTAGCCCCGGCTTCACTTAGTCAAGACCATTCTCACTCCAAGTCGCTCCAGCCTTTAAAAGATCTCCGCATACCCACCAATTATCCTCCTCCACTCTCCACCAACAGCCACTGCTATTTGCACGGAAAGACACACCAAGGAACATGACATCATCAATCAAGATGCCGGACTTGACGGAGCATGTCAACATCGCCTCGTCTAGCGAGTCTCCCAAGTCGGCTATCACCTTTCTGAACCTTCCGCCGGAGATCTTACGCATGGTCGCAGCGCTGCTCGACAAAGAACAGCTGCCCTCATTTCGCCTTATCTCTAAACAGATCTGGTATCATTGTTCGGACATCTTCGCCAAAGTGCACTTTGCTCATCTTCACCACCACCTCATGAAGCCAAGTCTTGAAGACCTTATCCTCATCACCAGGAACCCTATGTTCAGCACATGCATCAAATCTATCCAGTTCTCGACTGCACGTAACGGGATTCAGTCGCAGGAAAGCCAAAGTCTCCTGGATGAACAGAACAGCGAGTTTTGTTGGGCTGGACATCACATCACTATGCTTACTACTGCGCTTGTAAACCTGCAAAGCCATGGTAATCACAAAGTCAGCCTTGGGGTCTTTGACAGTCTCTGCGAAGACACTACCGACCTCTTACGTGCATTCAACAACGTTTCGCCCCGGCTCATAATCTTAGGTCATGGTTATGTCAAGGCTTATGGCGTCGAAAACGTGCCCGCAGCCGCTGACCCGAAAGGAACTATGCTCGCAGTTTCTGAAGCCGCCATCTTATCTGGATACTCCCTGAATCGCCTTTCTCTAACTACAGCTGACCATTCGTCTTCACAGACCGTTCTCATCAAGGAAGATCACGCCTGTGTGCTCCACGTCAAGGGAGCAAGTTGTTTCAAGTCAGACTTGACACTCAAGCATGTTGTAAAAGATGTGGTCCGAACCAAAAGCCATCTTCCTGTCAAAGTACACTGCCTCAGTGTCGAGGTCCAGACTGGCACCGTCAGCCACCTCTCGCTCCAAGGTCAAGCTTCCGAAATCGACGACCGAAAACTCTATAGAGCCGCTTTACGGTTAGGAGACCTCCTTCGTCAATTGCCGCCAGTCTTTATCAAAACGGAGTATCGAAAGTTGACGCTCAAGGATATGCTGCTCATCCACCAAGGCCTGAGAATTTTGTGCTTGAGAACAATGAAGCAGAATTTTGAGTGCTTGGAGATTCGCAACGTGAATGTCTGGATCGGCAGAGATGTCAACGATCTTCGAGCTTCTGCTTTTACGTTCTTGAACCACTTCAAGAAGAGCTTCGATATCAGACACCTCAAGATCTCAAACCTGATTGTGCATGGAGGCTTCCGTATTTCTCATCAGTACCCTCAGCCGCTCACATTGGCTTCTGAGGAGATCATTGCAGAGGGTTACGATCAAGTCCAAGGCGCCTTCGACGATCTTATCGCACAAACTTTGGCTTGGCAGAAGTCATTGGAGGAACTAGTCCGATCTCCTGATAAGTAGATTGGCGAGGCGGAAGATGCAGAAGGCCCAGGATCAGACAAAGAGAATCGACCGAAGGACTGGGCGTGAAGTTGACGGATGGGCGGGAAAACAAAGTTTTAAAGTTGGCGAAGGCAGTGAAGATAGCAGGCGAAGCGAAGCAAAGTAAATCAGCTTGGGAAGGACGACGGAATCTGCAAACATTGAGTTTTATCAACCAGCTTAGCAAAAAAGCAATAGACTTTCTGGCCCTTCTGAACTTGCATAAACTTTATAACCTCCAATGTGAATCACTAGCAGTACTTGTAAGGAAAGGTCAAGTGCTGATTCATCGTTATGGCGCGGTCATCATGTATATTTCAACTCAAGTGGTTGCCAAGTATACATATGAAGATCACTATCCCCACCTGCCACTGAAGTCAAGTGTGAGTGCAAAGCGTATGCTGTGTGAAGTACAAGACTGTATTTCTCGCACCGACGATCAACTCCCAAAAAGTTACCAAGATTACCTGGTGGAGCCACAGATCAGCTGCAGTGACTCCCAGCTACATCGCCAGGGCGAACATAATCGTCAAGACCAAGGTGTCCTTCTTCATGATAGTTCTCAATACTCGACCAAGGACACCAAGTTCATGGGCACACGAAAAGCACAAGTTGAAGCATGGAACCAAGTGTTACTCTAACACATTTTCAATTTTTTTTTCTACGGTTTTGGAGTTTTTTTTTCCCCCTAAATATGCCTTGTGCATATCCGCCGCTCCAAGATAAAAAACTTGCCTAGATAATCAAAGTACTGCTAGAAGGCAAGCAAGAAAGTGCAAAGGAAAAACATCAATGTTCGCAAAGCAAGCAGAAATCAAAACCTGTTGAGTCTGGCTCACTTTGGCGTTGTGGTTTGGCGGGGTTTCATCTAGAATACTTCGTCTGGTCGATCGAGGTTGTCATTGTTGTGCCTCTCCGAACGCCAAGCTGACAGGTCAACCTCAGTGTCGGATTCAGAGACAACCTTGATGTCGTCGTCAAAGTCAAAGTCGACGAGTTTCCTCTTGTTGTTCTTGGTCACACTCTCGGATGCCCACTTGATCTTGCTCTTGGGGGCCCAGTACGGAACAGATTTGTTGCCGGCCCTGATTTCGAAAGCCTTGACGTCGGGCTTGAACTTTTTCGAGTCTGGAGGATGGCATCTATGCACACTCTTGGCGGGGTCTGGTCCATAGTTGAGCTTGCGATAGGCTTCCAAGAAAGGACTGTCTGGCGACTCAGGTTCGCGATCATCGAAAGGACGCTGTGAGAATTCGAAAGTATCGGTCGAGATGTGGCCTCGTCTCTCGTTTGGATTGGGACTTGCTCTCAAGAGACCTGGGAAACGGATCACGACTTTGGCGACACTGAGCAAGATGGCATCTTGAACTTGAGCTGCCTTGCTAAGATTTCCTTCTCTGCGAAGGATCTCGCTCATCCGGAAGAGTTTTTCAAGAGGTTCGTCCCACTTGATACGACGGCGCCATTCCGGGCTGAGGTCAAGTACGGGGGCTGCTTGACCATCCTCGTCCATAGCCTCAGGTGAGTCGTAGAGTTCAGTCCTGGCGGTTGTCGTGGAGTTCGTGTCTCTCGCGATCTTTGGCCAACCAGCCCAGACTTCAGTCTGACCTTGGTGGAATCTGAGTATTCCCACGAATAGGCGAGGCTGTTTGGTACCATGCGTGGCGCCCATCAAGAACTTGAACTCCTGCATGAAAGGGTAGACTGCGAAGTTCAAGCAGTGTTTCTCGTCGATGAGGTTGGCCTCCAGGATCAGCCAGTTGACCGTGTCGATAGAAGGCACCCAGTTGAAGCGAAGACACAAGCGAGTCAGGTTCTCAAGGTTGTCATCTTGGGCGTCGGCCTGAAGTTTGAGGTAGCCTTTGTATACCAAGAATACCGTCTCATACTTCAGTGCGCGGCGGGATAACTTGGGCTTGGCGACTTGGAGAGCGTTGGCATGAACTTCGGGAGTTTGCACTTCGTTTAAGGATGACGAAGAGGTCATCTTGAAGAAAACTTTGTGATGCTGACGAAGAAGTTCACACTTGGCGTGATCAGGAAGGAAGCTTAGCACGCTGCCAAGCATAAAGTGTTGGATCTGAAACTGTCAAGTCTGGCAAGATTGGTAGTTGTCTTGTCAATCTGTTGTTGTGGAAAAAGGAAAGAGTGCAGAAAGTAGAATATGGATTTTTTATAGTGCCGTGACTGAGTGAAACTGAGGCGAGAGCATAGTGATAGGTTCAGATTGCTGATTGGAAGTGGACCGATGGTTCTGAGATGCTCTGTACGAATTTGTGATAGGCAGGACATTGGGGCTTCTTGCAGCTATCTCCCAGGAGAGATAGAGGGTCAAAAATGGGCTATCACAATGCACAAATGTATCTCGTTTTAGGATGCATTCAGAGGAGAGCCAGCAGGTAGGTCACTCTCAATGGAGACCTCCCGATTTGAGAAATGTTCGTGCCTTTTTTTAGCCACATATATGGTCGTCTTCAATTTGGAGATGTGCTTCAACGGATGCTGGCAAGTGCTCTCAGGCACTCTCTTGCCAATTCCAAAATACCTCGTCAAGTACCCTTCTGATGAGATCGGCGCTTACACGGTCGCTTCCAAATTCATCCAACACACCTTCGACACATTTTCCAATATTTTCCTCTCCTCTCAGCAATCCAGTGATTTCGTCACTAGGCACTCTTGCAACCAACACCCTACCACCATATTTCTTCCACCTGCTGCGCGGACCACAAACATCAACCATCACATTCCCTCCCACCCTAATTCTAAAGTCTTTAATCATGCTTAAAATACTGCCTTCAAAACCACCCTCAAACAAAGCAAGTAGCTCCGGAATCCTAAGCAAAGTCCTCGAAACATCAATGTTCAACACAAACGCATTGCTTCCGTAAAACAATTCTTGTGCTTCATTGCGGACGAGCTTGCAAGTCTGGAGCAGTGGCAAAAATGGCGGGGTTAGCCGTGTTTGACAGGGACATCCGTAATGCAGTTTCTCAAAAACAGCAGGGAGGTAGATAGACAGCGGCGATGATGCTGGTGGGAATGGACATGAGGCCACCGATGGTTTCGCCAAAATAATCGTTTGTTTTTGAGGGAGTGCGTAGCGATAGATTTGGAGACGAATCTCTGGCGGTAAGGCGAGGAGAGGAAATGGTCGTAATTGTGGTGCTGAAGATGGCTCTTCAGATGCAAAAACTGTTTGTCGGCATAGTTTGATGAGTTTTGTGAGGTTGGCGGGTGTTGCTGCTGCCATTGCGATGCTCAGAAGACTGAGTACGAAAGCTGCGAACCACATGATAGGCGTGTGGTTTGAGGTGCGAAACTTGGTTGTCTTGATGGTTTTCCAAAGGGCAGATAGGAATGAGAGATATGGTCTTGGATTTGTTGCCGCCTATATCGGTGTATAGAACAGGACAGATAATGCCTCGATTACTGGTGCCTGATTTTTTGAGGTTGGGCGATCAAGGATGGAGATTATTGTCGCACATAGAACTTTTGATACGGCATAGTGGACGGAGGCAAGAACAGGTAGAGGTCAAGGTCAAATGATCGCTTCCATGATAGTCGTTACTCGTTATATTATGTACATGTGGTTTGGAATGAAACAGTTTGTGACGACGTGAAGTCGAGGTGCGATGGTATGCAGAAATCCAAGCGTGCCCGAATGTACGCCCAAGAACGATCGACGCCAGACTTCTGATCATCTAGTCAATGATCCAAACACCCGCCCAGTCTTTCCAATTGGCTGTCTTCCATTGGTGAGAAGACATGCTTGCATACACGCCTGTCTTGTTTTCGTAGTCTCTTGTGCCAAGCTCTACCAATCTGTCGATCAAAGCTTCGGTCTCGTCCCGAGTCTCACCACGATCCCATCCCAAGCTCTTTGCAATCTTGACCTGGCGCAGATTTGGGAATGATCCCTCATCTAGTGTCAAGAGGACATCGATGGGAGAAAATTTGTCGTCGACACCTGGGTTTCCTGAATTTGTGAAGGTGAGCATGCGCAGCTTGTGGTCGGTAAAGTTTGGTGTATCGTGGGAGTGCCACTCTTGAAAATCGGGATTGAAGATGGCAGGCGTTATGTAGTCGACACTGACGCTGAGTTCTTCAAGATTGGGAAATAGGCCGAGCACAGGGTCCAAAGAGCTTATGCCCAGGCGTGGTAGGTGTGATAGTGATAGTGCTTTGAGAGGTAGATGCGCACGAGAAAGGGTCGAGAGAAGCTGGCGAATAGCATGAGACTTTGCTTGCGGACAGTGTTCGATGGTCAAACGTTCCAGAGCGGGAGGGAAGTGGACGATGCCGTAGAGGAAGTTTGCATCGATACCACCGCTGATGTGGAGATCCTTCAGAGCCTGAGGCCAGACGATTGAGTCGGGATCCACGGCATTCGCGCCAAAGCCAGAAGAGCGTGGGAAGCGTAGGCGTTCGAGGTGATGCAGCGATCTAAGCGACTTGAAGAGCATGTCCAAGGGTTGGGCCTCAGACACGAGTGAGAGGTCGAGACTGCGCAGGTTGTGCGATTTTGACAGGGCTGCATAGCTGTTGATGGCGAATGAGGCCTGGGGTGCAACGAACTCTTCCAGGCTTGCTTCTGTTCTCCGCAAGACTCTTGCTGTGACACTTCTGCTGCTGTGGTGGACCAGCATGCCAAGATTCAAGACTTTGACGAGACCAGCTAGTGGGCTCTCTTTGATACGAAGGTTTATGGAGGGGCACATGGTGCGATAGAAAGGATCGTAGTTCTTGCCGTAGATCTTTGGGTATGCGTAGAGGTATGGCAGGGCGGCGCGGTGCCATTGTCGCGACAGGAGACAGCATGTGTATAGGGACTTCTGTGCTTCGGGTACTACGGCGACATATTCGAGGATTTCGAGGACAAGCTCGTCAGGAAGGTATGCTGGTTCGATCGTGTGGTAGTTGTGAGATTTGGGGTCGTCGTCGCGGACGGGAAAGTCTGAGGATGGACCGGGTGGTTGTGCTTTGGCGGCGGCCGACTTGTCTTTGACGGCCTGCAGGCTTTCGGCCATGGAGATGGTCCAATTGCGCTGCTGGTCAAGCGCCATCTTGATCCTGGGTCCTTCTCTTGGATGGCGGTTCTTCAGGTATGTTCTGTTTGTGACTCGACTGTGCTTGTTTGCCGCTGTCTTTGCAAGCAGAGGCCGAGACCCTTCACCCCGCACTATTTTCGACGTCACTTTTTTCACAGAGGATTGCACAAAACTGCGCACAACCATCCACCATGTTTCACAATCTAGACATGATCAAAGAGCCTCACTGCTTGAATTTTGATAGCGACCCTGACAAGATGGACTTTTGACCTCGTTACATCGAGCACCATGCAAGATACGACTTGACTTAGCTTGCCAGTCGGCTCTCCTCTCTTGACACGCAATCATTTTCAGCCGTGCTCTGTCAATCACTGCTCATCTGTTTCAGCATCGCACATCTTCACATGCTGCCTGCATACGGCGTGCAAGGTGTTCCTGGACCTGCTATCGAGCCGTTGGTTTCTCACCCGCCTCGTATACAGGTACCAGTGCTCGGATCAAGCGTGAACACTGCCACCCTCAACCCAATTCGCTGTTCCTGACAGAAAATCTCGGACGCGCAAGCTGAGTCAGATCTTTGTCTGCTTATGTCTCGTATCCGTGAGCCTACCATGCGGGAACTGTGTGGAGCACCGCAAATCTCAGCCTGGTGTGGTCAAAACCAGCCCGGCTCTGACGTAGCTCTCGCAAAGACTAACCATCCTCCGTAAAGATAAATAAAATAGTCGTGCCCACCTAACTAATATTCTCTACCATTCACACTGCCAAATTTCAGCTGCATCTCAGGCTTCTCATACCCACCACAACAACAAAAGCAGTATGTCGAAAATGTCGAGCCAGGTCGAACCCACCATCGTCACCGCCATCGAGACCGGACCCTCAGCCTCTTCCTCCTCAGGACTTCCTCCCTCGGACAACTCGCCCATGCTCAGACGCGGCTCCCGTGCAGCTCCACCAGAGGGTCTCGATCTGAACTCCAAGAACAAGCTCGCACCCCCGACCGCCGAAAGACAGGACTTTCCATCACCGGGTGGTGCTCCTGCAGGCCAACGAATCTTTGACGCAAACGCCGTCGCCGAAGACAGAGGTGTCGAGACCATTCCTGGAGGCTGGGCTAAGGGAGTCGAACAACAAAACGAAGTCGCTGAAGAATACGAGAAGCAAGACGATGCTTCGCAAAAGTCTTCCCCAAGCCTGAAGCAGAAGGTCAAGGACCTGCTTCATCGCGACTAAGCCATCACTAATTTTCAAATTGAGAGCACACTGATTGCTCTTCATCATGATGGCACGTTTTCTTTGCATCGCGGAATTTTGGTCAGCGGAGGAGTTTCATGGTTACACAACAGTCTGCGCCAAGCAGTTCTGCATCGCTGCATATCGTCACAGGCGTGGCATCTTACGATTCTGATTTCTATCATCGCACCTTTCACTTCTTTGTATCTATTCATCATCTATTCGAGTCTTCACAGCGCTCCCCAGCCCGCAAAAACTGTGGCTTTTGTTCCATGCCTGCAGAAATCATACCACCGAGCCATCCCTGTGCTTACGTCGAAGCTTAGAGACAACTAGGCAGCAGCTGAAATCCATATCACCATGCTCGGTTCGACGTCCCGTGTGAAAGGAGAGGCTCTTTCATTGCAAACGCCGGAAATGAACATTGAGGTGCACACAAAGCATAGGTTCGAGCTCGCTGCGACTTCCGAGTGCATGTTGTCTAACTGACCTACGGGCTTTTCAGACTTGCCCGTTGTGATCAGACTCAGGATCTACCACCTCATCCTTGCAGAGTTTCGGGATCAAAGCATCATGCTTTCAACCAACATCCATGTTCAACCACGAGGACGAAACATAATCCCGTCTACTTTCCCGAGACTCAAACGCCATCGACGGATCGCTCCGCCGGCCTCCACGTACCCCGTCCATGAACCCGCTATCTCTCGCACGACAAAGACCATCCGTACCGAAGTACTTCCACTACTCTACGCACCTGGTACACCAATCTCCTACACTTTCCACTCCTGCAGTGCCGCCTTGATCAGAAGAACACTCCACCGCATCCACGCCGAAGACATACCCCTGAAATTCCATCTCAGTGCTTTGACCTTTTCTTTGCCCGAAGAACTCGACGATAATGGTCTGGCGATATCCTGGCTTATATCTCTAGCTATCTGTCTAGCATGGTGTCTTTATCCAACATCATCAAATACGGAAGTCATCGTCACAGAACCCGAGGTCCGCGCCAAAGAACCATATGTTGCTGTCAACGAGACAGAACCACCTGTTCGTTCTGAGAAGGTAGAGTTCACTACTGCAACCGACTCGTTGTCCAGAGGAACAGACGCAGGGCTATCTACTACAGCAACAGAATTGGTGACCTTTTTCCTTGAGTTCACATCAGGCTTACCTGCAGAAGAAATGAAAACCGAAGAGCAAGTCATCTTCGCTTTGGCAGACTTTCTGCATGCAAAAGATGACAAGTGTAAAAACTGTATTCTGTGGAGAAGTGCTTGGAAAGAATGCTTGAGGAGAATCTACGGGGCAGACATCGCAAAGAGCATGGCAAAAGAGAGAGAATTTGAGCCCAACGGAGCTCCGAAGAATTGAGAAATACGGTACCTAAGAATGAATTCTTCTTCCCCAGATCAGGACAGTCATTAATTCCAACTTTGAAAAGGTACAATCGTTTTCGAACAGAATTTCTCATTACCTTCTTTCTCGTCTTCCTTCTTAGCGACGACCACCCCAGTCACACATCATCCTTACCACGCCACTCTTCAGCTTCGCAACCAGCATCATCAAGTCTCTTCTTGCGACGGTCTCTCAAGGTTTTCGCGACAACACCCAGCTTCACAACATGGAACGACCTCCGCCTAGTCTTCTTCATGCTAACACTCCTCTCGAAACCGAACTTTACCGCTTCAGAAGTCCAGAACCCGTCTACTGTTCTATGACCTCCAAAGAGAAGGATCAGCTCGTCCCGCTTGCATACAAGCTCCTCGAACAAGAGCCCGATACTAACGGCTTAGAGTACTTCTGCGGACTACGAAAGTATCTTGGTGATGCATCGTGGGATGAACTTGACTGGATTGTCAAAGAAGCTCGACTTGGCCACAGGGTAGTCAAGGTGGAAGTGCTGAACAATCCCTGCTTCCACTTCATGCAGCACTACTCATGGTTCATGCGTAGACCTGAGAAGGGCGTTCGTCTCTTCTTTGGCCATCTCCTATGCTATCTGGCACGCTACGAACTCCGGATTGCTGTGGACGCGATGTCCCAGACGATCCTTCGCAATACTGTTCTTATACAATTTGGAACTATAACTTTCTCGTTTTACAGCACGCAAGAAAATGACACATGTGAAGCAAACATAGTATGTGGAAATGAGCATCTTCTTGTTGGTGACTATCTAACCATGGGCTCTTGTCCTCGAGCGTAAACCTTTCTGATCTTTGTCAATCTTCTCGACTCTACTCGCGAACCTGGATAGTCATGGCTTCCTCGTAGGTGAGAGGAGCGTTGTACTTAAGGATCTCATTCATGCACTTTCTTGCTGCCTCGGGACCTTCAACTTCGCAGGCAATCACGATGATGAGATCGTAGCGAATGAGGGCAAGTCTCTCGTGCTTTCTGTACTTTGCGAGAGAGGCTCTAGTCTCGTCGCAGAAGCCAGCCTCAATGGTGTCAAGAACACGGTTCATCTCGTCAGCCATCTGGCAGCCAAGCTCCATTTCTTCGATGGTCTTTGCGCGCCTGGCGACCTTGCCGTTTTCGCCCAGTTCAGAAAGTCTCTGGTCAATTCGAGCAAAGCGTTGACGATTCTCTTCACGCAGGGCAGCAAGGTTTTCAGGAGTGTAGTCTTCGGGGCCAACTATCAATATATCAGTCAGAGTTCGCAATGAGTGGAGAAGACGAGAAAACATACGTGAGTCAGCGAGGTGGCTGCCTGTCTTGTTGGAAGCGCCACTGGTGGAGGGAATACCAGGACCGCTAGGCTGAGATGACATCTCGGAGTTGGCGGGTGCCATGGAGGCGGAGGCTGACGAGTTCTTGCCATTGTGCATGAGCTGTTTGCCGCTACTGATGGTCTTAAGAGACTGGGACTCAGGAGGAACCATGTCGGTCTGGTCCTCGGTCATTTTCAAGATCGGGACAGGAGGTAGGCCAAGGTGGGTGGAGCTTTCGGAAAGGGTCAAGACAGCTTCAAAACTTTAGTCACTTAATCAGATCACGCAGTCTTCAAAACATACCTGTGTCGTTGTTGGCAGGACCCACAGTTGATTCTTTGGTCTTGGTGAATTTGCCGGTGCCGGCAAAGGTGAGGTTGCCATTGGCGGAGAACGTAACTTCGCCCTTGCCAGTAAAGATGAAAGGCTTGTCCATCTTGTCGGATTCAGCCTTGATAGAGACTTTAGCAGACTTGGTGGTCTTGATGATGTTGTTGTTGGTAGACATGGCTTGTTCGCTGTCAAGATCACTTGTTTTAGGTTTCCACCTGAAGCGCAGGGAGGGTAGAGTTTTCGTACCTCAGTATCGATGTTCTTTGTTGATGTGGAGATCTTTATGTGGTCGTGTGGATCCGGTGGTTGCAAATGCGCGGAAGAAGGTGGAGGACAGAAGGAAACGAGCAGCAGCTCGCCGGAATCTTGCCAAGGGAGTGAGTGAAAACATCACAAGAAAGTGAGTGGGAAACTAGTTGCACAAATTCACTGTTCTTGGTGCGCAGCGAGTGAGGTCTGGGTAGCACATCTATCTAGAAGAGAAACGAATGTCGAATATGCGAGTTTCGTGCGTGACACTCTTCTTTCTGCTGTCGCAGCAAACCTGGGCCGTTTGTAGAGACAAACTGTCTCGAGACTGAAAGATCTCAGCAAACTCATTCTAGATCATTCCACTTACTTAGGAAGTGATAGTAGATCCGTAATATAGAGGAGGCCGCCGTGGCTTTTAACCGATACAATGACATTCAGCTCACATCGCTAAAACATCTCGCTCCCGTCCACGTCTCAGGCCAATCTTCCTTTAAAATCTTCGTCTTCTTCGATCTGTTTCACCAGCACACCATCGTCTTCAAGACTACAAGATCTCGCAACAATCAACTCCAGCCAACTCAACAGGTGCCACATGTCTCTCCTTCGATCAACACAATGTCTGAGCCTGTCACCGATGAAGTACGTCACTACATCACAAGACCGAAGAACTTTGGGCTAACATGCTTGGTTAAGCAGAAGCAGCAGAAGCAGCGCGAACTTCAGGCCAGTTACGAGGCTCTAAAGAGAGAAAGGAACAACGTCGGTGCCGAGTGCGAGCAAGAGAAGACACACATCGAGGCCAAGTACGAGCACAAGAAGGAACTCATCGATGCCAAGCTGGAGATCGTGAAGTTGGCAAAACGTGTGACTATGGGCGAAAGTCATCTGAACTCTTACCCTATAAAAGAAACCATAATCTAGACAAGATGGAACTTGAAACACATCTCCACGAACTTGATGCTGATCTCAGAGACATCCTTTCAAACTTGGACGAGAACCTTCCCACAGCCGACCCACACCACAGAGCTGTGATCAAGGCCATCTTCACTAACGCTCGCTCTGAAGGTCGTTTTTTTGCCAATCCCGCAGATACTGATGACCTCGACATGGACGATCTGATGCATGAGTTGGAATAGAGACAGGCCGATGCGTGAACCCAGTCGACGAAGCAGGAATGGCGAAGGATGAATGGCCAACATGGGTACAGACAAGGCAAAGGCAGACCAAAACAGTTGCAAACTAGTGATTGGTCGCCAGGAAACCAGAAGAACTCAGCCTTGAACACGTCTCTCAAGTTATCTGCGTTTGTCCAATAATTAGCAGTGACACAATTCTCGCTTTCTTTTTAAGCCATCGCTATCTCTATGATCAATAGTATGCTTGAAAACATGATTACAGTTTACAATACTCAAAGCCTTGCTAAAGTGTAGATACACCAAAGATAATATTGAAATTCGACTTTGACAGTTGACCTGCGACGTCGTTGCCCGCGACTAACGCTGCTATCGATGACATCCTTGCAGACTTGGGCAAGAACTTGCCTGCATCCAACTTTCTCCGCGAGGCAGTACTCAGGGCTTTCTCTACCCACAACTACTCCGTAGACGTCTCTGTCGTCGAATGAGCAGAGATCGTCAAGGCTACGAAGATTTCAAGCTCCAGCATCATGGATGTCATGGAACACGTAAACCGCAGCGGATCAAGTCGGCGAAGCACGAAGGAACAAGAGAGGAAGGTCAGAAGGAGTACACGAAGGCACAAAATCAATATGAGCAGAGATCTGTATCGAATCGTGTCCATTCAGTAAGGAAACAAAAATGCTCGATGACAAACGTAAAACAGGACCTCCATGGGTATCGACAGAGCGAACACTTGAGTCATTATGAAATTTCTTTGAATAATGCTACTGTTTGAGCTACTGTATGATGCTTACGATCAATACTTTTGTGTTTCTGGCGACTGGTGAAACGAAGTAGAAGATGTACTTGGTGGAAGCCATATTCAGCCATGCAATCAAGCAATTTCTTTAGTCTTGCGCGTTTTGAGCTCTCCATCAAGACCACAATGAAGGTGAGCGGCGGCTGAGCAATTCCACCTTGACCACGTATCTTCCCTGCAGGTCGCTGACTTCGTGATCTGCAGAGTATGGTAGGGGTGGCAGGGGTAGAAGTTGAAGAGTACCATTGACTTGGCCAGCACAGATCCTCAGTGTATTTGCACACTGACGGCAGGCGAATTTTCCAGGCTTTTTTGTTGTCCAGTGTTGAGTTGTGGGCTTAGAGATCACAGTACTCCATAAGCACTTTCCCTTTAGATTGACTGACGGCCAATTCTTGTTCTTCTGATCGAATTGTTGCACTTGGACAGCCCAAGCAGCTTCGAGTTCATACCATTCTTGATCGTTGACATGAGAGTCAGTCTCGAGCTTTCCATCTTGATTGACTCGAACCGTGATTGACGTCTCTAGTTCTTCTTCTCCGTCACGCAGATCATCGTTGTCGACTTGAAGTCCTTCGCGGGCACGCATCGCGTGTCTTCTGGCGTTAGCTGGCGAACCTAGGCGGGCCTGGCTGTCTTCAAGAAGTTCAACTCGAGGTTCGGCCAGAGGACGTGCAGTCTTGGCTCGTATACGTGCAAGGTCAGTTCGGAGACGCATATTCTCAGCTTGGCGACGTGTATCTTGGGCCTGGAGACGAGCATATCTGGCTTGGAGATTGGCATGTTCGGCTTGAAGGGTCGTGAGTTCGCCTTGGAGGTATTCTTGGACGTATGTGGTGGTGTTTCTTGATGACCTTAGATCACGTTCAAGCCTTTGAACTTGGCTAGATGGCTTAAGTCAGCACAAGTCTACGAAACAAAAGGTTTTGGATTGATGATCACGTTTCGAGACTGTTGCCAACATTATCGCTCTCCGAGAGGTCATCGTCGTCGATGGTAATGACCTCGCGTCTCGTTGACATGGTGCGTGAAGTCAAGATCGGAGTGGCTGCAACCAGTGGGTAAGACTGAGCGCTTGGAAGATAAGGTTGTGAAGAGTGTGTGGAATTTCAGAGGTTGGGGTTGATGATCGCGAAGTGATGATTGCGAAGTGAAGCGTTCGATGTTTGGGTCGGAAGTCACGAGCCTGATTCAAGAACCGGCAGGTACGCAGTCGTTGGCGCGAATCAGAATCTTGAACGGAAGAGGAAAGCACTGATAGCCCGATGTAGCAGAGGCAGGCGCGTTTCCCAGCCTGAGGTACCTGTGTCTGTATGCTATCGAAATGCACAATCACGGCCTGAAAACTAGTCTGGCCATGGAGATGCCCATGGACAGGGCTTTGTCAGTGGAAGCCACTTTTTCTACAAGATTATTGCGCATTTCTACAGATCTTCCAACAAGGAGAAGCACGCTGGAGATATTGTAAGATCCCGGGGATGCCATGAACCTGACGAAACCTGAGTAACTTCTCTCCATTGTGATAGAAAGAGCAAAGCGTGCACTGTGAAAAGGCACTATTGTTTCCAAAAACAAAGATGTGGCCAGAGAGAGCCCTCAACATGTTAGCTCTCAGTGGACATTATCTTCTTTTCAGATAACATTGTGCATTCTGATAGGAGAACAAGTTACAACTTTCGGCAATGGAGATTTGAAAAGCAGAGTATCATCAATCAAGCCAATTTGGCCATGCTAGGCTAGTGTACAAGTCTCTCTTCTTCCGCGCATGGTCGTCATTTCTTCTGGAGTTCCTTGACAGCAGTCAAAGCATTCTCGCAGATCTTGCGCATTTCCTCCAGGCGTTTGATCTTGTCGTCGACAGCCTCAAGCTGTTCTTTGGCTTGCTCGATTGCTTGCAGCTGTGTAGATCTTTGTTAGACTTTGTGCTTAGATTCAGGTCATGATCTGATTCTTACCTTTTGGGGAGCAGCGCTATCAACGAGCTGATTCGAAGTCTGAGAGGGTGACTTGGATGCTTCGGTGGTGGGTGCATCACGCTCGGGGACTTGACGTTCTTCACTAACTTTCTTAGCGGTGGTCTGGTTGGAGCGATTCTTCTTGAGCGCGGCCTTGCTGGCCTTCTTCTTAGGCTTAGGCACCATGACCTGATCGAAGTAGATTGTCAGTACATCCAAGATCTCTTGATGCCTGGAACAAGATCTTACTCTGTACGGCGTCAGGTCTGACGACGCGTATGCTGTGGATGGGGAGGAGACAGTGGAAAAGCGACAAGCGAGGATTTCTAAAGCGGTAGAGTCCTCGAGAGAGTGAAAGAGTTGTGTGAAGCCGCTCACAATGGCAGCGGTAGATCGATCTGTGCACAACGAGCAAATTTCATTTCGATATCATTCGTCTCTCTAAAGACGACACTCGACGCTAAAAGGCAACACAAAACCAGTACGGCATGTGGCACAAAAACAAGGAGAAGCAAACACTGGCTTAAGGGAAGTGTGGTATTGGAGTACTTGAACAGAATGTCGTGTTCTTTGTGCTTACAAGATGGAAGGCAGCAAAGAGGACATCCTATGATCTGTTCTACTCCGACGAGAGCTGTTTGCACCTGTTTTCACAAGACACTGTCGATTGAGCAAGCAGTAGAAAACAAGGCTAAACATGCGATAATGCCGAGATGATATGCCTGTTCTGCAACAAGGTAACAGAATTGCAGGACTTGAATAAAAAAAAATAAGAGATGCCGTAGGCAGGAATCGAACCCGCGACCTCCTGATCGTCGAGAAGAGAGTATTAGGTATTTAGGTAAGCGAGTATAAGGGCTTAGGTAAGCGAGTAGGGACTAGGTTACCAGATCAGGTGTGCTACCACTACACCACCACGGCTTTTTTGGGGTTACAGGGGACAAAAAATCTCTAGAATATAAAGGTTGTGGTCACAGTGGCGGGAAGGATGGTGTTTGAGCAAGTTAATTCGGGAAGCCCCTAGCTTGGCTGTCCCGTGATGCGATCGATGCCTGGATTAGCGCGCGATACATTTTCGAGCGCTGACTATCTTGATAACGTCTGAAATAGAGCCATATGTGTGTGTTTGATCTCCTCGTCTCAGGGCTCCTCAACGATTATCCGTACGCCATAACAAATTTGTGGGTCGTGGAGGTCGAAAGGTCATGCCATGAAGCCTGTTTGAGAGTACGATTCGAGATCCCAGCGTCGCCGAAGCAGTCAAGGGGAGCGTTGATGGTCACGAACAAGAGCGTGTGTCTCATGCCGGGCGACAGTTTCGAGGATGAGGCGAGGACACTTTGCTAACCAGCACATCGTACGTCGACTCGAGAGCCGCTGAGAATGGGTCTCCGATCTAGAGACATCATTTGCCAGGTTTAGAGCATGGGTAACTGGTAAAGATGCCCATGATACACTCGGTGCCAGTCTGAGTATGCAATTGGTATGGTCAGAGGGCAGCTGTAACGGGATCATCCTTGGAGAGAGCAGACTGGCAAAGCATAAGAATGGATCGCAAGCTTGTCTAATGGCAGGCGTTGGAGAAGACCAGGAAGTAGCCGAATGTATGGCGCGTTCATGAGGCGGCCGAGACAAATATTTGGATGGTGCTGGCAAAGCGAATTCTGGATTCAGGGATATCTTCCTCTTCATCCTTCATGTTCTGATCTTCATCTTCCGGAGCATCTTCCGGAGGGACAATGTCATCAATGGCGCCAACAGTGCCTGTCTCGATGCGAACGTTGTACTCGACTCTCTGCTGGAACCAGAGAGCCAGACTGAGAGCTTTCGCAATTGCTTTACCAGTAGCCTTGAGGACAATCTCATCTTGATCATGTTTGTTGGCGGCCATGGTGGCAGCTACACGCTCAATGTCTGTGATCTCGTCGTTGGCGTGGGAGTATTTGGGTCTGTTGGAGACTTGATCGGCAGCTGATTGGGCAAGGCGCTTCTCGGCTTGAGCTAGCAGCTTCTGGACACGCTTGACGGCTGACATGAAGGGAGTTTTCATAGAGACATAGACGACTTTGGGGACATCGGCATTGGCATATTGCGAAGTGATTGGAGGGCGTAGCAATGGGCGCTTTTCAACTTTGTAGTCTGCACAGTGTGAGTTGGAATTGGGTGAGTAGAGATTGGAAGTAGGTTTACCTTTTGGCAGACGCGACATCTTGCGAGGCCTCTTAGAGACGCCTTGATCGTTGGCCATGATGTTGATGTGTCAGAGTCGCAATGAAGTCGAGAACATCAAGGTTGTGCAAGGCTCAAAAAGCTGCCGTCCTGCACAGCCACACTTCAGCCACATCGCGAGGCAGCCACAAGACATCGAGCGTGCCTGCTTCTTTCGTCAAAACATCTACCAACGCCTGACTATCCACCAAATATGTTGTTGCGCCACCTGAGACTGCAAGGCATTGTGCCATATGCCAAAGCCGAGGTTTTGCAGCAAGATCTGGTCAGAAAATTTCTAGCCCACAAGGCCTCGCCTGCAACAATCCCTGCTCCAGTTCCAACCATCATCACTGCCCAATTCTCGCCCGTCTATACATGCGGTCGACGTGAAGTCGGCACCGTCTCGGCCGAACAACAGTCTTATCTGAAGGACAATGGCAATGCTGAGTTCTACGAAGCCCTCCGTGGTGGCCAAACCACTTTCCACGGCCCTGGTCAACTTGTTGCATATCCCATTATCGATCTGAAGACACATAATCTGTCGCCAAGGAACTACGTCTGCCTTTTGGAAAAGACTCTGATCAAAACTTGCGCTCATTATGGCATCAAGGCCATGACCACCGAAAATCCTGGAGTTTGGACCACCCCAGACGACAAAATATCCGCATTGGGTGTCCACTTGCGCAGGAACATTACCAGCCACGGTGTTGGCCTCAACATCAACACTGATCTCAAATGGTTCAGCCGTATCGTTGCTTGTGGTCTTGAAGGCAAGCGAACCACCAGTTTTGAGAATGAAGGCGTCCATGGCCAATCTGTTGACAAAGTCGCTGACATTTTTGTCAACCAACTTGCCGAATCCCTCCATGGTATCGAAGGTATCCAAGAAGAGCTCGTGACCCAAGAGGTCGATTAATAGCCGCCTATCAATCTCCACAGCGGGGTTTGAGAAGCTGTAGTTATGGTTTGCTACCGTTGAAGCATACTACCTGTAACAAACTCACTCAAGCTTACTTGGAGCTACTTCTCTTATAGAGCTCCGCACAAACCTCTTTGCTTTTTCTCTGTCATCAAACCATACTCCCGATCCTGGTGTCCCGACTCATTCTCGGATCAGCAATATCCATCGGCAACAACATTTTCTTACCTGCTTGCTTACACTTCCGTGCCGCCGTCATGACTCTCGCCTCACTGAAGCGTCATTTGTCGCGAGCTCTTGCTCATCACGATGTAGAAGCCAGTGGTGCTGACTCGGCGAGCCCAAAAAAAATAGCTAAGGCAGACAAACAACTGCAACATGACCGCCAATCCAGCACCAAGGCATCAATATATCAGCACTCTCCGACACATTCCGGACATACACTCCACAATCCCGAGCACGCATCGACAGATCTATCAGCTGATGTGATGGTCCATGTCATGACTGTAGGCGACAGTATTATCACCATCGAGTCGCAACGGGAGGACGACCAGGTAGAGCAACCAGCAGCTAAGCGCAGAAGGAGAACGCTCGGGATTCGCAGGGTCAAGACAGCTCCTGCGGCCAGCCGGACAGTTCCCCTTCATGGGTCTGTGACCACTATCGAGTCGGTTTCGAAAAGCAACCGCCTTCGGGCTTGGTCTTACCCGCTGTCCAACTTCAAAGACAATCTAATCCGACGCATGCGCCGAGGCACCGAGCCCAAGGAGGCTCGCAACGAAACTCGCAGAGGCAAGATCTCCTGTGAGCTAAATTCTGAACGTCAGTCCTCTGCTGATGTTGATGGTGCACAAAGTCCATCACAAGAACCATACTTCCTGATGTCCGGAGCGTACCAGGGTTCTTTATCGCATGTGAACCTTGCTACAGATGAGATGGCTATCTCACCGCGGACCTCGATCGATCTAGGCAATAGACCTCCTGCTTGGATGCGACCAGATGGTTCTCCGACAAATCCTGCCACAGAGTTGAGCAGCCGCAATGGGGACCAAGACAAGCGTAAAGATTCGCATTTCCATGGTGTTTTGCAGATCAAAGAGCAAACATCTGCAGAGATGGAAGGAAATACTAGAGAACTAACGCCGGATGAGCACCAACGTAAAAGCTCCATATTCCTGCTACGCCCGATTTACTGGATTAGGCAACATTACGCCTCTTCCCCTGTTCGTTCCTTGTCAGCTTCGTCGTCTTCTTCTGACTCGCCGTTGTCGTCCCCTGTCATGCCACCCGCTTGTCCGCCTCGCCGGATACAAGAGATGTACACGTCTCAGGCACATCCCGCTATTAGCAGGTTATTTAAAGCTTCCAGTTGCGACGAGCTGTATAGCGGATCGCAACTCCATCTACCTCCAGGCTTCGAAATACCTGCTGAAGGTCAAGCCGGACCAGTCGATTGGGTGCACCGCGGTTGGGAAGAGCATTATCGTCGCTCGGCCGAATCAGCACACCAAGCCTGCCACTCTTTGACCGCTGCCCGTAGCCTCCCTGCCAGAAACGAGGTCTTTCAACGCTATAATGTCGTATCTGCATGCCACGGATCACAATGCGTCCAAACTCAACGAGTGCAGTCGATACCATATTCCACAGAACACATCAGCCAAGCTTGGGATTTTGCAGTGGATGGTAAGGGAAAGGGTCGCAGGTGTGTGGAAGATGTTGGCGCAGAGGACTGGAGAGGCAGACGCGACGTCAGACAAAACGCCGGTGCAGGACACCAGAGACAGAGGCGTAGAAGAAGCAAAGGAGCATGTGTGACTACTGTCACACTAGGCGAATGCAACTTCGCGAAAGAATTGGAGCAGAGTGCGGAGCAGAGTGTTGCATGAGATGTCATAGACTAGACTAAGACTGTCACGATATCGCAACATGGCTTCCTCCCATCCCGATTTTCAAGGATAATAGAACCTGATAAACTGCACAAGTTGTGATTTAGAGTTCAAGCCTAGTCATCGAGATAGCCGTCAAAGAAGCATCTCTGTGGAAACCACATTCTTTCCCAAAGATTTGTGTCTTTCTTCAGCTTTCACAGTGACAGTTCTGAGCACGCGGAGAGATTGAAGCTGTCTCAACAGACACATCCAAAACAAACATTTGTATCGTACTCAAACCATGACTCGTCTCAACCCACCACTACCTCCCAACAATCTCCTTCCACTGACTGCACACCTTCCCCTTCCATCCTCCCAACTTCCTTCTCTATTTCCTCCTGACTCATCTTTCCAGTTTTCTTCTGTGTTGCCTCCTTGCATAAATGCTACCTGGCGTGGATGCTCGCCTTCCAACCAGCGGAAAATACATGTGTAGCAGAATACATAGCCAGTCTGTGATGCCGTGGGTGTTTGAATAGGCGAGAGACAAATTGGACAAGCGGAGCCTGTGGCAGGAGGAACGGTGAAAATAGGTAGGTTTGTTGTTGCAGAGATCGGCGGTTTGATCTTGTCTTTATCGTCCTTTTCTTCCTTCTCTTTGTCCGAGGACTTTTCGTCATCAGTAGTTGCGAACGTCACACCAGACTTGGAAGGTGTAGTCGGAGTTGCAGCAGGTGTCTTTGGTATTCCTGAGATGGTGGGAGCAGGAAGCTCAAGTCCTTCAGCTGCTTTTCGAGACAATTGTCTCGCGAAATCTGAGGCGTGCCACCATTCCAGGAACTTCAGTGCGAAGATTGAGGTTGGGAGGAGGATTTTTAGACTGGAAAGTAAGCGTGGGTAGACCGTGTGCGTCAAGGTCCTAGGGCTGAACAGAGATTGCGAAGTCGATGGTTTAGCGCCAGGTGTAGGAGCAGCAGGAGCAGCAGCTGCGGCAATGGCTTGATAATCTGCTTGATTCATGCGTCGTATCCTCGTTCCAATAAGCCAGAAGAAGGGATTATGGTATTTGGAAGTGTCGAAGAGGTAAGCCAGGTTGAATGCCAGCAAAGCAAAGTAATACGCAGCATTCACGCTTGGGTATACTTTGCTCAAGAACCACTTGTAGTAGTGGAAGATGCGTTGTCTATACGTCGCATTCTCAGGCAAAGCATCTCCTCTGAAAGCCGGGCCTAGGATGTTTGCCGAAGCAGCATGAATATCATAATGCTCATCCAACTTCCTCTTTGTGTATGGCAACATGACCATAACAGCCAAATTCTTCCACACATCTTGATTCCTTAGCTTTAACGTCTCGCGGACCTGTTCGGGAGCTCCCAGAGCAGCTCTAGGGATCTCATGGCCTTTGGTGAGGAGTACTCTTTCTCGTTTCAGACCGTAGAAGTTTTCTGTGAAGCCGCCGCCATAGGTGCGAAGGTAGTGGCGTTCTACCAGTAGGGAAAGAAAGGCGTAGAGTTCGTCGAAGGAGTTTAGGATGCGGAGGAGGTAGCGAGGGTAGCGGTGGGTTGCGATGGCGAGGAGGTAGCGTAGAGATGGTGGGATGAGAGCGCCCAGCTGTTGTTCCGAGAGCAGTTCTGGAGGGCAAGTTAGTTCATGCGATACTTGATGGTGATTGCGACAGGGGGTGGTGGTATACCGAAGAGCGATGGCTTTTGCTCGTCGAGCCCGCTTTGCAGATTGGTCATGAACTCCATGATGGCTGTGATCCTTTCCTCATCCTACTCTTCTCCTGTTCAAGGTGGCTTCGCGAAAGCAGTTGTGTAGTTCCGAGTGTTCATGTTTCCGTTCACATGCTGTTGGTGACGCGAAGGGTCCAAGTCCGGGGAATGCTCCAAAGAGCCGAGGTGGATCGTTCTTGGCAGTCCCCCTCGCCGAACCATGTCTCGAGTGCCACCCTGTCACTCTTTTCGACTGCCTCACATGGAACAAGAGGAAAACATGATGTGAAATAAGTGATACAAATGGAATTGAATCTCATTAGATGTCTTGATATTGATCGCCCTCGTTCCCCGTAAGTATCCTCAAAAAAGAAAAAGTTCATAGCCTTCGTCGCATCGCTTACGCTGCGTTCCGCCATGTCTGGCATCTGATTCCTCCAATATACATCATCTTCCCCAAAATCCCTCAACCCTTCCTCAGTAGAGCAGAATGTATCCTCAGGTCCTTGTCCATTCAATCTTCATCATCGTCGTCATCTTCATCATCCTCTCTCAGCTTCTTCAAAGATTTGATCGTTCCGACCTTGATCGAGCAGAGCAGCTTGAAGAGGTCGTTCAGAGGGTTCTGCTCCGATCTTTCCTCTCTGTTCAAGAAGGGAAAGGCGTCCCATGTTGGTCCGTAAAGTTGGTTACTCTGTTCACCTTCATGAAGATTACGGTCAAAGATGAGCCCAGGAAATCGGGCTAGAACCTTCATCACAGCTTTGATGTATGCGGTTTGCTGTTGCTGTGCCTTCTTGGCTCCGGCGAGGTCTTCGAAACTGTCAGATTTGATGTTGCTGAGCTGGAACAACTCCTCGAATGATGCGTGCCATTTGATATAGGGGCGGAGTTCGGCTTTGAGTCTGAACACATTCTTCTGTTTGCCAGGTAGGGGTCCGTTAAGGTGGAATTGACTTTTGGGTGTGAAACTGGCCCAGAGATCGCGCTTCTCCTTCTGATGTTCGAATATACCCACGAACACTCGATGGTCGTCCTTGAGCAAACGCAAGTACCATGGATAGAACTCCATGAAATAGAACATGGGCCAGTTGAGCGCCTGATCACCATCACGAAGCTGAGCCTCTTGGACGACCCACTCAACCTCTTCGACTGTGGGGACCACTTCGTGCTCTTTGACCAGAGCTGTCAAGACCTCTTCTTGAGCTGTGTCAAGACCGTAGTGGTGCACGAGTACCTTCACACTTTGAGTGATCTCTGATTCGCTGTACCTGAACCTCTTCGCTGGGCGCTCCTCCTGCAAAGGAATCTCCCCGCCACGTTTGACGGGGGGAATGTTTGCGTTGTGTCCGCTGTTGGAAGGCAATGAGAAGTATTCGTGAATCTCAATGCTCATTTTGATTTCGGAAGCCAAGGCGAACTTGTTGGATAGCTGGATCTCCATGCTGAAGATTGGGTATAGTTGATGAACACGTTGCTAAGTTAAGAGCCAACCTTGGTAGCTGGTGGATGACTGAGAACTGTTTTGAGTTGATAGGTATTCTCAACTCGGGAGTCAAGATGTTGACAGCTTCATAGTCAGTAACGGGGAGACGTTGTCGAAGCGTTGATAGCTTACTTTGGTAATTCTTTCGTATTCAGGTTCTTGTGTCGTTGATACCAGAGACTTGAATTCTTGACAGAGACCGTCAACTCTGCTGGTTACTTAAGGTAGTTGGGATTGCAAGAGATGTGATCGTTGGAGAGTGGTTATGGAGACGATTTGGATGGAACTAGGAGTGTTGAGTTGTCATCCGGAAAGGTTTAAATAGATGAGCAAAGAGAGGTCGTGGAGGAAGGAGTAGAGGGGGGCAAGTGCTGGGGAGTAAGTGAATGAATAGAGTGAAGTGGTTCAAAGACGGCCATTATATCAGGTCGATGACCCTGCTCTCTCTATCGTACTCCTTCTGTCTGCCCGTGTTTGAGGGGCTGTGATGTCGCAATGCACGATAGTTTCCACGAAAGGGAGCTGTCCATTGAAAGACTCCACGAGAGCATATCTCACTGGCCAGACTTCTGTTCAAGAAATGGTTCTGTCTTTTTACAGATTGACAATACCAGGATTCACCGTCGGGGGAGTAAACACTGGCGGCCAAATGGATAGAAGAATCAGATGAAGGAATGTCTGGTAAGCTCTCACACATCAGCAAAATCGATAAGAACAAAATGCAATTTTTCGTCTGCAAAGGAAAAGACAAAGGTATCTTGAGAAAGCAAGAAACGCTCGGTCGCTGATGAAAATGTCTAACGCCATGCACAAATGTATACCCGTCCCGTCATCAACAGCATAAGCAACGTCTAGCAGCTTTGATCATTTCAATCCTCGTCAAAGATCTGGAATGTGTTCGTCAGAATCGTATCCAAAACTCTCGCCTGCAGACTAGCGTCGGCAATCTGTGGTCCAGTATGTGAGCCCATCAACGATGGTGCGAAACAGATTGCCAGGTTCGAAGTCGACATGCGGTTCTTGGCGTAATGCTCCTGGACGCGGTTGAGATGGAGGACCAAAGCTCGGAGAGTAGCATAGTTGGGGTCAGGCAGCTCATTAATTACCGAGTGAACAGCGTCGCGACGTGTCGTATCGTCCTCGATGCGGGCGGCATCGATGAAGCTGTTGTACGAACGACGTGTCAAAAGAGGGTCGGGAAGTTCGCGGAAGAACTGTTTGAGAAGGCCGGCTACGCTGTTAACATCGTGGTAGAAGGATGCTGGGTTGCGGAAGTCGACGACTTGGGAATCGTGGTCGAAGAGAGCCTTGATCTGTTGGACATGGCTGGCTGTACCACTGAGACGATAGATACCCTCGACATCAAGACCAAAAAGATCAACGGCCTGCATGCATTGGTAGACAATCATGGGAACAGCCGTCTGATCTCTGTTGTACAACTCGTCCAAGCTGACGCCAAAGACAGGCTTGAGAGGAGGAGGTAGAGCAGTTGCGACAGGACCAGGAGACAAGGAACGTGATTGAGAAGAGAAGCTCTGCTGAGCACCCATACCACCTGGCGTCACAGGAGAGTAGGGAGCGCTGGTGCCCTGTGTCGAGGTAGAGAAGCCACGAGGTGCTCCTGGGCTGGTAGGGTAGGGCGCAGTATTATATTGCTGAGGCGGATCAGTGGGGTAAGGAGGATTGCCAGGGTTACCGTAGGAAGGCTGAGATGGATATTGCGTCGTGGGTGGAAGGGCTGGTCCTGGTGGTGTGGAATAGGTAGGCTGCTGTGTTGGCACGCTTGTCGTCGGTGTTTCAGGTAGCGCTGGTCCTGGCAGCGTCGACGAAGGCTGTCGACTGGCTGGAGTAGGAGTTTGCTGCTTTGGCCTGAGAGTTGGGTGTTGTTCGTATTTGATCTCAGAGATTCTGCTGGGAACCTTCGAGATGTGACCACTCATGTAGTTGTCAAAGTCAGCCTTGTTGTCGATTTCGAGGACAATATCGCGAAGACTGTGTTGGACGGGAGCTGAGGGGTCGTTAGGAGGAAGCGGGCTGAGAGCGATGCCGTTGCCTAGGAGAAGTTTCTCGTTGAACGAGGCAAACTTCTGGAGCTGCAAAGCGAGACCCGAGTCGCATTCGTTGATCAGCTCTTGCAGAGCTTTGACAGCCTGAGGTCGAGCAGTCTTGATGAGTTCCTCTCTCTGCGCCTTTGCTGCCTGGACCTTTGCTTGGTAATCTGAATCTGCAACCTGAAGCTTGCGAAGGAGATCTTCCTCGTGCTGAGGAGCACTCTTCATGCCTTTTAGACCGATTCGTCTTGAGCTCTTTGCGTCGCCAGTACGGGCGCGGTCGTAGTCTTCTGCCAGGCCGTCATACTTTGACTTTGCCTTTTCCATAGCAGACTCGGCGTCGGTAGCACGTTTCTCAGCATTCAGGCCTTCGTGCTTCCAGTGTTTCCTCCCCTTTTCCATGTTGAGTGACAGCTCGTTGAGATCTTCATGCATCTGGTGCAGGGCTAGAGAGAATTGCATTCCATTGTCGGCGATTCGGTCGTGCAGGCGCATAGCCTCATCGAGCTTGGTAACATAGGAGCCCTGTCTCGACTCCTTGGAGTGAATGTTGTCGGTGGTTGATTTGACCAGACGTCGCAAACCCTTAGCATGATCCTCTTCCACTGCACCGCGTTTCTTCAGAAAATCGGAAAAGTCCTAGGGTAGTTGTTCAGTAGGGCGCTTAGGGCAGGGAGTGAAAGTATTGGGCGTACGCGCGAAGATGCAATGCTTTGCTTAAGACGGTTCAAGAGAGTGTTGATTCCAATCTACATAAGTCAGTCGACAGTCGAGTGGTTCGCGATGCGACAAACGGACATCTGAGTACATGACATTGTCAACATGATTGGACACGGGCGCTGTTGATGTGACGGACGCTGTGGGCGCGAGAGTCGGTGCATCGAGTGAGGCGCCATTCGTGTCGCCGTTGGTCGCGAGATCGCTGTCTCTCGGAAGGTCAGACGACATGGTGGACTTTTGTGTATCAAGCAGCGAAGCCTGAGACAGACAGGAGTGATCAATGGTATTGTTATAAACGGTAGATGGACACGATTCGCTTGGCACGCGCGCGTTCGCATGCGAAAGCTGGGGGCTTGGACCGCGCACTGTCGCTGGGCAGTCGTCATGGGTTCGTCGTTCGATCCAGAGCGTCTCTCGATCTTCAGCTCCATGTGCATCGCTTTTCGCATCAACAAACACTGCTGTCCTTCTGTACCAACCACACGAACCTCACAATCAAAACCATGTCTGACGCGCAACCCCCTCTTACTTGGGAAACATCAACCCACACTCAGCCTCAACTGGCTACCTCTTTACCCTCTGAAGTCGTCAACTGCCTGGAGAATGCTCGCTACGTTCGTCCACCTCACCCTGATGCTTGTTCTACATTAAGTACTGACCCTGACGACAGCTTCATCTGGCAACCTGCACAGAGCTGCAACCGCATGTTGCCCTCATGAACTACACCTACCTTGCCTCACATCCCTTCGCCAACTCTGCCTCGCAAATGCCGGCCGGTCCCGTGATCATCATGACTTCGAACCCTGCCTCGCGCAAGACTGTCAACCTCACCGCAAATCCAAACGTCTCGCTCCTTGTACACGATTGGGTCTCGCATAGACCTGCTACCAACAACAGAAACTCGTCACCCGAAGGCCGTAGAGCTCCTGGCCGTAGCTCCCTAGCTGCCCTGCTTATGGGCATGAATACAACTCAGATGGGCTCAATCAGTGCCACCATTAACGGTACTGCTGTCGTCTTGCCGGTCGGATCAGAAGAAGAGAAGTGGTGCAAGCTACAGCATCTAGAGAACAACACTTTTGAGAGGGAGGATGCATCACAGAACGTTCTAAGCCGCTCAACGAGCAACCCTGAGGAAGAAGAGGCCAACAGACAGTCCTTCTTGCAGGACGAGGAGATAAGAGTAGTCGTTGTCAGGATAAGAGAAGGCAGAATCGCAGACTGGAAGGGAGGTGTCAAGGACTGGGTTCTTGCTCCTACTACCGAGGGTGCTGGCAACCTCGTCAATGGTCTATGAGTAGACGATACTGAGCTGGCAGGGCTCCCATAATCAATATACTGTTAATACCTCTCCGTTCGCCAACGACTGCTGCAGTATAGCTATAAAAATGCAGAATACTTTCGTGAAGAACGTGGTCTCCACTGAGAGAGGCCAACTCTAGGCTATCTCGATGGGCAGGCTCAAGATCAGAATACTACTGTGCATTTCTATAGCCTATTATAGTCCTGTTCGACAGGAAGGGAACATGTCGATCAAAGAAGGGTCTCGAGATTCAAGTCACGTGAGATTAGCGCATCTTGGCGCTCGGGCTGCCCCTCGCGCAGCCCTCTCAACCCTCTTTTGAACTTCACAACATCGCAACTTCTCACGCAACACTCTCCACTCAACCAACAGACGCCAGTCCACCCAGAACTCTCACCAGACACCCACTCAACACACTTTTTTTTCCTTCAACCCTTCCCCGGAAAGAGAACAGCAACTGCGTTTTATGTCCGCCTCGATCGAAAACCTCAAGTCCTTCGGTATGTCGCCGCAAACCCCCCACTACGTCAGGCCCAGACCGACTTTCTCCCCGCCTTGACTCGCTCGCTCGCACATTCTTCGCTCTCACCCAAGGCCCATGCGGTGGTTGTTCTTCTGAGCATCCATCTCCTTCATGTGTGAAAGCAAGCTGAAGCGCCGACCGACGCCGCCACCACGCTTGGGCACCACTCGCTAACTCGCGTGACTCGAACAGACCCCTTCGCCGAAGCCGATGAAGACACCGGAGAGATAAAGCAGTCGAACCAGAGCAGCTACATCCACATTCGTATCCAGCGTACGTGTCGCCTTGTTTTTCAATCATCTGACCGCCTTGGCACTAAGCGCTGGTCTGGTTACACATAAAAAAAGGCGGGGTTGCTGACATAACTTGTACATCACAGAGCGCAATGGACGCAAGACCTTGACCACTGTTCAGGGACTCCCCAAGAAGTTCGATCAGAAGAAGATTCTCAAGGTCATCAAGAAGGCCTTTGCTTGCAATGGCACCATCGTGAGCGACACCGAGATGGGTGAAGTCATCCAACTCCAGGGTGATCAGAGAAAAGATGTTCAGGAATTCTTGTGTGACAAGAAGGAGGGCCTGGGTCTTGATGCCAAGACCATCAAGGTGAGTTGTCTTGTTCAACTGCTCGTCGCTGTCATGTACTAACCGCTACACCAGGTCCACGGTTTCTAAACGTCCAACAACCGCGCCATGCACCCTCGTCGGGTACGAGAGACCAGCCGATGGATTATCACGACGTTTGTTCCTCTTCGAATCGTCAACAAGGCGCCCATTGCCACGATCCACACGGCTTTTTTTCTACGACCCTTACGAACTTCACTAGACATGATATTTGCTACCGCCAACATCATCACCTTTTGACATCATGGCGCGGATACATTGGCGTTGCTAAAGATACCCAACCTGTCTCTACTGCTGCAGCAATCTTTCTCACGATTGCTCGACGTCTTTTCCTATACTTTTTCGGTCGAGTCTTTCTCTTCTACTGCCTTTGCTATGCTCGTTAGGCGAGAGGATATTGCTTTATGAAATATGGAAATGCCCAGTATTGCTTCTACAAACATTCTTCCTCCCTGTGATGTTGTCCTAAACATAAGCTAAGCATGTTCATGATCAAAATAACCTCCGTGTCATTCGTTCTCTTGCGTGTTGAATAATAAAAGGTCCGAATCGAGATGTTGCTATGTTACAATGCAGTGTATTTTGTCAATATCGTACAAATGTCGTCGCTCAAGCCTCTATGATGATTTCAGAGCCTCCTCAGGATCAGACTCTTTAGTAGTGCCCCAAACCATCCAAGGACCCATCTTTCCCCTCTTACACAACCTCTGCACAACAAGATACTCAGTAACAGGCCTAGGCGCCGCCGAACTGCCCTCCTCAGCAACCTCGACAGTCTTGTTTCCCTGCTTGACCCTCTTCGTCTTTTTCAAACTCTGATAACTCTGCATCCTCACACAAACCTGTTGGATAGTGGTTTGTTTCGTCTTATCCTTGTTGTCCTCAAAACTCAGGGGCATGTATTTGTGAGACACGATTTTAGGCTCTGACACCCAAGAGTGCAATGTCCAAGAAACACCGGTATTGGGGCCTCGTGCTAGGATCCTTTGTTCGAGGGAGGTGTAGATGTTTTCGCAGAGTTTGGGGGCTATGGGGGAGAGGTTTCCTGCGGCAAAGGCGGTGTACATTTCCGTGTAGAGGGATTTTGCGATTGAAGGGATGGACGAGGTTTGGAAGTCTGCGCGGGGTTTTACGTGGAAGAAACCCATGTAGTGGCGGCTGTATAACACGGATTAGCTTCGACACGGGGAACAAGGACAGAGAAGAAGGCGATACTCACGCAAAAACCTCCTTAATCCTCGTCCAAGCACGATGTTTCTCCAACGCAAACCTCGCACCGAACTCTGAAGTCAGAGAAGGCAACCGCGAAGCAGTAGGCATGATAAAAGTGCCAGGGATCAAGCCCAGATCGTTGGGCATCTGATCGATATTCTTGAGTTGGTCTCTCTTCATAACTTCAAAAGACTTTTGGGAGGGCTGTTTCATGCCCATTTGCTGTGGGGCAAAGGACCTTGCCTTGCGGACGCCGGCATAGCTGGGAGAGGTGTTGCTGAAGGCGCGTGTGGTGTTGGGTTGTCGCAAGTGGGGTTGAGAGAGGTAGGGCGAGAGGAGGGTAGTGAGCGGTGTGTTGCTGGATTGTTGCAGCAATAGGCGCTGCACTGGCGTGCGTGTTGACATTTTGATTGCGTGTGGCGTGTGTGAATGTGCCACCGGTATAGATGTTTCTTGGTGGAGCAAATGTCAAATGTTGGAGGAGCGGCGAGCACGGGCCTTTCGGGAGTGATGGCCGCTGGAAGTATATAGTTATACCACGACTGCCAGCTTCCTATCTTCAACTACACATGCTTGATCTTCTATGATCTATAAAAATGCACAATGGAAAGATCTACAAGCATGCTGTCCGTTGAGAGGTTAATCAGTCAAGCTCTTCCTTTGGATAATCACTGGACTCAGAAAATATTTTGCATTTTGACAAGCTATACCAGAGACTCGTTCGTCTGCGAGAGTATCGTCTGAGTATGCCCACCTGCATACAAGGGAAGTTCAGAGGTATGTGGAGCCTGCTAGTCAGTCTCATCTTGACCTTACCACTGCAGCCAACCGAGTCTACGTCTTGTCACAAGAACATTACCGTCGCGTCAGCGGATTTGAAGATGGTCGTGTCATTAAAGACGTAAAGTAGTCAAGCTACGTAAGGTCCTGCCCAAGTGTGTTCATCCTCGAGTCATCTCTCAATGTCAAGTTATGACTGCTTTTCGATTCCGTCGTCGCTGTTTTCAAGTATCTGCAGAGCGATCCATCCGCCAAGTACATCAGGTTTTGATCGTCCCCTTGAGTCTCATTTCCTCATCTTGACCCATCTACCAAGTGCGAGTACGAACAACCATCAACCATTCTTCTTCTCCAGTTTCCTCTGCAGTTTCCTCTGCAGTCTCCTCTCCAGTCTCCTCTCCAGTCTCCTCTCCAGTCTCCTCTCCAGTCTCCTCTCCAGTCTCCTCTCCAGTCTCCTCTCTAGTCTCCTCTTCATCCTCGGAAATCTCGTAATCTTCAGGCTTGGCAGGGTCACAAATATCCTCTGCCGAACCTCCTGTGAGGTACTTCTGCAGCAGCTCAGCGAAAACAGCATCCTGGCCGGGCTGGGACTGCAAAATCTTCATGACACCACCGATGCGAAGATTGAAAGCGGTCTCGCATCTCTCAACACGATCGCGAATCTCAAGCCAGCCTTCAGCAGCTCTAGCATTGGCTGCAACGGCCCATTCGCGAAGTGGCTCAAGGTCGATGATTGGGACCACTTGGTCGTTTTCGATCTTGTAACCCTTGGACTTGAGCTCAGCTTCGACTTTTTGCATTCTAGGTCTGAGCTCATCGAGCTGGGCGTCAAGCTCCTTTTGTTCAATCTCCAATGCGGCTATCTTCTCGACGGCGCCGCGGGTCTCCTCTTGGAGCTGACGCTCAAGCTTGTCGAGCTCTTCCTTGGAAAGGGTCTTCAGGTCGACAGTCTCAAGGTCGGCAGTCTCAAGGTTGACAGTCTCAAGGTCGACAGTCTCGGGTTCGGACTTGGAGGGCGATTCCATGTTTGGACTTGGGCTAATGACCGGGTTCTCGACTGTGAAGATGTCAGACTGGGCTTGGAAATCTTGATTGGTATTTACGAACTCTCTTCGCTTGGGCTGCTCATGTTGTTATGATTCTTGACTGTATTGCTCGATTCGGTGGCCGCGAAAGACGATGTTGACAAGCCGGAGACGTTGGTCTATGCAAGTCAGCTGAAGATCTTGACTGCGCAGTCATAAAAGACAAACTTGGTGTGCTTATGCTCCAAGTGTGTCTGGAGAAGAGACACGGGATGTTCGGGAGAGGAAAGTAGGAGGAAGAGAAAAGGCTGGCACAGAGTCGCTTTTTGAAGAATGCGAGGACGGAAAAATGAGAGTAAAAGTGAAAGTAAAAGTGGAAGTAGAAGTGAAAGTAAAAACGTAGTGAACGAGTTGAGCGTTGTGATAATCGTTGTTCATTTTGCTTGGATATTGCAATTACCGCTACCAAGTCAAATTCATGTCTTCTTTGCCTCCATATTCGCTTTGAAACCATTACCGTCCATCCCAAAGAAACAAACTTGCCAAAGAAGCGAGTGTGTGGACAAAGCAGAACTCCTTCGCCTGCCAGAATCATCCCAGGATATCATGCGCTCGAAATTCGAAGTAAAGACGCCTCAAAAACAGTAAGCAGGGACAAAAGAAACAAGGACGCGCGATATTCAAGACACTACAAAGCAATGCCTCGGGGACTACCCAAAACACGTTCGGCCTTGCTAGTGCTCATCGTGCGAGGTCTCTCGGGCATCTCGTCGTACACTCGTGATGCGTGCCTAGAAGCGCTGACAGCACGAGATCTGCTCGTGAGAGTTGGTGAGACAGTGCGGCCTTCTTTAGGAACAGCAGAGATTGGAGTGACTCCACCAGAAACTCGAACACGAGGTGCAGTGTTACGCTTGAGCCGGCTAGTGCGCCAGTTTTCGTACCATTTCTCACGGGAAGTAGCACGGAGATCAGAACGCCAATCGCCAAAGACGCATTCGCGAAGACGGACGTAGTCGCAATGAGCAGGATTGCAAGGGTCTGCCTCGCCCCATGGGAACACGCGTGTCAAAGCACCTGGCGAGTTGTGCGAATCCGGACTCAAGATGGAGAATGGAAGGAACAGCTCTTCGGGTGCAGGGGTGCAAGAGTCGGCACGCTTGGAGGAGACTGGACCCAGCAAAGCTCTCGACGACTTTCTAACCGGCGGGAAGGAGGTGTCCATAGTGTCGCTGTCTTCAGAGTTGACATGCTCGGTGGCCTTGCGGGGAGGTGAACGGATGGCAGGTTGGAGCTCGGACTCGGAACTCGAAAAGTCACCCTCGAGAGCCTCGGAGTCATGAGACTCATCTTCTTCCTCATCGTCCAAGTTCAGAGCCTCTAGCGGGTCGAGCTTTGCGTGCTTAACGTTGGACCAGACCATACGCTTGAGATGAGCCATGTGGGCGACAGTAACAGTGTCAGCTTTGGCGATTATAGGGATGACGGTTGTCTTTCCTTCGAGTGCTCTTATGACATCGAGATCCAGCGACTCGTCTTCAGCACCTGAAGGCTTCTTAACCGATGAGGGGTCTGCAGAGTGCATGGTAGAATCCAGGCGAGTCGGATCGAGTAACAGGAGAACGCAGTGAATATGAGTATCCTTGACTCCAGGTGTGCGTACAACTCTCGACTCCTGAGTGAACGTGTCCTCGAACTTGGACTCGATGAAGGCGGCCAGATCGCGAAGCTGAAGGTCGATGATGCTCTTTTCCAGACCCTGAGAATCCCAAAGAGTGAGACCGATGCGTTCTCCTTCAACATCAGTCTCAATGTATGTTGGCTCGAAAGGAGAGTCGATCAGCGTGTGAGGTGGTGGTGTGTGACCGCGTGTCTGCTTGTGCGGTGGTAGGGCCAATGCGGTCTTGAGGAACTCGACGAACGATGTCTTTCCTGAACCTTTAGCGCCTGCGATGAGGATGCTATCAAACATGTCAGTCATCGTAGGCAGAAGAAAGCGAAGGAGGATGGATGTCATACTTGAAAGCCTCAGGCTCCTTTCTGCGGCGCATTCTGCGAGGAGAATGCATGTTGGCTGAGATGCTGGGAGCATAAGTCTCTCTGCCTCGGCTGACGATGCTCTCGGTGCGAGGCAGAGAATCGGGCATGGCAGGTAATGGAACGCCGTAAGGGTTGGGGGCGTTCAGACTGCCGCTCGAGGACATTGATGGCATAGAAGAGTAAGAGGTGCTGGCCTGCTTGGGACGAGAGAAGTTGGCTGGAGGAGGAGGGCGAGGATAGTCGTAACCTCTTCCAGAGACGATTGCGATGGAATCAGGGCGTGCGCCTTCGATCGGCTCCATGTTAGGAAGCGTAGGCAAAGTCGGAGGCGAGTGTGACACAACCGGCATCTGTTGCTCTTGACGACGGCGCTCCTCCTGGTCACGGAGTTTCTTGTTGCGTAGCATCTTGCGTCCTGATGGGCTGCGAGTAACAGGGACTTCGCGAGATTTTGAACGAGTGAGGAAGGAAAAGCTACCACGGCGTCGGGATGGTGACTGCCCTTGCTCTGTGTTTGGATGTTCGTCACTTTCTGAGCCACTCAAGGCAGTCGCTTCCTGCACTGCGTCAATTGGTGAGACTGCCGCGCCGACTGCAATTGAAGTCATAGTTGATAATCGTTTTGGCGGTTTTGCCGGTACTGGTCTTGATGGTACGAAATCTAGTGTTTCGTCCATGGACATGGAAGACATTGATGCCACCGACATATCTTTAGGGCTAAGGTGCGGATAAGAAATAAGAAGGTCAGACTTACGGTCGCGTACATAAGCCGAGAGGCGCGTCTTTCTATATGTTGACTTTCCTCAGGTAGATAGCTCGTCTAGTGGAGACACCGGTAGATCTGACGTATAAGACGCTAGTTTTCACGATAAAACCCTCGAGGATCCCCACGAAAGAAGAGCTGAGATGCAGGGTCGAGGCCGAATTGGTGTACGGAAGTGGGGAGTTTCCAAGTTTTTGCGGCTGCCAACCTCCTGAGTGCTGCAGATGTGGTTGATTTGGCGACCACCACGAGGTGCGCTGCCATCATTTTATCACCCATCACAACCTTGGTGAGACTGCTCAAACATGGCCATGAAACACCACAACAAGTCCACAACATCCCTCACTCAATTTATTCGTGGTATAGGGCTGAAGCTTAGAGTGAAACCAAACCGTGCCGCTCCCGCGTGGGCTCAAGCTCGACCCGATTTTCTGGGGGGCGTTCTGCAACTCGGACCCGACCACTGGAATCTCCTTGGTTGTTCCACCTGTTTGTTCTGCAGCCCAACCAACGATAAGACTTCCTTGCTGGCCACCTTTTCGTTTCTCTTTCCTTGCCTTTGTCACCATCGCAACAATGATTGTCTGCTCATACTCATTGACACCCTTGATTGATGTTTTACCGGACCAGGTTCGATACTCCGAGAGGATGCAGGAAGCTTTATTGCTTGCCGGATTTCGTCCACCCTCTATCTACCAAACTCTGGAGCCTCACGCGGCAATATGATTGTAATTCAGCCATGGGATTGCACATCTCTCTGAAATTGAAGATCAGCTCAAAGCGAGCAGTCGTCCATTGCCCTCTTTTTGGAGATGTATCTCGTCATGACAGATTGGTGCTTTCAATTGTCCTGTTCACCGCAGCGTGGGATGGTTGTACCGCATCCTGTTTGCCCCACCCATGACGGTATCCAGATCAACTCATACTATCAACACTTTGTGCAGATTGTCAAAACACGCCTCCGCTTCCAACCAGAGATGTTTCATATGGAAGCTGTCGTAATCTTTGTTTTCAATGGACACTGTCATTGTTTAAGAAAGAAATGTGCCCTTCTACAGATGTCGCTAGGGTTGAGAAAGAGAAGAGATGATCGCTCATGAAAGATGAAAGTACCATACATGCATGCTGTAAAATCTGTGAACCTCATATCCTCAGTCTGAGAATGACTGTCGCGTGTCAAACGCGAATTCGATCGCCTTACTATTCCGGTCGAGGTCTTTTAGCACCATGGGGATTGCCACCAGGCGACATGCTGCCACCCGATGAGTTGCCGTTCGCTGCACCTCCGTTGCCGAAGAAGCCTGGGTTGAAGTGTCCTCCTTGCGTGTTGTTGCCAAAACCTCCTGGAAGAAGTCAGAATGAGCTGATTGTTTGCGTGTTGTCGCACTTACCCATGTTCATGTTACCCATACCCATGGCACCCATAGCTCCCATGTTGTTCATGTTGCCCATGTTATTCATACCCATTCCCATGCCCATGTTCATGTTAGGCATCATCATTCCCCCTCGGCCGCGGTTGTTTTGGAAACCTCCACGCATGTTGCCGCCCATCATGCCGCCTCGGTTGTTGAAGCCTCCCATACCATTGTTGAAGCCACCCATCATATTGTTGTTGAAGTTGCCTCCCATCGCTCCTCCATTGAACCCGCCCATCATGTTCATCTGGGGGTTGTTGAAGCCACCGCGACCCATACCAGCCATGTTCATGCCAGTGTTCATGTTGTTCATACCGCCACGGTTGTAGCCACCGCGACCGCCACGGAAACCTCCACCAGACTGGAAGGCAGGTCCATTGTTGTACGCACCCGGGGCGACCACCTTGTTGCGTTGTGGTGCATCCTTCGGCGAAGTCTTGAAAGGATTGTAATCAGGTCGTACGTAGATGCAAGTGTGTTTCTTGACATATTGCTGGTCTGCGCCGAAACTGTCGACACGATGTTTGAGTGCCGTTGCTGCCTGCGGCGACGCAAGCTCAACAAAGGCTTCTCTGATTCACGCTATCAGCTTCGCAACTTTGCGTCAAGGCACAAGGAGGAACTCACCCTTTGCTTTTTCCGTTCACCTTATGTTCGTTGAAGGTGACCTCTTTGAGTTCGTCTTCGCAACCGCATTGATTGGCCCAGCCTCTGATATCATCTTCACTGATCCACCATTGGAGCTCTCCTAGCCTCAAAGCAGATGTAGCTCCCGGATCCACTTCACGATTGTCTTCTCCCTCTTTGCGTTTGGTACCTTGTTCTGTGGGTGCTTGTTTCGGGGCGTTGTATTGGTCGGTCGATGAACCGGTAGTGCTGAGAATTTGTTGCTGTTCTTGAAGGCCACTAGACTCTGTACCACCGTGACTCTTTTCATATTGTGCTTTCATCTCGTCGGGATCACCCTCCAGTTTGAGATCATTGTCTATTGGAGGTTCCGTCTCGGGTTCGTTAGGCTGCTGGCCATAGTTGGTGCCGTCGAGACCTGGGTCATAGTCGGTGCCCTGTTGCTTCTGATCTTCCTCGGGCTGAGGCTCGGGCTTGAGATCTTGCTCATCATCACCGTAGATGTCAATGTCGAAGTTGTCGTCGTCAGCCATTGCGAAGGATGCGTCTTTTCAAGCAAGCGTTATGGACCGGATGTTCGTAGGTCGGAAGCAGTTCAAAGCAAGCTCACCACCTCGTGCTTTGGTCTGAAGACAATCAGTCAGCAGGAGAAAGCAGGTGAAGAATAAAGAATCAGAGATCTGCAGATGAGGCAGAAGTCAACCCCCAACGACCAGTCACGTCGTTCAGGTGAAGTCCGATCACTTTGGCCTGCGCCTCTGGCCGTTCGTTCGACATTGTCGTTTACTCGACGAACGGACAATGAGCTAAGTGACCGGTCGTTGTGAAGCCAGGCAAGGGACAGGTTGATAATTGATGGCAACCATATAATGACGGTGACTGCTACGCGTTGATACGTACATGTTAACAGGCTTCAGCAATAGCGTGACAGAAAGTATGTGAGACAGAGCTCTTTTCCCCACTGTGAGGGTACAGGAATAGAAAAAGAAGAAGTGTCAAAACGATAAGTTGTTCCCTCCGAAGGTCGGCAGAGCGATACAAGAAGTCGGATGAAGAAGAGAACGCTGCGCGTCAAGGCCTTGTCCGTGTATACAAGATGCTTCCCAAGCGATTGATGTCCTTGACTCTTTCCGCAACTCCTAGTATCCTTCTCTCTTATTCAGCGACACAAAATACACCGTCTGGTTGTCTGTTAGCTGTGTAGGCGCCGCGCTTGATGGTGAAGCCTTGATGGGGCTCAAGGTCGATGCGATAGTGATGGCTACGTTCGGTTCAACAGCGATAGAGGACACGCCGCAGAGTAGTTCAGCCGTTTCGAAACTTGCAACAGACTTTGGCTGTGACTCGAGATGATGGAGATGTGAATGGTGGAAGGCAGAGTGTCCCTTGATCTCAGCCTCGTCGTGCCTTCGACCGGCTGTTTGCTCTGTTTGTTCCCCATGTGACGCAGCCTCGGCATTTGGTTGATCATCACTCTCTCAAACAATTATAATCAACCACCAGATCAACGAAACTCATTTGAGAATTCGAGTCTTCAGAATCACAATGTCTGACTCGAACTCGAAACAAACACAGTCCACCGATGCACCGACTGAATTTAAAGAAGATGGCGTCTACGTTGCTCTCACTCACGATACACTTGACGCCGTTGCTATAATGAATAAAGTTCGAAGTCCGAAAGCTGGAGCTATCGTCCTGTTCGCTGGTACGCCATAGATCTAGTATGATACTTGAATATAAGTCTAACATATATCAAGGAACTACTCGGGATAACTTTGGAGACAAGCCTGTTGTGCATCTGGCTTACGAAGCATATGCTCCGCTTGCCATCAGGACCATGACCAAGATTGCACGCGAGATCAAGGAGAAGCACGGCTTGAATGGCATAGCAATGATTCATCGTCTTGGAGTTGTGCCCATCGCAGAAGAGAGCATCCTGATTTCAGTATCGTCGCCGCACCGGCAAGCTGCATGGCGGGCAGGCGAGGAAGCACTCGAACTGACTAAGGAGAAAGTTGAAGTCTGGAAGCTCGAGGAGTTCGGTGGTGAGGAGGGTGGTGTATGGAGGGCCAACAGAGATGGCCAGGCAGGCGTGAAAATCAGCGGTTGAGCCGGAGCCTGTGTTGAGTTGAGGGAGTTGTTAATGTACAGATTTTAATACAGGTCATGACACATGAGACAGTGAGCGTCTGGAAGGGGGAGTGGCACCGTTAATGATCGGTCGACAGAGCGTGGCGGGTCCAGAGAAGACAAGACGGGCAAGACACTGTGAGCAAAGTACGCCTTCTCGCAACTTTGACTTGGTCGAGAATATTGGCAGATCAATTCTCCAGACCTTCCTTGGGCTTCTGAAGTTTGGCGAGTCTCTCTTCCTCCTTTGCTGCCATGGCAGCCACAAGACTAGCAAGACCTTCAGCCATGCCCTTGTTGTCACCGCCTTCTTTCTTCTCTAGGAATTCCTTGACCATTTTCTCCATCTCTTCATCTTGTTCAGACTCTCCCAAAGCGGTTCGTTCAAAGCCCCAGGCTTTTCTGAACTTGGTGCGCATGTCGTCGGTGTCGGTAACGTCCAGAGCGTACATCATGAAGCCAGTACCCATCATAGCTGCGCTGGTGACATTTGCAGTGGCTAGAGCAAAAGCCTGAGCAGCTTCAACGCCACCGTTTACATTCTTGGGCTGAAAGTTGGAAGGAGTGAATTGCTTGGGAGCGTCGGCGAGCAATTTCCGGGCGACAGTTCTGCGCGTGATGAAAAGACTCAGTCCAAAGAAGGTGGCGCCGGCGAAGAAAAGTGACAACTGTCTGACTGCGCGCGCCCGCGGGTTGGTACGCATCTTTTCCCGGAGTTCATCGTCAACTGAGAGGAGGCCGTTCTGTTTCGGACTTTGGCTCGGGCGTTGGCTGATGGCTGGTGGAAAAGGTTGCGGTTGTGACTGTGGCACCGATGTGCTCATATTCTTGTCTTCTGCCTTGTCATCTCCGCCAGCGTATTGTGTTAATAGATTCGAGAGAATGCCCATATTGTATCCTGATGATGCGAACCAAAAAGAAAGAGCAATCCACCTTGATCGTTGTTGCCTTCTCCGCAAATCTTGCCGCCAGGACCCAGAGGCCTGTGCACTTCCGCGACCACTTCCTTCCTTCAGCTTGAGATATCTAGGTTTCGCATTTCTACAACTTATCCGGTCTTACTAACTTACACAAGAGAGGATGATTTTCATAAGCCGCGTCTATGCCAACTCATACTGCTGCTGTTCCCCAGCTTGCGAGATTCTCGACTAGACCACCAATGCCTTCATTGTCCATGAAAGCCTTCATGTCTGTTTTTAGCCTATGCAATGTATGACTGACGTCAAGCCATTACCTTGTACAGGGGACTTGCTTTTGGTCTTTCTCATTGCTTTCACCTCAACCCTGTCATGGGCTTCAGTCCGAGATTTTACTAATACCGACGCACGTTACATCGATAGAGACAAGTTGCCGATCTTCTCGATTTGCATGGCCAGATACCGTACCTGAGTGCTTCCGTGTCAAAGGAACAACCGCATTATCCTTGCTAGGTCTTACTGGATATGCACCCCACATGGCGCGTGAGGCTGTACTAAACATCTCCACTTCTCTACAACCTCATCTGCTGCCTCGCCATTCGTGTCAGCGACAGCCTTGCCCATCAACCTTGATGTACTCTCTGGCTTGTTATCCACATGACCACTCGTCTGATCAGTTGTCCGATCGTGACACAAATTAAACAAACTCTCCGAGACGAGCGTGGTAGTATCTACATGATCTGTTGACGATGCATTGTTGACGAGTGAGCACGGTACCACGGCATGATTTGCAGGAACGCTTTCGTCTGCCGATTGAAACTTCTTGTTTAAGCTCTGGACCGAGACTTTGTACAAAGAGACACTGACTATGTCGAGATTCCAGTAACTTTCGAATTGTGTCTTCCGTCTCTCCGAATACGAACCTAGTCAAGGGCCACCGATGATGGCCTGTACTACCGAGTAGTCAAACAAAAAGCAGCTACAGTCCTGCCTGACCACTTTCTAAATCCGTCTGGTACTTTGCAGAGTGAGCCAATCGACAGCATACCATGCTCATGTGGCTCTGCTATGTACCTTTTCCTCATCTGCAGCTGCGTCGGTCAGCTCAATAGCGCATCCTCTGCCCGACACCGTTATGCATAATGGCAAAGACAATGTCTGTCGGGGTGTCCCTGGCATCTCCCTGAGGCGGTATATCACCACTTCGGCGTCATCTACACATTTCTCGATATACTCACGGTCTGCAGCCTGTACAGATGCAATTGGTCAGCTCAATAGTTTCTCTGTCTGTCCGGATCGGGCGTCGAGCTCCACTTGGACATCAACCAACATGGTTGCAAACCGGACAGGTTGACGAACGCGATCGTGCCTCCAAGGTATAAAAAGGCTCATGTTCTCCTCTCATTGAACTCGACCTCATCCAAACAGAAGCAGCATCAACACAGCACAAGAAATCCAGCTCAGCCTTCACTAGAAAACATCTACTCTCGTTCTCGAGCTTCCTATACTACCTCTATTCACAATGCAGTTCACTACTCTCGTCGCTCTTCTTGCTTCCAGGTTGGTTTCTTTCAAGTTCCATGATTTGGCGCCGTCTCACAATATCGCAGTGTTGCGGTCAATGCCATGCCAGGTGGCAATGGCTGGGCCTGGTCAAAGTCAAGTTGCATTACCAAGTCCACTTGCTCTAAAACCACTGTCCCCTTCACTTCCGTCTTCAGCACTCCTGAGACCTCCGTTTCCACTTGCGTGACCAGCTACCCATTCACCCACACCGGTGTCGCGACCAGCGTTTACACAACAACTGAGCCCTCTGCTGAGGTTGGCACGTCGACTAAGACGGTCTACAGCACCGTCACCAAGTCCAGTGTCTGGTCTACCTACACTGAAGTGAGTATTCCCCTCAAACGATGATTCCATGATCACCTGCTTGCATCTCTCTGTAACATTTTCTCACGAGTGCGACAGGTCTGCACCAAGCAGCCAGTTGTCGGTACAAGCACCTATACCGAGACCGTGTCCGTGGTCACTGCAGACCCCTTCACCTCTACCGTCTATGTGACCGAGACCAAGACTACCGCAGTTCCTACGACCTCTATTGGCTACTCTGCCGCCACCGACTACAAGACCATCACTACCAACGTTCCTTACACCACTACTGGCTGGAGCACCGAGAGCAAGTGTGAGAGCACTACTTCTTGGTCGACTTGGGGAGGTTGGTAAATTCATTCCTCTCCAAGACGGGACCTGACTAGGTCCGGAACGGGACGAAAGCTGCTCCGGTAATGCAGTAATGTTTTACAACAACTACGCTCCTTAAACATTGTGATCTTTGTGTTTATTCTTTGGTGCTATTGACGGAATTCACTCCTTATTGCTATGGACGGGAAACAGTACTTAATTCGAGTTGCGCAATACTATAGCTCGAAAATATAACCTTTTACTAAGAATAAAGCCACGTACTAGCGGCTCTCTTTTATGGTGCTCTCACGTGAAACAGAATGTAACAACGATAATATTGCATAATTTACCATGCGCTATTGAATTTGATTGGGCAAAAACAATCAGACCCCGGTATATATGCTCGGGCATCTTTGTAGAAATGGTTCAAAAATATTGTATGACTTGACATAACGACTCTAATGCCTTCAACTAACTTAGAGGGCTGCCTAACCTCTAGCATACTTAACAACAACCTGTTTAGACAGAAAGATGTGTAAAGGTTATAGCATCTATAGAGGGCTAAATAGCGATTTTGTTCTCGTGACCTAGTACTCTGTATCTATATATTGCGGGTCGATGTCGGTAACATATCGCGGCGAAAGAGCATATATCGCCGACGTCGTATCTCCGGACAACGACATGTCCTGATTTTTGCTCTAATGTCATTTATATTTTCAAGAATATCATGTTCCAAGCTAGCCAGTAGAAGTAGTTGACATGCTAATGTTGATATAGTTCTCCTATCAATACGTAGGTTAGCAACCTTTGATAGCATTAGAGTAGCAGAGATGAGAGAGCCGGTGCAACGTAGCAGAAATTCAAGCTGTTAAGCACAGAATAGTTTGAAACAAGGGAGACATTAGAGAAAAAGTACGTAAAAGCATAGCAATGATTTGTACTGGCTTATGTACTTTATCAACCGAGGCCTGCCTTGCTTGATTTGCTGTTGTGAGAATCCCTTTCTTTGGCGATAGCCTTAAGTTGTGGATATGGAGGTATTTCTAACCTTCATTCTTCTTTTCCCTTAGTCCCCGTCATAGAGATTCCTGTTAGCAGTGGGGAGGTCGCCGCAAGAACTAGTAAATTGCGAAGGTAATTGAGATTTTTACAAAGAATGTTTGCGATATGAAGAAAGTAAGTGTTTGCCGTTCTCTAGTCATAAAGGACAAGAGCACAAGAGGATAAGATAAGAAGCTTTCTGGCAACCTTGGGTAGCATCTTGTGTGGAAATGGATGTTTGTCGTCAACTTCGAGCAGCAAGAAATCCAGGCTTCACCAGAACCTGCACCACTTACTCAAGCAATGTTGCCACAGAGTCTTGCGCATTGTCAGTACTAAGACGTGCAACAATTTCTGGCTTGTCTTTGCCTACTATTGCTTGGACGTATGTCGGTTATGTCTTGCAGCAAATACTCCGATACCACCAGGTCCAATCCTAGACCATCAATAATATCACTTTTGGAACTTGACAAGTACTTCTCGGTTACATCGAGCATGATTTCAGATGCTCTGAACCTCATGATAATTTCTTGATACATTGATGTCCGGGTCCCTTCTGGGTCAAGTGAAGTCCGTGATTTTCCCAAATCCATACCACCTATATAGTACCCTTTACAGAACCGGCGTTAACGCCAACGCCGACGCCGATAACGTCCCGAAGAGGCACTTGTCGCCATGTCTGTTCTCGAGGATGAGTTATTGTAGATGTAGACAGATCTGACTATACCTTGAGGCCTCATCTCTCCTGTAGCTAAGATAGAGTGACACTTGATACCATACCCTCTGCCCTTCTCGACGAGACGAACGGCTCTGTTCGTCCATCATTGCTGCCATTTATCATCGCGGATAACGCCGTGAGAGGAGTTGCACCTTCCGTGGGCAGTCCTCAAGTCCAGTCTCTTCCTCGTCCCGACACCATCCTTTCTTCATCTTCCTCCATCCCCCTTCATCCTCTCATCATCGTTCACCAACGTTCTATCATTCGTACACTCAGCTCTTCATCATTGCTTTGTGCTCATTGCATCTGCCGCATCTTGTCTTCCTTTGACACCTTCTCATCCATTGTCGACAAACTTCGCATCAATGGCTCCCTCTTCATCCATCGTCAGCGACGAGACCATTCCTCAGCGCACCAGAAGCAAGTCTGATGCCGAGATCGACTATTCATCATCAAAGAGTAAGTTCCCATCATCCGCTTTTATCTACACCATGCTCGTCATGTTCCACGCCTTGATACGTCGCTTCGGCGCGGATTGAGTCAGTCTACCAACCCATCGGGTCTCGGTCTTGACCACTCGGTTCCCTTCCCTTGTTGCCCTACTCTTGCTTGCTCACAACGCGTCTGCATGATGGAGCACGCGCTTGTTTTGACAAAGAGAAAATTCACTTGCCTTTCGTGACCTTTTGTTTCGCCTACCATGTTCTTCCTTCCTCTTCCTCTTCTTCATCATCATCATCATCATCAAACATTCACCATCCATTCTACTGGTCTAAGTACCATACTAACCTTTTTAAGTCTCTACTACAGAGAACTCCACCGAACATTGCTCGTCGGGTATCCAAACCGACCTCTCGTTTGATGATGCTTCGTCCGTCGAGCCCGTTGCTGCAACCATTGACGGCACGCACGACACCTTTGACCAGAACACCGATGACTACGAAGCAGTCAACACCGATGAGACCTCAGTCGTCAACCATGCTCCACCCTCAGAGCAAACCTGGTTCAATGGTGTCTTGGTGACTGCGGAGAACGCACAAGCAATCTTCTCTCCTGCAGCATGCATCTTTGTCGCCAAGTCAGTGCATTGCACATACACACGATGATATTTACTGACCTGTCGACCAGCCTGGATCGCACTCGCACTAGAACTGAGCTTACGAACGAGGTCAAGGACAAATTCGCAGAAATCGGCCAGTGCTGGGTCAAGGTTCGCTTCGACAAGAAGAACATTCCCGCTGCCTTCGTACAGTTCAAGGTAAGAGCTCGGTCGAACTTCCGGGCAGGGACGATTTGTTGGCTGACGTACATCCCAGACGATCGAGGAAGCTATGGAAGCTGATGCCCGCTTCCACGGTGCCCGCATCTCCGGACGTCCCTGCCGCATTAAGTATGCCAGAGCTCCACGTAAGTTGCTTCCTTTCCCTTCGCTTCGATGCTTGTCTGACCCGATAACAGGTACCGTCTTTGTCGCACGCCGTGATCAGCAAGAGCTTTGCCCACCTGAGGCAATGTACTACCTTCGTCCTTTCGGCAGAGTGGATCATTGGTGGACGCCATGCCACACCGAGAGAGCTTTGTACAACCTGCCTGCCGGTGCCTTCTTCCGCTTTGAGTTGTTCCAGCCATGCCAAGAGGCCCTGAGAGTAAGTCTTCTCAACTCTGCAACCTCTCCATGACATTCTCGTTAATCTCTCAACAGGCTCTTCGCAACCACCAGACTCTTACCTTCACGCTCGCACAAGTGGAGAAGCGCAAGCCTGCTATCACCTCCTACAACACTATCCTTCCTGAAGTCGTCCCTAACGCCATCTACATTGGTGATCTCCCCTTCCACATCGACGAGAATACTTTGCGCATGATCTTCAGCCACTATGGAGCCATTTCCAATGTCGACATCCGCAAGAACTTCAGCAGTGAGTTGATCTATTTTCCTTGTCGTCGTTCGCGACTAATCAGTGATCAGAGGGTATCACTTTTGCTTTCATCTTCTTTGAGAAGCCTCATGCTGCTGCTATGGCCTGCCAATTCCCTGTAAGTCAATCAGTCTCAGTCAACACCTTGAATGTTTACTCACATTCCGACTCCAGTGCGTCTACGTCAGCGGTGAACATCTCTCTCGCGTCGAGCCCAAGCGTAAGAGACATGTCCCTCGTCCTACTCTGCCTCAGATCTACAACTACTTCGACGACATGGATGGCGACATGCCCTTCTCCCGCGGAGGCCACGACTACACCTACAAGCCAGGTGACTCTTCTTATACTCCCCGCTACATGCGCGGTAACTGGCCTCCCTACTAGTGGATCACCTTAATTGCCACCGCATTTTATGACCTTTGAACTGTCATGAGAGACCATTTTGCCACGAGCTACGCTGAGATGAAAGAGAAACAAACGTCAGAGTTCGACGTTCCATGTGGCTTGCCCCGTTTTTGTTGCTTTGTATCTTTTTTTGCAATATGTTTCTGTGGATTTTCATTCTCGTTTTCTGGTTCTGCTTTTTCCTTCGCGCAATGTCTTCCAGATGATTTCTGCATCTCACCGGTTGTTACATGTGCAGACAAGCTCGGTGGAGTCTGATTGCTGTTGTCTTTTCTCTCTCGTCGGTTCGCATTTTGCTATCTCGTTGCTTCGGGTGCGAAATGCTTTCAACTACACCACTGCTCATATCGCTACAAAATTTAGCTAGACCAAGGCAATGTATCAATAATACGCTTGCTTCTTCAAAACATGCTCACCCTCTTCTCTTTGTGTTGTGTATGTTTTTCTCGACCTTTGCCAGTGCGAACGATTGACATACGGCAATAGTAGCACCATTTCTCTTCGGTCTTGAGGTATGTGCTTGCTCTCCAATGCTCTCCGGTCGATCTGATGACGCTGCAGGGGTACAATCATTGTATCGGTGACTGAGATTCTGATAATAGCGATAAACAAAGCTGGGGGCTTGTCGAGATGCAGAGAAGCGAAATACCAACACCTCTGTGACAAAGAGGTCTACATCAGACAAGAGGCTGACGCACCCTTCGATGAGTCCGGTCGGTACATGATGGATATTGATGCATCTTGATGAAAGTGGACAGAGGGATGATCAGAGGTACAAAACAACGGCATTTCTTCGGTTTAACTCATCATGGCATCATTCATTTCTCTCTCCTTTCGTAAGCCTTCAATTGTTCTATCTCTACTCGACTTCTGCTACCTTCAACTCGGTCTGTGCAGCCTTGACACCACCTGACCACTTGTCATCCTTCTTCTCCCATTTGATCGTTTGCATAGCGCTCGAGCGCAAGATATCGGCTTTGAAGCTTGTGAGGCGTTCGCATTTCTCGCCCAGGGCTTCGATTTCAGTCTGCGACGGGAATGTGTTTTCGAAAGCCTTGTGCTTGACATTTTGGAGCTGTAGCATGGTCAGCGAAATAAGGATTTGAGGAAAGGTAGGTTACACGAACAGCAAGGAAGAATTGCAAACTGGGGTTTGCGACAATCTCGACTTGCTCGAGGTATTCTTGCGATGGTAGAATGGAGAGTAAGTCTTTCTTGAAGGTTTCGTGGTTGTCGACTTCTAGGGTTGCGTTCAAAACCATCAGAGCTTTTTGCTGGTCGAGGATTGTGCGCAGTTGGTTTGGGGTCAAGGTGAATAGTGTTGAGTTCAATACTCGTAGACCTCTTGGTCGTGTTGTTTCGTTTGTCAAAGCCTTGACGAGAGTAGAGCCGAGGGTTCTATTCAACGCGACCACACCATCTTTTGCTGCTTCTTCGGCGGACTTGTCGGCGTTGTTTGTTGGATCCTCAGGATCGTCGGTCACATCGGCTTCGCTGACATTGAATGCCAATGTAACCAACCCAGGCCCAATTAGCTTGCTCAGCTCCGTCGCCTGAATCTTGCTCAAGAACTCTGGATCGGAATGCTGAACCGTGTAGTTGAGTTCCAAGAACATCAAGCCTCGTCGCGCAGTCTCCTCATCTGAAGAGTATGTCACGTAAGGCCCAATACTCTCGAAAAACTTTGGCTGGGCGAATACATCAAGCAGATGCAATGCTCGCAATCCAGGCAGCTTTCTGAAGAACTCAACACCATCCGCTTGCGACTCTTTTGACACACCGCCAAAGAGTTGGCTATAAATTACCAAGCTCTTGAGATTGGGCAGACGGTCTGCTAATTGACTCAACCAGCCCACGGGATATCCCAAGGTAAAAAGTTCGAGAGTTAGAGATTCGATGTTAGGCGGTAGCGGAGGAATGACAAAGGGTTGCGACAGCAGGCTTTGGTAGTCGTCGAGTTTGATGTCCGAGGTCAAGGTCAGGGCTCTAAGACCACCAGCTTGGGGTGGAAATTGTGGGAGCGAAAAGGTTTGGAGGGGTATTTGGGCTCCTTGGGCTTGTGCTGGATCGACCTGATCGCCTTGTGGTATGTTATTGTTGTTCTGTCCCAAAGTCGCCATTGCGTCTTGTTAGATCCCTTCTCTTTTGCGGTCTTTGGTTTGCGTGGTGAGGAACAAAAGTTTGAGAGGGCCACTCTTCTTTTTGTTTAACGGAAGAAATCGTCAATAGTTTCGGAGAATTGTTTACTTCTGAGTTTATTTGACGGGAACTGTCTATATATGCAATATGAACTACGGAGCTGCGGACAAGGAGGGACAAATTGTGGGTACGCGGGGTTGGACGCGGGGTTCTGTACATGGACAAGGGTGTTTATTGGCAAAGAATGTGATATTACAGGTAGCCTGATACCATGCCTAGAATATTCTGTATATAGTGAGAGGGGTCGGTGAGGGGTTTCAAATCCTTTGCCCAGCTTGTTTTCTTGTGACCCAGGTGATCTCATTTTCTCCAGCTTCAGAAGCTGACATTTCTCCGGACAATCAAGCTGTCTGGTTACTTTCCTGCATTTCTATGGCCATGCAGAGATGAGCTTCTGAGTAGGAGAGCGCAGAAAGTAAGATGTGAGATCAATGGCATCCAAACCTGCTTTCAACGAGGTCACCATCGATCAAACAATATTGTGATTGCGGCTAGCCGACGACTTGTCTACACTATCTCTTCGTGCTCAGGGTCAAGCATTCTCTAATACAGATAGTCTATATTGGAGATGTACCTGCTCATGAATGCGAGACCGCGTCGTGCCTCGGGTTCGATGGAATCCCGTCAATGAAAGAACAATCCTGTCTACAATTTCGAACATCGTGAACTAACGCAGAGTCCTCTTTCATCTTTGCGGCCAGACGAGCGAAGCATATCTTTCTTTACTCGACATCGACCCGGCTCGCGCATCTAGGCGGCTGTTGAAGGCTGTTGAAGATAGCAGACTCGCCGATCTGGGCTGTCATGAGCCACTGATCTGATGAGTAGGCAAGTCCGAGAAGGACCAGCTCTTCGTTGGAAAGACTGCCACAGAGGGAGAAGGACGCTACTTATAAGAAGCCAGGAACGCATCTAAAAACTTCACCTGGTGTTAGTTTCACACGCATGTGAATTGACAATTGTGACAAGAAAAGTCGTGCACTCGTGAAATTGCAGACTGGCGGGATTGACCTCTCCTGTGAGCTGGAGTCTAATTTCGGACGGCTATAGGAATGCACAGTAGTTTCCCGAAGCAGAGCATGTCCACTGAAAGCCTCTATCTTCGAGAATTCTCTCTGGACACGCCTCCAAGCAGGAAACCATTGTGCATTTTGATAGCTGAATAATCACGCTACATTGCATTGGAGAGCGAGACCGAGATGCATGAACAATGGCTGCTGAGGAGGTCAGATTTCGTCTCCAGACCCTGGATTAATATTTGAGGTAGCAGTTGTGATTCGTGATAGATAGTTATCGGAAGCAGGTTTCGGATGTGGAGCATCCAAGATGTATTTGGTTACAGAGTGCGATTGTTGAGTGATCAAATATCAAGGGTCTTGATAAGAAGAATTAGATCGGGCTGGGTCTGCTATCAAAGTCAGATAGCTAAGAGACCAGATGTATAGGAGTGGATGCCGGACGGCTATCAAAGGTATCTCCAGGCATTCCTGCATGTCGGACAAGTCGTCGGACGAGCCTATCGAGCTGTCGGATGAGCCTATCTCTTCCTCGGCCAATTATAACCATCTTTGTACAGCATGTGTGCCAGCACATCCGCGGGTCACATCGTTACGGTATCTTTTCTTCGTGATAGCGACAGCAGGTGGAGGCGGAGCTGAGTACGAAATCGGTTTGTAGATAAGGACGCGGCAGTGCTCTAGCAAACCATGACTCAAGCCAATGCTGGCCAGAGTTTGCCGAAGTTTGCCGTCTCATGTTCCCCGCCGGTTAAAGGATCAGGGTTCAGCGAGCGCCGGCGGCCCCTCCCGAGGTAGCTGTTTAGCCCCACTTCTAGAGCAACTGCACCTTGCATGCAACACAACGACGCGACAATCCTACCGACAATCGGCTTCTGATCTGGTATGTCGAAGCGATACCGCAAGGATATACAAACGGGTGGGATCCAGTGGCACCAATTGAGTTGGGGTCGATATCGACAAGATTCTATGAGTAATGCGGAGTCGCAACCATGAGGAGCAGACAAATCCTGGGCAGTCGCCTACTTCTCTTCCCGAGAGTCGTTCATGCTTGCCCGCTCTCTTAGTTTCTAGACTTCCCAATCCTCTACACCTTGACTACACCGATCATACGGTTGACAGCTTCGCCTATCACTCCGCCTATCTCAATTGAACAGGAAAACATATTCCACATGGAAGTCGTGCTTCCACTCCAAGAACAAAGGCTCGGCCAGCATGATGTCCAAGACAGAGCTCGAGCCTACAAGAGCAGAAACAAACGTCCCTGTGATTTCTGCCGCTACAAGAAGGCCGCTTGTCATCTTGAGCACAAACCGCCTTGTGAATTATGTCTGCGTTATGGCAAGGACTGCACATTTGTAGAGTCTCCTGCGAAGAGACGACGTCCCAATACCAACGAAGAACGTCCTCGAGAGCCCTTGCTACCACCCAGCAACTTTGACCTCGGAAGTGATCTACTCAGTTGGGAACCATTGCCATCCTTCATGACTGCCAGCTTACCTGGAGGCCTGCCTGGAGAGTACAAATTCGATTCGCCAATGTTCGCTCCCTTGATGTTTGAACAATTTGATCCCGTTCAAGCAGGTTTAGCACCACCATCGTCTCGTTCCACACGCACCCAGTCCGTGGAATCCATTCCAACATCCTTCTTCGACAATGCCCAAGAGCCCTCATTGGATGTGCAAGGCTCTAGCAATGCCCAGGTCGTTGGTCTGAGTGGCGAGCGCGACCCTTTTCTACTTCGCCATTTTATCTGTGACGGCAACAACGAATGTATATTCCAGAAGCACCGTCTACGAAGAGTTGGAGAGAACGACAAGATTCCCGTTCATTTCCTCATTCAGCCAAACGAGTTGGCCGCAAAATCTCAACCCGCCGGAGACCTTGGCATGTTAGACAACTTCAGAAGAGAGATCAAGAACATGATTCATGACGATATCGGCAAGAGGCTCATCAGAATGTACGTTCTTGGATGCTTGCAAATCGCGCTTGCATACTGATCAAAGCAGTTTCTTCCGTTTCGTACAGCCGTACTTTCCGATCTTGTCTCGAGAGCGCAGCATGAACAATGGCGACTACGACCCAGAAGCCTTCCCAACTTGGCTTCTTGCCGCGGTCTATGGTCATGCACTGCCATTCTGTATCTTCGACGATCAGCTTTGTGTCGATGTATACACTCCACCATCTGTCGACTCCCTGTTCCAGATCGCTTGGTCAGCTGTGCAACCGAATTATCATACCCCATCGCTATCAGTCGTCCAAACACTTCTCCTGCTTGTGCAGCGGAAACCGACAAACAAGCACGTGGCTGATACACCAGCCAAGTGGACAATGGTCACAGACGCAGTCTCAATCGCTCAGTCGCTAGGCCTCAACCTTGATCCAACCGACTGGCCGCTGCCTCTGTGGGAGCAACGACTCAGAAGAAGACTGGCTTGGGCTGTGTTCAATCAAGAAAAGTGGATTGCCTTGAACACCGGTCGAAGCTCACACATCTTATCAGACGACTGGGACGTTTCTCCGCTGACACAAGACGATTTCGAGTTCGCTGAAGGTAGCGATGACCGAGCCTACTCGGAACATTTTATTCAACTTTCAGCACTTACAGAAATTGTGGACGATATCCTTCGTAACCTGTTTTCAATCAAGGCAACCAAAAAACTCTGCAGTTCTCTCGACATGACGCTGGAAGTGGCTAAACCGCTGAGAGTAAGATTGAGCCAATGGTACCAGGAGCTGCCCTCAGATCTCTTGCCCACGGTCAGAACTGGACACGGGCATGATCTGAATGCGCAGGGAGGACTGCATCTAGCCTACATGACAGCAAAGGTTCAGCTGTTCCGTGCTATGCTCCGTCCAACGAGCGAACCAGACACACAAGCTACAAATGCATTGCGAACTGGAGCGATAGCCATGGGCAAAGAGCTATTCGAGTTCCTTGAAAGTCTGGATGCCAATCATATGGAAGCTTTCTGGCCATCCTGTAAGTTCCCTCCCTTGCTCCCAATCTTCAGCTTGAGCAGTCACGACTAACACACTCTCAGACTCTCGCACCAACTTTGCCATAGCGAGCAACTTTATGGTCTTGCTTTTTGTCACTTCTCCAAACACGGCAGATGCAAAAGAATGTCTAGATCTGCTCAACTCGTGGAGAAGCTTGTTGCGAATCAAGTCTTGCAGTTGCGATTTACTGAATCTGGCATTGTTGAGATTGGATGTTTTGTCCGTTCGCGGGCTGGACAAGTTGATCAATTTCTCGCCATCTGCTTTACAAGTTTTCAGAGAGCAGCAGACGGTTTAGGGAGACTGGCATGTTGTTTATGAACGATTATGACTTCACGTTCTCAGAATACTTGGTGCTGGAGGATGTTCTGCTTTTCGATTCGGTAGATTGAGCAATGCATCAGTTCATGACTTTGTTTTCTCCTCCATCTCTCTACTCATCCCAAACGACACAAGTGACATTTCCACCACCAACCCATCTGGCCACAGGTTTACCCACAGTCCCCAAAGCAACATCTCTCTCAAACACAACAACACTTTTATCATACTGCAAACCCACAGCCAACAAGTCACCCCACTTGTTGAGCGAAAAGTGTCTTGGGAACATTCCTCCCGCAGGCCAGAGCTGGATATGCTTGAGCGAGCCATCTTTTTGCAGAGCAAATGTTGACAATGAGTCTGAAGGGATGGAGGTGGTGTTGTGGGGAGATGGGTTGGGAATGTCGAAGGAGGTGTTGTTGCGGTTTGAGACGATGAGGAAGCGGTTGTCGGGCTTTTTTGACGTAGATGTCAGTGTTCTGATGCATAGAATGATGGTGGAAATCTAGACTTACAGAGATGGCAATCTCAGCTGCAGCATTGCCTTCAGGAACAACAAGGTCGCCATAGGAGGTAGTATTGTAAACCTCCTTAAAGCTCATACCACCAGCAGAAGGATACGAAATCGCAAAAGAAGTAATCGTATTCCCTAACTCAGAAACCAAAAACATGAAACTCGTCGATTTAGCGCCAGAAACACCATAAGGTTGGTAGAAAGCAACATGTCTGGGTCCCGAGCCAGGAAGAACAGCAAGAGGTTTCTCAGCCGTGAGTTCGTCAGTCTCAGAGTCGATAGAGAAGATGCGAACGAGGTCAGCTCCAAGATCAGGGACAACGATGAATTGACCGGTAGGGTCGAGAACAGCTTCGTGCTCGTGAGGTGCATCTTGTCTCTCGGCATTAGGACCAGGCTTGGTCAAGTTGAAGAGGAAGTCTTGCTCAAACGCAAAATTACCGGTACGGTTTGTGTCCAATTCCCAAGTGCTGAGTGCGCTGCCAGAATAGTGTGCCAATGCGATTGAACGCTTCTCAGCAGGGTTGCCGTAGATGACGCCACTGACAGGGCCGCTAATCGTGGTTTCGCGGTGGACTTTGGTCAGGCTGCCATCGTCGCCGATGGTGAAGGATGTGAGTGACCCATTGGTGACTTCTAGGCCTTCGTCAAGACAGTACAGGGTAGCGTGATTGGTGTCGAAAGTGAGCCAAGATGGATTTGGGGCGCAGCCGGTATTGGCAGAAACTTTGGTCAGAGAGTAGTGACCACCGTGCTCAGTCAAAGACAGGGTAGAGACATCGCCAGAGTAGTCCGAGACGAAGAGATTCGTGGCAGCAGTCAAAGAGGCCGCAGCACAAAGCTGCAATGAGCGGATAAACATCTTCACAAAGAATACTGTGGGTAAGGAAAGAACAATCAAGAAGAAACAGAGGCGGTGTCACCTACGCTACTTATACCGGCACAAATGAGTCTGGCGCTTGCTACCTTACTACATCAGGAGCGCTTATTGCGACTAACAGGCTGACGCATAGTGCTGTTGACATGATGCATTCAGCCGCCTGCCTGTAAAAAGAATGATGCTGGAAACACAAGGCGGAGTGAGGTCGGAGCGGGGGTGACAGCCAACCGATCCGCTATGGTGGGGACGTGCTTGGCGAATGATGATGATCAACAATTCGCCAGCTCTGAGCTAGGGCATAAGCAAGGTTCAAGCGAGCGAAGGGTCAAGGAGCAGTTGGAAGCATGGGCATTGAAAGATGTTTGATATAGGAAGCCGTGGCTTTTTTTCTAGAGCTGACATGTTCTGTTGCAATCGGTCCATCTCACCCTTCGACGAAACAAGAGGTGACAAAACCATGAGGACTTCCTCAGCGGGCCTTCTTTGACTGGTCTCTGAGCTGGGCAGTGGACTGGTTATCGTTGTTCCTAGACTCGAGATCGGCAGCCCAAAGAGCAGCACCAGTAGTGTTGGTGAAAGCGAAGAAGACGCCGGCGATGGGGACAAGCTCCAGCAGAGTAGCAACAGTACCGAAACCGGTGTATGCGCCCTGTCTCTTCTCGATCCACTCTTCCTGGCGAGCCTTACTCATACCCTTGAGTTGGAAGTATCTGGCGTGAGCAGCAGGACCAGCGCGCTTGCCTTGGAGAAGGATGAACATGACAGTACCGACAACAGGGATGAAGTTGAGAGGCAGGTACATGACATATCTGATGATGGCGCTGGGAGCGAATTTGGCGAAGGGCTTCTTGACGAGCTTGCCCAGACGACCGATAGCATCACCGCCACGACCGACCTTGCGCTCTCTGGACACGAGTTCGGCCTCGCCCTTGGCAACCAAAGTGCCGTCGAAGGTGTTGATCAAGCTTTCCTCAATAAGGAACGTCTTGGAGAGGGTATTGAAGATGGTGCTACTCTCGTTCAAACACAGCAATGCGGCATTGACGGCAGCCAGAGGTCCATTGAAGACTGCAAGAACGGCAGCTTGGGGAAGGTATCCAAAGAAGAAGACACCAGCGAGTGTGGTGAGACCGAGAGCGAGGGTTGGGAGGAGCCTGTTTGCGAGAGGCTTCCAGAGCTCGCGTTTCGAGAGGAAGTAGAAGATGCCCTAGAGCAAAGTTAGTCTGGCTATCAGGTGAGTGCTCATTGACAGGGATGACGATACCTTGATGGGATAGAGGTAGGCTCCAGACTGAGCAGCATCTTGTGCCAGGCCGGCGACTCTCTGCGCTTCTTCGCGCACTGTCTCTTTGACTTTGTCTTGTGCCGTCATGGCTGCTGAGTACCCAAGTTGAAAGAGGATGTTTTGAATAGAGCAGATGATGCAGAAACTCTTGATTTTATTGTCGCGAAGGTTTACAGTTGCATCGCGTGCCAATGACAATCACTGACATCATTTCAGCCACAACTGGAGCTATCAGCCACAAGCTATGCCCCTCACTTCGAATGCACAAGTTATGCAAACACCTCGAGTAAACTTGCCCTCCGATACCATCACCAATCATGAATATCACGGGAATTCATTGTCGTGGATATTGACATGTATCTTTTCATCCTGTGCATCTTTCCCAAGGCTCTCTGAACTCCAAGCCCAGAGCGTCAAACACATTCTTCTCTGCTTGTTCCATCGTATCTGCCTTGCCATCCACATCTACGACATCTCCAGTTTTTCTGTCCCTGACTCCAGAAGAGTCAAACTTGTAGTTGTACGTCTGTCGAACATAGCGGCGAAGATCACGTTGGAACGTGGTGCCACCTGACCAACCCATGACTGCACAACCAACTGTCTTCCAAGGTGAAATGATTATGTCGACTCTGCGATGCGGGTTTGGATTCTTCTGCTTGGTATCAGAAGGATCGAGGTCGAAATTAGGGTTCTGCCAAACTACAAGGGCCTTGTCCAAGGAATCAAAGCCATGACCGTGAGCGGAGGAAGAGTTGAGAGGGAGTGTCTGCTGCGAACGATTACTAGTCGTCGTGCTGATCAGTAGGGTATGTGTGATCCAGTTCTCCTCTTCCAAGCTCGCCACAATGTCGGTGATGATGTTCAAAGTCTGGTCTTCGTCTGGGTGAGATAGGATGATATCCACATCTCCCGAGCTCTCTTTGCCTCGCCGGTAGCCACCGACTAATAGACTTTGCATACCCTTATCGCGGACCTTGACGGCGTGTCGGTGGATGGTTGAGGCAATCTCTTCAACTTCCAAACGAGGTATGGGAAGCAGAAACTCGTCATAGAACTTGACGCCAATCTGCTGTACACGAGTCAATGTACTCCAGCCATACTCAATCACATCATCCAGATCCCTCCATCCTTTCTCTTTGTAGAAGTCTCTCGCTGTTGTAGCTCCTACGCCCCAGATGTTGTAGAATAGCCTCTGAATCTTGAGTCCCTCATCGTTCTCAGCGTTGTCTGCTTCTTGAATCTTGCCGTAGTTAGCAAATTCCACGTAGAGGTTTGCTATCTTGGCATCACAGCCAGGCAAATATAAGATCTCTCGTGCACTACTGAGCTTGTAAGGATAAGCAGCCAATGAAGCGATACTGGTGCTGTAAGCCCGTACACCTATCTCATCGCCTGTCAACAATCGAGCCAGCTTGATCTTCTCGAGTTGCGCGATGAAAGATGCGTTCGGTGAGCCAGCTGGCGTCGATCGTTGACAGGCGTACTTCACCTCGTTCTGCACCCATGGAGGCATCTCCGGCAGATCTCCTGACTGACCCAAGTCATGCTCGGAAGTCGTTTGGTGTAACAAGTGGGCCCGTTTCGTGTGTGGCGTAGGTTGGAAAGGTGCAGAGACTCTACCTCCGCCGATCTGACCAAGTTTGCGATGGCTGCGTTGCTGAACAGGTGAGGAAGTGTTCATTTCTCCGTCTGCTCTTGCTCGTTCCAAGATTGATTGGGGCGTTTTGAATTGAGCTGAGAAGCTGGAGCCTTTGATGGGCGTAGTTGTGTCATTGGGTTTCTCAACACGACGTCCTTGGTAGAGTAGGTAAGGCTCTATAGGAAGGGTTGTGCCTTGTTTTCGACAATCCATGAACCACTGCAGCCTTAAGACCTTGATATAAGGATTGGAAAAGTATCCTTCGTTCGGGGCTCCATTCGCTGGAGACTGTTTGCGCTTGCGCTTGACAGACTTTGACTCGTCCTCAATCTCTGATTCGATATTGCCGTCATGATTGGTCGAGTTGTCTTTGTCATTCTTTCCAGTACTTCCTACTTCGGAAATTCTCTGCTTCTTAGCATCGGACGCGTCCGACACATGGTTCTGCGAATTGGAATCCTTAACTATCTCGACTTCTTCAGTGTGACATCCTTTGGATCGCAAGTCCAGCTGGATGCGCCTCTTCCGCTCAGCTTTGGTTAGGACAATTTGTGCTTCTTTCAGATCATAAGACAGTAAGCCTCCAGCTTCGACGACATCATCTTCCAATTCATGTAGCTCGCAAGTGTCCAAATGTGATTCCGAGACGAATATGGGCGGTAAAGATGAAAGTTGAAGTGTCGGTTTAGACGTTGGATCTGATTTCTCCTCCGCAGCAGGTTCTGGTGGCGGAGGAGAAGAGGCCATCCAATGGGGAGAAGACATTTTGAAATGGTGAAATACTGTTGGCGATGCAACACGTCGTCCAACACGGCTAGGAGTTTCTACAGGTCCCTAAAAGATATTGTCACAGGCATTCGCTGGTTCTTCGATGCTCGGTGACTAGAAGCCTCTGGAATTATCATACTTGTTATCGATGCAGAACATGTCTTTCATGCAGGTTGGATAGATGGAACAGTCTCAAAGGTAAAAAGGCGTTGTTGTTGGTGACGCGATGCTCGGCTCAAGCTTCTCCGAGAGTCCGAGCCGAGAACAATTCTGGAGTTGCGACAAAACAATTGAAACTTTCAAAGCTGCGACGAGCGACGACGTACAGTAGAATTGCAACAGAATGGCAGCGAAATTTGTAGCGCGGGCGGTGTTTCCGCCCGTCGAGTCGCTTCCTAGATCGTACTTCTTGGGTCATCATGCTGCCGGTCTATCCAAGATGAACACGATGCTGTCGCAGATTGACCTGATTGTCGAGTGCCGTGACTACAGAGTACCACTAACCTCTCGTAACCCTTTGTTCGAACAGAGTCTAGCAGGCCGCGAGCGCATCATCATCTACACCAAGCGCGATTTGGGCAGCCACAACAAGCCCGCAGATAGAGAGGTGAGTCTACCTGTCGCCTTCCGCTCAGCCACTTCTGACACAGCAAAACAGAGAGAGGACATCATCCGCAAATGGCACAAACCATCCGAAGTCTTGTTCTCCGACCACAAGGACAAGAAAGACATTCGTAAGATTCTGGACTTCGCCCGCCGCTACTTCGAGAACAGCACCTCTTTGACCGGATCGCGCATCATGGTCGTGGGTATGCCCAACGTCGGAAAGTCATCGCTGCTCAATGCACTACGAAAAGAAGGAGTCGGAAAGGGAAAAGCTGCACATACGGGCGCACAGCCAGGTGTAACACGCAAGATTTCGACAAGCGTCAAGATAATCGACAGTACCGAAGATGGTGAAGGCGTCTACCTGCTGGACACTCCCGGTGTCTTCATACCATACGTGCCAGATGCTGAAGCCATGCTCAAGCTCGCGCTGTGCGGTAACGTCAAAGACACTATCATCCCCCCTGCCACTCTCGCCGACTACCTACTCTACCGCGTCAACCTGATCGATCCTAGGCTCTACAAGGAATACTGTCCGCCCACCAACGACATCATCGAACTGCTTAATGCTATCGCAAACAAGACCGGCCGCTTACAGAAAGGTGGTGAGCCAGACACCGAAGCTACCGCTCTCTGGATGGTTCAGCGCTGGAGAAACGGCCTCTGGGGCCGGTTCCTTCTTGATGAGGTTACCGAAGATGGCTTGCAAAAGAGAATTATGGAAGAATCGAATATGGGTGGCAGTCTGAACCAGGCACGACGAGCTGACAAGGAGGCCCGAAAGTTGCGCAACATCAAGAGGCATGCCGGAACCAGTGAATGATGCGCCGTTGTCCACCTCACTCACCAGACCATTGTTCCCCTCCATCGCAAGCTCGCGATTGGACAATGACGCACGATAGGCATTGGTCAACTATATCGGATTCTCGAGCTCTTCGCGAAGAGGTTCCATGGAGGGCAGCTTCACCTTGTTTATAATCAGAGACAGCGCAAAGCCCCCAATCGGGAAAGTACTCGCGGGTACGAAGCTTCTCGGAGATCTGCAATCAGGGTTGCATTTGCAGATCCGAAAGGCTTCAGGCTTCAAAACGCTGGACCACGCGACACGAGCTCCGGAAATGCTCAAGCGATACTTCCGACGGGTAGAAAAGACCGATGTCAAGCTTGAGAGACGCATGAATCTGTAGCACTGCGCCGTAATTCGAAAGCCAATCTCGCGCGATTCTGCGAGTCGTCTCCCTCGGCAAAAGCTCCGTGCTCAGATGTCAATACCATGTTCATACCTAGGTAATCCACAGCGTTTAGAATTTGTACCTGCAGGTCAAGACACTTGAATGGTCAATTTTCGTTTCACAACGATCTCGTCGGCCATTTTAACCAAACTCAGGCAGTTGCAAACCCGCTTCCAGCTAGCCAGGAACGCCTGGAGGGCGGCCCGCCTCCTCGGAAGCTGCACTTGCTTCCGAAGCATGCCATCATCTTCTTTTAAAACAACACTCTCCGCACTACGTCGCTCAAAACCATTCTTTGATTCACTACCAATCATTCCATGAGCTAAAATTGTCGTGAGCCGGAAACTGGATTTCAAAACATGGATTTCCTGGTCGGGACATTTTACACGCCTAAACTATTCACTCTGCGCTTTACACCAAGCAAGGATATTTCAAAATGTAAACTGGAAATAGCGCACACTTCCGAAGCCATTGGCGGACACTCCTGGCTCTCTCTATCCTCGGACAAGAAACACCTCTACACAACTGTCTGGGCATCTCCTCCTGCTGTTGCTGCCTATCGCGTTGAGGACAATCATACCCTCACACCTCTAAACTCGAAACCTGTACGGTCAATGAGCGGCTACGTCTGCAGCTCAAACACGACACTCTACTCAGCAGGCGGCCCCACCGGCGAAGTGTTTTCCATCCTCAGCGACGGCAGCATCGGCCCCCTAATCCAAAACCTCGAATTCAGAAACCAAGGCAATGAAAACGATGGAGCTAGAAATGGCGTCGCGCATGGCGATTTCGGAGGCTTGAGACATGGTGCCCATTCGGTCGATCTCTCACCAGATGGAAAAGCACTCTACATTGCCGATATAGGACATAACTGTATCTGGAACTACGCCATCTCTTCTGGTCAGGGAAAGCTAGAACAAACGCAAAAATGGATTGCGAGTAGGGAGAACGATGGGCCTAGACATGCTTGGCCGCACCCGAATGGAAAGATTCTCTATTCGGTTCAGGAACACAGTTGTTATGTCGATGCACTGTCGATCTCGGAAACAGGAACCCTGGACTTGGTCTCCGGAAAGAGGATCATTCCTGAAGACAAGGATGAAAAGAAGTACTGGGCCGATGAAGTACGGTTAAGCAGACCTACCTCCGGGCGACCGAAGTATCTTTACGCATCAACGCGGGGACTGGAAAAGGAGACCAAAGGCTATGTTGCAGTATTTGAGTTAGACGAAGAAGGCTTGTTGCGAGGAGAGGCTATCGACATTTTTGAGACCGCAACGAGTGGTGGCATCGCTAATGCTATCGAGCCTGCGCCCATGGTTGAAGGACAAGAGGGAGTGGAGTACTTGGCCATGACGGATAGCCAGGAGGGCTATGTTTTCATGTTGGCTTTCGATGGAAAGAAGATTAGAGAGATCGCGAGGACGCAACTACTGGGAGAAGACGGGAATACTCTGGCCGCTGCTACAGCAGTGTGGTTATGATCGCCCGAACATAAAAGACCAATAGAAGTCGTACAGGAATAGAATTCATTAGGTGCAGCTACTGCATCATCTATTCGATAGTACTCCAAGGCAACAAAGCGTACATAATGCCCAGCCATATGCGTGTGCGTAACTCATAAACAGCCCCTCAGACTCCAGTCACAATGCCACAACCTCATCATCAAACGTAAGCCATAATGTTCGCACTCGCTTCCTCAACTCCCGCTAACCATGTTTCTGCTCTGAGTGCAACATCGATCGTCGACAAATATTGTAATCCTTCCTATGACCTGTAGGTGTCGACAGCTCCGCTCAAGTGGTCCACGCGAGCCTCCATACCATCCAGCTTGCTGCGAAGTATTCTCACTTCTCGTTGAAGCTTGTCAACCAGATTAAACAAGTTGTTCATATCGCGAGCAGAGACTTCATAACGGTCATGGTTTTGATATCTGTCTTGGTATTTGTCCTCGGCTCGGGAAATGTCATTATGTGAGTCGTAGTACTGGCGAGCATCGGCGTCGTGTCGGGCAGATCGTGTACTGTCACCGTTGGCACCGCTTCGCTCCCTCTCTGCCACTGATCCCGGTATGTGAATCGGAGAATAGTGGCGTCCATTGACGGAAGCAGGTGCATCAAAATTAGGCCGAGACGGGGTAGCATTCAGACCCCTGGCCCCTTCTGGGTAGCCACCACTGTAACTCGACAAGCGTGGTCGCTTGACTGCAATCTCGACTGGCGGACTGCGAGACCCGTCGTCGTCCATATCGTCACGTTTGCGAGCGCTTCCAATTTTGAGAAGCGGGAAACCAGTTCGCTGTTGCTATTAAGGGGTCAGTCGTCGTCCACAGCTATTGACCGAATACAAACACTTACGTGAGACTCTCTGGCTTCTCTGGCATGCGAGCACCCGCTTTGTGTATATGAACATCGGACACATCCAGTCTTATCGTGGCTGTTTGGCCGAGTCATACATGCCCTGTTTTGCCTCTCACACGTATCACATCTGGGATTACGTTCCGTGCCATAGCGCATGCCCTTGGAGGCTCTAGCATGACGAGGATTGTCCTGATCCAGAAGATTCCACCAGTAGTCGTGTCTTTCGATGTCAAAGTCACCGTCATAGCGAGGAGGTTCCGGTTCAGCATCACCACCAACTAATAGCTCATCAATGTCGGATTGTGCATCAGCATCGGTCGAAGCGGGGTGACTTCCATTGGGGAGCTCCGTGTCAACTTTGGTTGCAGTGGTTTGATTCTCTGGCTCCGAGACTGGCTTTGCTTCCTTTGCATTGGCCACCGACCAAGTTGGCACTTGAGGGCGAGGTTCGCTGTTTAGTTCGGCTCCTGTGTGCATTTCACGTGAACTGATCCGGGGATCCGCCATGGAAATTTGTTTGGGTTGTGATGATACGTTCGATTGAGTCTGATGTGCGGCTGCAAGTATATAAGCTTTAGATTCAAATGCGACGAGTGGTAACCGTCAGCGTACCGGCCAGGAGTTGATTAGCAAACCTACGATTGTCTTCCACCTGCGGGTTCGGAAATGCTTCCATTTATCGATGAGGAGGATATTAGAGTTGATGGATAAGTTGAAAGAGATAGTTCAAGGCAGCATGAGATGGAAAGGGGGCGAGCGAAGGGAAAGCGACGGCGGGGTCGGCCTTTTTGGTTGCAAAAGGCAGGCACGGCCCGGGAGGAGTGGCTTCTTCTCTGGTGCGGGTGGAAGCGTCGCCAGTCAGCGTCGCCAGTGCCGAGCGCTCCGGCGAGGCATCGACCTGTCCTACAGTCTCGCTGGACGTGTTCTTTCCTTCGGACAATGAAGATCACGTCTCCAGCGATACTGCGATCTAATTTTTCAACTCCTACTCAATGCGTAGAGCTCGCCAAGGCGACCAGATGGTGTCGGTCTCCATGCGGTTGGTTCATGGCGCGTACGGGCGGTCTCAGCACTTCCGGCCGTTAGCTAGCTGCATCAGCGAATGGATCCCCAAAAGACGCGGCAGGCAAGCACGCCCTTGGCGCCACGACGGAGCAGGGTAGAACCAGGCCAAACATAACACCCGGATGCCCCTCGCACATGCTACCAAGTTCGGGTTATCTTGTTGCGTTGTCGCAGCATCGTTCCTTGCCCCTCGCTTCGCTGGGGCGGTGAATCTACGAGGATTTTTGCTGTCGGCGTCCGCCTCCGCTCTCGGCCCCAGCATACAACACAACATGCACGACGGCACTCCAGATTTTCAACGTACTACATGACAAAAGACACGGCCACGTAAGTATGACTCGCGCTACCGATGGCGCGGGAATTATCATTCGAGATGGCTTTTTACTATGACATGGCTGCAATGCTTTCAATTCTTAAAGCAGGTTCCCAGACTTCTCCGCGCGAAGCTTCGCTGTGACCGGGTGTCGCCGGTAGAGTATCGTCAAGTACCGGACCAGCATCCTGATGATGCACGCTTCTCAGCGCGCCGGACTTTCGCGCTCACCAAGATTTGTTGGTCTTTCATTCGGTCGGCGTTCTGTCGTACTGCGACTTCGATGACCTTTCAGCGCGGTGTCCTGAGCCCCATCGTCCTCTTCAGACTCAGATACTCAAAAGTCTGAAATGGCCGTGAGTAAACTGTCTGTTTGCGTCTCGCGAAGGGGCAGTACTTGCTTGAAAGTTGCTCTCGGTACCCTGCTGGCTTCTTCTTGGTCTCGATTCGCTTTCGCACGTGTCGTGATCGTTGGAGTCGAGAGTGACTTCTTGCATCTCGATGTCCTCTCCGGATTCTGGTGTGTCCTTGCCGTTCACCGCCTTGTTGTTGAATATGCTTGCGATACTGGTTGATGCGAGTCTGAATAGCCACCAATCCGACAAAGTTGTCTTCTTATCCACGGGATGTGGTTGCCATCTTCTGGGAATGGTCATGTTGGGTCCTTTCTTTGGTGTGTCGCTACAATATCTTCTCACACACTGGACCAACGTGAAAAAAGTTACTCACAGAGTCTACGATCGGCTTCACAGATTCATATCTGTGCTTAAGAACGATTTTGCGGTGAGTCTTGCATTGGCCTTAAACTTGCTCATAATATTACAGATCTATATTATGACTAAACAAGGACTGCAACGCACAAAATTACTCTATCGGTCTCAAGTCTCAGCATCAGAGTCCAGTCTCTTTGGCACTCCCTTCTCCACGTCGATCGGATTCACGTCCGCTTCTACAACTTGTTTCGTCTTAACTCGGCGCAAGAGCACACTAGGATTCAACACAGCCAGGACTCCCATAGCAACAAGCATCGGCGCTGCATCCAAGCCAATGACATAGCCTTGGTGTGTGATGAGCGGGCCAGTCCAGCCTTGGCACAATTCGACAGATCTATAAAAGCCTCGCAAGTTCATCATGGTGGTGCTAATGACAATGGCAGTGCATGCCAATAAGAGTGGTCGGCTAGCTCTGATTTGCGAAGCTCCACGTGGGAAGACGATGCACAAGAATCCAGCGAACACCATGCCAGAGACCAGTTGTGCGATAATTCCGACAACCATGATAGTCGTTCCGGTGGATGTACTGGTGCCTTGGTCGAATGCAGCACCAGCCAAGCCACCGCCGATGGCTTGAAGACTGAGACATACACAGTCCACACCGAATATGACGAGCAAATAGAGCTTTGGCGGTACAGGCGACACTTTTCGGTCTAGGATCGTTATGATCATCCACAGCGCAATGTAGACACCACTTTGAGTGTATGCAGGTCCCATTATAAGCGTTGCGATTTGCATGGTGTTGATCTCGCCCGAGTAAGTACAGGAGTGGGCGACAGTCCGACCAATCCAACCGATGACTTCGAGGATGGTACCGCAGCTGAAGAAAATACCCATCCACCAGCAGCGGGTGCGGAAGGTGTTGATGACGTTTGCGCATGTGTAGAGGCCAAAGGAAATACTGAAGAATATTCCTGCGGCGAGAGATGGTTGGTAGCCATAGCTTGATGGATATGCGCCGTAAGGGGCACAAGGTGGGATGTATGGTGGGGGAGCCATTATGACTAGTATTGCGAAAATAATGGTTTGGTAGATACGATGGAAGATGGTTTAGCAAACAGAATAGCCAGTGTCTACAGCATCTTTATATGGACCCTCGTGTGCCTTCGAGCAAGTTGTAACTTCTTGTACTCTGCGTCACCATGTCTTTTGTATACATCCCTTTTCGACCTCGCAGTGCGAGAAGGATGCCGTCGCAGTCGGGGCCGAAAGAGGTATAGCGTACGAAACTCAACTCACCTATTTGCCTACTCCAGTATATAGCAAGGTTCCAGGGTCTCCTGAACAAGTAGAAATCGTGTATAAGATGCGATAGCTAAATCCCGATCGCCTACTCCTACATTTCACCTAAAGGATCGCGTGTACAAACGTCGCGAAGGTCGTCATTATTCCTCAAGATACTAAACGACCACCTTGATGTTTTATCGAAACGTCCTGAACAGAACTTATCCGAATATTCTACTTGGAGCATTCATGTTGCCCAACGCGCGAAGCACGGAATATAATTGGTGAGGGAGTTGAGGTGGTTGGTGTTTGAGATGCTCGCATGCGAGAGTTCGCAGATGCCGTCACCCGTCGATCATTTCCGCTTTTGGCACAACTTTGCGAGCTCGAGAAGTTCCTCCGAAAACACGTGGGAGAATCTCACTTGGATCTTCTTAAGTTCTCTCGTAGCAACTGTCTGTCAGTATCGGTATTTCCAGTCTCGCATGTTATGTTGTGTAGTGCTGCAGTAGACATGTCTTTCGAATGATAGCTCCATGTCAGGTGTTTTGCTTACTTCTCCTGAAGATTGTCGCGTCTCGGTCTGTAGAATGCTGACTGATCACCAGTATTCTGAAAACGACTCTGGCATACATCTCTGTTCAAAGCATAGCATGTCTACTGGTAGAAAAAGACCACTACGTCACCAACGAGCTTTGGACTAATTTCGCGGAGATCAGATAAGAGAATACGACGGGATTAGAAGCTCGTGATTTAAGTTATACCCAGAACTTTGCAGTACTCAATTTGACGTCGACGGCGGCAAGATGGTAATTATATACGACGAAATGCCCATCCGAGTAAAGCGACAGCAAAAACTGTTCTAAATTTAGCGGACACATCCGCTTGTTGTTCGATATAAAGGTTCTCATGGACCACTGAAGAGCAACATCAACCTCATCTCTCTTTCTCTCTTCATATCCTCATTTGATTCTGGAGAAGTCGGCAGTCACACCAAGCTGAGCAGAATGGTTTTCTCGCGCATCGTCTATAGCTCTCTTTTCGCGGCCTCGGTCGCTAGTGCTGCTGCATCATCCAACAATTGGGCCGGAGGTCAACATACAGATAAGGGTAGAGTCGTTCAAGCCAGTGTCGACATTGTTGTACCAGAGTGTACTCTTGGCACACCAGCCTATCAAACAGTGCCTTATTTCGTTACTGGTTGGGCCGGCATCGATGGGACTGCGGCTTGCCCACATGCTCTCCTTCAAGCTGGTAGGTCTTGCTTCGTAAAAAGCACCAAGGTCGTCTTAGTCGCTCACATAAGATCAGGCTTCGATTGCACTGTGACTGAGGTCAACAATGTCACAACAACACAATGGGAAACTTGGACAGAATGGTTCCCTGCACAGCAACAACCGTACTCTGATTTCGAGGTACAGACTGGTGACGTTGTCTCGATCCGCATCAAAGCCGACTCGACGACATCTGGATCTACTTTTATGCACAACCATCGCACGGGGAAGAGTGTACACACTTCTTATGCAAACCAGACAACTCCCCTATGTCTGGACTCTGCCGAGTGGGTGATTGAGTCTGAATTGGGCTTTGGTCCTTTCGGACCCGATGGAGAACGTACCGCTGGATATACTCCATTCAAATTTGAGCACGCCTCGTATACTACCAAGGGTATGTCCGATAGAAGTCCAGTCCAAGATATCCAGAGGTACAAGAACTTCACTGACTTTTTCTCAAGACGGCAAGAAGCATCTCTCCAAACAAGAAGATATGTTCAACATGGTCCAAAATGGTACCGAAGTTGCAGAGGGAGTCTACAAGAGAGATGGATTCTTTGAGGTCGTGAATGTCACGCCAGCAGACTTCCTTGCTGATGAGTGATGAAGAATCTGGCTGAGAATGTGGAAACGATGTAGGAAAAGTATAGGTTGTCATAATCTATTGAGGTCATACAATCATAAAGATATGCTGCACTTAAGCCTTCATCATCTGGATGAACTTGTCTCCCAAGGCATCAGCAGCCATGGGGTTTGCACCACTGACAACTTCACGGTCAACAGTGATGTATCCGACCTTCTGGGCAAGACCCTCAACCATATCAGCACCCTCTGCACGTAGCGCACTCTCGACCTTTGGGATCTCAGCACCCAGCATCGTCTCCATCATGGACTCCTCCATGTCAGACCAGCTGGTGAGCTTGTAGCCAGCATACAAGAACTTGCCGCTTGATGCCTTGGTGGATAAGAAAGCGTAAGGTCCGTGGCAGATAGTGGCAGTAGGCTTCTGCTTGCCGTGGAAGTGCTCAAGAATGCGACCCAAGTCCTTGTTGTCGCCGAGGTCTGTCAGAGGTGCATGGCCGCCAGGGATAAGAACACCACGGAAAGATTCAAGTTCGTCGTTGCTGATGTCTCTGAATTTTCTGGGCGAGGAGAAGCCATTTTCTTTCTTCATGCGCTCGAGCAGTTCGTTCTCACGGCGGCGCTCGTAGAAGTTTCCGGCAAAGGCGAGGAGAGATTCACTGTTGGGGTCGGGAACAGGCTCCTTGCCTTCAGGTGTAGCGAAGGTGACTTCATAGCCTGCATCCAGAATCTTGGAAAGTGGCTTTGCGAGTTCCATGAGGAAGAAACCAGAAGGTTGTGAAACGACCTTGCCTGCATCAGGACCAGAAGTCTTCTTCATATCGAAGTGGTCGGCATCGGAGAGGATGATGAGAACTTTTTGCGAAGATGCCATGATTGTTGATTTGGGATTTTTGTGTTGTTGATAATAGCAGATATGAATAGTTTTAGAAGTGAGATAACAATAAGAGCAGAGAAAATAATCGAAGAGATGGTGTTTTGTACCATGATGTTCCGCCGATATCCACAAAAGTCACTATGACGTCGGGCTGACCATCAACAAAGATATCCATTTTTCATGTGCTATGCTCGTATTCGAGTCATGGTGTTGAATGTTTGGAGAGTTGAGCTCTGAAGCAAGGTCTACGTGACAAATAAGCGGATTGTTTCCAATTCGTTATGTTCCCAGTGATCTGTGGTGAATGTGTCCGGGAACTTGGACAAAAAGGTGTTTGACTGAGACCCAAATTCATTACATCGACAAAATCAACAGCAACAACCCCTTCTTCTCATTATATCAGCTCAAAAACTTTATCACTAAATATTTGAGTCTTCAAGTGCTACTCTGATGTTTGGAATTCTCCAGAGAGCGATATACCGACGATATATCGTCGCAGAGAAAATAGAGCAGGGTTGCACTGACAACAACAATCTGGTTCTGCCGAAGTTCTGCCATCAGACGCGTCTTGATCGCGTCTGATGACGTTCAATCCTTTCTTTCCATATCTATTCACATCAACCCCATCTAGACAAAGCAGAATATCAGCAAGTGAATGTCTTGATTCGGTACAGATCTCCTTCTCTTGCTTCGAAATCAGGCCCTTCCGTCGTCGCTGTAGGTGATTTGAACATCCGTCTTCTTCACAATGCGATCCTGAGATCCATGACTCTCGATCGAGTCAGAGTCTAATTGGCCTTCTACTCGCGAACTTGAACGAGTTGAAGGCAGTGGCGGCGGAGTCAAAAAGCGCGACTGTCGGGTCTTGCTCACTGAGCGTAACTTCGAAGACTGTCCGGACTTGGAACCTCGGCTAGCGTTGCTCACAGGTACTTTCGTGTGAGTACTGAGGCTAGTCGCAGCACGCTTCAAGGGTTGAATCGCTGTCGCGAGAAAGCTGTAACCAACCAGAGCGATTTGCCAGTGAAGCGCGGATCCATACACGATCGTGGAGCTGTTCTCTGAGTCGATGTAATGATTGAAGGCAACGACGAAAGCAATTGAGATTGGTATAAGACTGGGAATATCAGTTACTACAATCCTGGACAGCCGGAGAGCTTACTGACGGCAGTCTCATGCCAAATATACTTATGACGGTGACTTTGTATTGCATCTTCATGTTGAGTCCACAGAACAAATATGATGACGACAGAAAGATGAACAGCTCGATGATGATGCTGAGAATTAGAATCGCCTCAAGGCTCTTTGCCTACAGTTATGTGAGCAATCGTCCCGAATCTGTCATGCGCTCTCTTGCTGACATTACGACTGCAGACCACTGGCTGAGGCGCAGGTGATAGATGTAGTTGCGAACAACGAGAAGCCCAAGTAGCAGCAGCGGAAATCGCCCAGATAGCGGTGAGCCCTGAAACACTAGCAAACACTGCAATGTACTTCTTGTCTCTCATGGTGCCTCTGCAGATGATCTTGTACAGCATTGCCACTGTCGAAAGTTTCGAGAAGCCGTCTGCAACGAAACACAAACACGAGCTCTTCATGACTAACTATGGCTTATGTCAGCTGCTACGCTCCCCATGGACTGGCATCTCCTTACTGAGGCAATCCGAAGGGTTTGCTCTTCTGGTAAGCTGCGATGAGAGATACCCAGTCCATCATGGAGCGCTTGATAGATACATCCAAGCGACGCCATGGCGAGGATCTGGGACGAATGTCAATTGCGAAAATACCAATCCAGTGACTTCTCACTCACGAACGCCAGAATGAGAAGCAAGTCCTCCAGTCCATACTCATGACCTCGTACAATGAGGTGCAAGACAAGAGCCAAAGCACACAGGATGACTGCCCATGTGTTTTCCACCCAGAGCCAAGGCGACGCATCTAGATCGATCAAGCGTCCAGTCATGATAAGAGAAGGATGAGGTCGGAGATGAACCAACACCGCGAGGTTGGTGAATCACGTTGGATGCTATATCTTTCGACTCTGCCCAGGAAAGTGGTCCACGGCATCGACACAATTGCAGAAGCGCTCCCTGCTGCTTACCACCATGCCTTGATCGTTCGACTCCAGGTCATAGCATTTCTGTCAGGGTATTTTCACAGACGTTGGATAGCGCATATCCGTGCATCTGCGATACAAGGATTGTGAGTCGCAGTGATGTCGAGCTCGAAACAGGCAGTCTGCAAGCCACACACTAGTTGATGGACGCGAACGCACCTTTTGTGGTGAGCTTGAGCAGGGGCATGTCGGAAAGTTGTTTAGGCATTGCTTTGTCGGGATTCTGAACTTGTACTCAGCCAAGTTCCAACGCGGGATGGTTGGCAGCGAGCGACGTCGAGAATTTGATCTACGGATTCAACATCCAATCGAATTCGTCATGAAACTGTGTCGAATATGTATAAGTTCATCATTGTCGGATGTTATGGCAGTCGCGTGATGTTGATTGTGTTGAGCCGCTGCTGTTTTAGAGGGCGGGGTGAACCATTGCTTCGGGACTTGTTCGCCATCTACCGCGCCCCATCCGAGCTCCTGCACGACCCTGATGGTTCCAAGAAGATCGCTCTTGAGTCATGACCATTCAAGTTTTAAGGGCCACCTTTGGAAATAGCGGATTGATGATCAAAGGATATTGAAGCTGAGCTGGACCATGTCCGTCCCCACGATATTCTCGTCGCACCTCCTCGCAACACCTCAATTCCAGCTTCATTATTGCTGAGACTTTTCAGAGGGACCAGCATTAGATACAATCTGTCGACACCGACTGTGGTTGTTAGCCGCTTCATACGCGGCGCCGCAGAGCCTATAGGGTCCTGGCCGAGACTTGCATGATGACAGTCTGCAATATAAATCAAATTGGCTTCTTTCCAATAGGCTTTGGCATTTGATGTATGACCCAGAAGAATGTTCGACTAACATCGCGGACCATGTGGCACGAACACAGAGCCGTGTCAATCACACTCATAAACCTTGTCAAGTGCATTCTGCTCGAGCACTCTGCATATTAAGCGAGACCTGGTCCTTGAGATCATCTCTACATTCTCTTCTTCTTTTTTGGTTGTTGAACGAATGGCGTGTCCACTTCTTTAGTCATGCCTCAGGATTGACACGGCATTGAAGAATGCGACACGGGCTGAGTGAGTTGTAGGCCATGTATATAAAACTGTCAGTGCCCATTCGATCAAAGTGTTTTCTTAGACCTTTACAACCAGCGTATTCGTGAGGCTACAGTCAATCAGGATGGTAGTCATCAAGCGTCATGGTTTTCAGGAGGATGGCCCATCAACGCATCATGAATCGTCTATCGACGACAGAGATATGCAGCGGATGGCGCTTCCTGCAGAGCTTCGCGTGAGCATTCAAAAGGTGCTCAATAAGTTCAAAGTGGCTGAAGAAAGAACAGCGTCGTTTCAAGCTTGCCTCTGTGATCGGCTTCGCGTGCATTTCCGGAGCAACCTGGGAATGGGCACTTGTGTGAGTTGTTCATTGTCATTCGAACAATAACACCCATGCTGATTTGTTGCATAGGTCCAGCCAGGGTGGCCTCACCAATGGTGGCTCAGGAGGTTGGTCATCGCCCTTTTCAGGAGCATCCGAGACTAATTGAAGCAGGTGTAATCTGGATCTTCCTAGCCGTGATGATCGGGATGTTCACAGTCGTACTTTCCATGGCTGAGATGGCATCGATGTACGTGGTGATTCATATTCCCTCCCTGAGAGAAAGCTGATGAATTACAGAGCACCAAGCGCTGCTGGACAATACATGTGGGTGTCTGAACTTGGTCCTCCAGGAGCGCAGCGTCTGCTGAGCTATTTTGTCGGTGAGTCAGTGCGAACCCGCATACAAAAGGGATATGCTCATGCGTTGTAGGATGGTTCGCCGCCATAGGATGGCAAGGTGCTGCTGCCAGTAATCCTCTTGTTCTTGCACAGCATGTCGAAGCCCTCGTCGCCTTGAACAACCCCACATTCGAGGTCAAAGGCTGGATGACGAGCCTTCTCATGATTGCATGCGCAGCTCTCGCAACTTCCGTCAACATCTATGGCATCCGCTTTTTGTCGTCTCTGGAAGCAATCATGCTGGCGCTCCATGTTGTAGGATTCTTTGCGGTCCTCATTCCATTGTGGCTGATGGGCGAGCGGAGTAGTACACACGATGTCTTCTTCATTTTCGAAGACAATGCTGGATGGGGAAACCTTGGCACAGCTTGCCTGGTAGGCCTTCTAGGTCCAATTATGACCCTAATTGGCGGTGACTCGACCGTGCATCTAGGTGAAGAAATCAGAGATGCTTCGCGGACCTTGCCCCTATCGATGGTGTTCACCTCCCTGATGAACTACGCTGTCGGCTTTATCATGACTATCACTGTCATGTACGTTTCCTCGAACTTCGATCAGACGATTGCCGACGCGACCGGCGAAAGCTATGTGGCAGTGATTTATGCTGCCACAGGATCCAAGACTGCAACGACCATTCTTACCGTCCTCGTCTTGGTGTTGTTCTTCTGTACAGCCATCAACACAGTCACGACTTCCTCACGTCAACTGTTTGCTTTTGCTCGTGACGGTGGCCTGCCGTTCTCGAGTATTCTGGCGAAGGTTGACACGAGGACTGGATTGCCAATCAATGCGCTCCTCGCAACATTCGGAGTTACCTTCGTATTGTCCTGGATCATCTGCGGGTCGAGCATCGCCTTCCAGAACATAACCTCAATCACGATTGTCGGGCTCTTGCTTTCTTATGGAACGACGATTGCAACCATGATCTACCGACGATGGAGTGGTGTACCATTGCCTGCAGCTCGTTGGAGGTATCCACAGGCTTTTGGCTACTTTGTCAATGTACTAGCCTTGTGTTTCGTCACGATTGCATTCATCTTTGCATACTTCCCAACTGCACCAGGTCCTTCTGCAGAGTCGATGAATTGGAGTGTAGTAGTTACCGTGGCAGTCGTGGTGGTTGCGACAGTTTATTACTTCATCCGCGCGTCAAGCACTTTCGAAGGGCCGGCAGTCAGGATGAAGAAAGCTGAGGATGACAGCATGTTTGCTATGGAGGACATCGCAGTCCGAGGGAAGCAGTGATGGAGGATAGAGCATGTCATATACCGCAGTAATCTCACGAACGAGCTCATCCATATCAACGATACAGTCTCCGAGAGCGTTTGTGTTTGCAAGAAGGTTGAAGACGCGACGCGAAATCCGACACTTTCGGGGAACTGTTTTCCGAGCCGCAGTTGCCCCACCGTGCCTTTTCCGAACAAGGAAGCCATCCTCGCAGCATGGACCTTCTCACACATACCATACACCATGACTTGCAGGCATGTCAGGAACACGCAGCCGCACAGGCTGTATGGCATGTCGACGTCGAAAGAAGCGATGTGATGAAACAAAGCCAGTTTGCCGACGCTGTCAGATATCTGGCGCGTCTTGTGTTTTTCCTAATGCCGATGGAGCTTTCAGCGAACGATACCTTATCTCGTCAGCCCTGGAGCATTACATGTTACCGACCAGTCCTTCTGAGCGACACTTTGTCAATCTTGGCCCAAGAGACATTGCTCGTCTGTGTCTGGCTTATGGCTCATCAGCCGATGGCATTTCGAGGGTTGAAATTCTGACCAGCCAAGAGATACCGAGGGCATTGTCCGCGGCCAACGCCCTTGTAGACGTGTCTGAGAGACAGCTACTTCAATACTGTAAGGCCAACCGGAATCGACCGTAGTATGGGCTAACTCTCTTTACAGACTCCGAAGTGATCAGCGTGAGCAGAGTATATGTTACTGGAGACGAGAACCCGTTCTGTTCATTGACTATGCCAATCGTACATACCCGCCGTGGCCCTTTACTTTACACAATTCTTGCCTTGAGCGCAGCTGAGATGGCTAGTTCAGGAAATAGCTATTCCGATGGGCTCATGGCCAAAGCTTCAACATACTATGACAGTGCGGTCAAACAATTACAGCTCTCACTAGCCAACTCGAATGATGCTGAAGAGAACATCCTGACCTGTGTACTCCTGTCCTCTTTCGAAATCTCCAACGGACAACATCCAGCCTGGCTGCAGCATCTCAATGGCGCTGTGGCCATACACAACCATTTTGCACCGTTCATCAGTCGAGAATGCGCCCTCTTTGCTTACCAATACTTTGGCTTCAGATGGATATTGTTGGAGACTACTATGCCTCCAGGAACTTATCCATTAGAAGAAGTGACAAGCGAGACCTCTATGACTGCCCGACTCTTACAGAACTTGAGCACAATGTTACAACAGACTATCGACACAGTACCTACCGTTGCGATGCAGAACATTGACAACAAGCTCGGTTGTTCTTTAGAGTATCTGCAACTTGTCAACAGGATATCGACATTATCAGCTCTCAAGTATCATTGCCAGGCAGACAAAACTGTTGCAGAAGAGACATCCGACCTATACTCTATCACAGCATTGGCTTTTGATGATGCTCTGAGTGATATGGTATTTGTTACCAAGACCCGAGATCACTATCTCGAGCACAGCAGTCAATGCTTCAAACTTGCTGGGAGAGTATATCTTCGCCTGATCTGCCTCGATGCCAATCTCACCCAGTTGGCTTTGACTGATATGCAGATTGATCTGCTGCAGGCGTTGCGCTTGGTCATCAACGAGGATCAGCAACGCCGTGCTTTTCCTATGTGGCCGTTGTTCATCGCTGGTTGCGCATCCTTCGAGGATGTGCATCGAAAGAATGTCCTAGATATGTTTCGCACTCTCGAGAGAAAATGGCCTATAAGCAACATCTCATATGTCCGGAATGTTACGACACAAATCTGGCAGAGTCGAGACTTGAATGGAGTTGACAACAGCCGAAGACACGACTGGCAGACTCTTATTACGACGTTTGGCTGGAAGCTTGCTTTGTCTTGAAACTCGCGTTTGGCTTTACACATCTACACGGACTCGCGCTCATCTCATGGAAACTTTCCAATTTCAGTTCAATGGCAACGACAATCAAGATTTGAAGCAGGGATTGTCGAGGTTTCATACGTATACTAACTACAAACGCGCCTGTAAGCCTCCTTTTCTGGCCTCGTCAATCAACTCACTCAGCTCTCTCGACTTTCCGATACGCCAGCTCACGGCATCACCCCAATCCTGACCTCTTTCATCCTTAGTCTTCCAACACCATCTGTCTATATTCTGCTTTCCATTGTCAAGTAAATCGACCACCCATTTGCCAAAGATTGGCATCATTTTGAATCCATGACCAGAATCGCCAGATAAGACAACGACGGAATCATTTGTATCTGGTAAAAAGTCGATACAGTATTCAGAGTCGCTGGTGTCGGCAAACCAGCACAATTTCTTGTCAACGAATGGTCGATCTGCCATCCATGGAAATGTCTCTGCCAACAACTTCCGCAGCTTGATCTCATCTTCAGCAGGTATGAAGTCTTGAGGCTGTGGTATTCTGTCCATTGGCGGTAGAGACGTGCCTTCCTTGTCTGTATTGCTGAATCCAGCACCAAGAGGACATAGCTTGAATAACTTTGTGGCGGGGTCTGGTTCGAAAAAGAAACCGAGGTCACGAACATTGATGACGGGAAGGCCACGCAGGTAGTCACATTCTTGCTCGGTGAGTTGTACGTGAGCGACGGACCAACTGCGTGCAGTGACGAAGCGGCCCATCCCTGAAACCAGTGAGGCCCCCCAAGCTCCAGAGGCTACGATTGTTCTTGCTGCGGGATGTGTGATGCCATCTGCTGTGCGTACGCCAGTGCATCTTCGATCCTTGCCTTGGCCTTCGTAGACAAGCTCTGTGACCGTACCAGCTGATTGACCAAGGACAAATTTAATACCCAGGGATGCGCAATGCAGGAAAATGCCTTTCAAAGCATTTGCAGAGTGAGCGTATCCAGCCAAACGGTTGAAGTATCCAGTGAACCCTTTGAGGGGTCCTGTGATCTGCCAGGCATACTTCTTGAACTCATCGGCATCGTTTAATGCTTTGATACCTGGAGCAAAAACTGGATGCTTGGAAACGGATGCAAGCGCGGTGTCCAAACTCTTTTTCGCCTTTGCAGGTGCGGTTCCCGAAGTTGCTACAATGTATCCAGTCTCATGATAGTACGGACCGAACAAAGGATCTTTCCAGGCTTCGATTGCTTCCTTCAAAACGTCAGCCTCTCTCCATTAGTACGTGTTCGTATTCACTCACAAGGGCAAGATCTGTGTAGAAGCTCTCTTCGTATTCTGCGCGAACGATCTTGTTGAGATCGTAGGCCGCGGAGTAGCGAGATGGGATAGAATCAGCAGTCTCAAAGACGGTGATATTTGTGTGCCCAGCTCCGTGAAGATGGAGCGCAGTAGAGAGACCCCAAGCACCCCCACCGACTATGACAATGGATTCAAACTTCGACATTGGCAAAGGGTCAATTGAAAGGTGATATGGAATCGAAGGTAACCTTCAAGCTTTTCATTGATGCCACATGTATGGGCATGCATTTATGACCCGGCTTTCATCCATCGAACGAGGCGCTCAATCCGGTAGTTATCTCCGTTCGACGATAAACCGGCTAGTGTTTCCGTCTCAAGTGTTGTAACTGATGCAAAACCTGTCAAGCAGATCCGATGACAGCGACGGTTAGCGTAGCCGCACCCCACGCCCCACCACGAAAGATAATGACGGCTTCGGAAGCACTACCGATGGCTAGCGTAGCCGCCTTGTGATAGATTTTATCTCGGAGGTATGCCTTTGCAATCCACGACATGGCCCTTGTGTGGTTTCAAGTTGTTGATGCTCTCATACTGTCGACAGGAGTGCTAGAATTACAGGGTTTTAAGATTTCAAGGACTTCAGATGTGACATTTCTCTATTCAACTCAAGCAAGATTGCTAGGATAAAGTACAGACTGTAGCGGAATCATCTCTTCCTTCAAGGTTCTAGGGGAAGTGAAGCGCATCAGAACTTTCGCACTTCCAGCCTTGTCATTCGTTCCACTGCTTCTGCTTCCGCCGAAGGATTGATGGCCAATCACGGCTCCTGTAGTCTTGCAGTTGAGATAAAAGTTGCCAGCCGAGTATCGTAGTGTGTCTTCTGCTTGACGGAGAACTTCCCGATCATTCGCGAAGATTGCACCGGTCAGAGCAAATCCACCTCCTTGCGTATCGATCTTGGCCATGACTCGCTCGAACTCTTCGTCAGGGTAAACATACGCCACGAGTACTGGGCCGAAGATCTCCTGATCAAATAGCTCATGGTCAAGCGTGTTTGCGGCATACAACGAAGGCTGGATGAAATGACCCTTGCTTCCATCATAAGAGCCGCCAAAGACCTTTTGGAGTCTGCTGTCGCCATTGGCCTTGTCTATAATCTTGGTAATCTTGTCAAATGCTCCTCTGTGAATAACTGGACCCAAGAAGTTTTCATAGTCTTCGGGCGGGCCCACTTTAATTGGTTCCATCTCTTTCTTAATCTGTTCGAGGAACTCCTGTGCTCTACTTTCTGGAATGTAGACTCGAGAACAAGCAGAGCACTTCTGGCCAGAGTACTCAAAGGCAGCTCGAACAGTGTGTTTGACAGCATTGCCTATGTCGGCTGATGAATGGATCAGGTGGAAGTTCTTACCAGATGTCTCTCCTACCATTCGAGGCATGTCGCGATACTTCTTGTTGACGACGCCTTCTGCTGCTTTGCCGTACAAGCTTCGGAACACGTCCGAGGATCCAGTGAAGTTGAGAGCTGAAAATTCCTTGTGTTCGTACACAGTTTTGGTGATGAGCTCTGCATCACCAGGTAGAAATTGGATGACGTTAGGCGGTAGACCAGCTTCGAGAAGAATCTGATATACCAGCCAGCTTGCATAGACGCCTGTGGGTGAAGGCTTCCACAGTACGACGTTGCCCATGATTGCTGGGCCGGATACAAGGTTACCACCAATAGCAGTGAAGTTGAATGGCGACACTGCATACACGAATCCCTCTAGGGGCCGCCAGTCTGTCCGTCTGCATAGCGTCAGTGTTGTTCTCACGAAAATCAACTTCTCAAGCCTCACCCAAAATTGCCAGGCGCGTTCAAAGTCGGCTGCTTGTTGTATACTTCCTCGGCATATGAAACATTGAATCGGAAGAAGTCTGCAAGTTCGGCGGCAGCGTCGATCTCGGCCTGCCATGCGTTCTTGCCTTGACCCAGCATCGTTGCCGCTACCAACTCATATCTGTATTTGCCAGCTACCAATTCTGCAGCCTTCAAGAAGATTGCAGCACGATCCACGAACGGAGTCTTTTGCCACGACTTCTTGGCCTCGAGCGCGGACGCAATTGCATTCCGGACGTCTTCAACACTTGCGGCACTAGACTTTGCGAATTCTCGAGCATGTTCCGAGGGTATAGTTGATGTGAGAGATTGGCTTGTTGTTCTTGAAATTCCGGAGACGTGAAGCGGCACATGCATAGGAAGTTTGGAGCGCAATGTCCGCAAGGCTTCGTCGAGCCTTGCTCTCTCTGGAGAAGACTTTGCGTAATGCAGATTCTCCTCGTTGCGAGCGTTCGGCAGCTTGAAGTGGCCGCTTGTGGCTATACCAGCCTTTAAGGAAGCTATACGGATGGATGGTCGGACATGATTCCATGGAAGTGTTTGTAAGCGTAAAACAGAACGCATTGTCAAGAAATGTCTTCAAAGCAGCAAGGTTGTTTCTAGTTGTCGTGTTTGGCTCGGGAGAAGGGTGATAGCTTGGAGGGAACTTGTGAGGAAAAGTTCAACCTCGCCGCTAGGCTCTCGCTCACAGTCAATGACATGGCGATAGACCGCAGGCGCTTCCGCTAGCCTTCGGATTGTGCTACCGATATGTCTTATCAACTCATGAAAGTTCGCCGACATTTGGAGGGTGTGAGCTCCTGGAGCTGATGACGGAGAAGGCGCAGAGTGGGGAACTCGGCAGGGTTTCCGCGCTTACGCTAACCTCTGCTCCTGAACTCACGACAGACCACCTTCTTTCTTGTTCCAAATCGGAGGTCACCCGACCACGGTGAACAGTAGTCCAGTCTCGCTCCTATACACCCTTCTGACTGGTTGTTTTAGCGATTTTGGGGAAGCCAACGCGACATATTCAAATGTATCAACCTCGAAGATTTCAGTGTCGGGAGAGTCTGCATCTTGTGATTCTATGACAAGACACAAACCATGCAAGCAACAACTACATCTCAACACATTCTGAAATTCAGCACTAGGTCTATACCATTGTCTTCCTACGATGCATCCAGAATTCCAATCAGCCAGACACGTCTTCGGTATCGTTGCCGCGGCTACACTTCTGTGACGTCCAAACGGCAAGATGTTTCGCATGTTCCCAGCACCTCTTTTCGACGAACTCTTCAAGCCTTACCAACAACCACTCTCTTGCGATCGCTTGTAGTTCTCTCGGCCACGGCGCTTCCGGCGAAATTACTGGCTTCTCTCATTCGCTTGACCAAAGAGCACGTTGGCATCATCGAATCTGTCAGTCCTTTGCGATGGACCTTCAGAAGATTATTATACGACAACTTCTGCATTGGCTTCCGTAAAGATGAGATTCGGACCAAAACCCAAGAGCTTCGTCGCGTTGGCTTCACGGGAATTGTATTGGCGAATGCTCGTGAGGCTCAGCCTACTACAGATTCTCACGTAGGCTCGGTGATTGGAGACGTTCAGTGTGAGGAATGGGTCAACAACAATCTCGAATCTGTGCAAATGGCGGAGCCTGGCGACTACATCGGTCTGAGGTTCACAGGCGCAGGTGCAGCAGCCGCGAAGTTCTTGTCGGACTTCTCGGCTACTTGCAAATCCCACAATCTCGGAGAGGCGAATAATCTCTATGCTTCTGAGATGCAGTACTATACTTTGCAGGTGGAAAGGATATGCAAAGCAGCTGAAGCTCGAAAAGTACGAGTTTTGATCGATGCCGAGTCGTCCACCTACCAAAGGGCGATCGATTGTGCCGCTCTTGTGAGTCTTGTTAGTACTCGTCCAATGACTCGAATGACTTATATCTTAGCAAATCATGCGTCGCTTTAACACTTCGCCAAGAGCTCTGGTGTTGAACACTTATCAAATGTCAGTTGCACGCACCTTTTGACAAATGTCGATACTGACTTTGAATAGGTATCTCAATTCAAGTGCCGACAAACTCAGATTGCATCTAGATCACTCAATCAAGCATGGCTATATACTCGGGATCAAGATGGTGCGAGGCGCATATCTTCACACTGAACTCGACAGACAATCTCTTCACATCTCCAAACAACAGACTGACGAAGCTTATGATGATACTGTCCGTTTCCTGTTGCGAGAAGGGAGCGGTGCAGCCTGGAAAGCCGATGTCATGCTAGCAACTCACAACGCAAAAAGTGTCCGACAAGCCTTTGACCTATACACCAGCACTTGCATCACCTCGAAGCAAAACGACAGATTCAAGCCTCAGGTCTGTGGTATGACGTTTGCGCAGTTGATGGGTATGGCTGATGAGGTGTCTATGGACCTTGTCAGAAGGATTGAGCAGGCGAGGAAGGAGGATTTGCTCAGACATCTAACAGAGGTGGACACTGCAACCATGCATCCTCGTCTTGGCGTTTATAAGTATACTGCTTGGGGATCTTTGCGTGATTGTCTCCTGTACATCTTGAGACGAGCAGAGGAGAACAAGGATGCTGCTGCTAGAACCCAAGACACTGCTTTTGCGATATTGCGCGAGCTGAGATCGAGAGTTCTGAATAGAAGTTGACTTTGAAACGTTGCATTCATATCACGACTTAATACAATCTTCTCAACTGCAGTCCAGTGACATCGCTCTCCAATAAAAGTCTTAAGGTGTTTGTGTTTTCCTCTGTGTCATTGAATGATCGGGATTGCCGCGGACGTTATCTGGTTCAGGTCAACATTGGGTACGTCTGAGTTCTGCAACGGCAGCTGCGGAGAGCTTCGAGCTAGTGCAGGCGCCTTGCTATCAGTCATCACCCAAAGCCATCGTTCTCGAACCATACCCCGCCTTTGGAGTTTCTGCCGACACATGGTGATAAGATGTGAGAAAGTTAGCGTAGGCGCCTGTACCAATCACCTCGTGCGATTTTCATCATTCCTTCCTCCGTTACTTCATCTTGTGATACAGTATTGCGAATGTTCTGTTTGTCTTTTCCTATACAAGAAGTGATATCCCTCATTGCACCTAGATCCAGATCCTGTAGTTGACGAAATGCTTGGTAGAGAGGTTGCATGACCAACGAGTCGTTGAAGATAAGCAATGCCGACTTGAGCGATGCGGACTGTACTTAAGGTCTTTTGAGCAGGAAATCTGACCAATCTACCACTCTCTACTGCAAATACTTTCCAATACTTCGTTCCCACTCACCTTTGTGTAGTAACGCTCACACGCGTCAACCATCAATCATGACTTCTTATCTGAACTATTTCGGCTTTGGAGGTGACAAAGCGTCATCTGCGAAAGTCGAAGACGCCCTACCAGCAAAGCAATCTCCAGTTCGAGCCTTGCCGGCTGCATGGTACACTTCACCGGAGATGTACGAGTTTGAGCGACGAGCTATCTTTACTCGTAGATGGCTATTCATGACCCATGCCTCGCGCATCAAGAATGCTGGAGATTTCCTTCGCTTCAACATTGCTGGGTACGATGTTATCATCAACCGCGATCGTACTGGAGCGGTCAACGCCTTTCACAACGTATGCAGACATCGTGCTTATCCTGTAGTTGAGAAGAAGGAAGGCAATGCCAAGATCTTCGCCTGCAGATATCATGGCTGGTCGTACGGTCTGAACGGCAACCTTGCCAAAGCACCAGGGTACCAGAATCTCGAAGGTTATCAGAAAGAGCAAAACAGTCTTTTCCGCATCCACGTCAAAGTCGACATTAACGGTTTCATCTGGATCAACATGGACGCAAAAGAAGTGCCAGAAGTGCCTTGGGAAGAACACTTTGCCGATGTCGACAAGCAAGAAAGATACAAAGACATTGATTTTGACAACTACGAACTCGACCATACTTATGAGCTGGAAGGAGAATTTAATTGGAAGATTCTAGCCGACAACTTCAATGAGTGCTATCATTGTCCTACGACCCACCCGGACATCCCTGATTTCATTAATCTCGAAACTTTCGATTCTGATCTCAAGGATGGCCATATACAGCATCACTGTATTTCTACTCCAGAGCAAGCAGCCAAGGGCTTAGGTGTGCACAGTACATACTACTTTCCAAATACTTCCATGACCGCCTCGTAAGTTACTCTACCAACATTGACCACGGGACACCCAACGCTGACACGCAGAAAAGACCACACTTCATCATGATCCAGAAGTTCCTGCCCAGCGGTCCTCTGAAGTCAACCATGAACTATGAGATCTACCGCAACAAGCACTCTTCCGAGGAAGATTTCAAACTCATCAGTTCTATGTACGCTCGCGTGATGGCAGAAGACAAAGTGCTTTGCGACCAAGCGCAGAAAAACCTCAACATTGGTGTATTTGTGAACGGGCAATTGCATCCGAAGTACGAAAAGGCACCATTGTTTTTCCAGCAAACTGTGCGGGAGGTTATCACGGCTCACTTTAGGAGGGAGCAACAAGAGGGAAGACAGATTTGGCCAGCGAGGAGAGAAGCTGATGATGAGGTGAGTAAGGATGACATTTTGATTTGCGAGGGGATCAGCTGTGGTGAGAAGAAAGAGGCTTTGGTTTGGTAATTTGAGAGAATGATGGAGGGTATAGGGATTCTTGTGTATCGTCTGGCTGCAATATATCAGACCGTCAGAATTGCCAGTTGCTTGCCGAATTCAGTTGTTCTTGTATCTCAAGTGTTTTTACATGAGAAAGCATGTGAATCTCACAATGGCAAGAGCTTCCTGATCGTTCATCACTTTCCCCCGGCTGCAATGCCTCGTTGCAAGATTTCGTCCAAATGACGACGGGACCAGCGCGAGAATAAACATAGGCAAGATAGATCTGATTCAAGGAGGATGGAAACCACGAGACGATACTATAGTCCGACAACCAAGCATGAAGAAAGATCAGATTGACACTTACTACACACCTTATATACCAACACCGTCGCCTCTCTTCCATCAATCAACCATCGCTTTATCGCCAGGCGGTGGTTGGCCCAGCGGTCATGCGCCAGCAACGAATTGCTGGCGACCTCCGCTGGAAGGTCTCTGGTTCGACTCTCAGAGTCGGACCTTGAGAGCCACTTATGGCTCCTTTCGCTCAAAACGAAACTAGTGTATCTGGTGGCTTTCTCCCCGCTGATAGGCTCTATACGACTGAGCCTCAACAGCGGGGATTTGTTTCGCTGGTTCGTCAGTCGAGTTGGAAAAATGATTTGTGAGTTGATGTCGGGCTTGTTGTAGTTGACTTGTTATGTTGCCAATGACTTTTGTTTGTGAGCAATTGCGCCAATGCGATATGTGATCTAGACCTCATAACCAATGACCAGACTTTTTAGGTAGAACTCGCACTTCTCTCAGCACAGAGCTATCTGTTTTTGAACTACTCATTTGAATTACTCATCTGGAAAGCCATACCAAACTCCAACATTCAACAATAGCCCTCACAGCTTCACCTTGGCAATGTCCGGCGCATCGATTGCGATACCCCAGTCCTCTTTGATGAGATCAGCAGCCTTCTCTGCCACAGTATATACACTGCTGCAGATATTCCCGCTGACGTGGTTCGGGAACACACTTGCATCAACCACTCTCAACCCTTGAACATCCTTGACCCTGAGCCTGCTATCCACAACTTCTCCCATTGCGCAGGTACCGATGAGATGATACTCGCCCATGACCCAATCTTTGACGGCTTCTTCACGGTCTGCAGCCTTGTCAAGATCTCTCGATGCGGCTGGGTAGGTACGACTCTGAATTAGTGGAGCAAGGTGCTTGGTCTTGGTTGTTTTGTGCATAAAATGGAGGCCGGCTGCAAGGACTGCAACGTCGGCGGGATGTTTTAGGTATGCAGGATCAATAATTGGGTGAACTGATGGGTCTGTGGCACGACTTATCAGCAATGGAGATCTTACTTAGCAGTCATTCGCTGGGTTGCACGGCTTACCAGCACTCTTGATATGGCACGAGCCCCGAGAAACAGGATACTGCAGAGCCGGACCTAAGACCATGCGGTGATTCCTTGTGTTATCAGGTGGAGGCCACACTTTCTGCGTGCGGAGGCCCTCTGCAGTATAGTCTGCTCCAGCGGGTATCAGAATATACTGCAAATTTGCAGACTTGTCGCTTTCAAGATGCGCAATCACTTGGTTCAGCTGCTGTTTGTAGAAGGGTGTGGTGTCGGAGGCACTCTGCTTCTCACGAATGCTCTTGACGGTCTTTTCGAGATTGTCGGGGGAGACGACAGCCTTGTAGGGAAGGAAACCTTGTGTGCCACTTACGGAGGTCAGCGGTCCTCGTTGATGCTCGACGTAAGCGCGTGTGGCTGCTTCCATCGTGTCTGGGTCGCCCATAATGTCGGAAGTGATATTACCAGGCTTGAGCTCCAGACCAAGGACAGTAACAGCATGATCCTGAAGATTCCTGCCGACGCCAGGAAGCTCAACCTTACACTCAACGCCAGCCTGTTTGAGGATTTCAGGATCACCAATACCAGAAAGTTCCAAGATTTGTGGTGAGTTGATCGTGCCTCCACATCGGTTCAAGTGTTTCATGCTTGCGCATATACGGTTTGAGAGCCTTCGAAGACCAACCAGAATCTCCGACGAGAGTTGCCCAGTCATCGTAGTCTGCATCAGATCCTCGAACGTACCTGATCCAATCAGTATACATACATTATACATATCAAAGTAAGATGCGAAATTGCTAACATCATATAGTTGATGGCACTCGAGCCTCCAAGAGCTTTTCCTCTGCTCAAGTGATGTTCAATGCCACGTTGCTGGGATTCATGTTAACAGAGGCACAAGTTTCACTCATGACGGATCTCACCTGCGGTACTGATTTGAAACAATGATCATATTCAGGATTGCCTAACATTTGTACGAAAGCAGCAGGACTATCCACGAGAGGATCATCAAGTCTTGACTTGCCGACCTCGAGTACTCCAACGACGACTTCAGGATCTTCTGTCAAACGGGCAGCTACAGCAAGACCAGCCGTACCACCGCCGATGACAATGAAGTCGTAGTTTTCTGATAGGAAGCCCCGAGCGCAGGCAGCAAGTGCTGGGAGGGACTCGGTAGCATTGTAGATACCATACAAGCCCCCGCCTTGACCATTAGTATCAGTGGTGGCTGTCATCTTGATGGTTGGTTGATCTGTGTCGTTCCTCGAGCGAAGAGCACAGCGACTTTATACATGGCAGCGGCAAGAGAGCTGTGGATAGCTCATGCTTGGCTACAAGGATAGCAGCATTGGCGTAGGAACTGTTGTCTCCTTTGTCGCTTCGTATCACTTCGTCAGGCGCCGGCGGCGTGCAGAAGGGCAGACGATGCAATCTGGAGATGCATGTCCAAGCCTCGACCCCTCTTTGGCGTCGCGTTTGGCAAGAACGTGGTGAGATCTTCTACCTTTTTCAGATCCCTCGAATCCTTACCGTAAGCTGTTGCTCGCGCGTCGCTGTCAAGATTGTATATCTGACACGGCGAGCGCAGTGGTGTGCATGTTGATCACAATCCTTCTCATGCATGTTGTTCCAAGACCCATCTGAAGCCACATTTCCTACTCTGATATCGACCTCGTTTGACCGGACCGAGGATAGACAATCATATCATACTTGTTACATTAGTATCGCGTCTAGAATTTCAATACGTAAAAACATTTGGAAAGCCCTCTGACTAGCTGGAGGAGTAGGATTCCGAAGGTTTGGGAAGTGCTACAAACCAGAGGAAGCTTTGACCAAGTCTCTTCTTATGTAAGCACTAGCCAACCTTCCGACGAGCAGCACCTCAATTCTCCCCAGCTATACAGAGTGATCCACAACTCTATCTCTCTGGATCTGGGGGTAAGTAAGATAGAGTGTGTATCTGTCTCTTTCATTCAAATTATACACGGCTTAGGGTTTGTGGAATCCCAAAGATCTAGAGACAAAAGGTCACCTCCGCCAAGCCGGCCCAGACAATGATGAACTTACATCGACCCGACCTCAATCCAACCCTCTGCAGTGATTGTCATCCTTGTCCTACTCCCGAAATGCCTTTGATCCGAATTTGGGAATATCAGAACGTCAAGACGACATCGAAGAGTTTTTCTGCACACGGCAAGCCGTCGTTATAGTCGGACCGCGTCGCGCAAAACGGCCCATCGCCAGGGTTGACTCCAAGGTTCAATACATGTTATACCACGACCTGTTATGAAGAGCTACAAGTCGGCGGCATGCCCAAAAAGTGAAAACGCCAAAATCTCACTTCCGAAGTTCCAAATAATGCATGGCACAAAACCGAAATGACATGCTGCAAAAGAAGGTGAAACATCCGCGACGTCGGTGGAAAAAACCTCCCAGGGATGGTATGCCCTGGAACGCTTATGACGCTATACCAAGGGTAACGAGGAACGATTTGACAAGGCAAGACATACGGCTACACAGCCGAGCCGTATTTCCAGCACTGCTTGGCAGAGATCTGAGACCGACTGATTTCGGTAAGTAATGGGAGCGCGTGGTGTTTAAAACATTCTCAACGGCGCATGACGGCCCAGGGCACAACGTCTTCTTGGTTCAGTATCAAATTCTTGCTACTACGAAGAAATTTATTTGTCTGTATGAAGGGTTTGGTAAGTATTTAAGTTGAGATGAATGCCATGCCGAAAATGGCAGAATATCAATCTACTTCGAAGCAGTGTATACCACGACGACTATCATTACAAAGATGCACTTTCCTCAGATCTTCATTGCTTCAACGGCACTATACAGCTTGGCTCTGGCCCAGCCTGTGACATTGATCGACGACATCAAAGGAAAAGCCACTTTCACCCTCAATCAGATCCTCAACACTAACGTAACAGCCAAACCTCCTGCCCAAAAGCTCCTAAATGTATACGCAAAGTATGCAAAAGCAGGAGCATCAGCACCAACCGCTGTCAGAAAAGCAGCAGCTTTAGCAATGGCATCAGGCTCAGTCGCCAACAAGCCAGAACCCAGCGATACCATGTATCTCTGCCCTGTCACTGTGGGAGGCAAGACCTTGAACCTGGACTTTGATACCGGCAGCTCAGATCTCTGGGTCTACTCGAGCTTGCAGCCTTCCGCTCAACGCTCTGGACACGACTACTACAGCCCTAACAACGCAAACATCATGTCCGGCCAGTCTTGGAATATCGTCTACGGCGACGGCACAGGCGCAAGCGGTAAAGTCTACGCCGACAAAGTGGTCGTCGGCAGCGTAACCGCAACCTCTCAAGCAGTGGAGGCCGCAACCTCCGTCTCCTCAGGCCTGACCTCGCAACAAGACAGCGATGGCATCCTGGGCCTAGCAATGAGTTCCCTGAACACCGTGTCTCCAAACAAACAAACCACTTTCTTCGATACCGTGCGTCCTCACCTGGCCAAACAAGTCTTTACCGCAGACTTGAGACACGGCGCACCGGGCAGCTACGGCTTTGGCTATATCGACAGTACAAAGTATACAGGCAGCATCACCTACGTAAACCTAAACTCCAACAATGGATTCTGGCAATTTAACGCTGGAGGCTACGCAATCGGCAGCGGTGCCAAAGTTTCAAAGACCATCTCTTGCGTCGCTGACACCGGTACCACTTTGATGCTCTTGCCTTCCGACGTCGTCTCTGCCTACTACGCTCAAGTCAAAGGCGCAACCTACTCCTCCTACGAAAGCGCCTGGATTTTTCCCTGCAATGCCGCCATGCCAACTTTCAACGCCGTCATCGGAGGCAACAAGTTTGCAGTCCCTGGCTCCTACATCAACTTTGCAAACCTAGGCAACAACTGGTGTTATGGAGGTATGCAGAACGATACTGGAATTGGTTTCTGCATCTTGGGAGATATATTCATGAAAAGCCAGTTTGTGGTCTTCTCGCAAATGTCGTCCACACCGCAGTTGGGCTTTGCTGCTAAGAATCTGTCATGAACGAATTTGTTTTTCTTTTTTTCCGGGAGAGTTGTGGTTTTCGATTTGTGGGGGTTGGCTTTTAGGGATGGATCTGGTGTTAGTCAGATGGGAAAAGGGCGCTGCTTCGGGTTTGCATGGAAAAGGTTTAGATGTCAATATGATGGGAGGAGGCTGCAGGACAGCCTCCAACTGGGCTCGCACATATATGGAATAGAGGAGATAAGGGGTCTGGAGTTTATTGGACATAGACCGCATAGAACGTGTTGGATGTTCGGTTTTAACAGAGCATACACATCGGAGTATCATACATTGCTTACATTGAGCTTCATATCGGCATATTTGGGAACATTTCTGGTCAATGATTCATGATATTACGATTTTTCTTCCATCCTGGATATGTACCTGTCTGCTCGGATCGACGCTTTTGCTTCATCTCGTCCACTCACGCCATAGACCTCAACTTTTCCTGTTCGTCAGTAGTTAACTGTCCAAACACCTGCCCAAAGCCATCTTCCCGTGCCTTGGTAGCAAACCACTGGAGCAGATATCCTTGAGTCTCATCATCTCTGCTTCTGCTAGGCATATCATCCGCAACCATGCCCATCAAAGCCTCCTTAGTCATACCAGTACCCAAGTCCAAGAACCCATCGTCGTCTTCCCAATCCGAGTCGCCACTACCGACGGATTCTGCCTTTTCGAGCTCAGAGGCTGGAGCCAGTGTTTCAACACTACGAGAAACGTTGTTGGCTAGAAGTTCATCGACGAGGATCTTGACGATCTTGAGAGGGGCGGGGATGATGGTATATTGGTCGGGGTTGGCACGGGCACGGCTCCTAGTCATGATGCGCGTAGATGTAGGCATGATCATGTCGCCCTTTACCTGAACAGTGTCGAGGCGGGGGTCGTGAAGGTCGTAAAGGCGGGAGAGAGCGATGATGCTAGGTAATGATTAGCCATTATTCGTGCAAACGGATACTGAAAACTTACTTCTGTCTGATCTCATCATAACCGGCAAAGTTGATGGAGTTCTCAAGCCACTTGGTTAGAACGACTTGCAGACCGCTCTCTTCGCCGATAGCGAGTTGAGCAAGGAAGTCAACAACCTCTCTGGCCGAAAGCAAAGATAGTCTTGCAAATACAAGAATCAGACTCTGGATGACCTGCGTCTGTGTGGCAGTGCTGAGTCTGTGGGCGACAGCGCTCAGCAATTGTGCCAAGTATGGACCAAGTCTTTCGGACCCAGCCTTCTCGACCAAGGCGGCAGCAAGACCACCGACCTCACCGGCGGCATTGTCGTCAACAGAAGGACCAAGAAGACGGTCGATGATGACTAGAATGACTTCGAGACCACTCTTACCGTCGTGGTTTGCCCAATTGAACATTTGTTCGGGGTCTTTCTCCAGCATATACCGAGTGCCAGAGGTTGCTGACTTAAGCAACTCTTCGTCGGGAGATTCGAGTAGAAGACGTGTGAGCTTGGGCATGATGGTGACGATGAAGCCCTGAGGTAGTGGTGAGGGGCCATTCTTTGCGAGATCAGAAAGCATATCTGCAGCAAGGTTGGTCAAGGAGTTCTCATCAGTGAGGTTAGCAACATCAAATGCTCCTGATAACGAAGGCAAAACCTTGGCACAGAGTTGTGTGTAGACCTCAGGACCAGCACCTGACAGAGTCTCCGAGATGTCCTCAAATGTCTCGGCAATGAGGATGTAAATCTGGTAGTTGACAGCGCACCAACTGGCAATGGTGAAAAGGACATCCAAACCAGAGCCAGTCAAACAAATGCGAGTGTCAATCATAATGGCATCACGCAATGTCTCGACAATGGCAATCATGACATCCTCTGACTCGTCCATGTCGCTGAAGTCAAGCTCAGTGACGAATGTATGAATAGCGCTGATGATGGCAGGCTGCATCGAGACGTTGTTGGCAGAAGTAACGCCGGTGAGATATGCTTGCATGGAACGAATGCAAGACACCTTGACCACGTCAGAGGGGTCATTGGTAATTGCATGCAGTGATTGTTCCATAAGCGAGGATGCCACGGCTCCGAGAGCAGAGTCAGCGGTGCGGACCAGACTACTAGCGGTCAAGTGACCTCTAGCTCGAAGGAAGACGTGTTCCTGCTGCATTGCATATCTGATAAAGTCGATGTAGGCACTAGCAATTTCAGGAGCTATCGGTCGCTCAGCATCAGAGAAGTCAGTCAAGAGTTGGTTGAGGATGAAAAGAGCAGACTCCTTTGCCTTCCAGCTTGAGTCAGTCGAGTAGAGCTCGCGGGTGTAATGTAGCAGACCCTCGATGGCACCAGCACTCTGCCACTCGCCGAGTTTGATGGCCAAGTCAGCACAAGCAGTACGAGGAGTGTAGTTTGCAGTGACATTTGATTCCTCAGCAAGGAAGATGTTGAGATCAATGTCCCACAAGCCTTCCTCTTCCGTGGTAATGTGGGCATACGTCACAGTAAGCTTCATAACCTCTGTGATCCATGTGTCTGGCATTGACTGAGATTGCAGTTGCTCTTCGAGCTGTTTTCGGACAGGAGCTGCACGAAGACAAGCCTGCATAAAGTCCAGCTCTTCGAGCACCAGGAAATCCAGAGTGAACGGCAGACCATCAGCATCTTCAAGTCTACCTTGGCGATCATGGAGGATGAAAGATTCATGATATGGTTGGCGTAGATTGTTGAGCTCTTGCCATGTTGCGGCAAAGAGAGCAGGAGCCTGGGGAGCCAGAACCGAGGGGAAGATGGAACGAATACGCATCAAGACCTTGACGACTTGCAACTTGAGGGCGATAATGCCACGATATTCCTCAGCGACAGGGTTTTGGGACTCTTCTTGCTCGACAGGAGTGGCTGGGATGGGCATGTTCAAAGTAGCGAGGAAGAAGGGGTACCAGTTGTTGAGAGTCTCTTCAGCAAAAGACTTGACAGCAGACTTGTGGTCCTCCAAGACCATTTCTAGCATATCGAAGCATGATCTGAAGACGGAAACAGCCAGAGCGCGAAGGATGGTAGGGCGTGAGCTGGTTGCGACAGCGAAGACAGACGAGACGATCTGGTGGGCGACATTGAAGAATTGATCATCGTTGAAGCAGTCGTCAACCAAGTCTTGCAGGACCTTGAGGGCACCATGTAGTTGACCGTCCTGGCCGTTGTTGATGATGTGTAATAGGGTGGGAAGGAGGTTCGGGTATTCATCAGGAAAGTCGGCAGTAGCAATCTTGCTAACAACGATAGAAGCAGCACTCTTGATCTTTCTCTCCTGGTGTGCATCGGTGGCCAGGTCAAGTAGAGCTTGTCTCAGGTTTGCACGGTCTTCGACAGAGACGAGCATCTCGCCCTTGAACTCTTCGAACTGGGGAGACCATACTTGCTGTACAAACTGCTTGAGGAACAGCAGAGCAGCTTGGCGAGTGGGTAGGTCGATGGATTGATGTGTAGCGACGGCGATCAGGGTGGGAGCAAAGGTTGGGTTCGTGTAGAGCTGGCGAAGCTGCAGCTCAGCGTTGCGACGAGGAGCATCGTTGGGCGACTGGGTGTCGTGGAGGAGCTGGACTATTTGCTGCTCCATGGTGTGGTAGAGACGTGGTAGGCGATTTGCTTTAGCGTATCGCGGGGTAGCAAGGGAGAATCGAGGGGCACGCAGCGAGGGGCGCTAGAGGTTGATTATGTTCATGTACAATCTTCTTTGATCCCAGCCCCAGAAACTGCCTTGGTGTGATGTCAATTGATATAACAAGCAGCAATCAAGGTTGGGCAGCAGCTGTCGATTGATGATTTGCTGGCCGTGACTCGTCAAAGATTGCCCACAACACGCGACCATAAGCCAAGACGCGTCTTCCCAACGCGTATCAATTTACCCTTTTCACCACTTTCATCGACACTCCATCAACATGGATGACACTGATGTAGTCGTCACTTTCCAGACCTTCGTCGGCGTCTTTAGTGACTTTCTGATCGTCGCCATTCACACCATCCTCTATGAGCGCCACATCTACCCTCGCGAGTCCTTCCTGTCGGCCAAGAAGTACAATTACAGCGTCCGCCAGTCTCGACACCCCAAAGTCTGCCAATGGATCAACGACGCTGTCGCCGCCGTCCAAACCGAGCTGCTGAAAGGTACCGTAGACCGTCTAGCTGTTGTCATCTACTCGCAACAAGACATACCTCTCGAACGCTTCGTCTTTGATCTCAGCCGCTTCCCTTTTGTCCCAAAGGAATACCACTTTACTCCCATGTCACGTACCACCGACGATGGAGAGACCGTCGCCGTCCTTCCCAGAGTCGATCTAGAAGAGCAGATGCGTGCAACAATGACCAGACTGTCATCTTGTGGCTCCACCCTGAAGCCTCTACCCGAGAACTGTACATTTACTGTCGCTATAGAATTGCGTGACAATACAAGTCCTCCAATTGGTCATCCTCAACCTTGGATTCCTGCTCAGCCCGACCTCCGCAACAAAAACCCTGATGCTGCCAAGAAGAACAGTCGTACTACTCCTTTGCGAGCCGTTTCCGCCGGAGACATGGTCTTTGAGACCTGGATTGAAGAAGCAAAAGCGAAGCTCGATCCTGCTTGAAAATCCTTGCTACCATGCCCACTCCCTTGGAATTCAGCAGTCACCCCTCACATCTGCATCTCTGGCTTATTGACATCAACATGTCCGTTCCTCATTCCTCTGATGGAAAACTTCTTTCTCTCAGGCTCCTTGATACCCTCTGTCGGCAGGATTTGCGGCACGAGCGTCGTTGGTTCAACATCCTCCATCTCGGCTGTCGCTGGTCGTGTAGCACTATCGTGACCTGGCACATAAACAGTTGCTGTTTCGGTGACTGTCGAAACTGGCATAACAACTGTCTTCCAAAAGATTTTCTCTTTCTCGCAAGTGCCAACATCACAGGATGCCACTCGGAAAGTCCTTGTATTTCTGCCATAATCAATCGTTGCGTCCATCAACATATGGTTGTTGTCGTTGGTGAGAACCAATGTAAATACGGCGAACAGAAAGTTCAGGCCGAAGGCCCCGAAGCACAGAAGAAACAGCATATAGCCGCAAGGGTTGGTGTTGTTGGACATTGCTGTACTTCTCGCGAAGTTTCTTGAATAATCGATTGAATGTGATTTTGTCAGAGGTGATATGAACAAGGGAAGAATACAGGACTCAAGCTGGAGTATTCAAAAGGGCACACACTCGAGCTGCCTAAGCGTCAATTGGCTTTCGACGAACAAGCAAGGCCGTGAACATGACCTGATCATGCCATATCAACCCCACATAACACACTTCATCAAAGTCTTTCGTAAACATCATTCCAAGGCACCAAGGACCTCAAATCAAGCTCCGATGAACACTCCCAGTCCGAGCAATGCGAGTAACCACTTTGAATCCTCAAGCGGTGGACTGCCACATATCCACCATCTCATCGTCAACACCGCATCCGACTGATTCGTCTGGTCATTTCTCAGTATCTCATCCACAATTTTCTTCCATTAATCGCCTGATCAGAATCTCAACATCCTCGCCCTTTCCAGGACATCCCGACCATATGCGATTACCAATCCTGGTAGACATGCAGTCTGGCTTGATATGTTCCACGAGCAGCAAACGACAAAGAAAAGGAGTTGAAGTTTTCGATTGTATTTTTTTCGTTGCGGATGTTTGAGCAGATATACTGGTCTCGCTTAACGACAGCGGAAATACTCGTTCCTAAAACCTGGTGCTATCTCCATCAGATTTACCATTACATTACCTCGCCTAAAGCGACCCTTGTATCACAAAACTACCTCTCTCCTTCTCGCAGCAATACGGCCGAGAGCACTCCAAGATGTGACCATACTAGCCTTCGGGAAGAGACTGCAAGATAGTAGTGAGCCTTGCCCCTGTAAACAACACTAAGGCGGACTCGTTATCCGGTCACAGTGCCCCGGGCAAACAGTCTTGGTGGCAGTCAAATAAGCGTGCGTGGTGAGTCGGCCTTCGAGCCAAGTCCAGGTGCCTGGTCGATCAATCGTCATGGTTATAGGTCCCTTTGGAGCTGTTCCTGTGCAAAGCGATTGCCACTTGGTGCTCGAAATATCGCAGTATTTTCCGTGGACGACGTAGGCCAGAATGGCGACAAGAATGGTTATTAGAGCGGCAAAGCCCAAGATGTCCTCAACTTCAACTTCAATCGTGTCGCGACTTGGCTGCTCCAACTTGGAAGATTTGCTGCGCTTCTCCTTAGATGGAGTCTTCTTTATGGGCCGTTTCCCGGATGGACTCTTCTTTCTGGGTTGAGCATCGACATCTGAATTGGATCGTGAGCTGTCTTCCGGTCCCGAGACTGTCGTGTCGGTTGCATGTATCGACGTCTTTTCATCAGGTTTGACTTGTCTTCTGATAGTCATGTTGGGTTGCCGTCGATATGATCGTCGAAGAGGATGTGAAAATAAATGGGACATGGATTTTTACAGCCTACAGACCCGTCGAGTAGTATCCTTATGGTTGCTGGGACAAACAGCACATGAACAAAACGAATATTGAACTTGATTTTCTGCTGCTGCTTTTTGAGCAAGTATACAGAACACGCCAAGCGACTCAAAAGGTACATGGAGCTGCCTCTCTTCTGGATTTTCCTCTATCAATGTTGCTCGTATGTAATATCGCCTATTTTGGTGAGGCGGCGATTCAATATAGCGTACGTGCCCGGTTGAGGAATCGGCCACGCGGTGCCTTGTCCAGGAGCCTCTACTAAGGTAGGTGCTGAACACGATGTGCTTGCCAGAGCATGCGCCTCCCCCCTGCTCCCAACAGTTGTTGCAAGTTCTTCGATCCATTCCTCGCTGCTAATACACCAACTTTTCCACCCTCTCTCTGGCTCAACGATCAGGAAGAAGAACACGCAAGCAAAAACAAGGCTCGTGATTTCCATCGCGCTGATGCTTGGTTGCGTCAACTTGTAATACAAGCGGCAGATTATGAATTTGGAAATGAAAATGAAGAAGTAGCAGGATAACGTTTTTGTTGCTGTTGTTGCTGATCGAGTTAACTCTTCAGTCCGAGGTCTTCTCCTCTCTCCAAGCACCGGCTATATGAAGCTTATGTCAAACTAGGAAGCAACCTTCGGGCCAGCAGCTTCTTGTTTCGGTCATACGAGCAGATACCAAGCGCTGGGCGGCCTTGGGCTTTCTCGAAGCTTTGGACGAACTCCTTGAATATTGTGTAAATTTCATCGGTCGCGTTCCAACATGACCTGACCACAAAAGCATGCTTCTATCTTCCGTCGTACGAGAGTATAAGAAGGACCAGTTCACATGAATTGTCAATTCCTTTAATTTCCTCTGAGCATCTAAGATCTTTTCGCACCAGTGCCCGAGATGACTGAGCCCGAACAACCCCCAGCATACCCTACGCATACTGCAATACCTCCATCAAGCGAAGCCACCACTGCACCAGCATATGCTTCGAGATGTACTCATGGGATGAGCATGATGATACTACACCCCTCCAACCATCAAGAAACGTCCCTCCTTCAAGACCTCTCGAACGTCCTAATCGCCTACAGCCCACCGATCAACCCACAACTATCGATATAGGCGAGGCTGCTGGAACACTCGCCAACACTACCACTGAACCTACCAAATCCAAGTTCAAGGATGGAGACGATCCTCCTGATTCTTTCTTCGCTTGCATGGGGGCTTTTATGCTCGCATTCATCATTACGTGGATATACATTGCGGTTGTCCTCAAGCGTGACACGGATGCGTTCAAGGAGAACAGCGGAGTCTTGAAGGATTTGCAAGATGGACATCCAGACACGGAGCAGATGGTAACGCCAGCGCCTGGGAATTGGGATGCGAGCAGAGTTACTATCACTGCTTGGGATCGTCAAACTGTAACCGTAGGAACGGTTACTGAGGTTGATGTACACTGGTATACGATAACCCGATGAGGTATGGCAATGAGATTCTATCTGCTTAGAGAGTTTTCTGGCCACGAGCATTGGACATGCTCGTGGGTAGACACTCATGACCGCGGAGTGGAGGCAGGAATGATGATTGAAGACAAGTGTATTCGTTTTCAGATTCTGGTAGTGATCGCTGAGCCCAGCAGCAAAGAAGGTGTAAGAGCAAGAATGAGAGTGTATGCAAATTGGTGTATTGAGAAGGTCTGTTGATCTATTTATCATGATCTCCAGATGTTCATAGTGATGACTCGAGGATGAGAATAAAGAAGCAGAAGTCTCATCTGAGTGCTATTTTTGCATAAAGCCAAAGACATCCTCGATCGATGTTTTTTGTTCCCTGTCTCAGACACTTAGAGGCGGCACAAAGAGATGATGAAATCGAGTCATGTCGAGACAGGAGTGCATGAGACATGGCTTGAGAGGTTTTCCGATCCTCGAGTGGATGAAGCCATAATTTAACCGAGTGAGATATGCCTCAAACGTGGTTGTTCTTGCTTTCCGCTTGGTTCTTTCATCATCGCGGAAGTTCAAAGAAAGGGAAAGAGCAATCCTGGTCTCGCTTCTCCCAAGAGATACAGTGAGATGTATCACGAAGACAGACCATAGCTTTATTGACATGCTGTCTCAGACAGCGAGCAATGTCTTGTTGATAGTGTCGAGCTGGGTCGGGATGACAGAGTCCTGTCAATAAACTTATAGAAGACCGACTCAGAAGATGCGTCTGCTCGCAAACAAGCTGATGTCTTGCGTTTACATCACCATGGCCAAGGAAGCGACCTGAACCTGAGTGAAAGGAAGAACCTAGCTTCGAAATCAACCAAGATATTGCCGATTTGACGAGGTTACTTACGCTGGGATTCTGCGACATGCAATTCCGTACAGGTTTTCTATCTCGCCTCATGCATGTTCTAGTCATATGGAATCTTGACCAGTGTCACGGTTTACGAACAGCGAGAACCAAAAGAAACAGCAATTCGACATGTGTATGAGCTTGTATATCGGAACACCAAGAAAACCAAAGCGATTTCATCATGCATATAGTAAACAGATCCTCAAGAGTGGCTTGGCCTTACACCCGCTCGTAAAGTCTAAACTCGTATTTGACCTTGTCGCCCTTGACCTCCTCCTCCTGGACCTCTTGCACATCTTCACCGGCGAACTCGTCCAAGTCTCCCTTCTGCCGTCTTGTCCAGCCTTGTTCGGCGTCGACATCGATAGGGAAGTCTGTGTCACAGTCCCACTCGCCTTCGACTCTAGTGAGCAAAATACTCTTTGCTTGCTCCATCTCCAAGGCTTGCTTGTAGATAGCACCTCCGCCGATAACAAAGACACGACCCAAAGGCGCCGCCTGACCTTCCTTGGCCTTTGCAGTGAGGGTAGAAAGAGCAGACGAGATACTATCACCCACAACAACATCTTCACCAACGCCCTCAAGTTTCTCCGATCTCGAGATGACTACATTGGTTCTCTGCGGTAAAGGTCGGAATTTAGGTGGAATGCTTTCCCAGGTCTTGCGACCCATGACGACGACATTTTGGGGTGGTTGGATGTTTGCTGATGCTGCAACTTCAGAAGAATCAGAGAGTTGTGACGAAGTCTCGGCGAGCATGGAGGTGTCGGGCATGGAAGCTGCTCCAGGGACGCGCTTGGTGACGCGAGCGAAGTAGGCCATTTCCTTCTTCAGCATTGGCCAAGGCAGAGTTCCATTTTTGCCGATGCCATTTTTGGCTGTGGTGGCGACAATTAGAGTGAGAGGAGGAATAGTCGTCGCTGCTGCTGCGGCCATTGCGTAGGTTTTTGGTTGCTCTGGTGGTGGTTGCTCTGTGACTTGTTGTTCTTCTGTGAGTTGTGTGTCTTCCTCGGCTGTTTGTGACTCTTGTGCTTCGGGATGTTGTGAGGATGACGATTCGGGTGCGGGAGCTTGGACCACTTCACTGTAGGTCGGGGCATTGGGTGCCGACCGGCCTTCAGCCTGGCTTCGATTCCACACATTATCCATTTCCTCAACAGACAAGGCACCTGCAGAAGCCTGTGCAGGTGTCTCTACAGGTTGAGTTGGTGCTGGTGTTGCAGGTGCAATGATTTGACTAGCAGGAGCTGCATACTTGACTTCTTCTGCCTGTCGTTCGGCAGTCTCGAACTCGAAGTTGCTGGAGTAAATAACAGCAGCAAATGCCTCGAGATCCTTGACCTGATCGATAGCACCAAGGTACTCGTTGACTTGAGAGCCGACAGATTCGGCGGCGACAAGATCATCGGGCTCGCTACTTCCAGCGGCGATGACATGGGCTTGACGACAGAAGACAGCAAGAGTCTGAGCAAACTTGCACTTCTTGTCGCTGATCTCGGTGATGCGTGACAGAGAGTCAGGTGCTGGAGGGCTGATCTTGAAGGCTTCAGTTGCCACGCGGTAGTCGATCAGGTGGGAGAAGGTGGCGTTGAGGACTTGGGTGAAGACGTGGGTGAATGTCGGCGAGTCAATGAGATCTGATGTCTCGTCAAGCAATCTGCGAAGGGAAGCGTTCGAAGAAGTCGAGCTGGCCGCGTGCATGGGATCTTGCGACATCTCTTGAGGTGAGGGCGATGTAGACATGGCATCAATACCAGATTCTGACAAGACATGATCCTCTTGATCACGAGGAGGAAGCATGTATGACAGCCACCTGTGTTCGCGACGTTCGGCCTCAGTGGCGCCCTCTACCTTCTTACGGACTTCGAGAATGAGCTCGCTCAAACGTTCGAGAGTCATATCCTCGCGAGGGTTGATGGGACCGAAGACGTCCTTGACAGCAGCGGTGACCTTGTCGACAATGTCTTTGGTGCCTTTGTGCAATAACCACCAGCTGAATGTCAAGTATTTGCGATTTGTCTCGAAGTCGTTGCCGTAGACATTATCATAATTGTCGTCATCATTGTTCTCTAGGGAGATGCGAGTCGAGTCGGAGGGGTTCGGCGGGTTGGCGAGCGAGACGACAGAAGAGAGGTACGTACGACGACCTAGCAGGTTCAACTGGATGCGAGTGAGGAGAGTCAAGAGAGAAAGGGTATACAGCAGAGTCAGAGCTCTTGTGATAGCTGTCAAGATTTTGTCAGTGGCGTTGATGGGCACTGAAATCGAAACAAGACTCACAGCTGATCTTCATGTCATTCCAGAGTTGTGCCTTTGATTTCTTCTTCAACAGTGACTTGGCATCCTGACTATCGGCCATCTGACTAGCATGAATGTAGCTGCCAGTCTGGAAGCTAGCGATGCTGGCAGAGTCGTCGGTTGTGCTGGGAGGAGCCGAGGGGAATTCAGAGGAAGCTGCTTCTGATGGGCCTGTACTTCTTGCCAGCTTCTCTGATCGCTGGCGTTGCAGTTCATTTGTAATATCTTCGACGGGCAGAGCGCCTATGATTTCTTCTCGAATTGTAGGGAGCAAGGCTAGCACGGTGTAGGTGCAGTCCTCCTGGTTCTGTTCGAAGCGGCGACGGAGGCTGTCACGCTGTCAGCCTCGTGTTTGCAAGCCACGACTCTGAAGAAGTCGTCTTTACTTCTCTCTGGAGATCCTCTCGTCGGCCATGCGCTGGCGCGCCTCTAACCATTTGCTCCAGGCATATTGACCGGCTAGATAGACCAGCCCTAGCGTGCCTGCTCCAATGGCGAACCTGGTGCGATTGCGCCTGAACCACCGGCGCGTCCCTTCTAACATGGCAGCATCGGTGTATTCGTCTGCTGCTTAATTGCTGCTACAAACCCACAATGATTTGTCCTCGTCGTTTGCTGCTTGTCGTCACACTTGTCTGGAGACAGGAACACGAGAGAGCTCCGATCAATCTGGAGAGGCCGACGTGGGGGGTTGGACCTCGGCATCTCTCGCGACACTTTCCCTGATCTGGCCATCAAGATTGCGTTATCGCTCTCTCAACAACGTCTGTGTATCATTACACGCTATCATAGTATCGCTGAACGAGAAACTTATTCTAGTATGCTGCACACTCCCTCTCAAGCCATTTCATTGTTCTCTGGTCGTGCGTGAAATACCCCTTGGTCCTTTCGTACACCTTCGAGTGGTAGTCGTTCAGCCACTGCTTCTCCTCCGCCGTGAGCAGTGATGCGTCTGTGAGCTTCTTGCACATCGGTGTCATGGTGACATGCTCGAAGCCCAAATAAGGCTTGTCGCCGAACTGATGTGTCGTCTTCTTTTCTGTCACCATGAACATATCTAGATCGTGTTAACCAGGATTATCCCATGTCTAAGATTTTCGAGACAAACTTACTCTCTATTCTGATGCCGAAAGCACCGTCCTCGTAGTAGCCAGGCTCGTTCGAAATGACATTACCGACTGCCAACGGAACCTCACTGTAGGCAACTCTAGTACCAATGCCGATAGGTCCTTCGTGGACGTTGAGGAAAGATCCAACACCATGACCAGTGCCGTGTCGATAATCGAGTCCTTCGGCCCAGAGGAACTGTCTAGCTAGGACATCAATCGCGTATCCAGTGGTGCCCTTGGGGAATTTGACGTTGTCTAGCGCGATGTGACCTTTCAACACAAGAGTGTATGCTTTGCGCTCCATCTCTGTCGGCTCACCAAAGTGCATAGTGCGAGTGGTGTCTGTTGTACCATCAAGGTATTGAGCACCAGAGTCGCAAAGGTACACTGCCTTGGGGTCGATAACGCTGCATGCGCCGGGCTCTGGCTTGTAGTGAATGACCGCAGCGTTTGCACCAGTAGAGGATATCGTGTCAAAAGAGAGGCCAACAAAGTGCTTGTGCTTCGAGCGAATAGACTCCAGCTTGTCGGCGGCCTCGACTTCATCAATCTTGGCCTTCTCGTTGATGAGCTGGTCTTCAAGCCAGGCGAAATATTCGCTCAGCGCGGCACCATCGCGAATGTGGCATTCGCGCATTCCCTTCATTTCGGTCTCGTTCTTGACAGCTTTGGCGTCGCCAATCAAACTGCGTACCAAATCGACCTTCTCCTCCCCACCAAGTGCTTTGTATAGAGCCCAAGAAGCCTTGTTGGAAACGAGGTACTTGTTCTCGCCAGTAGAAGATGAGGAGAAAGCTTCCATGTCGGCGAAAATGGCATCGTAGGGTCGGACCTCAACACCCGAGAGATGCGTCTTTGCGGCAGCAGTGAGCTTGGAATCGTCAATGTAGAGCGTGCTGGTGGTTGGTGTGACGACGGCGTAAGAGAAGAAGACCGGGTTGTAAGGGATATCGCTTCCACGCAGGTTGTATAGCCAAGCAACCTCATCCAGCATAGACACGACGAAGCCAGCGCTCTTTTTCTTATCCAGATCTTTGCGCAGATCATCAATCTTGTCCTGGAACTTCTTGCCGGCAAAGTCGAGAGTGAGGACGTCGGCCTTTTCATTCGGTCTGGCAGGTCTTGCTGAGCCCCAGATTGAGTCTACGAGGTTTTCTTTGACGGCGACGAGATCCTTTCCGCCCTTCTTCTTAATCTTCTCGGACAGCTTGCGAGCATCGGCTGGTATGCGGTTAGTGATGGTCATGGAAGTCTCGAGGGAGACATACGAGCTGTGATAGTGGTGGGGTCAACACCGACAATCTTGCCGCCTTCTGACTGCTCGGCGGACCACTCCTGCCAAGTGGGTACATCTTGGAGACCTTGTTTGAGCAGAGTCCAGTTGTTGTCGAGTTGCTTTTCGGCTTGGTTGAAGTATCTTCCATCGGTGGCTAGGGCAGCTTTCTCTTGAGTGATGACGGCAGTTCCAGCAGAGCCAGAAAAGCCAGAGATGAATTCTATATTCACGTCAACACCATGCCCTGACCATCTGAGCATAGAATCATGCGAACTGACCTCTACGAGCATCGGCAGGGGCTATGTACTCGCTTTGGTGGCTGTCTTCTGAAGGCACAACTGCGAGAGTCAGTCAGTTGTCTGTCTAAATGCATCCAGACGGCTTACTGTAGATATCTACCTTGTTGCGCTTCATGAGTTCTCGCAACTGCGTGAGTCGCTCGGTTGTGTTTACTTTCTCCATATCGATAGGATATTTTCTAATGGCCGACGCGTGAAACAATCTTCCGGCAGTGCTGCCCTTTGAGAATGGACTGAGTCTAGCAAGCCCACGTAGCATCTGCAGGTCGCGTGTCGCTTGATGTGTTGCTGTCGATTGAACACGCTATGACGGAGTCACGGCCTCACCGACGCCGAAGGGTCCTTCCCGGTTCGGCAAGCTCCGCCGGGCGAGCCATGGCGGCGGCGCCTGCGTGCAAACATCATCTCTACTTCACAATCAACTATTGAAAACAATCACCAAACCATAGGAGGCTTCTCTAGGACATCAGTAGGTGTTTACCCTCTACCTAGTCACCTTCCCGTCGTGAGATCTCAACATCTCTCGCACTGCCTTCACGGCCTCTGGCTGTTGATTTCCTTGTCTGTCTCTCGTGAGTGATTTTAGCTGAAAGAGGTATCTTGCCTTGGATCCCAGGCTGAGTCGATTACTATAGCAAGACTTTCCCGGATCCAATTCTGAAAGGTAGGCCATGTCATTGACCCCGTCTCACATGCTGCCCACGCAATCTCTGGTGCGTGTTGACGAGATTTGTCTCCTTCGCTTCACCATTCGTATGCGGTTCTTCGCGCGACAAGAGTTCCTCTGCAACTTGAGGGCATTCTGTCGACTTCGCCATGGCCAAGATGACCTACTCGGCGTTGTGGCTCACAGCAACCCGAAGCCAATGGCCCACAAGGCCAATCGAGCGAGCAATTAAATCTGGAAGACTAATTGAATTGATTCTTGTAGTACCAACAATGAGTGTGGCCGATCAAGCGATTGAGCTCGTTCGTCGACTCAACGATCCCAGATATGCAGCTGGTGCCTCGCAGATATCGCGAGAGCTGCAGGAGATTCAGTTGTCCGACCAAGGATGGGTTGCTGCGGATGCTATGCTCGACCATACGGACACCAACATCAAATTCTACGGAGCTTTGACTCTGCAGATCAAACTCAACAAGGACAGGTCAGTAAAGTTCATCAGCACTGAATGCGTTTTGGAATACTGATGATACAAAGGAGTACACTCAATGAACAGGCAGCCGCTGAATTGAGATCGCGTCTGATCCTGTGGTTCGTGAGTTTAATTCTTCCATTCGCTCCATTCGACCTCTCATCGTTTCTTTCTACAGATTCGCCTTGCGCTGGGCGATATGCCTCCCAAACTCATCATTGACAAGCTTTGTTCTACAATGGCCACATATTTTATTCAGTCTCCCGTCCCCTGGACTCAGACTGTGAGACAAATCATTTGCTCATTGCACGCTGGAGATGTCGTGCCTCATGACATGCTTGGCACATATTCAGACACCAGCCGAATTATCAGCGGTCTGTCAGGGTTAAAGTTATTCATGGCTGTACGCTTCTGCAGAGTGTTGGCCGAAGATGTCCAAAACAGCTCTGTCTTGGGGCCGCAGTACTATCACCTTGACAACATCTTTAAGAGCAACACCACTGACTCAGCGATACTGATGACTTATGTTTTCAGCACGTCAACACCACTGTCCACAGAGATTCGTGTCGAAGCCGTGAACTGTTTCTCTGCTTGGGTCACGTACAGTTTCGCCCATTGGACCACTGATCCTGTTGCTTTGCAGCTTCTACAGAACCTTACACCGATGGCTCTGGAGCATCTATTACACCACGACGAAAGCGTCAGAGACCCCACTGTTGAATTCTTTGTCAACACGTTGGAGTATCGCTCGAAATTTCTCCAAAAGGAGCAACTCGAATCTCTATCACTGCTAGTACGCAGGACTGTTGGTCCGCAGTGTTTACTCCAGGGCCAAAGCTTCCTAGACCCAACCATCGTGGCATTCAGCAAGCTGATCACTGCTTATGGTAAATTGGTAGTCAAGGATTTGATATCGGAGAGAAACCAGGAATCATCTCAAGAAATCATTGGTCAGTCCACAAGGACTACTCGCCACCTCCAATCGTCAGACTGACCCGATTTCAGATCTTTTTCAACAACTACTGCGCGCTCCTGGCTACCCTGCTGAAGATGATCAAGTCATTCTCAACGTGACAGAGTTCTGGATCGAGTACGCCGAAACGATTGCCGACACACTCATGGACGCAGCAGAGGATGAAATACCTTTCCTAGCAATCGTAAGGAACGATCTCATGCAAGCTGTTCAGACATATATACCCAAACTTCAGGCACCACCTCTTGCAGAAATGACCGAGTGGGACGAAGACAATGTCGATCATTGGCAATTCTTCCGCGATAACATCAGCGATTTCTTTGACCAGGTCAATAACGTTCCAGAGACCCATCTTCTCAGTAATATGGTCGTTCTTGCGACTAATGTCCTACCTGCTTGTCAATGGCTACATCTCGAAGCCATAATCTTCTCAATCAACTGCATATCAGACTCTATCGCGCTGTCAGATGAGAACATCCAGGCGCTCTCAGCACTCATTGGATCTTCATTGTTTAGCGACATCTCATCCAATAGTACAGATGTTCCAAACAAACTCAAGCGTGCTGCCATGACGCTGGTTGATCGATACTCTTCGTTCATCAAGAAAAACCCGCAATTTTTGCCGCCTGTTCTTACCTTCCTCTTCACAATACTAGCATCTACACCTGCCGATCGTGTCAAGCTCGCAGACGCTTCTGCAAAATCGCTTGAACAGCTTTGTTCCTCATGCCGCAAGTCCCTGACACCACATTTAGACGAACTTCTTCAACAGTGTCCACAAGCACTTTCCGGTCCTTCCGCGAATAGTTATCAGAAAGAGAAAATTATGGCAGCTCTTGCCTCGATTATACAAGCCTTACCGAGCGAGGAAGCCAAGGCCGCGCCTCTGATATCACTCATTCAGGTCATCGAAAATGATCTCAACACAGCTATCGCAACTCTGAATAAAGGAAACTTAGAGGATAGCGAAGTGCTAGGAACGTCTGCTTTGCAATGTTTGGCCAGCATTGGCAAAGGCATCCAAGCGCTCACCAACGATGTAATCGACGTGGACAGCGATGACGAAGAAGGAAACGACGACATAGCCGCAACTGGCAATTTCTGGACTTCGCAAGCTGGTATCGAGATTCAGAATCGCATCGTGCAATGCATCAATATAGTCGAGTACCTGCACAACCCGGGAGATGCAATGGATGCTGCCTGTGCGATCCTGCGCGCCGGTCTCAAGGAGACAAAGCCGGGTCCATTCGTCTTCCCACCTTCGGCCACTGTCGCCTTCATCAGCAAGGCACAAATCAGCACACCCCGTATCGAGGCCATCATCGGTACAGCATGCAGTTTTGTCTCCAACTGTTCGCGCAAAACGGCACCGCACATGTTTGACGAGATGTCAGCAGTGTATCAAAGAGTAGCGCTGGTGATGCAGCAGCTCGGTGACCCGGCTAATGACCCTCAACTCGCCCAGCTCTGCATTGATTTCATGCAAAGGCTGCTGGTCAGCTATATAGATGTTTTGCTCTCGCCTACCGATGATGAGATTGCTGCAGCTCTGCAATTTGTCATTAACTGCATGGTAGGCAATGCGCCTATGTTGAAGCGCAATGCCTGCAACTTCTTCGTAAGCCCCTTTGTCGTCTCGGCCTTGACCGGAATGTCGTACCTCTGATACTAATACGCGGTCGACAGGAAACACTACTGGGTCTCGCTAACCCACGCACTGCGCACTCTCTCCCATCCTGTCGAGTACCTCCCCTCTCCGTCCTCACCGCCTTCGCCTCTCCCCTCTCCCGCGCCGTCATCTTTAATATAGGTGGGCTAGCCCAACGCTCAGAGATTGAATCTCTATGTAAACCTCTACGCGCCCTTGTCTTCTCACAACCTGGACTAGCCAAACAGCACCTAGAGCAAGCACTCCTGGATCCTAGTTTCCCATCTACTAATGTGGAAGAGAAGGAGAAGAGAGTGTTTGCTGCTAAGGTGTTGGGACTCAGGGGAGGTAGACAGACGGTCGTTGTGGTTAAGGAGTTTTGGGCGCTATGTAAGGGGACGGTTACGTCCTTTGAGTAGGTAGCGAGTGATGTCTCTTGGTTTCTGGTTTCGGATAGAAAAATCAAAACAAATAAACGCTTCTACAACTCTTATTGTATGTTGTCATGTGCCCGAGTGTTTCTAGGGGTATCTTGCACATCCCCACGAAGCAAAGCCATGTCCTAGTGTACATATCAAAATGCACAATTATTTCCGAATTCAAAAACATGTCCGAAGAGAGTCCTTCCAATCAAACACTCTCAAGTGGACACCATTCGTTCTCATAAACTACTCTGCATTTCTACAGTCGCCAAAACCACTGTTCATCCAAGTGAGGGTCGATAGAATGTCTCTCCTTTTCTTGATCTTTTCGTCATTCTCTCCCACCATACAAGCCGCCTTGATTTGACCTGTAGCAATGCACAATGGCCTGGGTGTTCAAAGCAATGGCCAGAGAGAGTGGACAGGGTCAGGGCTCTCAGCGGACAAACATTGGTTTCTAGAGCAATATCGTGCATTTCTATGACCATCTATTCTCTGCACATCCTGAGATGAGAACGAGGTAACGACACAGGCTGCAAAGTGAAGAACGAATGTTATTTCGGTTGCAAGTAGCAATCCCACCGAAAAGTGTCATGATCAATATGATGATTACAGAATAACTAATAGCGCCGCCCCAATCCCCTCCTTCCCGACCAGGAATGGGATATATGTGCTTGTGAACCCGCAAATAGCATAAAAAGACCCTGTGACCTCCCTCCTTCAAAATGTCCATTAACGCCTCTGTTCTGGCCGTTGATTATATTCATCATCATCACCTTAAGAGCAGCCTTCCATCACGATGATCCCGCAGTAGCTTGAGTCTCAACAATAGATCTCCTTCTCTTGTCTTCTGTATCGTCAAAACCATCAGTATTCGGAGACCTCCTCCTCTTGATTCCTTGTTGATGAGCACTACTCGAAGGTGTGCCGGAAGCAAAATCCTGGACCTCGATCTGCTCTTGCTCTTGTTGCTCTTGCTTCCGGCTGTCCCGTCATGCAGATTGTTGCATTACATGATTCTGCTGAGGTCCATTCGATTGTACTTTTTCGTTGCATTCGAGTTGCTGCTTGTTCGTGTTGGGTTTGGTGGTGTTGGGCTTGTCTTGTTCCTTTTCTCCTTCTCCTTCGAGGTTTTTGATGATGCTGCCTAATTTTCCCATGCTGACGGGCTTGGTCATGAAGTCGTCGACGCCTGCGAGGAAGGCGCGTTTTTTTGCTTCTGCATCGCCGACACCAGTCAAGGCCATGACGGTGCAGCGGTCCCATTTGTTCTTTTGCTCGAGATTGCGTATCAACTCTGTGGCTGTGAAGCCATCCATCACGGGCATTGAGATGTCCATTAGGATCAAGGCGTAGGAAGCAGGTGCAGATGCGTACGCAGTCACAGCTTCCAAGCCGTTGCCTGCGCAGGTATAAGGTCGTTTCAACTTGCGCATGGTCGCGACGAGAAGTTTCATGTTGATCGAGTTGTCCTCCACTAGCAAGACCTTACGTAGGTTTGGATCCATGTCGTTGATGACTTCGCTAGCTGCTGGGGATGAAATCTTCTGAGGCGAAACTGGGGTTGAAGGATTAGATGCACCAGGCTTTGATTCTGTGTAGGTAGGTGGAGGGTCAATGTTCGTGCTCAGAATTGTCGGTTTGGTAAGAATATGCAGCACAGATGGCGAGGAAGCGACCGCGCCTACAGTTTGATCTGCAGGGGCAGATTGTGACTTTATACGACTTTGTAGCGCTGCTGTCAATGCTCTTGACATCTTCCTGGGGCCGAATGGTTGATTGATGAAGATTGCGTTCTTAGACGCGCTCTGTCTCACAACTGACGAAGCTGAGATTGAACCTAGCACAATCATGGGCGGCGGTGAGTGACTCCTTGGGTTTCTCCTTTTCTCTTGCCAGTGCTCGTAATCTGCTTCGGCCAGAATACAGACATCGAAAGCGTTTGTGTCATCAGAAGCTGACGCTGATTCGACCTCGCAATCCAACCATTCCGTGCAAGTCTTTTTAGTGTTTGTTTTGATGGTCTTGTCGCGAGCTCGTTCTCCATCGATCGTGCCTAGAGATTTTGACAGTGCAACTTTGAGGTTGCTCCCATCGGGACGCTTGGGTACGTCAAATTCGGATTCCATGTCTTCTTCAAAAGTGGCATTGAAGGAAACGACCACCTTGGTGCCTCTTCCAAGCTCACTCTCAAATCCAATGTGACCGCCAAAGTCCTTGATAATCTGCTTGACAATTGAAAGCCCAAGTCCAGTGCCGACGGCGTGCGTGTTTTCCTGCATGAAAGGTGTGTACAAGTGGTTTCGAAGATATTCGCTGCCGATACCCTGACCAGTATCTTCAACTGTCAAGGATACAAGAGCCTTGTCTGGTTGGTCTGACTTCTTGCACTGCAGACTTACAGTGATTGTTCCCTGTTTAGTATACTTGAGGGAATTGCCTAGAAGATTGGTGATGACTCTGGTCCAGGAGCCTGGAGATATGTTCAAGTTCCAATTCGATCGCTTGGCAATGTTCAATACCACCGCGACTTGCTTTGGTGTCTTTGCGGCAAGTTCGTCTTCATCTTCTTGCTGAGCTTTACTTGCCTGGAAGCTCTTGGCTGTGACGGTGGTATCCACCACATTCTCGGTCAGAACAGCTAGATCAACTGCACTCGTAACACCGACTTCGCCCATATCTGCAGTCTTGAAACCGGAACTTCTACTAGCGTCCTTGTCTTTTCGATCTTTGCGTTCTAAGTCTGAGAAGCTATTGATCTTGGTAAAGTCAAGAATGTTGTTGATGGTGTCAAGTAGCGTCTTGCCAGCCATACTGATGGTAGTCGTCATTTCCTGTTGGTAGTTGGTGAGTTCACTTTCTTGCAAAAGCTCTACTCCCGCTAGTACTCCATGCAATGGAGATCTCAATTCGTGCGAAACAGAGCTGATGAATGTGGCCTTGGCTTGATCGGCGGCTATAGCGTCGAGACGTGAGAGTTCGGCCATCAGGTTGTTGCTGAAAGCTGCTAGATATGTGATATCCTCGGCCCTGTCTAGGAATCTGTTGGGTGCAGCATTCCAGACAAAGACAGCCGACCGCCATCTTTCTCGTCTGCTATCCCACAAGGGCAAGAAGGCGATACTTCGAGGTCCCGAGAATACTTCACCTAGAGTCATAGCGTCGACGAATTCACGGCTGCGGCGCTTGCGAGATCTGCTTTTCTTGGAGTCCTCACTGACATCATCGGAGGAGATATCGGTACCAGAAGAACTCGAAAGAGCTTTCCCATCATGGAAATTGAAAACCTTTCCCATGGGATAGCGACGGATGAGACTGCGGACGAAAGTCTTTGGGAGACTGGAGTGTCTTGCAGAAGGATCGAAACCACGAATGGTAGATTTGACCTTGGTGGAGAAACCAAGAAGAGAGCATTGAGCATCGGGTGTAAGAGGTTTTTCCTCTTTTGGCGTTGTTACTTCTGAGCCTGAAGAGCCAGTCGCAGCGTCGCTATCGGGCTCAGTGGATGAGGCTGCTTGATTCTTGGTGGATTCTTTGGAGCGATGGAAGTCAGCATCGATGAAGGCAACACCTTCAGCACTAATAGCTTCGCGCATGAGGTTACTGCTTCGAGCAAAGGCCGTGTTGATCTCACGGCCAAGATCAAAGCCTTCATGTTTGTCCTGTGCCATATGGCCAGGTTTCAAGGCGGACTTCGATGCTTGGCTAGCTGGTTCGATGTCCTTGGAATCGGTGGGCGTGGGCGTTGGAGTGCGACCATGGGGGAGTTGATCAGCTCTATATGTCATTCCCAACTCTTCATCAGCACGATCGTTCTGGGCCTTTTCCTCCTCGATGGAACCGCGACGACGTCTTGCCCCTTCACCTCTGGCTTTCTTGCTGTGTGTGTCCAGCCACCAATCTCGTAAACTGTCTTTGCCCTCACTGAAGAGGGCCAAACCCTTGATCAGACGATCACCACGCTGTCTCTGCATAGCGATATGTTTAGCTTCCAGGTGGCCCGTGATGGTGTCGGCGATATCTTCCATGAACACCATTTCGTCAGCGCTGATTCCAAAGCGAGGGCGGTCGTCCAGTATAGCATAAGATCCAATGACCAGGCCATTACTTGTTCGGATGGGTACAGCAGCGTAGAACCTCATGGTAGCGGCAGCCTTGACTATCATGAGCTTTTGCAAGGCAGGATCCTGTCGCATGTCGCTGATGATGTGCCAATGAGGGCTTACGCCGTCAGTGTAGTAATATGCATCTTCTTTGGGGTCTTCGCGGCGGTCTTTGGTGGTGATCCATTGCTTGAGGCCAGTAGCGGAGAAGCCTTCTTCGCGAGGAAAGCGTGTAGTTCCCAGGAATAGAGCATCTCGGGAGTTGTGAACCAGATCTGATTGTAGCGACAGGGTTCGTGTAGACTCGGCAAGGACGAACTCTTCACTCTTGGACAAGAGTGAGATCAAACAGCGTTGAGCCTTGAGCCGCAGCGCACCCAGCTGGGCAAAGGCAGCTAGGGCTGTGTCGTCGCTCCCAACAGCGACTCTGTTTTCGATTACGCCGTCGCTGAACTGCAGAGGGTGGATGGACGTCTCGAAGGGCTCCAGAAGTCTAGACAGGGCGACACTGTTAGCCCGATGGTCTGGGTGGGCCAGACTGACCTCGGAAAACTCACTTAAAGACTTCGCGTGTTCGCGACGTCTCGCCGGGCGCCGTAGGCGGCGGTGATGTCGACATTGCCAGTTTCACGTACACACACCTCGACAACAAGGCATGAAGTACAGGAGGATAGAAGACTCAAATCTGGCGGATTTGCCGTTCCAGTCTCTCTCACACCCTGACACGCCTCCAAATGGCCTAGGCCTTGTATGCGTGCTTGAACCGTGCCGAATCGACGATTCACCACACTTTAGCAGTCGGTCTTCACGTCTTACCGCTTAGCACTTGCAACACTTAAACCACCTTCACTTCCACTTTAGGCATACGCAGTACCCTTATACACAATATCTTTACCGCCACAAATTTGATATCTGTCCACGTCTTGGTGCACTTATCCAACAACCTATCCATCCAGCGGAGGCTTGCTCTAGACAGGTCAACGCGACGCCACAAAACCGTGGTGAGCTCGCACCTCACTCCGCGGTCCACTCAGATTGTCGAACGATAATCACTCAGATTACTCAACATGGCAGCTTTCTCAAGTAAGAACCCGCTTTTTGTGCAAGCGACGCACTTTATCTCATGTCGATCTAAGTTCCATAATAAGAACTAGCGCGATATATATACTTGTAGCAAACATCAAGAGATAGAGTAAGTCGTGTAAAAAGTGTCATGCCTCGTGTTGATTTGTTGCTGGCTACTTATCGTACAAAACTCCTAAAGAATTTCACCCTGCTGAAACGAGTTCTTCCAAGAACGCTAATACGCCTTGCTTTTGTAATCATCATGTCTTCCGGAGCTACGTCCGATGTCTATCCTTCCGTTCAATAACGCCTTTGCTCTTTTGTTGAAAATGCTTGTCTTGCCCATATATCATATCGTGGTAACCTTTTTACCAGCCACGGCCCTGGAGCTTGTCCTTGGGGTCCATGGAACCACAGTTGATGCCAACCATGGCTTCACCGAGACCAATGCTGACCTCGGCCAAAACCTTGGGGTCGTTGTAGTGAGTAACAGCCTGAACGATGGCCTTGGCGCGCTTAGCAGCATCACCACTCTTGAAGATACCAGAGCCAACGAAAACACCGTCGCAGCCCATCTGCATCATGAGAGCAGCGTCAGCGGGAGTGGCGATACCACCAGCGGCGAAGTTGACCACGGGCAGACGCTTGAGCTGAACAGTCTCCTTCAAGAGCTCGTACTGAACACCGATCTCGCGAGCGAAAGCACGGAGCTCGGGCTCAGACATGGCGGCAGCGCGGGCAATCTGCTGGTTGACAGTCTGCATGTGGCGGACAGCCTCGATGACATCGCCAGTACCAGCCTCACCCTTGGTACGGATCATGGCAGCACCCTCGGCGATACGGCGCAGAGCCTCACCAAGGTCACGGCAGCCGCAAACGAAGGGAGTCTTGAATCCGTGCTTCTCAACGTGGTAGATGGGATCGGCGGGGGTAAGGACCTCGGACTCGTCGATGTAGTCGACACCAATGGCTTGGAGGATCTGGCACTCGACAATGTGGCCGATGCGAGCCTTGGCCATGACGGGAATGGTGACGGTGTCCATGATCTCCTTGATCATGCTGGGATCGGACATACGGGCAACACCGCCGTCCTTGCGAATGTCGGCGGGGACACGCTCGAGAGCCATGACTGCGCAGGCACCGGCCTCTTCGGCAATGCGGGCCTAAGGCAATTGTTAGTGACAATGTCATTGGATTGATGCAGAGATGAGCGCACCTGCTCAGCGTTAACGACGTCCATAATGACACCGCCCTTCAACATGCGGGCAAGGCCAGCCTTGACAGCGAACGAGGCGACTCCGTCGGTGCCATTGGCGCCATCGTGCTTGCCGTTGGTGGTGGGTAGTGTAGTGGCCATTGTGGAATATGTGTGTATGAGATGGACAGGTGGAAAGGAAACAAAAGGTCAAGGAGATAAAGAATGTGTGAGGAGGAAAAGAGAAAGGGTCCTGGGTTTCAAGATCCAAAAAAGTATATCTCTTCGACAAGGAACTTCGGCCTTCTTTCGAGTGACTCACCTGCCTATAAAGGGCATTATTACTCAAGAAAAACACGCGGGCGTAGGGCGGCGAACCGCCAAGGTGCTTCTCCGTCGAGAACGATCCACGCCTGCCCGCCCCATGCCCCGCTGTCGGAAGGCGCGGACCTTCGAGAACTGGCGCCGAACCACCGAACCTCCCCGATTGGTTCTGCAGGAATTGGATGTACAGAAGCCGTACATCATGGAATTGTCGTAAGTCGTTCAATTCTTCCGAAGAGGTCAGACAATGGAGCAGTCCATGATTCCACGGAGATGTGTTCCAGTAGTATCTGCAATGACACCGCGGCATCTTGTTAAGTCTCCTGACCAGTGGGAATCTGGAGGACAGAACAATTCGCGCAGCTAGAAATTCGTGAACTTCTAGCGCACCGCATACCCCTCCGCAATGTCCATCAAGTCAGGGTCCAAGCTTCCGCGATCAGCGTCATTGACATCCGACGACAATCAGAACAACAACAATCAGTCCCAAAAACCACCTCCTTACCATCGAATCCAACTAAGCATTGAGACCAGTGACTCACCAACAACAATCACACCACTTAACCTCAACAACCCTAACCCACAATGTCTTTCCTGCTGCACTCGCGCCCATTAGGCATTGGCCTCGGTCTCGGCGCAGCATTCACATCCTACTCTCTCCTCACTCCTAGGAGAACCCGTTACGCTCTGTGCGATTCCAGCGCTTCTAATGCATTCAACTCATACACAAGCAATGCCAAAGTGCCCGTGGTGACACGTAGAGGAGGTCTCAACCCCAATGCCGTACGCCAAATCTCAAGTGGAAGTATTGCCGGTTTGTAACTCCTACTTCTTTGACTCCAGAAACTGTGGATGCTGATACGGAAACACAGGTGTGCTAGGTGGACTGGCAGTTTCTCTCTTCTCAAAGCCGTTGACTCTGCTTATTGGTCTTTTGATCGTTGGTGTACAGGTACATATTCCATTTCCTGCTGTTCCTGCTTTCCTGTCCTGTGACTTGCTTACACTCCCTTCGCAATTGCTGATTTTGACGTCAAAACAGTTTGCCGAGTCTCAATTGGGCGTCAGTCTGATTCCTTACAACCGCATGCAACGCTACTTTACCAGCATTGATTTGCGCTCTGCCATGCAAGACAACGTAGCCTTTAAGCTGGCCTTTGGCGCTACGTTTGCATTGACTGGTTTTGCTCAGCTGTAGAGGGCCATTCTTAGAAATCCTTGCAATAACATGTAAATAGACACGAGTCAAAGTCCAAGGGACTCGAGAAGAAGATGATAGAACTTTTCAACATGGCATAGAATTGCGTTATAATCGTCACGTCTAAAATTGCCTGTCCGATATCCCTTACATCTCTAGTGTGCAGATATTTACAATAAGAGCATCTCGAATCACTCGAGGCATTCTAAGTTCTGTAGTCACCGTTGATGGTAACATATTCGTGGCTGAAGTCGCAGGTGTAGACAGTGGCTTCACCGACATCCTTCTCCTTGTTGCTCAGCTTGACGAGAATTTCCAAGTCTTCCATCTCGAGGATGGCGGCAGCGCGAGCTTCATCAACAGCTTGAGGCTCGCCATTGACTAGCAACTTGAGCTCCTCGGTACCGTCGGCGGGGATGAAAGAGACAGAGGTTTCTTGGGGGCGAATGCAAGTGTGGCCGGGAGCATATCCGATGGCACAGAGGATGCGGCCCCAGTTGGCGTCTTTGCCGTACAGAGCAGTCTTCACAAGGGCCGAGGTAGCAATAGAGTTGGCAACAGCATGAGCGGCGTTGTTGTTGTCAGCTTTCGTTACCTTGACGGTGACGAACTTGGTAGCACCTTCGCCGTCGCGGACGATAAGCTTGGCCAGATCGGCCATGAAAGATGTCAAGACCTTGTTCATCTCCTTGTAATCTTCTGACTGCTTCTCGAGTGTTTCGCCCTCCATAGAGGAGCCTCTTCTAGGAATGTCTTTTGGCTCGAGACCTTGGAGATGGATGCGGTCGCTGTTAGGAGCAGCGGCAGCGTTTGCAAAGAGGGCAACGCTGTCATTTGTGCTGGTGTCACCGTCAACAGTGATACGGTTGAAGGAAGAGTTTGTGGCTGTGGAGAGAAGTGTCCTTAAAGCAGTCTTATGAATGGGAGCGTCTGTACAAACGACACCAAGAAGGGTAGCCATGTTGGGATGGATCATACCGGCTCCTTTGGTCATGCCGGCAATGGAGAAGGTGATGCCGGGATACGAGGGAAGAGTGAACTGGCGAGAGAGAAGTTTTGGGAAGGTGTCAGTTGTGCAAATGGCGCGAGCTGAGCGAAGCCAGTGTTCGTGGGTGTTGCCCAGGGACTCTACGAGGGTGGGGATCTTTGCTTCGATGCGGTCGATAGGAAGGCGTTGACCAATAACACCAGTACTCATAACCAAGGTGCGAATGCTGGATACATCTTGGTCGTCGTCGGCGATCTTGACGGTTCCCTCTTTGACGTCCTCTTTGGCTTCAGCCTCAGCAGCCTTTTCGTAACGACTCGGATTGCGCTTGTTCAAGAGGTCATGGGTAGTCTTGGCCATGCGGATGGCATCTTCACGGCCACCCTTTCCGGTGACAGCATTGGCGCATCCCGAATTGATTACAACACCTCTGATATTCCAGCTTTTTTGCTGGAACATAATCTTCTTGCTGATGCTCACAGGAGCAGCCTGGAAATGGTTCTGAGTAGTGACGATAGCAGCAGGACAGGGGATTTCAGAGGCGATCAAGGCGAGGTCGTCGAACTTTGTGTTTGAAGCCTTGACTTGGGCATGTGCGCTGCCAACAACGAAACCCTTGGGGTAGGTTCCCTCGGTAGGGACATATTTGGCCTTGGTAGGTGGGATTGCGCCGTCGGTAGGAGCAGAGTAGCATCGGGCGTGTTGTACCGATAGCGATACCAGCCGACGAGTGGCTGATGTTCGAGGGGCAGCCATGGTGTTGGCGAGTGTCAATTGACTGATACAAACACACAATTGGGGAAGAGAGAGGAAAAGACAGGGAAACGGCAACTGCTGGTGAGTCAAAGCTGCACGCGATAACAGCTACCCATCGCGGTTAATCTTATCAATCTGTGGGGAACTTGTCCGGCTATTGTTGCTGCCTTTGTCGGACTTTGGAAGCGCCTTCCAAGTAAACAATTGGATCCTTTGCCAACACGACAAACGAAATATTCCAATGCCCAAACGAGCAAGAAGCCAGGATGACCAAGACACGGCAGAATCACTCCCGGCTGAAGATGTGGACATGACACCATCTAAGAGGAGGATGATCGACGCAGAGACACCGTCACGACACACCAATGCGGACACGCCCTCGAAACAGCGCTCCATCCTCAAATCCACCCTCAAGCAAGAGGGAACACCACGATCTCTGCGCAAAGTCCTCTTCTCCACTCCAGCCAAATCTGTCGACCACGACATTCAAGATGTGCCAACTAAAGATTCTCCCTTGACGGCCGCTCTCAATGCAGATCGTTCTGCCAGGCGCAAGAGCCATAAAATATTGTTCGACCCACAAGATGAAGATGAGTCTGCTGTCGATGACATCGGCCTGGAAGATGCTCTGGCTCGCGAGATTCTGGACGACGCTGTTGAATCAGATCAAGACATGGGAGACGATGACAATATCACCGCTACTCCAGGCACTCCCTCAAAAACTCCTAGGCCCAGGGGACGACCGAAAGGCAAGAAGAGGCAGCCGTCTCCCATACTCCAGGATATGCCACCACACGAGCTGTACTTCTTTCAGAACAGGCCAGGAGGTGTCAAAACGTCAACAAATACTCTGCCGAGTAATGCTCTTCTCAACCATGACGACTATTTTGCCAAGATCAATGAATACAACGATCCGCACACGGCAGATAAACAGTTTCTGGCCAGCTTGCATGAGAATGGTTTCGATCAGTGGATGTTTGAACTCGATCAAGGCTTCAATATCTGCATCTACGGCTACGGCTCTAAACGAAATCTTCTTCTCGACTTTGCAGACCATCTCTGTCAAGCCTCGGACGAGAAGCCAAACCTCATTATCGTCAATGGGTACTCACCCAATATCTCGGTCAGAGACGTTCTGACGACCATCGCGAAACACTCCCTGCCCTCTTCGGTAGCCAACAAACTTCCTCTCCAGCCGCAAGCTCTCCTGGACGCCCTCCTGTCCGCCCTGACAGCTAACCCTCCTTCCTCGCCCATATATATACTTGTCCACTCGATCGACAGCCCATTCTTCCGAAAACCACTCTTTCAATCTACCATCTCGGCTCTGGCTGCCCATCCTAATATCTGCTTGGTTGCATCTGCAGACACATCGACCTTCCCTTTGCTCTGGGACATATCACAACGCTCTTCGCTACGTTTCCTATTCCACGATACTACGACTTTTGCACCCTATACTGCAGAACTCGACCCTGTAGAAGAGGTTAACGTTTTGCTCAACCGCAGTGGTCGTCGTATAGGTGGAAAGGATGGTGTGGCATATGTCTTACGCTCGTTGCCTGAGAATGCAAGAAACTTATTCCGCATCTTAGTTGCAGAACAATTGGCCCTCGCCGACACCACTCTTGAGATACACCACGATTCTTCAGACTCGGAAAGTATTCTCGGCCATTCGGGTGATGACATGGATATGGACCACGGCAATGTCACAAAGCCAATCCGCGGCCGAGGCCGTCCACCAAAGAAGGTACCGACACCTAAAGTCAAAGCACATAAGACTTCGGCATTCGTGGGCGTCGAGTACAGGACACTGTATCACAAGGCTGTGGAAGAGTTTGTTTGTTCATCTGAGATGAGTTTCAGGACCTTGCTTAAAGAGTTTCACGATCACGACATTGTGGAAAGTAAGAAAGACAGTTTGGGTGTTGAAAGGTTGGCTGTACCGTTTGGAAGAGAGGATTTGGAAGATATGTTGCAGGAATTGGTATGATGAATGAAAACCTACCACACTCATCTCTCAACTTTCTTGAACTTGCGTTATGAAGTGAGACTTCGCCGGCCTTATTGTGCCGTGCCTATGCCGACAATACAGTTCCAGCTTGTCCTCGTGCTAAGACACGACAAAGACAAATGTCTTGTAAAAGTACGACACGACATATGGTTCGGATCAATATGTGTCTTCAATCTCGCCTCGTCTCGTCTGAGCCACAAGGACCATGGACACATCGATTCCGCTCCTTGACCAGTTACATAAACTCCTCGACCACCTTGACAAGAACCCGGCCTCCAACCTAAAACTCAAACGCTCGCAGCCTTCCGCCAAAAACTCCCAATCACACTTCCTACCTTTTGCCACAATGAACCCCTCAGACAACACCCGAATCAACGACAGAAATAGTGACAACGACAACAAGAGCTCCAGCAGCAACGCCTCTATCCCCAGATACGGAGGCTACAAACACTCTTCTTCCGTCTACGAAGACTTTGAAATGTGGAATTCTGTTTGTGAAGATGCCGATGCAGGTTGGCCGTGGAAAGAGTCTCGGAGGCTGGAAGAGAAAGAACAGAAACAGCCAAAGCAAGGAACAAAGGAGACAGGACAGAAAGAGAAGGAGGGAGAAGAAAAGGAGGAAATCGCAGAAGCGACAAGAATACAAACTCCAGCAACCGCTCTTACCATCTCAAGACTTGGTTCATCCTTTGTCTATCAACAGAGTATCCACGCCGCAAGATCTCAAAGCCAATCTCTGGCCAACACTCTACACGATGTCGAAGAATTCGATGCGAAACTCGGCGACGATCAAAGCAGGCCCAATCTCAAGCACGACATCCAATCTCGTCAAGATCTAGCTCTTGAGTTGGAACAACTCCACATTGTTCTCGTCGAATTGCTCAATATTCTGCAGTCTGAGGATGTCAATGAGCAGTCTCAACCAGTTCGTGGAATTGGAAGATGTGTCTTGATGTGATTTTGATATAGCTTGGCATATGTAGCTTCTATTGTGGCAGGAATAGAGGCACTTGACACCTTGTTTGCATTATGATGAAAGTTGAGGCGAGAAAGTCTAAGCCATGATCGAATGATCCATGCAACCTGAATCACAATAGGGTGATGTCGGTAGAAGAGCAATTCGACCAACAAAGTCGTTAAGCAAAATATACATAGTATACATCATGCCAAGACTATGTTTTTAATTGATTGCATGTAGATTGATCTTGGTAAACACGTTAACTTCGACCGAGTATTCCTTGCTCTTCACTTTATATCCTCTTCTAAGCTCCATCCACACACACGTCTACCATAACAACGCGAGAGAATGTCCAGCCATGACTCAATACCAGGAGCATACTGACCACCCGGCTGGTCAAAAGACTTCCTTCTCTACGCTACCTCCACCGACATCCTTTCTCTCCCCGAGGACGAAAAGAACCTCATGTTTGACAGCTTGCGTTCCGCTCTCGGCACAGATGGATTCAAAGACCTCATGAAAGAAGCAAGTAACAACCACAAAGCACGAGTTGCTGCAGAGGAAGCCGCACGAGTCGCTGCAGGCGGCCAAAAGATCCAAACAGTTGATGAACTAAGCAAGACCGAGACGTATGAAAGCTTTACAGCAGTACTTTCCCGGAGACCAACCCTGGGGTTTCGTTGTTTTTAGGACTTGTTGCTGTGATGACGATGAGCGATGGAGTCTGTTCAAAGCCAAGTGGGATGTTGTGATTGCATCCGTGTTCGATGAGGAATCTCTTGTTGAGGGTATCTCTGATGTCAATCGTCGCTTCACCATCAAATGGATTGAAGACACGCAGCTTCAAAACGCCAGTGTGCAGCAGGTTTTAGAACGATATGCAAGCTTTGTTGCGCAAAGGGATGCATTACATCGAGCATTGATGCCAGAAATATGCTTGGTGGTGAACGAGGCATCGCTCCAATCATTCTTCGACGCCAAAATACCGACATCGACTCCATGGGCCTCTGAAACGATGATTCCCTACGTTCTCGCAATTCCTCTCGCTACCCAAACCGTAATTCATGGCAACGTGGAGCCCAATCATGGCTCTCTACCATCCTTCAATGTTGCTGTAGGCAGTCTTGATACACTTTGGGGCGTGCTTGCAAGCAATCTTCTGTCATCAAGAGAGCTCAGTGCAGGCATGACGGACAACCAGATCTGGACTCCGGATACCGGGCCGCGGTTCCAGATAGGTCTCGCACAAGAAACCATTGGCAGACAAGGATGAATGTGGCGATACACCTCCAAGACGGTTCAAGTTTACAGGGTGTGGCGGTTACATAAAGGCCACAAAATCGAGTCAGGTGAATTCATTAAAAGTAAGTTGATTCATTTGTCTATCTAGAATGTAAGATTGAAAGTACATCCATCGACCTAAACTCTTAATGAACATATCTAATTGTGAAAGGCTCAGTCTCAGCACTATCGTAATCATCAGGGTTTGTCGCGTCTCCGAAGATTCTCAAGGCGCGGACAAGAATGGAGTAAGTTCCAGCAGGTACTCTTCTGCCATCGTCCAGGACACCATAGAAAGCAGTATTCCAAGCATTAGCTCTAGGCTGGTAGACAGAAGGCGTACCAGCAATAGCACCAAGCGTCTTTACACCGAGGATAGTAGTAGTGTTGGTGTAGGTACCATATGTGGAGTTCGAGGGAAGGAGATCAGCTCGAATCAAAGACGATGGCATGACAAGACCAATTCTCAAGTTGGGGATCAGCAGACCGGTCGAGTTATCGGTAGTGCCGTTCACAGTCGTGTTGGCGATTGAGATGGTGAAGACAGTGCCAGCATCCACAGGAACGAAAGTGTTGTCAGATGTGCTGGTAATATAAGGGTATCCAGTACTGGCATCGAGAACGGTGGCATCCTTGAGCGAAGAGGCAACACCAGCGTAAGGGAGGTTGAGAGAATCGCCATTGGTACCGTTAATAGTGATGAAGCCTGAGTATACAGGGATACGAGCGGTTGCAAGGTCCTTAGGAAGCGAGAGAGTGACAATGACAACCTCAGACTTGCCAGCAGCGACGCTGATGCTACCAGAGCTGAAATGCACACTTGCGCCAGAGGTGACGAGGTCCGGAGGGAAGGTTTGAGGTTGGGTACTGCCATCATCAGGAAGAGTGTAGGCGGTGGCAGCATTGACGTAGTCAAGGTTGTAAGTAATGTCGCTGTTACCACGATTGGTGATAGTGAAGTTTGCCTCTTGGACAAAGTGTGCTGTGTCGTTGAAAGCAAGGTTGGCAACATCGATGACGGTCGACGTGTGAACGGCAGCAAAAGCATTGACCTCGCCACCTCCCTGCTGAACTACCGGAGCAAAGTAATCATAAGTGGTCTTGCCGTCGTTGAAAGTGACAGGATGACCAGTAGTACCGAGGATACTACGAATAGTATGAGGCTCAAGATCAGGGCGAGCCTGCTTCATGAGTGCAACAACACCAGCGACAAAGGGAGTGGCCATCGAAGTGCCGGACAGGACTCCGTAACCGCCCTGCTCCAGAGGCAGAGTGGACAGGATGTTGCCGCCAGGAGCAGAGATCTCAGGCTTGACGTAAGCCTCGTTAGTAGGGTTCCACATCGAAAACGTAGACATACGACCGCCAGTGATGTTGTTAGCGGGGCTAGAGAAGATAGTCAACTTGCCGTCGATATTGACCTGGATGGCGGAACCGGCAGCAAGACTAGCAACCCAAGAAGCACCTTGTTCAGCCGAGACCATTGCCGCACCAAGAATATCAGAATCGGTGACACTGGGAGAGGTGAGACTAGGGGCGTTGTTGTAAAACAGAATGTATTGTGCTCCGAATGCAGCCACGTTGGCAGCTTTGGTGTCGAAAGTGCAAGTGCCACGACGGATGAGGACAAGCTTTTCGGTAAGATCAGGGGTATCAGCAGGAAGAGGCTCGCAAGCATCGTCAACGATAGTGCTGTCCTTGCTGACGGCCCATAGCGGTAGGCTGACGTTGGGCATGCCAATTGAAGCTGCCAGGTAGCCAAATTGACCATCAGTCGAGTTGTCCACAGTGTACGTGCCATAGGTGGTGAACACAGGAGACTCGATGTTGTCAATAGATCCAACAGCGATGACGCCAATGCCATCTGCGGCTGAAGAGCCGTAGAACAGGCCTTCTGAACCATCGTTACCAGCAGCAAGAGTGCAAGGAGTTCCAGCTGCAACAATGCGAGAGACTACAACAGTCCATGGCTCCTCTGGGAAGCATTAGTGTTGTACCCATGGGATCTTCTTGATTGACTTACCGGTCCAGCCGTTGGGGCCACCAATACTGGCAGTGATGATATCTGCTCCATCCTCGTATGCGCGGGTGAACGCGTCGATAAGAACATCGTCACCAGCACTTCCGGAGCATCCAAAGACTCTGTAAGCACCTAGAATTGCGTCGGGTGCAACGCCGGTAAAGTTGTACGGATTGGGGTCAGCTCCTACGATACCAGCAACGTGAGTACCATGCTCGTTACAGGCAGAGTACGGATCAGGGTCGGGTACAGGAGTGTTAGTGCCGTCATAGTCATCACCAACGAGATCATAACCCTTTGCAAGTAAGCGATTGTGCTACAAGTTCGAATCGTAATGACGTACGTATGCAACCTTGCAGCCAGGACCAAAACATCCACCGAGAGCAGGGTGAAGATAGTCAACGCCAGTATCGATGATAGCAACGAAAGTTCCATTTCCGGTCAAACCTTCAGCATGTAGTCTGTCAACGTGGCCCATGAGATGGGTAGAGAAGGTATCAGAAGAAGTTGTAGAGTTTGATCCATTGGTGTAGGGAGCGGTTGCAAAATCCTGGGTGTCATATAGCGAGATGGGCCAGACCTTGCGCACGATAGGCATGGCCTGAATGTCTGAAGCGACCACAGCCTGATCAAGACCAGTATCCACATGGAATGAAAGTCCTTTGAACAAAGATGAAGAGAGATCCATGCGGTGAGTAGGGTTCATCTTTTTCTTTGAGAGGTCAGAATAGAAACTGGATTTGGTCTGTTTGGCATGTCAATGGTAAGTCTATCACTCGCGAATCGTTGACACGCACGTCCGAAGCAATCGACATGACATCTTCAAACTCGACGATATATCCTCCAGGTACGACATTGCGCTTCTTCTCAGCACTACTGTCTGTGACTGCTGCGAGAACAGAAGGGGCAAGAGCCAAAAGAGTGGCGATGTTGAACCACATCTTGTCTGAAAGAGAGACGCTGAACCTTGAACCACCACACAGATCTGAAGACTGAGGGGCCTTTTATATGATGTTCTACCAACTCTTATCTTCAGTTCTCCTTCCAAAAGCGGGACTCCATCATGAGGGGCTTGTGTTCAACAAGGTGACCATAAAAGCTGCATGTTGCAGGAGACGAGGGCCAAGAGACGCCAATCGTATCCTAGAAGCAGTATAACCTAGGACGATGGTGATATCTTGCGAGGGCATGGCCTCATGAGCCTTCCTTGGCACGAAGGAGGGTCTTGAGGCGATGACCATACTTTCTTTGAGGTAATGATAGATTAAGGTGCAGCTCCTAGTGTGGACGGCTCGTTAAAAGCGACTTGGCACGCGGGAGTCCGAAGAATGCACAGCAAATAGCACGAGAGCAGATCACAAAGATTGGTGAAAGGTTGGTAGCAAACATTTGATGGAGTGTAGATCAGGAGTGTACATGGTTGAGATTGAGACGCACAGTCTATCTCAAGTCTTGGCTGGGGACTGATAAGGAAGGAGACAAGCACTTACGCACGACCGGTTCTGTTGGACAAGACGCTTGACAGGAGCTATAGCTGCACAATGAGCGGCATGCTATTGCAAGCTTTGCTTTACGCGAAGCAATGTGGTGGCGATAGAAGCATTCCTGTCGCCGGTCGAGGAAGAGTGGGCAGCGCATGCTTGATGTTGAAGCGGGAAGCCCCGATCCTATATGCACGCTCTCTAGGCTCGTAGATCGGTGGCGCATGTGCCTGGCGATGCGAAAGTATCTGGAGATTGGATAGACGCACGAGCAGAGCTCATCAGACATGCCTCCTGATTCTTGGTGCGATGGTTCGTCGTGGTCAGACACGAGCACAAAGGTGCTTTCGCTGCGCTTGCTGTTCTCTTCAAGCCGTCGTCGGATTGACGTCTTGAAGCTCGGGCCAGTCTCCCCGCGATGGGCATTGCGGGTGCCCTCGAGCTGGAGGTCCTTCGCAGCAACAAGTCACTGTCGGCGGCAAGACCGTGTGCTCTCGACGCAATATGGGGGGAAATGATCCAGCAGCCATCTTGGCGATATGGGGTAGCCACTACTGGTACACTTATTACGAGAGAACGACAAGTGGCATTCTTCACCGTTGACGTCTTCGCCTATGAAGACAACGCCAACGACATCATTACTGGCATTCTTCACCATACTGCTCTCATCATTGCAACATATCAACGCCGACATGCCGAACTTACAAGCCTACCACAAGTTCATCCTCTACGACTATGGTCAAATCTCAGTACGGGTCTTTCAAAGAGTACAACACTTGAGACGATTGAGGAACGGTGAGATTTCCGACGAGCGTCTGGAGCATCAGCTTGTCCAAAGTCTCCGGATGTTGAAAGGTAGACCATGAGGCCTGCTGGAAAGTAATGCTCATACTCAACACAGTCTTGGAAAACATCTGGTTTCATTTGTGGTCTTTTATGGTCTTCCTGGAATGCAGGCACATCAGCATCGACCGTATGCTTGGATGAACATTCTCATGATCATTGTCAACAAGCATCGGTGTCACTCTTGGCAACACTTCTCCTTACAGACAATCTCTACATCGGCAATTATCAGGGACGCTCATCGACTGACCTCAGGACACCGTCAATGCAAACCCGTCGCCCGCTTCGTCTTGTACCCTAGCTTAGGAGGTGATTTGCATCAAGGGCGAGATGGCCGAGCGGTCTAAGGCGCCAGCTTAAGGTTCTTCCAATACGCTGGTCCGAAAGGGCGTGGGTTCAAATCCCACTCTCGTCAACATCCTTTTGCTTTTCAACGGTACAAATGCTTGCAAATGAAGAAGATGGCGGAACGGATCGAGAAGCAAATTTTCGTCGACTCGGACATGAAATTTGTGGACCCTTTTTTTGGCGTGAAGCTATCTGCATAAACGGGCTTGGCGTTTTGTGGATATGCATAACTTCATGTTTCTGGGAACACCCTGACCGAACGATCTCATCCTCATCACTGACTTTACTGCTGCAGGAGTTGTTTGTTTGTTCATTTCGCATGTCGCAGATTCATGAAGTCAAGTTATTGGCAACATGTCCTAATACTAAATTGGTTGGCAATTCGAACAGATGCTTCCGACAAGGAACATCATCAACAGGGCAGCACAGAGACAAAAGTTCTTTGGAACACACTCCAAGGCTGAATCGATGACATTCCATCAGGTCAACTTGCCATTAAAATTGGGCATTCACTCTTCTAAGCAATCCATTGCCTCTATTGCAATAGTAGGCAAAAGGCTCGGACAGATAATCTACACCTGCAGATTACTGTTGGAATCCCTGATCTGGCAGATTCAGTTCTTTCTAACACCATTCGTCTTCCCATACTTGTAAACTTTCTTGTCCATACTCGGACCAATGAACAACCAAGCGACTGAAGTTATCCAGCTGAATAGCGTCTCTCTCAACTTTGCATCTCTTGGGCTACTCCCCAGCGCACTGGCTCTCATCGCGTGGCCGACAAGCTGAGTAGTGATCAGAAATTTACCTTTCTCGAGGCCTCTGACTGCCGCTGCCGCAACCTCATCTTCAGTCTGGGCGATATCACCCTCCTCAAGGATCTTTGTGATTTCATGCTTGATCTTTTGCTCATTCTCATACCCAGGACTAGTGATTGTGCCCGGACAGACGCAATGAATCTCGATAAATGGAGAAGAAGTCCCTGTGGCACTCTCACACATAGCACCATTGTACAGGTTGAGCTCAGAGCGGAGTGTGTCCGCCAACGAACGCATGGCAGATTTGGCAGGTGCATACGGCGCATAGCCTGCAATACCTGCAAAGCAGATCACGCTCGAAGTCATGATGAAGTGCCGTGGCTTCGTGACACCTGCCGTCTGAGGTGCAGCAAGCCAGGTCTTCAAGGTTGTTTGAGCGAGATATGCCGCCGCCCAGTAATTAATATCCATCTGTGATCTGAGCACGTCGACAGGGGTATCGATGAAGAGATCAGGATGAGCCATTCCTGCATTTGCCCAGACCACATCTGGTGGTATACTATTGTTCCACACGGTCACTTCTCTTATGATCCGATCATTCTCTTCAGCGATCGTAACATCCGCGCTGATGGCATGGAACCGCTGAGTCTGTGGGGTTTTGGCAGCGGCCTGCGTAAAAGTCAGATATAGAAATATTGGTCGCGCAAGTCATGTACACTTATGTATGTTAACGCAGCTTCGAGCTTTTCTTGGTCTCTCGCAACAATGACAATATGTGCGCCTTTCTGAGCCAAGAGTTTTGCCAGTCCTCTTCCCATGCCCTGAGAGCCGCCAGTGATGACCACTGTCTTTGATTGCGTGTCAGCTAGTAAGATCATGTATCAAGCAGTTTTCAACGCACTCGGCCGTTGACATCAAAGTTGTTCTGTTTCCAGCCGAACCTCATGTTGCGTAGATTTGTGATGTGTGTGAGAATGCGTTCTTGGTTCTGTTGGTAAGACTTAACAATAAAAGCAAGGCAGTTTTGTACTTCGGTAATCGTCTTCTTATACAGTGGTGTTAAGGCATCCCGTGCATATAACAATCACCTGTGCTGATGCTATGGAGCGTAGGATCAGCACTATAAGCCGCCGTAAGCAATGATTCACTCAAGGTACAGTCTGTCCAATGGGGCAACGCGAATAAATTAACATCAGGGTTTTCTCTTCCAGCGCCTTGTCTACCGGATTGCCTCTGTTTTTGTTACCTTATAAAGCACTTCCACCCAACCTGTACAGACATCAGGAATGCAGTATGAGCTAGATATGGAGTATCTTGCAATGTGTGTTACATGGTGCACCCTGGCGTTTATGGGACGTGGCTCAACACAATCTTTTTTTACAGGCTTATATAGGATGTTTCTGCATCCGTTAAATGGTGTAAGCAGGTTGTCGAGTTCGTTGTGATGGGAAACTACCTGCTGTAGCTCGGGGGCCGGTCCCCGAGATACAATGCCGATCCCTGCCTATTGGGGTATACTAAGTACCGAAAGCGCTCCTTACCACCAAACTTGGTATCTAAACATCATCTACATCATGGACAACTATCATCTTGAATCTGCACATAAATACCAGCGGATTGCTCTCTGCTTTTTCACAGTCCACCATGTATACTCTACGGCAAAAATCGTTACTTCATAGCCCATCTCTTGGTTCAAGGACAAAAGCTATTGTTCTTATACCTGCAACGAGAAGATCAAACACCACCTCTAGGTCTACAGTCAATGTTATTTTCAGCAACAGACACTATTCCTCACAAGTCAGCACTCCTAGACCGAAAGGCTCAAAAATACACCATATTCTCATCGTCGGCGGCGGCCCAGCAGGCTCAAGCACCGCCTTCTGGCTCGCAAAAGCAGGCTTCAAAGTAACAATCGCAGAACGCTCAACCATACCTCCTTATGGCCAAGGCATCGACATCACAGACGAAGCAGTCGACATCGTCAAGAAAATGGGCTTGTGGGAAAAGATAAAAGAGAACACGACTGGAGAAAGTGGCTTTGCTTTGCTGGACGATGCGGGTAAGGAGACTGGGATGGTTGGGACCAATCCTGCTGATCAGAGCAAGTCGGCTTTTTCGCCTACTAATGAGATTGAGGTGTGTAAGACAAGATGTTCGGAGGAAATAGTTATTAATTTGGAAATAGATTATGCGTGGGACTTTGACGAACATCTTCATGGATGCTGCAAAAGAACAAGGTGTGAAGTATAGATATGGGCAAGTTTTTCTTATCTTTACGTCCCCAACGGGATTTCTCTAACTATCTGCTAGATGCACAGTAAGCAATATGCAACAAGGCACATCCTCCGCGATAGCCACTCTCTCAGATACCAACCAACCGGAAGAGTACACTGCCATCATCGGCGCAGACGGCGTTGCCTCTCGAGTACGAAGCCTGACCTTCGACAAAACAACAATCGAGAACTGCTTCAAGCAAACTGATACATATGTGGCCTACTTCTCCATGCAAGTCGATCCCAAACACCAAATCACCCACTCTATCTTGCAACATGCCAACAAAGGACGTGTCATGTGGATGCGGCCGATCGACAAGACTGGAAGTCGAGCTTCTGGATATCTGATAGTCACAACAACCGATGCTGCAGATTTGCAACAAGTAGCCAGACATGGAAATGTAGAGCAACAGAAAGCTCTTTTGGACAAGCGCTTCGAAGGCGTTGGTGGCATCAAAGACAAAATCATACAAGGCATGCGAGAGTCACAAGATTTCTACTTCACAAGAGTCGTGCAAGTAAGACTCGATACTTGGCACACTGGCCGTTGTGCTCTGGTCGGCGATGCGGCATACTGTCCTTCTCCTTTGACCGGGCAAGGCACCACAATGGCTGTGCTTGGAAGTTACATTCTCGCAGGAGAACTTGCAGCCAACCCCGAAGATCCAGCTGCAGCATTTACCAACTACAGGAAGAAGTTTGAAGGATTTGTGCGAGAAAATGGTACCATACCGCTAGGAGGAAGAGCACCCAGGCTCGCCGCCCCTCAATCAGACCTTGGAATCTGGATTCTCAGGCTCGTATTTGGAACAATCGCGCGACCAGGCTTTCAAAAGTTGTTTAATTCTCTTCCCTCGCTGCCTAGCTTTGGTGGTCAAGTTAAAAAGTTTGAGCTACCTGATTACCACTTCCAGATGCGTTGAGGAGGTTGACCTTGTGATTCACCTTGGCGGGGCACGAAATACGAGTTTGAAGTTCTTCTTGGTACTATAGACCATCTCTGGTTGATACGGACGAATGTCTCTAGCAAAGCAAACAGCATAACTTCACTCCTTGTTACGTTCTTGCGATCCATGAACATCAGGAACCTGTGAAGTCGAATGCGATCCACCAGTGCGAGTTCTTCCAAACTCCATGAGTGAGGCCTCATTGGTTTCGCAGGCGCGTTTTCGCCATTCTAGGTATGACCCGATGTCTTCTCCCTCGAAGCTTCTTCTCAAGCCCTGAAACAAATCTCTGAACTCGTCGTAAGAGGGTACACCTGCACCCGCCATGAAAAAGAGGAATCTTTGCCATGCACGCCTTTGCAGAATCATCTGCGCCATATCTTCTCGTCCACGACGTTGAAACATTTGCGCAAACTCAAGTTCCTCTTGTGACAATTCATTACTGCCATCGTAATACTTTACAACAGGCCACATCATGCATGGAAAGCTGAATGCAAAGTTCTTGGTTTCTGTTGATGCCCACTCCCAGTCGATTATCCCGGTGATGTTGTAGTCTTCGTCGATGAGAATGTGGTCGCCCTTATCATCGGCATGTTTCAGGTAGAAGTGATTATCCGTCGCATTTGCCAAAAGACCGGGTAAATGCTCAAGCCTCCAGAGATGGGTCAAGAAGTTGTCAGTGGCAAGCGTGGATAGCTCTCCATCTTTGATCATGTCTATCTCATGTGTCAAGATCGACGTGAGTGAATCTTTCGAGGTAGAAAACGGTCCAAGTGACTCAAATGGAGACACAAACATGTGGTTCTGAGCGAACGGTCCAACCACTCCACCTTGAGAAAGAGATCCAGTCACTGGAAAGGGATGTTTCTCAAGTTCGAGAAAAACATCTGCAAGTTGTTCCATGACTTTTGTTTTCTGTTGGGCTGAAGCATTAGACCATTGCAATGGCTTTCCAGGAAGCTTTTCCATAAGCACATATGGAGTTCCAATTTCGGTCTCGTTGCATGAATGGTGAAACACTTCTGGAACTCGTATATTGGTTCGCGAGAGGAACTTTAGAGTTTCCACTTCACTTATGGAGATTGGTGTTTGTGCATCGTGAGGCAGTACTGTAGGTTCTTCAAATCTGAGTCGTGCTATCCAGACAACGCCGTCGGCGAAGCAGATGTCAATGTTACAATTCTGACCGCCTGTCTGATCCAAGATCTGCTTGGACTCGGCATCTGGTTTCGCCTGTTCACCGGCATTCAGGAGAGCGGGTATGGAGCAGGGGACATTGTCGTGAAGACGAGTCGCAATGGATCTGAGAGCATCGAAGTCGACTTTGTCAAGTAATGCTTGCAGATGCCCCTTTCTGGCGGAGTCGTATGCCGCGAAGAAAGCATCTGGTTCATTGCCCTGCACGATTAGAATTCAATTACTCTGGTCTAGTGGTGAGATGACACGAACCTCTGAAGGACATGTATGGAATTCAGGCGCCAGGTGTTGCAAGCAACGATGACTGGAGCATATCATACAGTCGCCGCTCCCACGCTCGGCAGGGCGTTCGCAATCGGGAAAATCACAACTTCTAAGTGGCATATCGACGGAATTGTTGTTGCAAGATCCGCCAAGTGAAGGCAAGGAAAAACGAGAATACGAGTCAAAGGGCCTTGGAATGCATATTCTAGCCGCAAGGCTCATCTTTTCCTACGTACCTACCTTTAAGGACCAGTGTGATCGTTTCAATAAGCGCCCTTGAGCTTCGCGTTGCGATACGGTGGGCGGTCCCTGATACAGAGGCGCATTCAGTGAATAAAGCTGCAGTAGTGGTTTCTAGGACGGAGATAGGTCAATTGTTCATTTCAATACATGTAAGACAGAAATCATTTCTTTTTTTTTTTTTTTTTACACTGCCTTGCTGCCAAAGACCTTGATTCTCGAAATACCACCATCGGGAATCATGACCAACTTAACGTAGCCATAAGCCTTGCCCTGAACCTCCTTCAACACATCTCCCTCATAGATATGTTCGAAGTCAGGACCAGTCTTTTGCGGGCTCAAGATCTCGACCCACTTGCTGCTATCATGAGCAGGAGCCTCTCCAGCTTCAGCAGCGAACACTTGCACCTTTTGTGGGAAGTTGCCTCTGAAGTGTGCGGTGTCGATCAGCAGTTTGGAGATGTGGCCAGTGGTGCCTAGGCGGATGATGCACCAATCGATGTGTTCGCCGCGTGTGCGCTTGGTTTCCCAGCCATCGCCCATGTCCTTGCCACGACCGGGGAGCAGCAGGTTGTCTTTTGTGCCGAAGTGCTGGTCAGAGCATTGGATCGCGACACCGCCGTTGACGGTTGCTGCGAGGTCGAAGACTGCTGATGTATCCTTGGGCAGGACAGCTTGGACATCGCCGTAGAGGCGGAAACGAGCAATGCCACCGTCAGGGAACATTTGCAGACGGATATGTGTGTAAGGTTTTGTGATGGAGGGGAGGAGCCATGCATGTCGTTGCGAAGGTCCACACTCCTGAATAGGGAGGATGGTCTCCCACTCCTTGAAGTCCTTGCTCTTGATCTCTTCTTCTCTGTCGTCGGAAGCAAAGCAGCCCTGCACAGCAACCTCGGGCGCATGGTTGCCATTGAAGAATGCAGTGTCGATCTCGACACCCTTGACTCTGCCGGAAGCGACGCCCAGGCGGAAGACTACCCAGTCAAAGGGTTCTGGGTTATGGCGGCGAGTCTCCCAGCCATCGTACCAGGCTCCTGAGAAGACAAAGACGCCAGGTTTGCGAATTGGTGCGGTAGGGGTGGTGAGGTTTTCGGCAGCTGCGAACCATTCGTCGGAGAAGGAGAGGATGCGGGAGCCAAGGGGTTTGCTGATCAAGTCGATGCTGTTGGAGCCGAATGTTGACTGAATGTCTTCTACGGGGATAGCCTTGACTTGGCCATTGTTGACAGTGTCGAGTGATTCAGTGTGGATTTCCATTGTTGACGTAGTGGTTTGTTGATATACAAATTATGGTATATGAGAAGCAAAGTAGTAAAGGTGGAGAGCAAAGAAAAGAAGGAGAGAAGAAGAATCAAGTCGGTGAGAAGGGAAAAAGACTGTTGGGCAGACACTGGTATAACTGCTTACTCGATGGAATGATTTCCTATCGAGTAACACCCCGCCGTATCTTTGGCGGCCTTCGCCGATCTCGCTGGCGCCCGCCATTCTGAGACGTGGAGAGGCTTCGTGTGGAGTGTCGACAATGGCAATCTTATGCGAGAATACGAACATCCAGCTATAAGGTTGTATTGCGAAAACCTACAGCTCTTAGGATCGTAATCGCAGCATCGTGGAAGGAGCTTGACTCACGGAGATGTATTTCGACTCATCCATCAACCTCCTTCCTCATCAAGCCCGTGGGCAGATCGACAGGTACGGCAAACTCACGGCCAACTCGCGGCCAAGGGTCGATAAAGGCGGGGTCACTATATATACCAAGATAGAGTACATGATCACTTGCTCCTGCGATTCGACTTCCACCCTTTGCCTACCCGATATTGCGAACCTAGCTAGCAGAAAAACACTATGACAAAGAAAGACAACCCCATCAGCAAGGTCGTGTCCTCACACCGTCCAGACCTGGAACAAGACTATGTACCTCTCTACAAGCATTTCCACGCAAACCCAGAGCTTTCGCACCAAGAAAAGGAAACAGCAGCAAAAATTGCCGAACACTTGGGACAGACATGTCCAGAAGTAGATCTCCATACTGGCATCGGAGGACACGGACTAGCAGGCGTACTCAAGAACGGATCTGGCCCTACGGTATTGCTTCGCGCCGATATTGACGGTCTACCCGTGGAGGAGAAATCAGGACTTGCTTGGGCGAGCAAAAAGCGTATGGTCGATCTTGAAGGTGTGGAAAAGCCGACTATGCATGCTTGTGGCCATGATATACACATTACTTCTCTGCTTGCTGCTGCATCTCTGCTCTACAAGTCTAGAGATTCTTGGTCTGGAACACTAATCTTCTGTTTCCAGCCGGCAGAAGAAAAGGGTCAAGGTGCGCAGGCTATGGTAGACGATGGACTATACGACAAAGTGCCTATTCCAGATGTTGTCTTGGGCGGTCATGTAATGCCTATGCGAGCAGGCACGCTGGGTACAAAGCGTGGTCTCATGGCATCTTCAGCAGATTCGTTGAAGGTCACTCTACACGGCAAGGGTGGACATGCTAGTCAACCGCATAGACTAGTCGATCCAGTGGTCATGGCTGCAAGCACAGTCATGCGACTTCAAACCATCGTCAGCAGAGAAGTCGACCCCGCTGACAATGCCGTCGTCACTTGTGCTTGCATTATCGCTGGGGATGCAGAAAATGTGGTTGCTGACAACGCCATCTTGAAACTGGATCTGAGAGCTGTGAATGCCGAAACTAGAAGCAAGGTCTTGAGCAGTGTGAAGAGAGTCGTCAACGCAGAGTCTATGGCCAGTGGCGCGGTTCAAGATCCTACCTTTGAGACAATTAGAAACTTCCCTCTTACCATCAATGATGACGAAGTCACACAGCGTCTGGAAGAAAGCTTCGGCGAGCACTTTGGAACGGACGATAACTCATACACGAGTTCTGCAGCAAAGCTTGGTGGAAGTGAGGACTTTGGAATTCTAGGTAAGTTTGACCTAATTGCATCTCGCTATTCCGACAAACTCTGCTATGTATGTCCTACGTAACGAGCTGACACTGCGATATAGCGACGGCGATTGGAAAACCTTCGTCTTTCTGGACTTATGGTGGTACAGACCCAGAGTTATGGGATAAGGTGGCAGCTGAAGGGCGTCCTGGAGACGTGCCTATTAACCATAGCGCCTTGTTTGCACCAGTGATCATGCCGACGCTGCAGGTGGCAGTCGATGCATATGCTGTTGCAGCGTTAACATGGCTTCTGAAAAAATGATGAGCTTGTGACATTAGCATAGTCTCAATCCGTAGGATGCTCCCAGGGCAGGCGGCCGACAAGAAGGTCCTTTTGACCGTAAAACTCGCTGGCCACCGTGACAAGCATGTCAATAGTCACACATGTATTAGTGTCAGGGAAGTCTTCTTGTTGCTGATTCTGCTTCTCTTGGGCCTCAGCTTCGATTTGTAGCTCGCGCTTCTTGGCAGCAATGGCATCGAGTAGATGGCCTTCGGTATCCAGAACCATGGTCTCACCCCCTGGCTCGTCCTTAGCAGACGTGATCTCTTCCTGAATCTGTGCTTCTACTGCAGCCTCGACCGGTTCGACTCCTGGTGCACCAGCATTGGTGGCATCTTCCTGGTCTGCATCGACAAGTCCGTCTTCTTCATATTGGGAGGCATTTTCTTCGGGATAGTCGTCGAGATGATCGTAGTCAGGGTCGTTGGACCTACCGTACTTGGCTTTGTGATGCATCATACGTACCCAGATGGCCATCTTTGCCAGATCTCGAACTACGCCGACCTCTCTAGTCTGCAACAAGCCAACATCGTCCAGCTTTGCCAATAATGACCAAGCCCACAGGCCAAGATTGTTTGGGATATTCGTTTTGCGGCAATTCTCCAGCTGACCCTCGACAAGCTTCAACAGGCGAAGGATTGACGGAGAGTCAAGAGAGGCCAGTTGAGCAGGAAGTGGAGTGGTGTGGAGAAGATGATACTTCCATTCCTTGTCGGCCATCTTATTGCCGAAAGGTAGAGAGATAGGATGCTGATGGTCAAGGGATTGGACGGCTTGGACCGAGGGTGATGCTCTCAAGTTGCGACGCAGTACCTCGAAACGGGATTTGAGAGAGTTGTAGAAGGCGTCTTGGGCCTTCATACCTGGCTGAACAGGACCTATTATAGGTGCGGCGATGGAATGAGCCACATAAGCACCATCCTCGTACCAACCTTCTTGGTCATCGTCTTCGGGGTCTTCCTCGTAGTAGCCGTCGTAATCGTCAACATGTTCTTCGTAGTCATCGTCGTCGTCGTAGTCAACAGGTTGAGATGTTTGTGGAAAGGGAGCACGAACGATGTGTGGAATACCGCGTGCTTCGGATCTGCAAACGTGTCAGATGAATATTAGGTAGCAAAGTGGCGGAAATGGCTTACCTGACCATACGTAGATAATCAAGGCCATCGTTGGCAGGACCGTAGAAGGGTTCTTTGTCGCGTGGATCCAATCCTGGGAAAGCGCCCACCTGGCCGTAGGTGACATCTGTCTGCGGACGTTCGCGTTCTCTCAAGGCTTCTTTTGACACGACTGCGTGTCTCTGATCGGGCGCTTGATCCGCATCATCGTCGTTGGAATCGCTACCATAAGAGACTTTCTGTCGTGGGACTGGCGGCGCTGCCTCTTCCTCAATGTCGTCGTACGAGATGACCTGCCGTCTCTCGCTCGGGGGCGCTCTTCGGGCGTGAGTCTCCGTGTTCTTTCTCTTCTTCTTGTTCTTGCCCATTGTTGGTGATGTTTGGGGATAGTTAGGCAAAGAAGGCTGAATTATTTTGGGCTGCGTCTTTGCTCCACACACCAGGTCGTCATCATCACATGCAATTTCATTTTGGCTTCTACGGAAACTTCAACCATCAACCACGGCGCACCAAGAGAGGATCTCCCGGTGAAGTATGCACAGGCAGAAAAAATTATAACAAAAGAAACTGGATGTCACTAAATATTTCTAGAGCTGCTCTTACTGTGGCGTTCAGCATAACTTCGTTGCCTGATATTTTCCTGACAACTCCTGCGCCTCAATGGCCACTCCATTTCACAGCTCGTCCTTTTCTGTAGCAGCACCGGCGTCACTCTCTGGCTCTGCCGATGCCATGCTTGATTCGATGCTCTTCTCCTTCTCAATATCCTCGTTGACATTGACGCTGGCAGGCTGCTCGTTAGCAGCTTCCTGCTCAACTCCACCAGTCTCCTGGTTGCTGCCCTCTGCAATTGTTCCTGCGTAGCTCTCCTCTTCTGCGTTTGCCACACCATCGTAGACCTCGTTACCGTTGGCATCCACCAATCTAGTACGTGTCTCGTAGCGTGTCGAGAACGAAACCTTGCCCTCGAGCTCCTTGACTTGCTCTTCGTTGAGGATGTTGCCAGCCTCGTCGCGGTATTCAATCTTCTCTTCGCCGCTCAACATGCGGTCGGTCACGAGAGCCTCGGGAACCTCCTCCTGAGAGAACTGGACAGCTGGAGAAGCTGCTGCTCCTGTTGGCTCGGAGGCAGAGATTGATCTTTCGTAAGTCTTGTACTCGGAGTACTGTCGGCCATGTGTCAGCTTGTTGCTTTTATTTCTCAAGCTTTGATGAATTTACGCTGTCATAGAAAGTGTTGCAGTCCCAATCCCAGGTCTCGAACAGCTTGGCCTTGGCGCAGTCTGTCTTGGTCCAGCCGTTTCCGTATGCGACGGGCGAGTACATGTAGAAGATACTGATGCTGAGGGCCAAGAAGATGGCTGCACCGGCAGTTCCGATAGCGGGGCGCGAACGGAGACCAAAGGCAGGAACGCGAGCAGTAATGAAGTCGTAAGTCTGACAGAGGGCGATAATGGCGAAGTAGAGAGCGGGGAAGTAGTGGTGCAAGAAAAGCTGTCTCTGCATGAGGAAGAAAGGAAGCCAGTGCAGAGCCCAGCCAAGGACGCTAGTGCCGACCTCGTAGTCGAATCTCTTGAAGGGCACGTTGTTGTAGTCATTGTAACCACGCTGCCATCTCAAGACAGCCAGTGCTTTGAAGGCAAGGTACACAACAACAGAGACAGTCGAAGTCCACCAGATAAGAGGGTTGCCAATGAGGTAGATTTGACGGTGGTCTCTGCCCCAGAAGTTGATACCGCGGCGAAGGATTGGCCATGACTGAGGTCGCGAGTCCCAAGCGTGAGACTCAACAAGTCCAGCGTTGGTGGTCCACATGACCTTCTGAAGCTCCCAGAACTTGCCAAAGAATCCAGGGTTGCGGTAGTTGACCTTCTCGGCATCCTCCTTGAGCTGAGGGTGGTCGTTGCTCTCGACATACCAGATACTGTTGGGCAAAGTACCGCCCTTGGCGCAAGTCACTTCTTGTTGCTCGAAGCCCCAATCGGGAAGCTTGACCTTGTGCGAGAACAAAACACAGCCAGTCATGATGTGAACGAGCTTGAACTTGGTCTCAATAGTACGAAGACGCTCCTTGGCAACCTCACCGTCGGACAAGTGCTTGACAATCTCAACCTTGAACAGATCATTGGCATCACCCTCGAATCCTTCGTAACCATATGCGGAAACCTCGTTTTGCCAGTCGGCATCAGTGACTGGGGGGCGGTGATCGTGGGAGTGGACACGACGGTCGGTAATTACGTGGTAGAGCTTGATGACTGCGCCATCTTCAATCAAAGTAGGCTCAATGTTGTCCCAGGCGAGGGGAGTCTTGATCTCGTTGCCCTCGAGGTCAATGGGCTGGGTCTGGTTCTCAAGAAGCCAAATGTTGTTCTCGTCCTTGTGGGGGTAGAGGGTGATCTGCTGTTGCTTGCTGCCAGTGGGGTACATGTGGCTGTGCGAGTGAAGGTAGCCTCCTTGGGTGTTGTGGTGACGGATGGAGACACGACTGCCGAAAGCGACATCAGCTGGCACATCCTGCATACCCTTGCTGTTGAGGGTGGACTGGAATTCGGAAGACATGAAACCGTCACCGTCGCCGGGGTTAACCAGGCAAAGGAAGTGGATGGCAAACATGCTCATGTAGAAGGAAACAGGAATGACGACCAGGCAGAAGAAACGGGCGAAGAAATGTTTGAACCAAAGACGAGGAGTGACCGTCTTGGTGTCGCCGAGAAGAACCCAGAGTTGAACGAGGGTAAGACAGCCGATCCATGCAATGGTGAAGAGTCCAACCCACTTGACACTGGCGGTGGCACCAAGAGCGAGACCACTGAAAGCCAACCAGAACCACCAAGTAGGGGTGAAAGCCTTGGAAGGGCCCTGTTCGTGCTGATTGGTGAAAGAGGTCCAGGCGAAAATGGTCAAAGCAGTAAAGATGACCAAAGGAGAGTCGAGCAGAATGAGTCTAGACTGGGTGACAAGACCGTTCTCGAACAGAATCAAGCCGGCACCCATTGTAGCTGTGGTGGTCTTGCATCCTGAAGCCTTGAGGGTCATGAACATGATGGGGATTGTAAGGACGCCCATCAGGGCAGGAAGAAGGCGCATGGCAACGTATGGAACTCCGGGCTCGACGTAGTCCTTGCCGATATCTTTGAAGTCGAACTCGCCATCGAAGCCGGCCAGCCAGCCAGCGAGTGTGATAAGAAGCTTGGCCAATGGGGGATGGACGTCCATGAAGAACTTGCCCTTGATGTACTTGGAAGCGAAACCACCGAAGCTGGGAGTGAACGGTCAGTTCTTTGCTGGAATTTAGCAGCATAGCTATGGTTGGACGTACTGAACTTCGTCAAAGACGACACTGGTGGGCTGGTAGATACGGAACAAGCGGACGAAGAGGGCGACAACAGACAGGGCACCGCAGATCAGCCAATCGCTCGACTTGAGGGTCGAGACATCGTAGTTCTCGACGCCCTCCGAGGCAAAGTCAGTGGGTTTGGTGATGGCCTTTGTGTTTGGCTGGCGCGCAGGGGATTTGGCGGCTCGGTTGGCCATGGTGGATGGATGAGAGACCAAGATGTGATTAGAAGTGGATAATTGTGGAAGGTCTTCGCAGCTTCCTTTGGGCGTCGCGGGGAACTTCAGTGCTTAGACTTCAAGCTCCATGCAACCGCTGGGAAAGTGCAATTGAAAGTTGAGAAATGGTACAAACGGAAGGAAAGAAGCCAAAGAAAGAAGAAGAGGTAAGACGAAGGAAAGGGGTGGGTACTGGAGATGCAGCTGAGGATTCGATTCAAGGGGGAGCAGAAACCAGTAGTCGACGGTTGTCGCGAGAAGCCACGTACAGCTCGGAAACGCGCCTTGGCCAACGAAAATAGGAGCATCAGCTGCATCACCGGCCGGAAGCTCTGGATAGCTCTTGATCGTGCTGATAAGATAAGGGAAGATCCGCAGCCAAGGCCGATCTCAAAATGTCAAGGCGTTCTGAATGTTACTGCGACGGGCGAGTCTCATGCGACAGAAGCATCTCGTGAAGGTCGACACTTTACTAGACCACTCGACGTGCTCGTTGTATCCCATAATTCTTGGACATACTTTACGACGTCTACAACAACCATCACTCACTTGGTGACCCATTTGCACGTCGTCGCCAGCGCGTAGGCCTCCTCGAACCCTTTCTCAAAATGGCACCCGCGCCGCTACTGGAGCGCAACGATACGCCTGACAACACCGATTTCAAACCTCCACCAGGTGTCATTCTACCGCCCAAGGAATTTAGAACACTACTGGAAAAGACTGCTGGCTACATCGTTCGCAATGGTCCTGCTTTCGAAGCACGTATTCGCGACAGCGCAGAGGGCAACCCGAAGCTTCAATTCGTCCTTCCCGACAACCCATACCACCCCTTCTACCTATGGCGTCTAGAGGAGATTAAGGAGGGAAGAGGAACAGATGTCGCTGCTGGCCGCGAAGGAGATGTTACTGCACCAAAGAAGAAGCAAGGCCCTGCGCCCCCGCCAGACTTCCACTTCTCAGCGCGCATGCCTAATATCAGTTCTGTCGATCTCGAGGTCATCAAGCTGACCGCCATGTTCGTCGCCAAAAATGGCCGCTCGTGGATGACCACCCTGTCGCAACGTGAGGCCAGGAATCCCCAATTCGATTTCCTTCGCCCCCAGCACAGTTTCCACCAGTTCTTCTCGCGTCTGGTGGATCAGTACACTGAGATCCTCAATACTCAGGGACAGCAGCAACAAGAGGTCGTCGCTGAACTTGAGAAGAACATTGATAACAAGTACCGCGTCCTAGAGAGCGCAAAGAAACGCGCCGAGTGGGTCAAGTACCAAGAAGCACAAAAAGTCAAGAAAGAGGAGGAGCAAGAAGCAGAAAAGGTCGCATATGCTCAGATCGACTGGCACGACTTTGTCGTCGTCGAGACTATCCTTTTCACTGAAGCAGACGACCAAACAGAACTTCCTCCACCCACATCGTTGAACGACATTCAGTCTGCATCCCTCGAGCAGAAGGCACAAATGAGCCTGGCGCCTTCAGGCATGCGTATCGAAGAAGCTATGCCAGGTCAAGAGACTTACTACCAACCACCACCGGCACAAATGCCTCCGCCCAGCTCATACTCGCCCGCTCCTCCTGCTTTCTCTCCCGCTCAGCAAACTGGGTTTGCACCACCACCACGTACCGTACAAGAACAAGAAGAAGATGCCCGCATTGCCGAAAGAGCCGCTGAACGACAACGTGCCGAGCAGGCTCAGGCTGCTGCAAGAGGTCAAGGTCCCATGCGCATTCGCAACGACTACGTTCCTCGTGCCCAGGCTCGTAGGCAGAATGCCACGACTGCTCTCTGCCCCAACTGCAAGCAACAGATTCCATACAACGAACTTGAGCAGCATATGAAGAGTATGTTTATGATTTGCCCTGTTTGCGCTCTTGTACTAACACGTTATAGTTGAAATGCTTGACCCAAGATGGCGTGAGCAGTCACGCATTGCTGCTCAGCGATCCAGCACCACGAACTTGTCGACTGCAGACGTCGCCAACAACCTCAAGCGTCTGGCGTCACAGCGAAGCGATGTTTTCGACCCTGTCACAGGCCAAGCTGTCAGCGACGAGGAAGCTCAAAGACGTAAGAGAATCGAGCTTAGCAGCTTCGACGGTGTCAACCCATCTCAATCTGCTGCTCCTGGCGCTCCTGGCAGCCAGTCTACAGATGTACAGGAACAAGTGAGTATACGCCTCCAGCAACTAGTAGTGCTTCGTCTGACCCAAACATAGATTCGCCAACTGCATCAAAAATATGGAAACCAATGAGGGCTTCCTATAAACGTCTTCCCCAGTGACCATCACGGAGCATGATGCCATGATATGATCGGAGGTTGAATAAATCGCATATGCCAAGGATGCGCATGATGGTCAAACACGTGAGGCTGATTGCGTTACTTTCACTCCGATGCTAAGACAATTTCTGCCTGAGGCCTTGGGTCTCTTTAGGGACTTTAGGCAAACACATCAAATGCACCGCAAGTGCTTCCGCATGACTCAATGAAAGAACCCAACCCGTAGCCAACACTCGTCTCACCAAACCTTCCACTGCGCACTTGAACCACATGAAACTCTTGCCTACGATCTACTTCACTCCAGATATGCTCCGCGTTATTGTCATGCGCTCATTGTAAAGCGCTATTGTCTGACTCCTATTGTGTCTTACCAAACGCCGAGACAAAATTCCGCCACGATCTCTCACGACTTCGTCTCCTCTTTTCCTATCCAGGAAGGATTGGAGCGACCACGGAATCATGGATGAATCAATGAGGCGTGCATTTACACAAGCGCTGCACAATAACGTTGCCAGATCGCAGAGCTCGCACAATTCTATGCAGGCAAATGCAGAGTCATCGCAACCCTCAGGACAAGCAGAGCACCGCACCTTCCATCCTAACCAGCATACTTCGAGTTCACGCATATTCACACCGCTACCATTATCATCAACCATTCCATCACATGCACCAGCTTTCACGCCCCCTCAGCATATGCTTCAAGGAAATACGATAATCAATCCTTGCACACCATCTCCAAGACCTCATCTGGAAGCGTCGACATTGCAGCATGTATACCAGCCTGCGCAACAGCAGATGAGTCCTAGCACAAGCCATTCATCGCATCTCAATAACACCAATCAACATATGTATCAGCCATCGCGACTGCGCCCTGGCGCACCTCATGGTCAATCTGGTCGTGGTCTGTTTCAACCTCGCCAACACCCTTATGCGGCATCGCATTCTCGTCCTTCTCAATACCCATCACCCCACTATCCACAGGCTACTTTCTCAGCTTTGTCGCCTGGCGACATCAGTTCCACGCCGCCCAGTCGTTCTGACACTCCAGCACAGAACCATTCTCCTGCTGTCTCGCAGATTCAGACAGATATCAGCCAGGAGTTTTTGCGTTATCTTCATAAATTTGAGCAGACTCAAGCCCGCAACACATCGCAACCACAAGACCAGATTGATTCGCAGACGATGTTGTCCGGTGGCACGGTGAACAGTCCAGTTCAGCTTCATGTTCATCACGCGCCACAGAGCTCGTCAGTCGGTATTTCGCCATCATCAGCTTCCCGAGTCCAGAGTCCTGCGCAATCATATGGTAGAATCCAGCCTCCCAGCACACCACAGGCTCCGCTGTCTAGCAAGCCGATGCCCCAGAATCTTATTCAGACGTCGACATGTCTTTCCTCTAAGACTCCAATCCCCTCACAGGGCAGAACACAGCCACCTATGCAGGGTACACCACGAACTCCGCACCCCGTCATCTTTACACCCTCGCGTCCGCCTCCAGCACCGAAACAGCCATCTCCTCGTATCTGGTGTCCGGATCTTCGAACCGCGACATACCCTTCTCTTCCGCTTCAGGCGCAACCCGAAGAAGAATCTAGCCACCCTCACCAAGCGACACTGGTCGGCAAGACTCAAGAGCGCGCTCTGGCAAACATTCGTCCTCAAGTTTTCATCGATTGCCTCACCATGGATCACAACGCTTGTTTCAAGCCCAAAGTGGCAAGAGTGTTTGACATGCTCTTTATGCAAGCCCTGCTGTTTCACAAGGATAATGTCTTTCTCGTCAGTGCCAAAGAACTGCAAACTCCGTGCTGGGAGCCCCCGCAGAGCATCTGGCATGCATGCGATCTGCACAGACCAGAGGTAGTGTCGCCCGTGCAGGTCGAAAGCCACATCTACAAAGCTTTGAACCTGTCCTCCGATCTCATGCCAGACGAGGTCGTCTACTGTACCAACCATGGACGCCATGATTCTGCAGTCAATCTTGTCCAAACCAACGGCAGACTCACTTATGGATGGTCAGTCGCTCTCTTATTCGAACTCAAGAACGGTACATACGCTTCTAGGATCAGAAGTATCAGCCCGGATTTGAACGTTGGATTCTTTAGTGAGAACAAGGTCCAGGGTCTCAACATGGATCCTGTTTGGAAGGCAAAGGTGCTGGAAATATATAAGTTGAGAAAGGAAGCATAGGATGCATGGTAGGGGAAGGCTATCCAAACAAAGAAGCAAATCTTCTTCAACAAACGCGGTAGCTTCAAGATTGGAAATTGGCATTGATCATGGTTTTGGGGTGTTTTGCAGCATCAAGATACCCTTTCTAGCTTTTCTAGCAAATTACACTACGGCTTTTCGGACTCTACGATTGTGCTTTTCGCGATCTTTGCCGCTTGCTCTTCTTGTTTTTGCTTCTTTGCTCGCCGCCATTTTATCCCTGACTTCATCAACAACAACATTGCTGGCGAGTAAGCTATCAACAAGAAAGCTAGTAGGGTATATGCCCATCCATTGCCCATCGCCTTGGTCATGGGTACGATGGCTGCTGATGTTGCAGCTCCCATTTCGCAGCGTACGATGTTGTTCGCTGCTGAAGCCGTTGCCGGCTTTCCAGGGTAAATATCTACGATCAAGATATTGTAGACTTGGAACGCTGCAGTAAGTGCGTAGCCCATGACAAACAACAGTATGATTGGTCCCGCCAGCGAGACATGTTTGTCCATGACCCAACCGTAGCCTAGGATAGTTAATGCACCTAGGTAAAATAGAGGCATCGCAATCTCCAAACGAGCTTTTTCCAGAGGAAATTCCGTCATGTCTTGTTGTTTGTTCTTGATGAATGGGAAGCCATTGATTTTGGCATGTCGTCGATAATTCCAGTCCACGGCTTTTCCTGTCGTGAAGGCTGACACGATGCCTCCGACTCCAAAGGGAATGAACATCAGCGCAACTTGCATGTCGTCAAAGCCATATACGCTTCGAAAGGCTGTGGAAGCGCCAGTGCTGACGGCATAGAAGCAAGACAAGGTTAATCCAGAAGCGATTAAGATCAAAGCTGACTCCAGGTCTGCTAGAACGACAAGCGTAGATAGTGGGTTCGGAAACCTGAGTCGATATTTCTTGCGAAGCTCCTCTTGTTTCTTCTCATCGACGTGCAGTCCAGCCTTTTCTCGATTTTCGTGTCTGATTTTGTCCGTGGGGTTCCAGTTGAGCTTGGGTGGTGGTATAGAACCATCGCCAACCACATTCCGGCAGGTCTCTGGGAAGAACAGGAATAGTGGAATGAAAAAGACTCCTCCAAAAGCCAGCAGAAACCAGAATATACCGTGCCAGTTCCAGTACTGGCTGAGCAAACCTCCTAGGATGGGAGACAGAGTTGGTCCTAGGATTGAGCTTACAGAGGCAAAGGCGACATAGCTTCCACGCTCAGCAGATGTGATGGTATCACCCACGACTCCATTTGCGAGTGCAATAGTGCCACTGCTGCCACCACTCTGCAAACAACGAAGAACCAGTAGTGCTGCATAGTTGTTTTGTAGAGCCAGACCAAGGTTTGCAGCCAGATAAATGATGAAACAAGCGATATAGGCTGGTCTCCTACCTGCTCCATCGCTAAATCCTGCAGTCAACATAGGAGCCAGTCCTTGTACAATCATATATGTCGTGACTGTAAGGTTGACCTTTGTTGATGTGATGCCCAAGTCCTCCGCTATCGTGTTCAGCGCCGGGTAGTAGATAGATCCACTCAACGGAGAAAAGAAGCCAGCAAGTGATGCCGTAAAAACAATCAACTTTTTCTGCGTTGGCGAAAATACCGAGTACAGGCCATCGTCGGAAGGCTGTTCGATTGCTGAAACAGAGTTTTGAATGCCTTTTTCGTCGGATTCGAGAGGTTCTATGGGCGCGGCATCCGGATCTGATTGTATTTTGATATTTTCTTCTAGAGCATCTTGCTCGCGTTGATGCTGTGTTGTGGTCATATCGATGGCGGGGCGATCCGAGTATCCATGTAGAATATAGGTAGAAAATGAAAGCCGATACCCGAGTAACCTTCTTCTCTCAGAAAACTCAAAGATGACAGGCTAGACACGCGTCCGGAATGTGATGTCGAAGCAGCGTAACCAACAATAAGAATAAAAAAAAGAGTCCTAGGCAGATATGGTTGTTGATTAGGTAGTCCAACGGGGTTTGGGTGGCGGCGTTAAAGAAGATCGTCCATCCGAGGGCCGCTTCAACAATCGAATCGAATCCGGAAGGTGCATGGCCTAACGTGCAAATAAGGATGTAAGGCTCTGTCAGTATCACTTCGCCATTCAAGCGATCTAGCGTTCTAGCATGAATAGATTAATATAAGCACGATGTCCTTCGTTCAAGATTGGATTTGTTGCAGCCTCTTTCTGTGTTTGAAACACGACAATGGTTCAGCGACTTATCACCTACCAGGCCAATCTTGCAGGCATTGTTTTCGTCGCTGAATGACCTGGGCCCGAGTTTCGGTACAATGCACTGGCACATGGGCGTGCCTATAAGCGAGAATAACAACGTCGGATGTGGCCAGAACCATACTGGTCGATACTGATAAGTCGCGGCTTCAAGATGACATCTCGTCGTTTCAGATCTTGTTTTCTGGACTCAATTCACAATTCTTTGCGCAACGTCCAACGGCTGTCCATTACAGCCACATACGTATCACTGTTTCTAGCGAGATTGTGCACATCTCATTAACCTTTCGAGAAACATGCATGTCCAATGACTGCTCGTGCTCTGAATTCTGCAGCGCGGAACTCTTGATCTCACCTTGCTTCCCAAAGAAAAATGAACACCCTCCATTGAACCTCTTTCTTTGGATCTGGCTGCATCTTTCATAGCCCATGAACATTTCGCCGCAAGGTGGAGGAGCATATGGTAGATTACCGATGAAGGTTGATATATCGTGAGCAACTGCTGATCATGTATCAAGAGGTCGACCCAAAGAGATGGTTGTAGATGCAACATACCAATTAAGTATGACAGGGCCATACTTTGCTTTGGTAACTCAAAGACATGCCGTCACGTGGAGCGGAGAAGCTCGGCCTACGTAGTACAACCGAGGATGGGTATGGGATACGATTTCGCATGCTAAAGACACGTCTTGCTGTTTCTCAAGCACTCTATCTAGATCAATTCCTGTTTCGATCCCTCTAATTGTTGTAAAATCTCTCTTCTTATCTATACAAAATGGCTAAAGGAAGCTGTGCCTGTGGCGAGGTCACATTCGAGTACCAGGGTGAACCAGCAGGAAAGGTAAGGGTCTTGGGATGCTGCAGGTACCTGAGAACCGAGCACTGATTCGTGAATAGGCCGCTTGCCATTGCATTCCCTGTCGAAAGACATCTGGTCAGTGAAACTAAAGCTTTCCAAGGTGTCGACAGAACACAACGACTAGTGCTTGCGTCATGTCTCGTCTTTCACGAATCCACTTCTGAGGAGCAAGCATTCTCGAAGGACCATCGTTTCAATTGACCGGCGTAGCATCAAATTATGTGTCGAGCAGAGTTGTGGTGTCGTCGCCATCCAATCTCACCAAGCTGACTGTGCCTATACTTCAGGTACGACCAACTCCTACAACCTGATGATCCCAAGCGACAAGTACAAGATTCTCTCGGGCTCTCTCAGAACTTGGACAAGAAAGGGCGACAGCGGCAAGAGTGTCACATACAACTACTGTTCAAACTGCCCTACCATTCTTTACGTAACAGGTGAGGCCATTGAGGGTATCAATATCGTGAAGATGGGCACTCTTGACGATCAGAACGACATTGAAAACTTGGGAAAGCCTGGTCTCGAGATCTATACCAAGAACCGTCCTCAGTGGTGTGACGCCATCTCAGGTGCTCAGCAAAAGGAAGCAGGCCGTAACTCTTAAGAGTCGAAGTGGGACAGAGCGACAGCTTACTGTATCATCGCTCGTATTTGGAACCTTTTTTGGATACTGGATAGCTTTGGAGCTCCAGATAGTTGACACAAATAGTTGATCACCTTGATACAGATGGTACTTACAATACAGCGATTTTGTCTGCAGTCTCGTGATGATGTGCATACGCTTGAGTCATTTCAGGGATGAACTTTGTTGTTGTTTAAGTTGTTCCGGACAGATAGGAGAAGCTTGTACTCGGAGTACGAGGATACGAACAGTATACGTACCATAAGGGGTGGACCCTGCGCAGTATAAACACTACCAGATCTAGAACTGTACTAGTCAATGTTTGAGAGTTTTCTGGATGCCTAGTGCCCTTCAACATCTCCTCTACTCCGAGAATGTTATCGAGAGAGCTTGGCTCAAGATCACTTGCAATCAGATGTTGAAGTCTGCAGAAGTAGACAGAGACTCGTTGAACGTCAGCCACACTATCGCAAGACAAAATTGAACGACATGACGAAAATCCAGAGGAACGATTGTTCTTTTTTCTCGAAGATGCCCAGCATGACCAGAGCTCTACTCCAAGCTTTTCCGAGGATTTTTTCGTACTTGAAGAGGTTGCAGTCGTACATGTGCTCTGTCACACTCGGTTGGCGTGAGAAAAAGCCGTCGGTTGGACTGAGCTTCCTGCATGACAGTTGTGTACGCGTGCCGGCACCGCGTGCGTGGAATACTAGAATATGATCGGAAACACTCGCGCGGAGCCAGCCTTCAAGTCGACCGACAAGAATTCCTGGCAGAAGTGCCATTCGGAGCTTGTTCTCTCGAGACGAACGATAAAGGACCAACCAAGTCTGCAGACTCCAGAGCTCCATGCCGGGAACTGCCAGCGCAGACTCGCAAGCGTCGGCGCTCGCGCCGCTAGTTGAGCCCAGCGCACTGTTGAATTGTGATGTTCAGACCATCGAAGCCATGACTTGGCCTGCGATACAGGCAGATCTTGGGGAAATGGGGATGCTCCCAAGAGCTTGGTTGAACACGTCTGTGGCAGTTATGTCTTGAATCTCTCTACTTTGCGATGTTTGCGAGATTGCCATCTACAGCGGAGATCTTCGCACCAGCCGAGTGGTCTTCACGTGCGTGCCATGTTTTTCCTTCTTCGGTGATCGCGTAGAAGGAAAGAAGATGAGCCGTTTCGACCACACCTCGTCGCATGCGGGGCAAGCCCCAAGACTCAAGGTTGGTGCCAACCATTTCAGTTTTATCGATTTTTTCGGTCGTGAGAGCGTAGCTGAGCCGCGGCTTTTCCTGTTCCGGAGCTGCAGATATGGACGGAGCTCTATGCATGCGCTGAGGATGTGGTCCGTCTAAACCCCACCCATGTGAGACGCTGCCATGTCAAGATTTTCATTGCAGCGTAAGAAAATGGGTATGTTCTAAGTTGAGCAGCTTTGTGCTACTGCACGTCGACTACGAGTAAGAACTCCAAAGACTCTCTGACCGAAAGATTGGTACAAGGCAATGCAGGGCAGTTGGTGCCCCTATCGGCGGGAATTTTCTCAGCGATGCCTTGGTGCGCGATTCACACATCAGAGACGGTTCAGGATTAGAGCGACGGGCCGCCATGCGCCGTCGTGAGGGAGGAGCTGTGAGGTACCGAAATGTGGTTGATCTAGACGCACAGCACACTGCGTCGCCTAGATATATAGTTTAGACCACGTCCGCCGATCGGCAACTTTGGTGACGCACGGGTTTGTCTCCAACTTATTATCGCCCTTGTGCTCCTGTCCAACCTCGTTCTTTCCACCTCCTGCTCATCCATACTCCTTGCGTCCACAGCTACAATTCGCTATTCCCAAGGCCAATTCGCTCCTCCGCCACGTTCTAACTTAACGCTTCTCGAAGCCTTCCCCGCGACAGATCTCATTAGATCCGAATCCTTCGACTGTGCCTCATAATTTAGCGGTCTTGGGATCGCCGGAGCCTCAAAAATGCCGTCTTTCTCAACATCAGATCACGATGTGTCTCCCATCTCGTCGCCTGCCCTTTCGCGTGTCAACAGCAGGAACAGTGCTGTCTCCTCCCTGGACATTTCTCCTATTTCTTCGCCAGTCTTCTCGCCCACTCAGTTGTCTGCCTCCGGCCATGGAGCACCAGCCTCAGACACAGCGACGAATACCTCATATGAGCGCTCTTTCACCGATGCCGATGACTGGTTTGGACGCTTTCGCGAAGATCTAGATATCTCTGATGCGATCCCTGACCGCAAGCAACTCAATCTCGCTGGACAGATCCCTGTGTACGATGGCAATGGAAACTCGCGACTCTTCAGCACTTTCTTCACTGGTCTGGATGCTATTGGCGACAGACAGTTCATTATTTTCGTGCGACACTTCTACTGCGGCGTAAGTCTTTTGATCCTATTTCATGCAAGATTCTGACTAATCTCTGTTCCTGCAGGCCTGTCAAGCTTACATGAAAGCCATTGCCGAGGCCATTACCATGCAGGCTTACTATACCATGCGCGTTCCCACCAACATTGTCGTTATTGGCTGCGGTTCACCATCCATGATTCCTTTCTACAAGCAGACCACTGGCTGCCCTTTCCCCATCTTTGCCGACCCCACACGCAAACTCTACAAGGCTTTGGGAATGACACTTACCCTCAACCTGGCCGGACCCAAGAGACCAGAGTACATGAAGGATATCTCCTTCAACCAGTGGCAGCTCAAACAATGGACGACAATGGCAAAACCACCCAAAGGCAACTCTCGCTTCAAGGGTGGTAACTTGCTCCAGGTTGGTGGCGAGTTCCTGTTCCAGGATGGCCAGGTCGTCTGGTGCCATCGTATGAAGAACATGCGTGGCCATGCTGAGGTCGATGTCGTCAAGCGCGTCTTGGAGTTGGATGATTAAACCGTCACGCATCGCAACTCGCTCGCACTTGTGCTCCTTCGATCCGTCGACTCAACCCAGCAAATCCCTCAGTAACAACCTACCCAGCAAGATCAAGACTGGCAAAAGCACATGCCCGGCACATCAGACTGCCGCGATCCTTGGACAGAACCCCGGACCAATGCTTCATTTGCTCCTGTGGTGACCATTCATCCTACCACAATCTTACGAGAACAACGCCATTTCCTTTGTACCTCTTTAGAGAGCCTGTTCCTACCCCTGTTCTTTGTTGATACATTCTGTTTCTCAAGAGATACCATAGCTTCTTATTTCTTTCTTTTCACCCTGAATATATTGAAATTTACCATCTATATTCTTTCCGTCTCTTCCGCTTATATTGCCTAAATTGTTTTGGCTTCTGCTTTGTCTTACCTTATACATGGGTCTCAAATTAGTGCTTTGCTACTTCTTTTTGCCTTAACTTATACATGGTTTCGAATTGATGGTTGCTTTTTTCTGATGTGTGTAGGGTGATGACATATTTTCTCATATTGCTTGTTTGTACGTCCTGTTTCGGCCAAGTCATCTCGCTTCCATTGCGCTCTACTAGATGCAGCATTGACGAATAATGACGATACGTCCAAAACAGCAAGCACTGACACAACAGCGTTCACTTTGGTCTTATTCGGGAATGAAAATGCTAGCAGATGAAGTGATGGGGGGGGTATCGTGCGATTTGTCAGGCTCATAAAGTATTATGCCTGCTCTAAGCTTCAGCAGCTCGTACAAGGATATGTGCTCATGCTTTCTTTGAGGTTGGTTCATCAGAAGTCGTCACTGTCTCTTCTCTTCTTTCCTCTGCCACCGCCGGCTCCTGCGCCTGCCTTTCTTCCTCTGCCTGCGCCTTTCTTGGGAGCGCTTTCCTCGTCTTCAGAGTCATCACCGTTGGCACCTTTTGCTGGGGCATCTGGCACCCTGCCGACTATGTCTCTGAGGTTGTCGAACTGTTCGTCTTGCATTACTGCAGACTTCATGTGCTGTGAGAGGACGCGCTTGGAGCCACGCTGTTTTGCGACGCCAGAGCTGGCGGTGATGAGGCGGATCATAAACAGTTCGAGTGCTTTGGCTACAAATCATGTTAGTGAATGGGTCATATAGTTGCAAACAGAAAACACGTACCCATTACGACTGGGGTGACTTGAGCCACTTTACCCACATCCTCATCAGCCTGCATAATGCGCTTTATCCTTGCAGTCGGGAACTTTGTCTTGACCTCAACACCGCCAGTGTCCATCTTCTTCATGGGAGTTGGAGGGGCAGCACCATTGCCAGCCTCGCTCTTGGGCTTTCTGCCACGACGAGCAGGTGTTTGTGCTGCAGGTTGTGGTTCCCATGCGGGCTCCTCCTCTTTAATGTTGCCATTATCGTAGTTGTAGCTTCCGACCTCGGCAGGCGTGCGCACACTCCTGTTACGGGTTTGAACAGGCATCTCGGGGTAGGGAGGATATTGTTGTTGGTAGGCAGGCTGTTGACCGAAGCCGAATTGTTGTTGTTGGTACGGATCAGATTGATATGACTGCGTGGGCTGTTGCAGAGAGTGGTGGGAGAGTGTGTAACCTGACTGTTGAGGAGGATATGTTTGTGGAATGTGCTGCTGCTGATCCAGGCCAAAGCTTGTATGAGCAGGTGTTTGCTGCACGTAGGAGTGCTGAGGTTGTTGCAGCCCAGAAAGATCAGGAGATTTGGGAACGTATTGATCCTGAACTTGAGGAGAGACAGGTCGGTATGCGGTCAGGTCTGGAGAGCGAGGCGCGTATCCGGACAGTTCGGGAGACCGAGGAGCATATGACTGGTCCATGTGAGATTTGTGGGAATGAGTAAGGCGACAACCAGTAGCTTGATGTGATACGGAGCTCCAGCCACAAGGGCTCACGAGCAATAATTGGTTTGACAAACAGGAAGTGACGACCAGAATTTATTCACAGCTCCAACGCGCTGCTTTCCTGATTAGGTTAATCGATAAGCGGACAGCGCGTCTTGGCGGTGGGGTGGAAACAAGCAGGTACGAGTGCGGATATCTGAGAACAGAAGGAGCAAAATTCGCAGGCCGAGCTCTCGAGCAGCAGGTGCGACAGGCTTGTACTTGTAGGAGCTGGAGGTCCAAGCCCCTTCCGCCGGCCGCTAAATTTTTGATGTTTGCTCGTCATCACGTTCCTCCAAATCCTCCTACGCGTTGAAGCTTCAACGCGCCTCACCACCAGTTTTGTCTTGCCTTTTTCCCAGTTACTGCTCATAACGAATACGAAGGCTTTCTGCACATCCTTCTCATTTGTTCGTATGATGCATGATGCATGTCTATCCTGTGATCCAAAGATAAGACCAACATGTGAATGAATCTTGGCATGCCAACATGTCGCGTCTAATTATGCTCTTCCTTTTATGTATCCTTTGTGTATGATCCATCGGCCATCTTGCCTTCTCCAGTACCCTCCATGGCCCATGTTTCGATCAAACCACACTTGGGGTCTTCGTCAGGCCAGCCTCTACTTCTTCGCACAGCTAGCACTGCTTCTCTGACACGCATTGTACACTCTTTTCGCAAGCTGACAGCTTCTGCTCCGTGCATCAACTGTTCGTCACTGACAACACCGAGCTCATCGCTCTCTGCTCCTCGCTTTATTGCCTGTTGTTTCAAGGCTGCCCATCTGTCTCTCAAGTCGCGGAATGCGTCCCCCGTATCGATCTTGTCGCCAAATGTGACGCAAATGTCTTTGTTTGCTCGTGGAATTGGTCGAGGAAATCCGCGACTTTCGTGCATGACTGAATCAAATCCTTCGATGAATATGGGTACAAGATCTGGTGCAGGCTCTGATTCGAGAATCAAGCGTGAGACGCCCCATTTGAAATAACGCATTGTCTTGTCCTCTTTCTGGTGAACTCTGCCTTCAGGGAAAATGTGAACCCAGGCGTGTCTTCTCGAAGCATAAGCCGAAGGAGCAGGGAAAGTGTCATGGCCGTCGGTACTGTACGTCAAGTGTGCGCCTGAGAAGGGATCGGTGAGATCAGGGCTTCGCAATGAGTGCGATGCAGGGGTAGCGGTAGGGGCGTCGAATGGGCCTTTAGAGAGGAGTCGAATGGCTTGGGTCATGGTAGGTTGGAACAAGCCGCCGTGCGGCGAATGCGCCAGTCGATGCATTGGAAGAGTGTTGCCGAGACTGAAGAACAACGAGGTGAACCTGAGGAGACGGTCAGATGAAGTTCTCGCGGTAATGCGTCTGGTAGGCGTACTTGTTCTGGAAAGCCAGATCATGGCTGGCAAGACCCCAACGAACATTGTTCGGATTCCAATGGTAGCTGTATGGCAGGATGCCCCACATGATAGGATCATCCATGCTATGAGCTGCAGTCAGCTTTCGAGGTAGGACTAGTCGTAAGCAAGTATGTACGTACGTACACGCTAGTATGGTTTGAAACTGGAAGCAGTCAGTCCTGAGCCTCTCACAAAGCAAATGAAATGATATATACCAGTTATAAGACCCTTGGTCCTGCCATTCACATCTTCGCGCTCATCCATGAGGCGCATGAAGTTGTCATAGCCCTTCACCTCGAGCCTGTTCAGGCCAACGAGGAAGGTACGGCAGAGAAACCCTGTCGCACCCGTGATGAACGAGGAACCCGTTCGCCAGAGCAGCGACGGTTGATCGGGGGCGTCTGAAGCAGCCATTGCTAGTCGACAAGACTCAGAGCATGGCAATGCGAAAGGTAGAGAAGCAATTGACGAGGGCGAAACATTATTTAGCATTCCAAACTTAGACCAACCACTGACCCACGTTGTTCCGCTCGCCTTGCCCCACACACTTCCTTGCACGTACCTGACCTGGAAACTTCCTTCATACTCCGAGTATGGCAAAGAGCACGGAATACACTACAAAAAGGCACAAATGTAATTGGAGACAGAAGTGTGGCCAGAGAGAGCCGATTAATTGTCGTCCCTCAGCGAGCACTGTCCTGTTTCCTGGTAATACTGTGCGTTTCTTTGGCTGTGACATATTCTAGCGCGGAGAGGTATGACCGCATCCTTTTAGCGCTCACGATCCATCGCTTTTCCTCCAACACAACTTCTACACCATCATGTCGCATAGTACGTCGACTTCTTTATTTTCTGTAGTGCTCGACTGATTTTGAACAAGGTAAGCATAATACGTCGCTCGCCTTCTTCACGGCGCACGAACGTGCTGAGTTGAGGACGACTTGGGGAAGCCAATCTACGCGACTCAATCGAGATTCGTTCTTGCCCTTCGGCTCTTGTCGTCTCTGCCTGTTACCCGCTCGCGATCCCGTATCATGCCCTTCTCACGGTCACCTGTTCTGCCGAGAATGCGCTCTCTCGAACCTGCTCGCCCAAAAGAAGGAAATCAAGCGTCTTGAGAAGGAATACGTACAGAAGAAACAAGAAGAAGCAGAATCCGAGGCACTCAAACAAGAACAAGAGAGAGAACGTGCCGTTCAAGACTTCGAGCTTGTTCAGCAAGGCCTGAACAGCAAACTCGGCTCCAGCGGTGCTGCTGCCAGACACATCATCGGACGTGAAGCTGGCAAGGTTATTGTCGAGGAACAGAACACAGACAAGCAAGGCACCAAGCGCAAGTTAGAGATCGACGAAGATGAACTCATGCGTCTTGGAGGCCAGAACACAAAGTTGAAGAAGGACTCTCAAAACCCTCTCGATCAAAAAGCTGCTACCTCCTTCTGGATCCCTTCCTTGACGCCCTCAAGCAGCACCGCTGCGACCAAGCCGACAAAGTCAAATCCACAATGTCCGGCATCGTCTCCTGATAAGCCCCACGACTTTTCTCTAAAAGCGCTTGTCTCTGTCCAGTTCACGGAAGAAAAGGCCGAGAGATCCGACGAGCCCGTCCGCTCATGTCCTTCATGCAAGAAGGCACTTACCAACTCGACAAAAGCAATGTTGGCCAAGCCTTGCGGTCATGTTATATGCAAGCCTTGTGCTACCAAGTTCATGAAGCCGTCCGAGAAGGACGCTCACGATGCAAATGCAGAAGTCGGCGTTGTAAGATGCTACGTCTGCCAAACCAACGTCACTGAGAAGAAGCGTGAAAAGAAAGATGGCAAGGAGGACAAGGAGAAAGTCAGACCAGGCGTAGTAGAGATCAGTTCAGAAGGCACCGGGTTCGCCGGAGGAGGCAACAACATGGTCAAAAAGTCCGGTGTAGCGTTCCAGGTCTAGAGCAGGTTCCTGCTGGTCATGGTACGCTCACGAGTCACGTCCATGAACAGTTCTCAACCCGGCCGTTTACGACTACGAAAAAGAATCGCAATGCCAAGTCGCTTGAGAAAATGCTTATCAAACTGCTAAACATTGACCCCAGGTGCCAATTTACAGAGATTCTTTCTTGACCAGTGGTAAACAGCGCTTTTTGCAGTCTTTCTCGGGTGCAGTCAAGCAAAAGGCAAGTCATCGAATGCAATTAACAAATTCAGAAAAAAAAATGTTTGAGAAGCTCGATCTGAACATTAGCGAGTCTGAACTGACTCTCCAACAAATGTTCAACCACAAGACGTCATAACTGACAATATTTTGACCCACCTCTCCACGCAACTCCCAAGTCCCAACATTGGCAACACAACCTGTTACTTGACGATTTTTGACGATTTTCTTGTATTAGGGGATGCCGCGGAACGGCGACATCATATAGGCCCCAGGCATACGGCGAAATATACATGTAGGTATCGCCGAGGGGGCTCTAGACATAAGTATATCATTCGATCCTCTGTCGTTTTAGGTTCCGAACTTCTGTAACTGTGACTGGATTTTACTGCTCACACCATCCGATAATACCACATAACTATCTGCGGACTGTGCACTCAAAGATATCCAACAAGGAGAGGCAACATCGTATTCGCTCGATTTAGATGGATCTTCGACGACGAGAAAATCAAGCAGGAAGTAATGCAGCCAGCGAGCTAAGCCATGCATCAACAGCGAGGGATGGCTCTCATGGGGATCTCGAAGGCAGGATGAAGGATCTGGAAAAGCAGGTCGCACACAAGAAACCGAAGAACAGTAGACGTATCTCAGATGCAGAACCTGAAGGCACGGACAAAGAGATTACCCTCAAGGAGCGACTGAAGCAGTAAGTGCTGAGTGTGTTCTTCTGGCTATTCATCGTTTTGCTGACTGAATGCAAGCTTCACATGGGCTTGGTTCACGTTGACCATGAGCACGGGAGGCTTTGCAACCCTGCTCTCAGTACAGCCACACACATTTACTGGAATCATGACTATTGGCACCATAGTATACATTTTCGACCTCGTACTATTTGTCTGCCTCTGTACGGCCATAACCGCTCGGTTCATCATGTATCCCGGATCTTTCCACAAATCTCTCAAACACCCTAAGGAGGCCTTGTTCTTCCCAACATTCTGGCTATCCCTTCCAACCATCATCGGAGGCATGAACAACTATGGTGTTGGCAATGTTGGTGGATGGTTAGTGGTAACCCTTCGTGTTCTTTTCTGGCTCTATTTTGCCCTGACTATGCTTGTCGCCATCTTCCAGTATTGGTACCTGTTCATGGCGAAGCAATTATTGGTCAAATCTATGGCTCCCTCATGGATTTTACCCATTTTCCCCGTCATGCTGACTGGAACACTCGCAAGCATCATTGCTAGCAAACAACCGCCAGACCAGAGGATGCCAATCATTGTCGCAGGAGTGGCAAGTCAAGGACTCGGCTGGACAGTTGCAGTCATGCTCTATGCAGTCATGCTGGTTCGTCTATTCGAATACGGCCTGCCACCACCTAACGCACGACCTGGCATGTTCATCTGTGTCGGACCCCCTGGTTTCACAATCTTAGCTTTGATCGGCATGTCAAATGCACATGGCTACTTCGCTACTAACCCTACAGCCCTCCCAGCCTTAAAAGCAATGGCACTCTTCGTCGGCATCTTCATCTGGATGATTGGCTTCTGGTGGTTCTGTATCGCCGTCGTCAGTTTGCTCTACGGTGCCAAGAAGATGTCGTTCTCTCTTGTCAATTGGGCACTGGTGTTCCCCAACACTGGTTTCACCATTGCAGTCATTGACATTGGCGAGCAGTTGCAGAGCCAAGGTGTTCAGTGGGTGGGAAGTATCATGAGTGTCTTTATCTTCATTGCTTGGTTCTTCACTCTCTGCTTCCATGCCAAGGCAGTGCTTACGAAGCGCATGATGATGCCCGGCATGGATGAAGATCAAGGCGAGGAAGATGAGGACTGAGGATCTTATGGATTCATGTTAGGCGTTTTTGATGTTCTGTATAGCGTGATTTACATGATAGAGATAACTACTAGAATAGTACACACTAATGACTGAGCGGTTTCCATTTTTAGACATGATACTTCACCCTTCGTCAGACGCTCTCGATGGACCTCTTTTGAAATGGTACATGACTGTGCCTTTCTACAGTATCATCGAAGGCTGATCAAGGACCAAGAGATGTAGTGATGAAGTGCATGGGGTAAGAACCCCTTATCTGTGTTGGTAGTCGCCCTCCTTCACTCTCCCACTGACAGGCGAGATATTATAGTAGTTATCAAGATGCAAAAAGTAATGTCTATCAAGGTTACCACGTTATGCACTGCACGCAGACTTGATTCCACGCTTCTGGGAAGCGACAATCGTATCTTCAGAGTTGGCCCGACATATCAACACACACATCTCAAACAATAAATGTATCGTGTAATCAGGCTACGGTATACCTCTAAAACTGACTTTCGATGAACTAGAGTCATGACCAAGGTCATGTTCATGTGTGCAAGAATCTGACAGGGTCATACCACCAGCACCAACATTTTTACTTCCAAAACAAAAAAAGAATAATTCTGAACATTGATCGAGGTCGCGACGAGCGGTACTATACGAGCACTTGGTGACTGCACTTGTGCAATCATTTAAGTCAACTATATGGTGACAATATTGCTCTCCTGTCTACGCTTCTGCTCTGGCAAGTTTGCTGACGAGGAAGGCACATTCCTCTTGAGGTCCGGTTTTGGTTTCCTCGGCTCTCGTGGTTCCTCGTCCTCATACACCTCGCATACATCGACCAAGGGAAACTCCCTTCTGAGCTCAGAAGCAATGAACCTGATACCCCACTCTTCGCAGCTGCGATGCCCAACGCAGAAAACCTTCATCTTCTTCTCCTGTGCTGCGAGAAGTCCAGGCTCTCTCGCTTGGCCAGTGAGGTAGACTATGCTGTTTCCATCATTGACATCTGAAATCCAGCCCTTGGAAAATGCAGCTTCTGCAACTCTTTGTACTTCCTCGGGGTGGAATGCATTCATAATGGCAACCACTGTGACAGGCTGTGCCATATCAGTTTCGCTCTCAATATCGGCACCATATACAGCATCCCATTGGCCGAATTCGCGCTTGATGCGATCAGAGACTGCCCCTAGATTCGCAGGCGTACGAAATGCAGCAACTAGGCCTATGCGACGATCTGGATCGCCTTTATAGCCCTGTATACATACAGCATCCTCGCCTGTATACAAGTCAAGTCGTTGAGCTAAAGCCTCATTCCAGCCAGTCGTTAGGACTTCATCAAAGCCGACATGAGAGCTTAAAACATTTGCGCCTCGAGGCACGCGTTTTCGATCCAGAGTGAAAGGCCGATGAAGAAAGACTAGAGGCGGTGGTGTGCGAGCGGCGTGCATTGCAGTGTAGACTCCAGCTGTAGGCGTGATGCTGCATAATACTCGAGCGACTGGGGCAGTAGCTGGTGAATAGCGAGCATTCCTAGGTTCATGATATAGCCATGGAACATCACGGGCTCGTTGTGGAAAGAAAGAGGCAAGATATTGGCTTGTCTGAAGCACAGTAGGCAATATTCTTGGTGGTCCAGGTTGGCTGATCAAAGTAGGAAGGAAAGGTGTGACCATGGAAGCGGCACTCGAGGTCGGTTCCGCATGGAGTGACATGTCTGCTTGGTTTGTGTTAAGAAGAAAGGACATATGGGTTCACATGAGAGCACGAGGAAGCAAAAGTGGTGACGTCGATGCAGGAACGACACAAAAACGACATGACATTGACCTTGATTAGCATTCTATTTGTGACAAAAGTACCTTGCTATGTAAGTCAACAAGGCTCATCGAAGCGCCAGAAGGAACGAGTTTGGGTGCTAGATAGCTGGATGGCAAGATGAGTTGACGGAGGGTAGAGGATGACGCTGTAGGACAGGGTTGGTGTGGACCCTGAAATTTGCGCAACTTCTCTGGTAAAGATTTCGGAGCGCAAATGGGAACAACCTTTGTTGGACTTTCTTTCCTCCTCTGTTGACTGCACAATGCTCAGTGAGCATTTCGCAGCATCCGTGTCGGCGGCGGCAGTCGCGCCCAAAGCTGCCTCCAACAGTGTCAAGGATGTAGGAATTTCCATCTTCGAGAGCCAACCGCATTCGGGTCAAAGAGCGAGCTTCAAAAAGAGCAACACAGCACCCAATTGTCTAGCCGTCAGCGCCTCGCACGTCTTCGCTGCCCAGGCCGACAAGGCCGTCGTCAATGTCTACAATCGCGAAAAGGGAAACCAAGAGGCAACCGTGCCCTTTCAAGAGAGGATAACATGTTTGGCTCTGGCCTGTGACGATACCGTGCTGGTCTTGGGTACTCAGACTGGTCGCATCTTTGCTTGGGAAACACACACTGGTCGCGTCGTCATCACATCGCAGGCCCACCTGCAACAAGTCACTGCCATTGTCGTTGATCCTACTTCGAACTTCGTCTTGTCCGCCTCGGCTGATGCCTCGATTCACGTCTGGTCGCTGCCCTCGTTGCTCTCTTTTACCAATGTCGCCCTGCAAGGCCAGCACTCTCCGCTACACACCCTCTCAGGTCACCGTGCCGCTATCACATCGCTGGTCCTTGGCCACAGCGCTGGCTTCTGCAACATTGCCGTCTCGGCGAGCGCCGATCAGTCATGTATAGTCTGGGACTACCACGAGAACCAGCTCTTGCGCACCGTCCTGCTGCCAGAAGTTCCTCGATGCTTGGCTCTCGATCCTGCTGATCGTGCCTTCTACACCGCATACGATGATGGCAGCGTCCAGATCGTCGACTTCTACAGCGGTGCTTTCTCCGCTGCAAATCCTAATTCGGCACAGCACCCACTATATGATCCTGCCCAAGCTGCCATGCCCGTTCAACCTCCTCCGCAAACCCGCTGGACCCCACCTTCGGCTGATCAAGGAGCTGCGCTGAGTGCTATCCTCAGCTACGATGGAAGTATGCTCATGACTGGCCATGCTAACGGAAACGTTCTTGTATGGGATGTGCCTCTCGGTCGATACTCATCCACTTTCACCTCCGCACCCATGATGGGACCTGTTTCGAATCTCGTTACCTTGCCTGTTCAAGGCTTCCCCGACATTCAACCTGCGCTTCTCAATCAAGTCACCATCGTCAAGCCCAAACACGCCGCTTTCGATAAGGCCGATCTTGACGGTGCTATCCCAGGGAACTACAATTTGAGCTTGCAATTCTCACGCCAGCTCCCTATGCCTCACATCTCTGCATCCAAGAAACAGCCTGCTGTGGTCGATTCAGAATTCCTCACTGCTCTCACACATCCAGTATTCCCTGAGTCATTACTTGCCGACTCACTCGCCGAGCTCGCCAGCTGGAACGGATCCACGAAGCCTCAGCCTGTCGTTTCTGCCACTGCGACCGTTGTAGCTCCTGTCGCTGTTGACCCTCCGGTCGCCGAGCAGGAAGCTTCGGATTCTGCCGACTTTATGTCTCTTGACGCACCTGCATCCACCTCAGGACCAAGTCTTGAACAACAGAATGAGGCACTCAGAGCCGAACTCGCTGCTTTGAAGCGGGTCCAGAGGGCTAGTCTGATGCAAATGGAAGCACTGCGAAAAGAGAAGGTTGAGCTGCTAGCCAAGATCAGGCAGGATGTCGACGACAACATGGAGGAAGAGGTGCACGAGAACGAAAAGAGCGAAAGAGCATGGTCAAGGCTGGCCGAAACAGGCGAATACGTTGAAACTGAGGACGAGTCGGATTCGGAGTAACATGTAGCATGTTTGTCAATACCCCTGTCTATCAACAACACCATATGCGGCGTTTATTGGCGTCTTGGGCATCAACGAAAGGAAAGGTTGTTCTATCGTAAAAAGCGTATACCATTACCATACATCATTCTTCTCCCTTCTCGTGTCTTTTGTCTATCTAATCGTCGCTTCCATAATTTACTTCGTACAATCCTCCACGCCCATTTTCATCTATTCCAATGCCTCGATACACTGGTCCGCTCCGTGAGACGTGTCACGAGTGACACCTACATCCAACTCTTCATTGATCCGTCAACTGCTCAACGAGTCTTCTTCTCCTCAGTCTCAGGAATGTAAGGGTGCTTGATGGTCAAACACCAGATATCAAGGTAATCGCAAATGGTAACGATGACATCAACGACAAAGCTGCCGTACACACCGACTGCAAGGCCCAGGCACGAGAACATGAAGGCAACCTGGTACTGTCCATCGCCTAGAGCACTGGGCCAACCAAAGCCAGCATGTTCGTGCAAGAAAGGACCAAGACTGTCGATGACGCCAAAGACCAGAGGCAAGACCAACACATTGGTCATGGGGAAGGGCGACTTTGTGAGATGAGCAGTAATCATCTGGCCGACCGAGTAGGCGTTGACGATACCAACGTAAAACACAAAAGGCACAAGGTGCTGGCGCAAAATGACGGGTTGAAGGAAGAGATAGGCAGGAATAACAATCCAGGTAAGGAAGAAGGGAGCCAAGCCGTAGAGAGCAAAGATAGGGTTCTCTTTGCGCAGACGGCGGGCAGCCATGACGTTCATGGCGCTCAAGACGGTGTTGAAGATTAGAACTACACCTCCGTAGACCATGTACCAGTCCGTCCAGGGCATATCGTAGAACATGGCAGGGATGAAGTCGTAGCGTGGCATGCCCAAGGAAGCCAACATGGATTGGTGCCAGAAACTGCCGCCACCAACGTAACCAGTAAAGGCGTATACAATGCACAGAGTGATGATACCCTCGACAGGGCCTGAGACGATACCAAGAGTCAGAGTGTGAGTGTGGTACTCATCCCATGTCTGCACGTAGAAAGTCAGGAGAGAGGCGAAGAGGATTAGCATAGTCTTCCAGCCTTGGTCCAAGTTCATAGCTGCCGAGAAGATAAGGACTTCCAGAGAAGTGTTCAGTGCATCCACTCCGTGATCAAACAGTTCACCAAGGGGACCGCTTTGTCTGGTTCTTCTTCTGTAAGGAGAGTATCAGCATCCTAAGCTTCAATACGTCCGTTCTGGCAAAACTCCAAACTTACGCTTGACTGCCATCAACAGCATCGAAGGTCTGATATGTGAAAAGACCAATGGCCCACGAATAGTAAACCCAAGACGGGCAGTCCTGATCCATACCAGGAGTGAAGTAGAACATAGTCATCAAGTTTGCAATGACAAAGCTGAACCCACTCAAGGTGATCTGTGATAAGAAGGTCTCAGCATCCATTGCACATGTATCAAGTTTCGAGTAATGTCGAGTCCAAGGGGAATCTTACCAGGTTTGGCCTACAAAACACGTATTAGATACATTCATCCTTAGACATCTCATATTGCTTCATCATTTACTCACGCCATAGACAATGGAAAACACTTAATGACGACGTGTGTGTAGAACGGCTTTAAGACATAGCGCGACAGCAAGCTGTGGTCGACGCCCGAGTACTTGTACTCCTTGAGCTTGGGGAGCCGGTCCTGACGAATGTACACCATGATTGAGTGATTCTTCACGGATCTATCATACAAATCCAAAAAGCAAGAAACGGCAATAGAAGGTGAGGACGGCCAGCGAGGTGTCGAGTCTCGAGAAAAACGCGCCAAGCAAGTATGGAAACAAGGCCGTGCACGATCCTGCTTTTGAGGTCAGACCGCCTCGTCATCGGTCAACACGTGCAATGCGGAAAGCTTCCTGATGCGTGCGAGGAGCTCTCGAGACACGATCGTCCAGTAATAGAAAAACTAGTGGATTGTGCTGACTACCTAACAATCGAGCTTGATATGTGGTTTGTACAGCGCCCGCACTGACTCCGCTGCTTCCTTCGCTGCAAGACCGATGAACGCTATATGGATGCTGTTGATTCCCAACCGTTGAATGCTGTAACTTGTTGTTTGAGTCCTTTGCCTTGTATCCTTTCACATCGAGACTAGCTCTCTATGCTACAGGGCTCCATGGCATAGGCACCAAGATTCTGCTCTTCATGGTTTGGATCAATGGAACGGTCTTGTGCACCGTCTCGCCCCAGCCAGATACGCTCCAGCTCTGCTCTCTGCGCGAACGTCTTTCTTCGAGATCGGCGAATTGCCACAGGTGGTGAACAGTGTTAAGGTCTCCGATCTGCACAAACCAGGCACCCACACCTTCCATGACTTCTTTTCTAGCGCGGAGACCGGTGCGCCAGTGTGTCTCCCATTCCAAGAGGTTGCCAGGGTGCAAGGTGTACGAACGGAGCTCAAAGACACCACCAAGCTTGCGAGGAGCAGTCGTGGGCCAGAACGAGAACTCTTGCATCAGCGACGTCTTCTTCGAGTTGATCAGTGATTTGAGCTTGCGGTCAAATTCGGGGAATTCAGGGTGGTGTTGGATGGCGTGTAGAGAAGCGTGGTATCCTTCGTAACGTTGGTACTCCCAGATGTGGACTATCTCAATTAGCAAAGAGTCAAAAGTAAATGACAGTTCAGAGAGACGCACCGAAGGTATCGCAGTCGCCGACCTCGGTTCGCCAACTTCCAACCAGATGAACCTTATTCTCTGGCATGTTGGCCATGCGAGGGTACCAAGTGCCAACGAGCTCGACATACTCGTCGACCTTATCAGGCTTTACTTCGTGCAAGACAATGCTGTGGACGTATTTTCCTCGGGCAAGAACTTGACTGAAGCTGCGCTCGATCTCCTTGTCCATCTCACGACCCTCTTGGGTGCCGTAGAGCAGGTTGGAGAGGCGGCCGCCCTTCTTGGCATCTTCCGATTGATCGCGTGCTTTTGACTCTGTCAACACCATTCGTAATTAGAGTGAAAATACTCGGGGGATGTGTGAATTGACGAACTCTCTTCTTGCTCACGCTTCTTCTGGGCAGCAGCCAGGTCGTCGCGGAATTGTTGTGACTTCTGGTCGAACAGGTGGCCCTTGTTGGGCTCGATGTCGGAGAGCGAAGGAGCTCTTGAGGGAGCAGCGACGGCTACGCTTGTCGACAGAGGGCGTGTCAGGTTTGAGGTGCCCAACGACGACAAGCGTGAGACGAGGCGGCGTGAGTACATGGCTGGCGATGGGTGTAGACAATAAAACAAATATGCGGTCAAGTGCAACAAGCTTGTATGAGCAAAGTCTGACGGTGTTGGGAGCTAGACGGTGCTGCAAGTTCGGTGACAAGGAAACAACGGGTAAGGAAACAGAGAAAGAAGGTCGCAAGATCCCTGGAGCTGAAGGCGTCCTCCGCTGATCGACACCAGTGCGCGGGGTTGTGGAGAAAGCGCGGGAGCTACAGCGTGTACGTCACTTTTTATATATTGTTCCTCGTTCACGTTCATGTGCCTCAAAGAGCAAGAAGTATATCTCAAGCCTTTCCGATGTCTTCCACTGCTGTCCGATACGATAAATGTGCCAGGCCCGTTGTGGCTCAAAGTGAATACCCACAATTGGGGACGAGTCCACACATTTTCGTCATGGCAGCCAGAGCTATTAGCGTATACATGCGTCATGGGGTCCAAGCTCTCAATTCCTAGGTAGGCCTCTGTGGTCACTGTTGCAAAACTGTCTTGATGCTATAAAACTGCTAAGTCCCTCTCGTTCCTGACAATCTTCTTTCCCATCATCAAATCAATTTCACTTTTCATCATGTACGCCGCTAGACCAATTGCCCGCTCATCCATCCCCAGGACTCTTCGCTCAGCGAGAGCTCCCCGCAACACTCAGGCTCGCTTCCAGTCCTCTTCCACCGGTTCATCAACTGGCTCCAACTCTCATGTTGTTACCGGTATTGCCAGCGGTACTGCCGTCGCCGTTGTCGGTTACACCATCTACTCTTTGAGCCCTGCTGGTCGCATGTCCAGAAAGGTTAACAGCGCCGCCAAGGATGCTGCTCTCTACTACAATGACATGAGCAAGAAGATTCAAGAGACCACTCCCGATGCTGATGAGGCCATCAACTACGTCAAGGAGTTCGCCTACTCATACGTTGCCTGGATTCCCGGTGGTCGCAAGTACATCGACACTGCCTTCAAGGACCTTGACACTCTTCGCGAGAACCACAAGGATGATGTCGACAAGATCATCAGACAGACCTACATGGAGTTCCAAGACATCACTAAGACTGGTTTCAGCCGTGAGAGCTTGAACAAGGCTATGGAGGCTCTCAGCGACCTTTCCAAGAAGATCGGCGCCTTGGCTGCCGACGCTGCTCAAGATCTCATGGACAACCACCCTCAATTGAAGGAGTCATTCGGCCCTAGAATCGAGCAGCTCAAGTCAATGGGTGACCAGTACGGCCCTGAGGTCAAGCAAGAGGTTGACAAGACTTGGGACCAGGTCAAGGAGATTATGGCTGGTGGCATCAGCGCTGCCAACGTCAACAAGGCCCGCAAGATCGTCGAGGAGAAGGTTGAGCAGGTCAAGAAGCTTGGTGACCAGGCATGGCAGAAGGGTCTTGAGCAGGCCAAGCCTTACCTCGACAAGAACCCCAAGGTCAAGGAGCTCATTGAGAACAACGCCGATGCTCTCAAGCAAGGCAATGCCAAGGAGCTGTTTGAGAAGGTGAAGAGCAGCATCGACTCCGGCAACACTGGCGACCTTGAGGGCTACGTTAACAAGGCTGTTGACAAGGCCAAGTCCAAGGGTTCTCAGCTCAGCTCTCAGTGGGGCTTCGGCGGTATGGATCAGTACCTCAAGATGATCCCCAACGGCGGCGAGATCCTCCCCAAGCTCCAGCAGCTCAAGGAGGTTGCCGAGAAGCACAAGTCTGAGGGCGAGAAGCTGTTGAACGAGACTATGGAGGAACTCAAGAAGGTTCTCGAGAAGCAGTCCAACAAGGCCCAAGATATTGTCGAGAAGGCCAAGAAGGATGCTAAATAAGCAGAACCCACTCATGACTGATATCTTCATCTGTACTATAGTTTAACGACCCCTTTCATGGCAATAGCGGCCTTTTAATGTTACAGGTTCCAGACCTACGAAAATTTAGATTATTTACGAACTACATCCTCCCCGTGTGCCAAAGTCTGTAGCCCTAGTTGAATCCATCGGCCCCCAATTACGCAGAGAGCAAAGCATACGCTGTCAAAAGACACAGTGTGTTTGAGAACACAGGTATGTCCACAGAGCGTCTATTGAATAATCGCTTCTCAGTATATGCTAATTTATTTCTTAGTAAGTATTGTGCAATTTTGCAGCACACGCGTTACAGAATTGAGTACACATGGAGGGATGTGTTATCAACACTTTCTGATGCAGTAATACCCTTTTCTATATTTCTGGTCCCACCTCTGTTGTACTAGTATATTGTTGATCTCTAAAAGATGTCAGAAACAGGCAAGAGCGATGATCGTAAGAAGGAGAGGACAACATGAAAAGCATAGGATTGCTCCTTCCCAGAGCATGAACTTAAGGCAAGAATTGCTCTTGCCTTCGACACGCGACTTCAAGAATAGAAATCCATCAAGCCTCGAACAGCTTCGTTCTTCCTACACAACTTTCGATCCATCCAACATCATCGTGAGCCACAGCGCATCTATCAGCGACGGTGTAGCCACGCGACATGCTTAACTCTGCTTTCCTTACGGGGATCGTGAGACTCGAATCTACCGCTCAAGCATCCCTCTGCTGAGGCTTTCATGCCAATTCAAGTCTGCTTTTGCGCTGTCGAATCGGGGTGCGTGGAGATGCGAGTTACCCGGTCAAAATATGATGACTTGCGTTCTGTTGATGTTGGTTGGGAAAGAATTGTCAACGTCGAATTCGTCGAGATGAGTGCACAGCCTTGATCTATCGTCGCGAGCTGACCTGCAATATGACTCTAGTTGTACAGATGCCCTTCAACCAACGGCGTGACCTCCTTGCTACTGAAACACACATGCTCGTACTCGCTGTCGCTATTCGACTCCTCAGATATCACGACTCCATACTTTAGGGGCAACAGCCTGGCATCCTCATCCCCTGGACCCGTGTGGCAGGCCGCAGTGATAGCCAGACTGCAACTCGATGCCAGAGGCATACCAGATTCAAGCCTCCTCACACCATTAGCCAACAATGCTACGATCAAGATACCAGAGACGAAAAGCGATAGCACAATGGCCATGGCCGAGTAGCCACAAGCAGAAATGCTGTCTGCCAATTCGATTCCGTCGTAGTCGAAGACTTTGATCTGTACGAGAAATATACTGCGCGCCACCAACCAGTGCAGCACGGCCATCGTGGTCATAAGTGGTATGCTGTAACGGTATGGCAGCTGCAGTCTATACGTGCTTCGTTGTACCCCTTCAGGTCTGCTCACCCGCAACGGCTTACGTTGCCTGGCATAACCTGAGTACTCTTGTCCCAGCAGCATTTTTGTCAAGCAATTATTGTAGCAGATATAAACGAAGGTGATGGCGAGTTGAGGTGTATTGGTCAGGAGGACGTTCTCGAGCAGCGATCTACCGCGAGGAGCAGAGTTGACAAGGGAGTCAGTCGAAACTGTACCAACACCATCTTGCCACATGCGTGAGAGCGTGTAAGTCTGAGCATCAATGTTTTGATGAGCTTTGATGGCACTGGCCAGAAGATATGCCCCAGAGGACCAAGCAGATATGCATAGAACCACACAGATGGCCCAGCTTGACTTGGATGAGGCTTGACACCACCGAGATACTTCCTTCTTCCATCCTCCTGATGTTGTTAGCTGAATTTCCTACTCAAACAGGGTTTAAGGCAAGTCTTTGATGGCCTCTATCTTACTTTGTTCGTAATTGGACAAGGACGTGAACTGCTTGGGGTATAACTCTTTGTAGTCGTTGAGAAGCCGGGATATCAGCTTACTCTGCTCGACTCTGGACACCAGCTTATTTTGGCCAATTCTGGATACAAGCTTATTCTGGCAAAACCTGTCTCTGCTGCGTACGTCTTCTGCGGCAATAGGACCTTGTCCATGAGTATGGGGATCAGGGTCATCCAAGCATGAGTTGATCAGATCACCAACTGTAGCCATAGGGTGAAAGTCCCGGACGAGAAGTGCACATACCAGACATAACACCTTGATCAGATTACAGAGCAGCACCGTGCCAAGTAATGGTGTACTGATCTTGACGGTGCAGTGTTCTCCTGCCGTTTCGGCGAGACAATACTGGACTGACGCATTATACCAAGGTCCTACAGGCGACCTCATATATCCCAAAGAGTAACTCCCGTATTCTGTCTGATATAACAGGTCTGTGATGGTCCAATCTTGGGGATGCGAGAGCATAGACTTAGTATCGCACGTGTTGCTCCCTGGGCTTCCACATATCCAACCCAGGTCGTCAATCAGTTTATCAGCACGGTGGTAATACGCTGTGATCAAAGGTGCTGTGACATTAGCATTCGATACGACTAAGACATTCTTCCAGTCAGATTCAAGAAGATTGGTGCCATATGCTCGGATGCAGTCTTCGTCATCTAATTTCTTCAAACGATCTGTGTTGTTCTGCAAACGCGCTAGTTGTCTTTGCCCTGTAGCGTCTGTTTCCATGAAGCCGAGTGTGCTAGTGTTCCAAGCTGCTCCTTCTAGGAAGTCGTTGGTGACTACTGCTGCCATGTAGTTGCTCGCAGATAGCGTCGAGAAAACTACCGAGTTATAGCTGTTTGATGTCAGAAGAGGTAAGAAAGGCCAAGTGCGACGAGCTTACAGAAGATGCAAAGGTACCGAACTCAGGAACAAGCAAGCACAAAGCCACTGGCGCCAGCGACTCACAGCCCGGATGTTACGTAGAGAAGATACGCCCACGTCAAGATACCGACCAGCAGCATGAGCATCGTCGATGTCTTTCCTGGTAGGTGCAACAAGAAGCTGAGCGCAATTGTTGCTGGCTCCGAGCAAGAGTGTAGAGAGGGTATTGATTGCGAGGTCAACCCAAAAGGTTATTCTCTTCATTTCAGTACAAGAGCCTTTTAGGACGATTAGTCTCTACTTAGCAATTATGAATGCTGACTCTACCTTCGAAAACAGTTGCAGACCCTTCATCAGTATGAAGGGTCGATGCCCATGTCAAACAGCCCAAGTTTGTCAGTGCGACAAGAATCGAGACGAGAATTCCTGCTCGTACAGTGAATCGCCAGCTATCAAGTTGTTTGGCAGCCTCAGAACTCTGGATAGACGACTCTTCTGGAATGAGTTCGGTATGCAAGGCTTCAGTCGACGAAGTTGTTATTTCAGACATGATCGCTGGTGATCGGCGTCAAAGTCAGCGCGGACGAGCTGAGTTGCCTAAGTGAATGAAGATTTTGAACGAGGAAGAGCCTAGTAATAAAGGGTATGCATCGCTTGCGGCTGAGGCGCATGATATGCATGTCAGATTGCAAATCTGGCTGGGGATAGGCAGCACAGCCTTGTCGGAAGGATGGCTTTGCATCGCTTTTCCCGTGCTTAAGTGCAGTCATAAGAATACAGGTCTGCGTCCTTTGGTTGGTTCGTGGCTTTTACACTGATTGTCTCGAGCCTAGTAACACCAGCTAATGCTGCAATCCTTGTACAGTATGTGCAGACGCATCGATGTGCGGACTGTCCAATGGCTGTGGAAACACCCTGTACGCAATGTTTCCAAGGAATAGAAGTAGTAGGCCATGATTCTTTTGATATCCGGAGACAGATCTCGTTCATAATTCCATGTTGACTGTGTACTTCTATAGCTTACACCTTGCTCTGTTGCCGCTGAAGGAGGTGTGATGGAACACATGATGAAAAGCTGCGACCTGTCTCGTCTGCCATGCTGATTGATTGCATAGGCATTGACATCGATATCCAGTCTGGTGAAACCGAGCGTTTCGAGCTTTGCTGGCAGCTTTGAGACGATCTTGTCATGGCGCTGTAAGGACCATTTTCAGCTGATATGTGCTGTCACGATTGACAGAGCCCATGATAATATACAATGAGCTTCAGATGAGAGTTTGGTTGTTGTAGAGAAAATGGTGCAGATTGTTGCATGCCAATATGTGGTTGTACTGGGAGAATTGAAGTGCGGAAAGCCAAGCAAAGGCAACGAAAGTCTTGCGATATCCGTGCCAGCAGAGTCTTCTAGCTGGAAGAGGCATTGGAACAGTGATTGATGTCACTTGATGCGATTGTTGACGGAAGCATATTTGGGGGAAAAGCAAGTACCAAAGGTTCACGGGAGGACATTTCACAGGAGTAACATAAAAGTCGTGAATACTGTGCGCATTGAATGGGGGTATTTTTTGCAGAAGAGACTCGTCAAATTGAGATTGAGCTTTTGAAGGGGCGCTATCATGGCCTGGCATGATTCCCGAATACCCGTGACCTGTACCGAAAAGCCTTTCAGAACGCCGAGGTGGAGCGATTGATTTACTCCTCCTCCTCCTCCTCGTCACCACCCTCCTTGGACTCGGCGGCCTTGGCCTTCTTTCTGCGAACACGGCCGGGACGACCGCCACCGAAGGGCGAGGTCAGGGCGAAGTCGATGTGCTTCTGGGCGTCAAGGCGGACGACGAACGAGGGAACGTTGACGATCTGCTTGCCGACGCGGATGTGACGCTGGCGGATGAGGACACGAGCGTGGTGGATGGACTTGGCAAGACCGAGCTTGTAGACACAGGTCTGGAGACGGCGCTCCAAGAAGTCCTCGACCTTAAGGGCCAAGACGTAATCGAGCTTCATGCGGGACTCGTCGAGGACACCAACGCGGACCAGACGACGAATGAGGGCGTTTCCTTCGAAGAGACGCTTGGGGTCCTTCTCGTCCATGGTGAGGAGCTGACTGCATTGGGGCGTTAGTGGGAATGGTCGACGGTAGAAGTTGCGCGAAGAAGAGAGTGGAGGTGCGCAAAAAGTGCAAAGGGTTGAAGATGCGCAAAGTATGCGCAGAGGTGAAGATTTCTCTTGTCGCGTGCAAAATCAGCAAAACAAAAAAGGAAGAGCGCAAACGTACCGGGCAGCACGACGGATCTTGGACAGAGTGAGCTGGACACGCCAGATCTCACGCTTGTTACGGAGACCGTACTCGCCGACGGACTTCAACTCAGAGTCCCTATTGCAGGGTGTTAACCACTTGTTCCATTGACATGAACAGAGCAAGCTCTAGCTCAGTGGCCAGTGGACGATACTAACAGACGAGCGGACTCGAAAGGTCTACGGGGGACCTTGTAGGTCTTGGAGTAAGAACGGGGGGCCATGGTTGTCGTCGGGTGAAGTCTCTCTCGCGCAGAAAGAAAGACGAAGTCGAGGAGTTGCAATTGTGAAAAGGCAGGAGCGTTCGTGGGTGCGGCCCGTGCGCAGAGCGAAATGCGAAAGTGCGAAGCGCGCTCTTGGCACGCCCACGCTGCTGCCGGCTGTCGAAAATCCTCACTGCGGATTTTGAACTTCTCTAGTTTTGCGACGACACTATATCCCGACAACCCCCCAGTCTCCGATAACCAACAGTCAAAATGGGTCACGCCGCAGGTCTCAGGTACATCGAATCTCTCGCCATGCGCTCCGAAGAGACGCAATCGCCCACCCGAAGGACTCAGACGCTGATGCGGTGAAAAACAGAGCTGGTACCAGATACGCCTTCTCGCGCGACTTCAAGAAGAAGGCAAGCACCACGATCGAATCTCCGACTCTTCCAGAGCACGCCAACTAACACCTCTCAAGGGTTACATTGCCCTCTCGACCTACCTCAAGCAGTACAAGGTCGGAGACATTGTCGATGTCGTCGCCAACGGTGCCGTCCAGAAGGGGTCAGTCGCCAACACGCCCTCGTCCCGCTCGTCGCAAGAAACACCTCCTCTAACACCTACAACAGTATGCCCTACAAGGTCTACCACGGCAAGACCGGTGTCGTCTACAACGTGACCAAGTCCGCCGTCGGTGTCATCCTCTACCGCCAGGTCGGCAACCGTTACATTGAGAAGCGCATCAACGTCCGCATCGAGCACGTCCGCCACTCCCGCTCGCGTGAGGAGTTCTTGACCCGTGTCAAGACCAACGCCGCAAAGAAGCGCCAGGCCAAGGCTGACGGTAACCCCGTCTTCCTCAAGCGTCAACCCGCCATGCCCCGCGAGGCCCGCACCGTTTCCATCAAGGAGACCAAGCCCGAGACTCTTGCTCCTATCGCCTACGACACTGCCATCTAAGCGTGGAAAATTATCATGAGCACCCTGGGGCCTCTTTTTTTGCTAGCTGTGGGTGGGGAGTTTTTTTATGGATTTACCAAAAAATGGCATCGAGTCTTCTGAACACTTCCATACAATCATCCCCGGCAGGAAAGCAACAATGGCACAAAATGGTCGTGATCTTTTGACTGCATGAGGCGTTTACAAAAAAAGATACCAGCCTCGAGCCATGTTCAATTGAGGGCTCTTTTACGAATACCACTCCCCGTTCTACGCTACGCCATTTTCCTAATCCTTCAACGCTCACATATGCAGAGAAAGTGTCGTGTCTCATTGAATTTTGTACAGGAGTGAACATGTCCATAAGCAAACTACAGAGCATCGGCTTTAAGCACTGCTCTTGACCACATCATCCCACTTCTGGCCAGTCAACATCTCAAAAGCCTCACGGTACTTCTTGGCAGTCTCCTTGACTACAGCGTCAGTCATCTCGACACCGTCCTTGCCCTTAAGACCCTCCTTGGTCAGCCAATCACGGAGGTATTGCTATCAAGGTGTCAGTGATCTGCCATGTAGTGCATCATTTCCAAAAACTCACCTTGTCGAAGCTGTCCTGTGACTTGCCAAGCTCATACTTGTCTGCGGGCCAGAAGCGCGAGCTATCAGGGGTGAGAACCTCGTCCACAAGGATAACCTCATCAGTGTCGACATCAAGACCAAACTCGAACTTGGTGTCGGCAATGATGATGCCACGCTCAGCAGCATAGTCTCTAGCCTTGAAAATTGTTAGCTATTTTCATAGCATACCTGTGCGAAAAAACTCACAATCTGGTAGACCTTCAGACTCAGCTCCTCAATCTTCTTTGCGTACTTCTCGCCAACAATCTTGGTGGCTTCCTCAGGGCTGATGTTCTCATCCTTGTCACCAACTTCAGCCTTGGTGCTGGGAGTCCACAGAGGCTTCTCCAGCTTCTGACTCTCCTGCAGACCCTTGGGCATAGCGATGCCGTGAACAGTACCAGTCTTCTTGTACTCCGACCAAGCAGAACCAGTAATGTAACCACGAACAATGCTCTCCAAAGGCAAGACCTTGAGACGACGAACATGCATAGTACGCAGACGCAACTGATTGCTGACCTCGGCAGGAAGAGATGAAGCAATCGAGGCGGGCACAGAAGCGCTGAGCAAGTGAGTCTTGAGGTCAGGGATCTTCTCCTTGAACAGGTTGAACCAGTGGGCAGTCATGAGGGTAAGGAGGGCACCCTTTTGAGGGACGCCGTTCTTCATAATCACATCGTATGCTGAGATGCGGTCTGTGGCGACAAAGAGCAGGCTCTGAGCATCGATCTCGTAGATCTCACGAACCTTGCCGCTGGCAATCTTCTTCAGGCCGTGTTGCTCGACTGTATGATCAGTCAGGCGATGTTTCTGATTTGCAAGATGCGGAACTCATACCCTGCGAGTCAATCTGGGTGACAGTGGGAGGAGTTGACATTTTGTCGATCAGAATTCACTCTGGTTGTCTTGGTCAGTATAATGCGCTAGTAACCAATGGTCAACCTTGGTTTGGGTATGGTGTTGGAAAGTGCAGAAACGGATGCAGTCGATTCTCAAAGCCACAAGTGATTACTAGATCCAATCACTAGATCTAGGTTTTGTGACGCATAGTCTGGGATATGGTTGCGATGATACGCAAACGACTTTGAAGATGAATAAAAAGAGTGGTCATTGGACTCTTGAAGACGGTAGGAAGAAATATTGAACGGCTACGAAGCACAACGAACGCTTGAGAAAGGGTATTCGCTGCAAGAAAGACTCACCTAGCAGATAGATTCGCAAACAATAATGATATACAACAAAGATGAATCTGCTAGGTAGGTATTGCTCATTGCTGGAGAAACTTTCTCCTCCGAGTGTCGGAGGATTAATGCCAAGGCTTTCTGTCACCGCGGGACAGGGTCAGTCTTTCCAGCTTCGAACGAGGAAAGCGCACTTCCATTCTGCCAAAATAAATGCAGGCAGTCTTGCTCGACCAGCTGGTCATTCGACAAGCCGCCTCAACAGAGAAATCCAGAAGTCCGCGCGATCAGTTTCTCGGTTGATCGAATAGCTACATTCTAAATGCACGCAGCTGCCCTACATCACGATTAGACAGCCATACACGATCTTGCTGCTAAGCACTATGACGCTCGAATGATGAGCTCAAAATGTAGGTAGGGTGGAGGAAAGATGCTATCACCTATGCAGTCCTCCACTATTTTGCAGGTATTTAGGTGATAAAGCCCTCCTCCCGTTTCTCTCTCGTCTCTGCTTTTACATCTACCAATCCCTGCCTTTCTTACAGTTTCTAACCCAATATAAATACCACAAACATGTCTTCAGACGACAAGATCAACACCGCCTACAACATTGACATCAAGGCTCAAGACCAAACACCCGGAGCCGGTCTCGACAGCCAACTCGACCCTCCCGCCAACTGGACCCAACTCGAATTCTGGGATGACGATGAAAACCCGCATCTCGAAGAGTACGAAGGTAGAGGTCTTCTCAAGAACAAGACTGTTTTGATTACCGGCGGCGACTCTGGAATCGGTCGTTCGGTTGCCATCTTGATGGCTAGAGAGGGTGCCGACATCACTATTTGCTATCTTCCCGAAGAGCAAGAAGATGCAGACTGGACTCTTGAGCAGATCAAGAAGGCAGGTCGTAAGGGCCATGGTATTGCACTCAATCTTCGTGACGATGGAAGCTGCAAGAAGGCTGTTGAGGAGCATGTTCAAGTGCACGGCAAACTCAATGTCCTCGTCAACAATGCCAGTATGCAAGAGGTTTGCGAAGAGCATGCCGACATCGACATGGTAAGTTTTCACTCTAAAAGAGACATTAGAGTAGTCACTAACTCTTCTTGACAGGACGTCGTTCAAAAGACCTTCCAAACCAACATCATCCAAATGATGGCCATGACAAAGTACGCCCTTAAACACATGAAGCGAGGCTCTTCAATCATAAACTCTTGTTCCGTGGCGGGTTACATGGGCAACCCATCAATGGTAGACTACAGCTCAACCAAGGGCGCCATTGCCTCCTTCACCAGATCGCTTGCTCAGCAACAAGCACCAAAGGGCATTCGTGTCAATGCCGTGGCCCCTGGTATTATTTGGACTCCTCTGCAAGCAGCGACAAAGGGCAACCCGCCGGAAGCTCTTCGCAGAATTGGTGTTGCTGAGGCGCCGATTCGCCGTCCTGGTATGCCTGTGGAGGTCGCAACAGCCTATGTCTTCCTCGCCAGCCCTTACGGCAGTTACTTCACTGGTGAGGCGCTACACGGTACCGGTGGTCTCGAAGTCCAAGGTTAAACCCTTGATGACGATGACAAATTGTAGTAGCCTTGTCTGCGGGCAGACCTTATGAGGAAAAGAGACAATACTGCTAAGTGTTTGTACATCATAATAGAAGTTGTTTACTCCAAAACTATAGAGTGACCCTTTCTGATGAAGAGCAAGAAACGCCGTGTCGCAAGTGGTATCATAGTAACAAGTCCCTAGAAAAAATCCCTGTCCCAAGCAGGTGCGATCCTATTCCATAGATCGTTCCTTGCGTCTAGTCGTGATGTGGAGGTGCACTACCCGAGTGTTATTGGTGTCTGTTCGCACCAGCCCAGTGGTCCCATTGATTCCCTGAAGACTCAGCATGGCCATCGACCCCGGCATAAGGACCCATATTCGGCCCTGTCGTGCTGTGATACTCGGTATCACTATCCCAACGATTCAAGCCTAGCCGCGGCGCATCGCTACCTCCAAACGCGCTTGCCTGGGGTACTTGTGCTCGCGAGCCTCCCATAAGACTCATATCCGCATCTGGTGCCTCGGCCTCTCCAAGGTCTGAACAATCATCATACGAAGCGTTTCTTATAGGCGAGTGCGAAGGAGAGTATGGATAAGGTTGAGCCGATCGGCCATTCTGCTGGGCGTTAGACAACAGACCGGCTGTATCAGCATCATCGACTGTATCTGCTCTGGCGCGTCTCTGGTGCTCAAGCTCGGTCGCTGACGGCAAGGTATGAGATGTGACATTTGGACCAGGTATCGATGTAGCTGGTTCGTCGATATTGACACCAAGCTTTGGTGTCGTATACGAGATATCGTTGTGTCTGTGCTTGCGGCCCACGAAAAGCCATCTGAAGCTTCTGGCAGTTGCCTTGACGAGATCCCAAGGATTGAATGTGTCTGCGTAGGCTTTGATTCCCATCCATCCACCATGGTATTTTGGCGCATTGCCGGAGAAACCAGAACCAGGAACCGTGAGAGGGTCTGCGAAAGAAGGCTTCGAGAGGTCGTACTCGCGCCATGGGAAAGCGAAGAGATGCATTACGGCGAATATAGCCATTTCGATACACAAAAGCATTGATGGAATGCCAACCTTGATGTCTGGATACGAGATTTTCTTTGTAGGTTGTAAAGGCCCATTGGAGGAAGAAAGGAATGAGATGAGAAGCTGGAATGATTAGTGTCTTTGTTGGAAAGCGAGCGGGATGTATGAACTTACTGATTGCCAGAAACTGAAGAAAATGACGAGCTTGATGCACAAAACTTTCAAGAAAGGACGGTGTTCAGCAAGATCAGCTTTCAGTTGTAGGTAGAATTGAATCAGCATGAACATGGCGATGGTGACTGAAGCACCCTCAAAGACCATGACCCAGATGTGAGCGAATGCCGGATTGAGCGAAGCTTCGCAATAGCGGCCCAAAGCCTGGGTGACGACACTGACTATGGTGAAGAGCACGCGTATAAAGCAGTATTGGAAGACGGAGAGCCAAACAACCTACAAGAGACGATTAGTATATCGACTCCAATCAGACATGACGAGTATGATAGAGAGGTGAGAGATCGTACATTGAACCACGTCAGGCCGCTTCTCGGTATGCGCAAGATGCCCTTGTCTTTTCCACCGGTACACTTCTGTAGGCCGAAGACACCCCAGAACCAGTTTATAGGTTGGACTTGACGGAAGTAATCTTTCTGCTCGTGCAGGTTCGGAGCAATGTAGTTGCAAAGGAGTGTGAAGAACGAGGCGATGGCGAAAGCTTCGTAGCAGTCGCGAAGGACTTCAAAGTAGATGGAATGTTTGTAGTAGAGGTACGAGAGGAAGGAGACGGTCGAGTAGATGGGGATCATGAGGAGGATGCGAATGATGCTTTGGATAGTGGTCAGCATAGTTGATCATGGCGGCTTGTCGCAATGGAGAGCTAAGTACTGTTTTTGTTCCCATGGCTTTGAGTAATGCGTCGCATGCTTATAGATCAGGAAGAAGGCGATAATGACCGAGATGAGAGCAAAGACGGCGGATATGACCAGACCAACATGATGGAACTTGACCTCTCCGAAAAGAGGAACCTCGTTGACTGCGTATGTGGTCAGCAAGCATACCAAGAGCAACGAAACACGGCGACCGTACTTGTCTGGTCTTCAGCTGTGGTATTACAGCTCACCATAACGCAGTCTCTTGGATGAGAGTGGATTTCGAGAAAGTCGTCGTTCTGCAGCCCGCTTCGGTCGAGAGATCAAGGTGTCGGCGCAGCATGCGCTTGCTTGCGTCAGATGTGTACGAAAGCTGCGGAATCCGAGATGTACAAAGTCAAGAGGCTATGCTTTCGTTGTCTCTCTAAGCACGACCCTTTGTCTGACAGTCACAGCCAGATGCTCTTGCGACACACAAGTACCAGTACAAGTTGTTTCTACTGGAAGGAGCAGCGGGCTGTGCACTGGGAAGCACCAACCTCGCTGACGTGGTTACCAAACTTTGTCAGCCCCTCGCGCGCGTCAAACAAGGGGGCACGTTGCAACCGAATCAACATTCCCCTGCCAAGTCGTTTCATCGCATTTAAATCATGTCCATATCCACCTTTGCCGTGTCTGAGCCCTGCATCAGGCCTTCTGCTTGACTAATTATAACCACACAAAAGATGCCGCCTCTGCTACCCTCAACTCTTATATCAACTTACAATTGCTTGATGCTTTGCATGACATTCCACATATCGAGACATAGCAAGACATTGACTCAATTTGAAAATGTTTCATTCCGAGAAAGTTCATGTAACTATAGATATACCGCCCCAAGACCAAACGCCATCCCGCACCCAGACAAGAATCAGACACTGCCAAATCAAGCGACAACGGGCTCGGGGTGCTGGTAAAGAGGCACACCAGGGGCAACACCAACACGCTCCTTTGCAAGCAAGTCAACAAGCAGAGGGCTGGGGCGGTTGGACATGTTGGGGTACAGAGAAGCCTGAGTCTTCTTGTACTGCTTCACGCTGTCGACGTAGGCGTCGAACAAGTAGCTCGAGTCGAGCGGTCCACCCTTGGCCTCGGGGTGGAACTGGGTGCTGAAGATAGGACGGTGCTTGTGGATCATACCCTCGTTGGAAGAGTCGTTCAAGTTGATGAAGTACTCCTTGAACTCGCTAGGAATGGTAGAAGCATCAACGGCATAACCGTGGTTCTGCGAGGTAATGTGGCACTTTCCAGTCATCAAGTCGAGGGCTGGAATGTTGTGGGCACGGTTACCGTACTTCATCTTGATGGTCTGGCAACCAATGGCCATGGCCAGAAGCTGGTGACCAAGACAGATACCCATGATAGGGAGCTGAGAAGAGTCCATCAGCTTGCGGAGGTTGTCGCTGGTGGTGCGGCAGTGAGTCGGGTCACCGGGACCGTTGGAAATGAAGACACCATCGAAGTGGCTGGCAATCTTGTGAACAGGGTAGTCGTAGGGCAGGCAAGTAACCGAAACGCCACGAGAAACCAGACTGCGAATGATGTTCTCCTTGACACCACAGTCGATGAGAGCAACGTGCATGTCGCCAACGGGCGAGGGAATGTGCCAGGGAGCCTTTGTGCTGACCTTGGCGACCAAGTTGACGTTGCCAGGATCCTCGAAAGCCTCGTCCTCATCGGCGTCGTACTCTTCACCGACGACGACCTTGCCGAGCGAAGAACCTTGCTCACGCAGGTAGGTAACAATAGCACGAGTGTCAACGCCTGAAATGGCGGGAACGCCTTCTCTGGCGCACCACTCGCTCAAGCTCTCAACGGCAGTCCAGTGACTGTACTGGAGAGCAGCGTCGGCAACGACGATACCAGCAGCTTGAATGTTGGGGGACTCGAAGTACTTGAGCAGACCAAACTCGTCTCTGACGGACGAGGGAACGCCGTAGTTACCGATCAGGGGCTGGGTGAAGACCAGAATTTGACCACGGTAAGAGGGATCAGTCATAGACTCGGGGTAGCCGACGAGGGAGGTGGTGAAGACGGCCTCACCACTGATGTTAGTCTTGGCGCCGAAACTCTTGCCGTGGAAAATAGGACCATCCTGTCATGTCTTGTCAGCCATTGACTCATAGGTACTCGGAGGATGCGGGGTGGCGTACTCTGATAGTGAAGGTAGCACGCTCAAAGGAAGGAGCAGTGGATCTTCTGCTCTCGAGAGGAGAAGCACGCTGGCTGCCAGAGACAACCGAAGCGTTACCTCTGACCTGCATGCCGAGTCTGGCGAATCTGGCAGAGGCGGGCCTCATGGCGGCGGACTTGAAGAGGCTGGGGATCATTTTGATTGTCGTGTAGATGGTTGTAAATGGGTTGATGTGTAGATAGTTGTAGATTGGTTTGTGTGTGGCGAATTCTTAATTCACGTTGGCCTTCCAGAGATGGTCGCTAATGTAGTCTGGCAGGGTGTTAGTGAGAGGTGTTGAGGGAGGTCACAGACGCGTCTCTGTCGACTTGCCTTGGCTGGTGTAGGTGGTGGGCGCAGTACGCATAAGGACGATATCAGCCCGCTAACAGGCGATCCGGGTGGATTGATGGGGGGTGGAGGAGTTGTAGATGGAGGACGAGGAAGCACAGGTTGGAGGTGGGCGTAAAAAGCACGAAGCCCAAGCTTTCCCCCGATTGTCGGCGCCGTGGAGTCATGCAGCAAAAAAAACGCCCACCCACCTCTTATTGGCTCACACCCGACTATCTTATCACTGCTATCGACCATCATCATTCCCGCATCACTTTTCTTCTCCGGCTGCCGCTCTTATGAACATTTCCTGCTTAATCATATGTGCTCTTCCTACTCATCACCATTATATGTTGCGGCCTTGTAGATTTTGATTGCCTGTTCAGATTCACAACCTAGTCGCAACTTTGAAGCTCACCCGCCAAGCGGTCAGCCAGCGTGCAATCGGTCCTTCCAAACGATCTTCAACTGCATACCCGGACAGCCGGCGGTTCTGTGATAGTGACTCTTTTGACGGCATGCACCTGTCCAACATTGCCGAAGCTTGTTCAAGTCGTGCCTAATGTGTTGGCATTCAGAGTCGCCCTCGTGTCTACTCATGGCCTCGATCAACCTGCCTGTGTTCTAGTCTGTAGCTTCCATCACTTCGCCTGCGGCGGCAAGCAAAATATACACTATAGAAAGGCACAATTGTTTTGGTAAGCAGAGGCACGTCTACGGACAGTCAACAACTTGTCGACTCTCAATGGATATCATCTTGGTTTTTGTTACTATTATGCATTTCTATATGCGTTACGTACTTTGGTACACAGGGAGGAAGACAGTTTGTAGTCTTCTGATTTGACACGCGCATTGGGGCCATCGGCACTTCAGTATCGTTTTCCAGGTCAAGCTGAGTTAAGTTCTCGTCAACACAATACCATGCTATCCTCTCCGATCTTTATCTTTCCCATGTCCATACCAGTTGATGACCATTTCCAAATTCTGTCCGTCACTTGCGGCCTAAGTGTGTGCCGGAGAAAGCTTTCTACCAACATTCAAAGAAATTCATAAATACAGCCAGGGTCGCACCCGTCGCAAAAGTGCGAAGCAGCTCAGACCATTCTCTGACTGATTGATATACAATCAGACCTAGTAGTATATTGCTTTCAGCAGCATCTACTCGAGGCAGTGCAGCTCGGGGCTCTTCAAGCACAGAAGAGATGACAGGATTCTCAAATGTAATCAATCGTAGTGTTTTGCGAATCATCTCCCGCCAAGTTCTTCGCATAATTTCCAGCACTTCTTCCAAAGCGTCGCCGAAAGTCTACTTGCGAACGATAAGCCAATCGTTACATTGCCCATTCAGGATCTCGAGAAGTCGAAGAACATTCTGCCGATGGTTGCCAGTCATGCCATGCGATACAGTTCCTTTAACTGATGCTGATCAGACACCGACGGAAGCAGTTGACGTCGATCTCAGATCTCGGACCGAGAAAGGCATCATCTACTAGCCTGATCTCACGACACATGGGTAACCTTCGAAAAACTGCCGAGTAGTGAATGTCTTGACCCTACGTAAGGGCACGAAGCATTTTCCGAGCTTTGAGGGTATAAAGAGCATGGCCCTCGCATTAATGTCTTGGAGAAGTGACCACCTTCAAAGATGCATTCTACTCTAGCATTAACTGGGGTTTGCTTGTCTGCGGCTCTGGCCGTTGCATCGCCTGTGGACTATTCTTCCAACAATACCTCAAATGGAACTGCAATTCCTAATTTCAGCCTCCCTCCTCAGAACCTTACTTCCTACGCCAACAACTCGCTCTTCACACAATGGCGAACCAAGGCTAGATTTAGACCATCCTCGAACCATATTGGAGACCCAACAGCCTTCTGGCAAGATGAGCAAGGAGTCTTCCATGTCTCTGGGCTTTACTCGTACCTAAGAGGTCCAAACATCTCCATCACTTCAAGCATTGGTGGTGCTTTGACTTCCGACTTCCTCAGCTATGTGGACTTCCATAACCACACTAATACGACGAGCCTGTTTCAAGCTGGTGTCTCTATCGGACCAGGAAATAAGAATGATCCTCTAGCTGTCTTCGATGGGTCTGTAATTCCAAAGGGATACAAAAATTGTCCAACATTGATCTATACGGGCGTCCACTACCTTCCTATTGTACGTTTTGAGCTGCCAATCAATATACTTAGTCGAATTGATGAGCTAACCAAGCCCAGAGCTGGAGTAAACCCTACATAAAAGGCTCGGAGGTTCAGGCGTTAGCATACTCAGAAGACAATGGTGCTACATGGATCAAGCCAGACATCGATGCAGTCATCCCTAGTCCACCCAAGGGATTTAACGTGACAGGCTTCCGTGATCCTTGGGTGTTCCAAAGTCCCCAATTCAGCAAGCTACTCAACGACACCCCCGAGACTTGGTATCTCTCTGTCAGCAGTGGTATCAGACAAGTTGGACCTCGTCTGCTCTTGTACAGACAGAACGCATCAGACTTCACAAGCTGGGAGTTCCTTGGCCCATCTGTCTCTACCCCTGTCAACACTACCTTCAGCGCTGGCAACTTCTCTGGTAACGACGGATCCAACTACGAGACCTCGAACACCTTGTTCCTCGATGAAGAAGGAGAGAACCTGGACCATGGTGTCAACTTTGTTACCATGGGAGCCGAATCAGGCAGAAAGACACACAGCTTCCACTACTCCTTGTGGAAGATGGGCGAATTTGTTCGCAACCCTCTGAACGAGAGTGTTATCCTTCAGGATCACGCAACTGGTGTTCTCGACTGGGGTCTTGGATATGCATGCACGACTATGCCTGACTACAAGACTAACCGTCGTCTTGGGTTCTGCTGGAGTAATGATGACTTCAACGCAAGCATCTCGGAGCAAGTTGGTTACAGAATTGGATCTGGTGGTGTGTACTCTATTCCTCGTGAGCTTTACTACAAGCAGATCCCGGGTGTCGTTGCCGATGATCTCGCAGCTGAGAATGGTTACTGGTCTGTCGCCACTGGCCACTTGAACACTACCCTGGCGAAGGATGGTGTGGCCATGGCTAAGAACAACGGCAATGATACCGTGACTCTCGCTACTTTGGGCTGCAAACCTGCCCGTGAGATCCTTGCCTTCAGAAAGCATGCCAACCACACCTGGACCGAGCCCGACTTTAACGTCGATGTCACTTCGATCAAATCGAACTGCAGCAACGTCGAGTTTACTCAGAAGAAGGGTGTGACCCAAGCCTTCATCCCCTTCAAGCAAAGTCCTCACAGCCGTCGATGGGAACTCCAAGCCACCGTTGACATCCCCTCGTCCTCTCTCCGCAACGAAGATTACGAAGACTTTGCCGCAGGCTTCACCATCTTGCATTCTAGCGCCTCAGCACCTGCCAACTACTCCGTCGATGATGCTGCAATGCTGTATCGCCCCTCTAACGAGACCTTCATGATCACTCGCGATGTTGCTCTCGGCAGTGATAACGTCAACACCGACCCCGAGATGGGCAAATTGCGTCTGTGGAACATTTCATCGACGGATGCCCAAGGCAACCAAACCTACTCTATCCAATCCCTGAACATCCGCGCCTTTATGGATGGCAGTTTCTTCGAGGTGTATGTTAATGACGTACTTACCATCTCCACACACATCTATTACTGGTACCCAGACTCCACTCGCATGGGCTTCTACCTCCAGTTCCCCGATACGCTCAAGAACTCTACCCTTGACACTGCAGTCTCGTTCTCGAATGTCACTGTTTGGGAGGGCGTGCCTAACGTATTCCCTAAGCGTCCTACCAACCCTAAGGAGTTGATTGACAACGGTGTTGGCTTTGTGCAGCCACCTAATAACCCTAATGTACCGCTTACTTATGATGGCGTTGGTGCTCCTCCTTTGCCTCCACCTGAGAACTTGCCTTATGGCATTGATCTTAGTACTGTGGAATGAATTGCCGGGCTAGGACTTTGTACGTATTTAGTACTTAGATACCTCTTCTAGATAGGAGACCTAGATGACATCTCTACGGACCACTACCTAATCACAAAAATATTGTGCATTTTGACAGGCGAAAAGTAAAGAGGTTCGCGCTCAGGAGATAGCATGTCGGTGTTGAAAGCTGATAGACCTCCGCACTCAGGGGATAGCATCTCAGAAAACCACCTTCTGATCACAAAACTGTTGCGCATTTCGATTGCGGAGTCAACAGACTTCTGCATGCAGGAGATGGCAACTCCTTATTCATGTTTTGATAGCCTGCAACAAGAGTGAATGAGAAAGAACGTCTCTTTGTACCATCTCCTTCTTCAATAATGTACTGTGCATCTTGACAGCTAGGAAGTATAAACATCTGCACTTGGAAGATATCATCTCAGTACTGAATCAGATTCACATTAGAGTCAAAACAGCTCAATCACCATCACATGGGCGCAACGATATAGCAGTCAGAACAAAAAAGTGCATGTGTAATTACAGGGTAACAGATAGCGCAATTTGGTATCACTACAAGACTAAAACAGAGGCCTATGAAATCGCTCATTCCTCGTCTTCTTGGTAAGCGAGCTTGCGCATCTCGCCCAAATCTTTTCGTGCCTTGCCAAGTGCGTTCTCGAGCTGCAGAATCTCGACTTGCTTCTCCATGTGTCTGTTCAGAAATTGTTAGCATGTAGTTGATACTAGAAAAGACCAGCGATACATACGATCTGTTGAACTCGTGTCTTGACAGCTTGGAGTAATCGATGACTTCTTCACCGTTTGCACGAGCGTCAATGATGGCCTGGACTTGCTTGACGAGACTGCGGCATGCACCAGTGACAGCCTTGCTGGCGTCCTCCAATCTTTCTTGAGTCTTGCTCATGAAGCTGGCCTTGACTCTGCTGGCAGCGACCAGCTGAGCAGTAGAAGCAGCCACGTCGTTGGATGCAACAATCAGCTGCTCGGGTGAGTTGCGACCTCCAATAACGCCATCTGCAGTTTCAATGAGCAGATTTGTGCTATTGGCGACAGCCTTTGCAGCAGAGATGAGTCCCTCTGTCCATCTATTATTCTTCTTATAGAAGGCCTTGGATACAATTAGCATGGTTCTTGTGTGAAAGAATTGTACATCACCACAGAATCGTGGAAGTCACCAGGAGTCACCAATGTAGCACCGCAGAGTTACTATCCGAGGTCGAGGGGAACAGGCTCTCTCTGGAGACTCTCGGTTCTCCGGATAAAACTCTGCATTTTTACAGGCGAGATTTAATGTTCAGCATGAGCTGAGACACCGCCTGGTGGCTATTGTACTGTGGGCAATGTATATTAGTGTACGTACCGATTTTGACAAGGACGAACCACGTCCTTCCTTAACAATTTCCTGCTGAGACGCAGTAGCTGCCTTGATCAAGTTCGCAATAGCATTAGTAACTGCAATAGCAGCGCCGAGGATTGCGTCATGGATCTTGAGCTCGTATGTTGAGTAACCATCTCTGGACTTGTTCATGAGAGCAGTAAGACGGTCGGTAGCTGCTTCAATTGCCTTTGCGGCGTTAGCCATCTCGCGGTCGACAAGGTCACCAAGATCTCCAGAAGCAGCGGTCAGCTTGTGCTTAGGAGCGAATGCATCTGCAATCTTGGACAAGCTGTTCAGGTTAATCTGAACCTCGTTGTTCTTGTTGATGACAACATCAGTCTTCTGCAGATCATCGAGACCATCGAGACGGTAGCTCTGAATAGAACGGAAGAAGCTGACTGTGCTGAGAGCAGACTGGCGTGCAGCGTTCATAAGCTGGTCAGCCTTCTTCTCATCAGAAGCGAATCTGGTCAGACCCTTGGTGTTGGAAAGGACATCTGCAACAGAGTTGGAGAAAGTGTGAACAGTGCGGATGACTTCGGCATGAGTGCTGTTAGGACCATCGGCAATGAAGTTGTTGAAGGCAGTTGAGAACTCCATTGCGCTTGACGCGGCCTTCTCAATAGTCGACAAGACATATGCACCAGAAGCACTTTGGTTTCCTGCCTGCATGGTGGAATCCAGCTCGTAGAGAGCATCATCGACACGTTGGACACCGTTTTGGAGCACTGAATCAATAATGTCGGAGATTTTGCGAACATTGTCGAGAAGCAGAGTATCAATCTGCTCGTCAAGGGCTTGGTCTGTTTCGCCCTGACCGTTGCGGAGTTCGTTCAGCTCCAAGAGTGTCTGATCCATGCCAGCCTTGAAGATTTCGAGCTCATCCTCCTTCTCGCGAAGGAGTCTTTCAAGATCAGAATCTTTTTCGCCGTACTTGTTCTGAGCATCGTCCAGAGCTCTGGTCTTGTTGCGCAAGGCCTCCTCAAGATCTGCGATCTCTCTGTTGTGTCTGGAAAGAAGAGATGAAAGCTCAGATCCCTTTGATCTCTCTGCGTTCTCTGCCTTGTCAAGAGCAAAGCGCAGCTCGCGCTTAAGTTTCTCAAGCTCATCCTTGTGCCCGCCAGATGAACGATCCTTATCGTGAAGAGCACGGTCTCTCTCGCGGATCATGTCAGCAAGCTCCAAGTTCTTGGTCTTGAGTTCTCTCTCTAGCTTCTCTCTTCTGTCAATGGCTTCTTGTGCAGAAGCTGCCTTGAGTTGGACACCCTTGAATTTCTGGAGGAGTTCGAGATGCTCGTGACGTAGCTGAGAGTAAAGCTTAGCCAAAGCCTCGTACTTGGTCCTCCAGGTGTTGATCTGCTCCTGCAAAGCACGAATCTGTTCGTCCTTGGAAGCGTTCTGCTGGCCGAAGTTGACTTGAAGTTGTTGCAATTCTCCCTCAAGAGCCTTCATACGTCTGTCGTATTGCTCAAGCATAAGCTGATCACGCTCGTACTGCGCGCGCGCATTAAGATTTTCACGCTCCAGCTCAGCCATTCTGCCCTGAGTTTGTTGCGAGTACTGGTCACGCAGCAATTGCTCCTGAGCCAACCTCTGCTGTTCAGCCTGTAGTCTTTGCTGTTCCTCAAAGTCTCTCTGAGCCTGCAGAGCAGCCTGCTGTTGTTGTCTTTGCGCCTCATCCCATTGTGCTTGCAATCTTCTTTGCTCGGCCTCATACTCTTCTTGCTGACGTGCTTGCTCGTTCTTCCAGAATTCGTTGATCGGTTCGGGGTCTACGGAAGGCTGGCGAGGAGGAGTATCGGCGGGCTTGGTGACGGGCTCGTTCTTCGGTCTAGCGGGAAGGGCTGGTTTGTCCTCGTCATCGCCTAAGAGGTTTGGTGGATCTTGAGGCAGCTTAGGGATGGTGATCAGACTGGTCAGGTAGCGCAAGTTGGAGCACTCGTAGTAGAATTTGACCAAGCGGTAATGTTGGGCATCGTAACGCCCACGAAGAGGGGCAAGAACTTCATCGTCTCCGAGGGCAGTGTGCATGGCGCGCAGCATGCTGGTAATGAACTTGTAGATTCCGTAACTCTCCTGGACCAGGGGCACCAAGCAGGAGATCTTGCACTCGTTGTTCAGCCCGCCTCTAAAGTTAGCAAAAACGAGCTTCTGGAATGTCTCAATTTGATCCTGGAGGTTCATGAGGTCGGAAATGGTTTCGTATCTGGCTGAAATCAGTATGTCGCTTCGCGATGAACTACCACTAGCCGGTCCTTACCCTTCGTTCGGGTCGTTGATGGACTTCAAACTGATGTACTCCTCATACTCGAATGTTCCTTTGCCTACGTCAGCGCCTCTCCTGTTAATCATATGAAGTACGGACCATTGAATTCGGGGTGGTTTCTGTGGAAGTTGAGCTTTGCGATCAGGTAGTAGACGTATTCGGAGATCAGAGAACCGTATCCTAAGCATTGTCAGCCGTGTGTTGCATGTACAGCCTATCCAAGACATACCCTTCATGCCGTCACCACCTGCGACGCCACGCGACAGACTCTCAAGCCAACCAACGTGTGCCTGGGCCTCTTTCAGAACGACGGGATGGCCCTCTTGCAGGACTTTATGGATGGTAATAAGCGCTTTGAAGGTCTGGACTTCGTCGGCCATGATGGGTTGACTGGAACGTCGGCTCAGTATAGTTGTGGTACTCTTTGGAAGTGATTGCTCTTACACCTTCATGCCAGCCCAGAAGGATTGCGAACTGCGGTGGTCGTATGTGTAGACGATACATGCTCGAACGTGTTTTCCTAGAGTTGTGTTCAGTTGAATTCGAAGTCCAGATGTATGGGAAGCGTACTCTTGGGGGCGGTCTCCTCTGTATGAACGTCTTAGCATGGGTCTGAGGCAATGCATTGAGTTTGGACCATACCGATACTCGTGGCCTTGCGGATGTTGATAGCCAACTCGGACTCTTGCCTAAGGAACTGTCAGCATGTCTCGCGCAGGTTGCGACAGGCTACTACATACTTGCCCATGTCGACATTGCGCGTCGAGTGGAGCGACATGATGGCTGTGGATGCCGCGGTATGCTCGATGCGTGGTATTGGGCTTCACTCGAAGCAAGAAACGAGAACGAAAGAAGTCACCGTGCTCACGCCGGAAATGAGGGGGAGAACAAGCGGGGACCAAGGAGAGTGTTTAATAAAGAGCAGCAATGTCCAGAAGATGGAGCAGCTGCCGTCACGTATCGACGTCGACTTGCCGAGCACCGCCGTGACAACGCCCGACCAACGCCGCAACGTCAGCGAACGCGACTGCCCCAAGATTCATCCCAGGCACTCACTTAACTTTTGACTTTGCCTACGAACCCAAGACAATTGCGATTTCGACTATAGCATTCAACTGGCGCTCCGCTTCCAGCATGGACCACAGCTTACGAGGCCGATCATTTACGAATAGTCTGACACATTCAGGAATAAACAAGTCACGTCTCACACGGGTTGAATGCAGAAATGTCATAAATCATTTTGGGCGCGAAGCTGTGAGCTTGGATATCTTTCTTTTGTCGTAAAGCTACGAAAGTGCTGCATGGCACATCGCGGGAAAACTTCTGAACAACATGCTCCCCCAGACGCCTTTTTTGTGTGTTGCCTGATGCATGAAACCCTCCAACACATCAACCAACGAACCCCATGAACCTAGAAGCTGGTCAGCTAGTTTAGTTGCCAGCGATGGCGTGGGCGCGGCGGCGGTCACGCTCCTCAGCAATGGAGAGCTGCATCCAGAGTTAGCCATTGTCTCGGATATCCTCAGATCAAATCTACGAACCTTGACACCCTTGCCCTTGGGGAGCGAGATCCAGGGCTTCTCGCGGCCAATGACGAAGACGTTGCTCTCACGGGTAGCGAACTCGTTGTCAATGGCATCCTTGATGTGGACGATGTTGAAACCACCGTCGTGGCGCTCACGGTGAGTGATGACACCAACACGACCCATGTTACGACCACCGGTGGCCATGGCGATAACACCAGTGTCGAAGCGGATGAAGTCGGAGATCTTGCCAGTGGTGAGGTCAATCTTGACGGTGTCGTTGACCTTGATGGCGGGGTCGGGGTAGCGGATACTATTCACCAAAATTCAGTTCTTGTCCTTACATGTGTTTTTTTCCGTATCGCCAAAGCTTGATCCAACGGCTGATAGATGCAGACTTACGTGCGTGCATCATGCGTAACCAAGTATGGGATGCCGCCCTTGCCGAGCTGGACGCGCTTGACCTTGCCGAGCTTGTACTCAGCCTCCTCGCCAGTGATGCGGTGGACGGTGAAGCGGCCCTTGGTGTCGTAGACGAGGCGGAAGTTCTCGCCAGTCTTCTCGATCGAGATAACGTCCATGAAGCCGGCGGGGTAGGTGGCGTCGGTGCGGACCTTGCCGTCGACCTTGATGAGGCGCTGCATAACAATGGCCTTGGTCTCGCGGCCGTTGAGGGCGTACTTCAGGCGGTTACGGATGAAGACGATCAGAGGCATGCAGTCTCTGAGCTTGTGGGGACCGGGCGAGGCCTTGGGGGCGTAGGCGCCCGACAGCTTGTCGAGAAGCCAGTGCGAAGGTGCCGACAGGCGGTGCTGGTGCTTTCTGCAAAGTGTGTAAGAAGTTTGCGCAAGTCGTGTGTCGCAGTCCAATGCGAAAATTCGACACTGGCCGCTTTTCGTGAATGCTTACCCGGGTCCTCTGGCCATGTTGTCGACTTTGAATTAACGTTGGTCGGCTTTGCAAGTGGTTAGTGATTGAAAATGAGCGTGGGCAGTCGTCGCGCTTACGTTGAAAGGGCTCGCAGTTCGAAAAAGAAGGAAGGAGCGCGAAAACGCAGCTTGAATATCGGTCGGTGGTCGGACTGTGTGCCAAGCCGGCGCACTAACTCGATCGAGCCAGCCCATCAACGCTTCGCTTTCCAGAGTCCAGACGCTCAACAGTGTTTATGCACTTACTCTCACCAAAAAATATTCTAAAGAACCGGATCAAGAATGAATTCATTCGAAGCGCGTGAATTTGGTGTTATAGCCGGACAAGCCATATACCTTTGAGGTAGGCTCACTAGCATCTCTGTATACCTGACATCTGGGCATCCACCAGTTGCGTTTTGGTTGTCACTAGAGACCATACGCACTCGTGGATGTTTCTTTGTTCGACATTCACGTATACATTTTAATCAGTCGGCATGTTTGTGACCAATTCGTTATCTAGCAGACATCTTCAATCTCTTGCTCGCCTCCGACTCTGGGGCCGAGATCAGATCTTAGTGTGCGGTTGAACAGTTCAAGCAACATCTCGAAGCAGATCTTGGTCAGACCAGGGTCGTAACGTCCCTTGCTCATCTCGTCGCGAATGAAGGCATCTGTGATAGTAAGCGTGAGGTACAACAAACATTGACCATTGCACTTACGCTGAGCCCAAGCAGCCTCGAAGAAGCTGAAGCAGATGCCGGCCTCGTGCAGAGTCTTGCGGATAAGATCACGACCCTCAGGAGGCACATGGTTGTCCTTCTTGCCGAAGATCTACTTATATGTTAGCAATGGAATACTCCCTCGTATATATTCGAAGCATACCATAATCAATTCACCCTTGATATCCTTGGCTCTGGCCAACGAGTCATCGTTCTTGCCCTCACCAAGAGTTTTTGAGTGGATGTCAGTAGCAAAGTAGCAGACAGCAGCGCTGACACGCTTGTCCAAAGCACATCGGTAAGCCAGGTGACCTCCCAAGCACATTCCAGTGGCACCAATTCTGCCGTTGCAGGTCTCGAGAGATAGAAGCAGGGAGACACTCAGTTCAGCATCCTCATCGTAGGCTGCAAGCTTTTTGGCGACCTTCCAGTCATTTCCCTTGTCAGTTCCAGGTCCATCATAGGCAAGAGGCTCAGGTCCAGTAAACTCGTGGTAACTGCTCGGAGCAGCAACAATGTAACCCTGGCCAGCGATTTGCTTAGCGAAGCGAGCAACAGGACCAGTCACTGGTAGAAGATGTCAGTTCGATTCTTGTTATCACAAACTACCATGAGAAACAGAAAGAGAAGAAAACGGCTTACCTTGGTAGATCTCACTGAAGACAACTACACCAGGAAATTTGGCCTTGGGATAGTTGGGGACCGTTGGGTGCCAGGTAAATATGCCTTGCAAGAATCAGCAGATGAAAGCTACCTGTTGACTTTCTTCTACATACGCATGTTACCGCCATCCTTGGTGGCTACATCCTTGTAAGACTCTTCAATCAGCATTTTGGAGATTGATAGTGATATGTACGTTCAGAATCTGGTGCCGACGCGGATACAAAGCACTTTGAACCCTGAATGGCTGGGAGTCGATACAAAGCGTGATGTGTTTTCTTATGAAACGTTATCGCTTCCATAGCTCACGCTACTCAAGGTCTGGCCACGTCAATGTAAAGATGTCTTTTGGTCTAAGACACATTTACTGACAACTTCCAATCTCGATAGTCCCTTTTGTTTTCTAGTCAATCTTGTGTAGCTTTACCCTCAAACAAAGGTGTGAATTGCATGATACAAGATAGCTGAAAGTGGATGCTTGGCATGCGTCGGATAAGAGGATCTCTTATGATCTGTAGCAGTTCATGTGACGTGCGAGGGGTCCATCCTGGTGTCGGATCTCGGAGCGATGAGCAATTGCCTCCCTCCTCTTTCTCGTGTTTCCCTTCTCTTGGACCATCCCGTCGACACCCTCTGGGCCGGTCGACAGATCGCAACATCGAATTCTAGATACGCTACTCGCATTGTGTTAGCAGACTTTTCGTCGACTCGAGTTTTGCTTGTTCGACCGCGGCAATCGTTCTACTTGAACGCGTCCAACGACATCACTCCCGCGCCTGCATCCCGTCATGTCTTCGAACCCGCAAACTGCTCTCTCGGCCAAAGCATCGAACCCCTCCAAATCCGTCGGCCTCTCAAATCAATCCACACCCTCTTATTCTCAGACCAACGCCTACTTTGGAGAAGTTCTCGGTCAACGAAGAAGTGGCGGTTCAGGCAGCTCCAACGCCGCTAGCTCCAAGCCATCACCAACCCCGCGCAGCAGCCAAAGTGCAAAAGCAAAGCACAAGCAATCGAAGAAGTTTAGACTCGCGGATGAGGATGCTATTGCTGAATCCGTAAGTGATACTATCGACCTGTCAGTGAGCTTCCACCTTGCTCACTTTGCCACAGGCCGCCATGCATTCGACTAGCAGCCGCAAGGGTCAAACCTCTATCACTCATTTAATGAACTTTTCTCTTCCGCCACGTCCTCAAGCACACCAGCACAACTCCAGATATGCCTCAGGCCGTCCTCGACGTAATCCAACTTGGGGGCTAGGTTCTGGATACCATGCTGTAGATAAGGCAAGGTACGTTTTCTCCATTCCCTCCAGTTTTGTATCTTGTTGACGTATGCTGATTGTGTAGATACGTTCACGCCAACTATCGTTTCATTGTTGACCCCAGGGCCGACTATCGCCCCCAACGCGTCGACGCCGACGTTCATATCGACTGGAACAATGTATTGCAAATCCTCGTCTCGACTGAGTCCCAGTCTTCTGCATGTCCTATCTGTCTGGGCACACCCACCGCCCCAAGAATGGCCAAATGCGGCCACATTTTCTGTTTGCCTTGTCTGATTCGATATATGCACTCGGATGACGGTACCGCTACTGGAGCCGAAAAGAAGGCACGCTGGAAGAAGTGCCCAATCTGCTACGACTCCATCTACATTTCTGAGACAAGGCCAGTCCGCTGGTACACTGGTGCCGAGTTCGAACCCCCGAGAGAGGGAGATGACGTGGTACTGCGTTTGATACAGCGTCCTGCTGGCTCTACCCTTGCAATGCCTAGAGAAAGTCCCGACGCCCTTGGAAAAGGAGATGACATTCCATGGTATTTCGCAGCCGAGGTGATGGATTATGCTCGCGTCATGAAAGGTGGTGAAGATTATATGCTGGCCCAGCTGGACGAGGAGATCCAGAATGTCAGAGCTATGGAACAAGAGGATGAAGTCATGTTCGGAGACGACACTCAATGGACCAGCAAAGCGGTACGTGCTTTGAATGAGGCGAAAGAGAAGATCAAGGGTATCGGCAACCCACCAGCAGCACCTAAGAAACCCGAGGAGCCTGAGCACAAGAAGCCCGCCATACAATTCAACCAGACCGATGATGGAGTACCGGAAATGTATGCCATTCAGCAGGCTATCAAGTCAGGGCAGAGTCTACCTAATGGACAGGCCGGACAAGCGGATCTCTCATTGAACGAGAAAGAGGTCGGCACCAAGCAGGAAGATCCCACGACCAGTATCCTGTCAACATCACTAGCAGAGTTTCGTGCACGCCAACATGCAGAACGACAACCGGACACCTACTTTTTCTACCAGGGGCTCCTGCATTACTATCTGTCATCTTTGGATATTCGCATTCTAAAGGCTGCCTTTGGAAGCTATGACAACTTCCCATCCTCGATACTTCCGCGTGTTGAGCGGGTGTCAACAGGCCACATTGTCGACGACGACTTGCGCAAAAGAGTCAAGTACCTTGGACATCTACCCTATGGCTGCGAGGTAAATTTCCTGGAATGTGACTGGACCGACACCGTTCCGCCAGCAATTCTTGAACAGTTCCAGGGCGAGATCGAAAAACGCCGCAAGCGAAACAACGATAAGGAGGCACGGGAAGAAAAGGAACGCATCCGCGCCGAGAAGGCTGAAGATCGAGAGTTCGCAGCCGCTCGGCGAAGAAGGGTCAGCATTCCCACCGAAAGCAAGTTCAGGCCGGACGATTTCATTCCACTGGGTGCGACTGGTTCGGACGCAGCGGGCTCTTTTGATGGTCATGGATCCTCCTCTTCGCCACCTTGGAGCAACAGTCACAGACCGCAAGGGTCTGCGTATGCCTCTCTCGCGTCACCTGGTACAAGTCCAGCTACATCAAGGACGGTTTGGGGCACGACTGCAGTTGCACTGAGTAGTCCTGAACTCGCCGCTCTTCAACATGGAAACATGGACGATGGGTGGCTCGATGGCTGGGAGAAGGAATTGAGTCAGGAAGACGACTTGATTGCCCAAGTGCAAGCAGCAAGTCTCGGCGAAGGAGCATCTTCGTCCAGCAAAGCCGCAGGAGCAGCGAAAGGCAAGAAGAAGGGCAAGAAGATTACGTTGATGAGCACTACGGCTAGACGAGGCGCTTGATGACTAGGACGGGCTTTGTGGAATTCAAGATATCAGGCGTTTTACGAGGGCTTATACTGCATTGCATTGACATTATACCTTGGACGAATAGCGAACGTCCCTATACATACAGCTATACAGATACGATATAAATGAAGAAAAATGTCCAAATAAATAGGTATTGACGAGCCGGCAAATGGTGGAAGCAACGCATGATGATGTAAACAATAAAGTTTGGTCAGGAGTGGGTCCGAGGGTCAAGCAAAACAACAACGGAGATTGAGTAACGAGACCTCCGCGACTTCCCTCTACCGGCCACCGGCATCTTTCCTAGGACATCAATTGCTGCTGCCATTGACTCACCATGACCGTCACGAGGAGCCAGACGGGCAAGACGCCCAGGTAAGCGCGAAATGCGCGCGTTATGCTCGAGTATCGCGTCCACTAACACGAGTCAACAGAAAGCCAGAACTGCCCGATGGCTTTGTTGAAACACCTTCTAGAAAGCGTTCAACGCGCAAGACGGCAGACTCGGGTCGCACTGCCTCGCCGTCGCCCTCTATCACTAGCTCGAGAACTCCCCTTGTCGACGCCCCTGCCAGCGAGCTCAAGACCAATGGCCATGCCAACGGCTCAGCCAAGAAGGACAAGAAGAAGCGCATCATTGATGGCTGGCTCGAGGGTTCCGACCCTAAGGTCGACGCAAACCCTCACTACGAGTTCGGCGGCAGCCCTGGAGTCACTGCCATGATGATCGGCTTCCCTATTCTCATGTGGTACATGTGGATTGGCGCTACCTACTACGATGGTGGCTTCCCTAAGCGCGAGTCCTCTAGCCAGTCGTGGTCCGACTTTGGCAAGCAGCTCTTCAACCTGGCCTACAACGGCGCCTTCCCTCACGCAAAGGCATGGGCTATCTACTGGATCTTCGGTATCTTCGAGGGCATCTGCTACTTGTACATGCCCGGTGTCTACAGCAAGGGCAAGCCTCTTCCTCACTTGGACAACAAGCAGCTCCTCTACTATTGCTCCGGTGTCACTTCTTTCTACCTTACCATTGCTGTCGCTTTGGCTCTCCATGTCACCGGCCTCTTCAAGCTCTACACTCTCATTGACGAGTTCGGTCCCTTGATGTCAGTCGCTATTCTCTCAGGCTTCATTGTCTCTGTCATCGCCTACGTCTCTGCTCTCATGCGCGGCGCTCAGCACAGAATGACCGGGCATCACATCTACGACTTCTTCATGGGTGCTGAGTTGAACCCTCGTCTGTTTGGCTGGCTTGACTTCAAGATGTTCTTTGAGGTCCGTCTGCCTTGGTTCATCTTGTTCCTTGTCACTCTCGGAGGTTGCGCTCGCCAATACGAGCAGTACGGCTATGTTACTGGCGAGATGGCCTTCTTGCTCATGGCCCACTTCTTGTACGCCAACGCCTGCTGCAAGGGTGAGGAGATGATCCCCATCACCTGGGACATGTACTACGAGAAGTGGGGTTTCATGCTCATCTTCTGGAACATGGCTGGTGTGCCTCTGTCTTACTGCCACTGCACCATCTTCCTTGCCAACCACGATCCCGAGGTTTACGCTCACTCCTGGCCCGTTCTTGTCTGGTTCTTTGGCAGCTACCTCTTCGCCTACTGGGTCTGGGATACCGGCAACTCGCAGAAGAACATGTTCCGTGCCCAAGAGCGTGGCTTCGAGATGAACCGCAAGACTTTCCCTCAACTCCCCTGGAAGGCTGTCAAGAACCCCCAGAAGATCGAGACCGACACTGGCAACGCTCTCCTCTGCGATGGTTGGTACAAGTATGCTCGCAAGATTCACTACACTTGCGACATGTACTTTGCTCTCTGCTGGGGTTTGATCACTGGCTTCAACTCGCCCTTCCCTTGGTTCTACCCTGTCTTCTTCGGCATCATGATTGTGCACCGCGCTTCTCGTGACATTCAGCGTTGCAAGGAGAAGTATGGTGATGCCTGGAAGGAGTATGAGAGACGCTGCCCTTACCTTTTCATTCCTGTAAGTTTTTCTGCTTCGACTTCACTTCTTGACCGTATCACTGACTTTCCCTACAGTACGTCTGGTGAACAACGACAACAACAATAGTTACGGCAAAAATGATGTATATGATTCTGGATTGCGGGGTTTTAACATACATCTGTTGTAATATTTCAAGGCGTGGTTGGTGCCTAAAAGGTACGACTGGCTCCTATACAGTCAAGGGTCGAAAGATCTGAGGCCAAAGAAGGGCACGCCGTACAAGGGGAGTTTCTCTCGCGAAAAAAGATGATCTAGCTGTCCAAGTGGACTCGATCGTTCCTATGTAGGATGGACCTTTTCTATTGTTTCTTTCCTTTTTTTTCTTGCTTTCGCTGCATTGGTGTACGTGTCACGGATTCGCTGGGCAGGGAGTAGGAGTGCTTGTAGCATATCTTTACTTTTGTATTGTTCGTTTAGCAAAGCAGGAATAATATATTTGTATCAGGACGACTACTCATATGTGCCATGTGCTCATTCAGCCTGAAGACAACGGAACAGAAGGGCTTTTTTACACGAATAAGTGGTGACTGTGTTTTGCATGTACGGTCAGGGTGATACACATGGATCGTAAGTAGTCCCTCAGCCTTGATATATAACTTCGCGCAAAAGCCAGACTAGCTAACCAGCTGCTGCAGCCTTTCACCATCACAAGCTAACAGACATGCTGCGTTGTCCATCGCCCAAATCTCTCCTCACAGGCGTACCAAACCATCTCCTATTTCTCAACTTATCAGCTCTCCTCTCAGGATGCAACTCCTCTCTCGGACCTTTCCATTCCCTCAGTTCATCTTTTCCGTTCTTATCCTTGCCGATGATAACGTCAAAGTCGAATAAACCGCCATAAGAACCAATGCAGAAACTCGCTCGCACGTGCATACCTCCATGTTGGGATTTCGCTGCCTCGCTGATGAAAGGGCCCATTAGTGTGACGATTCTTGCGGCCATGACTTTGGGGTCGTATTTTGTGGCTAGTTCTTCGGCCCAGCCTGTTAGTGGTTCGGTGGATGTTGGGATAAGTGCTGTGGTGGAGGGAGAGCGGGAACTGAGCCAGTACTCGAGGATCTCATCGTCTCTGTGATCATCTTCCCATAGAGTGTGTAACCAAAGTGATAAAATCAAGTGGCGTAAATTGTGGAAATGGCGGAGTGGTGCGAGCATGTAGTTGGTGATTGGTGTAGGGTTCCAAAGAAGAGGCGCTCCACGGTAACCGCAGAATTTGAGCTCTGTGACTGTAGATGCGTGATAGGAGGCCAATGTGTACAAGAACGGCGGAGACGGCGGCCAACCATATTCGGCTTCAAAGGTTTCGTTGGTGTTGAGAGGTTCTGGTTTCATTGTACCGAGTCGGACGATCTCATCTGTGTCTTCCTCTTCCAGAGAGCCAAAGTCATCAGGGTCATTGGGATCTTCGTTGATGCCCAAGGACCCAATATCGCGCCCAGCGAAACCCCATGTGTTACCCATGGGCGCGTTAACACCAATTAAAATGACTCTTTGTAAAGGAGACTGACGTAAAGCTCTGATTGTTTCCCGTTTCTCGTCTCGTGGTATACCGCCCTCCATTTTCAGGCAATCAAGTCTCTGCATATGTGCTGCGAATTCAGAGATGAATCGTCTGCGACTTTGACGGCGATTCACATCGATCGGGCCATCCGAATCGTCAGTCTTGAATTCACCACTCCGGCTGTAAACAGTATCGACACGAAGGTCTTCTAGTGTACGTGCCATCTTGGATATGATGAAGTCGATTCGTGTCTGAAGCTCTGGTGTTGTGTTCTTCTTGGGTCTAAAGAAACGATCTGCTGGCCATGCCAAAGATCGAAGCCTTGGATGCGACTCCAACCACGATACGCACATATCCGCATCAAACGAAGAATTGGAACTCGATCCGCAAGTATCCAGGAGATAGACGTCTTGTGGCATCTCAGCTTCCGCAATCACCGCGTTCCGGAACTGAAAAGCGCGAAGATGAGGGAAGTGAAGCTTGAACAACCTTTTGAACATGCCTTCCAGGCTTGCTTTGGATTCTGAAAATGCACGTAGGTCTGTTCTTCTGAACAGCACCCAATCCAGGTTCAGCGAGATGAGAGAGGTTGTCGAGCATTTCAATATGTGCACGAACGTGGGAAACGGATCAGTGTCAGACAAAGCAAAGTCTGGATGGTTATGATCGAGAAGATGTTTCACACCACTCGTAGCAGACCAGTCTTCGTCTGATAATTCTTGCTCTATTGAAGAAATCAGCCCACCGACATCAGGTAGTCTGCTGTATATCTTCTCGTCAAAGTTATGGGCATCCCTGAATGAAAGCTCGAACCGTTTGCTAGCTGCATCAATATCGGCCTTGACCTGCGACTCTTCTGCTTGGGAATTGTGAGCTACGATCAAGTTCCTGATGAGTGCCTCTTGATGTCGAAAGAGTTCGGTCGAAGTTTTCATTATACCACCACGCCCGTCCTGTCTGATTTCGAAGGCTCGGTCGGTTCGAAAGTCCGGGAATGGGCCTCGAGAGTAGACTTCTTGAGAGTCATGTCTACCAGCGTTGGCAAGCAGTGGTAGTCGACGCAAACGAAGACTCTCTAGTCCTGCAAGATCGAACTTTTGAAGTAGTCTTTGTGAGATGCCAGCGAGACTACAGTTCTCGATCCAAAGATGCCGTACGGTGCAGGCCCCAGATTTTCCCAGTAACCCCACCAAAAGACCACGAGTGAGATTCCAGTGACCAAAGATGATTCGTAGTGTGTGTACGCTAGAAAGATTTTGGCAAGCCATGCCTAGTAGGCGGAGCGTTCTCGGATCATGAGAGAGTGTCCTGCCCTGGAAGTTGATCCTTGGTAATTCAAAGAATATTGCTGGCGGTGGTAAATGGCATCGATGTGTTAGGGTGTGCACATGTGAGGCGATCCATGGATTGCTGGCCAAGACAAGGAGTTTACGGATGATAGGTGTGTCGTCATGTTCATCGCTCATATCAGGAGTCTGGGGATCTGTTGTACGACAGTCTACAAGCTCGACATCCTGCCACAGTAATGGAATTGCCTTGTCGTACGACCAGTGACAGGCTCGGGCAAAGTTGGCCAAGCTGGAATCATCAAGGTAACGAAGAGTTTCTTGTAGAATCTCCTCGGGGAATTTAGCGAGCAAATTCGAGGCTTCAGTCGTGGTCACGGATTCTGCCCCTGAAAAATACGGTTGCATGTCTTGTGGTTTTCTTGGAGTCTTTGTCCCTGGTGACACAGTTCGACGGCGGTGGTGTGGTATAGCGGAAGCGGCGCCTCGGCTCGAGTTACGAGATGACGTACCATTCAGGTACCAGAATGCGGTAAGAGCCAGGAAGAGAGTAAGAGACAGGTCCAGATACAGTGATCCGTCGGTTGTTACCATCTTGACTACATGATGATCCTTCATCTGGAAACAAACACGACGAGAACAAGGAGAAGGGCGGATGTTTGTCCGCAATCACGCATGTGATGGTTGGCTGTCGCGTTGAGCTGCTCCGAGGGATTCATGCGGATTTAGCCTCTGGTCTTATCGATAAGAAGGAAGGTGCGGGAAAGTTTTCGGACTTGGTCTTTGATTCCATTACTGGCAAGTGCACTTGCAAACAAAACAAGAACCTCGTACAGCCGCCAAAATGTCAGACTCAGAAGAAGGAGGTGCTGGAATCCCTTTGATGGAACCTTTGTCACCGTCAACATCCCCAGAGCCCCAGACTCGTCCCTCAGGATCAAAGCGAAAGCGCGAAGATGGAGATGAAGATGAAGCACCCGCTGCACAAACCAAGGCCGCAAAGCGCAAGAAGGCAAAGAACGCAAAGAAAGCAAAACAGCCCAAGGATATTGAAGAGGACGCTCTGGATTTGGAAGCCGGTGTCAACCATGCTATTGCCCACATGGACAGCCAGTTGCTGGCCGATCACGTCGCCCAGCGCACTAAGCGCTTCCACACCGAGTTGAGCGACATGGAGTTGGAGGACATGCACTTACCATGTACGTCTGATTCAAGCGACAAGCATACTCTGTACTAACAGGAAACCAGCACACGCCATTGTTGACACGACATCTTGGGACAAGCCACGCAACTTGGAGAACCTACCCGCATTCATCGAGCAATTCAAAGACGAACGAAGAAGCGACAAACCAGGAAAGACTCTTTCGGATGCCGTCAAGCAAAAATCCACACCACACACAATCGTCATTGCTGCTTCCGGTATCCGAGCCGCAGACTTGACCAGAGCTCTTCGCAAGTTCCAGACCAAGGACTCGTTGATCGCAAAGTTGTTCGCCAAGCACATAAAATTGCAAGAGGCTATCAAGATGGTGAAGGAGGCCAAGATCGGTATGGGCGTGGGTACACCTCAGAGACTGATTGACTTGTTTGACGATGGTAAGTTGGACATGTCCCGATGCTTGGACTGATCGCTAACACTTGAAAGGTGCTCTCTCGGCAGGAAGACTCGAGAGAATCATCATTGATGCATCGCATATTGATTCAAAGAAGCGTGGCATTCTTGACATGAAGGAGATTGAAAGCCCCCTAATCAAGCTGTTGACCAGACCCAGCTTCAAGGAAAAGTACAACGAGGACAAGATGAAGAAGATTGAACTCATCTTCTACTAGGAAAAGAAGGTTTTGTTTGTCGTGTTTAGCAACTCTGTTCATACTGTTTTCGATACCCAATTTACTGTCACATAAATGCATTGCCCATGAGATTGATATGTTTGTTGCACATTAATCGCGATATATCATCACATTCGGTCTCAAAGATGGCGTAGCTGGGTCATATGTCCTTCTCCATGCGAAGCGGATTTTGAACATTTATATGTTGCCTCAGGCAAGTACTCTAAGGCCTCGGAATGCCGTAGCCTCGTAAAAAAGTGGTAATGCTATCTGTCGCATTCTCTCCAGAACATTTCGATTCGCTCCTTGATAACGCCGTACCCCATCCATGGCCTTCTTTTTGGTATCTCGATCAGTGTCCAAGTGAGGAAACGCGCATTGTTCTAACAAGGTCGATGGCAGCGGGTCGAGTTCGCATTGTATAGTCGTCGCATCCTGAATTCCGTAAAAATCCGCTCAAGTAAGGATAACCATGATGACTGAATCTCCTCTCAAGAACCTGCAGATATAGCACGTCAGTTTGGATTCGTAGTTCCAGACAAAGTAAGGCTACGCACATCTTGCTGATGAAGCGGTCCTTGTTGACACCTCTGCCCTTCTTTCCTTGGCTGTTTCTTGGGAACTCGGTCCACATCTCCTTGACGTTCTCAAGGACCATGTTGCAATGTCTGTCGAATGCTTTTACGCGAGCAAGGAGTTTGCGGTTGTTGCGACACGAGATGACGACCTGGTTGTGGTTGCGGACGGCAGTCTGGAGGATAGAAAGGGGACCAGCAGTGAACTCGTGCTCTTCGACGCGAGCGATCTCATACTCGCTATGCGATTGTCAGTCGATGCGATGGGAAAGGAATCAGGTCGGGATTTACGTGAGCTCGCTGCGAGGCTTCTGCAGAAGGTCGCTGTGAACAGATTAGCTAATGCACACAAAGCGCAGAGAGTCAACGATCGACCCACGTAATCTTTGTCGAGTCGGACATGATTGTGTGTGAATTTGATAGAGTGATTGGAGTTGCGACACTTCTGGTGATTGCTGATCGCAACGAGGTAGGTACGGGTTGCGGCGAGCTGGAGGCCGATCTTGGCGCCTTCGGGCAGTGACGATTGGTGTTGGTCGCCGCTGCGACTGTCCAACATCCACAAGCTCTCTCATTCTAATTCACTTTCATCATCCCACTCTTTCTCCTACACCATACACATAATCGCCCATCATGTCTGAAGGCCGCCTGAAAGCAGACAAGGATTACACCACCGAGGTCGACAAGGTCATTCCCGAAGCTCAGGATCTGGCAAAGGTAGCGCTGTCGTGTGTCCGGTGCACTGCGCAGTCTAGCTGACTTTACAACAGAGCAACGTGCAAGGTGCTATTGAGAAGCTCCTCGCCCTCGAGAAGCAAACCAGACAAGTGCGCTCCATCCATCAATCGCCGCACCCATCAGAAACACTAACAACATTCAGGCCTCGGACCTCCCTTCCACATCCAGACTCATTGTCACCATCGTCACGATATGTAAAGAGGCAAAGGACTGGCCGCTACTGAACGAGCAAATCCAGCTTCTGTCCAAGAAGCATGGTCAGCTCAAACAAGCCATCACCAAGATGGTCCAGGTTTCCATGGACTTCATCGATGACACCCCCAACCTTGACACCAAGCTGTCCCTGATCGAGACACTCCGTACCGTTACCGAAGGAAAGATCTTTGTCGAAGTAGAGAGAGCCAGAGTCACACGCATCCTGTCAAACATCAAGAAGAGCCAGGGAGACATCACTGCCGCCACCGACATTCTGTGCGAGTTGCAGGTCGAGACTTTCGGTTCCATGACACGCCGCGAGAAGACGGAATTTATTCTGGAACAAGTTTCACTCTGTATCGAGAAGGGCGATTGGACACAAGCCGGCATTTTGAGCCGCAAGATCAGCACTCGCTACTTTGCTCGCAAACCTAAGAAGACGGCCGAGCAGTTGGAGAAGGAGCGCAAGGAGCGCGAAGAGCTGGAAAAGAAGCGTGGCCCCGACGACGCCCCTGTCGAGCCTGAAGACGATGTCACAGACTTGAAGCTACGATACTACGAGCAGCAAATTACCCTGGCCAAGCATGACGACAAGTACCTTGATGCCTGCAAGCACTACCGCCAAGTTCTCGACACCGAGGCCGTCGAGAACAACCCTGAACAACTACGAGCTGTGAGCATATCCTCTTCGCCATCCAAAACGCATTGCGACCACTAACACTGTCCAGGCTCTGCAACGCATCATCTACTTCATCATCCTTGCTCCTTACGACAACGAGCAATCAGATCTTCTTCACAGAATCCACCGCGACTCTCGCAACTCACAAATCCCCCACGACGCCGCCCTCCTCAATCTCTTCACCGTTCCCGAGCTTATGCGTTGGCCTGCTGTTGCCGAGAACTACGGTCCCCATCTCTGTGAGACCGATATCTTCGATGCTACCGAAAACACTGCCGACCCCAAGGCTCACAAACGCTGGCAAGACCTGCGCAAGCGTGTCATTGAGCACAACGTCAGAGTCATTGCCAAGTACTACACTAGAATCCACTTCAAGCGCCTGACAGAACTCCTCGACCTTAGTGAGGAAGAGACGGAGAAGTACATCAGCGATCTCGTCGTGAGCAAGACTATCTACGCCAAGATCGACCGTCCTGCCAGACTTGTCAGCTTCGAGAAGAGACGGGATGCTGATGAGGTGCTCAACGAGTGGTCAGGCAACATGAAGAGCCTGCTCGGACACCTCGAGAGAATCGACCATCTCATTACCAAGGAGGAAATGATGGCCAGAATCCAGCCCACCAACAAAGGCGAGAAGGCACCGACCAAGGTTCGGTAAGCCCGGAAAACCGGCTATGTACTAGTATAATCCTCTATAAACCCACGAAATGCACCATGATCCATGAGCCTCTAGTTTTTTTATGTCTATCAGAATGGCATGTCCATGTCCTCAGCCTTGTCTTCCTTCTTGTTTTCTAATGAATCCTCTGGTGGACCACCAACGACTTCTCGGATAAAGGCTACCAGTGCTGCAACGTACTGTTTCTGGCTGCTAGGCAAGAAGTGGCCACCAGGGTGGTATACCAGTCTAGCCACACCGCCTTCAACACCTCTGCCTGTAACACAGGCATCCACCAGACGCAAACTCCTTGACTCTTCAACCACCGTGTCAACGCTGCCGATGAAGTGCAACATGGGCGTCTTGATCTTTGGCTCATAGAAACCCGTGTACAACTCATTTGGGGCAGCAAACCCACTGTAGCTAACAGCGAATTTCAGGGGCTCTTGAATCACATCCGTCAGGAACCCTGTATCCTTCTCAAAGCTCTCGGGGTACCGTATGCCACCATTTGGCTGTTGCTTCTCGAATGCTTCTCTTCTTCCTGCTTCTAACAACGAGGCCAGCATACCTGCCGCGGCACCACCTTGACTGAAGCCAATTGCGCCGTCGAAAGGTCCTTGCTCTTTTATCACGGACGCGATGCGCTCGAACCCTTGCTCAAGTCCTTCGTAGCGAAAGGGCTCACCGTCTCCCTTTCTCCTCCACCAGGCATAGGCTTCTGGCTCTTCGGGGTCGTCTTTTGCGCCATCTACATCGTAGCCGGGTATATCGTTTACAGACAACTTCAATGGCGCAGTCGGATACACCAATTCCACACCTCCGGGGAATGAAGGCAGATGACCAGGTTTGGGAGCCGCAGGAAACGCTTTATCCAAATTCTTCTCCAGAGCGCGGGTTTTTGCGTGGAAGAGGGGTCCGTTTTGGGTGTAGCCGTGGATCATGAGGATTTTGAGTTTGCGTTGAGGGGAAGAGGAAGCCATTGTGGGAGCGTCAGACAGAATGGAGAGGTTGCGGGTGGGTTGTTTGAGGTGAGAGGTTGTGAGATGGGTTCTTCGCAGAGCTGAGGACGGAATCATGGTTGAATGTATGTATTGAGATACGGAGGTATTGGCCGTGCGCATATCATTGCTGAAGAACCTATCGCCGTAAAGTCCGACTGATCTTTGAAGAGTGGTCTATGACATATGCGGCTCATGAAGATGGTGACTCGAAAAATACAATTTCACATGTAGAACGAAGGAACATTCTTCTTCCAATCCATCTCAAAGGTTTCAATCACAAATCGCATAATATGCTGCTATCAAGGCAAACGACACTTCGCGTTGGACGCACCGCTATCAATCGTGGCATCTCGACCAGCTCTTCATGGTTGGCAGCTACCAAAAGAAAAGCACAGCAAGATGATATCCACAGACCATCGCTCTCAGGCTCCTCAGTCGGCCATCTATTCTCCGAAATCAACGCTATGAGACCTGGCATGGAAGATCTCAAAGTCCGAGCAGAGGGAATGACCGAAGAACAACGAACTTATGCTCGGAAAATCACTACGTGGTTGATGGGAGTCCCTGTCGTTCTGGGCACAGTGATCGTGGGTGGAAATTGGCTTTTGAAAGACAGGAACGATAGATCCGGATCGTCATGAGGAACGAACAGAATGTACGGATGAGAGATGGAGATTGACGTTGTATGCGGATATTGAAGTACTACACGTGCTACCTGTTGTGCATGGAAACCCCTGGTTAGGTTTGACTAGCACTGCAAATAGAAGACCCCTATCGTTGGCGATCCTGAGTCACGCAAACACTCTTCTATCGTGTCGAGGTACAAATCTAGCTGAAAATAATCGAACAACTTGAAGGGAGGATGACGTCGTGTTATATACGATAGCCAGACGCCAAGAAGAAGCATGACGAAAAGCATACGAGGCAGGCTGAGTTCTTGTCGAATGGCAGAGTCACACGGCAGAGGCTATCATGTAGACAATTATCGTGATATTGCAAGTAAGCGGCATAATTGCGTTGGTAGAGATAAGCGGATATTGCGAGTTAGATGGCAGAGGAATGATGCAGGCTAGGGTCAAGGTGAAACCAAGGCACATGTCGTTGCTCGGGCCAGTTCAACAAGCGTTGGCAGCGAACTTGCGAACCTTGGTCGCCGTCCTCAGTTCGGCTCTTGCGAGAAGGTTGGAAGCCGCATGAGCCCCCTAGCCTTCGAATTTCCCTTCAAAAGCATAATTATTGTTCTATTTCCGTCACCTGAGAACTCTCAAACCTTGCTCTGACACATCTTCTGTCACGTCGTGCTGTCGACATCTCGTCGCGACGACGCCATAATCACACCCCCACAGGCATCAACGGGCGGGGATTCGACTAATTGTTATGCCATGAGAGTGCACAAGTAGACATTTCGTCTTGGATATGGAACGCCCATATCAGTTTTCCGACGATCGAGACGGCGCGCGTTCACCTTTGTACGTGCCTTCCTCGTTCTCACAGTCGCGACGACTAACACCGCGTGCAGCAATCAGCATTTGCTCAACCCCGTCACACAGCCGGCGGCCACGTCTTTCAAAACAAATGTGAATCGTAGTAAAACACGCAAATGGGCAGAGGCCAAGAACTATTCTTACGACGGCGACGACTGGGGCGGTTATGATCCTTACGACGAATACGGCAGTTACGATGACAAGCAGGATCCTCTACCTACTGCCTCGCCGCGACGCAACTCCTTCGAGGCTGGTGAAGAGGTAACAGCCTTCTCTTCTGGCCAACAGCAGCAGCAGCAGCCGCCTCCTCCTCCAGCACATACCACTCCCACCAAGCCGCAGCCTCTCCAGCCAGTGTCACAACCACAGAACGACTATGGCATCCGCCGCGACTTTTCCCAGATTGCTCATGTACCACCACCCCTCAAGACGAACACCTCGCCTCAAGTCGTTCGCGAACGCTTTCCTGCTAGGAAGAGCAGTCTACAGACCGATATACCGTCTTCGCCTGCTCAAACCCCTCAGCAGTTTGCGTCTCAAGAGCCTGTTTCACCATCTGCAGATGCTGGCAAACCCCTGCCTTTCATCCGTCCTGCCGACATTTACAAGCGCATGGAAGAGGAACGTTTGAGGGAACAAGAAGCGAAGAGCCCGGTTGAATCAGTGCCTGTCAAACATGAGGAACACCAAGGCTTTGCTGTGGACAATCCTATTCTGGCAAAAGCGATCGGCGCTGATGTTGCTGGTATTGAACCAACACCTCTGGAGCAGCCAACGAGTGCTTCGTTGCGTGCTTCTCTACCAGCAGTCAGCCGTGTTGCTTCTGGCTTTGGCTCCGAGTTCTGGAATGCTTCCGAGTTGTCGAGCTCGCTGAATGCTGCCGACAATCTCTCGCCAACCACTACTAATACTGCTCCTGTAGAACCTACTGAAACCAACAGTGTGGAAAATGCCTCGCATGAATTACAGGATGCTGTGAGTCAAGCGTTTGAGCGACGGGATGACTTATCTGTACCTCCCACGCCCATCTCTCGTGACAATTCTCAGTCGGGCCATGGTTCTGATACGGCGGGGATAAGTCCCATCATGAGTCGAGTCCCGAGTGCTGCAACCGCCGAAGCAAAAGCACGACTTGCTGATAACAGAGACATGGGACCTATCGCTGAGGAAAGCAGCTTACCTGGCAGTCCTGGCTCGCGACCTTCATCTCAACAAACCTCCACTAAAAGATATACTCCTACGCACTCTAGACAAGTATCGGCCGAGTCTTTCAGTAACAGCCCTGCCAGAACTCCACAATTGGAATACACAAAGAGGCTTTCGACTCCAATGTCGGCAGAAAGTACAAGTATGGAAGCCGAGCAAGCTGGTTCACCTATTGATCCACCCAGCAAGCCTATGCCTGTCGCTTCAGTTCGGGTCATTGCACCTTCAGCAGATTACAGTCGTAGGGAGTCGGACATTGCTGCTGATGCAACCTCAAACTCACCAGTCGATACTGCCGAGGCTGCGAAGGCTGCCAGGACACACTTCCTGCAGACTCATGAGAAGCCCAAGTCACCTGTGATTGGAAGTCCTATTGATCGCAGTCCTTCTCCTATCTCGCGCCAAGGATCTCCTGGGCCTAGCAGAGTTCGAGATCTTGCAGGCAAATACGATGAGCTTCATACACTCTCGAGAAGTAGCTCCGCCATGTCCTTTGGCTCCCAAAAGAGCGATAAGATGTCCTTGGGAAGAAGTGGTACTTTTGATAGCACCACTAGCGAGACTGGTGATGACAAAGTCGTTGAGTCCATCGAGCAATCACCTTCAACTCGTCCAGACCCTACTCGAGGCCCTAGTTTCCGGCCGCACTTGCCCGGTGAATGGGTGTCGTATGTAGGAACACCTGCTACAGAGATGCCGGTGGCACAAGAAGCCGTCAGACGTAGCGGCGAAGACTCAAGAGACCACACTCAGCTTGACCAGAGCACTCCCCGTCAAGCGACATTCCCCTCTACGGAAGACTTTGATCCGACGCCGGCAACAGTCAAGCAGCCTCTTGCTCACAAGGATATCCAGACAAAGGAGCCTAGCCCCGTGGACACTCTTAAGAATGCAGGAGAAGCATTAGGTGCTGCACTACTATCCTCGTTCGGCCAGAATCATGGCACTAGAGACTTTGCGCAGACAGAGCCACAGCCCGCTGAGGAAGATGTGGCTGCTCCTCGACCATCAGTCGGAGATGTCTATCTTAGACCCTTGATGGTCGATCGCAAAGCTTCATCCATTGCTTCAAGTGTTGGTCCCACACCGCCAGCGAAGGACACACCCGATGGACTCACCGTTCCAGGCTCATCTGGCTACTTCCCTCCACCCACATTGCGCATCGACTCTGACGCAATGTCACCAGTATCTGACTACTCGCCCGCAGATCTAGAGAGTGACCGGCTGCGCAGGGAGATTGAGAGAAGTCTTACTCCTCAGATCCATTCTGAACACCAACAGATCCGTGATCAAGATGCTCTGGATGCGCCAGCAACTCTTCGAGATCTTCAGAAGACCGAAGGTTTCCAGGCTGCTGAAGTTCAGCCTAGATCGGAACCGTCTGCTGTCAATGCTGTGCCTACAGCATTGCAACCAACTCATGCCGAAAATGCTGATCTCCTTGGCAAGCGTTTCAGCTTTGAAAGAGACGCCAGCAAGTCCAGCTTGTGGGGTGAAGTCGGTGAAGATGTGAAGCGTGCATCCTATGAGCGACCATTATCTGGTGTTGGCCTTCATGTGGTTAACACAAATGTGAGTAGCAGTAGCGAGTCAAGTGCCTCGTCTGTCAGAGAGATTCCATCTGAAGCTGTCGAGGAATCTGCGGGTGCACCACTGCAGACTGTGATCAGCTCGCCATCGCCTGTAGCATCATCAGTCACTCCCGCAGTTGTCGCAAATGATGGGATGTTGCCCGATACCATCGCAGCTCCTACAGTAGAGCCGCCTGTTGTGAGAGAGGAGTCCAGAGAAGGACAACCACTTCCTGCTATCCCCATGGAGACTGAGACACCGCTGGCGCCTTCAACAACCACAAACACCACCACGGCGGCTCGTATACCCACTGTCAGAGAGATCATGGCGTTGAAGTCGGTCGATGAGCGGGTTAATACTTACAACTCTTCGCGAGAGCAGATTGCCTCGATGGATACTGGTCTTAGTAATTGGCTTAGTTCAACTCTCGCCTCTCACCCTGAGCATGCACACATTGTCACGGAAGCAGCAAACAAACCTGCGACGACAACTCCAATAAGTGGCAGCATTCGCTATAAGCCTCAGCCTGGTAACATCATGAAAATGGCCAGAAAAGGTCTTAGTGGTGTCACCAACAGGGAGCCTTCCGGCTCTCATGCGGCTGATCCTAGTCAGACATCTTCGACTGTCGAACGCCAAACCTCCAACACACCCGGTCGTACAGCATCGGCACAGCACGGAGGCGTGGAAAAGATGCAGACAAAGGGCAAGGATTTGTTGCATTCCGCCGGCATGTTCGGTGGTAAGGCCACCGTAGGGGCTAAGGGCCTATTTGCGAGAGCAAAGGGTAGGCTTCGTGAAGGTGGAAGCGAGAAGGTAGATTGATATTTTCCTTCTGTTTGACAATCCCCTCACTGATCTTTGACGTTCTTCTGCATTTCAACGATACTACCTCATGTTCATGCGATGCTTATCTTTGGCGGTCACTTTTACCGGCGAACTTGTTTTACTTGCAACTTCAGCATAAGCGTTGAACTTGGGAGGGAGGCATTGATGATTGGAGTAGCAGGTTGCATGTACCGTTCCGGCTGCGTAATGTGAACTGAATAATCCCCCAACTCATCACTCAATCCAAAGATCTTTTTGAAGAATGCATGTTGATGTGTGTGTTTTCACAGGCTTCCGGACGCGCTACGCCCAGCAGCAACGCCGTGCTTGCCTCGCCGACTTCTCCAGAGGAGCGTGGCAGCAAAGCCAGCAACCGTTTCTCCACAGCGTTTGGCCGTTTGGGATCATTTTCTCATACGTCTGCAGGCGCTCCACAACCTCCTGCCGATGGTCCGCAAGTCGTCGTATCGTCAACTGTAGGACAGCCTTCTACATCACCATCTGGTAAAGGCGACACATATATTGCTCCATGGATAAATGACAAAGCAGGGGCATTGGACAAGGATCTTGTGAATGAAAGGTTCAAAAGAATTGGGCTTTTGCCCAGTCCTGCGTTTGGAGGGTCAATGGCTTCGCGTGACTCTAATGAGAACATGAAAGCAGCTCATGAGAACGATGACCCAACGTCACCTGTGGAAGGAGCGACTGGTTCAGATGAACTCAGCAAGAAACTTGAGGACGAAGCTTCGAAGGCAGTCACCACAGTCGTTCTTCCTGAACCAGCTGCTCCTTCGCAAGTTGAGCAAACTTCGTCTGAGCCACAAGCTGACCTACCTGATCCCATTCTAGCACCGGATAATGCCGGACCATTGTCTGACCCCGAAGATATCGTGTCAGAGTATCCTCGTCCTTTCGAGCACACTTCAAACATTGACAGAAGCCCGACACGTCGTCCTGTACTTCTACAACCCATTACTGATGCACAGCCTTCATCTCGCAGATCTTCGGTCTCCAGCTTCCACCCAGATGACAACGACTTTGCAGAAACCTCGATACCGATCAAGAGAAGTGTGAGTCCGCTGGGTGTCGAATCGACCACGCAAATACCTGTTGCTGTCGAGTCGACCGAGCCGGAGAAGACGAAAGAAGAGATAGACGAATCCAGACCTCGAATTGTCAGTCGTAGCAGTCTTCCGTCCCAACAACGTCCCCAATCACAATCGAGACAGTCGTCATGGCAATGGAAGAGCTCGGGTACATCTCTGGTCGGACTTAACAAGAGTCAAGGAGATGCAACAGCTTCCCCAGTCAAGGCCAGGTCAGTGTCTGGCCAAGCCATCAGCTCTGTCCCTGCGAGCCGCGCTGAATCGCCCATCTCCTTCTTGGAGATGGCGCCGGCTCAGAAACAAAGGAGTGTTACTTCACCTGCTGCCTACTCGTCCGAGAACGTCGATGCCATTCCCGGTGCACGAGTAGAAGAACCTTTCATCACGGCGCCTCAAAATCTTACCGTGGCGCCAACTCCTTACGAAGTGGGTCGTATGGCTCCGATCGTTGGATCACCTGTCGAGATGCAAGGTCCTTGGCACAATGATCAGTCCCATGCAACTATGGTGCCAGGACCTGCTGCTGGACCTGGTGCGATGTACAATCAGCCTGGCCTCATGAGCAGTGAGCAGATCATCTACGAGGAGCCGGTCAACCGAACTTTCTCGCCGACTGTCATGGACCCTCGACAGCACGACATCGAATATCAGCTCCCTGGTGTCGGCCCCCCTGAGGTGACTCAGGGCTCGCGAAGGAGCAGATTCTCCATCAGAAGTCCGGTTCAGAACCCAGTGCAGGTTGAACGCATCAACCCCAACGCAGTAGCTCCCGATCACCAACGTACTTTCTCTGGTGACGAAGTCCCATTGACGCAATCCGCGCAAGAGAAGAGAGAAAAGCGTCGCTCTGGCATGTTCAGTGCACTCAGCCGTGGTTCGAGCTTCTCTGGTCTGTCTATCATGAATTCAGATGGAAGACAAAGCCGTGGCAATGACGCTAGTCAAGCTGGTCCGCAGCAGGCTTCAGCTCAACAGATGTCTGCAGCACAAAAGGCTAGAGAGATTTCCGGTGGCAGTACAAGAGGCAACACACTCAAGAAGATGCAACGCTCGTCCACTTCTGCCGGTACATCCAACGCATCAGGTACTCCTGATGCTGAGAAGAAGAACAAACGCTTCTCACGCCTTGGTTCAATCTTTGGGCGATCCAACTCGGAAGCCAAGAAAGCTAACAAGCTGGTCAAGAGCATGCCCAAGACTCAGCCCGAACGCATTCCAGAGGCTGCTGTAGCTGCAAGAGCAAAGAACGTGTCACCACAAAACATCCCTCCACCTCCGCCAATGACTATGGGTTATGGCATGGACAGCGGCATGCAATCACAACAGCAATGGTCAGAACAGCTTGATCAGCAGAGTGGTGCACGGCCGCCTCCTGGCGGATGGTATGCACCTACCTCAAGAAGGAGCTCTTATCATCAAGACCAGCAGGCTACTTTACCGCAGATCCAACCCACGATGTCGAGAAGAAGCTCTTACCAACAGGATCAGCAAGTCAATCTGAGTCAAATCCAGCCTACAGTCTCTGCACAATCGTGGCAATCAACGCAGCCGCCTCAGCAACAGCAGTCGCCCGTAATGCAGCCAACTCGACGTCTTCACAGCGAAGGATATCGTCACGAGCCTCGTTATACTGCTCAGGCCGACTATAGATCGATGTCTCCTAGTCCTTTGCGCGGCCAGCGAGGCAGTCAGCAGTATGACACCACAACTCCTCAGAATTACCAGCGCACGCCTTCGTGGAGTAATGTACCACGACAACAGCCACCACCTGGACGGAACTTACCTTGGAATTCTATGGATCAGCAGCAGCAACAGCAACAAGGCTACTACCCTCAGACCACAATGTCGGGCTCGCCCGTAAGACAAAGTCCCGCTCATTCGCCCTCGCACTCGAGGAACGCATCTTTCGGTAGCATGACCAACATACAAGCTGCAGCACCACCATTGTACCGCAATCCCAGCTCCGGTGCTTTGCAACGTTCATCAAGTCCTTCCATGTATGGAGCTACACAGCCATATCAAGTGCCCATGCTTGCACCCACAGAAGCCCAAATCATGTCAAAGACCCAGCAAGACTGGTACCCCAGATACGCAATCGGTTCAGCAGGGCCACCGCAGCAAGCCAGTACACCGGGAATGTACACCAGAAGCCATAGCAACAGCCGACCCGGCAGCTCCAATGCCAATTATGGAGGCTTCGACAACATCCCCGAGTCAGAGTACGCCAGACCTGGCTCTGCTGGTGGAATGATGCCTCCTCCCCCACTGTCACAACCGCAATCTCCGCAAAGCCCTGCGCGAGGACAGCAAAGGAGATATTATGGTAATGGTGGCTCTGGTACTATGGGTCCTAGACCTTATCCTGGTTCACCACAGCAAGGTGACTGGCAAGGATCTTATCGTGATGTCTAGGAACCTTCACATCATCACTTTTCTTTCTTTCTCTTCTTGTTCTATATATTTATCCTGCTAATAACGTGGTTTCTGGGCATGTTTAATTGGTGTTTGTCGGGAATGGGGTCAAAAGGTCAAGGTACATAATGTTGATATCAAAATATCGGTTTCATACGCTTTTCGTCTCGTGTTTTCGTCATATGGAAGCTCGCTCTAGAATTTTACAATAGCAAGTATTGAATAGGCTAAGATATCAGAAGCATAGATCTCTGGTTCTGAAAAGTCTTGGTCTCGACAAAATGCTCGAGGTCCAGACGTGTAGTCCGGGGGCATTATGGGCAGCATTGGCCTTGTACTGTGAACGAGATCCCTTGAGGCAAACACATGTTTCACGATTCAGAATAGGCTACTTGAATCCATCCTTGAGTGCATCAAGCCGTAGAAAGTGCGCAACCCCTGGTCATCGATGTATATGTAGCCAATAAGAATACGATATCCAGTCACAGGGTCACTCCTACAACGACCTGTGGGGGCTGTGTTGTGTCATTGCGCTAACTACACCAAGCACAGAAGTCGAACAAAAGTCGTATAACGAATTGTCGCACAATTAGTTCATAGTGTAGTCGATATACGTTAGAATATGACAGTTGCGGAACGTGACTCCGGCAATAGATTGATTCGGGAAGCACGGAAAGTGACACGAATTCAGGGAAAAGGGGGTCCTGTCAAACCCTCGATCGACGTCAAGACAGTAGTGTAGTCATCGCATTGCATGTATCCACCGTGCATCGACATATGTAAGGACCCTGACTTGATTACTCGAGAGTCGAGACCATTCTGAATTCGAAAAGAATCAAAACAGCGCGTATAGACGTAAAGCACGCGGATGAAACGCACGAAGAAATAACTCAGCTCTTGTCTTCGTACAACGTACCTGAGGGACAGCAGTAGTGTCGCTTGTGACCTGACCAAAGAAAGGTCAAAAGCATTTCAGGACCAGCTTTAGGTTGAAAATATGCAAAGTGGCTTTAGGCGAACACGAGCATTCCCCACATGTATTGGTTGTTCGCTGAGGAATGGCTCACCTTCACTTGAACCCTCTTTGATGGTATACAAGTAATATCCCTTGCAGGAAGAATCAGGGGAAACAGAAGTGATACAAAATGTCATTAGGCAGTTTCCGAATCATAAGAGGTCTTTGTCAAAATAAGCATAACCGAACGAAAACGCCAGCAATACAGTTTAGGCAAAATCAGAGCGGACAGAAGGGGACGTGAAAGGAAGGAATGCGCGCACCAATGAAAATGGCTCAGAAGCATCAAGACATGCATGTCGGGAGGAAAAAACACCAATCACTTGCAGGATTTACACTCGGGGCCTCTCACATCATCAACTCGGCCGACTTTGCGGCCGCCGGGAGGGGGTCCTCCTCCTCTGCCGCCATTGCTGCTGTTGCCTCCAAAGCCCCAGCCGGGCCTTTTGCCTGGAGTCTGGTTGTTTGCGTTGAATGGCGATGCCGCAGCTGCAGCAGCAGGATCAAACTAGAGGAAAAGGCGGATGTCAGTTTTAGTGAACCAAGAAAAAGCTAACCAAAGAATGGTACCAACATGCAGACTAGTCAGTTCTCAGATAGAGGCGCTACTTACAGAGAAGAAAGTGGTTACGTATAAGCCGATAAAGACATATGCGTTATCGAGGAAGCTGCGAATGCGCACTGTGGCTGGTGGGCTAAGTGTCACTTTCAGCTGCCTGGCCAAACAAAACAGGAGGAGCAAACCCCGAAAGCCAGGTGGGAAGCTGGACACACAGCTGAAAGCAGGAGTAATGCTCCGGGCCACCACCAACTGGATCTTACTTACGCTGAGAGCGCTTGACCGTTGTGGAAGTATGGTCTGCTTGGTTGTTGGGACGCCGACATGTTTGGTTTCTCTGAGTCAAGGAGACGTGTACCGAAAAATAGTGGTTTATATGTTGGTAGACCAGGAAAGTTGGACAGTTCAAGACGGCAGGGGAGGTGTCGTCGGACGCCAAGGTCAGGGTCGCGCTGCACAAGTTAGGTTGTCCGAGTCCAAGTTCAACCTCGTGGTCATGACTCGTTCGGCTGCCGGCAGCCCCCGTCCAACCAAAAGTCTTGGCCATGACGATGCCGTTTCAGCATTTTTGGATCATCGATCGGCCAAACTTCCAATGTGAAGCACGTCAGAAGATTTTCTTTGATATTTTTTTGTTGTTGTTGTTGTTAGCCAATATGTCTGGACATCAGAACAAGGTATGTTGTTTTTACAGACGTGGATTCCCTCACATTCGTAGCTGGATCAAAGTTCAAAAGTACTGATCGTGTTGCTATGGTATAGAAGAGAAAGCAGGACTTTCGAGAGCCTCAACACCAACATCAGAATGCCGAGGAGATGGTCGATACTTCGAGGCCGTCAGCGGTTTTCACACCTACAGGTGGTCGTCAACACACATTAAGTATTGCGCTGCCTGGCAGTGTGATCGCAAAGTAAGTAAAACAATTTCATTGCTTCATCTCATGGGCCATGCCCATTTTCGGTGCAACGTTGATGCGAGCACTGAGGAAAAAAAGGAAGATATTTGTTTGAATCTTGTTTTTGTTGAATGGTTTTTCTGCCGTCTATCTTTTTCCGGACTTCTTTACCCTTCTCATCTGTTCCTAAATCCTTCTCGCGAAGGATCATGATTATAGTCTGGGCCCCTCTTGTTATTAGTCTTCTTGCCCTACACCACACTTCAGCTATAGTCTTTTGATTCTACCTGAGCTTGCGCGTTGTTTTCACATGTCCTAGACTTCTAGCCCTAACAACCCCTCGCAGTGCCCAATCACATGATCTCAAAACAATCATGGCTGCACAGGTGGCGCGAGCATGCGCTGTCTTTCAGGTCGATGAAATTGTCGTTTTCAATGACGGCCAATCACAAACTGGAGCTCGCCCTCGAAAAGGTTTCGAAGGAGATGGCTACACGGGCTACTCTGATCCTGATGATTTCCTCTACCATGTCCTCAGCTACCTGGAAACACCCCCACATCTGAGGAAGACGCTCTTCCCCATGCACCCTAACCTTCGAACCGCTGGAGCCATGCCGAGTTTGGACATGCCACATCACCTGCGCGCAAATGAATGGTGTCAGTATCGCGAAGGAGTAACAATGGGCGCGGATGCAGCATTCGCAGAGCCTCAAAGCAAGCGCAGCAAGGGCTACGCCGTCTCGACTCTAGTTGATTGCGGCCTGCCTGTGAAAACGCGCGTGCCAGTCGCAGTACCTCCTGGGTCCCGTGTCACGCTCAAATTTGATTCTGCCGAAGAGCCCCAGATGGACGGCTATACTCCCTTAGATGCCGAAGCCGTGTCACCAGATACACCGAGAGAGGATGCCGGCTACTACTGGGGGTACTCAACAAGGATGGCGTCGTCCCTTTCAGCCGTATTTACGGAGTGCCCCTATGATGGCGGCTACGATATTAGCTTCGGTACATCCGAGCGAGGTGTGGATCTGACATCTCTTCTCGGCGCATCAGACAATAGCTCTGAAGTACCACCAATTCCGAGCCAATGGAGGCATATGGTGGTTGTATTCGGCGGCGTTGCAGGTCTTGAGGTTGCCTTGAAGGCGGACAAGAATCTAACATCCAAGGGCGTCACGGAGGCCAAAGACGTATTCGACTATTGGGTCAATCTCGTGCCTCAGCAAGGAAGCAGAACAATTCGCACAGAAGAGGCGGTCTGGCTCGGATTGATGGGCTTGCGCACTATCGTACAGGACCGACAAGAAGCGACATGAAGAGAACTATACAAGATCATCTGCAGGTTTGGACGTCTTGTTGACGTGTTCGGTCACCACACGAGCCAAATAGATGACCGCCTGGTCTGGCCGCGGACCTAGAAACGATTGCGCTTGGAGCTGCATGCAATGACCCGTTCTGTGGGGGGCAGAGCAAACCTGTTTCGTCGACGTACCGTCCAATCATAGCGTGCCGACCCCTGCACTCCCGTTGAGCGGTACCATGGGCTTGTACATGTATACCGCATTGTGTTGTATATCTTAGCTCTCAATCATAACAACATGGGACGCGATGTAATCGCACGAGCGGCTGCCAATCTTTGACTTCAAACCAGAAGAGTGATAGACCCACGAGAAAAACGACGCGTTGAGCGGCTGACTCGCTTATTGTTAGTCCAGTTCTCTTGATCGACTAGGTGGGAAGAGATGTGGGGATGATTTGGAGAGATGGGTACTTTGTCGTGGGGCCACTTTAGGAGTGTAAATCTCTGGCCGCCCAAGTAGCATGCGATTTTGAAATGCCATCCCGTGGAGACCTCCACATCATGCGATTTGTAAACCAACCGTCAAGTGGGTCGTAGGACATGAGATGAGTCTACCTTCTGCCTCAACCAGAGAATGATCGGGATAGCGTGGGCCATTATAGAGGGGCAAGCTACCACAAATTTGGCAGCGAAAATTAGAGTTATGGAGAAGCGACCGAATGCATGGGATCGACGCGTGTATCTGTACAAGTAGCACGTCGGGCTATCTGTCCGTAGGTCTCCACAGGTTCGAACTCGCAGGTGCAGCCGGTCGGCCATACAGCAGTAGCGCTGCGACTAAGTCAGCCTTCCAAGAGTGTCGTGAATCAAGTAGTAGTGACTCATGAACCCTCGATTTCAGGGACATTCCAGGGCTCTCGACAAGCAAATCTCAGTATCCATAGGCTAAGCTCTAATTTTTGGGTCTCGATCTACCTAGAGAGAAATTGGACGGGACCCATGTGTGCTTGGCAGATCGTGTTTCTGATCCCTGCCGCAGGACGACTTGATGATGTGCTCCTTGATTTGGGGCTAGACACTCAACTTGGAATACAAATCATCGCTGGGTGGCTTGGCAAGGAGGAAGAGTGATCGCAGATGAGACAATAGCTGTGAGGGACCCATCCATGGCTGGCCGTTGACGCATGCATTACCCGAGACAGGATGCACCATGGGCGCAGGTCGTGAAGCCGCTATGCTGGCCAATTGGCATCAGAGAGAAGCTGGACGTTTAAGCAACCGGAGGCTACGCAGCTGCACGGTAGTTTTCGGCATGTGCATGTGGACCTTGGAGCGGAGATAGGTCCAAGGAGAGCAGCGCCGCAAGGAACAAAGCGCGATGGTTGCATTGCATGCGATAGAAAAGGGGTTCACGCCTCATAGTACCAAAAACCTGGGTCTCGCTATCACAGAGCTGGTGATGTTAATGGTAATAATGAGCGGTTGGACGAACAGTCCGGCTAACATTAGCCCCTGCGATGTGCGTGATAGCTGCATGTAAGAAGGCACTGCAATAACAATTGAGTGACGTTCTATTTGCTTCGGTCTATCGCGGGTCCCGAGGTCCGAACCACGCAGCTGGAACCGGCAGTGACAGAACTCTAACGGCTAATCAGACATGGATCAAAAGGCAGGTCCAATCTGAAGATAAAGCAGAGTTGAGAACAGCACACGCAGGGTGTGTGTTTCAAGTACTGTCAATGTACAGCATTTAAAGTTGCGGGAAGCGGGATGGTTATGCAACAATGAACATGCCGCAGTGACTGATATGATCAACATGATGCATAGTGTGGATTGAAGTGTGGTAGTGACATTTTGGAACCCGTAACCGAATACTATGAATACGAACTTCACCACTGAGACAAGGCTCAGGTACAATTTCTCAGGTACAATTTCTGTAAAGTCTGATCCTTGGGAGCTGCAGGGATGAATCGCTTGAGGTATTGATCCATTACCTCTAAAGGGTCTGGTGGAGTCTCCAACACTTGACAGCAATTCAACTAGTTCTGCAGGTAGTTGTCTCACGAGTCACGAAATCTTATAGATGGTAAAACGGTCACGGTCACCCTAGCTATCTTTGGATGGAATCGACCTCAGATCCTTGCCGAACCTGAGGTCCAAGCCCGCTGTGTAATGGCTAGATTGCGGATACGTTCGGTCAAACACAACTGAACGGTTTAGATCTCGAGCTGAGAGGATTGAGGCTTGAGAGCGTTATATGCATGAGCCGATCGAGAATCGACCAGCTGGAACGTTGGGTCCACTATCTTCTGAACAACACGAAGAGCCGTCGCAGAACACACAACCATCCTCTGTGGTGGAGGACGAACCGGCCATCTGATTTTAGAGTCAAAATCAGAGATTGACTCAAAGTACGGTCTGAGCCGAAAGAACGACTGGTTGGGGAAGTACTCGGCATATGGAGCTTGTGGCTTGTCTCAAGCGAAGATCCCAAGCCATAATGATAGCCGGGAGCCTCCATGACAAGGTTTGATACCGAAGCAACGCAGAAGTACTGTATAGATGCTAGCAAGTTGCAAAGGTCGACGCGTGTGCATTGCTATGTATGAGTAGTAGCAGCAGTTACTTGACCAGATTCACGATTTCCATGATGAAGAACTTGTACACTCAAACTAAGCCTGATCGTCTCTAGAGCATCAGTAATCAAATGCAAGGCTGCACAATGGCCCATGACGGACATCGAGCCAATCATATCGGCGGGGTAACAGTCCCGCTTACACAGAGAGTGGCCGCCCGTCAGGTCGTGCTTAGTGGGCCGCAATAGATCGGATCAGCAGCGCGCTAGATCTATTGAAGTTGTCTGACAATGTTGGTCGAGGATCCAGCTAGAACTGAGGCCCCTGCATCCATTACTTGACTCGGGCCGCCAATTGCTCTCTTAATAGAACAAGCCTCCCTTCCTCGAACGTGGAAGCCACATCATTTGTCTGTTAGGAAAAGAGATCGTGTTTACTCGAGCATTTCTATCAACCCTATTCAGAAGCGATTGTGCGAAAAGCATAAAGAGCTTGATTCTGAGCTCACTCTACTCATGACCAACACTCCCAGACAGGACTCTGTCCATCCAATCAATTCACCGACTTGCCAGTGGTCCTGCAATCACTCAGCTATCCAATCCTCAAACATGGAATACCAACAAGCCTGCGTGACGACAGGCGCCAGTGGGCATCCCATATATGCACACCACATTCAAGGGTACACGCATGCACAGCCTGTGTGGTCGGCCTTACCACAGGTATGCAGTCCTTATGACAAGTCGCACGTCGTCTATACTCATGCTGGCCCAGTATTCGTATGCCTATGAGCAGCACACACTCTCTCCGACAGCAGGAGACACTTTCGCCCATGCTCGAGTGATGAGTTCGGGCCACACAACGCCAGCTGAGCCGATAGTAGTTGATGGACACAATGGGTATGCCCCGATCCCACCAGGGCATCCTGCGATGTACCGTAACGGTGTTGAGGTCGACTACGGGCAATCTGTTCCCCCAACTGTAGAGTTCAACGTTGATGAACTTCTGGAGTACCAAAGACGGCGCAGCAGTGCCACATCCGAGGAGAAGGAATCTCTAACACCAGCACAGCGTAGGCGGAAGGCACAGAATCGGGCTGCGTATGTGTTATCGACTTTCGTAGGCGGACCATTGCTGACACATGGCGGTGACCACAGCCAACGAGCGTTTCGAGATCGCAAACGCCAGCGAGTACAAGAACTAGAAGCTCAATTGTCGGCTCTAGAGGTACGGACCAACTCTCTGGAATCGGATAACGAGAAATTGAGACACGAGCTGCTCCGTACAAAGGAAGAAAACGAAGTCCTACGAGGCATTAAGCAACCCCTGTCGCCGAACCACGTTATGAGGGCCGACCGACGCAGAACAGTAACAACAATAGACAGGATTAATATAGACCTACCAGCCCAATAACAACTACACCGCGGCCTTTGATGCATTTTCGATGTCAAGGTCTTCTTCTTCGAGACTCACCATTCTCTACAAACAGCCCAGACGCAGCCAATATGTAAATTCTTCTATTCGTGTTTCTGTCTTTTTGTCTTTTCGTCTGAGCTCTGGAGTCGTGAAATGGTCGTTGTATAGGTCGACATTTGTGCAGGACATCTGACATTAGGGACGTCTCACACAATGTCGCACATGGCTTCGAAACAGGCAGATACGTTGGCCAAGACTGGTAGGGCCATGTTGCCGTTCATGACAATACCGAATACCACACTTCTCAGAGGACAACTTTTTGCTTGTCGATCCTCCGGGATGTCAGACATCAATTCCAAATCTGTGGTTCAATGGTTAAGGGTGATAGGTCTGTAACGCCGCGGAATCCAGCAAGAGGGGTGCTGGGATCGGGTACTCCGAACTGGTAGTTGGAAAACGCCATGTCCGCTGCAACTCGAGTCATGTTCGGCCGGCGGGCAGATTTAGTCCCAATCGCTGTCACTATCATCATTACCCAGACCGGCGCCCTGTCCGCCGCTACGAAGAGTGGATTGCACCTCATCATCGTGTTGACGAGGCTGCAATCTCGAGTCGTTGGGGTCAACGGCGCCGAGAGACCGAAGCAGATCTTCGAGGTCGCGAACAGTTGTATGCTCGCCCTTCAGATCACGCAAAGTGACTAGTTGGCGCTTGATGTCGCCATCTTTGTAGACCAAAACGGTCGGAGTGTTTCTGTCCGGGTAGCCTTCGATACAGAGATTCGCCTGAATCTGACAGAACTTGATGTCGCCAAACTTTGTAGCTAACTCGCGCCAGATCTCGATCAACAGGCGGGATTCGATGTTGGTACCAGATGACGAGGTGAGGAGTACCAAGACGTAGGCTTTCTTTGATTCTTCGGTGACATCGCGCGACCAGTCAGGCTTTTGCACAGGGTAAACCTGGTTGTAGACCGAGGCGGCTTGGATAGCAGCGAGTTCGTTCATGCGCTTTTGACTAGGAAAGGAGGGTGTGAGATAAGAAGATTGCGGAGCAAGAGGACGAGCCTACCGGTAGAACTCGAGGAAGTCTTCGTCTTCATCATCTTCAAGCTCAGCTAATTCGTCGAGCTCCTTGCCTTCCAAGCGGTTCTCGTGGGCAAGTCTACGGGCTTCGGTCAAGGCTTCTTCAATCATAGGAGTGGGCGATGGGGGCTTTTCGGGGATGATCTTGTGCTTGCGAAGAATGTCATTCCTGGTCTAGTGAGCAAGCCATGTCGGTACAAGAAGACAAGCTGTGGATGAAGCAGCAGGCAGCTTACCATTCGGTGTCGGCATTGGGGTCGTCGATAGGAACATTGACTGGCATATCTGGCATGCCGCCGGGCATACCTCCCATGCCTTCCATGTTTGGGGTTGTTATTAATTGAAGTTGAGCGTCTGGCGGCGATCGAGAGCTGTTGCAAAATAATAGGAAGGCGCGGAGAGGGTCCAGAGTCCTTGGCGGGGGATGACGGGGGTGTCGACGGAAGGTGCCGCGCTCGGGGGTTAGGGAGTTGTGGATGCTACGTTTACAGTCCATCGACTGTCGAGTGCTATACACGTCTGGTAATTGAAGACCAACCATGAGTTACGACAAGAAGAACGAGGACGAGGCCGGCCTGCTCAAGGTCGACCGTACCTCGGTCTTCCAGGAGGGTGCGAATTCCCACTACACCCAACACACACCCATCTGAACTGTCGCTAACCGGCCCTCGATAGCTCGTGTCTTCAACACATCGCCCATCTCGCCTCGCAAATGCCGTGTCCTGCTCACAAAGATCTCCCTCTTGCTCTTCACTGGCGAAAAGTTCCCTCAGAATGAAGCAACCTCTCTCTTCTTCGGCATTTCCAAGCTGTTCCAAAACAAAGATGCTGCCCTCCGTCAAATGGTCTACCTGGTCATCAAGGAGCTCGCCAACACCGCCCAAGACGTCATCATGGTCACCAGCAGTATCATGAAGGACACTGCTGTCGGAAGCGACGTCGTATACCGTGCCAACGCCATCCGTGCTCTGTGTCGCATCATCGACGCTTCCACCGTCCAGGCCATTGAGCGCAACATCAAGACGGCCATTGTCGACAAGACCCCCTCCGTTTCCTCTGCCGCTCTCGTATCCTCCTACCACCTGCTGCCCATTGCCCGCGACATCGTTCGCCGCTGGCAGAGCGAGACTCAAGAAGCTGCTTCGAGCACAAAGTCCTCTGGTGGCTTCTCCCTTGGCTTCGGTACCTCAGCCTCGCACAGTCTGGCTGCATCAAACACAAACTTCATGACCCAATACCACGCTATAGGTCTGCTCTACCAGATGCGCTCCCACGACCGTATGGCTCTGGTCAAGATGGTTCAACAGTACAGTGCTCCTGGAGTTGTCAAGAGCCCTGCAGCGCGTCTCATGCTCGTTCGTCTGGCCGCCAAGCTTATCGAGGAGGATGCCGGTCTTCGCGCTCCCATGATGAAGCTGCTTGATGGCTGGTTGCGTGACAAGAGCGAGTTGGTCAACATTGAAGCTGCAAAGGCTATCTGTGAAGTCGGCGATCTGACCGACAACGAGGTCATGCAAGCTGTCCACGTCCTTCAACTCTTCCTGACTTCTCCCCGATCCGTCACCAAATTCGCTGCCATTCGCATTCTCCACAACTTCGCCTCGTTCAAGCCTGAGGCTGTACGCCAATGCAATCCCGACATCGAGGCTCTCATCACAAATTCTAACAGATCAGTTGCAACCTTTGCCATCACCACCCTCCTCAAGACTGGCAACGAATCAAGCGTTGACCGCCTCATGAAGCAGATCTCTGGCTTCATGGCCGAGATCACTGATGAATTCAAGATTACAGTTGTCGAGGCTGTTCGCACTCTCGCCCTCAAATTCCCCAGCAAGCAGGCCGGTATGCTTGCATTCCTCAGCACTTCGATCCGCGATGAGGGAAGCTATGAGTTCAAGAGCAGTGTTGTTGAGGCCATTTTTGACCTGATCAAGTTTGTGCCAGAAAGCAAGGAGGACGCTCTTTCGCACTTGTGCGAATTCATCGAGGACTGCGAGTTCACCAAGCTGGCCGTCCGCATTCTGCACCTGCTGGGTATGGAGGGTCCCAAGACTGCCAACCCCACCAAGTACATCCGCTACATTTACAACCGTGTTGTACTCGAGAACGCCATTGTGCGCGCATCCGCCGTCACTGCTCTTGCCAAGTTTGGTGTTGGTCAACAAGATCCAGATGTCAAGCGCAGCGTCAACGTCCTTCTCACCCGCTGTCTCGATGACACAGACGATGAGGTTAGAGATCGTGCAGCCCTCAACTTGCGTTTGATGAAGGAGGATGACGACATGGCTAGCAAGTTCGTCAGAAATGGTGAGGAATTGCTAATCTTAATGTGTTTAATAAAGGTGTGCTAACAGGTTGTCTAGATTCCATGTTCTCATTGCCAGTTCTAGAGCACCAGCTTGTCATGTATGTGACAGCAGACTCATCAGCTGCCTTCTCTCAGCCTTTCGATCTTGGTTCCGTGCCTGTCGTCACTCGTGAACAGTCGCTCGCTGAGGACCGTACGAAGAAACTCACCACAGCCACCCCTACCCTCAAGGCACCTTCAGCCGGGCCCAAGCCCACTGCTGCCCGTGGTTCAGCAGAAGCTGCTGCATCGGCAAGCGCAGCTGCTCAGAAGTATGCCCAACAACTGCAAGCCATCCCCGAACTTGCTTCGTATGGAGGTGTTCTGAAGAGCAGTGCTGTCGTCGAGTTGACCGAAAGTGAGACCGAGTACGTTGTCACTGCTGTCAAGCATCTGTTCAAGGAGCATGTTGTCATTCAATACGATATCAAGAACACGCTGCCCGACACTGTCCTCGCCGATGTAACAGTGGTATGCACACCGGCAGCGTTGGACGAGTCAGAAGACAGTGGCTTGGAGGAAGAGTTTACAATTCCTGCTCCTCTGCTCAAGACAGACGAGCCTGGCACTGTTTATGTGTCGTTCAAGCGCCCTGAAGGACAAGAGTTCTCCGCGGCTAACTTCAGCAACGTTCTCAAATTTACAAGCAAGGAGATTGATCCGTCGACCAACGAACCCGAAGAGCAGGGTTACGAAGACGAGTACGAAATCTTTGATTTGGATCTCGTCGGATCCGACTACATCGTGCCCGCATTTGCTGGCAACTTCGACAGCATCTTCAACGGCATTCCTTCAGATGATGAGCATGAGGCTGAGGAGACTTTGCAGCTCTCTAATGCCAAGACTTTGGCTGAAGCCACCGAGCTGCTTGTCAAGAGCCTGGGTATGCAACCTCTCGAGGGCAGCGAAGTTACACTCTCGACAAGCACGCACAGCCTCAAGCTTTACGGCAAGAGCGTGACAGGTGGCAAGGTGGCATCGCTGGTCAGAATGGCATTCAGTGCCAAGAGTGGAGTCACAATCAACATCAAGGTACGAAGTGAGGAGGAGATGTTGGCAGCGCTTGTTGTTGGAGGAGTTGCATGATGTGTACACGAGTGGTGAGATGGTGATGCGGGGCACCGGCGTTATAATTGGGGAGCATGAACCAGCGTGTGTGCTTTTATTTGTTTTGGTTATGGACAAAGGCGGACGGTAGAAAGAAAGCATCTACGAGTCGTTGTTCTTGAGATCAGTTAATTATGTATCTTTGTTGTCAGATGCGAATCTGGTTGATAGTCTGCTCATGGTCCTCTATTGAAATTGCGGGTGATGACGACGGTGTCGATGTGGCTTAGCCAGGGCCTAGGGGATGGCGGAGAACGTCTCGACTCTCACGCTCTCGGACGTCGACAGCTGGACATTTGACCTGAACAATGAAGACGACCTACGCATAACACACTCTAATAACCCCTGCAACCACTCTCGACTGACGACGTCAACCCCCATCGCCTTCCCAGATAAAATACGCCCTCGGACCACGCAAACACACGTCGCAGCCATGTCGGCAGCCACATCGTCAATCCAGGACCGCACTCCAGAGTTCCGCTCCATCCTCGCTCTCGCTCAGAAACGCCTCGCCCACACAAAAACACCACAAAACAGACAACACCTACTGCCCAACAATGGCCAACCCTCCGCCCAGCCCACGCGCAAACAACGCAGCGAGTTTGCGCGCAAGGCTGCCGAGATAGGAAGGGGCATTGCAGCCACCGTCGGCAAACTCGAACGCTTGGGACAATTAGCCCGTCGCAAGACTCTTTTTGACGACAAGCCTGTTGAAATCGCCGAACTAACTTATGTCATCAAACAAGATCTTGCTGCCTTGAACCAACAGATTGGAGCTTTGTCGACCATAAACAAAACGGCGCATCCCAAAGGTGGAGCAGATCAAGAAGGACAACACAATGAAAATGTCGTTGTCATGCTACAAAGCAGATTAGCAAATGTCGGAGGCAACTTCAAGGAAGTTCTTGAAGTGCGGTCCAAGAATGTACAAGCCAGCCGTTCGCGACAAGACAATTTTGTCAACACGGTTGGTAGCAATGCTGGACATTTGGTACCTCAAGGACGTAGTGATAGCCCGCTATACGCACCTCCATCACGAGGCCGCTCGCCACAACCGCCGATCAACCAAGGACAAGATCTCTTGACGCTTGAACCGCCCAGCGCGTCTTCGTCAGCTTTAACACGAGGCGCACAATCAGAACAGCAAATGCTACTTCTCGAAGAAGGAAACCAGAACAATGGATACATACAACAGCGCGGCGAAGCCATAGAAGGCATCGAGCGCACAATTGCCGAACTGGGAGGTATCTTCGGGCAACTGGCTCAAATGGTCAGCGAGCAGAGCGATATGATTCAACGCATTGACGCAAACACCGAGGATATCGTCGACAATGTTGAGGGTGCGCAACGTGAGCTCATGAAGTATTGGTCCAGAGTGCAAGGCAATAGGTGGCTTGTGGCCAAGATGTTTGGTGTATTGATGATCTGTGAGTTTTCTTTCCTCTCTCCTTCTAATTGCTCCGCAATACTGACACGATCAACAGTTTTCTTGTTATGGGTGCTCATCGCTGGTTAATGAGCAGATACCAATTTCGCAGCGGCAAGGCGTGTAGGCGTTTTTTTTCGGATATTGCAATAGAGACAGACTGCACTATTTTTGCAGTAATCACAAGGCGGTTTTCTACATTGGGATGCAACACAGCAATCGACAGAGGGTGGCTTTGGAGTGTCTCCTATTCTACTCTTGCATGTTTTCCACAGCTAGACTTTTCTTCTTTATTGTACTAATACTTACCTCCTTCTTTCCTTCTTGTCTTCCTCTTTTCTATTGTTGGTATTGTGCTGATGTGCACTCTGAATAGAATTCAAGATGTAAGAAGAACAAAAGCACTGATTGGACTCAAAAGCAGTATCCGACGAATGTGCTGTATTAAATGCAGGTCGCTAGTTCTGACAAAAACCTCAGGTTTTGACGGTTCTTCTCAGAATGCGGAAACGTGTCACAGGAGAAGATCAAACACGCTGCTCTTTCTGACCAGGGAAATCCATCGCTGTCCTCTCGAACACCCGTATCCTGAGTCTACATTCGCGAATCACTAGCATCCTCTCCTGGTATAGAACATTAGTATCTGTGATACTGATTGATTTACAGGATGTTTTGTGAGGATCGTCAAGCGGATGTTCAAAGTTTGGAAGGCGGGGAGGTGGTCGCTCTTGCCAGCCTCCTGAATTCATGACGCCGCTTTCTCGCGGCGCCATTCAACACTCCTTTCCATCTCTACAACCTTTACATTGAACTGATTCGATCAACCATTAGGAGAAGATCGTTCGAAACACATGACGAAGCAACAGCCATCTGGTGTCAATTCTTCCAATGGACTTGTAAAGAAGATCAATTACTTTCTATATGATTAACGCCACAAAATGCTAGAGGACACCATGACCTACTCCCAGTTGTTATCAAACACCTTGCCATTGACATAATTGACCATTTCCTTCACTGGCGGCAATCTCTCGCCTTCACCGAACATCATGCCTTGCTTCATGACTGTTCTGTAATTCTTTCCTGGATTCACCTTACCAAGGACATACTCCTGCCTTGTCTCGACGCGGTCAGGCACAGGAATCGAGCGACCGACGATGGCTTCCATGGCTTGCCATGCAAAAGTGATGGCTTCCTTTGCACCAGCCGGTACACCTGCATCATCCAGCATGAAGATCTTGGTGTTGGGATAGTTCTTCTGGATGTACTCGGTGATATTTGGGTTGTATGCACCGCCACCACACATGAAGATCTCATCGATCTCTTGTGAAGGTGCGTAACGGCGATAGTGGTCGACGATGGCTTGAGCGGTGATGCGAGTAACTGTTGCCACGACATCGTCAGGCGACATACCCAGCTTCTCGGCCTTTTCGATCATCTCATGGGCCAAGGTGTCTCTGAACACTTCTCTGCCAGTCGTCTTCGGAGGATCGAGCTTGAAGTATTTGAACTCGAGGAACTCATTCGCCAACTCTTGGTTGACAGTACCACGCTTGCCCATGGCACCGTCCTTGTCGTACTCTTGCTTACCGCCGGTGTAGTGTCTTACAACTGCATCGATGAAGACGTTACCCGGGCCGGTGTCAAAGTCGAAGCACTTGTCAACACCTCCGGCATTGTCAGGTGGAATGAAGCAGACGTTGGCGATACCGCCAATGTTCTGGCAAGCACGCAGCTTGGTGGGGTGGTGGAGGAGAAGGGCGTCGAAGAATGCGATGAGAGGAGCTCCCTGACGACCAGCAGCTTGGTCACTGACGCGGAAGTCGGTAACGGTAGTGATTCCAGTCTGTGCAGCGATGAAGGTGCCCTCGGCCATGGTCAAGGCACTCTTCGTGTGGCCTGGTTCAGGCATACTCAGCAACCAGATGGTCTGACCATGCGATCCGATGACATCAATGCTGTCGACGGAGACATCTTGCTCCTTGCAGAATTCCTTGACTGCATCGGCAAAGGTGTTGCCCAACAAGACGTTGACTTCGGAGAGCTCCTCAGGTGTCGTGCGGTTGTGATAAATCATGCTCATGACTCTCTTCTTGATCTTCTGCTCCAGAGGAATTTCTCCGTACTTGAGCAGCTCGAAGTGCATAGGTGCATCCGGACTGGTTTGACGGAACCTGCAGAGCGCACAATCAATGCCGTCCATACTCGTTCCGCTGTTCAAGCCGAGTACGGTCAGGTCGAGTGCCGTTCTGTCGCCATTGATGTGTTCGGTGTGGCCGTTCATGGTGACTATAGTAGGATGGTATGAGGACGCAAGGAGAGGGAGAAGCTCACGATCAAGCTGACCCAGGGGTCTCCTGAGAATAAATACTTCCCACGAGACATTCTAGAAGACAACTGCCGGCATATCGAACATACCGAGATGTCATTGCTCAGAAGATAGAGAGAGACTGGTGGGGAAGGTTGATAGCAAGACCGCAAGAACGCTCACATCGTACGATTAAGCGATTAAGCGAATATCAAACCCGTCATCCCCACGACACCGGCATTGAGGTATCCTGGGGTGATTAGCAACCACGAACGCCTTCCGGGGCCCCGAACATGTCCTCGTGCTCTTCTTCGGAAGCTGGTAGCATAGCTGCTCAAAAATGCGTTTCAAATCGAGGCTATAAGCCAAGGCACAGCCATAACGATGAAGAAGGTATAAAAGCTACCACGACGACCTCTCAATGTCGATCATCTTCTTCAAAATCTCATTCTTCGATCGATATCCCCATTACCAAAGCCATGGGTCTCACTACTGCATGGAAGAGGCTCTCGCCTGCCCAACTCAACATCGCCATCCAGACGTTTGCTTTGATCTCGATCTTCTTCGAAGGATATGATCAGGGTGTCATGGGCGGTGTCAACGCCTCGCCGAACTACGTTACTGAAGTCAACATCGGTACCTCCGATGGTACCGTGACCAATACCACCAAGCAGGGAGGTATCGTTAGTATCGTGAGTTGGACCCCTAAAATCTCAGAGACAAGGACTGCAAACTGATCTGGATTTGTAGTACTATCTCGGTGCCATCGTTGGTTGCTTCGTTGGTGGATGGGCAGCCGATCGTATCGGAAGAATCAACGGTCTCTTCTTCGCTGCTGTGTTCGCTCTCATCGGAGGTGCTCTGCAAGCTGCCACTCAGAGTGCTGATTTTATTCTTGTTGCCCGTGTGGTCACGGGTCTCGGCACAGGAGGTAAGCCTTTACTTCCCCTTATTCATCAACAACATAATACTGACCACCGAATTCATCAACAGCTCTCACTGGCATCACTCCTGTCCTCGTCTCTGAAGTCTCCAGCGCAGAACACCGTGGCGGCTTCTTGGGTTACGTTTTTATTGCAAACTATCTCGGCATCTCCGTCGCCTACTGGCTCGACTTTGGTCTCTCCTTCGTCAACCATGGATACTCTGCTCTGCGCTGGCGCTTCTTGCTCGCCTTCCAATGCCTCCCTGCTCTGCTGCTCCTCGCGGGCATCAAGATGCTCCCTGACTCCCCACGCTACCTCGCTTCCGTAGGCAGAAACGAGGAAGCACGCGAAGTCCTCTACTCCGTCCGCGGCTCTTCCAATCCCGAAGCCGTGGAGCAGGAGTTCAACGAGATTGTCGCCATGGCTGAAGACACCAAGCCTGCTTCCCCTATCGAGTTTATCAAGATCATGTTTGGTCTTGACAAAAGCCAGGGTGCTCATTTGGGTCGTAGAGCTTGGTTGTGCATTTGGCTGCAGATCATGGCATCTTGGACGGGTATCACTGCCGTCACTGCTTACAGTCCTGTTCTGCTGCGTCAAGCTGGTTACAGTCAGATCAAGCAGAACGGACTTGCTGGTGGTCTTAATACTATCGGTATCATCGGCACCATCATCTCTGCCCAAGTTGTCGACAAATTCGGCAGACGCAAGTGTTTGATGTGGGGAGCTGGTGGTTTGTTTGCTGTGAACTTGATTGTAAGTCACCCTTCTTCCTCTGAATCTTGTATTTTGCAAGTGACTAACATTTTTGACCTAGGCTGCCTCACTCTACGAAGCCTCCCGTCATGATCCTTCCAAGGCAGCTAGCATCGCTCCTGCCGCAGTCACTATGCTCTTCCTCTTCAACCTCGTCTACGCATCCACCTGGGGCACCGTCGCTTTCCTGATCCCCACAGAAATCTTCCCTAGCCGTATGCGCGCACAAGGAAACGGTTTCGGTATCACTGGTTGGGCTATCGGTGTTGGTTGGACCGTCCTCGTCAACCCAATCATGTTTGAGAATATCCAGGTATGCTTTTTTTTTTCCACACCTTCATTCAACATTTGTCATCTGTTTCGGATAGTGCAGTCACTAATGACTTTCCACCAACAGAGTCGCACCTACTTCCTCTTCGCCGGATTGAACTTCATCTGGATCGGTATCGTCTACCTAGTATACCCAGAAACCTCCAATCGCTCGCTCGAATCCATCGAAGCCATGTTTACAACTTCGCCCTTTTACTGGCAGATGGAAAAGGCCTATGCTGAGAACAAAGATTTGTTTGCTACTACAGCTGCAAAGCAAGGAATGGGAGAAGATGAAAGGTTGTCAAAGGAAAAGCAACTTGAATGTGTGCATGATGAATTGACTCATGTATGAACAACAGGACGATGGCGACTAGACAGAATTACGTGTCTTAGGTGTCCTCATGAAAGACAGCGAGAGAACAAAATAGTGTTCACAAGCTAGCTAGCGATATGTCATATCTGTTTCCATTTGGGAAAAAAGAATATCTTTTCTAATTGAAATCAAACGCCCAAGACCAATTCTCAAAAAGTTCAGCCGGGAAATGTATTTGTGGCGAATTTTCAGACATGGCGGCGAGTTGTTGCTGCTGCGCTGCATGTAAAGCCCCAGGCGACAACAATTCCGGGTTGGGTGTAGTGTGCGTCGTCCATGGCGTTAGTCCTCCAGCATCCACAGACCTTTGTATCTTCATAAACTCGTCGATCCTCGAGACTTGAGCTCGTAGTTTGTCGCTGGTTCCTGCGGCGCAATATAAATCGACTTCGAGGTTTGCTAGTAGGTTTGCGAGATCCAGCAATACTGATCGTACTCGTCGGTATGATGATTCGGTAAGACCGTTCTCAAAGGCTGAGCCCATGATGCTTCCAATACCTGCTAGATGATGGAAGAGAGGTGAACTGATAGCGCGAAGGTATGCCACAGGGACACTAGCAAATCCATTGATGACTTCGCTCGCGATCTGACATTTTTGGTCTACGGTCGAGTTGTCGGTGGTAAACAGAACCATACGGACGAGCTGTAACGATGCGGCGATATTCGCAGCTTGAAAACCGAAAAGATCTTTCTCGAGTCTGCCCGTCAAGGGTTGGGTTGTTTTGAAGATTGGTGGTAGTTGCTCGTAAAGTGTCATGATGTTGGTAAGGACTGATGCCTCCCGAGGGCTGCCCTGTTCAATGTAATTCATGACTGAGGGTGTGCGCTGTACGGGGTTTCGTAGATTACCAAGACGATCGACTGCATGTTCGAGTATCCGGTACAAATCTGTAACGAAGTTCCATCCTTTCACCCAACTAGGAGCAGCATAATTCGCTGTTGTTACAGGATTAGAGTCGCTGTAATACTCGTCGTCGCATTCGGCTGGATAACAGACGTTGAAGCAAGCTTCTCTGCTTTTGGCAAAACCGCCCCAGATGATTGAAGAGAAGATGTCCAGCGTATACATAGACCAGAAGAGTCTTCGTCGCTCTTCGATCTCGACATGTCCAAGTCCGGCAGGCCAGTTGTTTTCATCCTGCAGCATGCCTACAGCAACGAAGCTGTGGTAGAGACCGAGGTAATAGTTCATCCGGGGAGTATCTCCGTACTGTATGGAAGCAATGGCGAGTAAAGCATAAGCTCGCATGTAATCAAATTCCTGAGATAATGCGGCATCAGGAGGAATGACCTGTTTTGCAGCTTGAAACAGCTCTTCGGATGAAGGGCTCTTCAAGGAATTCGCATCCCATCTACTAGTGTACAGCGCCCCATCACGGACACGAGCCGACGAAAGCGCACACATCGCCAGAACGGAAGCAAAAAGCGGTCGATTTGTAGCATATTCTCCACGAGAGACCCTCCGTAACAAGGTGGGTCGGTGAAAATAGGGGAAAACAGGATATACGACCTCGAAGTAGATTTCGGTCAAATCCATCACAATCGCTTGAGGAGGCATCATTCTTGGTTTCCATGTGGAACTGTCAAGCGTAGTTTCTTGACTAGTGGGGGACACCTGAGCTTGTGCTGGATCGCGGCTAGAAGTTACATCCTGAGTATCGGTTCTCGGTTGGCTTGTTGTAGACCTGGCTGATCGCGGCTTGGGGCCGCGCCTTGCCATAGGGCGGAGGGAAGTGCATGTCTCTCCATAATCGATACAGTTCTGACACTGTCCAAGTTCTCCATCAGTCGGTCGACATTTGACGCTACGAGCACTGCACTGATCACAGGCACGTCGATTCCGACGAAGCTTCTTTGGTCTTTGAGGAACCTCAGTCTGGCTCATTGCAAACTGGTCGAGATGTGCATGGTTGTTGTGAGTGGAAAGATTGAGCTTGGACGCTTACCGATATCTTGGCGTGGTGTGCGTCATCATGATCACATCCTGAGTCGAATCATGTCACCGTGGCAGCATCATGATCCCCTCAAGTAAGTAGCCTTCTTTCTAACGCCAGTCTTATGCTACAGTGCCTGGCATCTCAATGCCACTGTAATCGACCAAGTAGCTGTCGATGTCGTTCTGCCTACATATCAGTATCGGTTCGTTTCGTCCTGGTCTGACACGTACCCAGTTCAACATGTCAGGATTGTCAAATAAGTTCTCCAAAGATGTGATATCTATCATATCAGAAGAAGCGTCTTCAGGTGGTGTAACCTCTTGTTGAGGAACAAGAACATTATCTGCCATGGTGGGACCATACGAGCCACCGACTCCATCAACCAAGGAGGGGTCACGACTCAATTTTGCCAACATGACACCCAAAACATGGCTTGCACGGACAGCGTCTCGATAAGTAGGCTTCTTGGTGGACCAGAAGTGCTGAGCCTTTCGAAGTGCCGCGAATTTGCGTTCCCGCACTTCGGCGCTTTACGCAGGTTAGCTAGATATACCTAGTCACGATCTTCTAAAAAATGTATACCTCTGAGTTATCGATTCATTCAGATCCAGACAAATGATCATGGCTGCTGCGAATTGTTCGTGGAGCGTGATATTAGTGAACATCCATCTGCTTTGATAAAGTCGTCCTTGTGGTTGCAGAGCTTCAAAGTAGTCGTTCTGGAGGTCGATTTGTTTCAGTGCTGAACTCACACAGATCTCTCTTGATCTTTGAAAGGCGGGGTCGTCTTTTTTGCAACTCAAGAAAGGTCTATGAAGGATGCACAGTCCCTTGAGATACTGTAGCTCAAGCATAAACCGTTGCATAATCAAATAGTCCTGATCAACAAAACTAGTTTCTGCGATAGGGCGAATACGCAAAGACGGCGGGATGTCTTGATGGCTTCTTTCAAGGCACTCATGAAGACTTTGGGTCTCTTCCACGTTGTACCTTCGACTGGATAATGCATGTCGAATGATAGGGCGCAAAAGACGGAGGGTCTTTGCCTTGGAGGTGAAGAAAAGCATTGGAATGTGGGTTGTATCAGGTCGAGGAGGTGGTAGAACAGTAGTGTTCTCATCGAAGTCTTCGTCCAACAGATTGATAGGAAATTGACAATCGCACTCGTCCTCGTTGATCATGGCAGGGATGCCCTGGTTAGCTGACATGGTGATATCAAAAATTTCGATGTAGTACCATGCTCGGCGACGCATCTCACTCTCGAACGGAGAGAGCTTTGATGAAAGATATTTAGGATCACGGTGATACCCCATCTTCTGAGCAAGTCTTGTTGCCATGGTGAGAATTGGCCATGGTTGAATTTCAGGATCCGCATGAAGAGCATAAGCGCAATGGAAATGAAACAACAGAGCTTCAACGGCGTATGGCTGAGCTTTGAGGTATTGACCAGTGACGAGACATTTTGCAGCCATTCGCAAGGAACCAGCCATTCTGGTGTTACAAGGTTCAATAAGCGGCGTAGGGTCGCCCCTGGCTCTGGCAAGTTTCCCTGCCATGAACATGATAGAGAAAAGTATACTCAACCAACAGAAGCTTGTTGAAGCAGGATCTTTCCAGAAAGCTTCGTATTCTCTTTGAAATTTTCCACTGTGTATGAAAGTCAAAGACAAGAGATTCTCTTTGAAATACGAAGAGACAAGACTATCGACTCTGTGCCGTTCTGGCAGTGCAGCAAGGACTTGTTCCATGGTCAGAAGTGCTTCTTGGCCGAACAGGGGGTCTGCTTGTTGTGTTGACTGCGTCGGTTGTACTGGCCCAGAAGATGAAACATCATGCAGCTCGGAATCCATGACAGAGCGAATCTCATGGATGCTTTCTAGAATGGAAGCCCAATGAGTTCCACCAATGTAATTGATTTGATTCCCTTGTTGGTTCAGATGGCCACCAGCACACAGTTCAGAATATGCGGGAGCATCGATGCGTGGAGAGGTGGTGGAACTGGGCGGGGTAGTGACGAAAGTGCTCACAGGAGCAGCATGCATCAATCCGTTCACCATGTCTTCGAGTTTCTGTAAACGGATAGCAGCAGCTTCATTGTTGAGAGTGCGAGGTCTCGGGTCCTTATTAATAGGGGCTGAGCTGTAAAGGCAAGTGGAAGAATCGGCTCGTTTGACACAAGTACCGCATGGTTGTTGGCGATCACACTTGAGTTTTCTATCACGACAACTCAAGCAGGACAGAGGGCGGCGGTTTCGTTTCGCGACGCGATTCTTATTAAGGTTGGAAGAAAAGACAGAGGTAAAATCAGACAAGTCAGCCATAACTTCCAAGCAATCAGAACAGAGCGCGACACCACAGAAACGTTGCGATGGGAACGAAGTAACGATAACTCAAGTCATCGGTCTGCGATACTTGAACAGAGGATGCGATGAAGGAAGGAAGGTCGGAGTTAGCACATTCCACTTTGAGCAAGCACGTGGACCCTGACAACGGCCAAGAGAATTGTTGCCGACAGAGGGCGGTGGACGGAGCTGTGAGGCATGAGCCTCTCGATTTGCGAAATTAAATTGCCATCATGAGCGATATCAACTGGCCAGGGGGAGTCCTTTCTCTTCGAGTAATGCTACAGTGCAAGTGACCTTCTCCAAAGAACCCGTCTGGGCCATCTCGTAAACATTTAAGTTCACAAGCTACCTCCTTTGGTGAAGAGCGTCGTCAGCCAGTCCTTCCGCCGGGTAAACACGAGCGAAACCGCCAAAACACAGTGTAGCCAGATGAATCGCCCAAACCCATTTGCATCCAATAGCTTCTTCAAGCCAGCATCATCACTTCTCGGCACCTATAGCAATTCCACTCATGCAACGCGCCGAAGAAGCCTATCTCTGGACTCCGACACCGAAGCCCAACGCCATTCCCCTGACCCTCCACCTCTACCAACTATCATGAACAATGCGCCTGCTGCCTCAGACCTCGGTGCACACGAGAATGCTTCCGAATTGACACCAAGCCCGGGCGTCCCTTTAGTCAATGTATCACGGTCACCGTCACCATACGCAAGAACCCAGAGTGTTGCACGATCTGAAGACGATGAGGAATATGAGTTGCAAAGCATCTCTGAGGCCAGACACTTGGTCGCAAGGGACAAAGCCACTGGTGAGCGCAGTAGCGCCCAACGTATCTTCCAGAAGGGCGGAATTGGCCAATTTTTGTTCGGTACCTCTGTCGGTTGGCGCATCTACGTGGCTTTCCTGGTCTTCTGGGTTGGCGGTTGCCAATTCGGCGCCCTGCTCATGAACAGGTTCATACTCTGGACGGGTACTTATAAGTTTCCTTATCCACTCACCCTGACCCTGTTGCAACTCTGTATAACTCATCTTTTTCTGCTCGGCTTTGCTGCCCTGACCCGGGGGCTGGCTGGACCACTACAAACCATCGGTCTTGGTCATATGGTTGCTCCATCTCAGGCTTACAATAAGGGAAATAGGCCTACGAGGTATACTGGAGGTTTGAAAACAAAATCAGTCTTCTCGAATATCTCCCACTGGTTCTTGCACGGCTCAGGAGGCATCGCAGGAGGTGGTCTTTTTGAGTATCAGCGCAGCACGGCCAAGCATGTCTTTCCTGCAGCTGTCGTCTTTCTCGGGAAGACTGTTCTATCCAACATCTCATTTGCCTATGCTGTCATGCCCATGTACATGATCTCGAGAATTGCCATCATTCCCTTGACCTTGATACTCACTGCCGTCTTGCTTCGCCAACAACACTCAATCCAAACCATGTCAGCTGCAATTATCGCAACAGTGAATCTACTCATGACTAGTATCCGGTCTGGAGAACGCGATCCTTGGGAGTCAGTAGTCGCTGGTGTCTTCAGTTCGATATTCGTCGCTTTATACCCGATTCTCCTTCTCCGTGGATACCGCCAACTAGTTTCTGACCTGGTACCGCAGGGTGATTTGCTAAGTGCCACAGACTCGCAAACCCGAACCGTCAGCACAGGCACAAAAGAAGAAACACGCGCATACTGGAGAACCTTACACTACACATCTTCACTTACGATACTCATGCTCATTCCGTTTGTCCTCATCTCCGGTGAGCTCAAGCAGATCAACCGTAATTGCTACTTCCTGGACGTACCTTGGTTCTGGTTCCTCATGTCTTGCGCATCGCTTGGTGGCTTTGGCGTCTTCGCGTCATTCTTACTTCTGGTAAAAGCTACATCTCCTCTATCAGCCAACTTTGTTTCGCTGCCGAGAAGTGTCTTCCAGATTGTGGTGTTGAGCAAGTTCAAGATGCCTGCGCATAGCTGGGTTGGAGCTGGTTTATGTGTCCTGAGTTGTCTTTGGTACTGTCTTGCTAGAATCAGGGACGGCAGAAGTAGAGGCAGCTTCGGTCTGTAATTGAGTGTAATGCAAACGATCGCGTTCTGATGTCACTCCCTGGCATGCAAAGACTATGATATTTAAATTCCCTCAAATTTCACTCCGTGTCCGTCTTAGTCGAATCTGTGAACTCGACTTTGCAAAAGTGTCAAAAGCCTAGGGTTGCTGACGGGAGATAGAAGCAGCTGGAGTTGGCTCGGCATCGAGAATTAGAGAATGACCACGCAGTCTGATTGGCCTTTCTCAACATTCCTTCCCTCCTATGTCTTCTGAGCATTCTCGTGCCTGTATTGAAGACCAGCTTCCCGGATGAGCTGGATTTGAACGTGTTCAAAGACTGGTCTGACACCGGGAGTCTTGGTGGCTTTTCTATTTGGATATATTATTGTAAAATTACCCCACATTTCATCTAGTGGAGTCTAACCAACTTCGGGATCTTCTTCAAGGCGCTTTGGCGGAGTGGTTAACGCGATGCCCTGCTAAGGCATTTCCTTCGGGAGCGTGTGTTCGAATCACACAGGCGTCGATACTTTTTGCTCTTTTGCGGCCTGCCACAATCTTTTTCGCATTATTTAAATAGACAAAAATATAGAGTGAGATAATACGCATCTTTTGAGCTATCTTTCATCTTCTTGGAGCGAGTGGTGGTGGAGTTGTGGGGGCTGGAAATAAGGATAGGATTCATAGCGGACTGGGCTTGAAACTTGGTAGGCATTTGGAAGTGCATTGTTGAGCAGCGTTTGATGCCGCGACAGCAGTCTCCTACATATTCTTGCTCTATTGGTCTTGCCTTGTCATAAGTCGCGGCGAAGAGATATGGTAGAGCAGGGTTCGAAGGTATCAGCAGTACGAAAGAGGTAGCATCTATGTATTCCTATATTGGTTCGATGGCAAAGATGATCACAACTTCGCGCCTCCTTCAGCACCAGCTCTCGCATAAACTTCCCTCTCAAACAGATCAATCATCTCTCCAACCTGAGGATCACCAGGTGGATACACCTGCGTGCCAAACAGTCCACAAACACCCTTTTCTCTATCCACAAACCAAAAGTTATTCGGCATACCACTCCAGATCAAGGTGCCTTTCTTTCTGTGATCGTCACCCGCGGTATCAACCAATACACCACCAATACCCCAATCATAGGTGACATTTTCTGGGAACTTGCCCACGAAAAGACTGACCACTTCCTTCATGCCAAAGACTTGCTTGATACCTTTCCTCGACTCGGGTGTCAGGTGAGGGGAAAACATGACAGCAGTGCTAGCCTTGCTCAACAATTTCTCATCGTCCAAAAGCAGAGATTCCAGGATCTTGATGTAGTGGGTCAAGTCGGCATAACAACCATGACCGCCAAAACATTCCGCGTCTCCAAAATCGATGTTTTTGCGGACAGGCAGATTGACGAGCTTGCCGGTAGGGATCCTGAGTGCAATGGTCGCTGCCTCTTTCTTCATCTCTTCAGTCAAGTAGGGTGTGAACTTTATCCTGTTGATGCCGAAAGGAGCAAAGACGTTTTCTTGCAGGTAGTCTTGCAAAGACTGGTTTGTGACCTTTTCAATCACTTTGCCTGCCCAATCGGTTCCAGTACCATAGCTCCAGTGAGTTCCCGGCTCGAAGAGAAGAGGATATGCGCATTTGTTCTTCATCGTTGTTCTGTCTGTCGGGTTGTCACCAATGCTTTTTCTGTATTTCTCTAGCATAGGGACGCCCTTGTCATAAGCGGTCCCCGCAGAGTGAGTAAGCAGGTGCACAAATTTAATGGTGTTCTTGCGTTTTGAGAGAATAGGTTTATCGTTGTCATCGAAGCCATGTAGAATAGGTTGCTCAGCCAAATCAGGGAGGTAAGGGCCAACATCTGTATCCAGAGAAATCAAGCCCTTTTCGATGATCTGCATTGCGGCGATTGAAGTGAGGAGTTTTGTCATCGATGCTAGGAACAGGATACTGTTGAGTTGAAGGGGTTTGGCATCGTCACCGATGCAAGTATTTCCGAAGACTTTGGCATAGTTCAACTTCCCTATCGATATCCTTTGTTAGATTTCTGTCTTTGCCTTCTAGGAGAATGGAATCTAGGAAGGAATCTTTACCAGATTTGTCTTTGGCCATCAAGATGGCACCTGGAAAGACACCATTTTTGACAGCTTGCTCAAACTTTTCCTCGAATGATGACATGTTTTCAGAGATGTAGCAAATTGAACAATGATATATGAGGATAGGTGTTGGATCTAGAGAATCGAGAGGGTTTGTCGATTATCAATGAACGAAGTGTACGTATCTTTTTATGATGGTCTGTATTTGGGGGTAGTTCTATTCAGCCGAGGCTTCATGGGGAAAGTGGGGATGGAGCCGGCTTAACAAGCATCCCATCACGGTGCCATATTTCCACCCTCTTGCGGAGCACGATCTCACTTTCTGATATCTCTTGCCTGCTGTCCTTGGCGCTGTGTAAGCTGATGAGAGAAGAGTTAGAATACGAGGTCTGATCGCTATTCACAGTGCTTTGTTGATCTTGGCATGCAGCATCTGATGTATGCTTTTCAGATTCTACTCCAATCAAGCTCAGAAAGGAAGCAGCAACCAAGACTCTATCGACCACATTCGTAATCAACACTTCCTTGTATTCATGCAAACTATGCAGCCTAAACTCCCCCAGCCATAAGCATACATCATCGAAAATTTTCTAAAGATCATTTGGATAATCATCCTTGACCTGCGCCCCAATCTTGATCCTCCATCCATTGATTGCATGCTTCTTCTTGCCAACCTTGACAATATTTTTGAGATGCCTGCCCAATGTCTCCTTGACGTCCATAGGATCATCTTTATTCTCTGTTGCCCAGACGATCGTGAATGTAACCATCAATCCCTCCTTGTTGCGCTTTTTGCCTAATGTATGAACATATTCAGACGAAATGCGTATCTCGGGCTTCTTTAGGATGGTCTTGTGAGCGAAATCATACAAGTCATCTTGGATGACACCGGCGGGGAAAGCGCGAGACAGAATGAGCCCGATCACACCGATGTATTGCGTCCACCATGCTTCTTCATTTGATACGAGGCGAATGAGTTGATCGCGGTAGTCAGTCTCACGAGGTGCAAGTTCGCCTTCGTAGCGTGCTTCGAGCATGAGAGCCAGTAAAGCTCTATCGGCGTGCGAAGATCCATGTGTTGAGCACAAAATGCCAGTACCTGTGCTGTACAATGCAGATGTAGAAGAAACTTCCTTGTTCATGTCGGCGTGGAAGTAAAACATGTTCGTGAATGCCCTGATCATGTGTACATCGATCGACTCAGGAACGCCAGGATGCTCTTCTGTAGGAGCAGGAAGGGACTGCGTGACCAGAACAGCGAGTTTTGGCGAAATGGGTTTTGCCATGTCACGAGTTGCTACCTCCAGAGGGTCCTGAGCGCGGATTTCTGGGTGAAGCCGATTGAACAGGACACCTTCACGGACACCTCCTTGACAGAAATGGGCTTCGCGGATGCCGTGAGGAATTGCTTCGGCAAGAATGCTGACCAAGAAAGACACAGCAGGTACTTGAGCCCGACGACGATCGGACACGCGGAAAATCTCTTTGGCCTCCTCGGCAATCTGCTTCATCTTCTCGGTGTCTTCAAATTCGTCCTTTTGTGCTGTGAACCCGTTGATGATAGAGAAGGGATAGCCACCACCGGCCACCTGTTCATGGTGAAGCAAGAGGTAACCCCATCCGCGGAAGCCACCTCCAGTCAGGTAAAGTCTGAAGCCTCCATTCTTTTTGGCATCCTTTACAAGTTCATGCGGAACCTCAATCTTATTGTATGCCTCCTGAAATTGCGCTTTGACCTGAGCACGAAACTCTTCACGAGCTTTGTGCGCCTCATGCTTGCTCCTTCCCTTTTTCAACTCTTCAAGCCTTCTTGTCAGGGCAGCAGCACCATAAGGAAAACTCACCGCACTAACGGGACTGATCTGAGTTTCGCCTCCCTTAGCAATCATCCATGTGATTTGAGTGCTGCCGCCTCCCATATCCATGACCAAGCCACGGACAGCAGAGAACGAACTAGCAACACCATAAGCACCAATCCTTCCTTCATCCTCTTTGGAGAGCAAAGTCATCTTGATGCCGGTCTCCTTTCGGATCTTCTCACAGAATTCTTTTGAGTTGATCGCAGCTCTGGTGGCCTCCGTAGCAACAATCTCAATCTGGTCTGGCGGAACCCTGAAATCTGCACAGAAGATCTGAAATCTGAGAAGCATGGAGACAACATCATCCATCACAGCAGCAGAGATTGGGACCTTGTTACCATCTTCGTCATACTGGGCTTCATAGAGAGAGATTTTGTTGCGGTAGGCGTAGACAGTGGGCAGAACGCGGGTTGTGGGTGCGCTTTGGTCTGTTATCGATAGACGGATGCCATTGCTTCCCATATCGACCAGACCCCAGAGTCCTCTATTCCATTGCGGCTCTGATACTGGTTGCTGAGTTGTGGCATGTCTGTGAGGTATTTCTTGCCCACCACCCATTTTGGTTGTCGAAGCACCTTGATGTTCCGGGCAGATAGGTTGTCAAAAGCGTCGAGTCGTAGTCGAAATGATGTTATGGGATCGTCGCTCGAATGACAGCTTGACAAGGCGCTTGCGACAGTTTCAGACTTGAGTTCAATATACAATGAAAAATGGCAGTAACATGGTCGAAAGAAGGAGAGACTGCTTCGCCGCTCAGGCTGCAGCAAAAGCCTGCCGGTGACATGCAGTTGAGCTCTCCCCGCAACGGTTTCATTGCGAGTCAGTGGCGCCAATTTTAAAAGAGGCGGCCCTCGTCATCACATGGGCCAATACATTTTGCACGCACTAATTGTATTGACATGGGATAGGTCAAAGGAGTCCCATGACTTGGCATGGTTCAGCTAGGTTTTGTTGCGCATGCAGTGAAGAGCAGTTGGGAGCGACTGCCTGTTTAAACGCACTGATCCTCTTGAAGCCTTCACCAAGTATATATCAACATCTCTAAAGCAGAAAGTTTCGCATGAGGACAAATGCAAGAAGATATTCGTCATTCACTAATTTCATGCGCCATTACAACGTGTGTGATGTTAGTCTCTATATTCGTAATTCGCGACTTGTTTTGTCCGTCCAAACACAAAACAAGGACAGGTCTCCAATCGTAGTCACCAGATATGCCCTCTCTTCACGTATCTGCTCATGTCTTCCTGTCTAACATGCTGCCGTGCCTCTTTAACCATGCATTCCTGCTGAGCATTACCTTTGCCTACATTTGGTGTGCGTATATCATAAAGCAGAGAGCGGTGTGATGAAGAACAACCCATACACGATGATGGTGATGCCGATATTGATTAATGAGCGCGTGCCGTCGGTGGATCCCATTAGAGAACGATAGTATGTTCACGTTAATCGAAGAATCGAGCCGGTATATTGCTTGTCCACTGAGGAGCCCTTTATGAGAGGACCTCACACGAAGTCGGCAGTGTATGAGAATCCTCTGAACTCTTCCTGCATGCCTTGGGTCAAGACAGACTGCACAGGTGTGAGCACTGGAGTGACGCTTGTGAATTCAGAGTCGAAGTTGCTGGTATCGGCCTTGCCCTTGATGGTAGGCAAGAATGGTGGAGGCACACGTTTGTGGTAGATGTCCTCCCAGTTGATGTTTTTGAAGAAGGGATGGCTCATAATCTCCTGAGCATCTGTTGGTCCACTGCCAAGACGGAGCTCAGGTTCGCGTGTAAGTAGCTTCTGAAGAATTGATACCGAATCGCGCGGCATGTGGATGGGGTAGAGAGGCTCGTCTGCCAAGATGGCATCATAGATTTCGTCTTCATCCTCGCCCCTAAACGGAGATTGTTGAAGGAGCATCTGGTAGATAAGGACACCGAATGCCCACCAATCGACAGCACGGCCGTATTTCTTGTCAAGAAGGATCTGTTATGAATGGTCAGAAGTGATCATGACAAATAGATAGAAATTAACAAACCTCGGGCGCCATAAACTCGGGAGTACCGCAGAATGTGCTGGTTGTGCTGCCGTACCACATGTCTTCTTTACAGAGACCGTAGTCAGCAATCTTGATGTGTCCATCTAGGGTGAGGAGGATGTTGTCAAGCTTCAAGTCACGGTAGATAACACCGTTCTCGTGGAAATACTTGAGCGCCAGACAGACTTCAGCGGCGTAGAATCTGTGATTGTTAGCAATATTCACACAACACTGACCACGCAAAACTTACTGAGCGCGCTTGGTGCCGAATTGGCCGCGCTGAATGTGCAGCATCAAGTCACCACCACTGATATACTCCATGACGAAGTAGATTCTGGTTTCAGTCTGGAAACAAGCATGAAGATTGGTCAGGAAAGGATGTCTCTCCTTGTTGGCGATCAGGAAGACACGCTTTTCTGATCTTGTGCTCTCAACTTCATCGTTCTCGATGATGAACTCCTTCTTCAGAACCTTGATGGCATACAGTTGCTTGGACTGCTTTGTCTCGGCAAGCATGACCTTACCGAAGTTACCCTTACCAAGCACAGCGAGGAAGTTGAAGTGATCGAGACCAACACGGACGTTGCCGCCTTGAGTTTTTCTTGCAGGTGGGCCCATGGATGTTGCGGTCTTGCTTGGCGGTGCGGCGGGTGTAGTGGTAGGAGGAGGTGTTTGAGTTGAGGCTGGAGGATATTGCTGGCGAGGAGGTTGAGCTTGTTGAGGAGGTTGCTGAAGAGGCTGAACTGGGAAACCGCTGACAGCAGCATAGTCTGCAGGATTGTAGCCTGCAGGCTGTGGCTGGGAGTTTCTCTGCTGAGAATATTGTTCGGTACTGCTTGATGAGGTGGAGCTTCTCTGGCTCTGCTGCTGTTGCTGCTGCTGCTGCTGTTGCTGTTGCTGTAGTTGTTGTTGCTGCTTCTGGTAGTCGGTAGAGGAGCGATTATATGGTGGAATCCGTTGTTCTGCAGCGGACGAACGCTTGCCTGACAGAGCGGCAGCTGCGGCGGCTGCAGCAGATTGGGACGAGTATTGACGGTGAGCTGGCGGCGGACGAGCTTCTGGTTGTTGAGGGGATGGAGGAGCGGCGAAAGATGCACGAGCAGCATCGACTGAGGTAGCGGGGGCACCATATTGCGAGGTTCGAGGAGGAGCATCGTATGCGTCGGACATGCGGTCTTTGCCGTAGGACAGCGGTCTGTCTTGAGGGTTCGAAGCCTGATCCTGGTGAGAAGGCGTAGGCATGTAGGAAGGCTGGGAGGGTTGAGCTGGGGGTCTGCTGACACTGTTTGCAGTACCAGGACGCAACTTGCGCTCCGACATGCTGGTGCCCTGGCGACCCTTTGTTGCTCTGCGAATCTCTCCCAGGATCTCGTTGGCCTTCTCGTTAGAGATACCACAGAAGTCTGGAACAAAGTGGATGCAATTGTTGTGGCAGGTCGAGCTGCACTCAGTACACTTGCGAGCTTGTTTTCTTCCGAGCGGCAGCATGTAACCACAGTGACAGCACCAGTTGGCGCCCATGTTGGAAAATGCCTCGAAACGATGAGGGATGCGGTGGTTGATCTTCTCCTCGTCAGGATCGGATTCGGCATTGGACTTGCTGATACACTTTGTGACGACGCTTGGGTAGCACTTCTTGTGGCAGGTGAGCCTACAGTCTGAGCACTGCATACCGGCCGTGTACTTGAGGAAGTCACCGCACAGCGAGCAGCGCATGACGTTATAGAATGTCTGCTGCACGAACTTGTGGCCGTACTGCTCAACGGCATCTTCCTTGCGCTGGCGCACAGCTCCCTTGCGCCCAAGTCCGACGTCGAATGGTCTGCGTTCGCGTGTTTGTTTGACTATAGAGTGTTAGCTTTATGGAAAGGGTAGTGGAGAAGAGCGACAAACCGAAACTCAAACTGAGCTTGATCTTGCCCACAGGCTCGAGCGAGAACCAGTCGTCAATGACAACAGGGTTGGTCAAAGGTGTCGGACCGCCTCCAAAGCCACCAGAGGGACCTTGTTGTCCAGCGTGTACAGAGCCTGCACCAGAGCTTCCGGGAGGAGGAGAGAATTGCATGTCGGGGCGCGCGCCCGAGTCGCCCATGTGGTCTGCAGAGATCCAGCCAGAGTTCTTAACCTCGGTCTCGATGCGCTTGCGACGCATCTCCTCTGCAATGTCTGAGATGCGTACCCACAACATACCGATTGGCATGGGGTGTTCGCCTGCTTTGTCGTATACCGTCAACTCGATTTCGTTGGCCTTGTCAATGTCGAAGTCGTGTTGCTCGTCGGTCCAGCGGTCTGTTCGTGTAGCCTTGGTGCGGCCTTTGAAGCTGTCCTCGACCTTGAGAATGACAAATGTCTCGGGACCGCGCGAGAATCTACCCGTCGCGGCATGGTCGACATCAGCAATAGCCTGGATGCGAATAGACAGGTAACCACTGAGAGGCTTGCGCTGACTGGGAATGTTCAGACTGTCGTCGTCTTGCATGTCAGTGCTAATGTCAGCGACGTGCAAGTCTTCGTGGCGCTTCAGAGCCTGCTTGAGAAGGTGAATCTTTTGGCTACTCTCGATGCGACGGCCTTCGGCTTCGGCCCTGCTCTTGCGATCTCCTTCGAGCTGGTACAAGCGTACCATCTTCTCGATACCATCCTTGTATTGTTTTTCGACACTCAGCTTGAACTCGAGTTGTGACAGCATGAGCTGAATGCGCGGGCCGAGATGGGGAGTTTCGGCCTTGATGAGGTCCAGTCGACTGTAGTTGGGTCTGTTCTTGAGGGCGTTCTGACCGGGTGCCGGAGGAGCGTAAGGAGCGCGAGGAGGCATCAGACCGTTGCCGCCGCCCTGGCTGTATCCGCCAGGGCCGGGGGCTCCGTAGCTACCTGGGTCTTGATCGTCTTGGTGCGAGGGCGGCGGCGGGCCTGCGTCGTTCATGTTCATGTTGGACATGTGATCTCCCAGCTTGCGAGACTGCAGATCTTGCAGCGTCTTCTCGAAGTACTTTAGGTTCCTTTGTGCATCGCGAACTTGCGAGTCGATACGCGAATTGACCTGGCTGTTGTTTGTGGCCTGTCGCATGGAGTTGAAGCCGGCGATCAAGGTCTTCTCGCGCTCAATCTTGCGACAAAGGTCGCTGATGGCGGCATCCTCGTTGTTGCTCATGGTTGGCGTCGTCTAACAGGCATACACCTTGCGGGTGCAGAAGCCGCACGCGATGTGAGGGGATAGGAGCGCGCGCCGGAATATCACCGACCAAACGCGAAAGAGAGATGGGCTCCCTGTACGAAGGCGACAGGAGGCGAAAGTCGCGGTAGGGCGAAGGATGGTAGCAATGGGTCAGTGTGTTGTTGTTTTGAAGAATGAGGAGGAGAGAAAGGATGTGGCTTGAATGAGGGCGAGGCTTTGGCTGGCTTGGGCTTGGGTCGGGCTTGGGCTTGAGATGTTTTGGTGGAGAATCTAACGAGCGGAGACAGCAGCCTTGAGTGGGTGCTCTCGGCTCGACTCTTCTTTAGCTAGACAGAATGTCGGTCAACGGCGACAAGATTGTCTGGCTGGCACGAGAAAAAGAAGAATAGCTAAGCAGATCAATTGCCGATATGCGAGACAATTGGGATTGGGGATGTCACTGTCGCCGTGAGGGCGAAGAAATTACGACACGCGAAAACAGACTGGGAAGGATTCTGGCAGACGACAACCTCAAACAGAGCTTCCAACTTTCGTGTTATTGCGGCCGGTGGACTGCGGCCATCATCACGATGCGCTGCAGCCTGCACATGCTCGATCCATCTTCTGACTTTTGTTTGTTGGGACAACTTGCTCCCACCATATTATCCTCTGGGCATGCAGCTTCGACCTTTCAATTCTTTTATTCCGCAGCCTGTTCCGCAGGCTGTTCTTTCCTCATGATGATACGCGTTCTTCCTAAATATCCCCTCGTTGCTTCCGTTCCTCTCCACTCCTCGGCACTTTGCGATCTGGAAGTGATGTCAAGAATATACTTTGCGACCACCCTTCAGCCACAACATCCCGTTTGACTGCGCCTCATGTGAATATTGCCAAAGGTAAAATCAAAACATCAACAATAATTGAGGGGCGTATGAGCAACTCTTCGGATTTGCAAGCACAAGCCTTGACCGTCGACTGCTCACCAGGCAAATTTTTGCCCATTTGCAATGGTGGGGTGATTGAAATTTGGACTCGGCCAGCTGCTCTGTCGTTTGTCGATACATGGTCTCTTTGTCACGATCGCTTGTTGCTGACATCTTTACTTCCGGCTCGACTTGGATTTTACATTTTTTGCGGTACCATGTGCATTTGCTATATCGAGCCTAATGGAGTACCTGCTTCTGTACTTTCCTTTATTTACTCAGCACCAGGCATACTTTTCGTTATCAAGCCATTGAACATCATCCACTGATCCTTCTCCATACCATCTCAAGCTCGCAATACTGTCTTTTTCGCGGTGAATGACTTGTGCTGCTGAGTCCAATTGCTTTGCAGCCGCCAAAGTTTCCGCGGTCGGATTCCATACGTCAACAGAGCCCATATGCCATTTGCTGGCATCCGCTTGGGCTGCAGCCAACAGTGATGCAATGGCTGCAGTCACATATGTACCCTTTGCTTTCTCCGCACCTTCATCTGAAGCTGCAGACAAGTCGGTATACTCAGGATCCTCCACGACGAGTCGAAGGATGTTCATCGTGTTGTCTTTGGTGATTTGAAGGTCGCTGTTGTACCATGTGCGCATCCATACACACCATACCCGCTTGCCTTTCTCGCTGCCGACAATGGCTCCTTTGACTTCAGGGGACTTTCCGAGCAGCTCATTTCCAACGTACTCCTCACGAGCATGGTGCCATGAAAGGGTCTCCACATCAGGTACAATCGAAGCAAACGTCTTGCCTGAAGACGCTACATTGGCGAGCTTCTTACGCACCAGCTCCAAGTCAGTATCGCAGAGTTCTGCCAGGTCGCTAGCGTACAAAAGCTTTGCCTCCGGCAGAGAGTCGTGTTTAGGATGGCTCGAAGGAGGAAGCGAGACGTGGGCCGACGGGAATGGTTTCCATTGATGCGAAGCATAGAATTGCTGTCAACGTGAGCATAGATTATAGATGGCCAAGATTCGATGACAGAACTCACCTTGCCAATATCAGAATACAGTACACTGAACAAGCAATCGTGCCCATCTGTTTGCCAGTGGTGCAACTTCTCTCCCAAATCTTTAATCATTCTCCCAGCATATCCTTTACCACGATAGTCTGGAGGACAGAAGACACTAGCCACGCCATGACATATAACTTCCTTGACTTGTCCATTCTGCGCGACAAGAGCTTTCTTGCGAATAGTCTCGCAGCTCGAAAGCACAGCACGAGGATTGCCTTCTTTTGTCACCAACGCCCAAGGCGTGAGACCGCCAGCACGGACTAACTTTTGTTTCCCGAGATGTTCTTCTCTACCGAGGTATGCGTCGAGAGATAATGGGCCTTTCCATTCTATGCTGTTTAGTCTGGTTTGTTGTATGGCTTCCTCGTGGGTGAGTTGGTCGAGCTGAACTTCGGAGCCCTTGGCATCAGGCAGCTGGGCAGACATGGTGCGATGTTTATCTCAATGACTTTGTACCCTTGGGAATGATGCTTGAAGAGGTGGTTCTGGGTGGTGAGTAAGCAACCTGCTTGGCAGGTCATCGGTAGGGCGCCAGCGTGTTTGGATGCAGGCCCAGCACTTTTGCAAACAGCGTCATTGCTTCGCTTCGTGTTCAAGTCTTGGAACGGTGACATTGGACCAGATTGCATGCTGAGTTGCACCGCAAAGGACACAAAAATTATTTGATTTCCTATGTACGGTTCGATTTGAAGCCGGGCTTGCCAGAGACTTCGTCAAAGAAATTCGAAATCATTCTTCTCCTCAAGATCGGCCTAATGCTCAAGAGTTGATAGGCATTTCCAGTATGCGAGCCAGAACTCGGATACCTACTCGAAAGCCTTCATGACTTGTTCGTGCGAAATTCACACTTTGTCTACGGGTATAGTAATCTTGTTTGCGCCAAAGAATCACACGGATTCCTCGAGGACCTGTACAGAGCCCACGGCAATACCTCTGACTAGAGCACCTTGCTCAGAGTGAGGCCAGCAACATCAGGCATGTCTTGCTGTGCAGCAGCAGGTAGAGACACGACGACCGAAATGATTCCGCCCATAGCAATTCGTCAAGACTCTGCTTGTGGTTCCGGGGCCGCCTTCTTCGACAACGTAGTCAACGCCACGGCCAGAGATCAGCTTCTGCGCAAGCTGGAGACCCGTCATAGAAAGGCTCCCAGTGCCCAGTAGGGCTTCACGCATTAGCAGCTGTGTATCAAGAGCGGACGAGGCAGCGGAGGTATATGTGTCTTCAGCTATGGCAGATGACGTTTGATGCCATTAGCCGGTCGGAGGCGTACATATGCAAGATCCTGGTATGCTGATGTGTCCGATCAACGAAGTACTTTAGAATCTGTAGAGTTCGGAGCTTGGGATAACGAAGCATTAAGCTCTTAGCATTGAATTGCGCACCTTTCAGACTGTTGTTAGCACCAGATAACAGGTTAGGAACAACCTTCCGATGAGCATGCCTCGACAAAAGCGTCTTCTGCTCTGCATTAAAAGTTCTCCATGTTCTCAGACTGTAAAGAGCAATCTTCTTTGATGCTTGGAATAAGTCGATCGAGACAAAGGTTCGCAACGCTTATGCGCGCCAATAGCAGCCATACCCAGAACCACTTCTAAATTGCAAGGTTTGAGGCACATCATAGGGTTGTGGAAGAACAACAGACCTCGGTCGAGACCTGGGATGTGGATATCGATATAGTGCCTAAGTGAGTTGTAAGAAGGAGTCTGGTGGACAACGATGAATTTCCATCTTTAAATCTCGTGGTCTTCGATTTGGGATATGGTCATATTTCACCAGAGACTAATTGTGCCAGGAGTGCTTCTGACTGCTGAAGCTCCAACTTTCAGTCGTCAGCATTTGGTGTTAGTGACATAGGGACGCGGTTTTCTGTTAGATCCTGAGATCCACGAGCACGGCGATGGTGTCGTGTGGGTAGATCCTGCCTTGTGACGATCTGTCCACAGAAGCAGGCATATGCTCGTTCTTGAGTATTCGCCTTTCACAACCCAGCATCGGTCTTTCATTGGATCACATGAGATCAAACGTCAAAAGGCGGAAAACTGACTTGTGCAGAGTGTTGTGCTGGATCAAAAGAGTGTAGGCAGACCAACGCTTGATGCGGAAGCAAGCCCAAGACTTTTGCAAAACAGCGTCATGTCTCGCTTGACTGACGAGGGAGCTGAAGCTGCAGCCTCGACAACCTCGAACGCTCCTTCATCTGTTTTCACTCTGTACTTTTGCAGCATGAACCACACTGGTGGGGCGAGGCAGGCAAGTATAATTTCAAGGTTAGCCGCCTGCGACTTCATGTAATTCACGCCCTCTTCTGCGTTGCTGGCTGCCTCTTGTGACACGTAAACGCCGTCGCCGGCTGCCGGAATGACAAGGCTCCTCCTCTCAAGCACCTTCCCTGCTCGATGCCCGCCCTGTTCTTCAGAAGTCTCCAAAACCCTAGCAATTCCCTCGTACGTGCTCGGTGTCGAAGGAAATAGTCCCTACCTCAAAGCGAGTCTGTTGTGAAGTTGCAAGTTCGTTGAAGTTCCACCGACGCCCGCTGTATCAATGAACAACTCTCCGCTGTCGAGACGCCCTATCATCCTCGTGCCTTTCCAAACAATCGCCTCAACACCGTCGTTTCTGAAATCACATATACCTCCACGTTTTCACTCGTACTTTCGCTTGGCTCCTTTGCTGGTTGCTCGGTCGTGAATCTTGAAACATTCGAATCTTGGACGTCTAATACGTCCGTCCTTCTCAGCCGCGCCGAGTAATTCGTCCAACTCTCCTCAATTGCGCAGCCGTAACTCTCGTCCGTACAGCCGCAATACAGCACTGACCGGCGCCATAAGTCATGGCGCCCGGAAAGAGACCCCACGATGTCATCTCCATTCATTCGGATTCGAGTGAGGACGAGGACGTCAGATCTGCACGACCACACAAGATGGCACGCCATAACCATGTGCGATCAGCACCAATATACAACATGGACGACTGGCTTGAGCAGCACAACATGTCAGGATCAGCGCGCACTGTTTCCGTCAAGCGTGAGAGCCATGCTGTTCCACAGGCTCAAGCACGCGCACTCGCAACTACCCCTCAGACCATTGACAGCGGTGACCTTGACCTTGGCCCGCCCTTCCAGTTGGACTTCAATGAACTTCCATTGGCTTATGACGACGAGGTTTCTAATTCTCAGGACGATCCAATTGTCATCACCGACACTGCACCAACCCCTGAGCGCAGCCAATTCGACCAAATTCTTGAGGTAGTTCCTGACGTCTCCCATGACCACGTCTCCCAATTGCTCGACACTCACCACCACAATCTCGAACGAGTTTTGGGTGTACTGCTCGATAGCAAATATCCCAAGGAGAGCGAGAAGCGCGCTGCCGAAGAAGCAGCCAGAAAAGCTGCGCTGCATGACCAGAAGGTGGCCGAAGAAGCCGAGAAGGAAAAGTTGCTCAATCCTGAGTGCATCTTCTCGGGTAAGATGAAGGATGTCATGTAAGTGTTTTATGAAGTCTACTTATCCACGCTCGATCTAACAGGCTTCAGCATCGAGGTACTCAAGAACGAGTTCAACACAATACCTGTCAAGTACATCAAGGAGGTTCAAAAGGATAAGAAGCATCTCTATCCTACCTATCTGGCTCTCAACGAAGCGAAGCATACCGATCCTTGTCCATATGGCAAAACTCCCTGGAGACCTCTCAGAGATATCAACTTCGATCTTCTCCAAGCCACCAAACACCAAAAGGCCAACATTTCCGTGCTCAAGGAGCAGTTCGAGTCTGCCCAAAAGGCTGTCATTGAAATAAATCTTCAGCGCCGCAAGAAGAACACGCAGAAGATAAAGGAAGAAATGGAGGCTGCCGCAAAGGCCCGTGAGGAGCAGTCGGCTCTGGAGCACGCCAAAGCCACCGGCACTGTCGTTGAATGGCAAGTCATCATTGCTCGATCATGTCCGCACCTGCTTCAACTGCTAACCCTACTGCAGTGTTGCTTGCTATGACGAGTATGCTCCCAACAAGATCATCAGATGCAGCTCGGAAGACAAACACCCTGTATGTCTTGACTGCATGAAAACGTATCTTGAATCCGAAGTCGGGCAGTGCAGTCTCAAGCTTACTTGTCCCGGTGGCTGCGACGACACCTTCTGCGAATCCCAACTTCGTCTCGTCCCAGGTACCGATGCACTCATAGACAAGCTCATGCGCCTCCGTCAAGAAAACGACCTTCGTTCTGCAGGTATTGACGATGTCGAGGGATGTCCCTTCTGTGACTTCAAGACTGTCTGTCTTCCTATCGACGTCGACTTTGAATTCCATTGTCAATCTCCGACCTGCAGCATCACCAGCTGTCGTAAGTGCAAGGAGAGGACGCACATTCCCGATTCCTGTGACGAGAACCAGCGCAAGCGTGACAAAGAGTCTGCTCTTAGCCACCGTCACAGAATCGAGGAAGCCAGAAGTAAAGCTCTGATTCGCAATTGCAACAAATGCAAACAAGCATTCATCAAGAGCGATGGATGCAACAAGATGACCTGCTCTCAATGCGGCAATTTGCAGTGTTATCTTTGCGGTGTGAATGTGACTGCTAACTACGCTCATTTTAACGCACCTGGTTCAAAGTGCCCTGTATTTTCTGAGACCATCAGTCTTGATGCCATGCATGAGCAAGAGGTTAACGCAGCCGCCGAAGCTGCACAAGCAGAGGTTCTGCGTGAGCATCCCGAACTTGACAAGAATGACCTCGACATCAGATTCTCAGACAGCACGCCTGGTATTGAGAAGCACATGCCTGATGTTAATCAGCCTCAGAATGTCCCAGCTGATCAGCCTCAAATGCCTCCAATCGACTGGCCGCAGCCCATGTGGGATGACGGATTTGAAAACTTGCTGTTCCGCGGAGAGGTGGCTCGTATGCGCCGCCGTCATCGTCCTGCCAATCCTCACGCTGCGCCTGCTCTTCATCCAGGAGACGAACATGCACCCAATCTGCCTCAACCACCTGCAGCTGATCTAGCAGCTGCCAGACAAAGAGCTGCTGCCGATGCCGCTGCCGATGCCGCTGCTGTTGCTCAGGCTGAAAGAGATCGAGCCAATGCCCAGCAACCCAATCCAGCTCGAGGTGGTCTCATGAACGCCGATCTTGATGAATTCGATTTTGGCTTTGACGCTCAAGCAGACGCCCACATACCCGGCTTCGAAGAGGACTACAACCATGGTTATCTGCATCAACCTGCTGCTGACTGGGCAGCAGGAAATGCATATTACCGCGCACATGGACACCATGATCTCGATTGGATGATGAACCCGGTTCAGCAGGCTCAGGCCAATGGAGCTCCTCACGTCCCTGCCGCTGATGCTCGGAATGGCAACAATTATCCTGGTCACCACGACATGGGATATGGCTATGCTTGGTAGAGGAGCTCCCACGTCATCCCGAAATGCCTGGACACACACACTCCAATCAGGCATATTTGAACGCACGACTGATTGACTGCATATTCTCGCTCTGGCTTAGACAAAGCGACATTTTTCCTTTTTTCAGTACAAGTTTCCTTATTCTATTTACAACATTGGCAGGCAGTCCAAGAGGCTCCTCGCTGTTCTTTCTCGTTTTCTTCATTAGCATGGCGCAGGAAGGCGTAATTCGCATTGTTCTTTTCGGGTTCATTCCATTACAGAGCGTGGCGGTGACTGTTTTCTTTTCTCGTAGGGATCGAAATTTCCTTATCACAAACGGAAGAAGAATGAGCTTTTTTCATCATGGGTTATTCTGCTTTCGTAGACTCGCCAGCTTTAAGCTCGGTCTAGCTATTTTTCCCCATAGAGAAAATTCTAATAGCTGTTTCATTTCTCGATTGTTTCGTTGTTACTAAATTCGATGATCTCTAGCAATCCAGACTGACGATTGCAGCACTACTCCATGGCACTTGCACTTTTACAATGCCCTTTCCATCGACCTTGACCTTTTCGCCACAAGTGACGTTGGACATTCTGACGCCTTTGCCGTTATCGAGTTCGTAGGCATAGCTGTTTGCATCCCAAGTGATCCCCGTGACTGCATCACTGCCATTCGCCATTAATCTCTGCACATCTCCACCTTTACACCCTTTGGGCAGCATAAACTCATGTTCCACCACGGGCCTTGAGAAGCCAGTAGTATAGTTGTTTGCAGTCGTGTTGTAGGTGTGCAAGTCAACGATCAAGATACGTGAGAGGGTGTCGTTGATGTGAGCGGTATAGAAGGACGTATTTTGAGACGAAGCTTCCAGATGAGTGATTTGCAAAACAGAAGATGTAGATGGTTTCGCCATCATAGCTGCTACAGCCAAGTTGCCGTAGTAAGGAGGTTTGGTGCCTTTGGTGGTGAGGTTCGTTTGAATGGGTTGCCAGGACTGGTAGCTATTTGCCATCTATCAGTCTTTCATCTTCTAGGTGAGCTCAGAAAGGTACAAGTTCTTACCGATAGTTGGTTCCTTGATGCATATGCGAACGACTGATATTCTGAGACGCAAGATAGAGATTCCAATCCACACCCCACAGAGCAGCCCCAAAAGTATTAGATAAGCCCGGGCGTCCTTGTCTTGCTAGACTGTTATGTTCACCAAGTATAAAAGGAACTTTGGGAGCTAGATCCCCTCCCAAAGCTGCGATGTTTCTTGACACGTTGACTTGGGCTTCTGCTTTTGCGATCACATTGGTATGATTCATGAGTGTGCCTTGTAGAGTGATGCCAGGGAAAGTGGAAACACCCATGTAGTTGTGGGAAGAGATGATGCCGATACTATGATCTGCGTTTAGATCGTCCGCGAATACTTTGACAGGGTCAAGGGTATTGTAGCCATTAGCACCCACACCGGCCATACTCGGTGCCATAAACTTTGTGCCTTTCAGAGAAGGACAAGCTGACTTGACGACTTGATCAATCTGCGAAGTTCCATTGAGCCATTCGGCAACATAATCGGCATCGGAGTAGTTCAATGGACGGTATCCTGATGCATGGAAGAGATCGGGTTCGTTGCCGTATTCCCAGTAATCAAGGTTTTCTCCAATGGCTTTGCAGGCATAGGCAGCAGAGGCAAAGGTAGCTGCTCTACTGGCCGAATAGTTGGCGCCTAGATTAAAGCCATGCGTGTATCTCATTCCCTTGGGCATAGTCTTGTAAGAGTCGAAGAAGGAAGGACCGATGGTGATGATGGTTGGGTAGTCGGCTGAGATGTTTGGACGTATGACACCGATAAGACCGGTCTTTTGCGAAGCATCGAAAATTGCAATGTCTCTGTGTTTGATCATGAGGAAATGTGGTACTATGCTTGAAAACTATGGTGGGTTCTTACTGAGTGTTGCCTCCTACACGAGCAATGGGCATGGAGCCTTGGAGTTGCCCAATATTGTTCAGTAGGTTGTAAGAGAAAGTGTTCGGGTGAGTGAGATTCCCTGACATTCAACAATCATCAACAGGCTGTCTTTCGATTCAAACAATGATTAGGCAAAGCATACCAGCAAAATCCGGCCATGAAGACAGCTCAAACGAGAACGACACAAACGAGTCCAAAGGTATACCAGCATTGCTAGGTGGGCATTGAGAAACAACAATGGGCTTTGGTCTGGAAGGCAGGTTGGCACCTTCCACTTCTAACCAAGCCGCAAGGCACCAAACGAAGAGAGAGTGTGTATTGGGGAACATGTTGTTTGCTTTGAGTCTGTCTATATGCTATGACCATCCATATATGATTTATACAATCCATCGGTAACGGAAAGCAGCGGCCGAAGCATCATCTGGCATCTAATCGCGTGATCCGAACCGTATACGTCGCATACTGCCTGGGAAGATCTGCAAATCATTGCGGAGTGTGCAGGTTGATGATGCGGGGAGAAGGTGGGGTTGAAGTTGCAACTGCCCTATTTATCCGTAGTCAGTTCTTGTCAACCTCGTAGTAAGTGACCGGGACCACTTATAGAAAAAACAATGAGCCACTCAATTCCGAAGAAAAGAGTGGCATAGCGCACAATGCGCTCCAGACAGCCCCACCTCCACTTTCCGTCACCACACAACATCCTGATTGTTCAACCTTCAACTCCCGAGAAAAGCTCATCGAAGTACCGGAGCGGTGTTTCTCATCATTGCCTTGCCTTGTCCTCTGCACACGGCGGCGTTTGAAATGCGTCACGAGGGAGTCGAGCAGAGTCGAACTATATAGCAGACAAGCCGGAACTTTGATCCTCACTCGAGAGAGGTCCCGCACGTATGGCTCAGCAGCTGCACTTCTCCATTGATCGACATTCAAAGCCGTGGGTGAGTGCATTGGAATCAAGGCACGACTCGAGGAACACCTGAGCTCTTCTTTGAAGCATCTTCTCAGTAGCCAGAGGCTTGCAATCAAGACAGAGGTGTGATGGGGTCAAGCTTGAGAAGAACCATCGCTGTTCCTCAACCCTGTTCGGCCTTGTTCAGATTCCTGTGATCGGCCTGATGTCAGCTGGCTCATAGACTTCACCGCTTCACCAGACTCCCAAAACAACTCTCATGATTCTCACACTCCAAAATTCCCTCTCAGTATGTTGTAGCGTTCTTCTCAGAGACAAGTCTTTGGTTTACCGTCCTAGCCAGCAGGAAGCCAGCGTTGGACAGCATTGGTGCGTGAGGACGCGAAGTGGACAAAGTACATCTGTAAAAACCACTTCCATCTTCCGAAGCATGAGTTGCTTGAGGAAGGTATGATGCCTAACAGACACTGATAAAGATACTGCAGGCGGGTGTATCGGCGCTCATCGTTGTCTCGGCAGTTGAAGCAAAGACTGATGATTGACGCGGCTGGCCAGAACAATGACCAAAGGTCAACTCTACCGATAGCTGTTGCTGTTGGCAGAGGCTTTTTGGCTGTGGTTGCGGACCGCGGCGGTATGAAAGATGGTCGTGCGAGCACGGTAGAGCTTGTGCGGGAATCTTGGTTCACTGCTCGACAAGTTGTAGACGTGCAGAGCACTGATCATTGATGCGTACTAGATTCCACTTCTTTTGGAACAGAGACGAGCATTGGGAGTACACCAACCACGTCCAAGGTATTCAAAAGCGGACAAGACGCTACAGAAGCCGGAAACTTTGACATGCCATGAGAAACTGCACCATCTCGTACCTCTGTGTGTGGCTTGACAATCTCGCTACGCAGCAAAGTGCGATTCCGACAAGTATTGTACAAGCATATGATGAGGCACGAGAGTTGGCACGGTCTGTTTGGAGAAGCATGATCAAGCTCTTTCTGCAAAGTCTCGGCCACTCCTGAATCACCAAGGTTGCAGGCACGGAATGCTCATGATGTTTCCCATGGTCGTCCAAGTCCAAGTGGAGATCTGGTGTTGCTGAACAGATTTCCAGAACACCTTCTGCACGAGCAACTGGAACACGTGTAAGATCCCAAAGACGATCCTCAGACGAGGTGCCCGACAAGCTTTCCCATCCCCTCCGAAGGCAGTCCAGAACGGCAGACCAGAAAAGCTGTCCGTAGGTGACCAGAGCATGTTTGTGCCAGCAGCAAAATCGACGCGCGCCCTCTCCGAGAGTCTTACCAAAACGACGCATGATGATGCCCCGAGACGTCGATGACTCTATTCGTTTCCAATGCTGCAGTGTCCTCGCGAGAAGACGAAAGCTGCGCTGGTGTACTAATCGAGAAATCGGCAACTTCCTGCAAAGGACCGCGAGACTGATGAAACCGATGTATGGCTTAGGGTTAAGTTCCGAGGAAGATGCCCATCTGAAGTGCTTGAAACCAACAACAGTCAGGGAAACCATGAGACCGTGCTGTGAGGCTCGGGATTATGACTGTGTTAAAAGCGAGCAACAACAAACAGCTCGAAAGATAGCGACCATGACAGTCGCTAGACCTTCCTCGTGACTGTGGAGAGAGTGAGACGCGTGGTGTGTGTTGAGAGGGACATCAGAGAAGCATGAGATGAGAGTTTTCTGAGAGCCTGAATCTGCGATGTCAGCAGTCATATGACCAGATCTTCAAGGTCGAGGAATATAAATTTGGCACGGCAGAAATCGAAAAACAGCTTGTGTGAAGAAAGGAGAGTTCGCACCCATAGCTTTCTCAAAACATCACGGTGGCTGGGCAGACGCGCCGGGAATGCCAAGACTTCGCGAGACGCTTCAATCGCATGTTTCAATCACGTTGGCAACGATAACATTGTGCTTCAATTAGATTCCCATCCACGGAGAGCACATGCAGTCATATTTTCCTTTATTTCAGTATATGTTACAGTACATACAACAAGACTCGATCTTGCGAAGACCATCTCGAGAGGGAAGAAAGGGTATTGTTCGTTAAAGGAAGATGAAGAAGGAAAGAAAAAGAAAAGAAAATGTCGCACAAACATCAAGACAGATATACACATCACTTTTCTACACCTGAGGCGCTATAGGGGTACTGTGAGCCCCACCATTCTCTTCACCAGCTGCAAAGGCTTCTGCAGAGTGCAGAATCTTTTTCTTGCCGTTCGCCTTGTAGTGGAGCAAAACGTCACCGCCGCCTCGCCAGATATGTGTTCGGATGGTCGCCAATGTCATTTTCGCTGGGATGAGTTGGTTGTTGCAGTAAAGCTCAAGGTATTCTTCGGGAGCCATGGCTGTGGCAGGGTCTTGTGCGGGCTCGATGCGGTCAGCAACATAGCCTAGAATCTTACGAGCGCGCAGCATGCGGTTGGCATTGAGTCGATTATTGCTGGGAAAGACATGTCAGTATACATTCAAGAGTAGAAAGTTCAAGGCAAACATACCCGTCTGCAGCGATGCTTGGCAATGCATTCTGCCATGGTTCGAGCACGAAACTGATCTTGACTAAATCCTTGAGAGGAATCTGGTTACGCAATAGTGCATCACCGAGCCACATTGGAGCAACCTTCTCAATCAGGTCGGCCATCTCACCTGTACTACCAACCTTGCCCTCGAAGAGATCTGCTACACCACCAGCTTCTGGTCGCTCTTCCTGAATCAGGATGGTTGTGTTTGGAGGCGGCTTCAACACTGGCGTTTCGGATGGCAGAGAAGGCACGATCGAAGTAGGCAGCTCGAGCTCTTTCGACTGTCCCAGTGCACCTCCTGCAGCGTCTACAGCAGCAGCTCGTTGAATCTGCGCCTGCAAATGGTCCTCATAGGCGAAACGAATCTTCTGAATGCAACCAAGGAAGTTTTCATCGACAATACGAGAGTTACTATTGTCAGACGAGCTCTGTGTGTCAGCCTCAGTCTCTTCCTTGGTCTCTTCAACGACAGCAGGCTTAGTATCCTTTTCGTTTGTGGGAGGCTTTCCTAGCTTTTTCATGTTGAAAGACATGTTCATACGTAGACGTTTGCCAAACTTCGAAGGCGTGTCGCTCGCCTCGGTCGTCGAGGCGTCTTCTGGCATTGGCGTGGTAGCAGCTTCTGTAGGGGTTTGAGGCACAAGCTTTGTATCGCCGTTCGCATTTGTAGAATTTGCTACCGTAGAGGCTGAGAAGTAGTCACCCCCTATCGATGACCTATCTTGTGTACGTTCACCATCTTCAGATGTGAACGCATCCCTTGTCAAGCTCGGTGAACCAACATAAGACGATGCTGTGTCTGTAATGGCCAATCCAGGGGTCGCAAAGCCAATAGTATTGGTGTTTGTCGGTCTCAAAGTGTTGGTTGTTAGGGGAGCTGACGGATCAACTTTCCAGCCGTCTGTCATCGCGGGAGGCATCTGAATACTAGTAGGTGCATTTTCACGCTCCAACTTTTGCTTTTGTGCTTGTTCCAAAAGGTGCCTTCGGTACTGCGAGTCTCTAGATATCTCTTCGCTAATCAGGTTTGCAAACAGATAACGAAGGATCCACTTGCCAAGGTTGATGCGCTGATCTTCCTTGAAATCAATATGTTGCTCAATGTCGAGCTCATCTGCGTACATCTCGGCATCAAAGGCTGTGTTTTCTTCCAAGGTGATGGCCAAGGTTCCAGTTCGGGTATCGACAGAGCACCAGTTAGGTACCGTCTCGACTGTGGTAAGCTCTGGCTGAACATCCTCAAGATGTTTCTTGCCAAACGACTTGATGGGAACACACTTCAACAGATCCCACAGCAAGACTTCGCCAGCAGTATCCTGAGTCAGAACACGTTTGCGGTCGTTGAGCATGATGTGTTTGACCAAACCGTTCTGTCCTTCGATAGCAAAATCTGGTGTGTGTCTCAAGGGGTGTATGTGCTCGACATGGTCATCCTCGGCGTCTGGGGCGGCCTCTCTTGCAGTTGGTCTGGGGAAGTAGACGGCATTGCTCATTCGGAGTACGTGTTTGAGAGGTATGCGCTTGCCGGATGGCGGAGGTGTGGTGGGAGAGGTGGCTTGCGGTGGTGAGGCTAGTCGGTCAGAAGACGAATTGACAGGTGGACTAGGGATTCTAGAGCGGGAAGTGGACAAGCTGAAGCGGTGCTGCTTGTTGGTGTCAGGTAGATCGATCTCGGCACCATCAATGTTGACGTCGGCCCATCTGTTAATGGTGGGACGAGGAGTGGCCGTCCAGATGTAGTCGCCAGCGACAGCGAGCTTGTGTACCGCAGTGCCTTCCTGGCAGATTGCAACACTAAGACCCTCTTCCAGCTCTTCACCGCAGCCTCTGGTGTCGGTCTTTGCTACCATACCGCTCTTATCAGACGAGTAGAAGACGGAGAGGTCTGGATGGTCGGACCACAGAGACCAGACGCTAGCGTCGTGCATGGTCAGAGTATTTGTGCAGCGACCGGCAGTGACACTCCACACCTTGACCGTCTGGTCCGAACAGGCAGACATGACAGTGGAGCCGTCTTGACTGATCAAAATGTCGCGCACAATGTCTGTGTGACCGACGAACTTTGTGATGCGCTTGCCAGAGCGCGGATCCCAGATACGCACATTGCTATCAGGACCTCCACTGGCAAGGATGGAGTGTGTGGCCTTCAGAGCGTAAACGCTTGCCTTCTCTTTGCTCAAGCCTGTCAAGCTCTCGTCCTCGCTGACGTCAATGCTGAGTGTTTGACCTGCACCGTTCAGATCCCAGAGACGAATACGGCGATCCAGACCTCCACTGGCAACCCACGACGCGTCCGAAGAAGGAGAAGCCAGCACCTTGACGTAGTCGCTGTGCAAACCAATCGTCTGGGGCGGCATCGAGTCGGTAGCAGCGGGACGCCATACTTTGACACTGATGTCTGACGAGGCCGATACCAAGGCTTGGTTGGACTGGGCGAGGACAAGGTCACTGATCCAGTGGGTATGCGCTTGGACTTGGTTGTGCAGGGTCGAGGCGGGTGATGGGGGAGGCTTCGCGTCGATGGCTGTGATCTGGTCCGACTTGTGGTTGACTTCGAAGTTGAGGTCCCATGCGCAGATGACGCCGTCGCGTCCTCCAGAGTAGCTGCGCGAGTAGAGTGTCAGTGATAGGCATGAGAAGCTACTGGGCCGGGTACGTACAGGATGGAGTTGTCGCTATCTACGGCGAGGCCGTTGACACCGAGACGATGCCCTCCGGCCGAGTTTGTGAGAGGCAGCACATAGCTGATCCTCTGGCGCGCCTTACGAGCCATGTCCACTACTCTGGCATGTACGGACTATTGTCGACGACACCTCGTAGTCGAATGCCCCGGCCCCGAGCGACTGACCCTCGATCTGCCAAGACGTCCGGCAGTTTCCCCGCCCAGGTCCAGATCGACATGCGGAGAGACGTGTCGGTTGTGTCTGTGTCTAAACCCCGACGCTAGCCGCCTTTGTGCAATCCAAAAACACAAGGGAAAACAAGACAGTTTGGAACAGTTCATCAAGCGAACTCGTGTTCATAGAATGGTTAGGTATGCTTGGTTGTATACACATTAAAAAGTATCGCCCTTTTTCTTTTCTCTGCTCCTGCAAACGCCTTGCTCTTCGCTACCGCGATAATCAAATGTCCATCCATGCCTCATGGTCTCATAACTCCAGAATGCCCACACGACTGCGTTCACTTTGCATGCGGTGTCAGAGCCTCTGAGCCCGTCGCGCCGCTAGAAGAAGTGCCCTGAGCATGATCGCCCACTGACAAATTCTTCAACGACTCTGTCGGTGGCTCAACTGCTCCTACTCTGCGCTCCATTTGTACTTTGTGGTAGCGCGATGATCCAACCACCGGACCGTTGGGCGCGCGCATGCGGAGCCCATTGTCTGCGGGGTTCTCGCAGCCAAAGTGGAACGGCTGAGTTTGACCAGCCAAATACATCATGTCATCGAGTACAGGAGGGTGGACCCAAGTCGTCTCTGTTGTAGGAATGCCGTTGCGCACGTACTCCTTGTAGTCGCCTTCAGTTCCAGGGAACTCTCTGGCTGTGAAACGAAGTGGCTCTCTAAAGAAGTTCGAATCTTTGGGAAGCTTGGACAGCATCTCGCCGATGAACCACTGCTGATTGTAGCCGGATCTACCAGGAATCTCATCTTCAGAAATTTCCATCAGCTCGTCGCCATTTCCGGTAGGTACGAAGTGCCTCGCTGGAAGGACTTCAATATCAATGATAGGCAGGATGCGGTGGTAGACGTCGTGGTTGTGGATTTCACGGGTGATAACTTCTTCGCGAATGTGGTGGACCTGAGGTCTGACAGTTTCGTGTGTGACAGCTGAGAAGAGTCAATGGGTGTCATTCCTCTACATGTTAGTCCAAAACTTACCTGGAGCCCAAGTCTCGGTCACATCAGTGTCCACTGTGTTTCTGAGGTCTACGACGCCTTCAAGTAGAGGAGCAGCCGGAGCGTCCTTGACAATGTAGTTGTGATCCTTGGGAAGGAACTGTCCGAAAGCTGGATCATCGCTCAAAGCTGTTTGCTTTGGTGGCACTGGCAGAGGCTTGTCCATGCTAAGTCTCGATCTCTGCTTGGTGCTCGCGACACTGCCCCTTCTGCCGTTGACGTCCTGCACAGTCTCAGAGCCAACGGCCTTGCGCGAAACTCCAGTCTGGCCAATTCCAGCCATTGGAGCTGTAGAGTAAGATGATGTTGAAGACTGTCGCGATTTGTCGGCAACCGATTTGTTGACATTGAGCGGAGCTGGCGCGTGGGTAGGACTTGGCTTCTCAGCATTCATGATGTTCCAATCAGCAACGTCTTCTGAGTACCTATCAGATTTGCTTGAAAGTGGTTGAGAAGCAGTGTTGTTGTGATTGAGATTGATCACATTGGAACTTCTGCGAGCTTTCTCCTTGGCTGCCATTGTTTCGGCATCCTGCGAGACTCTAGGGCGGGCGATTGCCTCATCCTTGTAAGTGCTGGGAACTGCAGGTACGCTTGGGGCCTCGCCAGCATCAATCTGACGCTGATCAAGACTCTTGCGCTTACTGTCAAGACTCTTTCTGTCGAGACTTCGTCTACCAATTGAGTCGTCTGCAGCAGGGGCAGATTTGCGATCAAGCGACCTTCGAAGCTTGGATCGGGATCTTGCAGGAGACGCTTGCGAAGGCGAATCTGTCACCAAAAGTTAGCCGCCTTTGTTCACTTTCCATCACAAATTGCTGAAATTCCGTACCCACGCTTGTACTTGCTCTCCCACCCTGCTGGGGGCTCACACCTTGCGAAGTGTTCTCATAGCGAGATTGGCGATTGGGACTGCTTGGAGGTGTTGATTCGTCATCGTGCCTGTGCAACAAGCTCTTGATCTTTTCACGAAGCGGCATGTTTTGACAGGCGGTTGTCGCGATGCGTGCGGGGGAGCAACTGGCCAACTAGAGGGTCAAGGGAAAGATGGGATCAATATGGCTGCGTAGGGTGCGTGCTGCGCTGTAGGATGCTGGCGGATACGATGTCACGACCGCCGATTCGGGTGTTTCGCTCAACGTCATATTATGCCTTTCTCAATAATAGGAAATCTCACGCCACACGCTAACTCATCCGTCGCTGCCCTCGGTGCTCGTGGCGTCGGCTGGCGATGCTATGTTTCTTGCGCCAGCCTGCAGTCCATGTAACTACGTTTTGATGACACAAGTCGTGTTGTTCGGAGCCATCTCGAGCTCTCCACCGGCCCCTGGCAACAATCTAGATGCTTGCTGCAGCTCTGGTTCCTGTCATACGGCTGCCTTTTTTTTTGCCCTACTACAGGGCTCAATCCCTGCATCCCAAATCTCGTACACCCATCACCCATGGATACGCGTGCTTGTAACGTCCCAATGTTTTCCTGTTCATGCAGAAAAGCTGTTGAACTCTGCTGGAAGCTCCAAAATTTTGGAGCTGTCTCGATGATGCTATGTGACCTAGTGAAAACGGTGTGAATTGCGGGGCATCCTGGAAAACATGAGCTCTGTGCTCTTGGCCACCTCTTCCGCCATCTCTTGCTTCCATGATCGATGATGATGTGCGCGCTTGATGCGCTTTCCAGCGGTTCTTAAATCACGGGCCGTCAAAGCTTCGATGCAGATACGCCATCACGATCCGAGCTTCGCGTCTGGTTCAGGATGGATCTGGCTACGCATGCAGCCAATGAGGCTGTGTTTCGAAGCGAGCGTGCTGAAATGATCGATACAGGGAGGTCGTGATTGCCAAAGCGAGCAGGTGCAATCAGGAAAATGGTCTTAACGTGAATGGGCGTGTTCTAGACAGAAGACGTCGCAATTAAACTATTGGCTTCCATGGTCGATCATTGCATGAATGGGCGCGTCGATCAAGCCCCAAGCGCTGGAGCTCGTGGGCCCTCGGGAAAAAATGTACACGCATATGTTTTTGCTGTTCCAACCCACTATACGTTCTCTCTGAGCATCCGACAGGCCGATGTTGAGGCTCTGCGACCTTCTGGGCGTGCAAGTCTAGGGTAATAATGCAGAAATTGGAAAATGTACCACAAGCGTGTACTAGCCACAACGTCGATGCTGCAGCGTCATTTGGTATGCAGCCAGCCTTATGCTAAAGGTGCATGTCCATCAACTTCCCTGGCTATCCGCGGGATATAGCGGGGTCGAGAGCTTGGAGCACCGCCACAAGGTGAACCAAATCGAATCTGACGGTTCGGCAGCCCCGGGTCGTGAGCGCTGGTACGTAGGTTTTGGCGATGTTTTGCACAAAGATTGCTGGAGGTCGGTGCAAGAACGGGTCCGAGAGTCAAGACACGACAGCTATGAGATCACTAACGGCTCTCATCATGAGCAGCCCACTCCACACTGTGGCTTCTCGGCCAACTAGCGAACGAGGTTTACGCCAGCATGATCACATGTGTGGCTCACTGTCGGTTTAGCCACCGTTGTGGGAACGAGTAGCAAGCAGGCTGGAGCAGGGCAGGCGCCAGACAGGCCAATCGTCAGATCTGGTTATTCCTGCCTTGTAAAATGACACGGATGATGTCAACACAACCGTGAGCTCCTTCCTCCTCGACCTTACAAAAAGAGACCCCTTCGACGTCTCCTCCCCGTCTTTCTTCTCCTCATCAACACATCTTCCATCCAAACAACAATCCCATCTTCATCTTACAACCACTTTCCCATTAAACCAATCACATCAAACATCACAATGGACTCCGCAAAGGCCGCCGTTAAGGAATTCATGTAAGTGCATCACTCACTGCATTCAGATCCATCATCACTGTTTACTCACACATTTACCTCAGGTCCAAGTCTGGACACCACGACACCACTGTCCACGAGAAGGTCGCTCCCGCTGTCACCCACGAGAGCCACCAGCTCCAGCAGCACGAGCAGATCCAGACTGCCATTGACAAGGAGGTTCACCAGGACCACTACCACACTTCCATCCAGCCCATCAAGGACCGTGAGGTTCTCCCCGAGCAGCACCACCACAACCTTGCCGCCGTTGAGCACCGCTCGTTCGAGCACGGCAACGACGCTCAGGTTAAGGAGCGTCTCGCCGCTGAGGCTGCCCAGTTCAGAGATGAGCGCACCGAGCTCGAGGCTGTGCACTCTAAGTCGATTGCACCCACCATCGGCGGTGAGCACATCCACCACCACGTCCACGAGACCATCCAGCCCGTCGTCAACAAGGAGACCATCGAGCCTCACGTTGTCCACACCACCGTCCCCATCCACGAGGTTCACCACAACGCCGCTCAGCACCACACCGCATCTGCTCTTCCTGCCGTCTCCATGGCCGACTTTAAGAAGCAGGGTGGTGTCCTGACTGGCCGCGAGGAGCGTTACGATGGCTTCGAGGGTGAGCCCCGCACTGTTGGCGGCGCCCACACTTCCACCACTGGCACTGGTCTCACCGGCTCCAGCACCACCGGCCGCGAGACCCTTGGTGAGCGTGTCCGCGAGGGTGAGGCTGACCTTAAGGCTGGTCACCACCACTCTACTACTGGCACCACCGGCACTGGCTACGGCCGCGAGTCTGAGGTTGACCCCAAGACTGGCAAGCCCTCTCTCATGGACAAGCTCAACCCCAAGAAGGATGCCGACCGTGACGGCAAGGCCGGCATGATGGACTAAATGTCTCGCCCTTCCTGTTCTCATTGATACCACTACTTCTTTGACTTTGAGATGATCGTCTTTTCACGACCTCTTTCACGATTATGATGTTGCTTTCAGCGCTAGGGGTCCACAGCAGTCCTGTAATATACATAACTCCTCGAAAATAATCCTAGTTTCCTATTTTCATCAACACTTGCCGATTTACTTTCCAGTGTGATGTGTCTTCCACGTACTCATTCTTCTCACTGTCCTTGCTTTGATAAACGTATCCTTTTGCATCTTGTCGCAGCATCCATTCGGCGAGTGTATTCGGACGATTCATGTGCATCCGTTATCGTGGTGGATTCTTGCCGTCGTCATTGACAAACAAGTCCTCATTGCTCGTCCCAAAAAGTCAGTAGTACTTGTGTTATTGTCGAGATGTGGTTCAAGCTCTGTAGCAATCAATGCATGTCGTCCAAGTCATGTCGTCGGGATAGCGCATTGACCTAGTGGCGCCCATGGACTTGAGCCTCAACTGTGGCTTTGTCGAGTCTTATTCTATCGACATGGGTATGGTCACAAATATGTGCGGCTACTCCTCTCAAATTATCTGTCTCTCAAGTAGCAATTTCTTACCGTCGGAGAGATCTGTGATTCTCCTATCATGCATAGATACTACCTCTGTGTTTGTCCCTGTCGAGCTCATCCAAGCTTTTGGTTGTGGACCAGGATTTCCAAAAGTCCGATGCCAAATCACAAAATTGACTGTAGTACCCTCAATATCGCGCGAAGACAGCTGTGAGTCTCAGCATATATGCTGCTCATGTTTAAGAACACACCTGAAATGTATTGAAGCATTGAACCACATGTGTGGTGGACCTATCTCGCTCATGGTCATTTCGACAATGGCAGAGGGGACGACCCTGTCAAGCATGATATGCATTGTTGGCAACAAGAAGCTCATGCATCGCAAACGTCAGATGGCAACAAAGAGAGTCTGAAGCCATCCTACCAGCCATCCGAAACCCGTTTCCCAGCCACCCTTTTCTCTCGTGGGGTTTGCGACATCAGGTCCTCACGCACCTGGCTTCAACACTGATGTCGTCCATGTCGACTTCGTGCCAGAAGGTGTTTGTCGAAACAGGGATAGAATATTGTGTGATCGCACAAGACCCACAATAGAGCGCTCGCTAAATTTGCAGCTCCACTCACGCAAAGTCGCAGTCGTTCGTCTTTATAAGATCGACCCATCGCCATCAACACACTGGTTGCTACCCAAGATTTCTGCCCAACATCCTAGAAAACATGACTTAAGAACGTCGTCTTGGCTTTGAGTTCGAAAAAGGAGATGAGTAACACGAAGTCCTTACCCCCGTCCTTGCGACTGCCGTACGAACGGTTTTCTGCCTTGCACGCCTATCGTAATCAACAATCTCTCCTTGCAACAACCAACCTGGCAAAACCGGCATCATGATTCAAGAATTATTCTAAGGCCAAGACACCCGCCACTGCAAAGAAACGTCGCTGATGATATTTTCCACCTCTTTCTGACGATTTGCATATTGTTGTCTCGGTGGTTGATGTAACGGTGCGGGCTGGCGCTGCGTGGTTTCGCTGGGTCTTGGCAATACTCATAAGATGGTGCCGTTAACATACAACGGCTTTTTTGTATAACCGTCGTGGTAACCCATGTCCTTTAATCTTGGTTTACGAGGTTCTTTTAGGGTACGAGTTCGCAGGTAGGTGTATGCATTGCTGTAAAATGGATATAGGAAGGCAAACACCGTCAGCCAAAGGTTCCCAGCAGGAATCATCGGCTAAATCTCTCTTCTGCTTCTATCTCGTATCAACAGACGTTCAATATAAGCAGGCAAAAGTAGATGGCTGAGGGACACGACTGCAGGGCCACATGCGCCGAACGGTCTCAACGGCTACAACGACCCAAGCCCTCTCTTATTCCCTTGGCCGTATTGAGAGAGGCTGCTATATAACAAAGGCCGCCAACTCCTCTCTACTATTTTCTGCTTCCTCATCCACATCCAAAAACATCTAAGCTCTCACACAACCAACACAAAGCCCTCAGGAAGGAAAAGAAATAATCAGATCTTGATCAGGACATCAAGAGACAACAACAACACAACACAAGATGAAGTTCTCAGTACTCACCTTCATCACTCTGGCCGCCTCGTCGGTGTACGGCTCAGTCATTGATGTTGCCGCCGCTCAAGATGCCAACACTCTTGCCAACATCGAGACTCGTGCCACATGCTCGAGCTCCGACATGCAAGCAGTCAAGGATCGCATCAACCACTTCAACGTCTTCTGTCAGATGTACAATGCCCAGTATGTCTCTCCAACCTTCCTTCGCCCTTTTCCAGTCACTAACATGATACAATAGACCTCGCGATTCATCGCCTCTCCCTACATTGACTGCCGCCAAGTTGACCAGCGCATGCTCGTGTATCCTCGCCCAGTGGAACAAAGTGGCAAACCCTACCTCCGTTCCCTCGACCGGATCAAACACTTGCGCCGCTTCAGACATCAACCTGATCAAGAACGAGGCACCCAGAAACTTCAAATCCTACTGCACATGGTGGGGCTTGATGTACGTTCCTCTCTCCCTCTCCTCATCAAATTCTTATATACTGATTAGCCCTCACAGTTACCGCACACGCTCAGCCATCCCCGGAGTCAGCGCCGACCAAATCACCAAGTCGTGCAAGTGCCTGCTCAACCCAGGCTCAGTCACATCCACCACCGCTAAGGCTGCCACTACCACCAAGGCTGCAGCCACTTCTGCTTCTGCCTGCAAGAAGCGCAGAAAGGTCCGCAGAACCGTTACTGTTGAGGTTCCTGCCGAAGCCACTCCTTCTTTCTAAGAAGTTGCTTCTTATCTCTTTCTTCTTTTCTTGCTCTCCTCACTATAGCCTGTTCTTGATGCTTCGAAGGAACAGGTTGAGGGAAAGCGAGACTTGATTCTTCTTTGTGTGACAACAAAACAACGACAAAACAAAACTTCTTACCGGGGATAGATGCCTTGGATGCCCTTTTTGGATGGGGAACAAACTTCTTCTTTTCTTGTTTCTTCTTTTCTCTTCGAGGAGGAACTTTATTTATCGGCGGAGGATTTAATCACACTTGTAGTTGCTGCTTGCAGTGCTACTTGGGGATAGAGGAAAGCAGGTTGGAAGGAACTGTCTCAACTGGTTTTGAGATGTCCTTCTGTACTTGCTGGTCCTCGAAAAAGGTGGTAAATTTATGTAATTAGATAGAAAATCTGGCTTGCTGCAAAAGAACCAGATGACAATACCAAGATCTTCATACCGCCTGCATCAACTCCCGCCTTTGCTTTCTTGCCTTCCTTTCTCTGTGACTACCTATGATGGACGAGTAGATGCGGTCTGAATTGGCTGGCTCGTTCTTTGTCTCAGAAAAAGTGCCGGGGATACGCAAGCGAAGTATATTGGTGGCGAGTCAACGGGAGTTCCTGTCGATCATGTCAACGAATGCCGCATACGGAGATCTACAGTAACGTTCTTACCTAGATGGTCAGGTACGAATGCTTGATCATGATGCCGAAGAGTCTAGACTGAGAGTATTGACGACTCTATCCTTATTCGGCGAGGAAGAAATCGATCTGGCCGGACATTGGGAAGTTATGCAAGAGCTTGATGATCGCAACGCAACCTCGCAGGAGAGAGTACGGGAAGAGGATTCTCAGTGTTGAATTTGTGTAGCCATCATGAAACTATCCGAACTAAGCTACTTACTACAGAGCCTACACTTGTAAATGATGCTCTTGATTCTTCTTGGCTTGGCTGATTGACCGCCTTCAATGCAAAGTTTTAGAGTTGAAGTGAGAATGGGATCGTCGGATGCTCAAGCCCTGGCCTATCTTCAGTCCTCTACTGGTTTTTAGGGAGAAGTGGAGCTGTCAAGAACTTTTCCAAGCTCTCAAAGTGTTCTCGACCAGGCAAGACTGCTTGCTCGACTAGCCGACGTATTTCTCGGAATGTGAAGCCTTCCAAGTCTGCGCTCTTTCTAGCTGCTTGGACAGCGGCAAGTAAGGGCTGCTCAAGAGCTTCAACAGCCAGGCCAGAAGGATCTTGAAATGGTTCGAATATGTGCTCGAGGCAATCACCACGCGTTTCCGCTTTCTCCAACCTCAGAAGGCGTACCGTTCCTTTTCTTAGGTTTATATCGGCGATGACGGGATTCGAAGGTTTACAAGCACTTGAAAAGGACAGAATGATGTTCCAGAATTTGAATTCGTGTGGTGCAAAGTCATCAAACCACAGCCAAGATGCGGGTACCTCAATCTTTGTGCCGAGCTCTTTAATTCGGTGAGACATGGTGTATACAAGATAAGGCCGTGCTTTTGCTCCATCCGGCATTATGGAGGCCAGAAAACAGAGTTTGGTGTTGGCGACGAAAGCCTGGACTTCGACACGGACTTGTGGAGAGACGTGATAGAGACAGATCAGGGGATCAATGCTCTCGCGCGCTTGTTGGAAGGTAAATCCGAGATGTCTACAGTCGAAGGCATAGTTGTATACCATGTAGCGGAGTTCGAGCGGCAAGCGGAAGAAAGGAGAATCTAGGAAATGATCAGTACCAAAAATCGCCACAGAGAGAAGTCGAATGCTCCAACCTTGATGGTGTGCTGCTGGCATACTGGTGGAAGCAGTCTCTGTCAATGAGTCGATGTACTGGAGATCTGGATCGGTGATGCGGGTAGAATCCAGCGACGAGTCCTTGAGTTGACGGTCCATGGTTGTGATGAGTTTGAAATGATGGGCCGGATTCTGTAAAATTGAGAGCGAAGATGAAGCTGATTGTGCGCTGGGGGAAGCGAGGATGGAAATGTCTGATGCGAGATGTGTGCAGTGAGTTATGGAGCTTCCGAGCGTGAAGAGGAAAGAACTGTTGAAGACGATGAAGCGAGATCAGGCATTGTTGAAAACAGAGGAGAAACTGAAACCATGTGATGCAGAGTATCGAGGGGTGGGAATTGAAAAGGAAAGAGCTATTCACGTGTTCGAATACGACAACGCGTGTCACAAGATATCTGATTGATGTAACTGAATGTTATTTGCGACTTCCTCTCTCCAAAATTTCCAGATGTGAAGCCTTCGCGACTTCCAATAGTCTAGGCAGCATCGGTAGTTTCACTCATGGTCTTCTCATCAGCATTGATACTCTCAGCCTTGGCCTCTCCATAGTCTACCTTGCCTTTATCCTCAGCCACACCAGCCCGAAATCTTCATCTTCGTCAGAATAGTAATCCTTGTTGCTGCAATCCTCCTCAACCTCCTCACCAATGTCATCATAGCCCTCATTCTCTTCATCACTCAAGTGTTCACCACTCATCGTCCTCGTCCCACTCATCCGAATACTCCATACCGAACAGTTCCTCCTCATCCCAGAAGTGCTTGGGACAAGGTATCTCAACCTTGTGCAGCAACTCAGTAACATCCTTGAGCAAGAAGCCGTCAAAACCATCCTTGCCAGTGAACGTCTTCATAGCCTTGGTGAATGCGTCTTCAAAGTCTCCAAACACATAGTCGCAATAGTTGGAAGAGAAGATCTCTGCAGGGAAGCCAGGAAGGTCGACCACAACAGACTTCTCCATGAAATCCATCTGAGCCTTGACTCTGATGGACTTCTCTGCGGTGAAGACGACGATGACCATCTTCCAGACCTTGAGGTCATCGGGAAACTGGGCCGTGGTTGTGTTTTGCTTCTTTGACTTCTTTGACTTCTTGCTCTTCTTCTTGGGCTTGTCGGGGATGGCAACGGTGTGAGGTTCAAGCTTCAGGTTGTAGTAAAGACCAGCCTGGACAAGAGCCGTGGTCTCTGTAGCAATCAGAGCCACAACCTCGGTGCGGACTTGTGGCGAGATTTTGAGAAGTTTGTTGATGGTGTTGATCGAGTTTGGAGGCTCAACGACGAGAGTCTTCTTGCCCTTGGGGTCGAGCAGCTGATGATAGATGTTGTGACGCTCGTCGAGAGAGAGACTGAAGAACGTAGGGTCGGCAGGATCAGTGGGACCAGAAGCATTGGTAGAATCTATCCTATCGTCAGTACCAGAGAGAGCATCGTAGGATGCTGATTGGTCACACCTTGCTTCTTGTTGTCAATATCCTGCATCTTGGCAGAAGCGTCTTCGGTGGAAGGGTTGTTGCTTTGGGGATCCATATCAATGAGTCGTCGTTGATGATATCTGGAGATGAAGAGGGATAATTGGGAAGAGAAGAGAGTACAAGTAGGAAATGGGTCGCAACGAAGAGGACAAACGGAAGCTTCACGCAGCTTCAGCCTACCAACAAAGAAGCCTACTGCTGCAGGTGGGTACATAATGCGAAACATCGAGATATGAATTTTGCTGCCTGATCTGTTTTGGTAACCACTTGGTGGAGTTCAAGACGTGAAATGAAACTTTGTGATACATTCTGCCTCGTGTTATTGGTTCCCTGCGCGGCTAGATGCAGTAGCCTGCTTCGTCGATTTGTGATCTATACTCAGTCGTCCTATAATCCCGTCCGACCATCATTCTTGTCTGAAAAAGTCCTAGAACCTAGCGAGATCCCGTGTGTTACATGACCTGTGCTGTGGTTCATGGTGAAGGCTCAATCCTGATACCTTGTCCACTATGGTGGGAACGCATGGACTTGGGACCAGTCAACCTTCTCCATGAATAGAGACATGTCTGCAACACTGATACCTTTAGATCCATCTTGTTCCGTGAAGAATCGCATGGCATTGGTGAAAGTTTCTCTTTTGGCAGGCCAGTGATCCGGAACGCGATCACTGCTTGACTGGTTACCAGAAGCTTCACGAATACAAACAGCGTGCGAAGCGAGATGGAAGCGTGGAATGAAGGCGCGAGGAAAGACGCAGCTGCAGAGTAGTGAGAGCGGAAAAGTGTTGGAGCTAATGAGAATGAACGATTGCTTTCGTATGTTTATCCTTTCACACAGATCAAAGTGAATAGGCACAAGACTGACAGCTTAGCTTGTATTGCGACTCGGCACCAGCCCTCGTTCACTGGTCTTGCGATACATGATTAGAGCTTAGTTCTCGTGATTTGAAACAGCAAAATACGTCCATCTGACACCTCGACTCGGTCGAATCATCGACTGCACTAGCAACTCGCAACAGCGAGACCACCATGACTGTCGATGATGGCCACATTCAAAGACTTGTCATAGGAGGAGCATTCACAAGCTTCAACAGCCTGTCTGGAGTTCGTGGTGAGAGCGATGACAACGCATCGACTTCTCTACCCTCTGCACAGTACCACAGACAGGACTGAGCGAGCAAGAGTTGGCGCGTACTTGTAATAACGATACGCTGGAGAAGTACAGAATTGGTCTTGTGTCTATGAGCATTATTAGGCATTAAGAATAATTGATCTTCGTTCGAGCTTGCTTCTTGCCCTTCTCCTGTACTGTGAAGACTGATTTTGGAATTCAGAATAAGCTGTAAATGTACGATTGGCGACATTGCTATCTCTGCTATACCATGTCACAGTGTCACACCAACTTCTGTCCAAGACTGCGACGCTTACTAAGCCTATCTCGAAGGATCGCATCAATCGCCGCGTGGTCCTGAAGACCCAATGAACAACATCATCGAATGCCCTTCGTCAACTACGCTCGCAGCTCTCATAAGCGCTTTCAGCTTGTAGAATCGTCAAATGATGTCACATCTTACAGGCGACCCAAAACAACATGACCTATCCTCCTTCAAGGATTCCATAACAGGCAGCTGCCTATGCGGTAGCATCACAGTAACAATCAACGACAACCTCTTCACAAAACCACGCGGCCACCTCTGCCACTGCGAAAACTGTCGAAAGGCTTCCGGCTCTATCGCAGCCACGAATCTGACTATCGAAGAAGAAAAAGTCGATGTCGAAGATAGAGATGGTACCTTAATGCTGTATGAGGATAGAGCTACCAGCAGCGGCAACCCAATATACCGATGGTTCTGCGCTGTAGATGGGAAGTAAGTCATCGTGTTCGCAGAAGACGAACGATTCATGATGCTGACTGCCGCAAGCCCCATCTTCTCGAAAGTCGATTCGATGCCTGGTCAAGTTACCGTGTCGATGGGCATGATGCCAGTAATTCCAACACCCGAGATGGAAGGTTTCGCTGCGCATAAGCATACTTGGTTCAAAAGCCCCGATTGTGTGAAATCGTACAAACATCTTCGTACGGGAGAATTCATGGATGAATAATTGTCGTGGCTGCCTGAGTCACGACCATCGCCAACTACCTCAATCCATCACAATATCTAACGCACCTTTCTCCATACCGTCTTTCAAGACTCTAGGCAGCAGCTCTTACTAATGACTGCGATGACTAGATATTGAGTATATAAGTCCAGTGTTGCAGATGCAAACTTCTTGTCCCATGGAACATCGCACATCCACAAGTTCGAAAATCATGGCGACCCAGCACAATACATCGACCACACAGTCGCTGAGAGACAGTTTCCTTACGAACACCAACGCCTACCACAGCAAACCCATTCATCCACCTACATCACAGGCATCACGTTCACAAAAGACAACAACAGAGCCCAGAACCTTGACTCCCGAAGCCTTGAGCACCCTCAAACCCATGGACGAAGACCAAGCCGCCTTATACACTCACTCTCGCATCATCCACTTCCTCCACAACCTCCCGGATCCACCCACAGACCCAACAGGAGAAATCCTCCCAACTCCAGACTTCAAGTATGCAGAGTCAGAACCTCAAGTCCATTACTACACACCACCAATTCACCCACATCACAAACACATCTGTGACCGTTTTGAAGAGATGAGACGTACAGAGCCACATGCAGAGTTTCATCGCCACAAAGCTTGGTTGACTTTGGAGTATGGCAAAGATGGAAAGGTGGGTATGTATGTGGGGGTTGAGGATGAGGCACATGCGGATAGGATTCATAAACATATGCTTTGGTTGAGGGATAAATGGTTGGGGTATGAGGTTGGCTTGTTCTACCATTACATCGAGTATGAAGATGATGATGATAGAGAAGCCGATGCGGCCGAGGATGTCGAGCTCTAAAAACTACGAGTATGGTCGCAAATATCGAGTTTTAACGATGTTGATTTCTTGAGAGCTCAGAGCTTCTGTATTGAATTGGCATTAAATCATAAATTGTTTGACAGTCTACAGTCCCAGCACATCGATCACTATGCCAATTCCTTGTTCCTTATCCTGTGAACTCAGTATCGCATGGCCTATTCCCAATATATTGTTATACTGACGTTGCCACGCCTGACTGATATTCTGCCTGAGCACAAGATCCCGTACATCAGAAACCGTCAATCTGATGACCTTCTTTCTGTTTCTGGACGATTGACGTCCCAAATATTGTCTTTGTCTGGCTCAAGAAAAACATCTGGGAGAATCCTCGCATACATTCTGAGTATTTTTTATACGCTTGTGGGTCACGCAGGGATGGTGTACCCGTCCATGCCAAAGGTGGTCGGGTCTCAGTGAGTCTTTTGCCTGCGAGAAGTGGCCGAGTATTACAAATCATGACTTTCATGTCGTTATGTGTAAGCGTTGATGGGGTAGAGGGGTGGCAGCAGCTGTGTCGAAATCGTGTTACGATGCGATGAGAGCGCTTGTCGAAAGTCTTAGGCTTCGCTTCTGAAGCCGTGCTGCAGCTGACCGATGGTGAAAACCCATCATGCACGGGATGGCAGGCTATTGATCGAGCGGGCTTTCATCTTCCCAGTCGAGTTTTGATCGTCTCCAGCAAATCAGAAACCGAAAATGGTTTGGCCATGATTGCATCAATACCAGCATCCAATGCGCAATCGACCTGGCCTTTTCGAACATTTGCTGTAATAGCAATGATCTCGACATGCCTAGTCAATTTTCCGCTCTTCTCCAAGGATCTGATCTCTCTGCTTGCAGACAAGCCATCCATGACTGGCATTTCCAGATCCATGAGAACAATATCCAGCTTATGACCAGCACCAGCTGCTTCTTCCCATACATCGGCGCGGCGTAAGGTCTCCAGTGCTTCTAGACCATGGTTGGCCACGTATACGATACATCCAGCTCGAGTGAGCTGTTTCTTGAGAATTGCTTGGTTGATCAGGTTGTCCTAATTCTGTTAGTATGCAAATTTGTAAAGGTGAACACGATTACATACCTCTACCAGGAGAACATGATACGCCACATCTGGCAAAGCTGTTTGTTCCTGAGGAATCTGAGGACTCGACCCGACCTTCTGCTGTTCGATTGCCTCAGGGGTTTTCGTGACTGCTGTATCTTCAACCACTTTGAGTGCTTGTGTATTGTCCAGCTGTCGGAGCACCAATTCTTGTGTTGATTGAAGGGTGAGCTCAGTAGACGGCGTAGGCGGGTCGGCTTGACGGACTTTCACGTAAAAGGCGAATGTGGAGCCCTTTCCTGGCTGAGAAAAAACACCCATGCTTCCATTCTGCTTCTCGGTCAAAGTGTGAGATATGAAGAGACCAAGACCGGTGCCACCATATTTGATCGAGGTCTTCGGGCTGGCTTGTTGGAATCTGTTGAACAGACGAGCACGTTCTTCCTCGGTCATTCCTGGTCCAGTATCGGTGACGCTGAAGCAGAGATAAATCTGCTTGCCATCGCCCCATTCTTCTCCTAGGGTGGCATCTTCGTGTTCTTTTCTCGTTGAAGCCCAAGCTAGTCCTTCCTTCAAACAGTTTCTTGGTTCTTCGAACGAGGCGCCATATCGAAGTGTCACTTGTCGATGATGCTCTAGTCTCGTGAATTTGATGGCATTCGATAGGAGATTGATCAAGATTTGTGTCACCCTCAATGGGTCGCACATGACCCACGAGACTCCAAGATCGGCAATTGATTCATGGGCCTCGACTTTCATCTCGATATCTGCTGCTGAAATATTGGCTTGAAGCATCTTCACAGCATTGTTGATGAGATCAAGTGGTTGCGACGGACTTGGTGAGAGATTCAGAAGCATGAAATCCATCTTCGAGAGAATTAAGACATCGTCAAGCACTTTTTTCTGATGGCTGGCGCAGAACATGATAGTCTTGGCTGCTTCGACATTCTCCTGTATTATGTGCAAGTATTCTTCGGCGCTCGTGTTCTTTCCTTTGTAGTCCTCGAGAGATCCAGAAATGCTGTTGGCAAGCTGTAACATTGCGGTCAAGGGGTTGCGAACTTCATGTGAGATGGCATCGGTAAATTCGCTTTGCTGTCGTTTCGCCTCTTGTGCTTCCTGGGCTGCTCGAGCCTGCCATGCCTCGGCCCATTTCAGACGACTAACTTCTGTCATACAAGCCATGATAGACTTGATCTCACCATCTTCCATATATGGTACGGCTGATATGAGTACAGTCGCAGGTACTGGCGAGCCAAATGGTGGATTCCACAATCTTTTCATTCGGAACTCGGTTGTGCTGGTGATTACGCCTTCGAGCACCGCTTTCCAGGCAGCGTACATCTTTGGTTGATCCTCCTCAAGGACATGATCTTTGAACGGAAGACGCAGCTTGGAAAACTCATTCGTCGGTTTCTCGCCGATGATTTTGAAGTAATGTTCGTTGGCCCATAGAACCTTTCCATCGAGACCTAAGTGCTCTAAACCGATGTCGAGATGGTCGGCCATGTATCTGATGTGATGTTCACTAGCAGCCAATTTGTTTTCCAGGCTATGCTGTCGCCTTTCCGATTCTTCCAGAGAAACCAAAAATGCCATGCTTGAGGACAGTCGCGATGCAAGATCCCGCATGAATTGTTCATGATCGTCATCGATAGGTCTTCTTGGATTGGTCCCGATACATAAGTATCCGTATGAGCGTCCAGCATTCATCAAGGGTATGACACAGATGTTCCCTGATGGCTCGCCGAATCCTTCCCATCCAACACCATCAAACTCTGATCCACAGGGAGAAGTTGTAGGATTAGTTCCTGCTTTTCTCAAAAGCGGATAGAGACCTTCCTCGCTATCAAGAGATCCATGTTTGTTGACCAAAGGATGACCTTCTGGCACACCGAGACTTGCTAGGAGCTTCAATTTGCGAGATGATTGTGTCGAGGAAGGATTGCTGTCTATTCCCCATACCAGAGCCAACGGAATATCCAACGAGTTCGTCCGGAAGCAGTCGATGAAGTGAGAACCAATAGTCAATGAAGTACAACCTTCGGGAAGGACCGCAAGCATATTCAGCATGTTTCGTCTGCGGTCAGTGATCTTTTGTCTCGTCATCTCAGTCAATGAATTGTACCACCCTTGCACTTGACCGTCGTCTCCTCTGAGTGGAGTGAAATTTCCAGTAAAGCAAGTCTCCTCCAGAAAGCCATTCCTTCTGATCATGAGAGGTATCTCGATGACTGGACAGTCTTGTTTCGTCTTTTTGGCGGTTTCAAAGACAGGCATGATATCGTCACAGATTTCAGGAAATGCTTCTGCAAAGGTGTGACCCATCAAGAAAGGATGAGCTCCATCAGCAGCTATGGCGAAGCCTTCATTATAGATGGCGACTTGTTGCGGTCCCCTAATGAAATTATTAGTTCAAACACATGATGATTATAATTGGACTTTTTTTGCACCAATACACGCAACTCGGACGCTTGTCGGCAAAGATTTGATAAGTATAGAGACGAAGTGCGGTGCCCCAAGACTCTAAGGGACCAAGGAGCGAGGACTCCCATCGTGTTGATCGGAACAATTGGACGTGATCAGTATCAGGAATATCTTTCGTCCAGTCTATACCATCTGGAGATGGAAGACCTAGCGGGCTGTCGTGCCTATCCATGGCATGGTTGTTGAAGGGGAGGTCGTCGACACAACTCACGCGTCCCCAAGAGACATCATGGGTTATCGATTTTCACTTCCATGGCATCGAGATCTGTTGCTGAGCGTGACCGGGGACATCGCCGATTCGTGGCTGCCGCTAAGATCGCGATGGTCGAGAGTTCGTACTTCGGATGCAACGTGCATCCCAAACTAGCGATAAAACCGCTAGCATCCGAATTTGTGCATGGATTATGCAGAGCACGGACACGATCTGAACCAATCGGTCACGAACTCCGAGTGCACTTTCTGACTCATCGCAATAACACCCACAACCTATCACAACACTTCTCTTAACATCCATTGTATAAACATGATATGACAATTGAATGAGGCGCACGAAGAGGTCCAGTATTGGCTGAATGCTTGCTCAGCTGTCTGGATCACCTTGAGGCATGAGTCAACCAGAATGATTGCGACAAAATCATTCGTCGCAGTGCTGACTGGCCAATCATGGCTGTATAATCCTGATCAGTGAGCCATGCCTGCTGTATATATCATGGTAGGTCTCATTCAGAGGCTAGGTATACTCCATCGCAATCTCTATTTTTTCCATACTTCATCCCCTCTATAAAGAATGACCACGGCTAGCAACGCATCTGGAACTTCTGGTGTCACCAGCCAGTCTGACCATGCAACTCAACACAAGCCCCTACAGGACATCATAGATTATGATCCTGAGCACAAATTTTCGACCGATGATGATAGTGCTTCAGAAGCTTTCGACAGCACAAAATTTGATCCAACACGTTGCCTCTTCTGCCTCAGCACGTCCGAGAATGTCGATATCAACCTCGACCACATGTCCAAATCCCATGGCATGACAATCCCTTCACCGCATCAGCTTACCGTGGATCCAACAACTCTACTCACATACCTGAACTTTGTCATCTCGGTCTACCACGAGTGTCTGACATGTGGCACACAAAGACGTAACACCCAAGCAATTCAACAACATATGCTTGGCAAGAAGCATTGTGCTTTCGACATCTCTGATATGGAGTCCGAGTATCGAGAATTTTGGGATTTCGAAGGAGACGGTACAGGAGTCGAGGTTGATGGCGATAATGTTACACTGCTTTCAGGAAAGGTGATCATGTCTCGTTCTGTGCGGCCTACTCAACAGCGGCAGAGGTCATCAGCTCAACATGTGGCTCTGTCGCCTTTGGATACATCGTCTTTGGACGCCTCCAACCTCAACACCTCATCAATGCCCGATCAGCATTCTCATAAGCAAGCGCTCACCAGACAAGACCTTCGTGCCTTGAGAATGGATAAGCAGCTCGGCACGCTCAGTTCTAACGATCGTCTTGCTCTGGCGCATCTTCCTCACCCTCAGCAACGTGCGATATTACTTGCACAACACAACCAACTACGAACAGCAAGACGACAACAGAGAGCTATGGAATCGAGTTTGCAGCGAAAGAACAATCAGACACTGATGAAGCACTTTGTGTCCGATGTTCCGGGTCCAAAATTGGGCTGATTGATGTAGACGAAAATCGGAAAAGAAGATTCTTGAGCGTACAAGAAGTGCCAACACATTCGTGACTTGCCTGTCTCTTTCGATATTTGTATAGAAGAATGTGCTAGTAGTAAACAATCAAAGAAGGTGTTGCAACAAAGAAGACCCCAACTCCATACCTAGGTATATAAATTTCACTTGGCGCATGTCATCTCCGACCCCTCCACACGCGAACCACTTTCCACTTAACGCGTCTTCCTTCACTTTCCTACGCCAACAGGTGCACCACACATTCAGATGCCGCGAACATTACCATGGCTCGCCAACCCAGCTCCACCTGATCGCAAACCCCGCGCGACACCTACCGCAGTCAAACGCCGCAGAGTTGACACCTCTCCGCCGTCTTCTCCTCCGGATGTCCTCGATGAATTTATCCGCACACCAGCAGCCGTCGCTCGTCGAGGTGTAACAACAGTTCGCTCGCCTTCAACGTCTCCTCCGCCCGCGCCTCCAAAGCAAGAGTTTATGCGACCGGGCTGGGATGCAGATGATGGCTGGAGAATGGTGACGGATGAGTTTATGGCAACTGCACAGCTCTTCACCGCACACCTCGCGCACGCAGAATACAGACGACAGAAAGAGCTGGCTAGGAACAGAGAAAGAGCTTTGGGAGGTGCAGATGCGATTGCCAGACCTGTGGTTGGACAGCTGAGCAAAGATGGACAGAGGAAGAAGTTGGGAGAGTTGCAGAGAGCTGGTGTCAAGGCTCTTATGAAGGATGAGGAGGAGCAGGAAGAGGCTGATCCTTGGGAGGGTACACACCTTGCTAGCTTGATGATGAGCCCGAGGAAGAGGGAGAGGCTTCAGCCGGCCAAAGCTGTTGGACGCAGCAGTACCAGAGCTGCTGCTGGCTTTGATCGAGCACGACCACTGGATTTGCGAGGAAGACCGCTGCAACGAGAGAAGAGTCCGGAAGTCAAGAAGGAACCAAAGGTCGAAGAAGACACGACTGACGACGATCTCGACGCTCCCAAGTCATCCAGGTCTCTGTCTCGTCCACCTGTGACGCCCACACCAATTCGTCCGAACAACATCTTCAAACAATTCGCAAACCCGCGCACCACACATTCGAACAATGTCAAGCAGACGTCCCATCGGCAATCCTCGTCTACAACCCTCTCAGACCCCTCCGACAGATCGTCCCATAAGAAGTGCAAGAGCATCGACCGCGAGATCTCTCGACCTGCACCGAAGCGCACAACACGCAAACCCTCTCCAGTAATGGAAAAGGAGCCAGAGATCAAGCTAGAGCCGGACTTCGGCTTCCCTTCCATCCCACAACCTTCTCAGTCTGCGACATCAGCAGTTGCACGACGCAGAGAAGCTCGATTGAGACGTGAGCGAGAAGAGAAGAAGATCAAGACTGAAGAGCAGGAGGTGCATGAATTGCCCACATTTCTTTTCTAGACACACGCTTGCGCGGACACTTTTGATTTGGACATGGCGTTTTTTGAATTTGCGAATGATACCCCTTTTCTTTTTCTGCAGAGCGTTTCTCATAGCCTTGGTTATTATATCAAGCCTTTACCACTTCTCCAGCATAGGTCTGATATCAATCTCATTGGTGAAACATCTCTTGCCCTGTGTGTGCAGATTCCAGTAGGCTTCGGCGATAGCATCAGCCTCGATCTTTGCCTCTGGTGGCATATCCTTCAACCACTCCTTGGTCCTTGGGATATCAATGACACCATCGATGATAGCATGAGCAACATGCACACCCTTTGGCGCAAACTCCCTCGCAATGCTCTGCGACAGCGCACGCATAGCGTACTTGCCAGTACTGAAAGCCGACATCAGAGCATTCGACTTAACCGACGCAGTCGCACCCGTAAAGATCAGAGTTCCCGGATACTTGGCCCCCTCATCATTGGTATGAGCAAGCAACAACGGCAACGTCTGCTGCGAAAACAAGAAAGCTCCCTTGCAAGAAACCTCATAACCGCCTGTAAACTCCTTCTCCGTCAATTCCAAGATACTCTTTCTAGCAAACGGGCCACTAGCATTGAAGACAGCAGCAGCACACTTGTCGCCGTATTTTTCTTTGATTTCGGAAATTGCGGAGGAGATGGAGGTGGATGAGGATACGTCGGTGGAGATGCCGATGGCTTTTCCGCCTGATTTGTTGATTTCGTCGACCAGAGAGGTGTAGTTGTCTGGGTTGCGGGCGAGGAGGGCGACGGGATAGCTCAGGGCGAATTTTCTGGCTACAGAGGCGCCGGTGCCTGGGCCTACTCCTGCGATGATTGCAAAGGCTTTCGACATGGTGGTGTTCTGGAGTGTCAAGGTACGAGGAATGGTAAGATCAATTGGTAGCTATTGTCGAGCAGTCAAGCAGAGGATGGTTATATTCCTGTTGTTGACTCAACACATCAAGGTTGATTTGAAAGCAATTCGAAGCTCCAAGCTAGAAAGTAGTGACGTGATCAATGGGGAAGGAGGGGTTCGTCTCGGGGATTGTCATTTCTAACTCCGAGGCCTGGGGGCAGCGACCTCCTTTGCTCGTTGCTCAACTTCTCAAAGAGCATGACATGTCACCCTCTTGTTCATAGAAGTGAAGGCATCTCGTTCTGAAGCAGCATGCTATGCCTGCTATGCTTACACAAGACAATTGCTTGACGGAATTTGAACGCAACATTCTCATCTCTTTGCCTTCCCTGCTCAATGGCTGTCCTCTCATGTAGATGCAGATGCTGGCAGCGTGGAAAATGGTTCATATGGTATACGGACTATCTGCTGTTCATCAATTGGTTGCGTGGCCCAATGGCAAGGCGCTTGACTACGAATCAAGAGATTCCAGGTTCGACCCCTGGCGTGATCATTTTGTTTTGCTGTTGCTACTGACAGCAGATGACTTTGCCTTTGTCGAGTCCTACCAGTGGTCTTTTTCTGTGTGATGTGGTTGTTCCGAACGTTGGTACAGAAAAGTTTTTTTGCTGAAGCTTTATGACGATGGATCATTTCTGCTTGTATTGACTTTATTAACTAGAGAAGGAGAGATGTTGGCAAATCGAAAATACATGAGATCTTTTCTCTCTTCTTGTCGACAGCTGTCTGTGATCACTTTTTGATATCTTCAATTCCTTGCAAAAATTGCGGAAGCAACTCTTTAAGGTCAGGGTTGCACTTTCTTGAGATTTCTTTGGTGCGAGTGTGGTGACCCTGCTCCTATGTGCTGGGCATCAAGATAGCCTCTTCTAGTGTCATATATTCTTAATCATGTACTCTGGTGGTATAAGAGAACACCTAGGCTATTTAAACTTGTCGTTGTACCGTTGTTGTGGTGTACTAAACTACAATGGTTGATATAATTTGTGTTTCTTGTGATTTTGCTGCTTACAGCTTGGTCGGTTTTGAAATATTCGAGTAGGTCACTCGTCGAACAACACATCGCAAAACGTCATACAGTATAGGCACTCAGATATGGGAACTGATATCAGATGGAGTGTGATTCACTGAGCGAGATCAATGACCGGAATTGGGGTATGATTTTGGCAAGATCAGATATGTTCTGAGAATATCTCATCGTGCTGTTCAACACCAGAACCCAAGAGACAACAGCACGATGTACGCTACATCTTCCAATGGTAGGAACAGCACGTCTTGCTCTTAAGACTACTATTGAATAGATGCCGCGGTGACGTGCTAGGGCAGTGCCGAAAAAGTGTTTCCCAGAAATCGATGCAAGCCAATTGGCACCAGCGAGAAGGATGTTCGACTTTCTAGCTGTACCACATAAACAGAGATGTAATATTTATTCGATGTTGAATATGAGAGCAACGGCGAGAAAGATAACCAGATCACATACAGAGATGAGATGGAAGGAAGCATGAAGGTGTGAATATCGAATTGATTTGACAAAGTTACACAAGACTGTACCTTACCTGTTAGACGACAAGACTACACCGTCTAATGATGGTAAATGTCGTTAGACATCAGCAAGGCATGCAAAGATGTATCTCACCATCAAACCGGTTACCCTACTGAAATTCTAGAGCAGACGGTCTGCAGGCGAGAGGGGTATTCAGCCCCGGGCATTCAATCTTCGCTAGTCGTATAACTCTTCCAGGCCATGGTTATTTTGGCTTGTGAGTAGATATTCTAGCGGTGGGTGGAAGGAAAGAGAGGAAAGGAGAAAAAGGTCAGTCACATGAGTCGAGAGGAGAAGAATATGCCTCATAAGTGTCTCGCGCTTGTTGTCGGACAACAAAAGTATTGCATTGTCTTGTTTTGAAATGATTTTATTTCATTGCCGACAAAATTGATCGAAACCTCCTTTTCATAACCATGAATTGATGACCCTCATTTGCCAATGAGGAAAACCCCGGAAACGCGCTAGAAGTAAAAGGAGGAGCAAAGGAAGCAGGAGGTGGTTCGGTCGTGCTCTCGTCAGTGAGAGAGGTTGGGGAATATGAAGATTTTTGGAGAAAGACAGCAAAGCTTTTTTCGTTTCATACGACAGACTTGATCAGGTCAAAGTATTTAAGCCTTCTGGGACTTCTCCTTGGCGAGCTCACGGCCCTTGGCGATGCGAGCAAGGATCTCCTCACGGTCCTTGTCGAGCTTGAGGGAGGTGATGACGACCTTGGAGGGGGCGATGCCGAGGGGAACGGACTGGCCGTTGGACTTCTCGCGGGCGACGCGGTCGACGTGGATGACCCACTTGAGACGGTAGACAGATGTGACCTTGCCCTCGCGGCCCTTGTTGGAGCCACGGACAATGGTGACCTCATCGTCCTTGCGGATGGGGATCGAGCGGACCTGAACGACACTTTTATTAGCATCATACAAAGACAGCCGATCGACGAGCATTGTTTTGGTTTGGGGGGTTATGGTGCATAGGTCTTCTGAGAGAAACAACGGCATCAGATGGTCGTGTTGTGGGTCATCGAGTCGGGGTCGCGTCGCGGCGGTTGATGCAGCGTGGTGGCATTGTGGTGGTAGACCGAGGTCTGATGTGGTGGGTGATGGTCGTGTGCGACGGGTGTTGAGTGGATGTGCAGTCTGATTTGTGGTGCCGTGTTTCTCCCAATGCCTCCATCTCTTTCTTGTGTGCGAAAATGCGTCGTCGTCGATTGGATCGGGGCGATCATACGTTGTACTTCTCACGGAGCTCCTTGGAGAGAGGGGCGCTCATGATGGTGCGGCGGACGCTGGAGGGGGCAGAGAAGTGCGCCTTGCGCGACTTTCTTCTGGAAGAAGACAGGGCTGGGCGGACGAGGGTTAGTGGTAGATCATGTCGCTGAATCCAAAGCGCATACAGGTGTTGATCTTGGTCATCTTGTCGGTGGTTGGGCGAGTCCGGATAGTCTGTCGGGTTCAAAGTCGCTGGTCGTCACAAAAGATCGAGCAGCAAAACTGAGAAAGCGCGACCAGCAAATTCTGTGCGCCAGTGCGGCAGATCCTCGGGCTGGAAACGAGCAAGAGTCGAGTCTTGGCAGCTGTTTGTCGGGCCCGTGCTTCGACACTCTCAGACTCCAGACTCCCGAGGCTTCGCGTTGTGCTTGCGCCGATGCGTGCGATGCCTTGACGGGGCGAGTAAGAGCATGCGCCGGAGTCAAAGGCAAGTCGCCATTGCTCTAATGGACTACTGTAAATACTAGAACTGTACACGTCTCGTTCTGGCGAAGTGAGACACAGCCTTCACCGCCCGTCCAGGCCTCATCGCCGAGGACTCTGCGGCGCGTCATTTCGTCTGGCCCTGGTGGTCGCGTCTTCGACTTCTTGATTGAGCTCGCATATCTGCTCGCATTTGCTGTCGCATCGTGATGGCCCCATACAACAGCCACTACGGCACTCGTTACGATCCTGTAGGCAGTCAATACAATCAGCAACACCACCAGAATTACTACACCCCAACCTCTCAGCAGCCTGCGACCCAGCAGCGACAGGCCACCCAAACTCCGCAGTCACAGCCTTCTGCTCCTCCTGGATATCAGCAATCCTACACTGCAGGCTACTCGAACCAGCCATACTACAACTACCAGTCAACAGAGAGTCGTGCTGCCGAGACCCTGAGCCACCTGAGTGCACAGGAACATACATCCACTTCCAACCGCCAATACGATACGAACTCTCGCTCAGACTCCTCATGGAATACATCCGATCGACGAGCCGCCAATCCCTCTCCTCTCTATCAGCAAGAACAGCGGTCAGCTAGCAACACTGCCACTTATAGCCCCGCGCAGTCCTATTCTCAGCCCACATCGAACGCTGGCACATATTCATACTCTTCATATACCCAGTCAGAACAGCCGAGAGCTCAGACGACCACATCAAACCAACCCACATCCTACGACTACTCTGCTTCCAGCTTTCGCCCAGCCAGTCCCTACTCTGCTCGCCAACAGCAACAACAGCCAAGTGGTCCTCGATCTAGCGTATCCTCCGTCGCCTCGACAAACCCTCGCGACCATCACTTGACGACAGCCGCATCACATACCTCCGCTAACGTCGGCCAACCGCGTGCCCCAAGTGTCACTCCAAGCTCCGTTCACCAACGAGCTAGTTCTGGATACGCCCGTCAGTCAAACCCTCCGGATCAAGGCTACGGTCCTGGACCTATTACTGTAGATCCTGTTGCAGTCTACGATCCTTGGCCAGAGCAGCAGCGCAAATTAGCCGAAGCACGCAAGAAGGCTGAAGCTGAAGAGAAGCGACGAGCAGAGGAAGAGGCTAGAATCAAGGCAGAGGAAGAAGCAAAACGCAAGGCTGAAGAGGAAGTAAAGCGAAAAGCAGAAGAAGAAGCGAGGGAAAAAGCAGAAGAGGAAGCTCGCAAGAAGGCAGAGGAGGAAGCTAAACGAGGGGCTGAAGAGGAGGCCAAACGAAAAGTAGAGGAAGAAGTGAAGCGCAAGGTTGAAGAAGAGCGGAAAGCTGCGGAGAAGCGCAAGGAAGAGGCCAAGAGACAGGAGAGTCTGCGCCTTTCGCGAGAGCTTGCAAACCAGGAAGAAGCGAAGCGAAGGCAATATCAGCAACATATGGCGTCTCAGCAGCGTCCCACGAACGACCCTTCTGCGGAAACCACAGTCCAGGCTACTGGACATAGGATGATGGCTGCTGCTATGGCAGACGCAAACTCTGGCGGCGGCAATAGCGGTGATCTTGAAACCGAGATGGCTGCTATTTTCAGAAAGATGCGTGATCTCAACCAGGCTGATCCACAAATGTTTGCACGTATGTGGGAAAGCGAGAGGCAGGCTCATCTGAGTAAATCCCAAGGCAACACTCCAGCTCCAGCTGCAGCTCAAGCTCCCGCACAACGACCACAGGGCCCTGCTCGACCTGTGTTTACACCTGCGCAAAATCAGGCACCCCAAGCTCCTATGGTCTCTGCTCCTCCTGCTCCGCCATCTGTTGCTGTTCCTCAGCCTGCTACTGCTGGGCCTAGTAATCCCCAGGCAAACACTCGTAAGCAAGTGGCTGTGCCTCCACCTCCCGGGGGTCCTAACGCTATCTGGCCTCCTGGCAAGAAGGCAACATTGGCCGAGACTGCTACAAGGTGGTTGAATGCGAGAAAGGAGAATGTCAATAAGCTGGTCTCGGTCGAAGCAATTCATGCATTACTTGCACCAAATCCTTCATACATGACTCTTTGCGAAAGTCTTGAGCGCATGGGTTTGTATGTTGACCGAGCTCAGTTTGCTCGTGCTTTGTTGTCGGTCGTTCCTGATTCTGCAAAAGCGAACCAGAACAAGCCGGCATCTCCTGCTTTACCGCCAGCACAACCTCCAGCAGCTGCAGCTCCTCCACCTCAGCCTTCAACTCAGTCTGCACAAGCCACACCACAGTCTGTGCCGGCAGCAAAGAAGCATCCTAACATTGGCAAGTTTCCAGGACAACGAGGTCGACCCAGTCGTGCTGCATTGGCCAATCTTCAAGAACGATCGAACGTTGTTGATCTGACCGGCCGCGACTCTGTACCTCCAGCTGCTCCCCCTGTCTCGCAACCATACTTTTCTGGAGCGCATTCTGTTGACGCGCCAACTGTAAACTACCAATCACAGTGGGCTCCTGTGGATGGTGCTCCAGTCTACTCGACATCATACACACCACCTCAACCTCAGCATCAGCCACCGCGCCAACAAAATCAACAGCAGCAGCAACAACGAGCAGTGATACAGAATCTTCAGAATCAGCATAGCAAGTACTCTAGTCCATACTTCCAGCAACCCAGCCAAGCACCCAACATTGCAAGACCAACGCCTCCAGCAGTACCAAGACCGCCGCCAGCCAACAAGGGAGAGGCAGCTCGCAAGCGCAACTTTGACGAACTTGTGGATATGTCAGCAATGAACTCTGACTCTGATGAGGATATGCCTTCAGCAAAGCAGGCCAACACTGGACAATACGATATGAACATGGCTTCGGAACACGTCAATCATGCTCATAGCAATGGTCACTTCAATCCTGTTGTGCCTCAAATCCAGCAGTACTACTTCAATGGCCAATACTGGCCCACTAATCCTGTACCCTCCAATGCTGCCACTGCTGCACGTCCCATGATCGTCAGCAAACACATGGAACTCAGGAATCAAGTTCTGGTCGAACCTATCAGACGTGCTAAGGTTGCACGCAAGTCTAGATATGATCCACGAACAATCTGTAGAGATGTTCTTCTAGCGACAGGACGTCATCCAGACATGCGACCCTTGAATCAACATCTCAACGTAATGCACAACTTCCTCAAGCTGCATTCCAAGGATGTCGAACAGGACAAGTTTGATCTTGACACGATTCGCTGGGATATCATTGATCCTGGTGAGCCAATAGTTGAGCCAGTTGAACCTGCAGAGGCAGACAGAGAGTCTACAGCGGAAGCGGAGACAATTGAGAGGGCCGCAACAGATGCTGACGACGAAGGTGGAAGTGAAGACGAAGGTCTCACTTCTGATGTCGCTCCTCCCATCACTGCCACTAACGGAGCTTCCACAAGTGAAAACACACCAGCTCCTTCAACATCTCGCCACGCATCAACCAGCCAACTCGTCGCTGTAGAGATCGAGACGAAAAAAGGCAACCAGGGCCGCATGAGGAAACCATTCCCTAAGGCCAAGTCTGGACGACCTCGCAAGAGCCTTGCCGTCACTTCGAGTGAAGTTGGCAACGGAAAATCTCCGGCTAAACCCGCGGCTCGCCGACATACCGACCTTCATCAACGCGCGCCATCGTCCATCGCGACTGATACACCTCGTGAACAACAAACACAAAACATGTCGTCAACACCGATTCCAGACAAGCCGGTTGGCTATACAGCGTTCCGCTCACAAGTCACCGAGTATGATGAGAATGGTAATCCGATCAAGAGAAAAGGTCGCCCTGTCGGTTGGCGCAAGAGCATCCATAGTAAGGCGGCACTTGCAGCAGCAGCAGGCGAGAGTGGTGACGGCACAATTTCCAAGTCATCAACAGCTCCGCGAACATCTCGAGTTCAAGCCGCGCCAAGCTATGCACTACCAAAGCAGCGTCGTAACAGACAGCCCAAACCTGTTGTCGAAGTCAAGGAGCCTCAAGTTGAGTTCAACGTGTACAAGTGCGAGTGGGAAGACTGCGGTGCGGAATTGCACAACATCGACACGCTTCGCAAACACGTGCTCAAACTTCACGGCAGAAAGACAGCAGAGGGCGATTACGAATGCGCATGGTTCGGATGCTTCCAAGAAGACGAGGTGACTGCTTTTGACGATATGGCTCAATGGATGGAGCACATGGAATCACAGCACGTCAAGCCGATCTCACGTACTCTGGGTGACGGACCTCGCTCAGGACTATCAGGTGGCTCTTGAATCCCTTGATGCATAATAAAAATTTCACCTTTTCTTGCTAACCTTTGACATTCAGACCGGTACTCTGAACGGTCAGATGCATATCTTTCCGACTCACACGGCAGGTTGGTGACGCCAATCATCTCGATGGCACCACCGAAACAAGGAACAAAGGAGTGGGCAGCACAGCAAGAAGCAGAAGCAGCAGCCAGAAGACTTAGCAACCTCACTGGATCTCGGCTGAACGATGAGAAGTTGCTGCAGCAAATGGAGGAGAAGAAACGAATCGTTGGACCAGCATTGACAAAGGCAGGAAGCGTTTTGTTTACCGAAGAGTTCAAACGCAACTTTCTTGACGACGAAGACTTTTTTGAGTTTGTGGATCCTAATGAGGATGGCCCTGCTTACCCACCCGAATAGTTGGTCAAGGGGTTGTCAGATGTACGATACAGAGGAGGAATTGACACAAAGGGATAGCTCAGGAAGCATCCGATAGCTTGGACAAAGACGTGGCTGCAGGAAGCAGACCACAAAGTCTTGTCGCATGTGCATAACTTGAACAAGAACAAAAAAATCAAGATATAATTCCACGACAAATCATAACTCTTTTGGTATCGCCCTGTACTGTACTTGAATCGAACCAGCCCGTCGCGCGCGAAGCACATTCGGCGACTAGCGACTTATGAAACTCCGTCAAACGCCTAGCCATGTAAAACACTTGTCCTCGTCTACTCTTCTAGTCCCTCTGTCCCTCGATGTGTGGGCGTCTTATGATCTCACGGGCTTCGCGCCAGGCACAGTGTCTGCTTTGCGCTCGGCGGACAGAGGAGTCTTGTCGTCGTTTTCGGCATTGACTTCGAGGAAGTGGTAGAGGACGATCAGGAGCATGCTGACACTGCCCAGGAAGATGGCGAGTTGGTAGAGTTGGTCGTCGGTAATCATTGTTGTGTGTATGGGTGGGTGTTTCAAGCTTGGATTGCGTTGGTGAGCTTGGGGTTGTTTCGGAGATGGATTGGGTGACTTACGAGGTGGAGTAAAGACGAGGCGAGAGGTTGTAGAGTATGAAGATGTGTTTACTTGGTAGAAAGTGGATCAGCTGCAAGACAGGGTTGTGTATTGAAGTAGTCGAGTATGCTGGTATAGCTTCACTCTAGATCAAGGTGTCCTGAGCGTACGTGTACAGTGGCTGGCCGTCCAGATGGGGAAGGTCCACCGAGGGGCGCCAAGATTTCACATCACGAATTCTCAAAGTTGCACTTTCCCTCGAATGACGAGTGACGACAAGGTGGGGACAGCCAGCGCAAAGAACTGAAGCAGAGCAGCCACCAAACACAATCTTTTCGTCTGCAATCACCTGAATACCAAACACCCAACCACGGGCCTTGCACTCTTCACTCTCTCGTCTCCCGCATCGCCACAACCCACTCGTCCACCATGCCGCCCAAAAAGCAGGACAATGCGCCCAAGAAGGTCGCCGTCGACAAGACCTTCGGCATGAAGAACAAAAAAGGAGGAGCCGCCCAACGCGCAATCAAGCAAATCACCGCCACCTCCAACCTGCCCGCCGACGAGAAACGCAAAGCCGCCGAAAAGGCTGCACGCGAAAAGGAAAAGGCCGCCGCCGAAGCCGCAAAGAAGGAAGCCGCCGAACTCTTCAAGCCCGTCCAGATCCAAAAAGTGCCCTTTGGTGTGGACCCTAAAACCGTGCTGTGTCAGTTTTTCAAAAAGGGCGCTTGTGAGAAGGGGAGGAAGTGCAAGTTTTCGCATGACTTGAGTCAGGGTATCAAGGGAGAGAAGAAGAGTTTGTACACTGATACGAGAGAGTTGGAGAAGGAGCAGCAAGAAGAGGAAAGGAAGAAGGATGATATGGTCGATTGGGATGAGGAGAAGCTGCGCAGTGTTGTCTTGTCCAAGCATGGTAACCCCAAGACGACGACCGATAAGGTGTGCAAGTACTTTATCGAGGCTGTTGAGAATGGCAAGTACGGTTGGTTCTGGACTTGTCCTAATGGCGGCGACAAGTGCATGTACAAGCACAGTTTACCACCAGGGTATGTTTTTTTCTCTGCCTCTCACCACTTCTCCCTCCGTACTAACACCCTTCTAGCTTCGTCCTCAAGACAAAAGAACAACGCGCCGCCGAAAAGGCCCTCATGGACAAATCCCCCCTCAACACCCTCACACTCGAAGACTTCCTCGACTCTGAACGCCACAAACTTACCGGCACCCTGACCCCCGTCAACGCAGAAACATTCGCAAAATGGAAAAAGGAACGCATGGACAAGAAGGCCGCCGAACAAGAAGCCCAAAAGATGAAGGAAGCCACCGGACGTGCTCTCTTCGAAAAGGGCGACTGGAACGACGAAGACTCGGACGAAGAAGACGACGGTACTTGGAACTTGGAAGCTATGAGAAGGGAAACCGAGGCGGCTAGACAACGCAAGGAAGAGATTCGATTGGGAATTAACCTTGATGAGGCGCAAAAGATTACTACTGATGCTTCGGAGGGCGTGGGTGAGATGGTCGAGGTTGCTGCTGAGCCTAACGGTAACGTCAAGGATACCGAGTAGAGGATTGCGAGAAAAAAATTGCTGCATTTTTGGTTGCGCGCCTGCATCGCGGCTTCTAGGTAAACCGTATCCATGCTCTTTCTGAAGGGTTGGAGGCGGCTGGACCGCAAAGGCGAGATTTGGGGAGTTGGATCTTGTTTTCTTTTGTTTCGACATTTTTTATACTCCTGGGTCTTTCCTGAACCTACCTACCTACCTCTCCGCTTGGGGGATTGCTGTTTTAGAGCGATTGCCCTGCTGATATGACATTTATGTTTACATGTTTCTTGTTTCTCTCTTGGTGATGAGATGTGAGGAGATGATGTTGAGAACCATAATGCGTGGTGCGACTATGATTCTTTCTCTAACTAGGCTATTATGATTAGATACAACAAGTATAGCAGTGCGAGCTACAAACTCCAAACCCGGCTCTTCTAGAAGACCACCATACCAATCACACCAACAATCAAAGCAACAACGATGTCACCAGCACTTTTCTGCATCAATCTCCCCACTCCAGCCGTGGACGTTGAAGCCACGCTCTGCCTCCCATCCGCACTTCCCAACCCTTGCGTCGAGGTAGCAGTCGCTGATCCAGTAACTCTACTCCCTGACAATTGACTTGCGCTTGTTCTTTGCAGTCCACTCAACACTGCAGCCCCAGTACTTTTTGTAACTGGTAATGTGGAGGTTTTGCCATTGATGATGACTACCGGCACTTCAGAACTTGCTCCAGAGGCGGAGGCAGAGAAAGTGGGGATGGAGTAGGTCGTTCCTTCCACCGTAACCGCCTCGCCGGGTTTTAATGTCGTGCTTCCTATGACAAAGAGGGGCGTTTCTCCAGTAGCACTTGTTGGGAGAGAAGAAGGCTTGCCATTGACGAGGATTGCGGTATCAGAGGGAGAGAGTGAGTATGTCGTTCCTTGGACTGCGAGTTCAGTGCCGGGGAAAAGCGTTTGTCCTGCTATAAGGATTGCTGTTGATTGAGAAGCGGAAAGTGGACTTGTTGCTCCATTGACTACCAGAACAGTGCCTGAAGGAGCGAGAGAATAGGTCGTTCCTTGCACTTCGATAGCGGAGTTTTCTGGCAAAAGGGTTTGTGTTCCTATCACATACTCGGAAGCAGCGTTTGGCGTGACTGTGCTAGAGCCAAGAGTAATTGCTGGCGCAACAGCATTGGTGACGACAGAAATGGCTGGCGAGGTAGCGGCAACAGACAAAGCAGAAGTGACCCCATTAACAACAACAGCACTAGCAGAAGGAAGCAGAGAGTACGTCGTTCCTTCCACTTCTACCGCAGACCCACCTTCCTTAAGTGTTTGTCCAGCAACCATATATTCAGAAGCCGTGTTCTGCGTCACAATCCCGGTATCCATAGTGACTTTTGGACTCAGAGCATCGGCGGTTACATGCGCTTCAGCCGATGAAGCGATGGCAGGATTTCCTTGCAAAGCCACGAGAGCTGAAGTAATGCCATTTTGGACAACGAAAGTTGAAGACCCGGAAGTCGCCAAGGAGTATGTAGTCTGGCCGACTACGACTTCTGAACCACCTGCTTGAAGTGTCTGTGAGCCTAGGACAATCACAGATTCTGAATTTGCAGTAACAACAGAAGATCCGAATGTCAATACTGGAGCTGCAGTTTGATAAGTTGCTGGTTGTTGAGTTATGCCGTTTTCGACTATATATGTCGTAGATTCAGAGATTGCAAGTGAGTAGGTGTTTCCATTAGCAGTTACTGCAGGACCTCCTGCTGAGATTGTCTGAGATGCGTAAACGAAACCGTCGGTAGGGTTTGCTGTGATGATAGAAGATCCTAATGTGATTTGCGGCACGGGCGATCCGGAGAATGACGGGGCAAGAGATTGGGTTTGTCCGTTCGCGATGATTGCACTGGCAGAAGGTGCTAGAGAGTACGTTGTTTCCCCGATTGTGATGGCAGGGCCTCCGGGTGCAAGTGTTTGTGAGTTGATGATGTGTTCGCTGGAAGGGTTGGGGGTTATTGTTTTTGAGTCTAGAGTAAGCACTGGTGCGACTGCAACTATTGTTGTTCCGGATTCTGAGGAAGATTCGGCAAGTTTGTTGCTTTGTGCGGCTTCAGAAGAGGTGGCCTGGCTTACATCGGCATCCTGGGAAACTGTACTCGGTCCAGAATCACTGTTCAATGTAGTCGGTTCGGCTTTCTGAGGCTCAGTATATCCTGCACTGGAAATAATCTGGCCGTTTGTTGGGATGGTTGCAACAAAAGATACTCGTGTACCTCCTCCAGAGCTTGCAGCATCAGAGACAGCACCGGCCCCAGATTGTGTTGCTCCATCATTTTCGGTACTGACAGGCTGAGCTGCTGGTGGCGACCCTGTGTTGTCCACTGCACGACTCGGTTGTACAGTTGGCTCGTCCGTTGTATAAGCTTGATCGGGGCGAGTAGAAGGAACCTGCTGTGAAGCGGTAGAAGTGGCTTGCTCGGCACTGGTTGTGGAAGCTTGCTCGACAGAAGTTGGCGAGGCTTGATGTACGGTCGTTCCGAGAACATGGGTCGTAGGGATTCGTGAATCAGTTGTCGCAGATGTTCGCTCAACGTCGCCTGTCGAAGTCTGCTTTTCAGCAGTCGTACCAGTGGTCTGGGGACGAGTCGCAACAGAAGATTTTATCTCAGTCGATGGCTGAGAGGTCGCTTGAACACTCGTCTTAGTCGTCAACTTACTCGAGGGCATAGGGACCGCACCGCCGAAGTTCCCGGGTCTTGTCGCAATGATCGAGCTTGTCGTGTGCGTGAGCGTACTAACCACAATATGCACAGTCGGCGCTCCTGTGGGTCGCTTGCCTACATAGTTCGTGCATTCATTCAGCCATGGGAAAGAAGAGGCGACACTTGCATTTCGTTGAACCCATTCGATGAATTCGGGAGGTATGGAATCGAAGTACACCTTTGCTGTTTTGCCGTCATGGTCAGTGTTTGACTGGTTCGAAGGAGATTTCAGCAGAAAAAGAAGAACCTACAAGGCCAATCGACATCCGGTTCCAACCAGACACCGCCAGTCCATTCTGCAGTGTACATGTCGGTGTAGTTCTTTGCTTCCACAACATCTCCAGATTCGTTCAAGTATTTGACATTTAGAATACCAAGGATCGGTTCTGCGTAGGGCGTGGGAGAAGCTCTTTGTGTTTGCAACCGGTTAGTCAAAGGTTAGCTTGATCGCTAGCATAGACTTACACCACAGTCTTCGTCCTCGTAGCTTCAATACCCCATTCAGTGGTGATATCAGAGTACGTGTGCAGCCTAGTCTCTGCGTATGTAAATTCATTGGTCGTAGAAGGCAACAACGAGATCAAATTCGAAGGAACACCAGGGAACTCCCACTGCATACTCGCCAGAACACCCATAGTCGCGAGCACTTCAAGATCCGTGTAGATTTGAGTGATTACTGTCCCCGAATTGACGCCCGTCGTAGGAGTGTAAGAGGCCGTGATTCCGCCATAGCGAGAGGTCGAGTTTGCCAAGAAGAGAGTGTTGTTGTATTGGATGTAGTAGTCTACTTCGGTCGCAACCTGGTTTAAAGATTCAGCTGAAATCCTTATTTCAAGAAATGTATACTGACAGTAAATGTGGCATGTTGAGTCCACCAAGAGTTCAAGAAGATCTCATTCGGCAACCAGAAACCGCAAGATCTGGCCAGACTGGGACCAGGCGTCGTCCCTGGAGTGGAAGAGCTGGAAGTCTGCGTCGCTTTCGATGATGTCGAGTTTGTGTATGCCGTGCCTTTGGATGCTGTCAGAAAAAGGAGGGGAAAACATGAATCTAGAGCTTCTTACGCTGTGGAAATGCAACGGCGCCTGTTACGGTGAAGAGCAAGGCGGTAACCACTAAAGATGAGAATTCACCCATGTTCGCGCTCACCATTATCATGCTCTCTATTTCTTGGTTCCTTATTTGGAAGGGTATTCATCAAAGTCACGATCCCAATCAAGATTTACTCAAGTTAAACGAGAGACGACCCGGGTCCAAGCAGAAGACGAGAAGTAAGAAGGCGAAGGAGAAATATGAAGGCTCACATCTGCCCAGGCTTACGGTGCCACTCATATATGCGAAGGCATTGTTGAAGGATTTCACTACCATATGCATGGTCATGACCCAGCAATATCAGCCATGTACACTGCGGGCTGTGCCTTGGTGCCCTGAGCCAGAGAATGGAGGCCATTGGACTGTTTTGAGCAAATGCAATACCAGGGTACAGTGATTGCAGGGTCGAAACGAAGGAATAGATGAACAGGAAGGATTGCCTATAAGCAAGTGCGGAACAACTCGGGCATGATTGGTGGATGCTGTCTCCGAAGGATTATGTGGATGCAGGGGCCAGGAATATCTGTAACAATCCAGGCACAAGCCGTGTCTTTTGCGCAACGCTGTTTGCTGGCGGAAGCATGAAGTGATGCATAAGAGTTCTGAAAGAGTTCTGAGTCATTATTCTACTCCGATACTTAAACTGAGAAGAATTACCAGGAGTCCAGAATAATGGACGGTGAGCTGTTCCTTGAAGGTGGAGTGAACTAGCTGCAGTGCAATATATCCAGCCTTGGCGTGCATGACTTCGATATCAAACCTGCTTCCGGATATTTTTATCTTCGAATCAAGTCTATTGAGAATGGAGAGCGGTATGTTTTTTTGTCATTCGTTATGTACATCGGAGTAAGTCGAGTCTCAGTCTGACTTGTATGGTAGAGCTCAATTGTGATTTTGCATCGCCTCCCGTGATTTAGCAACAAGAGTGGAGAATAGCTCGATCGGGATTGTGAAGTTCCTCACTCAGGATGCCTTGCACTGCTTAAGTAGACCGGATAGATTGCCTCTCAACTCTTCCCAAGTAGGACACTGCCTCTCGTTTGCCTCAACCATGCTCATAATCCATTTAGCCATTCCTTTGCATTGGACCTTTGTATCCATGTCATCGCGAACATTCCCATTCTTGAGCTGGTACAACATCTCATGCCTTTCCATCCTAGTGCCAAAAGGATGGAGTAATTCAAAGGCGATGATTCCTAGGGCATAAACATCCAGGCTGGGATGATTGCCACGAGTCACGTTGTAAGGACGATAGATCTCTGTACCCACAGCCTTGCACGAAGCACCTGTCATGGGAGGTGTGTCTTCTGGTCTGGCGATAGCAGAAACAAGTCCGAAGTCGCCAATGCAGATGCTGACATTATAAGGGCGCGAGACGTCGTGGCCGATGCAGGAGGGACAATTGTGCAACGATAGAGCACCAGGAGGCGGTTTTGAGCCTTCGCGCACAGCGAGGAAGATATTGCCAGGCTTGAGGTCACGGTGGACTATGCCTTCTGAATGCAGGTATTCGACGCCTTCGATGATAGAGGAGAGAATTTCCAGCGATGAATGCGCGTGGAAGCAGTGGCGAAGTGAAGCGATGTTTTCAGTCGTGATTGGATATGTCATTGGAGCGAGGAAGTCGGAAAGTGTCATAGTGTATAGAGACATTTGAATGTGGAGTGCTAGAGAAGGTGAGGAAGAGGCGTGATGCTGTTGGTTAGTACTGAATGATGACGCGTCGTAGCTGCTTTCCGATGGCTCGTCCTTGCGTGTGATCAGTTCGATTTCGCTTTCGTCGCTTACACTTGCGACTGTGCCGCGACTCGGTATCTTTTGAAGAGGTGTGCCTTCTGAATATGAGCTGATAAGAGGATTAGCACATGTGATCCAAAGGGTTTGTAACCTGTATTCATAGCTTACCCTGGTTGTAAAGATTGAGTGTCGGATGTAGTTTTTCCTGATCTTCTGGAATCCTCGAATATGATGTCTTCTTCTTCTTCTCGTGTCGCGAAACGTTGATCTCGACTACCTGACATTTCGAAAGGATTTTCGTCGTCGTCATCATCATAGCCAAATTCAACGTCGATCGCTGGTATGTTATGATCGAAGCTCTCCGAAACATCATCTTCCTCTGATTCTTTCGGTGCTTCGAGCAGCTTATGGCCATTGAATTCAAGCGCTTGCTTGTTGGATATCAGAGGTGCCCACTCAATCCAGCCACTGTGGTACCGAACAATATTCGGATGCTCCAACCGTGCCAAGGTCCGTACTTCGACGAGAATGTGATCGAGCTCGGCCTGCCCATTTTCTTGGATCTTGCGCATGCGAGTTGGTCCTAATGGAATCTTCTTGATTGCGTAGTGTCTGCCGTCCAGGTTGTGTTTGCATCGAAACACGGTGCCATAACCACCTTTACCGAGAATGCCAAACTCTTCAAAGTCTCGGGTATATCGTGTTGAGTTGAGTAAAGGGTGTCCAGGAAGTATGCCATTGCCAAGGAGTTTGGGTTGAGCATGCAAATCTGAACCAGCGATTGCAAGATCACTAAATCGTCGACTCATGTCGATGGTTGCTGACTGGTCTCCCCCCATCAAACGAAGCAAAGGTCCAGGCAAGTCATTGCTTTGAGACTGTGCCAAAACATCTTCAATCGGTGTTTGGAGGTCGACGGACTTTCGCGTAATCAAAGATATACCATCTCGATAATTTTGGCGAAGAGGTCCGAATTGATCAGAATCCAAATCGCCGGTTTCCAGACCATATCTGCCGAGTTGTCGTGAAAGTCGAGAGTACTTCTCTTTCGCCAGTGTCTGAACTTGTGGGTGATCTTTGCTGGTAATTCCGGCCGCTCTCAGGTCATCGAATGCCTCATTATAACAGCGTTCCTCCAGTAGAGCGTGTAGTAGAATGTCACGGTGGTAGCTGGTGTTCCGAGAACCTTCTGCAAGTGCCTGTGTCGCACCAGGTCCTGACTGTTCCTCGGCCGCGATACTTGAGCCCAATGTGCGCACCCTTGTGATTTGTTGATCATTGCTGTCTGACTCGTCGCTCGTGTCGTCTGAGGTGCTTTCTTCACGAGAAGAGCTGATGTCTGCTGCTGACCTGAAGAACGACGACATTACGTCTTTTCCGGATCAATGATTTCCTGTTGTCTGAATGACATGTAATTTAACATCTTATGTGTTATGCTTGGCCGACGAACGCGATTGTTGTTATTAGTCTTTGACGTTCTTTGAGATTCTTCAAGGTTTAGGCTGGCAAGCGCGTCCCCGTCGACAGGTTCTCCAGCATAACGTTATCTGGATCGGAAAACCAAAACGAGCATTTCAATTGAAGTGACACAAGAGAAATTGTATAGTTGACTCTGTTGGTGAAGGTCTGAGAAACGTCGCATTCATTCAAGACATGGATGGTCAAAAGTCTGTGCGGAGAACTGGCCAGAAGTTTTGACCACAATGCAATCGCGCTTTCCTCGTCATCTCGCTCCTGTACCTGCCAGTATGTTCGAACATAATGGATCAAATTGTGTACATTTGTTGTTTGCTTGTCATGTTGTTATATACAAACGCCTATGTACTCTCACACAACAGCAGCTCACTCTTGTGCCATGCCGACCAGATCCCAAGTCAGTCGACTGATTGGACCTTCACCGAAAAGCCAAAGGTCCTTCCTGTCAGGACCAGCAAATTGGATATTGTTGATTGTGAAGCCGGTCTCAATGCGCAACAACACCTCACCATATGCGCTCAACACGGTGACACCGCCACCTTCAGCCCCCAGCAGATATCCATTCTGAGCAACGTGGAAGCCGTCATCTCCAAAGGTCTGAGCCAAGTAGATAGGTCGCTTACCCGTGATGTAAGATCCGGCTGGCGAAGGAAGCACATCGAAAGCGTAGAGTGAGTTTCCTCCGAGAGGGTTGTAAGTGTAACGAGGCAGGGTACCGTTAGCTGGATAGTTCGCAAAGTCAGTAACACCAGTATCGCTGATGTACATGGTGCGACCATCAGGAGACATGCCGATGCCGTTGGGCTGAGCAATGCTGTCGTCAACGATTGATACACGTCCGGTGGAGGGTATGAAGCGGTAGGTCGCAGGTCGCAGTACAGGATACTCGGTAACATTGATGGCATAGCCGTACCAGGAATCGGTGAACCAGATATCGCCTTGCGCATCTACCCAAAGATCGTTCGGGCTGTTGAATGCCTGGCCAAAGTAGTTGTTGAGCAGAACCTTGACATCCCCAGTGAGAGGATCGAGCTCGTAGATACCAGGTCTCTGAGCAACTAGTGATCCGTTCTTGGGAGAAGGGAAAGAGAAACCTGCCTCGACAGCCCAGTAGACCTTTCCATTGAAAAGCTTGCCTCCATTTACCGCATACACGGGAGGGGTGGTAGTATAGTTGTCGATACGAGGTGTCGAGCCATTGAGATGGATGATTTGCTGCTCATAGATGCCCTGATGAGGTAACGAAAAGATGATTGCATCCAAAGCTGGAACATATACTGGGCCTTCGTGAATGGAGTCGTTCCGTGTAGCAAAGATATGTTCCAGTTTAGGAGAAGGTCCAAGAATCTGGCTACCGCGCTCATCGAAGACAACGAAAGTTGCGTTCTTCACGAGTTGCCATGATGGATCAGACGGGATTTCGGTTCCGACGAAGGTATCGTTTGGGAAGTATTCTCCTCCACTCGAATGTGGACGATCGAAAGTCGGTGGCATGGCGGATGCATAATGGTTGATGCAGACCACGTCAGAGTTGTTAGTATAGCCAGGACATGCTTGCGCAAGAGGACTGATGACACCAATCTCAGCCAGAGCTTGTCCAAGAACGATTGAAAGCACGCCAACACCTGTGAGAAAGGCCATGACGTAGGCTGGAACATGCACGCAGGAGAGAAATGGTTAAGATGAAGAAGTCTGCTCGATTCCCTCAAAGAACAGTTATATATACAATATCGACTCGAAGAATTTGTTGAGTTGATCTGCGACTGCGATGCTCATCTTCACAGTCTATAGTCGTAAAAGAGTAAGTGATCATGGTGCGTTGTCCCTAAAGAGAAGTGGAGGCTGGAGGAGGAGCCGAACGCGGCCCCGCATTGTGGCTGACGACATTGATGGAGGAGTCTTCATCAGGAACGAGGGGTCTCAGGAACAGCCGCTGAACTGAAGAATATCTCTTGAGCTGCTGCAAAAGGCAGATGATTGTGTCTCACGATACCTCTTCAAAAAGGTACCAAAGACAAAATCCAATGCGACGTGGCTAAACGGCTGTGAGCTCACCTAACCCTGCTTATTGGAGACACGCATCGAGCGGTGTAATTTCTCGTCGGTCAGAGGGATGCTTAAATTATGTAGACATGGGTAAGCTGACCTTATGATCAATTATCGTTGTAGACGTAGACATAGAATACAAACATTCCAGCGCCACCGATCCATCGCGTGTGATCGCAACATGGCTGCCACTCAAACTCAATCGATCAGATTGGTCCAAAATGGCTCATATTTTCATTGCGATAGATTCTGTCGTCGATGCGTGATCGCGTGTCGTCTAGAGGATATGCAGTTGTCTTGCGTGATTTTTGTGAAAATGGCTCAGAAATTTGGTGGTTGACATGAAATCGCGCAGAGCCGCAAGGGCGATGCAGATCTGAGTTTCGAGGAATGTTTGGGGCAGTATCCAATGAAGCTGGTTTTCTTTGAACCTTCACGTAATTGAGGTGCAGTACGACGTGATGATGCTTACTGGTGAGGGTACACCGCACCTCTCACTTAAAGAGGAGACTCCCCTCAGGAAACATTGGTAGAAATATCATTCGAACTCACAGTCTTTGTCTGCATTGCAACACTTCCACAGACTTGCACCTAGCAAATACACCTCCCAACACCACAATGTTTGAATCAACAAATACCTTGATGACATCGTCTTTACAAGTGCCAACATCAAATGAAATGGCATCAAGTCCTCGACGACCAAGTCTCGGTGCATTCAAATATCCCGGAAGTTCAGAAACGACCACACACACAGGTCAGCTCCCTCGTGATTCTGATAGTCAGGATATCGCTAATGTCAAGCAGATTCCGCCTCTTCGACAGCGCAAATATCGTATGCGTATAGAAGACGTTATGCTGCGTACCTAGCCGCATCTTTCGGCATAAGCTTCGAGGCGGCACTTGCAGATACAGATGCGCAATTGGCACCTCGACGACCTTCATACGTGTCGGAATCGGAAGTTGATCGCAGAGAATAAGCTTGCAGGCATATGTTTGGCGTTCAGGGCGGATGGGTTTCGGATGAGGAGTTCTGGACATTTTGGCCAAGTATTCTGGCATCATTTGCGTTCAATGCAATTACCTTTTTCAGACCGGATGCGATGTGACACATGCGATTTATTGCCAGAACAGTCGTAAAAGATCATGTTACAACTGGACACATATATCTAGGCAACAATGTGATGGTACAGCCAATTGCTATGAGATGTGAAAGACACGTATGTTCGAATTTCGAAAACGGCAATTGTTGTGATGTAACCGCGGCAAAAGTTGCGGTCTGTGTGGCCTGATCTAAACGCGAAATCCTGACTCGCACCAATTTCCTCAATCAAAAGATCTTACAGAAACTAAAAGTGACCCGCGACTTCCACCTTTTTGCTGAAGTCGACCCCGAGCGTCTTTGTGAAAGACGCGCGCATACGGTGAGCCGCATCATCACGAGCTCGCGGTGCTTCTGGGACATTCGTGAGCTATCAGATAGCTCCGAAGCTCAGCTGTGCTCAGTGCAAAGATGGCCTCAACGAACGACCACAAATCAACCCAGGCTACAACACAGAACGGAACTGCCCAGGATGTGACCAACGACAGCAAGAAGCAGATCACGAAACAAAACAATGACAACAGCAAAGTACTGACACCATGGGTGTACGATCTTGGACTGGCAAGTTTCAACCTTGCTTTGGATGTCTTCTTCAGAGAGATCTATCCCAGAAACACTTTCAGAGTCCCTAAAAAGGGCCCTGTCATCATTGTTGGCGCACCGCATGCCAATCAATTTGCTGACTCCATCATCCTCATGCGGCTGTTGAAGCAACATGTAGGACGTCGCATGTCTTTCTTGGTCGCGGAGAAATCGATGAAGGAACCTTACATTGGCGCTATGGCTGGTAAAATGGGTTCATTGCCGGTGACCAGGGCTATGGATCATGTCAAGCCAGGGCAAGGCTATATCTATATTCCGGATCCTGAGATCGATCCAACCTTGGTTCGCGGTGTGGGAACAAACTTTCTCAATGGCCAATATATGCAAGGCGGTAGCATCATCATGCCCAAGCGTCCTGGTTCGAAGGCAGCACCCGAGAGTCAGTACATCGAGGAGATCATAGGACCGAGAGAGTTCCGCCTGCGCAAACCATTCCAAGCAGAGGATTCGATTCTTCAGCTCACTGGCGAGAGCAAAGCTCCTGATGGAAGCATGATCAAGGGCACAAAATTCAAGGTCGCGCCTCACATCGACCAGAACCGTATGTTTGATGCCGTTTATCGTGAGCTTGCCAAGGGCGCTTGTGTTGGTATCTTCCCAGAAGGTGGATCCCACGACAGAAGTGACTTGCTACCGTTGAAAGCTGGCGTCGCTATCATGGCTCTGGGATGTTTGGCCCGTGATCCGGATTGTGGACTTACCATCATCCCGGCTGGCATGAACTACTTCCATGCTCACAAGTTCCGCTCACGAGCAGTCATCGAGTTTGGTAATCCCATCGACGTACACCCGGACCAGGTCAAAGCGTTCAAAGCCGGAGGTACTGAGAAGCGTGATGCCATCGGATCATTGTTGGAGACAATTTACGAAGGTCTAGCAGCAGTCACACAACCAAGTCCGGATCATGAAACCTTGCAGCTTATCCAGGCCACACGTCGCCTCTATAATCCTCCTGGTCGCAAGCTCCCTCTCCCCGTGGTGATTGAGTTCAACAGACGCCTCCTGAAAGGCTACACAAAGTACCAGGACGATCCTCGAGTTGTGAATTTGAAGAAAGCAGTCGTCGACTACAACCGCCATCTTCGTGCATTGGGCATCAAGGACCACCAGGTAGAATGGGGTGACGCTTCTGCACGTCCTTGGTGGTGGTGCTTGGCCACGCTTCTCTACCGCCTTGGAGAATTGCTACTTCTAAGTTTGGGTACATTGCCAGGAGTCTTGATGTTTTGGCCAGTGTTTGTGACTTCCAAGATGATCTCGATCAAGAAGCAAAAAAAGGCTCTTGCTGGTTCCGTTGTCAAGCTTCAAGGACACGATGTCATGGCTACTTGGAAAATTCTCGTCGCAATGGCTTTGGCTCCTGCTCTGTACATCTACTACACAGCACTTGTCAGCTTCTGGCTCTACTACAACCGCATTGGTGGGCAGTACACCTATTCACTGCCCTGGTATCTGCGCGCACACACCTATATTCCCGACTTTGTTCCTCTCTGGCAATTTTCTATCTTCTTCTTCGCGCTCATGGTTTCTGTTTCCTTGGCTGCCCTCCGCATCGGCGAGATTGGCATGGATATCCTCAAGTCACTTCCTCCCCTCTTTGTGGCTCTGAATCCAGCTTCCTCGGCTTCACTCTCCCAACTTCGCGCTCACCGAAACGCTCTTGCCAAACAGGTGCGCGAGACAACCGATGCCATTGGCCCCGATATTTTCCCTGGAATGGTTGCCCGTGCTATGGAACAATCGAAAGACGAGCATGAAGGTGAAGCCTACCAGTCGCAATTGAGGAAAAGTTCTTTGGCCGAGAAGGCGGGTGAGAGAGGCAGAAGCAGTGGACTTAGCCCATTCTGGTTGCCTGGCGCTCTCACACCCGGTAGCAGATCTACTTCTTTCTCTATGGAGTCGCCTGCTCTTGAGAGAAGAGGCAGTCGTATGACCCAGGAGCAGCCGCAGGAAAATGTGGATGACAAGGCAAAGGTTGACGAATACATTGACTACAGTTATTAGCGATTTGCGATAGTCTATAGATAGTTGTCTGGCGTATCTCAGTACATAACAAAGAATTCATCGGTCAAGTTTATATGCTTTCACGTCAGTCCGTGTTTTCCTGTGTTGGTGATGCACTTGGCCCTCTTCGTGAAACAAAACAAAGACATGAGCCAGAGGATCAAAAGAACAAAACGTACAGCAGCAGGGATTCCCACGTGGTCACCCACCGTAGTACTAATCTGCCGTTCAACTGCTTATGTATGGCAGAGCGGACGGGATGCCCAGTTGTCAGCTGACTGTGGCCGTACGTATCATAACGGCTGTTTGAACAAATCATATCATTTTGATTTCTCCCGTCACCGTCATTGCACGACTTCCACTCCAAATAAGAAGTTGTGGACTCTCGAAGGATGATGAAAGAAGGGAACGTCAGGTGAAGCCAAACATAGAAGTCGAACTGGCCAAGGGCTGATGACTAAGCGGTGCCTTAAAACGTTGCTGTCGCAAGCTGAGAGCTTCGCTCTTGCCAACCTTCATGACACAAACAGAGTTAAATTGAAGCTTGTTTGACACGATCTATGATTCACGTAATCCCGAGGGCAGAATATCTGAATCGATGTCCGTCCATATCCATAAAACTTCGACCTTCACGCCATCCGAAGCGTTTAGATCACCAATATTACCAACATGAGTGGCCGCGGTAGCGCTGCTGCTCCATCTAGTAGGCCAGTCACGCCTATGGATCAGACGCTTGTGACTCGTCCTGTTCCACGGCGTTGCGGTTTTGTTACTCGATCCTTTGGGCCTGGCGCCGCCAGCGACATTCGCAGTCGTGTTTGTTCTATCCGCGACCTTCTAGATTCAGCAGATGAGACAACTTACACACCCGCACGTCGCGGTAAATTTACAATGAGCTATTCCCCCAGCGGCGACGATGTGCGTCATCTGCTCAAGGAGTGCGCGGAATGGGAGTTGGCGAGCTTCCGCTCTGACGAGAGAATGCCACCGCCCGATCCCACTTGGGGCTTCACAGTCTTTGTCACTGCATATGATGAGTTGTCTCGAAAACAACTGCAGCAGGCCATGCAGAATTGGCTTCGTGTACAAGAGCGCGAGCTTGCAAATGGGTACACGCTGCCAGCATTCGCGACCGAGGCATGGAAACGGTTCAAGCTAGACATTATCGAGGATCAAGAAGCGCTCGACGAAGCCTCTGATGATCGTGTTCGTGCCGGGTTTCGCGCACTTGTTCGGAGTAAGGAACTCTCGGACGATGAGGACCAGTTCCTTCCCCCGGCGCGTAACTTGGCATGCCTGGTCCTCGATGCAGCTGCCATCACAATGTTGGCTCAACTCAAGTTTCCCGAGGAGCTTGAAGACGATCGAGAAGCTTTCAAAGACAAAAGAGTTACAGCAATTGATATCCAATGGAACAGACCGCAGACCTCAACAAGCACCTACAGAGGAACAGGTCAACTGTCCATAAACGCTCTTGCCCGTTTCTACTATCTTGTCACATCAGGCCCGGACCTTCAATGTATGCAAGATATGCATCCTCTCGACGTAGTTCCATAGACATATCACGGCTCAAGTCACTTCGTCATTGAGGTTCCGATGGCTATTCAGATAATCAATCGTGCTACCAGACTGAGAGAGCACTACCAGACTATCTGCCTTGCGTATTTCTAGATGGTTGCAAAGATCAAGCCGGACCTTGTCCAGAACAACTGAATCCGTCCACATTGAAAACCTGGCGCACCGCATCTGCAACCGATCCGCCATCACAAAAGTCGGACTGGTTGAAGGTAAAGGTAGTGCCGCCTCCTTGGGGATCCTGGCAGTTGAAGTTGGTCACTGCAAAACAACCCTCTTCACCTTGCAAGACATTCTGGAAGTTTTGACCATTGACGGTCGCGTCGCAACCACCCTCGATGCCGCTGAGGTTTACGGTCCTTGACAAGAATATTAGGATACACTCGACCAGAAAATGGAAGGTTTACCTACCACGAGAAGAACAGGACATCATCTGTTGCTTTGCAAAAGTCTGCTCGAACCACAACAGGAGCGATTGCTGCTGCGACGAAGATAAGTGATTTGAACATGGCGAGTATTTCTTTTGTGTCTTCGTGGTGATGATCGATTGAAAAGATTGGGGGGGTTTTTCGGCCTTTGAAACATCTGGTGGTAATGAGCTTTGCTCTATATACCCAGGAGTCTCCTATCACGACAGACAATTCTGGCAAGAACTGCTGTTCGTTGTTTGCGTATGCTCTGGACGACCAACAGCAAAGGCCAGTATGCTTGCTTATGCCCTCGGACCACCAACACGTTCTACCAACTCATCCATCCCTAACTACTTTCAGAGCTCTCGCAACTTCAGGATGTGGAAGAAGTAGAGTCATGAAGTCTTTTACGGACAGAGGACGCAAGCTTATTGCACAAATTTCGGGTGTTGGGTTTGTTCTATTCGACAGTAAGTTTGGCATGTCAGCATAACACATGTGGTAGGACAGAATCTTACATATCTGAGGAATGGTGAGTGTCACGATTCACTTCGTCTGCGGAGAACGAGCTCGCTTGTGTCCCTTTGCCAAGCAGCCTCGTCCATGAGTACCCAACATGATGGCAATTCTTGACTATATGCAGTTCTGCACACGCGGCGAGCTGGCGTACGGAAGACGACGACAATTCCTTACTACTGCAACGACATACTACATATAGCCATACCTTACCGCTCTCTGTCTGTCAACACACAACTCAAAAAGGATTATCTCAATTCATCAACTCGCTTTTACCAAGCTCGCATCATTCAAGATGAACTCCAAGGGCCTTTCCATCCTCCTCGCCATTTTCGGCATCAGCGCTCAGCACGCTGTCTTGGCCATGCCTGCCATCTCAACCATGACCATGTACGACGGCAGTTCAGCCACCCAGACAACCACCATGACGACCTCAGTCGCGACCGACACTCCCACGGCCACGAACACTGTCTCAACCGAAACTCTCACGACCACGAACACGAACACTGTATCAACCGGCATCACAAGCCTTAGCTCCACCTCCACTCTCAACTTTACGAGCATGGACTCCAGCGCCATCATGTCTGTGTACAGCTGCGCCACTTCCAGCGTCATGGGTGATATGATGTCGTCAATGAGCTCGGCTATGGGGTCTGCTATGGACAGATGCGCCAACTACTTGACTTATGCGAATTATTACGTCACTGCCAATGCGGTAGCCACTACGACTAGTGGTAAAAGAAGTACTACTTCGAAGACTAGCAAGACCCCAAAGTCTGCTTTGAAGTCTACTTCTAAGACGAGCAGGACTTCTGGAAAGGTTACTAAGACTACATCTACTGAGTCGCCTGCTGCTACTAGCACTTAAAGTCGATCACGAGGGAAATGTGTAGAAGAGGTCTTTTCGGGACTACGAGAAGTTGAATTGAGATAATTGGAGTGGTTGGATAGCTAGTTCAAGTCAGTATCAACCAGCTATGATATCATGTTTGTTCATCTGTCTTGCTTGAAGAACCCTCCGCAACCTCATGACCAGCTTGCACGCTCCTATGAAAACACTTGGGAGGATTTCTGAGAAACGTCTCGTGCTGAAGGACTTCTTGCATACCTTTCCTCGACTGACGCAGAATAAGAAGAGCAAGTTCGCCCCATGGTGGTTTCATGGATGCAGCTTCCTCTTCATCTGATTCTTTCCAGGTTTGATCTGATTGACTGCCTCTTACTGCAATGGATAGATATTCATCTTTTGCTTGCTCGTTTTCTCCTAGAACGCAAAAGTCACCTGCATATTTGAAGAGCAGGATGTTGAGGATCAGTCGACACATACGACCATTGCCATCAACGAAGGGATGGATGTTGATAAACTTGTGACAATACTTTGCTGCCAGTAAGTAAGGGTCGATGTGGCCAACTTGTTCAGCCGCGAGTATCTCGGACGACAGTGCCGCGATCAAGGCGCGCATCTCGCGTGGGACGTGCTCAGGGGCTGTGAACGTAGTGAGGCCAGCGCAGACGTCTGTGGTACGGTACACGCCGCCGTAGACGTTGTAGCTGTCAGCAGCAGAGTCAACCTTATAGGTCAAGATCTTGTGAGCTTCAGGTATCAACTCCTCTGAGAATGGCTTGTCCTGCAGCACAATTTCGTCAAGAAGAAACATGAGGGCGCAGAGATGTTGTACCACTTCGCGGTAGATTTTTTGTATTGTCGCATCGTCGTCAGTCCGCTCTCGTCTGGGCTGCTCCAGCTTAAGCCAACGGTAGACGATATGCTTCTGCGAGAGATGTTCGGGGGTTTGTCTTCCGAGAGAGGATCGCCAGAGACCTGTTGTGCAAACAGGACTTGTTCCTGCCCCTTCGATCAAATTCGATCCATGCACTATTCGACAGAGGGCTTCAAACACGACATTTTCTTTTGGGGAATAAGGTGGCGTGGAGTTGAGGTGAGTGCGCAGCTCTTCTGTGGCGGCGAATATGCCCTCTGGTTGTTCGGCGTCGTCGTCGCAATGGAAGTTATCGTAAGCGTAAATGTCAATAGAGTGTTTCAGGCTGCCATCAGACCACACACAAGGGGCCATTGATTTGAGTATGGGATCGAAGATCTCATTGTTGAACGACATGGTTAATAGCCTGAAAGCTTGGGTGCAAGTGAATCCTGTAAGAAGCTAAAGCTATGAGGCTGCCGAGTGTCTCTATGGCAGGTTCATTGATGTACTGAGTTTATTGGTGTGAGTCACGATTGACTTGGAGGTTGGACAGTGAAAGGATCTGTGAGAGTCAGAGTTCGCGCAAGAGTTTGTTTGTGCACGTGGTCGTGGTCATACTTCTCATTCTCTCCTGCAGCCTTCCAGTGCGCCAAAGAAAGTCACAACGAAGCTGCCAAAATGTACAATACTGTCATAAAGAATGTAGTGTCCACAAAGAGACTTGATCAAAGGTCATCTCCATGGTTAGAGTAAGATTTCAGTTGCAACTGTGCATTTTGATAGCGTATTTCCACACTTGTACTTGCAATAGGGAAGTAGTCAATTGCAAAATTGAAATGGTCACCAGTCATCAAGCACCATGACACAGCAATGGTACAGTCAGCTGTTCATTGTTTGCATCAGATCGAGACGAAGTAAAAAGAATATATTGTTGGCCAACAAGAAAAAAGAATACCAGATTCTAGCAAACATGTGAGAAATAGAAGATGACAAAGAAGAGTTATGAACAAAGGAGATACGAAATCGTGATGTTCAACGAGAACTTCACCTAAGCAATACCAGCACCAACACCTCCACCAACGTTGGCAGCTGCATTACCTGCGCCCTGGCCTGTTCCAGAGACTCCATTGCCAGCCCCCAGTCCAAGGCCTAGAAGTCCACTCCCTGAACCCTGGCCGATGCCGTTAACGCTGCCTCCAAGGCCGCTACCCAGACCACGCTTGCTGCGTCTGCCCAGAGCACCTCCCAGACCGCCACCGATGCCAGCGACAGCGCTACCGGTGCCCTGTCCGATTCCAGACACACCTGAACCTGTGCCCTGTCCGATTCCGGACACGCCTGAGCCTGTTCCCTGACCAATTCCAGAGACTCCAGATCCCGTTCCTTGACCAATACCGGAGACGCCTGCACCTGCACCTTGGCCAATTCCAGACACTCCGGAACCCGTGCCTTGGCCAATGCCGGAGACACCAGCGCCTGCTCCGCTGCCAATGCCGCGCTTCGAGACGCCGTTACCAGTGCCCTGGCCAATGCCATCAACACCAGCCCCGGCACCTTGACCGATTCCAGAGACACCGGAGCCAGCTCCTTGGCCAATTCCAGCGACACCAGAGCCTGCACCCTGTCCAATACCGGAGACGCCGTTTCCTGCTCCTTCACCAATGCCACCGACGGCGTTTCCGGCACCATTGCCAATGCCGCTTAGAGCACCACCAAATCCACTGCCAAGACCTGCTTCGGCGATGGGCATGGCGGTCACGGAGACGGCGGCAGCAGCGCAGAGGGCGAGAGCGAACTTCATTGTGGTCTAGACAGCAAGTCAGCGAAAAATTGATTTGATTTTGATAGAAGATCTCGTACGAGTCGAGTTGTGGATTGTAAAAGAAAGTTGGAGGTAATGAATGTGGTTTAGTTCGAAGGAATGTGGTAGGTTGGTTAGTTGATTGTGGTCGTCGATGGGCGAATGAATGTGAGTGAGTGGAAAGATGACTTGAGCTGACGGGGAGGCGGTATTTATGCATAGGTAGACCAGTAAGGATGATGAGGCTGTGCGCGAACTTGATCCGAAAACAAGAGCTGTCCGAGGCCTGGCAAAGACATTGCGTATGACATTGGACACTAAGGCTTGCCTGATTATAGGGGCGAGATAGCATTAGGCGCAACTAGCCAGTATCAGATGTTGAGTGGCATCGAGTCGTGTTGTTGTTTGAGACTGTGGCGAAGCGTCCACCACGTGAATGGTGGCCTCGACAACGTTGTCATCGCATGTTGACAGCTCGACCGACTCTTGATTTGTGCCCTTGATGAGGTATGTTCAGCATGAGTTTGCAAGACAACCACTTGGACATCCTGGTCGAGCAGCCAAGATTCAGCGTCAACTGGCTTCTCTAAGCAATACTTAGATGCGGGTGCTCTACAATAGTCAAGTGAAATTTCAGGTAGGATACGTCCTGTTTGGAGTTCAGCGATAATCGAGTTTGACTACAAAACCTACAGAGTCAGAACGAGACTATAGTCTGAGGTCGTGGTAAGTGTCAAACAGCTATGACGAATATTATACGTGGAGTTGAGGCACGGGCATGTCGTGCGGGAGCAGGTAGCTACTCCGCGGAGCCTCAATTTGTGAAACATGATGGACAGCCTGAGGCAGGAACGATGTCGGATGATCCGTGAAGACGGGTATAACAACATGTCCCTCCTTTTTTCCCCCTGTCATGCGGAGTCAAGACATGTCAGTGCGAAGTTTCAAGTTCACGTGTCATGGAGACAAGCTCCCGTCAATGCTCAGGATCGGTGGCCTCGAGTCCAGGTCGACCATACGCGTAATGGGATCACAGAGGAATGTTATGACCTTGATGAACGCATGTTGCAATTGTGATGAATGGAATGGTGGATGCGAAACGTGGCAGCTGCATAGACTGTCACCACACAACTCACGAGCGTCGGGCAGAAGGCGCGACCACAGAGGACGCGACCGCAACGCCTTCTCACTGTCTTCTCGGAGCAAACCAAAATCATCTGTTGATTGCTGAAAACCGTCGCGAAATTGAATAGCAAATCGAAACCGTCGCTGCTTGACCTTATCATGCTGCTGGGCTCGAGGCTGTAGGTACTCATATTCGGTCTTTGCTCATGCCATTGCAGCCCAGGCGCGTCTCCTTAGCAGTCGCGCCGATGATTTTGCACACTCTTTCGAATTCTCCGACAGTATTGAGATTGGATCTCAAGTGACCCGTCAGCAGAATCAGCCAGATGCAAACGTTGCTAGAGACAGATAGAAGCTTATTCGGAGATGCGTTGGGCAGGATGTCTACGTGTAATTTGCGGTATTCTTGGCGGTGATGTCCTCTCCAACGTCACTCGCTTCTCTCCTTTTCACACATCAATGAGCATCAACCTACCATCGTTATTCAACGATATCGCACTGCTGCATTTGCGTAAAATGACGGCGTGAGTATTTGTAAGGGCTCGCGCAGCGTCTTTGCATTCTGGCCATGATGCGATAACCCTACAATGACACACAGGAATCTGACAGCGCGATATTCCGCTAGATATCATCAGATATGGCTGTGAGGTACTTGGATTGAATATGATGAGCCTCGACCGCCCCCTCCTGCACTGCTTTCTAAAGTGTTGACTTCAGACGCGCGAAGCTCAGATACGCCCACATCTCCTGTTACAGAATCCCCGAACAACTCTGGTACGTGCTCTCCTAAACCTGCTCTCTCTGCAGTTGCCTCCGCGCTAGCTTCTTCTGTCTCCCCTCCTTGTCGAACCAACTCTTCACTTGAGCCTGTGGACGACCAAGCGAGTCACTCTGTTGCGCATTCGAATTCAGAGTGTCGGCTTTCAGAGACATACAAATCACTGCGGATCTCTAAGAGACAACGACTGAAACAAAAGAGGCATAGAATATGGCGAAAGATTAGAGTGGAAACGCCGCGAACGGCGTTTCAAGATGCGCAAGGTTAGACATTCCAGTAGTGATGATAACGCTAGCTGAGCGAACCTTTGCGGGGGTTGCTTGACCTCTGTCTCGGTGGAATGAAGTGAAAGACTGAACGGAACTTGCTTGCCACAGCAACGTGTACTTGAAGTAGTGAGTACATGCCATCCGGAGCGTGACTGAAGTCAGGTATCCGTCCTGCGCACTGGACCATCGGTGTTGGCTGAGAGCAGTCGCCAGCCAAAACGAACAGCTCCTTCTCGAATTAGCAAAACAAATCCCCGCTACCAGGGCTTCAGTCGTAGAAAAGCCCCTGCAGCAGGGAGAAAGCCACCAGTTGAACCTGGTTTCATTTCGAGATGGAGCCATAATGGCTTCGAACGGTTCGACTCCGAGAGTCGAACCGCTGACCTTCCAGCGGGGGTTGCCAACACTTACGTGTTGGCGCAAGACCGCTGGGCCAATCCACCGCTTGTCGGTAAAGCGATGGAGGCAGGTGGATGGGATGCGATGATGCTGGTATATGAGGGATGAGAGTGAGTATGTGGTTGCTTTGAGTCATGTGGTGATGTGATGTTGATTGTTAATACGCGGTTCGATTCTTCCACTGCCCCTTTGATTTTGCGCGCTAATCTTACAACTGAGCCCTTATATCAGATGCAGTAGTCACTGTTTCTTTCTCTGCTGGCCATCGTTCTTCGACATCGCGTTGGCAATCGAAAGACATCAACCAACTGCCAACGCCATATCTTCTCCAAGCCAATGGATCATCACCCAACTTCCACCCTGCCGGCAAGTCAGCATTCAGGTTGCCAGTGAGCCTGATCTCCGTCTCGAGTTCTTCGAACGCCTGAAACCTAGCATCTCGAGCTTCCTGTTCCGGCCCGTCATCGAAATGATAGAGCTCTTGCTGCAGATTACCTCTGGCAACAATGCTCTCAGTACGTACCCTCCTACAGTCCTCATACACACCCAAGGCCTTTTGCTTCTCCTGATACGATTTGTTTTTGATCTTGCCCAAACAAAAACCGAGTGTCGCGCCATCTTCAAGCGACATACCTGCCCCTGATGCTAAATACGGCAGCGTGGCATGTACACAGTCCCCAAGAAGAACGAAAGTCACATCTTCATTTGACCATGACGACTCCAGACCAGCGCGGAAACACAACTTCCACTTCTGCACTGATTGGCACAGCGCAAGTAGTTTTGGTATACGAGGATCCCAGTCTTTGTACAGCTCAATCATTTCTTCGACATTGCCGTCTAAAGTCGTCGCGTCCGCTGGCATGTCATCGGGTACGAGCAGTACCATGTTGAAGAGCTCGCCATCTCGAAGCACATAGTTGACTGCGTGTGCTCCTGGCCCCATCCAGTATCGAACTTTGTGCGGTTTGTCGAGCAGTGGGGCGAGTTCTGGATCTTCCTTCATGGCTTTCGTATCAAGGAGAACGCGGTATGCAAGGTCGCCAGTCGGTGTAGGAGGGCTAGGAGTACCGAGAAGAAGGTCTCGACACGTCGAAAAGATGCCGTCAGCACCGACGACAAGATCAGCGGTCAGACGTTCTCCAGACTTGAGGATGACAGTGGCAGTGTCTTTTGCGTCTTCCTCGTACCTGATATCGATAACTCGAGCATTAATCGAAAAGCTAGCTCCTAGTTCCACAGCCCTGTCCAAGAGCGCCTTATGCAAGTCCGCTCGATGAAAGTCCCAAAATGGAGTTCCATACTCCTTGGTCGCATCTACAAAATCCATGGAAGATAGTCTCTCACCCTTCCAGCCGAGCATCATACACTCATCAGGAAAAGTGACATGGCGAAGAAGTCGTTCTTCTAGGCCCCATTGGATAAGAACGCGAGAGCTGTTCGGCAGAACTTGGATACCAGCTCCTACTTCTGCAATCTTAGACGCGCTTTCCAGGACATGTACTTTATGGCCAGCGAGGAGAAGCGAGATAGCGGCGCCTAGGCCTCCCAAGCCAGCACCAACAATGATGATCTGAGGTTGTGTCAATAACGGTTGATAGACGCGCTGTTGTACTTACGTTTAGTTGGCTGCCTTCATCTCGAATTTGCTGCTTGAGTATTGGCACATTGAAACTGCCGCTCTTCATTTTGATCTTGTTAACTTCAAAGATGTTTTATTAGGCAGATGGTTTGTTAAGAGCTGTTGTGCTGATTGCTTGAATATGTTCTGCTTTGCTGTTGACATATACCCAGCCAGATCGTGTGTTTATCTTGAACATTTAATCTTTGCCTTCGGCAGCTGTCACGCAACTGGAGTACAGTGGAGATACCAGAAGGGGTGGGAGTCCAGCTATACTCAAAGGTGGGGTTGACTACGAGTTGGCCCCGCACAAGTGTCACCCTATCTATGGCTTATCTTTCTGCCGAGCTGCACTATCGGGGCACAAAGGCAGACTAAAGCGATCAGACCGGGCATGGCAATGTATGAGATTTCAAAGATACTGCAAAGATCGATTGACTCATCATTCCGCGTCGTTGATCAATCTCCAGGGCACAAGCCCTTTCAAAACCAGCATGCCATCTCTAACAACAGCCCATCTGACTTTACCCAGTTGCTTCGAGATGACAGCTGTCAAACCAGCAGTGCTTACCTTCCTGTTGCTCGCCTGGGAGGAAGCCAACTGTTCGGCTGTGCCGCTGGTCATACCACCAATCAAGGCATTCATGTCCGCCTGTGCATCCCATATCATCTCATCTTCATCATCATCCGAGCCCCTGCTCTGCTTGCCGCCAGGCCTCGCGTGGTGATAACTCCACACAGTGACCGTTGCAAGATATAGGCACCAAGGATGGATAAACAAGCCCCCTGCATCAAACCCTTCGAGATTCATCACAGCATCCTTGATGATGTGTCCGGCATGCCATGCTGCTTTCGCAGCGTATTGAGTCTGCTCGTTCGCCCATCGCTTCACAACTCGCTGCGATCTAGTATAGTCTTCTCTCCGTACTGGTCTGCCCAGCAGATGTCTGGCACCAGCGTATATTTGTATGTCCAAAAAATCGGAGAACAGAACAACATAGGCTGCATGGTATAGCGCAGAGTTGGCTGTCGAGAACATTGCAAAGCCTTTTCGTGCTTCTTGCTGTTCTGCTGGCGTCATAGATGTTGATGATTGTGAAAGTGTTTGTGTGATTGACATCACGTATGTATCGAAGTCGGCTTTCCAGCTATCGTATGTCGACGCGATGCGATGCTTCCAGCCATCAAGCATATCGTTTCCAACAACACCTGTCAAACATCAGCGTCCATCGTTGATTCATCGCGGGTAGCTCGTCTTACCTAGTGATGTCTGATCTCTTCTGTTCATGTCCCAGGCAATGGACATGAGACCATGTAGGATAAGCACCCGAGATAGCGCATTCAACTTGTGCGTCACCATTGGCGCTTGTGTACCGATGTGTGTTTTTAGTGCAGTCAAGAAGAGTATTGGAGGAGTCTGTGTTTTGCGTAGCTTTTGCCAAGTCTCTGCAGATTCTGCCTCCCACAAGGACTGGTCGCATGGTAAGGTACAGCGCAGTTCGAAAGACGACATGCAGAGAGACTGACAGAATAGCACAGCATGCTGTGTATCCCACATGAAGCAGAGAAGCGCAAGTCTACCATGTATCAGTGTTATTCCCACAAAACCAATCTGTTGCGAACACGAACCTCTTTTTCTGCTCCGCATCGGCCCAAGCTTTCCATTCATCCTCAAGATCACCGTTGAATTCTAAAGATGTCTCTGGCTTTGCTGTTTGACAGTCGCTGCGACGTATCAGGTTGATCAAAAGTCCATGGAAAAGATGGGACATGTCGTGTTGTTTCTGTCCCGCTCGAGATTTGCCGAAGCACTCCACAAGCAAGATGGTCTGCAACATCCAGAGCTCAGGAACGGCACTGAAACTTGCATGAGCAAAAATTTGCGGTCGCAGAACATCATGTATGCAGACCTGTATGGTTGTTAGCAAGTTGTATGCAGTTTAGTAGCTGGCACCATACCGCTATCTGATGTGCATCTTTCTCGCAATACGTTGCACCAAGCAGTAAGACCGATAAGAGGAGGAGAGTATCCACCTTGGCAGGCTCGAAAGAAGGAAGATGTATCAACGGATATGTCGCGTTAAACCTTGTAAAGAAGAGATCAGAATAGATCTGCAGAGCTGGGAGAGCGAGAAAAGTGTGATCAACTGTGACATAGTCGCCTGTTGGCGCAACGGGCCGAACATTCTCAACTAAGCGCAGAATATGAGAGCGAGCTAAAGCGTCTATCTTGGGCAACCTGGTGTTTGCATTTAGCAAGCTCATAGGTTTCTCCAACCCTTTCGGAAGAGGTGATCTTCGCAGAGATGCTGGATTTACAGGCTTGCACCGTTCTGTAGAAGACATAGATGTCGCTTTGGTCGACGAAGTCGAGGTCGTGTGACTGGATGCAGTAGCGGAATCTGCATGGGTGGGAGACGTCTGAGAGGGCGTTAAGTTCTGATGCTGTAGAGGATCGACCATGAGAGCAATAGGGGCGTGTGACTCCACCATTCTCGTTTCAGGCGGCAAGTCTAGCAAATCGAAGTGCATGATATCGTTGGAGCTTGTCTCGGTTTGCGTTGGGGGAAAGGCACCACAGTCCATGTTCTCCAAGGTAAAGTCGTGGTTCAGCTGAGTATCAAGGTCGAAAAGCCAATTGTAATTACTCATAGTGGTATATGGCATATTGAACGAACTCGCTGGGTCAGGTCAGCAAGACAATGCAAAACGCAATTTATCGTCAGGCCCGAACCTGTGTCAGGATTGAACGCATCCTCGAAAAGATCGTCGTCCACAGAAAAATCGGGCATGTCTGTCAAGAGCCCGGTTTGTGTCAACGCGGCAGTGTCCAGTTCTGTCAAGACTGGTTGGTTCTGACTGAGAGGCAGCGACCTGTCCAAGGCATTCCCGTTCGTAGCATCAGAACCCTGATTATCTGCTGTGCCAAATGACAACGGTGGTGAAAGCAAAGGAGCTGCATCGTTGATGGCAACGGTCTCTTGTTCGTTGTTCTCATCCAGCTGAGGCTTCTTACTGACGATATTGCCATCTGCATCTTTCCAGGACCGCTTGCGAGTCATGAGAGAACTTCCTTCTGCATCTTTTGCTTCATGTCGAGCTAAGTGTCGATCCAAGAGATCGCGGCGTTTGAAGTGCGCTCGACATCGATCACAGGTAAAATCACCTCCGGCGTGATTCTGGTAATGCCTTTGCAGATGCTCATGCCGAGTAAACTTTCTGTTGCAACCATCGTGAGTACAAACAAATTTTTTCTCTGCCGTGTTGGATCTAGACTGCGGCATGGTTGAAATTTGATGGTGGTGAGAAGGAAAGAACAAAACGTCAAAGAGTGTCAATGGCAAGTTGCATGCAGGATACTCAGTGAATGTGAGTTTCACACATTGTTCACCTTATCAGCTCAAAGGGCAGGAGCGGCAGGGAACACATGGCGTGCGGGGCAACGATGGCTGAGCGGCAACGGAGCTGTCGGCGACACTACAATGGTATTCTGGACACTAGTAAGACTCAGACTCATATCTTTTCGAGTATATGTCGGGCGATTTGGTGCTGTAGGAGATAGGTTGAGCTCGGCCAGCTCCTTCGTTGGGCAGGCACGGCCAAAATCGGCCCCGCGTTTTCCCAAGGCTAAGGAGCAGTATTACAACCTAGACCACTTCTTATCAAAGTTGGGGGCAAGTCATTCTACAAGAGTGGGGGACGCATCTCAGACAACAGTGACAATCGTGAGGGTGCTCCAATTCCTATGTGTCATGGCTATGAGATACTGATCAAATTCCAGTCACTGCCGCTCACGCCGCCACCTCAGCACCACCTGGGAAGAAAGGGTAATCCGTGTATCCCTTTTCCGGTGGAGACGCGCCGTAGAAGGTACTTCTATCATACTGGTTGAGAGAGAGACCTTCGGCCAATCGTCTTGGTAGATCCGGGTTTGCGATGAACCATCTTCCCATAACTATTGCGTCCGCGTCGCCAGCTTCAAGTTTAGGCACAGCATTATCGCGCGTGTAAGCACCAGCGGCGAAAAACTTGATACCGGCTTTGGACAAGATCCTTTGGAATGGTACCAAAGAATGGCCGATCTTGCGAGTAGCTTCTGCTTCGACACCATTACCAGAACCATACGCGGACAAGGCATCCATCTTTGCCTTCTCGTCGAGCACTTCGTCGAATCGTGGCTCCACGCTGTGGACATATACTGGTCTGTGGTCTTGAGGAAGTGCAGCAAGTTGTTCACAGAGATAGGCCCAGTGTGAGTTGGGATCACTGTCCTTCGTGTCCTGGAAATAGTTGTAAGGAGAAAGTCGAATGCCGACACGATGCGAACCGACAGCCTCGCATACTGATCTTACGACTTGGAGGGGGAATCTGCAACGGTTCTCGATAGAGCCGCCATACGCATCAGTTCTGACATTAACATTGTCGTGTAGGAATTGATCCAACAAGTAGCCGTTGGCACCTATTGACCGAGTCAGCAAGAGGCGAAGACCGAGAAGCTAGAATGAATTGACCATGGATCTCAACTCCGTCAAATCCTGCATCGATGGCGTTTCTGGCGGCCTTGCCAAAGTCCGCGACCACCTCAGCAATCTCCTCCTCGGTCATGGGCTTGGGTGGTGTGGCGCTGAAGTCCGTACCGTCGAGAGCTTTGCCAGAGATTGGGATATCGCTGGCACTAAGCGGAGTTTGACCATTGAGAAGTCCAGTTGGCGAGGCGCGTCCAGTATGCCACAACTGGCAGAAGATATATCCGCCCTTAGCGTGTACGGCATCAGTCACACGTTTCCAAGCAGCAAGCTGCTCGTCAGAGAAGACACCAGGAACCCCTGGGTATCCACTCGCGTAACGTGAGATATCGGTCGCCTCTGTAAGCTGGAGACCTCCTTTACTGGCTCTCTGACCATAGTATTCAACCATGAGATCAGAGGGAACGTTTACACCCTCGGCGTTCTTCAGGCATCTCATTCTTGTCAGTGGAGCCTGGACCAGCTTATGTTCAAGCGTAATATTGCCGAGTTTCCACGATTTGAACAGCGCACTATCCTTGAGAGGCGCAAATGCTGGTGGTGAGATGGCGGAAGGCATGATGAGTCTTGATTGTTGCAGAAAGTTTGATGATGGTAAGAGTGGTTGTGCGACATGATTTGGCAAGTCGAAATACTTAAATATGTCTTTGAAGGACTGAGGTGCTCGAGTCAAGTCGCAGATCAGTTCATCAAGGTGGGTTTGTTTTTTCTAAGGTGGGGTGTTTCACCTCTTGGATTCTGGCAGCAACATCTACGGGGAAGAGTGGGACTCACAATCAATACCGAGCAACTCAACTTCGGAGCAAATTCGTCTTGGCAAGCTAGCAAGATGGTCGAAGTCTGTGAAATGTGGCTGGGTGAGTATCTCCTTACACCTTTTCCATCTCCAAGCGAAAGAGGTTCCTTGAATTTATGTTATCCCCCACCTTTATTTGTGTCGCCGTTCATGGTATATGTTTCATGACTACTGACCATTGCTAGTCCGAGGAGGGTATGGAGCAAAGATTATATGATCATCCAAAACCCACAAAGGTTACAAACACAAATCCGCGGATTCACAACCATCAAATTCTTCCGGCGCTACGGTTCTGATCAATCATGGGCAAGAAACGAGTACTCGTAGGCTATGGTTAGGATCTCAAACGGCGAATATCTTGGATATACGCTAATATTGTCAGGTGTCGATATCGATGCAGTTGCTGGCTGGCTTGGCAGCTATGGTGGTGAAGATTCGACCAGTGACATCAGCAGAGGTATCTGGGCTGGCACTCATGGTACAAGGAGACTACTCAAGCTATTCGACAAGTACAAGATCAAAGCGAGCTGGTTCATTCCTGGTCACACACTCGAGTCCTTCCCAGAAGATTGCGCAGCGGTACGAGATGCCGGTCACGAGATCGGATTGCATGGCTACAGCCATGAGAATCCTGCAGACATGACCTTCGAGCAACAGAAAGATGTCCTTGACAAGACATTCAAGATGTTGACAGAGTTCTGCGGTAAACCACCACGCGGAAGTGTTGCTCCGTAAGCCATGCTTGTGACAACAGGATGCCCATCAATCTGACCAATTTTGTAGATGGTGGGAGACTAGTAAAGAAGGGACAGAGCTTCTTCTGTCTTATGGTATAGAGTATGATCACTCTATGAGCCACGAAGATTGTCAGATGTATTGGCTCAGGACCGGTGACACCTGGACCAAGATCGATTACACCAAGAAGGCCGAAGAATGGATGAAACCCTTGGTCAAGGGTGAAGAAACAGGTCTAGTGGAGATTCCTGGGAGGTCTGTTGCTACACAAGTACATGATCGATTGAGCACTAATGTTGTCCAGTTGGTACATCGACGACTTGCCGCCTATGATGTTTATCAAGAACAGTGCCAACAGTCATGGTTGGGTGTAAGCGTTACTTTGGACGCCCCTGAATGCCCGATGCTGATTACATCCAGAAACCCTCGCGATGTTGAAGACATATGGAAAGATCACTTCACATATTACTACCGCGAGTTTGACGAATTTATCTTTCCCATGACTATACATCCTGGTAAGCAATTCAGGTTCGCTGTATGAATTGATGCTAAAACCTCGCAGACGTAAGCGGAAGACCACATGTCCTTCTCATGCATGAACGCATTATTGGTCAGTGCAGATATTTTTTTCAAGAATCCCTCCCGTGAATACTGACGTGTTTTTAGAGTTCGTCAATTCACATGAAGGTGTGGAATGGATGACCTTCGAGCAAATGTCGGACGATTTCAAGAGCAAAAATAAACCACCAGTCGGGGGCCTGATGCCTGCCAGTCGTGATGAGGCTTTGCAGAAAGCAAAGAGCTGATAGCGATGAGGGCAGCCATATCATATCGATGTATACAAAGGATAGCATTTCATGTCTTGCATATCTCGAGCACTTGTTCACAAATGATCTTGAGGATAGTTGTGCTTCTCAACTGTTGTCGTGTTCGTGTGATAAGCTTATCAGTACACAGATTTGGAAGGGTGCGGCTTCGGTTGGCCTATCGCACCTATTCTCGGAGCGGAGACCAACCCCATCTTTGACACTCTGCCACCACGTTACTCCAATTCTGACACTATACAAAACATACCGCGAACAGGATGCATCAACTACATCTCCAAGATAGTGTACTGGTCTGCTTGGGATTCCGCCTTCTCTCATTGCCGCTTCCATAACCATCATGTGGCGTCTGTTCTCTCGGTCGACTCCTGATGCCCTGGCGGGCAAGTCTGAGCCTCAGAAAAACCTGCCTGCAAGTTGGTACAGATCCGATGCATTGTATGAGCTCGAACGGCGAGCGATCTTCCAAAGAAGCTGGATCATCCTCACCCACTCTCTGAGATTTGCTAAAGCTGGGGATTACATGTCTTTCACTGTCTCTGGTATCTCATTCTTCTTGATTCAGGACCGCGAAGGCAACATCAATGGCTTTCACAACGTATGCAGACATCGGGCATACCCTGTTGTTCAGTCACAATGTGGCACTGCCAGTATTCTCAGCTGCAGATATCATGGCTGGTCTTACTCTGCCAAAGGCCAGTTGACCAAGGCTCCGAGGTTCGATACTGTCGATGGCTTTGACAAGAACGAGCACGGATTACTGCCCATAAACGTTCATGTGGATAAGGCCGGCTTCATTTGGGTGAACTTGCAAGCCGGCGAGCCCGACATCAAGTGGGACGACAAATTCAAAGGCATTGACGAATCCCCGAGAATGACAATGTTCGACTTCGCCAAAGAATTCAAATTTGACCACTACTGGGAGATGGACGTCAAGGCAAACTGGAAGTCGCTGATTGATAACTACAACGAATGTTATCACTGTGCGACATCACATCCGCTCATTGCTGGAGTCTCAGATCTGACCAAGTATCGAGTCGACCCCACTAATGGATACATGGAGCACAATATCTTCAACAAAACACAGACGGACGGTCAATTCAGGAGAAATATCACATTCTTCTACCCTACGACGAGTGTGACGGTGACGTACGAAGCCCAATTGTCTTCTTGCCGAACCAAGTGAAAGCTAACATGCGTAGGGACAACTTCTTCTACATCCAACGGATGTTCCCAATCACAGCCACAACCAGTAAGATCGAGTATGAAGTATTTCGCCATACGAATGCTGGCGATGAAGAATTCAGAGCTATCAACGACTTCTACGTGCAAGTACTCAACGAGGACAAGGAACTATGCGAAGCGGCCCAAGGAAATCTAAGCGCCGGTGTGTTCGTGAACGGTGAACTTCATCCAGAGAAAGAAAAGGTGAGTCCCTAATTGATAAGTTGACAAGCTCTCGTACTAATGACTGATTGGATACCAGGGTCCTCTATACTTCCAGAAAGATGTGCGAGAAATGGTTATGGAGCATCGCAAGAAGGAAGAAGAGCAAGGTGGTGAGGAGATATGGCCTGCTGTGCCGAAAACCTCGAGCAGTGCCAGACAGAAGGAAGAAGAGGACTTTGTGTCCAAACTGGATGAAGCTGCGGGCTGCATGCCTTCCAGAGTAGACTTGACTTGGTAAAGCTATCGGAAATTCTTTGTCAGGAAGACTAACTACAGAGGTTTCATACTTGAGAAACAATATCTTGCGATCTTCCATGCACCGTTTACCTTCTGACAGATGAATATCTCTTGATTATGGTGACTCTCCTGCGATCCCTTCAACAACCAATGCTTGGTCCCAGCAGCCGTGGTCCTAGCAAACGCCCAGTCCTTGTCCATGATCACTATCTCATCGATGGAGAAGTCAATGTCGAGTTTGATGGTTGAGAAGATGCGTTCGTATGATGACTTGAGTGCTTCTTTGCCCACTGAGGGTTGATAGCCGGGTGCCATCAGGACACCATCGTCAGTGTAGATGTTGAGGACATCTGAAATGAACCGAGTTGACAAAACAGCGCCATAAGCGTGTAGGAGATCTGTGATCTGCTCTTGATCAGACACTGTCCAAATCAGCTATACAGATCGGTTCACGTTCTCTCTGCTCTTACTTTTGAGGATATGTTGTGGCGCAGTTTCTAGACTCCAAGTATGATCCTCAAGATTCAGGGCGTTCGAGATTACAGATAATCGCTGTCTCTTTGTAATGGCTTTACCTGTGAAATCATCATTTTGTTAGTGCCCATCGCTCCGAAAAGGAAGCCGGCATACTACCCTATCGTTATCGCTAAGCCGGCAGGACCCAACTTTGCCCCCATTCTTGCCGCTTACCGGGACCTCCACCATTTTGCAAGAAACTGACCTGGAAAGGAAGCACAGATAGAGATCAGTCACGTATCTTCACGGCCTCCAGTCATGTAGGCTGGTGGGAGATCATCACACTGCCCATGACACTGACGACATTATAATGATGGCCCGCGCGATAATTCAGAGTAATCAGAGTCATAGCCTCTTCCAAGTCCTGAGTGACCAAAAACAGAACTTCTGATCTTACGATGTCTCGGGTACGGCGTGGATACAACACTTCATGACGAAAACTGACGATGGATAGTTTTCGTTGGCCGGCAGGACTGCGCTTGTCACCGGCGGAGCTCGTGGCTGCGGCCTGGCCATGGCTGAAGGACTCGCCGAAGCAGGTGCGAACATCGCAATATTCGACATGATCGAGCCAGAACCAGCATTTTCAGAACTCGCGACGAAGTACAAGGTCAAAACAGTGTTCTATAGAGTCGATGTAACATCGTCCGAGAGTCTGAGCGATGGGTTTGCGGAGTTCGAACGAGATTATGGTGGTGCGCTCGACATCTGCGTACCTTGTGCAGGAGTCAACAAGAATGTCAAGCTCCTTGATACGACTCCGGAAGACTTTGACAGACTGATCAACGTCAATATCAAGGGTGCTTACTTCACCATGCAACATGCCGCTAACATGATGATCAAAAACAACACAACTAAAGGGTCCATCATACTAGTGGCCTCGATTGCAGCTTCCAGGGCAGTTCGAGGACAATATTCTTCGGCGTATTGTGCAACCAAGGGAGCTGTCAGAGCGATGTGCGCACCGGCTGCTGTGGAGCTCGCTGAGTACAGCATTCGCGTCAACACGATTTCGCCGGGATATATCAAGACGGAGATGACGGCGCCGTTCCCGCACCTGCTCGAGAGCTGGAAATCGGAGGTCATTAACAACAGGATCGGCATGCCGGACGACATCAGAGGGGCGTGCATCTTCTTGGCCAGTGACGCGAGCAGCTACATGACTGGCAATGACATTGCAGTGGACGGGTGAGTTATCAATTTCCGAACATGCTTGATTCTCCACTTACATTGATGCAGCGGAGTATTGAACTGGTGATGCGGGATAGACAAGACACCTAGGGAGGATCAAAAGCTTGACGCAGACAAAGTTAGATGACGAGCTGTAGAAGTCATCAGCTGCGTCCGAGTGATGTTGTGGTTCAATTCCGGCTGCATCGATTTTAGTAGAAAATGCAGATATGTGTATGAATGGTCGCCTTGCGCTTCCATTAGTCGTCTACCAAGGCTTAAAAATGTCATCGAGATTTCATGTCTGCTGTGAGATTTGCTGAGATAATCTCTGAGCCTTTGCGACGTACGTCTCTGCCACAGTGCCTCCTGCGAACCCTAGAATGATCACAAAAGTATGTCATGCTATTGTTTGAGAAGCGCGAAAAAATACTCAGTTTGTTGACCGTAGCGCCCGGCCATTTGCTATGACAGATATCTTGATCGCCCGAGCCTGGTGAATTATTGTATGAGCAAAGTAGCCAGTGACAGCGATGGTAGCGCCACTAATCTAGAAGCGGTAAATCGATGTATGACTGTCGGACATAGGCCGCCAAATACGCAAGCGAGCCGACAAGACTGGGTTCGATCATGGTACACTGATGATGGTGGACGACGCCAGCGCTGCGATTGTCCAAGACTTGAGATGACGAGTCCGTCAAGGAGGCGAGCAATGTTGAACCTGTGATGGGAGACGGTCAGGGAAGGAGCGGGGATGTTTTGCCGTAGTTAGCCGAAGTTGCAGAGGGTAACACCCTGCCGCTTGTCGTCGTCACCGCGAGGTCGCTCCCATATCATTGCGTTCAGGTTGTGAGCCTTGTGAATCAATTATGTGGAGGCCTCTCCTCCACTGAGAAATACAAAACATAGCTGATGTTCACTCAAGCAGATAAAGTGAGATGATCGCTTTTGAAAGGAGATCATTGCCAAAAGTGGGGTGGTTATCGCAGCGCAAACGTCAACGCATCACTCACTTCAATCACAACATCGAATATCGCTCACCATCGTTTAACACATATCCATGCGCCGGAGACCCTGAGTGTGTCAGAGATCATCAACAATGAGCCAAAAAGCAGCATCATCAACAGTCCCCATCACGGTGACGGAGATTGAGGAGATCGCCAAAACCAGATTGCCGAAGAATGTCTACGACTACTATGCATGTGGTGCAGACGAGCAAAAGGCGCTAGCTAGAAACTCTTACATGTTTGACAGGTGACATGAAGCAAAATTAGATCCCTGAAGGCTCTGGTGCTGACTCTTTGTAGACTTCTCATCACACCACGCGTCATGATTGACGTGTCACACGTAGACACAAGCACTGCCGTTTTTGGCAAACGTTACCCCTTTCCAGTAGCCTTCGCTCCAAGCGCCATGCAAAGGCTTTGTCATCCTAGAGGAGAGCTTGAAGCTGCTGAGGCTGCAGCAAGCACTGGTCTCTCCATGACACTCTCCTCTCAGTCCACGACCAGTCTCGAAGATGTGGCAGATGCATGCAACATCTCAAACCGTGACGGTCCCGACTTTTGGTTCCAGCTCTATCTGACTCAAGATCCCGAGTACAGTCGCAAGCTGATCAAGCGTGCTGAGACAGCTGGATATACTGCCCTCGTGCTGACTGTGGACACTCCAATCCTTGGCAACCGCATCAACGAGAGAAAGACGCCTCTGGTTCTCCCTGAAGGCATGCAGCTGGGTAACTACGCACCTCCCAAGCAGGGCATCAAGGGACCAGCCACCGAGCGTGTCTATTTGAATGCCCATACAGTCGATGAGGCCAACGAGATCATCAACAAAGCAGGACCTACTATGCACAGCTCAAGCCTTACCTGGCAGCATACCATCCCCTGGCTTCGCAAGGTGACTTCCATGAAAATCATTCTGAAGGGAATCATGACTGCGGAGGATGCCAAGCTAGCAGTCGAGCACGGTGCAGATGCCATCGTCGTTTCTAACCATGGTGGCAGACAACTGGATCTGGTCCCTGCTACCATCGAGGTCCTCCCTGCAATTGCTGATGCCGTGGCTGGACGCATCCCCGTCATCTTCGATGGAGGTATTAGGCGTGGAAGTGATGTGTTTAAGGCGATTGCACTCGGCGCTGACCTTGTTCTCATCGGTCGTCCTGTTCTTTGGGGCTTGAGCTACGACGGCAAGAAGGGGGTCGAGGCCGTGACCAACATCCTCGAAAGAGAGCTCTCGCGCACAATGACTCTTGCCGGCGTCAGAAACATCAAGGAAATTACTAAGGACAGCTTAGGTCTTGCTAAGAGAGACGGATTTGGTATCGCAAAGCTTTGAGCCAGCGGCCTCTCTCTTCCTCCAGAACAGAGGTTTGTATAGAGAATTCAAGCAATAAACAAATTTATCGAAGCGCAAATCCATCGCCTGCTGAGTTCTGAACCACATAGAGACAGATATACCCCGAACCCTCCAATACGTCCGTACCTTGTTCCTGACGCTCTTCTGCTTCCGAGAATTCATCGTTATCTTAAATTGCAGCCCTGCCGTGTGTTTCGAATGGCAATGCAAACGCAATGAGCCCCACGACAATCCACAGACTAGCACTGACGTAGATAGGCACAACACTAAACTCCGTGTATGTACCGATCAGACTGGCGCAAATGCCACCCAGACGCAGCAAAGTCGCTGCAGTGCCAGTCGCCGTACCTCTATGAGGTGCTGGAAACGACTCAGGGGTGAAGGCATACATGATAGCGTATTCTGCATAACAATTAGAGATTGTGTCAATGCTGGGGAGCTTCCAGGGGTAGGAGACTGACCGAAGTTGGCAAAAAGACCTGTGATGCAGGAGAATGCCAGATCTCCTGCGCGATTCTCTGCAGCAGTGTATGCAAAGAGAAATATGCCAGAGACGATTGCTGAGGCTCCCAACATCCAGCGTCGGCCGAGGCGAGTGTTGACAAGTACTGCAGCGCTCAATGGGCCAAAGACAGAAACGATGGACTGGATGCAATAGTTTCGGTATGTAAGAGACAACGAAGAGTCCGCGGTGAACTTCTTGGAGAGGTAGGTGGGAATGAAATTGAAGTATAACCGGTAAGCGATACCTGTAGTATGATCAGATATGACTAACTACGGAGATGTCAGGGAACATACCAATGGTCAACCAGATCAGCCAAATGATGCTGGTATGGCGGGCCAGTTGTGGATTGGCAAACAAATTCTTGTAGTTGACTGACTTGAAGTCCTTGAGGTTTTCTTTGATGATGATACTGCGGGAGAGTTTCGTGGTCGCACCTGCCTTGACTTCTCCACCAGTGACTCTGTCTACTTCTTGAAGCATGGCAAGCGTCAAAGGCTCCGGCTTTTTGTTGCGACGAGCAATATAGTTGACAGCCTCGACTGCTTCGGCGTCTCTGCCCTTCGAGATGAGATATCGAGGAGATTCAGGCATTTTGAAGATGGCGATTCGGACAAAGGCGAAGACGAGTGTCATTGCTCCAAGGGTGATCATGGTGTATCGCCGAGCAGTGTCAGAATTCGATCTTTAGTTGCCGCTGGAAAGAGGAAAATACTGACCAGCCCATGTTGTCAGCTCTCTTGCATGTTGCAGGTGTCGAGTCAGTTGGACAAGCAAAGTTCGCAAGGAACACCCACGAAATCAAAGACACAATGACTTGCCCAAGCATCCACCAACTACTCAAGGCCTTCCAGCTGTCAGTCAACTAGAAATGGCTGTCGTCGTAGGAATGACTTACTGTGAGAAGGTACTGATGCGAACCAGGAACAAACTCCAAGAATATCATGGAGTCAACAGGCACATTACCACCAGCAGCTGTACCTATGATAGTCCAGAAGATACAAAAGGCTGTGAAGTTACTCAGCCCAGCAACTGCAGTGCCGAACAGTCCTCCGATGATCAGAGTAGCATTAAAGGCCGGTTTTCTTCCAATCAGATCAGCACTTGTGCCCCAGAAGAAGGCGCCAAAGATCAAGCCGGCATAGTACGCGACTGAACTGAGTGTGATGTTCGTCACACCCGGGAACTCGAGTGCCACGGATGGCTGGATGGAGCCGATGCCTTGTGACCAACTGAAGCATGTTAATCGGTGTGGAGAGTGTGTCCAGAATCCACTCACAAATTGTCTGTGATCCAGCCAAAGCCGCTGACTACGAATAGCTCCCATTGATATCTAACTCTATGTGTCAGCAGGTATGACTTGAGAGATGGCTGTGAGACTCACCTTCCCATGCCAATCTCTTCCATGCATTGATTGACAATTTCGGACTTCATGCGGTAGCTGTCGGAGACGGAGCTGCCATAGAAGTTCCGAGTGCCCTCATCGCCAATATCGACGACAGTACCAATCTCAGTTTCGGGAGACGTGTTGTCCCCTGAAGAGTATGAGAGATCCTTCTTCTCAGAATCCATCTTTGTGTGCTTGACTTGTGTGTATATATCCTGGCTTCGTACAATTGCGAAGAACATAAAGTGCTCTTATAAGTCTTGGTGGTCGAGGTATATGACTATTATGTTGCAAGATACACAACTCTTGTTTGAATGGTAGACTGATGTATACTCAGTATCAATTGGATTAGCAAGCAGTCAGTAGCTGAGCGAAGGGTGGGGGTTTAGTCTTCAAGTGGCGCTGACTGATAGTGCGATTTGTCCGGGGTCACTCAATCTAGATCTTAGAGACAATATGGGCTACCAATATTGATAAGATGAATTCGCTTGCAGGGATAGTGATTCCAGTCGATGTAATACATTCACTGAGCATTTTTGAGGGGTTGACGAAGAGCATGAATGCAGCCGACAAACTTGTCTACATGCACGAGGTTGGGTCAGAGTTAGGAGCGTGAGTAACATTTAGAACATAGCTTAGAGAACAAGCTATCCTGCCTGCACACAATTATTGGTTGGCTTGCTCATGCTTCATATATGGTGCAAATCGATCTCATGTCCCCAAACGAATTGTATCTACGAGGCGAGTACGGGCTGTGCACCGTTGACGACCTCCATCTTTGCCTTCGGCTGTTCTTTGAACATCTTTGCCGCACCATAACTAGCCTTGTAGCTGCCACCAACGCAATCCATCACACTGATAGGAGGACACTTGGGAGCTTGACCTTCCTCTCTACAGTTCGGCAGGCATTCAATGACATAGTCAGGGTTGCCACTGTAGAAAAATGGTACGGAGTACCGCTCCTTGCCTGATTTGTTAATGACACGGTGCAGGTTGGAAATGTATCTGTCGTTGGCCCAGCGCATAAACATGTTGCCGAGGTTGACCACGTACGCTCCTTTAACAGGAACAACCTGCATTCATGTCAGCAAGATGGTCGAATTTGCAGATCAGAGGGACCTCATACGTCGAGCCATTCATTGTGCTCCTTGTCGTAAACCTGCAGGCCATCAACGTCGCCTTGCATCAGTAACGTGACAGATCCGAAATCTGTATGTGCTCCAATACCTCTTGCCAGCTTCTCATCAGAGTCGGCTGGCTGAGGAGGATAATGAAGATATCTGAGCGTGGCTACTGCGCCGGTAGTGAACTCGTTGAAGTAGTCATCCTTCAAATCTAGGGTCTGAGCGATTACAGTGAGCACGTCTCTTGCCAACGCGTGCATCTCATTGTAGTACTCCATCGAAGTAGCGCGGAAGTCATCAACATCGAGCATAGTCTCGGGCCAGACATTGGGTCCGCTGTTAAGCTTCTTGCCAACGAAATAAGGATGATCAGTCGAGATCTCTTCGCCGATGAAGTAGCCCTCTTTGAGGTCTGGGTTCGTTCCTGCCTCCAAGATCTGTGAACCAATGCGCTCGTAACCACGATTCCAAGTGTTGAAGTCTTTATAGATCTGTCAGTTGAAGCTAGTGCAAGACACGTCAATGCACGTCATACCTTTGTGTACTCTGTCTTTCTCCTCTTGTGGCTGTGCGAAGAACTTCTTGACCCAGTCCAAAATTTTCTCTTGGAGCTCCACAGGGACTCTGTGGCCGACTATCTGGAAGAAACCATTGTGTAGGCAGCACTTCTTGACTTCTGCGACCAAGTTCGCCTTTGCAATGTCATCAGTGCCGTAGAAGACTGCATATATCAGCATCAGAAAAATCGACTGAGAACAGTGAGCGACTTACCAGAGAAATCAAGGATTGGAGGAGCAGAGGCCATATTGAATTGATAGCTGTAGTAATCAGGATGTTAAGCAGTAGCCTTGGTTGGGTTGTGTAGTGCCGGCGACATGTATAAGGCCAGAGCCGCCAAGCGATAGGCGGAATAAGGCAAACTTCAACAGGAAGCGGGCAAAGATGGGGGCGACTTCCCCACCATGACACCCCGAAAGATTGATCAATAGGTCCATACCGAAACCTCGTTATCTGCCTCGCCTAGCTCTTATCGGATGAGATTAGACTTTGGCCAAGATATAGTGAATTCAATTGATTTCCTGCATCAAGACATGCCGCCGATGAAATGCATTAAATCGATACATAAATTTGCTTTCATGAGCAAACGCCTGCCTTTTCTGATATAACTGGAGAAAACACACAAGCTTAGCGTGAAATACGTATTTTATGCTCGGAAGATTCTTGTATTGTCCTACGTAAATATCAAGTAACTGCATAAATGTCAACTTAGCATGCGAGAAAGCCACTAAAATACTCATTGAACCACACCGAAGCTTGCGCAGTGCCCTCTGTACCATAGGACCAGGACTTCGCAGCGCCGACATAGCCATCCGGCCTTACGATCAACAGGGCAACCTGGTCGTGCTCAAGTGTCCCAATCCATTTATCAATACAGTGTTGGCCACGAGTATCTTGCGAAGGCACATTATCCAGATAGACAGTCCATTTGCTAGCCTGGAGCACAGGTGGAAGGTCGGCTATCTCGAAATCTTCTTTGGGTGAAGAAGTGATGACACAAAAAGTCGACAAACGACTAGCTGCAACATATCGATGAGGTTGGACGAATGCATCTGCCTCCGTGATCGCTGCGCCTTGATCCTTGTACGACACTTCTAGTTCTACAGTGGCTCGGCCGCAGACTGAGTCGGAACACAGAATTCGTGCACAGACGGAGTCCATGAAGTTCTTCGACGCTTGGATATCCTTGCAAACAAAGTATGTTCGGAACTGTCCCAGCATTGGAATATCAAGTTGTGCATCCACTGGATTGGCGTCAATGTAACGAGTAAGCCTTGCTGGGGGCAGCAGACAACCTGGCTTCGCGCCGCCAGTAGTCTCGGAGGTCCAGTTCAACAAATTCGACCCGTATTCGACTCCGACTCCAGAGATGAACCGGACGTTGGTCAAGAAATTGCGTGCCAAAGCCTTTGCATCTCCGTCATGGAATGCATTTGAATGTTCATAATCGAAGTTGATCAGATCTTGCGCAATTTTGCGGCGTTCGTGCTCGTAGGTCTCTAAGAGTGATTGCTTGGCAAGACCACGAACAGCAAGATTGAGCTTCCAGGCTAGATTCAAGGAGTCGTGTATAGATGTGTTCATTCCCTGAGCTGCCTTCGGCGAGTGGGTGTGGCTGGCGTCTCCTGCAATAAATACACGCCCAGAGTTGTCGGTGAAACGACTTGCTACTCGCTGACCGATCTGGTAGATGCCGAACCACTCAACACTTTCCCATGACAATTTGTAAGGCGCCATGATCTGTCTCGCCCTTTCCATGACAAATTCCTGTGTGGCCTTTACTTTGTCCATGGGCTCGTCGGATTCCGGTCGGAGCTCGATGTATAACCTAGTCATGTTTCGCTCGCGAGGAATGCACAACACGTTGCCAGCCTCTTCAGAGTACACGACAACTTTGCTCCATAGATCCGGAAAGTCTGTATCGATGACGCCGTCAAGCACGCCCCAGATAGCTTCGGAGGATGACCCTTGTGCTTCAATTTCCGGTATAGCTTTACGCACTTTCGAATGCGCACCATCGCACCCGACCAGATATCTCGTCTGCCAGAGCCTCTCCTTCTCGGTTGTAATAGAGCGACTGTAAACGTCCAGAGGTACAACTGAACCATGATCTCTATATTTGACGAATGGAGAGCTACGGGTGACTTCAACACCTCGAGCTTGTAAGTCCTGCAAGAAAATATCTTCGACCATGCCTTGATGAACCAGAAGAATGTACGGATCAAGAAGATCTACCAGAGCTGGAAAATGCTCGGCTCGCTCTGTCCTCTTCAGAGGCTTCTCCTTGCTGGAGCTCTGCTTGCAATATCAGCCTCTCTGGAAACTTTGAGATGACTGCGCCGTGCTCACCCAGAAACATATATCGTGAATCCGCACACCACGCTGTAGTAGAGGGTCGGCAAGACGCATCTGCTTCAGAGTCTCGATTGACTTTGGCTGTAAGCCATCCGCTCGTCCTGTTGAGGTTTTATCCGCTCTGTCGTCAAGGATAGTTGTCTTGATGCCGAAGCGAACCAAATTGGCAGCAAGCATGAGTCCAGCAGGGCCTGCTCCAACCACTACCACGTCCTGACCGGAGATGCCATTGAGATCAGATCCATCTATGATTTGAACAGGTGACATTTTCGACAAAGTATTGTGCTATACGTAGGGCAACGAAGGTATGACAGAAGAATCGGAAGATGAAGGCGGCGAATGTTTGAGCAAGATACACAATCCCGTCATGTCGCGAGCTGAAGAACGATTGAGCAACACCTCGAGTTCCGCAGGCACAAGATGCCCCATTGCTGTGGCTCCATGATTGTTTGCATCGCGCGATGCCATCCAAGAGGAAGTCGCAGGAAAGGAAGCTTGCCCGCGGCTCCCCCCACTTTTGATAGGCGTGTGTTAGTCTATGGAACAGTGCCCTTCGCCAAGAGATAGCGCGTGTTTAGAAACGTGCAACAGCGACCGGCTTCTCCAGAGTCCGTCCTGCTTGCTCTGCTTTCTTTACCTGCAGGTACCGATAACGGCACGATAAGTGCAATACATGCTCCTTCAATCAGAGACATCCCTTGAACGAGGATACAGAATGGTTCCAGATATACATCTCGAAGTCTTGCACAATGCGGCACAGAAGTGGGAGTGCCGTTGCGACCAGCAGTACAAGATGAAGCTCAAGACAGACACAACACATCGTAGATGACAGTAGTGCAATTGATTACCATGGAAAAACAGAACCACCAAAACTTCACAACTACTCAGGTCAGCCACGAGGCCACCTCTGGCGATGTGCAAGTCGTCGATGCAGCTTCGGAAAGAGCGTACGTTCGGAAAATGGACTGCTACCTTCTTCCTTTTCTCTCTTTGATGTACTTTTTCAATTCTGTCGACCGAAGCAACCTCGGAAATGCAAAGACTGATGGCATCGATGTTGACTTGCATTTTAAGGGCAATCAGTATTCATTGCTGCTTTTACTCTTCTATATTCCTAACGGCTTATGCGATCTGCCATTGAACATGCTTACGAAGCGCTTCTCCGGTCGCATCATGTTGCCCACTTTGATGCTCGGCTGGGGGACAATGGCACTCATCCAATCCGCTGCCAAGAACTTTGGTGGGCTATTAGCTCTCAGACTGATACTTGCAGTGTTCGAAGCTGGGTTCTTTGCTGGAGCCGTATTTTATCTTTCGCTGTTTTATGCGCGTGGCGAGCTCGGTTTCCGCATTGCCATTTTCTTTGGTTCCGCGCTTCTCGCTTCGGCCTTTTCTGGATTGATCTCTTACGGTGTCTTCCAGGTCAAAAGCAGTCATGTGCAAGGATGGCAGCTGTTGTTCATCATCGAAGGCAGCCTGACATGTATAGTGGCTATCATTGGCTTTTTCTGGCTTCCAGGCACGCCTGAAACCGCTTAATTCCTGAACGAGTCAGAAAAGCTTGCGGCGAACTTACGTATGCTCCGTGATGGTTCGTCTGAGGTTGGCACAAAATTGAACCTCCGAGACTGCTTTCAAACATGGAAAAATTGGAAGTTTGTTCTATGGTGCATCATATCCTTCACCTATTCCGTTGCCTTCACAACCACTGCCACTTTCTTACCACAAATCGTTGCACGTCTGGGATTTTCAGCTGTCAAGACAAATCTATGGACTGTCGCACCTAACAGTGTTGGTTTTGTCGTCTTGTTGTGTATCACCAAGTCTTCGGACTACTTCCGCGAGCGCAGTCTGCATATCGTCCTCGCGTTGTGTATATCACTAACTGGCTTGATCATCCTGACTGCTATCGACGTCGTTGACAACAAGGCTGTTGCGTACTTTGCATGCTTCCTACTCTGTTCGGGCGCTTATATTCCTTCATGCCTTGTGCACTCATGGCACAACAACAACAATGTCAATGAGAGTTCTCGCGCTGCTACGACTGGTCTTCTCGTCGGGCTAGGCAATCTCTCTGGTATTTTGAGCACTGCCACATTCCGCACAGAATACGCTCCAGCTTACAGACCGACGCTGATTGTCACTGCGGCTTGTAACGTCACTTGCATTGCATGCACTTTATGGCTTGGTTTATGGATGAAAATGGAGAATCGGCGAAGAGACAAGGATCAGGGGCTGCAAGGTGGTACGAGAGCAGTTGACACGAGCGAGAACCTGCACGGAGAGAATGATCCCAACTGGAGGTTCTTTTCTTAAGCAGCCACGACAACTTTTTATGATATCGATACATTGCCGGCCACTTGAGTTGCATGATTGCCTTTCAGATGCTCGAATCCACAATCCTAGGCAGCTTTTTTCTCGTATCACAACCAAGCCACAACAGGTCCGGTCTACTGTAATGTCCACAAATATCCAAGAAACTCTTCGCAAAGATAGCTGCAGCATGGTCAAGATCAGCGAAAACAAGACCCTCTGTCGCCGAGTCCAAGGGTTCAGTCAGCAATCTGCCATCGGGTCCGAAGACGGCAGAGTTGCCTCCGCCTGGACTGTTCATGAGGAGGCCGGCTTCGGTCGACATGATTTTGACGCCTTTTTCTGAGATTACCGTCGTGGCGTGCAGCACGAACGTTTGAGACTCGATGGCATAGACTTGAGAAAGACTTTGACATCCTGTGATTTTCGTCAGTTGCTGTATGAACATGAAAGGATATTGGGACATGCTCACCTTCTTTAGACATGGACCAAAGCCCGGGGCCGTTGTCATGAGGGACAATCGGAGGCCAAGCAGCACAATGAATCTCCTCCTTCTGAGAGATGGTGTTATACTTCAACAACGGCTGAGCATGTTCCCAACAAGCAAGAGTACCGACTCTCTTGCCAATACTCGTTGTAGCAACATTCGACAAACTGTCTCCTGATGCGTCGCCAAAGATCGTTCGCTCCATATGCGTAGCCTTGAGCTTTCGACGATGCATCAGCATCTTGCCGTCGGCGTCGATGAGTGCTTGTGCAATGTACACAGAGTTGTTGTCGTTCTCAGAAAATCCAAGTGATACGACAATCTTGTTGCGAGCAGCACATTCTTGTATCTCTCTCATTTCGTCGGAGTCTACAGCCAGTGAGCTCTGTATGTATCTCGTAGAAAGTATAGGATCCAATGGGCGTGTCCTGCTCACGTGGTGTTAGACTCGATGTGCACAAAACAGGCGAGAGTGTTACCAGATCCAGGCCGGATAGCCAGGGATGAATGCCTCAGCAAACGTGACGAGCTCTGCTCCACCGGAAGCTGCTTCCTCGATGATCTTGCATGTCTTGTCCACTGACTTGCGAAGGTCAAGCCATTCAGGCTCATACTGGGCAACGGCGACACGAGTTGTTGGTTTGGACATGATTGAGAAATCTGTATTGATTGACAAAGTTGACAAGGATGCCAGTGTGACACAAGAGATGCCAGGCTTTATAACAAGCTTGGGAAACTGAGTATTGGTACCAGACTCAGACCAAAATACACATTTGGTCGTCGACCATGCCCCGCATATCTGAGCTGCGGATGTGATATCCGCACGCTACGAAACGAAGGTTCAACCTGACAGTCACCTGCACGTCTATCTCTTATCTGCCTCGGCAAGGTTGCTGTCTATTACCCCGCAAATTAACAAGGTAAGTGAGTGACCAACAGACATGTCGTTTTGTTTGTCATGGATCAAATCAGAGGGACCATGTTGTCTGGAGCTCAAAATTATTAGTTGAAGTACATTGATTAGAATTAAACCAAGACAGTCACACCAATACCACAGTCATTCTCCAAGAAACTGCCAATTCAGATCCCCAAAGTCAACAAAGTCGCTTTCTGCACTTTGGGCATTGTTTAGAACCCAGTCTTGGTCTGCAACTTCTCCCAAGTCCCACAGCCCCTGAACAGCTGCATCTAGCACAGTATCGTCGAAAATTTGGTAGACACTGGACAACTTCTCAATCTCAGGTTCGTCACCAAAATCGCACGTTCCCAGTGTTAAGGAGTTCTTGTTGGGAGGAGGAACTCGGGTATACTGTAGAGGAAGTGCCCAAACGACTTCCCACCGTTGAGCAAGGGTTTGAATATGTTGAAGAGAGTTATGGGATCGAATTTTCCACCTCGAGCTCATGCTGGATAACGTATGGATACAGATGCGGAGACCATTCGCAGACTGGCGGCCTAACCTGTTCTTCCCAGAAGTCGCATTGAGCAGATGCATAATGGCAGCAATAGAAATGTAGTCGACTATTTGGGGTGCAGTTGACGAAAGTCCTTGAGTTGTGCCGAATTCTCGAAGTATGCGAGATATGGTCGAGGCCGCAGTCGTAGCCACTGTGAGAGAGAATCTACCAAGTTTAGTGTTGCTTGCTTCGCTGAGCAGCGGTCTGTGTATGAGGATGAGAGCAGCGTTGTAAGCAAGTTGAAGCCAGACTGCTGTCTCAGGCATATAGTGCCTGTGTATGCGGAGACATGCATTGTTTTGATCATTGAACTTCACCAGACTTTGATGAGAATGCAAAACGAGTTTTTCTTTCTCATCTTGGCTAAGTTTGTACCAACCAAAGGCGTATCTGGTTGATATCAGCAACGCTCATTACATCACGCTTTTGTTCGGCTCACCCTTGGTCCATGCAAGAGTCCCAGAGATGCCACATCTCACAGAATCTTTCGTGTGCCCACTCGTCTACTAAAGGAGTAGTCAAAATGATAGTGGTAAAGGATGGCGATTTTACTCGCTGCCAATGCATGGTGCAGTTCATGCCGAGACTAGACGTCACAAGCCTAGACGACTATTGTTAGCTTTACTTCCCGCCTCCGACATATCAGCTCAGACTATACCTGTCAACTGAAAAGTACGCCCAAAATGATCGGACGCGACGCTGTTGTATTCTCTGATTCTGATCATCCATCAGTCGTATTGACTTAAGGGCGCTTGCATGCAGCCCTAAGTGCAACACTTGGCCAGTAGCCATGGCTAGTCATGCATAAGTCGAGAGTTACTCCGGTTTTGTTACTACTTACCAATCCAGTTGTATGCCATACTGTCAGATCCCCGATTCAGCTCTATCCAAGCTAATAGTGCAAGACCCTGTACCACGAGATCACTAGGCATTTTCCTGATCGCGTGAAGCACTAAGCTTTCAGCTTGTGTAAAAAAGTGCTCTTGTAAGTCTTTTAACAGCGGCACGTCGGAGCAAGATGCAGCGACTGCCAACAGGGCACTGTTTCTAAAGCTGAGATCGGAGTCTTCTGCGTCAGGAATCGAGAGGATCAAGCCTTCAGCTTCATGTGGGTCCAGAAACTGATGAAATCGATTGAATCCATCAGCGAAGCATTTGACCAGCTGTTTCTGGTCGTCAGTCGAGAGTACAGCACCATCGTTTAAGTCAAGACTTTTCTTCGTTTTCGAGAGATTTGGAAAGATCTCCTCGCGCGCCTTGTTTGATGAGAGGGTAAATGAGGGTTCACCAATATCGGCAACATCGAGCTGAAGCATTAATGAAGATAGCTCATTCATGGCCTGCGAAGATCTACTCTCGAAAGAGCGATCTTCTACTGAAGGCGTTTGACGACCTTCCAGGTCAGGTTCGAGATATGAAGAACAATGGGCTGCTTCGTCATCATCAACCGTAGGATCGTCCGAGGAATGCCTAGCCTTCTGAGCGTTGGCTTCATTCAAAGCCATGCGCAAAGATTGAATCTCTTCCCGTAGAGACATGACAAGGTCTCCGTTTTGATATATACGCCTAATAATATGTCAACTCTATCCTGTCTATCAACGCTTATATCGCTTACTTTCTGGATTCTTCTGAGGCATACTGGCAAGTTCGATCAGATTTTGTACACAGAGTACATCTCGGCTTCCGCCCATCGCACTGCACTTGGCCATCAGTCACTGAAGTAACTGATGTTTCGGGAGACTCATGTACCTTTCGCTTGCCTCTTCGACATTCTTCACAAGCGATCCTAATGCGGATTCGTGGCCCCACGTCGTTTTGATTCATGTTGCAATGACTCCGGCATGGGGCATGCGGATGCCACTTCCGCAACGAAGATTGCAAAAGCACTACGGCTACTCAGTGAGACGAACCAGTATGCGTCGTTGTTGCCGCGATGTAGTAAGAAGCTAGGTCTGGTCTCTCAGACAGGGCACGGTCTGTACCCCACCTGGACCCTGATTTGGACTGCCAAACTCTATCTGACATGCGGAAGTCGCATCCGCACCCCGCCTGACGACGAGCATCATTACTTCATTCACATTGACCTTGCGGATGGACAACCCGCACTCTGGATAGTCATGTGCGGAGAAGCAGGTCAGCGTGGCCTGGACGCTCATCAAGTCGCCAGCTTGATCCAGTATAAGTGACGGTCAACATGCTGAGCCGGAAAAGATCGCTGACCACATTACCTCTACACCTAACATACTATCATCTGAAGAACCTGCTCGAACAATGGTTTTTCTCGCTGACTGGGGAGACAAACAACACCTATTCGTCTATGGTGTTTTTGGTATTCAACATCGAGTTCCCTTGACCGACAGCAAGAGAATCATTATCGATGAGCTCCACAAGCTTTTGAGTTCATCAGCAGGACAGGTCGATATGCTTGTGGACGAGAGTCATGATCTCGAAGCTGAGGACAAGCCGCATGCCACGACTTTTGTTGCTTACTGGCTCGATGCCACAACATACAATTCGTGGGCTGCTTCAAGCTCTGTTCAGCAGTTCTGGGACAATTTATCCGACGATGCAGGAGTCTGGCGCGAAGTCATGACGGTTCCTACTTCGCGATACATGTTCGCTGCCAATCAAGATTTTCGCTGGGGTCTTACCACCCTCATCGAAAAACTACGAGCAAGTAATGACGAGGGCTACTGGGGCGTCTACCGTCATAGGATCGGGTCCAAAGACGACACATTCACGTCGCCGTACGTGACAGCCTTGAAGGCGAAGAATGCTTTGAACACTCGCGTGCTCGACATTCCAGCAAAGGGCCCACGAAACTCAAATGAAATTCGACTTGGTCGTGTGCGAGTAGACGGCGTTCCTAACAACATCTGCTTTGTCCGAGAAGGACAACGCCAGCCGAATGTTGCCCAAGAGGAGCTGGGCCTCTGGCTTGAGAAAGTTGCGCCACACGCAAGATCTTGGGTTGAGCACCTTGATTTGCATCGGGAGAAGAACGGTGTGCTTTCTTTCTCGACACACGTCAGTCAGCAATCGAAGCTGAACAATTCGGATGCTGCTGAGACTGATCAGCTGGCATATTTCCTTGACCTTGCTCACTTTGAAGCATCTGGCCGTTCGTTGAAAAGCCACGTGCAGCTGAGGAAAACCGTCATGGAAATGTATGGTCCGGGTGGTCCTATGGAGAATATTGGCAAGGCGGAGCTGTATGTGGAGCTACTGATTCTGAAGTCGAAAGAGTTTCAAGCCGAGTACATCGGATGCTTAGAGGGGACTGGAATGATGTTTTTGCAAACCGTTGAACAGCACTGATATAGTTCCGTAGAAGTAGTTCCATGATGCAATTCAATTCATCTGCATGCCCAGGGTTATCAGCATAAAACTTGTGGTGTAACGGGATTCCATCGGCAGGATCAGAGCGTCGACGCTTTCTGAGATTTTGTTCGAAGCTTGTTGACAACGCATGGACGTCACAATGTTGTCAACGTTCATCAGCCTTGCCGCGTGCCGCGCATCCCGCAGCATCCTGTTCCATCTCTGCTTCTCTTTTTGCTTGTTCTCACAACAACATCTTCAAGAGACATGGACTCGAGAAAGCATACGATCGAATCCGATGCTGATGTCAATACCGAAGTATCCCGAGTGCAAATCGGTCGTGCTGTAAGTGTTGACTTTATCGCACCACGTACAAGATGAACGCGTTGTTGATCTCATCTGATTGTGTAGTGTGATCATTGTCGAGCACGTAAGGTAAGCGACGCTGTAACTGAACCGACTGCAATGTTTTGTTGAGCTAGAATCAGATTCGTTGCGACAGGTCTACACCTTGTGCAAACTGTGTAGCTGCAACAGTATCATGCATTACCACTCAGGACAGACCCCAAGTCAAGCGCCAGAGAGTGTTGATCTCGAATGAATACGAACGAAAGATTGATTTGATGGAAGAACGTCTGCACAGTATCGAGTCGCTTCTTACAGAGACTAACAAGATGCTTCATGCTCTCATGAACAAACAGCAGCTCCAAGTTCCCGTGGATCTTACACTTTCTACTTCCGTGGGTTTGCCTACCAACTCCGTAGACGAGGACAATGACCAAAGTACATCCTTTGTTGGCGAAACATTGTTGCTCGCCCATTCTCGAAAGGCTCGACACGATGTTGAGCGGTTGTTGCAATCGAGTCCGTTGTTACGCAACAACCCAGAGGTCAAGTCAGCTCTCGATGTCTTGCATAGTGCTATGCTCCATCCTCCCACAACCGGATCCAATCTCTTGCATGCTACCTCCAGTATTGAGTCGACAAGTCTTACACCCGAGTATCTGCCTCCTTATCGTACCATCTTGGGAGTGATACACGAAGCCCAAGCCAGTGACAGTATTTTTTTTCTAATCTGGTCACCATTTTTCACACCTTCGGAGTTTTTGCAACTTTTTGATCAACTGTATAAGAGCCTCGACACTTGTTCCATTGCCACAAAAACGATTGTTTGCGGTGCACTACATTACATGCTGTGTGAGCATCTGACCATGCGCAAAATTCACAAGAATTCTTCGCACTGGTGGTACAGCAAGCGTTTTCTCGAGTTCTTCGAGCACTGTCTACGATCTTATGATATGCTATCTTTGCCATCCACGGAGAACATACTGGCATTAGTTTTCGGTGCCGGTCATGCAATTCAGAAAGGTGATCATGCATCTGCGAGGCTGACGGTCTCGATGGCGTATGCCATGACTCAGGCTCTTGGATGGCACAGAATGTCTGATCAAAGCCTGGAACAGACTCAGGCTCAAAGAATTTTGTTCTGGATCCTTTATTACTTTGACAAGTGCTTGTCGTTACGACTAGGTCGTTCGGCTGTCCTTCAAGATGACGATATCACCATGGACTACCCAAGAGAGCCACTTCAATCAAACTTTAGAGGCTGGTATCTGTGGTTTCGAACAATGATCGAGATTGCCTCTGTACACGGTTTGATCTACGAGCAACTCTACAGTCCCGGAGCTCTCAAACATTCTTCCCAGCAAAGACTGCAATACGTTGAGGAGCTAGCCGCACGCCTGGACGTGACATCGAAAGTAAACTCCGAGATAGTCGAAGAGACTGTCTACCGAAGACAATATATGTCGTTTCTTGTCGGATCAAACGCGGTTGTGATCGGTTGCTTACAAACCTTAATATATCGGGCTCTCGTCCCTCCAGACAGCGACATGCTGTTCGGCCTTGATCCTAGATGTCTTTCTGCTGCACGGGCAACGATCCGCAGTCATCTGAGCATGGTGGACTTCATAAAGTCCAGTAAAAATGGCAGCGCCAATGATTATGTCAGTTGGGCTATCCTGAACTGCCCTTCTACTCCTTTCATCGTCCTTTTCTATGCTGCCATCACATCGCCAAACTTGGGAGATCTTGAGTTGCTCGAGAGTTTCACAAAATCGCTCGAAGTCATGCAGCTTAGATCGCCGGAAGTAATACAACATCTGCAGAAACTATGTCAGGCATTTTTGTCGCTTGCCAGACTGTACGTAAATGCCACCGTTAGCGATGCTAGTACAGAAACGACAGATCACTCTAACAGTAGGCCTTCCGGAACTCTCAACTTCACGCTTCCAAGCGGTTTCGAGGATTGGTTCTCTGGTGCTCAAAATTTTTACAATTTTGACTGGACAACTTGAGGCGCTCAGGGGAGGATCTGAACGCGGCAGAAGTGACTATGCTGTCGTACAGTGTTGGCCAGGTCTTAACATCATGTTGAGAACGTCACCGTCTGGCAACGAATCCTGCAGGATTTTTCGTTTGGCACGTGCGGGATGCGCGGCGTGCGCTGCATACGAGTGAGTCAAATCTGCTAGTAACATATAAGAAGCAATCCCTCCTGGATGAGTCTACACAGCTCAATAAATTTGCTCTGTTATGGACACGCTTCAATCAGTCCTTGTCGTCGGAGGTTGTGGTTTCCTCGGTCATCACATTGTCAAACATCTCTTGGCCAGGAAGGATGGCACTAGAATTTATGTTATGGGACGCTCGAACAGCCAACGCCGACGACACGGTGTTGAGTACCTTGAGGGTGATATTACAGATGACACATCGGTGCAGTCAGTCGTCAACTCTGTCAAACCACAAGTCATCATCAATACAGTCGCTCCAATCACCTATCCACTCAAAGGAACACCAGAGTTCCACTATAAGGTCAACGTAGAAGGGACAGCAAATCTCATTCGAGCAGCTGCCGCTTGTCCTAATACTGTGGCCTTCGTCTACACGTCCTCAGCACATACTTTACTCGAGACCGACTATCTCAACGCCAAGGAATCTGATCCTATTGACGAAAGTCCCGATGGCCGTCGTTACGCTACAACCACTAAGGCTATTGCTGATCGACTGACAAGGTCTGCAAACAATGACTTACCTATCGATGCAGGCGGGCTACGCACCGCATGTATCAGACCTTGTGCCATGTTTGGCGAGAATGACACCCAGCTCCTCCTGGCCATGCTCAACCAACTACAGGAAAACCGTCAAGGCTATCAAATCGGTTCCAACTCTGCCTGGTACGACTTTGTCTACGTTGGTAATGTGGTAGAGGCACACATCAAAGCTGCCGAAGCCCTTGTACGCGAAGCTGCTCAAGGAGCAGAAAAAGGCAAACAAATTGGTGGAGAGTCGTTCTTCATCACCAACGATGACCCACGCCATTTCTATGATTTTATGAGATTAGTATGGCAGGCTGCTGGGGAAGACACGTCAACCTTGACACCAACCATCATTCCAAGCAACGTCGCTCTTGCCGCGGCTAGTGCTAGCGATTGGGCAACTTGGGCTTTCACCTTGAGAAGATCTTCAAATCCTTTTCCGTCTGAGGAAGATATTGAACATCTATGTCTGAACCGCACGCATGACATTTCGAAGGCTAAGGAGCTTCTGGGTTATACACCTACTGTCACGATTGAGGAGGGCATCCAGCGTGGAGTCAGGAGATTTTGTTACGATTACTGATGAAAGACGTCTTGAGGGGTTCTTGTCTTTATTACACCTGGTTTTCTCGACCTATACTAGACTCTGTCCACGATCCAAGACGCTCCTGTTCAGCCGCTATCTACTCCTTGTGAAACTTCGAGGAGCAAAACCTACTGTGATTTCTCTCTGATGATCGTCAATACACTGTCAGCTGAGTAATTGCGAATGATCGATGGTCCTAGATGATACCATATAGAGACAAAGTCGGTAAACTCTGATAGCAGTCTGCTTACCGAGCCTATCCATTATAGGACTGTGCTGGCGAGTGTCAGCTTGGGGTGTATTAGGGCTTACACGAGAGCTCTCGCACCACCTACGTCAGCCGAGCTCTTCCCATGCTATGAGAGCTCCAATACTTATATATAAGCATGACACTTTGCTACACAAGACGATACGAATCAATCGAACCCAGCTTCCTCGAACCAAACAAGAAGCCAATTCCCACAAAATGTCAAACTCTCAAGATCGCAACCCCGTCCCCGACCAAGCCGAAGACGACGCCTATTTCCCCTCTCCATTCTCTTTGACCCAATACGTTACTTCCAAGACCGATTTCGACGGTGCATCCTACCCCAACGCCTACACCGGCAAAAAATGGAAAATTCTGGTTATTGGCACACAAGAACGCTATCTACGCATGGCCGATGGAAAGTTTTTCTCCACTGGAAACCATCCAGTGGAAATGTTGTTACCGATGCTGCATCTCGATGCTGCGGGCTTTGAGCTTGATATCGCGACGTTGACAGGCGAACCTGTGAAATTGGAGATGTGGGCGTTTCCTAAGGAGGATGAGGCTGTGAAGGGGATCTATGACAAGTACAAGCAGAAGATGAGGAATCCGCTTGCACTGTCTGATGTCTGGGGTAAGGGATTCGATAAGGAGACGCCTTATATCGGTGTTTTTGTGCCTGGTGGGCATGGAGCTTTGAATGGGATCCCGCAATCCCCTGTTGTGGGAAATATTCTTCGCTGGGCGGATGCTAACAAGCGGTATTTGATTACGCTCTGCCATGGTCCTGCTTGCATGTTGGCAGCCAACGTCGCCAAACCCGACGGCGAGAAATTCATCTATGAGGGCTATAAGATTGATGTATTCCCTGATTCGCTGGACACTGGGGCTAACATCGATATTGGATATATTCCTGGCAAGATGAGTTGGTTGGTGGGAGAGGAGTTGAGGAAGCTTGGGGTGACGCCTATAAACGACAAGATTACGGGTCAGACGCACCAGGATCGATATGTGTTGACTGGAGACTCACCCTTGGCTTCGAACAACTTGGGAAAGTTGGCTGCGAATACTCTGCTCAAGGAGATTGAGAATTTGTCGTAAGATTCCAAGTAATGAGTATGCAACGCTAAACTACAACACAGAGAAAATCCAATAAACACATGTTTCCTACTCCTCGCCTTCCTCCCCAGAACTAATCTCCAAACTCGGTCGTCGTTTCTTGCTCTCCTCAGTCTCAATGATTTCCGCCTCATCCCCATCCCCAAACGTATAAGTCCTACACTCTGCATTTTCCCACATGCGTGTCGTCTGTTCTCCCTCTTGCGTGAAATTTCCCGTCAATGCATGTGCAAAAGTGCCATGACTAACCAAAACAATATTCGCCTCTGGCCTATCTCTGATATACCGTCTGAGCATCTTAGCTCTATCCATCATGGTCTCTGGATCCGTATCGAAACGTCCACAGTTGGAAGTCCAATGGGGATAGACGGAGGCAATGCGGTGTTCGTCTACTAAATCGCCGAATGTAGACTTGATTTCGGAGACAGAGGAACCTGTATCCATAGGTTCATTACTGCTTTCTTGCGCCAGTGGCATAAGCAGGATCGGCAAGCCTTTGTCGACTGCAGGTTTGAAGCTGAATTTGCAGGTTTGGATTGTGCGTTTCATTGGACTGTGGTAGGTTAGTGAGTGTGTTTTGAGAGCGGGTGAGAAGGGGGACGCTTACGAAGCCATAAGCATGTCGATTCTGTCGTGGTAGGGAAAGTTTTTGCAGAGTTCGGCACATTGGGCTTCTCCTTTCTCGGTGAGAAGAGGGTCGTGGATGGCTTCGCCGTGCCAGGCGGAGTTGTGGAAGCCTTCGGCGTGACGCACGAGGTGGAGTGTTGGTGGCATTGTTGACGACTTGCTTCAGAAAACAGATGCTTATGGGAAACAGTCGATGTTGGAGAGGGATTGATGTTTGGTGAATACGTTGATGCAAGCAAATATGATAAGAGAAATGAGACTGGATGCAGAATGGAAAGTGCTACTGAATAGGATGCTGACGGCTCTTGTAGTTTTTGTGGCTGATGAGGCTCAACCAATTGCCTTTACCGTTTGCCTACCTACCTACGTCGTCGTCGCTTTTTCGACGACGATTCTCTAACCTTGAGAGAAAGCATACTTCTTACCTGTGCTCGTTATGGCTAACTGAGGCGACACGAAGATTACTCGAATACGATCCCTTCCCAAATCCAGAAATACGGGTGCGACATTCGTCCACGGACGATGGTGCTAGCCACACGATCCCATACCATGAGCAGAGAATGCCAAGAAGGCTTGTCATCCACCGATGCCTCCAGAAGTACGAGTGACATTCCATAGAGTGTCAGGGCCGCGAGATCTGCCTCGCTGTTCGACGGCAACTCGCTGCAACAAACCATATACATGCATCGACCCCGCGGGTCTGCCGGAAACCTTGTTCTTCACGTGCCTTCTCCAGCACGCGGAAATAAAAGTCTGTGGCATTGCATCATAGAAACCCTCCGCGAGATGCTTAAATCGCCTTCTCAGGAAGTTCTTGGATAAACGTAGACTAGGAATGCCATCATATGGTCCGCCAGGCACTCCGATACGACAGGAAAGCAGCGGAGGAACAACTCAATCGATGGCGCATTCTACTCTTTGACTTTGTTTTCAAACTTCTCGGTCGGCAAAAGTTGACACTGGGTAATTGCTGCGCCTCCTTCGAGAAGGTAGTATACCATTGATGTAATCGTTGTTGTCGTTGATTGTTGCAGAAGAGGAAGAAAAAAGGTTATCGAGTCGACGAGCGTCATTCATGCCAAGCACAAAACCAAGCAACCCCTTAGCGACCACAGAATGCTTGGCCATCGATTGATTTAACATGCAATGAAAAGGGTACATTTTGGATATCTTTCGAACAACTATGCAGACGATAAACAATGCAAGAAACAAAGTCTCTAACCCAAGAGACCAGCAGCCAAAGCCTCCAGATCCGCAAGAGTCTCTGGAGCAGCTTCTTCTCTGCCGCCCGTATCCGTCCTGCGACCCTCTCCCTCGAACCATTTCTTTTGCTTCTTCTTTGGTTGTTCCTCCTCGTTCTCTTCTGATTCATCGTCCGAACCAGCAAGGAATTTCTTGAAGTCTTCCGAGGCATCGGCAAGTTGTGGTGCTTCGTCTTCGTCGTCTTCGGATCCAGCTTCTTCTCCTCGTTCTCTTTCCTTGCGCTTTTCCTTCTTTGCACGCTTCTTTTCTTTGGCGAGTGCTTTGTCCAAGAGATCTGATTCGCGCACTCTTTGTGCTTCCTCTTCCAAGAACTTTTTGCGTTGCTCTTCTGCTGTTCCTTTGGCCTTGAAAGCGTCTTCGTCTTCGAGCTCGTAGATTTGGTGCGCGTTTCCTTTGTCGTCGAAGACGAGTTTCTGGCCGCTTTCCTTGAACTTGAGCAGTTTCTTCTTGCTCTTGAGTAGTTTTTCTCTTCGCTTGCTGTCGATGATGAGTGCATCCTTGGCTCCAGGAATGTGAACGGCCTTTGCGCCTGGTGGTAACTCCATATCTGCAACTGCTGGTGTAGCCTCCTCGTCTGATGAATCCTCTTTCTCTTCTTGCACTGGAATGCGGCGCTTGACGCTGAAAAGATCGTCGTCGGACATTTGTGTGCCATCCAAAGCTTCGATGTCGTCGTCGCGAACCATCTTGGCGTAGTGATCTGCCAGAACATCCTGGTTCTTGCGCTCGAACATGCGGTCGTACTTTGTGCGGACTTCCGACTTCTTCTTGTCTCCCTTCTCGCCTTCACTCTCGTCTTCCGAGTCGTCGAGCTGTGCTCTGGGTGCGTTCTTCCTAGCCTTTGCGTCATCTCCAGCGATGAACTTGATCTTGGGTGCACCAGGCAGACCAAGACTTGCTGCATATTCTTCGAGGTTCAGTTTGTCGAGTTTGAAGGTTTCCTTATCTTTCTGGATGTGAATACTGCGGACGTAACTGGCAAAAGCCTTCTGGCCGAGATATTTGAGTGTAGGGTCCTTGAAACACATGTTTTGTAGTTGAGGCTTGATAGATTGTTGTTTCTTTTGCTTGACGCTGATGCGTTCGATAGGGACCTTCTTGGCTTCTAGACGGGACAGCATACCTTCTTCCTCGCTGGGATCGAGGAACAGAACAGCTTTTCCATCACGCTCGTAACGGGCAGTACGACCGACGCGGTGAATATATGTGTCGGCATCCTCAGGAGCATCCAGTTGAACAACCCAATCGACTGCAGGAAAGTCCAGACCTCTTGCAGCAACATCTGTTGCGAACATGCAAGAGTGTTGAGCGTGTGAGAACTTTGTAGTAATGTCGAGACGAGCAGTTTGCTTTTGACGACCGTGAAGATGTAGAAGAGGAATACCAGGTTGCATGTGACGGAAGGCTTCATAGACAAAACGGACCTGCTTTCCAGATGACAAGAAGACGATGATCTTTGACTTCTTGCACGTCTGAATGAAAGACCACAGAGTGTCAAGTTTGTCGGGAAGAGGAGTAAGAACGTAGTTCTGCTGAAGAGATTTGGGAGTGGCAGACTCGCCCTGTTCTGAGGTCGAGACGTATTCGGGGTCTCTCAGACTGAGACGAGCGAGGTCGGAAACACGCTTTGTCTGAGTGGCTGAGAAGAGCAGAGTCTGACGATCCTTGGGGAGGTATTCGAGAATAGCGTCCAGATCGCGCTGGAAGCCCATATCCAGAATACGGTCAGCCTCGTCAAGGACCAGCATTTGCACATTGTCGACAGAGAACATAGCGGTTTGCGACAAGTGCTGAAGCATACGACCAGGCGTACACACAACAATATTCATCCGAGCCAGAGCATTTTGTTCCTCTTGCAAACTCTTTCCACCAATAACCAGACCAGCCGAGAACAAATGACCCTTTCTTCCAATCTTGACCAGGACGTCGAAAATTTGAATGGCGAGTTCGCGGGTTGGGGCGATGATCATGGCACCTAGACCAGCATCTTGGCCGACACATTGTTTGCGGTACAAGTTCTCGAGGACAGGGACGATGAAAGCAAGAGTCTTTCCAGAACCAGTTTTGGCGGCACCTAGGATATCGGAGCCATGGAGGGCGAGAGGAACGGCGCGTGCTTGGATTGGGGTGAGGGTAGTGAAGTGACAGGCTTTGAGGCCTTCCTGAGTAGGCAGAGAGAGCGGAAGGTCAGAGAAAGAAGTGTAGCTGCCCTTGGGATCCTGTTTGTATGTTAGACCAGGTAGAAGATAGAAAGATCAGGCAAGACTGACCAGATCCTGAACCAGCTGCTCTAGCTTTTCGACATCGACATCGTCTCTCTTGCGCTTGGTAGAACGCTGCTGCTTCTTTGGCTTCGTAGGCTTGGTGCGCCCAGTTACGTGTGGCGCCATGTCTGGCTGGTTGTTGTGTATTCGAATAGGCACGAAGGAAAAAGTGCTTGCTAGGAAGGACTTTCACATGCTTAACTCCGCAGACAACTTTTTGGGTGCACGCGCCACTCGCGATCGGTCGTGCCTTCCGTCACCCGCATTTCCCTCTCGACAATCCATCTAATCTTGTGCACACGACCACAACCACCCATCATGTCAGACAAGAAGCCTGAGCCCAAAGAGCTCTCAGACGAATACATCCTAGCCGCCATCGCCAAAGAATCAAAAGAATTCGACAAGGTTAGTCTCTGTCCTCCAACTCATCCAGATCTTATCTCACTAACACCATCCATAGGACGCTGAAATCGATCGCATCCTCAAAGCCTTCCGTCTCGATGCCTACGCTGTACTCGACCTTCAACCCGGTGTCCCCGACAACGACATCAAGAAATGTTACCGCATGAAATCCCTCCTTATCCATCCCGACAAAACCACAAATCCTTCGGCGCCTGATGCCTTCGATCGCCTTGCAAAAGCACAACAAGCACTCCTGGACGAGAAAGAAAGAGCGAAACTGGATGAATGTATAGCAGATGCACGTATGCTGTTGATACGCGAGCGCAAACTCACCGTCGACAGCGAAGAAGTCAAGGATCCTGACGATGAGTTCCGCAAGGCCTGGAGAGAAAAGACAAAGGTCGTGCTGGTGGATGAAGAACTGCGGAGGAGAAAAAGAATGAAGGCTCAGATGCAGGAAGAAGGTCGTGCTCAGAAGAAGGAGGAAGAGGAGATTGCTGAGCGCAAGAGGAAGAGGGAGTTTGAGACAAAGTGGGAGCAGTCGCGTGAGGAGCGCATTGGTTCCTGGCGTGACTTCCAGAAGGGAAAGCAACCCGACAAGAAGAAGAAAAAGATGAAGACTTTGGGTTGAGCTATTTCCATTTGTCACGAGCCATGACCACTATCTGCATCTTTCAGTCACCATTCGAGCATTGATCAAACACGGTTCAGCGAGGCGTTAATGGCGTATAGATTACCTTCTATCCTGTATTCAAAAAGACATTATGAACTCCACCATTACCTGCTCCCATGCGAATGCTTTGCGCCGATATTATGCATAAGCACATGCGTGCGACAATCTCCATCTAAGATCTTGCACTAGCTCTCTTGACATCCAGTTCGACCTTGCTATACCACGCTGCTCCTCCCAGGGCAATAACCATACCCACAGCATTCATCGGTCTGACAACAACATCGAACAGCACAATGCCCAAAATGACAGTCAAGATCTGCTTGACGTTGCCACAGACCGACAGTGTCAATGCACCAGCCAGCTTGTTGGTTTGGAAACTGGTGACATTGAGCATGAAAGCCAAAAACCCGTTCCCGAGTAATGCGAGGATGAGTCCAGTGTTCATGTTTCCTCTTGCGGTAAAGTCGAGGAAGGCTGAGACTTCGCCTGTTGCTAGTGCCCAGAGGAGACTTTGGACGGCAGCTAGAGGTGACATGCGCAGGAGAAGCTCCAAGGCAGGAAGTTTAAGGCTACCGGTGAGGAGTTTGTTGGTCGCAACTGTCTTAAGAGCAGCCAAGAAGACACCCAGGAAAGTGAGTGAAGCACCCAGTAGAGTAGCGTAGTAGTCTCCATATGTGCTAAGGCCGACTCCTGCGACGATCGGAACCAGGGATACGTAAGTCATAGTACCATAACTGCGTCCAAGCCAGCGGTAGATCAAGATCGTAGCCACAGGAGTCGTAGACCTGACAATCTGGTGGAAAGGCACAGAGACCATAGCAAGCGAGACATTGCTAATAGCAATGTTGACCGTAAACAAGACCGAGAAAGCCACCAACACCATCTGCTCTCTCCGTCCCACATGACTCAATTTCAACTGGTCCGGAGCCACAATCATGATCCCCCAACATCCCAAAGCCGCAGAAGTAGTGTGGAACGTCGTCAACAACCAAGGAAAGTTGAACTTGCCGAGCACGGCTTTGTTGTACAATGTCAAGCCCAGATTCATCAAGAAGTATAGGCCCAGACAGATCATCTTTGTCCTTGTGCTGATTGTGTATTCGTGTCCGTCATTCTTTGGTGTTTGGGCGTCGACAAGGCTTTGTTTTTCTGCATCGTCCATTTGGGAGAGGAGGCCTGCTGAGGGAGATGTCTCGTCCATTTCGAAGGATTCGGCGAAAGAAGCTGGACTGCGCAGGTCGAGCGACTGGGATTGCGAGCTCAGGCCTGGGGATGACGCAGGGTCCGCTGGTGGAAGCGAGGTTGCCATCTTTGTGCTTTTGTATTGGTCGTTGGTGGGTTGTTGTGGATGTGAGTCCTTGCTGTTTCTCTTCAAGTCCAAAGAGCCTGTTCCCGATCCTTCCTCTCTAATGACAGTAGAGTTTAATCGTTCGTGGTGACGAAAGCCTCGGAGTGATTGTACGTGAAGCGCAAAGAATGTCGTTGTACCAGACTTGGGCAGATGTATCAATCCTTAAGAGTAACAGCGAAATCAAGGTAGAAAAGAAGAAAATCGATTCCCATTCGCCCGCTTCTCCAGACAGCGCATGGTCCTGGTTTTGGTGTTTCCTCTAGTCATTGGCACTGGTCTTGGTATTTTCAGCCGAACAATAATCTTTCGAACCGTCGGGTCCAATGCTTTCCAAGGCTTGGGGGCGCATCGGCTGCTTCGGCATGATCAAATCTGCTGGTGCTTGGCAGGGCCAACCCTTGTTCACTTTTCCTGCACCTGCCAAGAATGTTGCTTGTGTTATCGTGCACAAGGGTGTTTGCCGAGGGTTGACCTTCTTGTTGCAGGGGGAATGCTGTTTGTCGCATGCGCTAGGGTTATCCGTCCCTGGTTGATGTGTATCAAGAAATGCGCTGATCGCCTTCTCGTGCTGTTCTACTCATACACATCTGTTTGATCTCCATAGCACGCCATTAGATGAATCTCTCGCATCATGGAGAATAGTGTCACGACTCATGGGGTTCGGGAAAAGTCGTCGTAAGACACTTCTTGGCTCTGTATTTCCTCAATGTCTTGGTGTTGCTATATGTGGTATAACGATTCCCACCGGCCAAGTCCTATCTGAATCATCTACTAGGTATATCGTATCTTCTATCTGATCCTTCGGAAACTTTCATGTTCTCGCATATTTTACGAAAGATCCACATCTCACCTCGTCAGGCTGCGATTTCGGATTTGTTCGGTCGTTCCGAGGAGCCATCCACGATCATGAGGTGCTCTAGTTCTGCATGTGTGACAACAAGTTCTTCAACACGCAAGCCAAGACATGTACAAGTCAGGTAGGCCAAGCATCAAATACCCAACTTCTTGTTTTCGAAAAGTGCATCCGAAGTGCCGCTATTCCCGTGGAGAGCTATATGCTTTGGGCATTACTCGCTTGAGTTCAGCGCCTCGGAGGCGCGCATTGTGATCTCTCGATGAGCTTGTCATAGGTTTGTTATACAGCTTATATACAATTACAGTTCATTCAATATTAAGTGAATCATCTTCTCCACCCTCCCTTACCGCTGCCTTCCGAAAAGTCACCTCCTTGGCGCTCTCGTTCCACTCTTGCGTCAAACTCTTTCTGTGCTTCGATCTTGGCTAGTTGTCTCTCCTCGTCTGACGAGGAGAAAGAGAAGGAATCGCCTAGTGTTGAGCCTTCTTGTTGCTCGTTTCTAACCTGAGGAGTATTGGTTGGTGATTGGCGTGGAGAGCTCTTGGAGTTTGCGGACTCTGCTCTGATGCGGTCCCATGCACTTCCTGAAGAGCGAGGAGCGGGTGCGGCCTGTGGAGATGCATCATCACCGCTGCTGTTGTTGTTTCTTCGCGACTGATCAATGCGAGACTGTGCTTGGGCTGCGACTCTAGACTCTTCAAGTCTCTCAGCACGGTCTGCATTTGATTGTTCTTTACGGGCGCGCGCATTGAGTTGCTCGTCTGTCAACAGACCGGTGTCTTGAGCCTCCTGCTTGTAGTCGTCCATCCAAGCGCCTCCAGTAGGACTCATATCGTCGTAGTCGGAAGCCTTGCGCTGGACATCTTGACGCTTCCAAGCATCTTCCATACCAAGTCTTTGCGATGCTCTTTGTGCTTGCTGGTCCATGCGACCTTCCTGGCTCATGATGGGATTGCGCTGGCCTTGAGGCTGCATCTGGCCAGTGTGTCTTTGTGCGCGATTTTTGAGTGCCTCGATATAATCCTTCATGCGAGGGTCTGAGCCAGTCTCGACTGCATTGACCGAGGTGGCGTAACTAGCAGCAAAGATACCACCAAAGAAGATGCCAACAGCACCATAGAGCTGGAAACGCAGTGTGTGCCAGGCATAACGAGCCATTTGTCCACGCACAGGACCAAAGCGCTCAGGGTTGAATGAACCACCTTCAGACTCGGGCTTGGGAGTATAACCAGGGAAGCGGAAGTTGTTCATGGAACGGTATGCAGCAATAGCACCACCAGCGATACCAAGAGGCGGACCCCATGATACCGTCCGTAGTGACTTGGCAAAGTGATAGCTGATGGCGTCGACCTCGTCCTGGGTGAGTGGGCGGTGGATGACTGATTGGGCTTCTTGACAGCTCCTTAAGATGGTCTTGACTATGGCATCGTCTCGGACGGGCACCATGAATATGTTGACGGGTCGAGGTAACTGATCGAGCTTGATGTGGTAGCGGGTCGGTGTTTGGGCGTCACTGCCATCGTCTGGCGTAGGAAGCTCGCCGAACGAGTTGGGCTCGCTGTTGTTTGTTGCTTCTTCGAGAACCATAATTAGGTGTACTGGTTGTTGCTGTTCGTCGTGAAGGCGAGAAAGGCCAGAGACAGAATTGAAGCTCTTGCTGTCATGACATGCATGCTCAAACCAAAATCCGGGGTAATGAGGTCATGGTTCGCTTTGTGCAGCTTGCATAACTCTGTACCAGAAGCATAGCATATTCACATCGTACATTCGATTTCCCCTCTACTTTTCTGTATGCCTTGTTCAACCTGACACTGCGGTCTGTGTCGCTAGGTCAATACCTCAAGAGTATGATGCAACTGACGTGAAGATGCTGTGTATGTCTAAGGAGCATATGCGTCCATGATCCTTTGAAGGAATGAGGCCCACGTGCAACACCTTCTCGCAATACTCATTCAACCAGCAGCCTTGACATGTTCCCCTATACCACACTACAAAATGGCATCTCCTCCTAATGAAACCACTATCAACGCGTACTCCGAACTCCCCCACCTCGAACTCAACCCCACAGCCACCCAAACAATCCTCCTAATCCACGGAGCCTGTGGCACAGGCAGCAGCTGGGATCTCGTAACACCCCACCTGCCCAACTACCACATCCTAGCACCCGACCTCCCGGGCCACGGCATAGCAAAACACCATCACTTCTCCATTCGCGAAGCTGCTGATGCATTACACGCTCTAATCCTCAATCGCGCGCACAATGGAGTCGCTTATGTGGTAGGCTTCAGCCTTGGTGCCCATGTAGCTATGCACCTAGTCTCCCACTATCCACAAATCGCAACGTGTGTCTTGGTATCCGGGTTTCAAGTCTTTGGTACCACGGCGTTTTCGGCTTATTTGCCGTACGCAATATGGTTGGAGCAGAGGTTGGAAAACTCCGTTCCGCGGTCGTGGATACGCTGGGCTATGGATGGTGTTGATTTACCTCGCACAGATCTCAAAATGTGTACAGTGGAATACAATCGTCAGGTTTTTGCTACAACGGAAGACGCTGAGAAGTGGCCTCAGCGGTGGCCGACAAGGACTCTGGTCATTGCAGCGGGGAAAGGTGGTTGGGTTCCTTCAGATGACCGGCCGCAGGATGCAATGAGGTTAGCTGCAATTGGACGCGAGGCAAATACTGCTACCAGAGCAGTCACACATCCTGATATGAGGCATCCCTGGATTTGGCAAGATCCAAAGTTGTTTGCAGAGACTACTAAGCTGTGGTTTGAGCAGGAGGCTGTTCCGGCTGGTTTCGTACCTCTGGAGTAGAGTCTTTTGAGATGGGAGAAATGTACAAGTGATATTATTATGATTATGAGAAGCACGAATTTGTAATGTCATAACATTCGTTCAAAGCAGATCTGAGCCCGCCATTTCAAAATCTTCATTTAAGAATAACCAGCAACAAGACCAAGATCAGTATCAAAACACCAATCGTGACCCAACTCCAATTGTCCTTGGCCTTTCTCGCAACCTTGCCCAATCGTCCTCTTGCACGATCGAGATTTCCTTGGAAGCGATCCACACCACTTTCCAGATCATCGAGCATGGCATTTTGATCATCCATCTCATCTCCCATCTGTATACCCAACATCCTTTGACGTCCTATACTGCTTGACAATTGATCAAGCTGAGCGTCTTGGTCTGACAGCACTTGTTTATGGTATGCGTGGATTTGCTGGTTGGACATCTCCGTCTGGTCTGGTACGGCAGGCTCATCATCTGTGTAGGGCTCTTGCGAAGACGATGTGAAGAGTTTTCCTCGATTGGCATCCTCAGGCGAGGCATCACGGTAAGGTTGATCGAAGCGAACGGACTTGTTACGTGTGGGTGTGGACTTGGCGGCTGCGAAATCAGGGGCCAGCGAGCTGTCATTTGGTGTCGTTGTAGAAGTTGTCGTTGTGTGGCCGTTGAATTGCGCATTCAAGTCTTCGTATTGTTTGCGCAGCTTGTCTAGTTGAGTGTTTAAGTCGGATACACTGGTTCGCGCCTCAGTCAGCATTGCCATCCGTGTATACTTGTATTGGCCAGGCGGATCAGGACGTACTCTTCGCCTGAGGATTCTTGCTCTTCGGCATTAGATGTCAGGGTTTCTATACCAGCGCGCAGAGACTCCAATGATCGTGTTAGAGGACCGTCATTTGTGCTGTTGCCTGGGAGTTTGAGGGATTGGGCGCGTTGACGTTCGAGAAGTGAGAGTTTGATGTGGTCGGCGAGGAGGAAGAGTTGGTGCGGCGATGTTGACATGATCGTTTTTTAATGCTGGGTATAATGCTGTAATGTATCGAGTCGGAAGAGAGTAATGGTTGAGACTTGTGTGGTCGATTGGGAAGGTTGTCGCCCTTCCCCGGACTGCATGTGATGCCTCATCCGAGGCTCAGCCACCAATGCCATTGCCAAGCCACATGCTTCCTTCTATGTCAGAACATCAAGGTGTTTGCTGACCGTTCTTCAAGTGCAATCGTCACAAGACGTGTGGATCATGATTATCCTGGATTAACGCATTACCAATTATAACTAAAAGACTACGTGACTAGGGGGGTATTGAGCTACTTCGTAAACCCACAAAGGAAACTTATTCATCATCATCATTCTTAGTAAGGAACCTCCTCCTCAAAGATAGGAGCCTCGCGGATTCTCTCCTGACTCCACTGCACCTTGGCCTTCTCGTCCAAAGTAGCCTCCTCATCGGTAGCAGGAATCTCGAACTCCTTGCATCCAGCAACTTCCTGCGAAGCAAGACCATACTCATCACGAGCGATCCAGACGATCTGTTGCTCATTGGCCAAGCTTTGAGGCTGGAAAGCGAGCTCAAGCTCCTCGTTGGTGTAAGGACGGGTAGGCTCATCGAAGTGGGAAGCAAGCTCCTTGCGCACAGTAAGCCACTTGTTGGCAAAGCGCGAGGTGAAGAAGAAGTGCTGGAGCTTGCCCTTGATGCCTGACTTCTTGGGCTCAGAGGGAGCGGTAGATCCGGCAAGTGTGGGCGAGGTTTCGCGGTTGCTGTGGGTGCTGGGCTTGCCCTCCTCGATCTTCTCCGCGGCAGAGTATCCTGTGCTACTGGCCTCGGTTCCGGGCATCAACTCAAGACCATCAACAATGGGGCCGAGAGTCTTGCTCATGATAGCATGGTAGACAACTGTGAAAACAGCGAGGATGATGGTGATGATCAGAGGACCAATCGCAGCTCTGTCTGAGGCGATACCGATGGCGAAGAGACCGATCAAACAAAACTCGAGAAGATACACACCGACTGTAATCTGCTGAAGAGCACGGGCGTAAGCGCGACCCTTCATGTCGATCGAGTGGTTGCCGACCACATAAAGAAGTTGGTAACGGTAGGCGAGGTACAGAAGACCAAATCCAATAGTTGCGAACCCAAGAAGCAGTGGGGCAATGCAAGAATAAGCAATGGCAATGACTCCGAGCATCGCGTTGGCAGGGAGGACTGAGCCCCAGCCAAGACCGATCAAGTTGATGTAGCGGTTGTAGACCTTGCGAGGTGTCGAGTCCAGGATCTTGCCAAGGAAAGCGATGAACAACAGCGGAGCAATGTTAAGAACGAGCATAGCAGCTTGATTCATCATGGTTACAACGAAGTAAGCAGTGTAGAAGTTGGATGCTGTGGGAAGGTTGCTAGCGAGCAAAGTAGGTGCAGAACCAGGGTTGTTGACAATCGTCTTTGCGACAGCAGCAGCTCCAGAAGAGAAAGTGGTGACGAGGAAAACATCGACGACCTGGAAAGAGAAGTACCAAGCCTGAACTCTCAGTTCGACTGCAGATCTAGTGGGTTCGAACAAGCCGGCAAGCAATCTCAAGACGATGGGGACCAGAGCCATGAGAACAGCAAGCATGACTGAGGGCAAAAGACCAGTGACAACACCAAGAATGACGTCGGGGATCTTGCTGATCCAGGTCAAGCCTTGAATGGTCTCGAGAGTCTTGACGTTGGAGATGGCACCGACAAAAGCAACAGGAATGGCCCAGAACACAATCATGACGATGACAAAGATGGTCGATGCAATCAAGATCCCGCGAGTGACCATGTTCTTCTTGTTCAAGTTGGACCAGATAACGTCTTGAGGCTCAACGCCGACGACCTTGGGTGTGAGCTTGGCTCCCTTGATCTTCTGCATGGTTCCAGACATTTGACGGTGAGCAGCCTGAGCGTACTCAAGGGTCTCGAATTGGATGAAGACGGCGGGGATCTTTTCGGCGCTGTGGGCGTTGTCGATCTCTTCGGTGACCTGCTTGTTCAAGCGTACAATCTCAGGACGAGCCCAATCGATGGTATCAACCTTCTTGCCGATGAGAGGAATCTTTCCGAGACGGTGGGTGGGACGGATCTTGGGGTCGACTTCGACACGACCGCTCTCACGGTCAATGGTGGACTTGTCCTCTTTTCCCTTCTTCTCGGCCTTCTTGTGAGTCTTGACGAACTTCTGGACGAGCTTGTTTTCAGCAGCTTCAAGCTTAGTCACGGCTGAGTCTCTCTCGCCAACAACATCGTCGAGCTTCTTGGTGTTAGGCTGGATCCAGACGCGAGAAACACCATTGAAAAGCTCACGCAAGGCGCTTTCCTTGCGGTACTCCTCAGCGACATTGGTAAACATGACAGTTCTGGCCGACAGACGACTGCTGTAAGCTACCGAGGTGATGATGGATTGGCGGAGGCTGATAAAGTAGATGATCTCGCGGGTGATCACAATCATGACGAATGCAACAAAGACCCAGGCAAGGATGGCGGGCGCATAGTAGTAGTTGGTGTGGCTAGGAATTGCCACATTGCTGAACGACAGAATATTGAACTGTGTGTTTCCAGCACCACCTGGACATTTGTTAGACCAAGCCAAATTCACCGAAACCAGAAATATGCTTACCAGTGGCGTTGACAGGGAAAAGGATGGGCCAAGTGATGACTGCACCAACAAAAGAGATAACGAAGAGAATCTTGAAAAGACGCAAAAAGAGGTAGTTGTCCAAGGAAGAGTGCATCAAGACGTGATCATCGTTGAGACCACGGAAGTTTGTAATCCATCCGAACCTCGAGTCAGATGGTTGTGGGGTGTACTCGCTGTGAACGGTCAGAAAAAGGAGGGGGAACAAGCAAAACATTGAACTCACTATTTCCTGAGGAGCGGCAGATAAGTACGCGGCTCGTAAACTCTCTTGTATTTCGGACGGAAGATCAGAAATACTGTGAGCACGACCGACGAAATGACAAGGACAGGAACCAATGTCGACAAAAAGGTCGATGCCGAAGGCGACTGGTTGCGATGACTGCCTGCCGGATCAGACATGATGGCGGTGTTGTTGATGAAAGCGCTGGATCAACGCAATCGATCGTGTTGGTGGGGTGTCAAAAGAATGAGGAGTGGAGTGATGGGTTGCGAAGATGGGAATACTTGTAGTCGCACACCGCAGATCAGTCTTCGGGCTGCGCAAACACACCCTCGACAACTTTTACTTGTTTGGACGTCAAAAACGGGTGTGTTTGATCAACCTGCAGCTCGGCTGGTCAATAACCTTTGCGTGGCTCTCCCTGTGGCGCAAAGCTTGAAGGCCCAGAACGACTTGATCTTAAGCCCACAGTCACAGTGGTCAGATGAATGCAGACACACAGCCACGATAAGACTGATTTTCAGCTTTTCACAGGCGCTTGTTCGGTGTGTTTAGGATAGCAGAATGGAAAACAATTCACTCAATCAATGACGCTCTCCTTGCGTGCGTTGATGGCGGTCGCAAAGGTATGCAAGCTATCTTTGTTTCATTTCCAAGTGCTTTCACATGAGGTAGCGTCATCGGCGTCATATGCGCCCATGGGCGTTGATCTCGCATGTAATTTCTTGGAGCCGTCAGCGCGGTTTGGCAAGGGTTTTTTTCCTCTGGATCGTGGGGATCAGGGATCATTCGATGATCATTAATCACGCCCGGACGATTCAAGCCCTCGAATCGATTCTAATCTAATGGTACTGCATTCGGGAATACGCAGGAACCGTTACCACGAAATCATGCTGTGCACCATCGCAACTGCGCTTGGTCGAGTACTGTGTCACGCTTGTGGCATGCAGAAGAATATAACTAGGAGACAAGCGTTGCGCTGACGGGCCACCGACTGTAACGCACACGGGATCGCAGTAGATTGCTGACGCACAACCGTCGCTGGTAGGGATGAGTATCATAGACAGAGCAAGAAACGGCACGCTAACGTGCTTATCTCAATGAACGCCGACCGCCCTCGAGTTCGAGGCTGGTGCTCTCTGTATCGCAGCCACATTTCAAATCTCGCCGTGGCTGAGTTCTCTGTGGCTCAAGGCTGCGAGAACTTTTCGCACACCTTTTCCTGTATCCAACGACCGTTCAACGGTATCTGACGGACGTGAGGCGGTCGAGCTCGGTGGAGTTTCCATTCTCCTGATCGTTCGTGGTTGTTGAGACGCCATGAACGTGGTTTCGAAGAACCAATCTCTTCGTGTGAAAAACGGCGAAGCTGACAAGCATGATGATGAGACACCTCTCAGCACACTCAAGCAAGTTCGTGGACGGCCCATGACCCACATATGTTCGTTTTGAAGGGACATGTCGTCGAGATATGCAATCTGAGTTTCCACAAGGCTGACGAAGGGGATCATTAAAGATGTTCAGGAACAGAGATGGAGTGATGATTGATCTGTTGCCAAGTCATGCACAAGCTCCCTCAAAAGGATCCACGAATCGCTGAACGAGCAACGTCATACCGCGCTCGACGTGATAGCTTCACATCGCGTCTTCCCAGCCGTCTACCTACAGATATTGACCATCAAACATCAAGTTGGTAACAGCTATGGATTTTGTATTGCAGCACAAGGGCCAGCTGGGCGCCGTCACAGCACTGGTCGTTTATTCTGCCGCCAAAAACAAACTGACACCAGGCGGCATCGTAGCTGCGATCGTGACAGCCGGCATACACATGGTACATCCATGGGGAGTCTTCTTTAACCTCCTCGTTGGTTTCTTTATTGCCGGCACTTTAGGCACAAAGGTTCGTATTCTATGACTCTTCCCTGGCAACCTTGGACTTGAGATGATATGTCCTTGTCACGTTGCACATGCGAGGAAAGGCAATATCGTCATCAGCGGGGTTGTCAAGCATATCGAACAATTAAGTTGACAGCAAGAACAGATCAACCACACGACAAAAAAAACTCTTACTCAGTCGGCGACTGGAGGTGTAGGAGGTGAGGGTGCTCGCAACTACGCTCAAGTATTGGCCAACTCAGGTGCTGCGTCGCTTTTGATCCTTTGGCATCTTTATGCCACTCAAAACGGTGGTACCAGTCTCAAGGATGGATTCAGCTTGACTGATGCTATTCCATTCGGTGTTGCTGCGTACGTCAATTTGTTCTTTCCAACCACTCAGAACAGCTGACAAACATACTTAAGCTCCTACGCCGCTGCTGCTGCAGACACTCTCAGCAGCGAACTCGGTATTCTATCGCCAACTTCTCCTGTTCTCATCACGGCACCATGGCGCAGTGTACCTCGCGGAACCAACGGAGGCGTCACTATAACTGGTCTGCTCGCCGGTCTGGCAGGTTCTGTCTTCATCTCCACTCTCGCGTACTTTACTCTGCCTTTTTCTCGAATGGCATGGACGGGAGACTCCAAATTCCTCTTTTGGGTCGTATTGACAGTTGCTGGATTCAGCGGCACATTGCTAGACTCACTGCTGGGTGCACTGGTCCAAGTAACAGTGGAGGACAAGAGCACTGGTAGAGTCGTTGAAGGAGACAATGGCAAGAGAGTCAAGGTCACTGCTGGAGGTAGCAGAGTGCAAAGAGGTATGGATCTGCTCAATAACAATGGTGTCAACTTTGCTATGGCGGCCACAGTTGCAGTTGTAGGCATGGCAGCATGGAGCTTGATGGTGCAGAAAGTAATTCTAGCTTAGAACACCTAGAATACCCGGTGAACAAAATATAGCTATCGACTGCTACGTTTGACCTACCTTAATATTGTCGATACTTGCTTGCGACTGAAGTGTGTACTCCTGATGTGACCAAATCCCTAGGCCATCGACCGCCAAGACATCTGGCTGAGAGTACCACCCTGCCTCTCATCATTGCCTACCACTTTAGTTGCATGTTAGGATAAATTCGATGTTTCATCAAGGAGCTTTTGCTCGCCTGTAGTCAAGGCTAGCTTCCGATTCAGTTTTAAGAGGCTATCGTTCATGGGCGCTCAGCGGTGGTCTCTCCCAAAATTGACCACCCTTTCCGTCCAGCTTGAGCGATCGAGACGGCTAAAGTTTTGCTCTAACGCGGTCATCCTTCCAGCACCAACTTCAAACCAGCGATCATCACAATATGCTTTACCTGAATTGCCAGATGATCGTATTTGAATGACTTATGGAACTTTAGCTCATGCCGACCATGGTTCGTTGCATCGCCAGAGATGAACGCCAAGTGCTCTTGACGTAAACACCTTCCTTTGTCTTCTACTTCAGCAATCCCAACACTCCCACATCAAACTGTCAATGAGACTGTGCATTCAATGAGGTGAGCATCGTTCGCGCTTCAGTTAGAATTACAATGTCGATGAACTTCCCATGGAGCTGCCTTACCTTAATGTTGACGATCTAAGGGTCAAATAGCGCCATGAAGACGTGCTGATGAAAAAGTCATACACTCCCCAGTATGGTGAGAACGCCAGAGAAAGGTACTTTGACGATACTTATGGTAGAGGTCGTTGGCTACGTCGGTTATTCAGGTTCGCACGAGAGAGTGTCCCATTTCCTGGTGAGAGGCATCGTTTCAACAAGCTCCTTCGAGATTGGAACCACTTTAAGAGAAGCCAGAACATCCAGCCGAGACCTTTGAGCATGTGAGCAGGAATCCCTGATTAAATTCATGGTGAAGATGTTTTAATACCACAACCTGTCAAGCCACCAACAGCCTCAAGTTCTCTTCGACACGATCACCATCTCGTGCCGAAGCAGCTACGAACATTGTTCCTAATGACAGCAGTGATCCAGATGCTGTTCCTTGAAGTACCCGCAAACTCGTCTACTTCGTTGAATCTGTGGCTGCCTTATTCATTGTGACCGAAGCCTGTGGTAACGCTAGAAAATATACTTGGTCCTGCAGGGTTGGATTTGGATGTGGGCCTCAAGATGTCGTCCCATAGATTCGGTCAAAGATGTCTTCCCCTTCCTAACATTTGCCTCTCATGTAGTCCGGGAACGAGATTTGTCATTGTTTATTGAAGCTCGATAATTATTACATTGTTGCTATGAGCACGTCAGTCGTGATTTGAGCAGATGCTTCAGAAGACTTATCGTTGCATTCGAATGCATTCACGATGCCAACACAGCCAGACTTGCGCTGTTGCCAACGGATGCAAAGCTGTGCCGAACCTTTGATTGTTGCAGACCGCGACCTCTGGAAGCAGCGGCCATCTCGATTACAACTGTCCTTTGACGGCTCTCCATGTTAGCTCGGAGTTGCTTGACGCCAACATCGAGATCATAGGGGTCACTTCATCAAGGCCCTGAGTGGATGGATCGAGGAACAGGAGCCCCTGAATGTTTCCGTATCCTATCACAATCGACAACTCTAGATTGAGAGCATCATCAACGAAGACATAGGAACTGCAAGAGGATCAAGGCTTACTAAAGCATATTCATACTTCATATGCAATTATCATTAAAACTACGTAAGACAAGAAAGAGGCAAGAAGGGGTATCACTATGCATCAATATCACTGCACGATAGCCCTCAACGCCTGCAAAAAGATACCGAATACAACACCTCTTCCAACACCCTCGACCTGCAGACAATCGAACACTCTTCCCAATGCCTCGCCACTAGCAGCAGCTCCCATGACACTGGTCAATGCAGCAGGCATGCCTCTCTCCACAAGCAGTGCTCTGGCTTTGATTCTCAACTGCTCTTTCTCTTCTGCTGTCATCTCCTTTGGCCAAGCTTTGAGTTCTTCTTCTGTAGGCAGAGAGTTTTCTCGGGTCTTGAGGATATGGGCGGCGATGGAAGCGTCAGAGGTGGAGGTGTCGATGACGTTGGCTTGAATCATTTGGCGAATTGCCTCGAGTTGTGGGTTGCCAGGTCGAAGAAGGAAGGACTTGGCAGCGTTGAGGAGAGTGCGGCGAATGTTCCATGCAGAAGACAGAGTATATAATTCCGTTATCACTGCAAACAGCAGTTCTACGGCTACCTGAGTTTCTTGTTCCGAAATTGGTGGAGTGGTTTTCGTCACTTTCGTGACAGCCGGAGTCACAGCTGGCGTCGTTCGTGCAGCTATAGATTCCGGAGACCTGGATGTGCGTCGTGACCTGGTACCAGAGGTAGGATACCTGGATGTTGACGCACGGGCGTCGGGAGAGCTGTAGGTCATGTCGTCGCTGATTCTAGCAGGTTGGTGGGATACTGCTGTCGGTGAAGCATAATCATCAGGAATATCCGATGGTGGAGGTGGGAGGTTTAGTCCGGTGTCGAGTTTCGACAGACCAGCTGACGACGCGGGACGACTGAGCTCTCCACTTCTTGTGCCTTGGTAGGAAGTGCGAGGAGTCGAGAAGCTGGGTCTGGTCTTCAAGTCGAGTGACTGCTCGACTTTATGGCCGGACTGAGCAGGTGCTGGTACACGTTTAGACAGAGATGGAGTGCGAGACAGAGGCGCGGGAATACTTCTGACACTGTCTGTGCTCTGCCTTTCGACACCAACATTACCCATGCTACCCATGTAGCTGTCCTCGAGGAAGGCGCCAGGGTTCAGCGAGATGGATGAGCGGCTAGCATTGTGATTTGAGGCGACAGAAGTGCGCTTGCCACCAAGAATGCTAGTGACACCGCCGAAGATCGCCTTTCCACCACCAGCGACTTGTGTAGGGGCTTTGGTCAACGTATCTAACATGCTCTTGCCCATCTGATCGAAGGCAGCAGGCGTCGGCCATCCAAAGCCCTTGCTGCCTCCAGGTGAACGAGAAGCACCACCATCTTTATCCAGGAATCGCTTCATACCTTCGCTCTCGGCAAGGGGTTGCAGGCGAACTGCATCATTCAGATAGCGTTCCAGCTCAATTCGGAGTGTAGATTTGGTGTTGTTCTTCCATGAAGGAAGGTCAGCATGGGAGTCAGTGAAGCGAGTGCCGGTGATAACAGAGATACGCCGAAGGACTTCATGCAAAGTCTCAAAGTCAGTGTATTTGCGCATGACCATCCAGCCCGGGAAACTCGAAGAACTGGGCTCAATCTGAATCATATAATCAATGTTGGGCTTTGATCGCATAACTGTCCTATTTCCTGGAGAAGCGTCATCAAATATGTTGATCGAGGCATTAAACAATGTCAACACTGGTGGAGGCTTGAGGCGAAGCTTTTCGTCCTGGCTAGCCAAAGCAGTAGGACTGGTCGCAGGAAGAATCTGGTCAAAATTGGTAAATGGCTTCTTCACGTCTTCAGACTTCCGTGTAGATTCAGCGCTTGGCGATGACCTGGTCGCATCAGACCTGACACCCTCATCAGCATCTCCTTGAGATGATGAAGGAGTCATGATGCCCTGAGTAGTGGTTTCAGAGACATCACCACTACTGCTGACAGCGGATGCTTCAGCTGCGGACTTCTTTGCCTCTTCTTCAGCGATCAGCTGAGTAAGCCTCTGCGCTTCTTTCATAGCTTCGTCCATGGCTTCTTCAGCCTTGTTGCGACTGGCCTTGCGTTTGTGTTCGCGAACAGCTTCGGGGCTTGATGATGGCATGTCAGCCGGTTCGTCAACAGCGACTTGTTTCTTGGTAGATTGAGCGACAGCAGCAGAACCCTCGACGCCAGCGTCAATGACCTCCATTAACTCAGGCTCTCCCTCCTCAAGCAAATATACGATCCATTGGTTGATGAACTCGGGCTTGGAGCAGCTGTCAACAGTCATGGACAGGACCAGCTTAGCCAGAACTTGTTTGAGAAAGATCTGGGCTGGGGCACACATATATGTCTTGTTGTCGAGGTATTTCAGGAGGATATCGTTTGCGACGACCTTGAGCTTCTTCTCTTGATGCTTGGAGTCCATAATGCTGGCGAGACTGCTCTCGGGCTTCATCTCGAGGTAGGTGTGGACCGCTTCTTCGGCAGTAGCATTTGGCGAGGCATTCAAAGCAGCGGCGAGCTCGTTAAGGAAGACAATGACGATTGAGGATGAATTGGTGACAAAATCGAGGAAGGTGTCTACAGGTCGCTTGCGGGACAGGTGATTGGAAAGGGAGACAATAAAACCGACCAGGACCTGTCGACAGGCTACAGGAAACGAACCTTCGCCAGGAAGAACAGGCGCATACCACCAACTGCATGAACGTCAGTCACAGTGTGAGCATAGCAAAGCAAGGAGAATGGCGTACTTGACATAGTCGCGAATGATGGCATCTGTGAAGACGTTCAAAGCGGCTTGAGTATCAGGACGGAAGGAAGAGAAGTCAGCCTTGGTTCCAGGCAATGGTCTGATTTCATCATCCGACTCGTCCGTAGCTGCATTGTGTCTCGTCTTTTCCCTGGAAAGCAGCAGGCGCTGGATCACATCAAGACCAACTTCTTTCCGCTTTTTCTGCTCAGCCTCGTTCGCAGCGAGTCTATCAGGCGAGGATTGAGAGGCATCCCATGTGGCATGCAGTGCAACACCGCCAACAATTCCAATCAGGACCAGGCCAACTCTTCCCAGGATGAAGTAAGTGGTAGCAGCCAGACCAACAAGGCAAGCTCCAAGAGTTTCGTTGCTTGCATGCGAGAGAAAGTGTAAAGCTTTGTCGACAATGTCCTGGAGCTGGGCAGATGCGGCTGAAGCTGTTACTGCGGCTGATTTGTCTCGATTGGTTTGTGCATCGTTGTTCTCGTTTGGCGTGACCTTATCGTGGATAGGCGTGTCGTGGTTGTCGTTATGGTTATTGTCGTTGTTCTGCATAGCGTCATCCGTGGAAAGCGGCGGAGTAGCTGTCGCGTGCTGCGAAGCGTCCATTGTCGTTCATGCAGGAAGGAGGATTAGAAGAAAAAGACAAGATTGCAGTGTTTCATTCTCTCTTGCAGGAGATTATAATAAAAGAAATGTTCCGGCAGCTCCTGAAACGGCTGTAACTGTGCAGCGATATGCGCCTGCGGATTGTCATCATCCACCATGTCCCTGACTGCCGCCGTTACGCGTACACGATTCATGCGCCAATTCCGCTGCTTTGGCATAACTCGCAGCTTTCTTTGTGCGCTTTGTGCAAGTCTGCACATCCTTGACTCATTTGTCCCAAGTCTTGGCATCATCCTCCGCCGACCTCACTCCCGCAATTTTTTGGTTTTGGTATACACCTGTCGTCTGCTCTTGCCGTATTTGCCAATTTCACTTGATCTCACATATTCATAATGCCCGGAGTCAACGTCAACCCCCAAACTCCTCAGGAGAAGTACGACCTGAGTATGTCAACCACTTGCCACTACTTCTCAACACATACAGCCGCCCAATTTCTCCGCAAAACACTCCGAATATCGCCAAGTCTAAACTATCTTATCAAAAAATACTAACATTTGGTTTACAGTCGTCTCGGGTCTGCAGGAGGTCCTCGGTGCAGACATCTTGAAGGCTAAGCTTGATAAGGGCGTATGTCAATTATGCCTTGTAAAAGTGTCTGGATTCTTATTGACCTCGTGACAGGAAACCGTGTCTCTGTACTGGGGAACCGCAACCACTGGCCGGTACATACAATAGCTATCATCTACTCGAACTATGCTAATTGATTTCTTAGTCCTCACTGTGGTTACCTAGTGCCTGCAACTCAGATCGCCTCTTTCCTTCAGGCTGGATGCCGTGTCAAGGTTTTGCTTGCCGATGTGCGTCAATCTTGAATTCTTCGATCTCAATAATTCGCTAACGATCATGAAAGATCCACGGCTTCCTTGACAACTGTGAGTATATCCCTCAATCTCGAGCACGCCTTGTGACATGGCAAGAATATCTACTGACAATCTGACAGTGAAGGTGAATTGAATACGATCTTATTGAAGGAACAGGAAATTGACTTCTCCCAAGGCACCCATCGAGCTTGTCAAGTTCCGTGCTGAATAGTACGTGGAAATCAAGTACACCCAATCTGCACAGATCTGACGATTTCACAGCTACCGCCACTGTATCACAAGTCTTCTGAAGGCCGTCGGAGTTTCAATTGAGAAGTAAGTCACCTGCATGCAGAGAAGAGCAGGCTGTTCATCGTTCTTTGTGCCAGCCTCTGCCTTCGATTCAGCTTTGCCAAAGGAGATAATATACTGATATGTATCATCCAGGCTCGAGTTCGTTCTCGGCTCTTCTTACCAGCTCACTCCTGAGTTCAACATGGACATGGTATGCAAATCTGAAGATGCTTTGCTAGAATTCCGCTAACTCCACCAACAGTACCGCCTTCACAGTATTGTCAGCTCACACGATGCTAAGAGAGCTGGTGCTGAGGTCGTCAAGCAGACTGGTGAGTACAGAAGCCTTTGGTGAAGTAGAGTTTGGCTAACAATTGAACAGACAGCGCCCCTTTGAGTGCATTGATCGTACGAAAATTCCCTAACATAATATAGTTTCGATTGTAAGCTGACTTGGTTGCAGTACCCTATCATGCAATGTCTCGATGAGCAGTGTAAGTCGAACGTTTCCAGGACCCAGCCATTTGTTCTGACTTCTGGCAGACCTCGATGTTGATGCTCAATTCGGTGGTGTTGATCAGAGAAAGATTTTCGCCCTCGGTAGGTTTCCATGCTTGATTGTCTGTCGCTGCATGTTTGACTGACCGCGTGCTACAGCAAAGGAGATTCTTCCCAAGGTCGGCTTCCGCGAGCGTGCCCATTTGATGAACTCGATGGTTCCTGGTAGGTTCCTAGCTGTTATGGTATTATGAATGTACTGACATCTATTCAGGTCTTACTGGTGGTAAGATGTCAAGTTCCGAGCCTGACTCAAAGATCGATCTCTTGGACGGACCCGAAATTGTCAAGAAGAAGCTCAAGAAGGCCGTCGCCGCCCCCAAGGTCGTCGAAGACAACGGTGTCCTCAGCTTCGTCGAATACGTCCTACTCCCCATCTCCGCCCTCCAAACCGGCGAGCAAAAATTCGTCGTCGAGCGCAGAGAAGGCGAACCCCTCGTCTACACCTCCATCGACCAGATGCACGCTGACTACCGCGAGGACATTCTTTCTCCCCAGATCCTCAAGCCTGCCGTTACTGAAGCCCTTAACAAGCTTCTCGCACCCATCCAAGCAGACTTCCAGAGCAATGAGGAATGGCAGAAGGTTGAGAAGTTGGCTTACCCTCCCCCTCCTGCTCCTGAGAAGAAGGTCAAGGTCAAGAAGGACAAGGGTTCGAGATTCCCTGGTGCTGCTAAGAAGGATGTTGTTGCTCAGCCTGATGGCCATGTTGAGGGTCCTGGTAGTGCTGAGGTGAGTGTTGGCAAGGCTGAGGAGGGTCTTAAGAACCTTGAGGTTGAGGAGAAGTAGACCTTCAGATTCCTCGAAAAATGTTCATTTGGTAGCAAATTGTTGAAGCAAGATAAAAGACACGTTCATCCAATGACTCGTTTCAACCCACTTTTGTGACATGATGTGTCGGACTGATCATGCTTGGCATTATGGGACTGGATCAACTTGCAAACCAAGTAAGACAGAATCAAGAACACCGACAAGAGTACGATTAACATGAAAGAAGAATGGTCATATATGTCTACGAGACTAGTATATATCCTGTTAATACACTTTCTACACTTCTATCCTTTACATCCTGTTCTGTCTAAGGAACGAGCCAATAAACTCAAACGCCCCCATAGCAGTATAATGCAAGTTAACTCCATGACCAGTCGAAGGAGCAAGATAAGTGCCATTAGCCTTGGCAGCAGGATAAAGCATCTTCAGAGCAGCCTCAGCCTTGTTCATAGGATAAGTGCAGTTTCCATAACAGAAGGGCAAGTCTGCGTCGCCGTTGACAATAGCAACGGGACCGGTGAAGTTTGCAGCGACACCAGAGATAGCGGCTTGGGTGAACAGCTCTCCGAATGTGACGGAACCCTTTGCGGCTTCGGCGGCGGCGAGGATCAGAGGGTCGAAGTTGGGAGCGCGGAAGAATCCGTATTGGTTGCTGATGGTGGAGTAATCGACCAAGTATCCATTGTTAAGGTTGGAGAATCTGTAAGGTTGGTTTTGGGATGCGATTTGCAGGTTCAAAGCAGTGAGGAAAGGTGCAATGGCGGATTGATTGGCAGAGAAACCAGTCAAGATAGCGGCATCGAAGGTCTTGGGGTGGTTGTAGGTGACCGATTGAGTAATGGCACTGCCGAAACTGTGGCCGACTCCAATAACGGATGTGAAGTTGGTGTTGGCGAACATGGAGTGGCGGAGCATCATGGCGAGTTCGTTGGCGATGCTGGCTTCGAGGGGGCCCTGGACGGTCTTGATGGGGTCGGGAGTTGACGACATGCCGACACCAAGACGGTCGTAGCTGAAGGTTGCGTAGCCCTGCTCGATAGCGTAGTCGACGTAACTGTAGCCAGGTGCAAAGTCCCAGTAGTAGCGGTCAAATCCGATACCGTGGGTCAGGAGCTGAACGGAACTGGGAGTTGTGCCATTGGCAGGCATACAGAGAGTTGATGCAATGGTGTAGTTTCCAGTGACATTCTGCATGCCCTCCATGATGCTCTTCGAGAAAGTGGAGCCGGAAGTGATAAGCTCCAGGAAGGTGTTGGTCACGACAGACTCGTTGGCGGGGACGCTGAAGTTGAACATGACATTCTGAGCAGAAGCTTGAACGGCGACATCGCCAGAGACACAGATGGCGGCACCACCGCGCGAAGGCCCAACAGTAGGGTTCTTGAAGCCAGCAGTGTTAGGTGCAGCAATGCCAGCAGGGAGAGCACCGTTAAAGCTAGCTGTGTAGTCGGCAGCAGCCAGACCAGCGAGAGCGAGTAGGGTCAATCCAGTCATGATGTGTGATCGAGCGTCGATTGATCTGAGCAAGACAGCGGCAGGCCATGGCGTCTTTAAAGCTCTCGGAGTCGAGCTCCAGATGTGACGTCGAGATCAATTGGATATCACATGTGATTTGGAATGGATCTCAAGCAGTCAAACGGTACACTACAGACGTCGGCGGAGGCTGCTTGTGAGACATTGGAAAATATCTCCGCGCAGCAGCAGAGAAAGGTGGTGACGTACTATCTGGGGTCTAACGGGAACTAGGAGTTATGCTCCTTCAACCTCACCTGCTGCTTAACCATAATTATGCTGGAGCAATACCTGTATATTAATGTCTTACAAATATGATTAGCTCCAATCTGCTCGGGATCTTAAGCCAATTGTGTTAGAGAAATTCACGAGAATGGTTAATATGTTATTCATGTTGTCGAGTCGAGGTGAAGTTGAGATCGTCCCGCGGCAAAATGCGGAGAACTGGTGTTCGATCTGTCGATAAAGTTGAGCTTCTGAATATTTGTCAAATCCGGGTGACGTGCAAGAGAGCTCGAATATGAATGGTCTGACCTTCATAGGATAGTCGTAGATAAGACAAAATAACACATGCCTTGATGCTCTCAAGATCGACTTGTGTATGGGTGTTGTAAGAACCTGTGGCTTTGATGGCCTTGGATTTCGCATGCTATGGGATTGCATACCAAAGGTACAGAGCAGATGACTATGCCTGAGAAGCTCATCGACCACAACGCGAAAGATGGTGGACCGCAACAGTATGCTTCTCGAGAACTGATTCGCAATACAAGCCGTGAAGGGATAAGCGCGTCAGAGGCAGAATGCTTGCTCAGGATGAAGACCCACTCGCAATAGAAGAGTGATGATAGCACGTTGGTGCATGCTTCGTATCGGGTCACGCTATCTCGTCGTTTCTGTCGTGGTCTCGTATGCGTATGCTTCGTTTAAACAGAGCAGAGAGGTTGGAGTCAACTCTGATGTAGGTAGAATGGCTCAGATGTAGCGGAACATGTTGTTCTTGACGGAGCGCTTCATGGAGACAGGGACACCGTCTTCATATTCAACACCAGCATCACCGCCATCACCAGCATGGCCAGCCATTTTCTGGCGAAGCTCCTCGTCCAGCTCAGCCAGAGTCTTACGCTTCTTGGGCTGCTCAGGCTGAGATTCTGGTGAGGATTGCTTCTGATTCTGCTTTGGTTAGAAATGGTGAAGATGGAAAGTTGAGTTGATAAAGTGCAGCTCACGTTTTTTGTATCTGTCGGAGAAGAGGCGGATTTAGGGTTAGAGCTAGCCTGACGAGTCTGCCTGAGGCATGATGCTCGCAGAACCCACGTGCGCGACAAAACCATTTGTGATGACTTGAGTGATACTAGTGACATGTTTGTGGTATGTGATTGTAGGTAGCGAAGTTGCATCTCGATATTCGTCGTCTTCACAAGGCCTCGCCATGATTCTTGGGACGTCATTACCAAGTCATCGCAGAACACGTGACTCGGCCAAAAGTCAGGCTTGGCATTGAAGTCGCGCGTGCTTGTGCTTGGGTCGCAGCATCGAAGCCGACACTGTTACTCGTCAAGACACCTTTGTCGCAGTCGCCAACATGCCCGTCGTCAAGGGAGGAGTCTGGACCAATATCGAAGATGAGATTCTTAAGGCCGCCGTCTCCAAATATGGACTCCAACAATGGGCCCGAGTCTCTTCGCTGCTTGCGCGCAAAACTCCAAAGCAGTGCAAGGCAAGATGGTCAGAATGGTTGGACCCAGGCATCAGAAAGATTGAATGGACCAAGGACGAGGACGAGAAGCTTCTACACCTGGCAAAGTTGATGCCCACCCAATGGCGCACAATCGCTCCCATTGTCGGAAGAACTGCTACACAATGTCTGGAACGCTATCAAAAACTGCTCGACGATGCAGAGTCGCGCGAGAACGATGAGTTTGGTCTTGGAGGTCCTGCTGGTGGCGAGGCCGCCGCTCCTTCAGCTGATGATGTTCGCAAGCTTCGCCCTGGAGAAATGGACCCAGATCCCGAGAGCAAGCCTGCTCGACCCGATACCATCGACATGGACGAGGATGAGAAGGAAATGCTGAGCGAGGCTCGTGCTCGTCTTGCGAACACCCAGGGAAAGAAAGCAAAGAGAAAGGCAAGAGAGAGACAACTCGAGGAGTCAAGGCGTTTGGCTGTCCTACAGAAGAGACGAGAGTTGAAGAATGCTGGCATCAACATCAAGGTCGTCACAAAGAAGAAGGGTCAGATGGATTACAATGCCGACATTCCTTTCGAAAAGGCTCCCGCTCCTGGATTCTACGATACTGCAGAGGAGATTACCACAAACGAACGCGAGCGCGACGCTTTCGATCCTCGCAAGCAGCAACTTCAACGTAAACGACAAGGCGACCAGGACGATAATCCCGAAGATCGTAAGCGTCAGAAGAATGACAAGGGCGGAAACCAAGCTGCTTTCGCTGCAGCCGCAAAAGCTGGACGTGAACAAAAGTTGCGTGAAGCCGAGCGTAGCAGCAGACGTCGTGGTCTTGTTCTGCCCGCTCCTCAGGTCAGCGAGGGTGAACTGGACGAGATTGTCAAGATGGGAATGGTTGGTGAACGCGCAAATTTACAAGCTGGCCAGAGCGACAACGAGGCTACCCGTGCCTTGATTGGCAACTACTCGGACGTTGTAGGCTCAACCCCCCTCCGCACACCACGTGCTCCACAAGAGGAAGACCGTATCGCCAACGAGATTCGCAATGCTAGAGCAAGAACCGAAACACAGTCTGCTTTGCTGGGAGGGGATAATAATGAGCTCTACGAAGGTGATGCTACGACTGGCTTTTCAGGTGTCGCTCCCAGCAAGCAGACTACTGCTACACCAAACCCTATGGCTACTCCCTTCCGTCAAAATGGTGTCGCTGCAACACCACGCGGCCCTGGCGCTACTCCCCTTCGCACACCTCGCGACACATACGGCCTCAATACTGGCGATGGCATGCAGATGGTCGCACAAACACCACGAGACCTTCGTTTACAACAAAATGCTCTTCGTAGTGACATCAGAAGCAAGTTGTCCGCCCTCCCTAAACCGAAAGAGATGGACTTTGAACTCGAACTACCTGAGGAACAACAGGAAATTGGACCTGAAGTTGAGCTGAGCGAAGAAGATGCTGCACTTCGTGATGCTAGAAACAAGGCGGCACAAGAAGAGCTTGCGAGAGCAGAATTCAAGCGTCAATCACAAGTCATCCAACGAGGACTACCACGACCGAGTGTGGTTGATGTGGATGCTATGCTGAAGAATGCTGCCGACGATAATGACCCTATCAAGAGCAGTATCAACCAAGAGATGGCATTACTTATTGCGAATGACGCCCTCAAGTTTGGCAATGCCAAAGTCAGAGGACAACCCAAGCCCTCAGCACGTTTCTCAGACGAACAAGTCCAGCGAGCACGTCTTGATATTGCTCTGGAAATGGGTAAAGACGAGAGAGGTCGCGCGTTATTGGCAGAAGGCTTCGGTCAGGCCTGGGAGAAGGCTCACGAAAGAGGCATGCTTCCTGGTCTCGCCGGTTATGCGGAGGATGAGGTTGACGAGCACCAATTAATGACTGAAGCTTTCGACGTAAGAACATTACAATCACCACATGATGACACTTGCTAACTTTTCTCAGAACATTCAATCTCGCATCATCTCCTCGGCCGAGAAGGGCAACACATTAGAACAAAAACTCGTCAAGCATCACACAGGTTACATGATGAGATCAAAAACTCTGCGGCAGAAGATCAATGAAGCAGCAGACTTTTTGGCAAAGACAAGTATCGATGTCGACGTCAAGAGAATTGCTGCCGCCGCTGAGGAAGCTGGTCTAAACGAGAGACTAGAAAAGATTCGCGATGAGGTCAATGTTGTGGCCAGACGCGAGAGAGAAGCACAAGGCACTTTCAGGGAAAGGAGGGAGGAACTGGCCTCGCTATTGACAGCATAGGAGGTTTGGCCATGATCCTTCATAATCACAAAATTATACCCAGAATTTCAATTTTGTAAGACCAAGATTAGTGAATCATGCTGGCCATTCCTGAACTCTCTGACTCTTTCTGGGGTTTCACGAACTCTTACTGACAATGAATCGATCCTGCCTTTCGGCAAGCCAATTCCTTATCTGATGTTGTACGATTAGTAAGCCGAGGCTGACATCAAGGTTCCCCACTTGCCCCAACCTCGCTCCATTGTTTTATATCAGTAACAATTTATATACATGCTCGAGAAGCATCCATCTTTTTCACAGCAGAAAACAAATCCACAATCATGAACTCAGAAATCGTCTTCCATGATTTGACGTCCAAGAAATGGCCTTACTCCTGGTCACCATTTACCCTCCGCACAACACTATGTCTCAATTATCTCGGGCTTCCCTACAAACACGACCAAATCTCGTACCCAGACATTGCAAACACACTCTCCTCTCTGGGCGTAAAGCTTCCCCCCGAAGATGCAGACAAGGCAATCAAATTCACCCTTCCCGCCATCTCGGTCGGCGATGAAACAACAATGGGTTCAACCGCCATTGCCGAAAAGCTCGCCTCTTTGAAGTCAGAATATGAGAAGAAACTATTCCCGCAAGGTCAAAAATCAAGGGATGTGCTGAAGAAATTCGAGGAAGATGTCTTGTCCAAGGTGAACAAAGCCATGGGTGGGATGCCAAAACATGTAATTGCGTTTGTGCCTTTGTTCTTGGATGAAAGGGGTTCTGAGTACTTTTACGCAACTCGCGAACCACGTCTCGGCAAACTCGAGACTTTGAGGATGGAGGGACTTGAAGAGGAGAAAGAAAAAGGATGGAAAGGGTTGGTCAAGGAAGCTGTTATGCCGTTCTTAGACTTTTACAAAGAAATTGATGGCGATGGAAAGGGAGTCTATGCGTTTGGAGGGAATGAGCCGCAGTATGTCGATTTCTGTGTTGCTGGCTTTATCCAGTGGTGGATTTGTGCCCGTGGAGAAGAGGATATCATGGCTGCGCTAGAAGAAGCTGGAGATGGTAGGCTTGCAAAGATTATGAAGGGTTGCGAGGGATTGTTGAAGCCTAAGGAGGTATAATGAGATGTTCGGGTATGTATGTCTCCAAGAATAAATCCTTTTGCTATCAAGCACAGGCAGACTCACATTGAACTCTGACTTCGACTGGCAAGCTTTGTAATCCGGAGAAAAAACTTGGTTTGTCAACTTGGTAATAAACTCAAAGTTACTCTCGCAAACAACTGAGCTGCCGACCACGAATGAGTTACATATTCGAATTCGGAATATGACTCAATCATTGGAAGCTGAGATTTATCAACATCTATAGCTTCTGATTTCTGCTTCTCCTCCTTTATTCTGTCGCAGATCACGTACTTAAAGAGTACGCCAGCCAATTCTACGCCTGAGATTCACGTCTGCAGTGTATGCAACACATTCCACACACAACGCCCAGCTTGGCTACTCCACAATCCTGACTAGATACCAAGACCCATCATGGTCTGTGAGAACCATCGATGCGCGATTTCACCTTATGGTTCTCCTCCAGCATACGAAAACGTAGTATCTCCTACATATGAAGGGGCAGAACCTCCACCAACGTATTCACAAGCTCTCTTCGATGCACTTGGGGAGAGAATAGCCAGATTACGAGAACAACTAGATGCTAGAGATGAGGATTGGATACCTCAGTCTCGCGAGAATCTAGACTCTTGGACAGCGTGTACAACGGCTTTTGTCCGTGCCCGTAGACAGGAAAGAGAGACACTGGAGCCTTCGGTGAGAGAGCGACTGGCACGTGGAACGACTTCAACTGGAAGAATTTTGCCGCCTGAGCTTTGGTCGATAGATGAGTTGTTGCACCGAGCGCGATTGAGACCAACGCCTAGACAGCAGACAAGGTCAACGCCGAGGGAACAGACAACTCGACCGCCTCGAGAGAACTTGCCAACTCCACCTCAGCCAGTCATCAGAATGTCCCCTCGAGAAGATACATCACCACCACTCCGACCTAAACGAGACTTGATGGTTCCAGCTCGACCGCAGGTAGAGCTGCCATCATCACTGCAAACAAGACCCATATCTCAAGAATAAGCAAGGCTAAAGCCTCGATCGTGCCAGAAGAACCATCGCCATGGCCGAGCTAGCGATGTAGAAGACAGCATCAATCTCATCTGCGATGGCGTATCTTTCGTATCGAAGAAAATGGTCCAAGTCTCACGTTTCGTGAGAACAAAATACCGGCAGAGGCGACAGATCCACGGGTCCGAATTGGAGAATGAACGGCGAAGGAAGATGAGGGTATGTCGGCAGAGCTATCCTTGGTTTTGTTTACACATTTAAGACCGTGGTGTGGTCTTCGAAGAGAAACTTCAAGCTGAACACTGACAAACTCGACCCTGTATCATGCCTGGAGTGATTGCCAGCTTCTTATCGCGTACCTGAATCCGAGCTCTTTCCGTCGTGCTTGCATTCTGGTGAGGTATCAAGCCGGCATCCCGGCATAATGCCTTTTACAAGAAATGATCGTCTACCGGCTACGGTATCGGGGTCAAATGAAGCTCTGGGGCGGTGGATCGAAGGCGCTGAATGACACAGGGCACTGGAGATTGACGTTGTGTTCGGCAAGGCGCAGTTGTGGGCGAGGAACGTGACATACGTTGGAGTAGTAAGTAGAACCAAGTCTCGTATTCCTCTTCTTTGAGTATTTCTACTCATTGATTGTCCGCAAGGGGCAACGATACAATGTCATTTCACGTGGTGATGGCTTCGCGTGGTGACATTCAGGGGTATGTTTGAAAAGGACTGAGATCGATCGCGCTCGTCGCAATGCCACAGGAGCGGAATGGAAATCGCTGTATGAGCATCTTGGTATTGCTGTCCGAATGTGGTTCGCTCATGACATCAATCCCGTGCCTAAGGGAACTGGCCGTGAGTCCGGGCGTTGGCTTTATACAGACATCAGCTCTGGCTTCGAACGCTCTTTCCTTCTCTTATGGCTAAAGTCTACATTGTTAACAACAGAACGGCTACCAGTTTTCTGTAAGGTTGCAATACTGGCTATGATTGTATCAGCTGTTAATACCCAGCGACAGATTTTCCACGGTGTACGCGATGTCCAGACGTCTTGCAAACTGACGGGCTAATACTGAAGCTTGTCTAGACGTATATAACTTGGTGAGTATACGTACTTCCCAGGATGTCATACGATATATACTAACGAGACTTGCAGATAATGGTCACTTTTACTGGTAGTCGTAAGTACTTCACCCCTCGTGATGCTTAGTAAATGTCATACCGATCTCTATACGCCCTCGTTCCTGGATCTGTTCGTGCCTCCGCACCACAGGCGGCAGCATCATATACATCGAAGTCACCACTGCGCCCCATCTGTGTCGCTGGTGCATCAATATTCGCCTTACATCGTCCTCTCCTTCACTCTGTTGCCAGCAACACTCCACACCCTTCAAAAGCCGCACCCTTCCCTTATTCCACTGCGCCAGGCTACATTTGCGGTAAAGAGAACTCGAGCTAACATGCATACTTACAGAGGCTGCGGCCATGACTGTTGCTGGTGTGGTCTTGACTATTGTCTTTGGCCTTCTCGGCGTGCTCGGCGTGCCCTTCCGTAGTCGATGGCACTAGTTGTGCTCGATGTTCGGTGCCAAGTCTGCAATTGCAGCAAGGGCTGGCGGTGATGAAGAGGAGGGAGCTCCGATGACGAATCTGGTTGCCCCGACGGACGGAGCCAATGATCAGGTCCAGCCTGCATTGGGAAGCGTTGACGCTGGCGTGCAAACAGATTTTGAGGAGATTGCAGGAGCTCCAAGAGATGAGTTCACATCGACGGACGGACCCAATGATCAGGTTTCGCCTTCATTGGAAGGCGTCTACATCGTGGTGAACAGTCTTGCGGATAGGCTCAGGTATTCCCAACGACTTCTTGCTGATACGAATAGTCGTTTGGGGACTCTCATGGAGCAAACCCCACCCGACCTAACGTAGATGACGCAACACCGCCAATACCACTACCTTCCATGAAGTCTTTTCGAATGAGAGCGCTAATTCTTCACAGGTGCCCCGCGGGAGTGTGGTTTCAGCAACCATCGGGAGCGTGATCATCGACATCACCGGGTACTCTTTGTTCAACACAATGAGTACAACAGGGAGGGGCCACCTTCAAGAGTCAAGCGTCAGCGTTCGCGAAGGTGTCTAGTAGTCCTTATGGATGAAGCAAAGCAGGCAACTGCAGACTCAGTCGACAACTGTACCCCCTTCAGAAAGAGTTGGACAAAGATACATCACATACCTCGACTCCTCCGTTCTAGCTACCTCAAGCAACTACTGGTCAAACTCAACAAGAATTCCACGTCGAACACCTTACGCCAGGCTTACCTGCACTTTATCTATGAGTCTGCCGAGAGTTTGTCATGAGACGGATTGGAGAATGGCTTTGAACAAGTCCTCAACATAACTGCCAGTGCTCACAAGGAGACCGAGCAGAACTTCTTAACACATAGAGACATCAAGGTCAAGCAGCAACAAAAGTTGCAGCTTCGGGGCGAAGGTGCTTAGGTCATTCAACCAAGCCAAAGACCTCAGGCAGGGAGCAAAGTCAAGGTATGTCGAAGAAGGCCATCGAAGAAGTCTGTACCATAGCACGAATCTACCAATCTCAAAACAACATTGGATCAATCTTTGACTGGGATGTGAAGTCCCTCATGATAACCTTGGAATGCAGCAAAGTTTAGCTATAGAAATGCACACTAGTTTCGCGAGATGTATGGTTTCCGCAAAGGTCTCCTATCATGAGTGTCTCCATGGTGACACCTGTATTCAGGATGCAATCGTGCATTTCGATAGCTTTCTAGAATTCCTAAACCCCAGATCGGGAGAAGGGCCAACCGTAAGCTCGTGACATTTTTGAGTAGACAAGAAGAATTCAACGCGTAAGGAAACCATATTTACATTGGACCAACACCTCTTGTCCTATCGTTATCATCATATCATCAATCATTCATCTCTCCATACCTCCAAGCCCAAACCACAAATATCGTATCTCCTGCCGGCAAACTCACCATACATCTTTGTCCACAACCAATCTGCGTCTTTGTCTTTGGGACGAGCTTCTACGATTCTCGCATAGTCAACCTCCCACTCAGGACCAGGCAGCTTAGGGTCGTTGAAGCGAATGTACGGGGTTTCCATGAAGGCCGTCTTGTTTGGCTGGATAACATCGTGCAGACTGCCGATGCTAGCGATAGTGTGAGGCGACGAGAGATAGGCAGGGTGCAAGGCGGCAACCAAAGATGTGATGTTCCGCAAGCCATTCATGGTGAGTACCCTATGTGTCTCCTTGGCTGGGGTCGCAAGGATCAAGTCTTCGGACGAGAGGCTTGAATCTGTATCCTGCTGTAACAAAGTCATGGGTGCAGGATTTGTATATGCCAAAACCGCATCCAAAGCTTCAGCATCTTGAACCAGTCCTGGTGTCTGCAACAACATGACTCTTTCAAGGTCCGTCAAGGCCCAAAGACTGGCGAGTGGGTTGTCGTCCTGCCCAGCAAAAGAGTTGATAGGCCGTAACTCGACGTTATAACGTCGAGCAGCTCTGCGGAGGAGACGTCGCGTAATGTCCATATAAGGATCTATCAGGTCATGTTTGGCAGCTTGTTTCTCCATCGCCCAAACTTGCGGGAATAGGAGAATGCGACGGGCTGGAGATTTCAGACGAGCGAGGTCGCCGAAGAACATGATTGTACTGCAGACATCATGATGATTCGTGACGACTTGGACGTGTGCGAGCTTTTGCCAGTTCGCTTGTTGTGGTTCTTGAGCGGCCGCGTGCTCAGAGATCAAGACATTTTGCTCAGGGTTGAATAGACGAGAGGGGTGTTGAGGTCCTGATAAAGGTTGTTGTGCAGATTCCGATACAGGAGCAATTGGAATGCGTGGCTTAAGTTGAGATTGAAGGTTGGCAATGGATCGTTGCTGGACTGTGTAGCCGGCAAGGAAGAGGAAGAAGGTTATCGCTGCCACTGTGAAGTTTGTCAGTGGCTGGAATGTTGATGTGATAGAATTGGGACATAATACCAAAAGCTGATGATAGCAAGACCTGGACTTGGCCGCTTGTCAGTAAAAGTTTCCCCATATTGAGCTCTTGCTATATTCGCTTGAATACAACGGCCATGGTGTTCGCTTTATCTCATCGCATCATTGTTGATAAGCAGAACATCTCCACAGCAACTCGCAAGCTCCACACTTTTTGTGCACGACTTGTGCAGCCTAGCATAACTTCGTCACTCTGTCTTCGCATCTGCAGTTGACCATCGACCTTTGCGCCAACTCGCCTCTACCGTTACACACCTCTCACACGCACCCAAAATGGCGCACCAAGCAGATGCAACGCGCATGCTCGACGACCGCGGCTACACCGGCACCCTAATCCGCGGTCAAAATCCCCTTCTCCTCTTCGAAAAAGCCGTCCGCGATCGCATAGTGGACTCATACTACTGGAAAGAGCAATGTTTCGGTCTGAACGCCGCCACCCTCTGCGATCGCGCCGTCGACCTCACCTTCATTGGTGGTACCTACGGTGTCGGTCAGAAGCCAACACCGTTCCTCTGTCTCGCCTTCAAACTCCTCCAACTCACGCCAGAGAAAGAAATCATATTGCATTACTTGCAGCAAGAGGATTGGAAATACTTGAGAGCTCTGGCGGCATTTTACATCCGTTTAACTTGGGAGCCCAAGGATATTTATGAGACTTTGGAGGCATATTTGAGTGACTTCAGGAAGTTGAAGAGGAGGACAAGGGATGCATACACGTTGAGCTACATTGATCAGTTCATCGATGATCTACTCACAAAAGACCGTGTGTGCGCAACTTCGCTCTGGAAGATGCCGAGTCGTACACAACTGGAGGATCTCGATATACTGGAGCCACGCGTCAGTCCACTGGGAGATGAGATTGACGAGCTGGATGCCGAAGACGAGGAAATGAAGAATGGAAGTGATGGTGAGGTTGAGGAAGTCAGAAATGGTGATTCGAGATCAAGGAGCAGAAGCTATGACAGCAGAAGCCGAAGTCGAAGTTATGAGAGAAGAAGAAGCAGGAGCAGAAGTTACGACCGCTACGACAGAAGAAGCAGGAGTCGCAGTTATGAAAGAAGAAGGAGCTACAGTCGAGACCGCGATAACCGGAGGAGAAATCACAGCCGCGAGCTACCAGACAGGAGAAGGAGCCCGCTATCAAGATCCAGGTCACGTTCGAGAGGTTGAACAGCTCGTTGAATTACCATCGACTTCCACGGAAAAGGTTTGCTATAATCTCGAATTCATGCTCATCTGACTCTCTGAACACACGATCACTGTTGCTTCAGGCATGTCGTCCGAGCTCCTCCAGAGAACTACCTCTACCAGCTGCTGCCTGCAAGAGTCATGCTTGGTCTCAAGGAGAGTTTCATCCTTACAGCAGACAGGCCAACAGCTGTGTCCTTTACGGTCACAATTATCTCGCAGAACTGCAAGTATCAGTACGTTTCTTGACAATGAATGGACGGTCTTCAAGTCGAGAATGATCCAGACACACTCTCCGTTCGTTGTCAAAAGGCTCTTGTATACAAAGTCTCTATCAGTGGAACAGAAGTCGAATAGCCAACGGTGCTGTACAGAGAAGTTCTCAAGCATACGAGCTGTGGAACGGTGACAGATCGTGGGTACAAACAAACGGGAAGCAGAAACAAAAGAGAAATGTAGGCAAAAGAGGCAGAGCTTGAGTGTCCCTATTAGATGGCTACCGCTAGGGACAATTTGGAGATTGCGAGATTTCATAAGCCCAATGAGCACTGCTTGTCGTGGCTCCGGCAGCATTTTGACAATCAGTCCCATTTCTGCGTCCATATCCGGGGTTTCCCAGTGTTCCATCTATGTTCTCCTGTTCCGTGACGTCCAATGCAGGGACCGGGATGATCACGAATCTCCCAATCTTGTAATCTAGGAACCTTGATTGCCCGGAGCCCATATCGATGTACATGTTCAGTCCACAGCTCATCTGAAAACAACCATTGTGTCCACGCTTGGGGTACGGGGTATAAACGATCGTCTGGCTTTCTTTCGCCAATCTTGCGGTCTGAATCCATGACTCCAGGATCACACTGCCCAGGGCCGTTCTCGTTCTTGTACCAAACATCCCACTGCCAGTTGGTCCGGAGTCCAAAGGGTGCGGCAATGTTCTGCAGGTCACTGGCGAATCCAGCATCCATTGGCGGAATGTATACCTTCGGGGGTTCTACCACGCCGCCAAATACGTAGTTCTCGAAAGCAAAGCCGAGCTCATTACATCTATCGCCCGGGAGCCAGGGGTCGTCACAAGGGCGATGTTCCCTGTGCGGACGCTCGACGTAGGCATAGGAAAATGCGTGAGCCAATTCGTGAAGCAAGGTCGAAGCCAGAAGGAAATAGGTCCGGTAAATCGCCGACGCATGGGATATCGGTGCTCGATGCGTGGCGGGAATGCCAGCCATGGTTTGGATATCGTCAAATATTCGACTATATCTGTCATCATTGGAATTCTGGGCAGCGTCAAAGTATTCCAGGACGCGCATGAAAGCCGAATCGAGCCGGATATACGAGGCAAAAGTACTTCTGGAGAATAGAGAACTGATTAGTTTTATTCACAAGGTACTGAATCTTGGTACATCAGGAGAGAGAGAAGAGGATGAAATTGTAGGTGCATGGTTGCTGTTAGACTTACGGCTTAGATCCTTGTTTCAGATTTCCATTCGAATCCTTGTATTTTGAAGTGTAAGCAAAACAGTCAGGATCGTCTTCGAAAGCCCAGTCGCGTATGTATAGCGTCATGAGGTCCACGTTCAGGTATGCCGCCCACTCTTCGCCCTCAGGAAACACATCTGGTATGTTCAATATCTTGCAATCAGCCGTGAGACCTGCGGTCGCGTGTGATACAGTACCCATAGAGTCAACCGGCATGGCCAGGGCATAAAAGAAGCTGAGTGTGATAGGATCGTCCAAGATAGCGGATGCCAACAGCAAAGCTGGCGTCATCAGAGAATACTGATGCGGCGTGATGCCCACCCAGTATTGCTTTCTCCAGATCTGATGGATCCTCTTTTGGAGGTCGGGGCTGTGGTCCAAGTTTCTCCAGGCTTCGAAGGCCCAGCGCCCATTTATCTTACCACTCACTCCTTCGTCTTTGTGATTCAGAAATCCGGCAGCTTCCAAAACCTGCATACCATACTTCTCAAGGTGGTGAGGGTAGTCCGGAGCATTGCTGGGAGGCCCAAGTTTGCATGCCGTAGAGTTGGAGTGCGCCAAAAGCTCAACGTCGAATCCACTCTTGTCGCTCTTGAGTTCTGCGGCTAGTCTAGAAGAGAATTGAGACCAATACTTCTCACGGATATAGGATGGCTTCTCGGGAGGATGGGGAGCTTTAAATCTGCGCCGTCGCGATTGCTTGGAACTTCTGAAAGGCAGCTGTAGGTTAGCATCTGCCATGGCTGTGTTTTTGATCTCAACTTGTCGCAGATGACAGTACGGAAAGCAAGATCCAGTAACATAGAGAGAGAATAAACCATACTCGGCCTACTGACCATCCGTCCGATTGCGGGGGTAACACACAAAGGGAATATCTGCATTCCTTGTGAGGATCGACCAAGGGCTTCCATGTTGAAAGCTCCGGAAACGGCCATCTAACAGCGATCAAAAGATACTCAGTCACACCATATACCTTCAGCGGTTGTCGAAAACTGACTCTCGTGACCAATCTGATAGGAAGTGGGCAATATGACTCGTCTTTGCTGGTCGAGGCTGAGCAGCGAAGGAGACTCGACAGGGATTAGAGCCATTCTTCAAAAGCTTGAGACAGGCCATGGTAGGAAATCTGGATCAGAGAGACATCAAACTCAGACAGAGTATCTGCTGCCTTGATAATGTATGTAGATGGAATGCCAGGTTGGAGGTGGACGCAGTGAGGGATAATGGCTGTCCAAAAGAGTCCGCAAACACCATGACTATCGTGGATGAAGTATGTCGAGAAAATTGAGACAACACTTTATGCAAGATACGGGCATCATCATACGGCGCTTGCTGTGGCAGTAAAGACCGATGGATCAAGCACAATTTGTAAGTCGAAGGATGAGGAATGGCAAGGGCGCTCCTCGGCTTCCGGCGGGGTTTACAGGTCAGCACCTTTCATGATCTCGCTCTTCTCTCAACGATGTTCTCTCCTACAATACTAGCAAGGGTAATCTGTCCCTCGTCGCTTGCCTGAACATGTTTACCTGTTGATGGAAGACGTGTTTAGTTGACCAGCAATCGATAAGAAAAGCCGTTGCGAAAGCGCCAACATCGTTTGCATGTAACTTGACATGACCTCCATCTCTCACATTTCCACCTCAACATCATTTTTATCATGGTGAATCTGAAGCTCAATATCGTACGTCTCGACGCAAATGTAAGAAGCTGTATGTTCTGACAATTGTAGCTGCTGCTAGCAATAGCAGCCTGCATTCCCTACATCTACTCCCGCTTATCTCTGCTATACACTTTGGAAACAAATAATCATCCCATCAAGCTCTCAACACCTCGAGGATGGATTACTGAGAAAGGCAGCTACGAGATCAAATATGCAAACAAATTGAGAAATTGTGAGGATCTGGTTGTGGATGAGAAAGCAGGCTACGTGGTGTTGGGCTGCGATGAGGGCAGAGATGTTTGGAACACCGTCATGGGCGTCTTTGGAAAATCAACACCTCCAAATGGTCAACTCTACCTCTATGACTACTCAAGATCCCAGCCCAGTCTGGAGAGTATTCGTCTGCTCAACACTCCTCCGGGCTACTCCTTTCATCCTCTAGGATTGTCCCTGCATCTGGCTACAGACACTCTTCTTGCAGTCAACCACGGCACTTCCGGCAGCACCGTAGACCAGTTCCACTTTTCACGTCTCGGAAACTCTGCAACCTTCATCAAGAGCTTTTCGTCGCCATATCTGAGAGCTCCCAATGCCTTGGTCCAGATCTCGAACACAGAAGTATTGGTTACCAACGATCACTTTTTCACGCCTAGAAACTCACCCTGGCTGAACAAGTTTGAGACATATCTTGGTCTCCCTCTGGGTGGTGTCACGCACCTGAATCTCAAGACTGGAGAAGCACAGCAAATTGCAAGGATGCCTTATGCCAACGGATTGGCCATCTTGAACAGCACGACTATCGCTGTGGCTTCAAGCTCTTCAGCAAAAGTCTTCCTTTATGAGATGGACAAGACGACTACCCCTCCGACACTCGCTTACAAGGAAGCAATCTCTACACCTTTCTGGCCGGACAATCTGCACGTATCTAATGGCAAGCTGTATATTGCTGGACATGCTCAACTCGCTGGCTTGTCCAAACTCGCAAAGTCGAGACAACACTGTGGCGCTGATACGACATCTGCGGGTTGTGATGCAAAAGCGCCTAGTTACGTAGCTCAATGGACCAGGGAAAAAGGTCTTGAGGATGTTTATGTGGGTACAGAGATGTATGCTTCCAGTGGCGTCGCAATGGATGAAAAGAGAGGTGTCAGTGTCATCTCTGGGCTCTATGGCAAAGGTCTGTTGATCTGGAACAAGGAGCAGAAATAGTATATAGCTTTTGATTGTATTGTACAAGGTGATTTTACATGGCATCTGATATTCGTACAGTTCTTTTGGAGTATTCATATGCAGCTTTCTTAGGCAGACTTGTCGATCTTACCCTTCCAGTCTGCAACGTGGTTGTTGATGACCTTTGATGCTTGATCGACAGTGAAATTTCTTCCAATGGCCTCGACGAAATCGCCTTCAGGGTCTGTGATAGAAAGTCAGTGGTTACCTTCTCTGCGTCAAGAGGTGATAACTCACCCATCAGGTAAAAGTAGATGCTGTGGTCGACAAGGTAATCCTGACCAGGCTGGACGTTTTGAGGAGTCGAGAAGTAGACACGGAAAGCCTTGCAAGTAGCCTTGACAGCCTCATAATCTCCAGTCAAACCAATCATATCCTCGTGGAACTCCTTCAGATACTCCTTTGTGACCTCGGGAGTATCTCTTGCAGGATCGCATGTGATAAAGACAGATCTCATGACATCGCCGTGCTTCTCCTTGACATTGTCAATCATACCGGCCATCTTGTCCAACTCTTCAGGGCAAATGTCCGGGCAGTGCGTGAAGCCAAAGTAGACCAGCGAGTATTTTCCTTTGAGATTTTGTTCGGTGAAGGGCTTGCCATTGTGGTCGATCAAGTTGAAGGGGCCACCAACCAAGGGACGACCGACACCCTTGCTGTGTTCGGCGATGCGCTTGCGGGCCATGCGTTCTTTCTCGTAGCTGAAGTAGAAGGCCATTCCGACACCAGCACCCAGGAAGAGAAGACCAGCTTGCCAACTGAAGGGACCGAATCGGTAGCGCGACTTTGCCTCTTCTACAGTCTTATAGCGCATTGTCGAGCTCTTTGAGAATGTGCGGGTGGTGGGTTGGCCGATGCGGGAGGAAATGCGCTGTGAGAAGCATTGCGGCGAAGGGCGAGCGGAGAAGAGGGAGCGCTGTAGAGCAGTTCGCGGTAGTGATGTCGTTGCCATTGTGATGGTTGTTGATCGAGAAAAATGTCCAAGTCGTGACTTCTCTCTTTCTCGGTCGCCGCTGCTTCATCAGCATGATCGACATCAAGATGCGGCGAGTGCACGGACCCCATCACCGAGCCTCCGCCGCTGATGACCCAAAGACCTTGATGTCTTTTAGTTTTTGTCATTCATACACGGTTGCCTGCTTTGATCTTTCCCCTAATTGCCTTGAGAAATCATTGCAAGATCGAGCTCGCCCTGGGTACAGGTCAGGTTCACATATGGATCGAAACCCATTAAGGAGTGGCGAATGATATCCCGTCGAGCATTGCACCTGAAAAATGGTGTGATACGCTCTGCTGTAAAGCCATCGTCCATCATCTCCTCTCAATTTACACTACCCATCAGAACTGGTCGACGAACTTTTAGCTTCCTCGAGGCTACTGGATCTAGTCCTCAACCTATCCAATCCGACTTCGAAACCATTGCAACCACACAAAAGGCTCTTCCCACCGTCTTCATCGCGGAAAGAGCAGAAATTGAAATAGACACAATGAACGCCCAAAAAGAAGCAGAGCTTCTGGCTATGCAGCATGTTCTTGGCCTCAAAGATGCATCTGATGAAGCAGTCAAGATCAAGCCCAAGCAGCTCGAACGATTACAACGCCTCAAAGCAGCTGATCCTGTTTTTGTCTGCGTTGATCTGGAGGCCTACGAATTTGCCCAAGACAAAATCACAGAGGTTGGTGTATCCGTCTTAGACTCTCGTCACGTCCTAGGCACCGATCCTGGTCCTGATGGGAAGGGGTGGCTCCCGAAGATCAATACCCGCCACATTCTTATCAAGGAACACAAGCATCTTGTGAACAAAAGATTTGTTCACGGCTGTCCTGACAAGTTCAACTTCGGTGATTCTGAGGTCGTCCCTTTAAAGCACATCCACAAGACTTTGACCCAATCATTCGACAATCCTTCACCCAACTCAATCCGAGCGTCTGACCGAGGATCGCGAAGCCTCATCTTCGTTGGCCACGGTCTTTCCAACGATACTTCCTACCTGAACAAGCTCAAGTTCGATCCTAATGCTAAAGGCAACATCATTCAGATGGTCGACACTCAAAAGTTCGTTGGTACGAAGAAGCAGCAGGTCGGCCTGAGCAAGCTATTAGCCGGTCTTGGTGTCGAGCCTGAGAATCTCCACAATGCAGGCAACGACGCTGCATACACAATGCAAGCACTCCTTTTGATGACAGTTCAACATACAAATAATCCTGGTGCTTACGTCAAGGCTGTCGCTGATGCAAAAGCCAAGGTCGATCCAGCCAAGCAGAGATACAAGGATCATAAAGCCGCTATTCGGGCGAAAAAGCTTGCTCAGGAGAAGGAAGCAGCTGCGAATGTGGATCTGCCACAAACACTCAAGCTTGGTCACCATGATGTAGAATCAGCTTTACCTGCCACAGCCTACAACAGCAGCCTTGTTGCAAACTCGCTCGCTGGAAAAGAGAGGAAAGAGCCATCTTACAAAAGACTCTCGCTGTCCAGTCATAATGACCGTTCCACGTATCACCGCTCATCATCTACCGATCATGCAAATATCAATTCTCCTTCAAGAAAGAGGAAGAGCTCTGATAATGAGCCTGTTGACGATGAGAAAAAGGTCCGCTTGTCGATCGACAAAGGACTGCACAATGGGCAGTCAGACAAGACTGTGGTCACGCCTCTAACTACAAGCGATGCAGGATCATCTTTGCCTATATCTCAACATGCTAGCACAGTACCCGAGGGTCATAATCACGCAGCCCGGGTTCGTGCAATGGCGTCTTACGAAGCTGCTCAGAATGAAATCGGCGACGACCAAAAATCATTGGTTTCTGAGGCGCCTTTGCAGACTGATAATCCACGCATCAGGCATGTCAAAGTTAGAAACATCGCGCCCCGGGTGTACGAAGATGAATCCGTCGAAGTCTCCCAGCAGCCTGCACACTTCCAGATTCGCACGACAGTAACAGGCAAAGTGAAGGATGATCAGCGGCCAGCTCGTGCTCGCGCGCTAGAATCCTATCGAGCCGAGTCCGAGGCTCAGCGACTAATGGAGAAAACAAAGTTGTTGGACAGTCCCTCGTTCTAGGGGCAAGCCATGTTTAGATGCAACCCACTCCTCGTGGTATCTGTTCAGTCTTCTCATGAATGCTGATCACTCTCTATCTTGGTGATTATTTCTCACGTGTGTAGTCATGGAAATGCTTAGTATCATTCTGGTGACACATGTTTCCAAAGAGAGCGAAAAGAGTTGTGGAAAGTCGCATGCGCCAGCATAAACGATTCAGGAAGGCACCTTCCATTTTCTCCTGGACCACTCCCTTACAACACTGGTTTTGGGAGTCATTCGAGCGATTGTAGAGTGCAACTTTCAAAGCTGAAACTCGACAGACTGTGTGCTCACTGTTTCTCTGATGATGCGCCAACAAGACCGTCGTCATTGTTCCTCCCTTCACACCAGTCAGCTTCACTCGATCTCTCTCTTTCTCGCTGAACTTACTCCAGCAGACCACGAGGGGCGTCTTTGTCAACAAAATTCACTCATGTTGCATCTTTCTTTCACTCGCTGATTGCGCCAGCCAAAGCGTGTCTTCACGCTCGCTGATCTTTGTTCCTTATCATATCACACACATCTGCTTTTCTTGTCAACAACATCATCCATAAGCTCTCTCCCTTTAAACGCCAGCTCAACCTTCTACTACAACGTCAGGTCTGCCACAGACGCTCACAGCCGTCTTACTACAGATCATCACCGCCGCAACCAACATCCGAACTTTAGCTTCGACACAAAGCTTCTCCGATCGTCACGATCTCTACTCTCCCCAAAACATGGCTTCGTCCTCTACAGCCCCAGGCTCTGGCAACTTCACTGCCAACCCTATGTTCCAGCTCACACGTAAAGAGTTTGAACAACATGAAGTCTGGCAAGCGTACAAGGGATATCTCCGGGCTTTTGATAGTCAAGACCGAAACTTCGATAACTTCTATCAGCTATGTCTTCGCTTTGGCTACGTTCCCAGTCTCGACACGATCAATTGGATCATTAGAGAGTCCAACCTCATCGACATCAGCCGCCGTCTTCAGTTTCCAGTCTTTGCCTTCATGCAGGAGTTCCAATTTGTCATGCACGTTGCGCATGACACTAATCAACCACGAATCCTCATCGCCCATGTTCATACCGATGAAGGACCGTGTCCTATCTGGGCTGGCTGGTCGTCGCTCGATGAAGAAGAGCTTTCCGACGCTGAGGAGAGTTCCAAACCTAAGAAGAAAAAGAAGAAGGCTGTGGCTAAGAAGGACCCTGAGACTCAGAACGATTCCGAGGCTCAGAAGAAGTCCAAGGCTAAGATGAAGCTCTACCTCCAACCCTATACAGACGAATCTGGACCAGGCGAAGCCAACATTCCAGAAGAGTACCGTGCTGCTTTCAAGTGGGAGGAACCATTCGAAGTGCTCTTCAACATGGGCAAGTACGAGGCGAACCATAAGAATGCTGGAATCCAGAACACCATCCTTCTTGGCGTCGCCAAAGTCTTGACCCGCTTCCCAGGTCTGGTCAAACCACCTCCTGGTCAGGAGAACAGCGGTCCTTGGCTCATGATGCGCGCTGCGTTCTCCAAACGTCCATTTGATATCCGCGAACTTCCATCGGCAGTGAGTCCTTGGTGGGGCGGACACGACACGCTCATCTCGGGCCCAAACACTTATGCCGAAAATCATGCCAATCACCCTCCCGGTTCCCAAGGCTGGAAGCGCTATCTAGTCATGAAGGCCGAGAAGAAGGTCGAGGACGCAAAAAAGAAGGTCGAGAATGCCAAATTGAATCTTGAGGACGCAAAAAAGGAGGCCGAGGAGGCCGAACAGAAGGCGTAGGGGAGATGAGATGTCCGATGGCGGCAATTGAACTCTTGGAGCGGTCATGGAGGATGGACCAAAGTCATAGTGTATCTTACTGAACTTGAAGCACAGGAGGAAGTCCTTATTCTTCCGGCGAAAGTAATCTGTGATCCTTTGCAACCAAAGCAATCACAAGGTCTGGGAGTTCTTCACGATACCACAAAGATAGAATGAGGGAATTGAAATCAATCTACATCTTGTCCTCATCTGTCTCTCCATCTGATGCTTCTAAATGCGACTTCGACTGTTGTGAAACATGCAAACCGAGAAGAGAGAGGAGGGTATGTTTCTGTGAAAGCTTATAGTTGTAGATGAACATTCTTTCGACAGGCACATGCAAATAAGTTTTTCAACAATACGTAAGAAAGCATTATAAAACTCGGCATTAATCGTCGTATCTTAATTCAAAAACAAAAATCAACTGGTATCATCATCCTCTCAAACCCATATTCACATAAACAATCCTTGACTTTTTTGTACAGCCTTAAGCCAGCCACTCTAGCAAGAGTCACCAGGGCAGGCAATGTTGGTACCGTAAGGGGAAGGTCCAGCAATGCCTGCAATCTGGAAGATGGCGTTGATGACACCACCGATGCCTTCTCCGGCAATGAGACCACCGGCAATGGCGAAGCCGTAGATTTCGAAACTCTTGGGGTTGCGCTTGGCCCAGAAGTAGGTAGGGATGGCTCCGATGACCATAGCAGTACCATAAACTGTGGCATTCAACACGAAGGCAAGAGCGATACACATGACGTTGGGGTGGTAAGCCTTGTACTTTGCCCACGAGCCGGTGTATGCGTAGTGACGGATAACGACCATAGCACCACCGAAGATGGCAAAGGCAATGGCGAAGTAGCCCGAAGTCTTGGGGACAGGGAAGGTAGGGTCGGTGACAGCGACGGCAACAGCACGCCAAGCACCAACACTTGGGGCGGCGAAGGGACACTTATCCGCCTCGATATCAATGATGCAAGGATAGGCCTTGCTGAAGAGCATAAACATGGCAGGGGCGAGGACACATGCAACAATCGTGCCGAGACCCTGAGCAACCCATTGCTGGAAGGGGGAAGTGCGGAGAAGGTAACCGACACGGAAGTCACCAACCAAGTCGGAGGCCTGTCCAGCACCGATGGAGGCAAGAGAGCCACCAATCAAGTTGAGGCGCTGAGCGTGCTCGGTTACCCAGTGCTCACCCTTAGTAGCACCACCGAGAACAAGCTGAGAAGCCTTGGATGCGGCAGTCAGAGGAGTGACATCAGTAACACCAGCACATTGGACAGCGAGGATGGCGAAGAAGAAGGCCAGGAAGACTGAGAGGAGAGACATGCCAACAGGCATGTCGTACTGGACGCCAAGAACAATGCAGCAAGCAATGATACTGAGGATGAGGATTGGTCCCCACATCCAGATCTTGACAAGTTCGTGGTCTGCGGCAGAGTCCTTGATGACATCTTCTTCCTTCTGATCCGTGACGTTGATGGTGGCACCGTTGATGCCGACCTTGTTGGTCATGGCGTTGAAGCCCTTTGCAGCTCCACGACCCATGGCCTTGAACATGATAAAGAAGACCTTCCACTGGAGGAAGAGCTCGGTGAAAGAGATGACAATCATGGCCAAGACACCAGGCCAGAGAAGCCAGTAACGAGGACTGGGAGTGTCCTTGTTGGCAAACTTATGGTTGAGGGAGTAGAAGGAAACGACCTTATCCCACTTCGGATCATCGGGGTAAGACTGGGCACCAAAAGCAACGCCGTTGTGGACGAGAGCAGGACCAATGATTCCCCAAGCGAGGACACTGCCACCGAAGAAAGATAGAGCGACGTTAAGACCAACGAGCATACCAGAGCCAATGAAAGCAGGAGTGAACTCGATGAACCAGCCCCAGTTCTCAACAGCAATGGCGGAGTTCTTGTAGTTGCCCCAGATGAAGAACCAGGTGAAGATGTGCCAGTCCCAGAGAATTCCAATGGCGTACTGTGAGACGACACGGAGAAGCAGAGCACCAATGAAGGAGTAGCTTAGAGCCTTCATCTTCAGCTTGGCAATGGCCTCGCCAGTTGCGGCTGCGTGCATGCTGCGAATGGTCAAAGCACAAGCAGAAGGCGTAGGGAAGATCAAATTAAGCTCTCTGGCAACGTAGATGATGAAGAACTTTCGAAGAGGGGTAGCAAAGGCGAATCCGAAGTAGGCACCGACGATGGTCAATGAAATGAGTCTTCCAAAGTCCTCCTTGGGGGTGCTGAGCAGTTTCAGTTGGTAAAGTGCAGGTATACCGGAGACCATGACAGAGCCAAGACCGCCAGCGGCAGTGGCAGCAGTCTGAACGATGTTGTTCTCGCGAGGTCCAAAAGATCCGCCGAGAATAGGGAAGTTCTCTGGGAGAGCCTTGGCCAGAGGCTTGAGAACAGCAAAACCGATAATGGCACCGAAGAGCGAAGCACCAAAAGTCCAACCAGTCTTCAAACCGAGGTAAATGTTGGATGCATTGACAAGAGCACCACAGATACATCCAATTAGCATGGCACGGAATGTGACAACCCAGTGTCGCTCCTCTGGCAGGTCATTGTAGGGTTCGAAGGGGTCAGCAATGGTGCCTTCATCGTAGTCGGTATCCTCTTCGGCCTTGACCAAATTAGGATCCTTTTCGTTGAATCTATCGTCTTTGTTCGAAGAATTGACGGAAAAGGTTTCGGGATGCTTTTCGTCGTGAGCATCAATGGCACCGCCAATTGGCTGCGGTAGTATGTCAGCAATGTGACCGATGAAGTGTGAGTTGACTATTGGTATCATACCTCAGCCTGAACCTCTACAACATTCGGCATGATGAACGTTGTTCGTAGATGACACAGATACAATCGCACGTGGAAAGGGGGGACATGAGGGGCATATTTATCCTCAGGATGATTTTGCCTCTTGAACGAACCGTGGCTCGTGATAAGCCCACAGATACGGGTGACTGTGAACTGGTCCGTTATGGCGGCCAGAACCTACCTGTAGGCCCTAACATGGGGTGCATATATTGGAAAATGATGGCGAGGTCTTGCTGACTGGTGGGTGCAGCACCGTAGATTGATCTTGGCCGAATATGCCAAGTAAGTAGATTGTCTTAGCTCCTTCCGCATGTGGTAGAATGCAACCTCACCGGCGGAAAATTGACCACCCGCGCGCATAAAAAGCACGAAGACTGTAGATAGACAACGTGCAAATTGAGTCATGGAAACTGTCCATTGGACGCCTGTAGATCGCTCGCCAGACAGTCGCTGCGCGAATTCATCCCAAAAACTGCTTTAGGGATTGATCCACGCATTCGGCTAATTGTCCTCAGATCTCTCCGCAGACCCTTGGACACGGACGTCCAACCCCAGAGATATTAGCAAAGAGAAATGAAGAGGGTGGAGGATCTCATGGTTTCAAACGAGATCTCGCGTGAGCCATATCGCAAAGCACGGTCCGGAATGAATGCTCTTTCTCAGACTCGCGAGCTGAAGAGCCTGTTTCCTTGTGCCTCCGATCATGTCAAAAGTAGGGCGGTCGATTAGAGAGTATGCTTTAGGACACTCACGCAATGTGATCGAACGTCACTCCATGGAGGTTTCAGACCATCCTCGTATCCTCGTCCTGGGCGCGATAAGAAGCAAGACTAAGATGGCGAAGGATGATGAGTGTTTACCGGCCCTCCTTCGTGATACCCAAGGTACCAGTGTATCTTCAAGTTATAGAGGCCGATGGGTGATCGTACGGGCGTATGAAATTAGCTGTGCATCCGAGTCTTCACTTACACGACCGAAGCGAAGCAGCGAAGATCCAAACACGTGATAGGTCATCAGAGGAATAGAAGTCTCTGACTGGCAGCTTCACAAGCAATAATTGTCGAAACCGCCTCGGTCTTTCTCTGTGATTTCGAGGTTCGCAATTGAGGGCCGAGGTGAGGACCGTGAGGGCCTTAGCCAAGAGAACAAGCGAAAGCTTTCTTCCTATCTCTCCTTGCTTGGCAGCGCGGAATCTTCATTTCAGGCTTAAGTCGGGCAGGTCCGCGATGACAGGCAATCCTGCTGTCACCTTTGACACAAAAGAAATACACATCCTAGATATCAGTGTGCCAATGCTGAGCTGAAGGATGCAACAATTCCTTCGCTCATCTGCTGACCTTCTGCATCGCGCTTAAATATCGATTGCACCTTATGTCGAGATATGGCATGCGTTGTCGCTGACTTATCGTTCAGACCTGACTACAGACTGATCACCAAAATCTCTGGGTCGATGCGGTGTGATGACACAGCCTCCAAGACAGGAAGGTCGAGTTTTGTGACATGCAGCATGTCAGGTTCGCGATCAAGCAGTCAGTACAGGTATATCTCCAACCCTCACGGGCGATCTAGAGACCGTCATTCGTCGAGGCAGATGCTGTGTTCAACGCAGACAAAACCTCACGACAAGGAACTAACAGGATGGTGAAACGGCATGCAGCGACGTCTAGTGGACGCTGCTCGTGTGTTAAGTTGTGGCGTTGCCAACATTGTCTCATTAGCGGAATCCTTGCGTTGTGCGGCTGTCCAACGTCTGAAGATCAGTCCTGACATCTAATCAGAGTCGACCAGGAAAAGAGTCGATGATAACCATCATATTTCCCTCCTTGACGATGACAAAGATAATATCGCCTTACGTTGCTCGGTACAGACTCACGGGTAAATACAGAAGGCGGGCATTCGGGCCATTGTCTGGAGTCGTAGACACGTCTTGGTCTGTAGGCAATGGCAGCGCGTCGATCATGAGCGGAATCCTTATCAGTCTTGACATCTGCTGTCCCATCGGAGTCAAGAAGGATTCGATCGGGAGAGAGTCGATGGGAATCATCATACTTTGAATACAACAGACACGATTTGGACTCATTCTGCTCGGTTCTCGCGAGTGAATTCAAGAAGTTGAGTATCCAGACCAGGAAGGAGCATGTTGCAGACTGGCTACGCGGCTCCTTCGTCCTTTCCGCGATGTCTTGGCACCTAACCGGTGAACTCTTGTCTATGCTGAATTTCAAGTTTCTAGTGTTCTTTTTATGAACACCATGATTTCTGTTATCAGAGACTTGAAATTGAGATACTGTGCTCTCTCCTCCAGACGACGACTTTCCCCCTTGCTCTCGTCCCAGCTGTAAAGGACACAGCCTCGACATGAGCCAAAACTATCCCGGGCATACCAACGCCCTCGTGCATACAGCTCAGCGAATCAGGTCGCAGCACAGCCTGATCTTGCAAATCCTCCGGCTATCAATTCATCTAATCATGCAGTACCGCCTCACCCATCACAATAATAGGTCCAAAGGTCCTGTGCTCCATCGTCTCACAATTTAAACCCTTGTCCAAGATCTTTAGTAAGCTCGATGTAAGTCTTACTATAAGCAGTTTCATGAGCAGTTTCTTTAGTTGTAGGTTTTTTTCTCCCTTGACCGCACTGTTGGTTGCTTTCGCACTCTCTGGTCCGTGTATTGCGATACAATTTGAAGAACTTCACGTGTGGTGGTAGACCAAAACTTACATGTTGTCAATACTCACCCTCGGCTTGCTTGCGAGAGCATGTCAGGCGACCGATTTTTGGGTTTCGAAATGGAGCGAAACGCCAGGTAAGCAAGACATGTATGGCAGATGATCAAAATCGCATGCTGACGCTTCACAGTGGGACCGGACGGTGTAAGAGCACAACGAGCTGTGTCTTCCAGTGCATGCTAACAGATCTAGCCATGGCATGCTTTGAACATCTCCTGGGATAATAATCCATTCCAGACTTTTGCGATGCTTCCCTCTTTGACAAAGACTTCGCTGCTCATTGCAGCAGATGCTTGTTCGCAACAAGACTCAGCATGCCCCAATCAAGTTGACTCAGGAAGCTGGCCGATGTGGACATCTTCAGCAGCACACGCGGATTTTCTTTACATGGACGGCACCTTGTTTGCCGGCAGTTCCTGGGACGATACAGTTTCATGGCCTCTAAATTTGACGAACGACGTGCAATGGATCCATGAGCGAGCTATTGTGTGGGATGTCAACAACAATTCAAACTCGCTCAACAACCAAGCGACTACCTTGACACACAACCTTACTGTGAACTCTCCTGGCGGTCAGCTGTATACTATGAATGTTGGCTACTTCTCTTTGTATGGCGCTGGGACAAATTTCACATGGCTCAATTCTACTGGTTTCAACAACACTCAAGATCTTCAACTGGCTACTGCGAAACAGAACTCGATTATCTCGTCGCTTTCGTACGGACTGCAAATTGGTTCTCCCAGTCTTGATATCGAGCCAAGTCTAGTCATGGGCGGCTATGACAGGTCTCGCTGCTTGACTGAGCCGATCACTACCAAGGACACCACCTTTCAGCTGACTGACATTTCTGTTGGTGCTAACGGTTCCGGCTGGCCCTTTACTACGCCATACACAGCCAACAGTAATGCTTCTGCGAACTCGCAAAGTGGATTGCTGGGTGGATCACTAGAAGTTCTGGCTAATCCAGGTGTCCCATATTTACATCTGCCACGAGCCACCTGCGATGCGATTGCAAAGTATCTTCCCGTGACTTATGACCAAAGTTTGGGACTCTATCTCTGGAACACCCAGTCAGATGCTCGCCATTTCGATGAGATTACTCAAACATTTGCATATTTGACCTTTACGTTCAGTGACGACTCAGAGATCAATGTGCCATTTTCTCTTCTCAATCTAGAGCTTGATACGCCTCTCACTGCCTCCAAGACGCGATACTTCCCTTGCAGACCCTTCACTCCTCACAAAAGTCAACCTTATCATCTTGGTCGCGCCTTTCTACAGGCAGCACTTCTGGTGCAAAACTGGGAGACAAACACAACTTGGTTGTCACAAGCACCAGGTCCAGACATGACGATTCCGTCAACACCCGTCATTATCGAAGAAACCGATACCACGATCGCTCAGATGCCATACGCTCCTGCCTGGCTTAGCACCTGGAACGGCACACTTAGAGAGTCCAACTGGACAAACGGGCAAGGATCAAACTCCACGGGCCCTTACACAAAATCATGGTCATCAGACTCTTCGCTTTCTGGCGGGACCATTGCAGGAATAGTCATAGGTGCAGTGGCAGGTGTTGCCATCATCGTCGCTGCCATGTTCTTCATTATCCGCCGTCGTCGTGCAAAGGCTGGATATGGTGATGTTGCACTCATCTCATTTGACTCAGACAAGAGTGCTCATCATGAGGTACCAAAACACGAGCACAAAGAAGACGCTTTGTCTTCGCCCACATATGAAGCGGATAGTGCGCATGTCAATGAATTGGCATCGAACGAGGCGGACAAGATTGGCGAGTTGCCTTTGAGCATGGCGAAAGTGGAGCGGGCTGAAGTTGATGGTACTGGTATTGCTGAGCTGCCTGGCCATGATGCACAAAGCAGATAGGATGTCTTAGACCCGTATCGAAAAGTCTTGGAGGTGAGAGACACTTGCAAATGTTGATTGCTTGACCATGATCAACAGAGACACAAGAACGTTTATCGATTATGTTTACCCAAAACCTTTGCAAGTCATGAATTACATGGTGACTTAAAAACTACGTGTCGATCTTCAAACCCTGAGGTATGGGCTATGGGTGTTTCCTCTCGGCAGGTTGATCTAGCTCTGTTCGACAACTCACATGTGCCTATTCCAGGATTCCCATTGAATGAGTCACTTGATCTCTTGTTCAGAATTCTGGCAAGTTAAACTTAAACCTCTTCTCGTTAAGATAGCAAGGAATGGTGTAGTAAGCAATTGCGCAAAGTTCTGCTCGCCAATGTTGTGTCAAATTCCGTCATCAGCAGAGACCCCCAAGTCAGACCTTGTCCAACGAGTAGCGACATGAGCTTTCCGGCCTCATCTATTCGAGTGCTTCGTGGTCGTCGGTTTGTTTTCGCGTCATTCCTTTCCTTTCTTCCCCAGACTGCCAGAGCCCCTGCTATGCCTTCCTCTTGCTCTAGGCTTTCCCGGATACTTCTTGTTCTTTTGCTTTTCTAGCACAATGTCGTGAAGCTGGGCATGAGCATCACACTTTTTGTCCGTCTTCAGGCAGGAATTGTGTGTCTCGTTCCATCCCTTTGGAGCACCGATCCATTGACCGCCTGTTCTGTATGATTGCTTGATAGCGTTTACTGTTCTTCTGGTCAGTACAGAGTGGCTTTGGATACAGGACATGGCGAGACGTACGGGCTGAAGAGCAATTACGCCATGGTATGTGGCAGTATTGAGTCAATTGATGATGGTAATGGCAGTGCTCGTTATTTTCTGGACAGGGTTGGCCGTAGGTATGCTTTTTTGAGTCAGTGGAAGGTCGTGTATTTGATTCGTCTTCCACTAGGGTAGATTCTGATGATGCACGAGGACGTTTCAAGTCGCTGGTAGTGTCTGGTTGCTTAGAGTGGTATAGAAGCTCTTCGATGTAGTTGAGAGAGGCATCTGGGTTGCTGATAGTGGTTCTTGGGGTCGTTACTCTCGTCGTTGAACTAGATTTCCGTGAAATCATGCTGGTGGCGGCTTTAGAAGACTCGCGTATTGTGGGCGATGACCCGAGAAAGGTGCCTTTGGTCGTCGTTGCTGGCTGGTATAAGGTCCGTTTTCGAGGCGGAGTCCCTAAAGAGACCATACGTCTCTTTTGAACAGTTTATGTTTGCATAGTGCTATAAGAATGCGCGATTGATTCTCTACATCAAGAAACATCCAGAGAGATGAAAGAACTATTGATTTCGACAAGACAAACCATGATATCCTTATGGCATCGTGCATTTCGGTGACTGACTTCCAGCGAGAGTCTGGTTTTGAGATGTTGTACAGGGTATGACAAGGAGCACTATCAGGGGCCAAATACCATGTAGACGAACGCTCACATCTCTTCTCAGCTGTAGGCATTGAATCTTTGCTATAAAAATGCACAGTATAACTGTACACCATGGGATGTCCAGTGAGATACAGAGGATAATGAACTCTCAATGGACAATCATGGATATTTTGATAGAACTATGCATTTTTGTAAGTGGGTATGGGAAACATTTTGCTTTGGGGAACAATCAAAAACTGGTATTTTCTTCTGCGAAACGGGGTATCTTTTTGTGTAAAACGCAACCTTCCTCAATCCTATAGTACAAATCCTCGTGCTTTTCGTCATATCATGTAGCAGGGAACCGTGAAGCTGAAAACGAAGGACGACTCAGGCACTGAGAAGCTCCGTTCGGTGGAGCCCGGCATATTGCTTGCGTTCTGCTTCCTCCTCCATAGCAGTGCGGTAATCGTCTTGATTGAGATCAGCAGCATCCACCCAGGTCTTGTCGAATTCATCCTCGTTCACCGCCCAAATGCCCTCTCTAAGTCTCTTGTGGCGCTCACGGTCTTCTTCGATACGCTGTTCGGCCTGTCTCTTCTCCACCCTGACATTTCCATTGCTGTGGCGCATAGCTTCTTCTGGGCTTGCGGTACCACCCACACCACCAATGTTATCGCGGTCCTTGATGCATTCTTCCAGCTCATCCACCGTCTGCTGCTGCAAATACTTCTTTCCAGCAAGATTTCTCAACACCTTGCGCACAACCTTGACATTGGCAGCACCACTGCCATCTTCAGGAGCAACAAGATCGACAATGCGAAGAATATCTCTTTCCATCATACGGACGAACTCGATGTGGTTTGCTGCTGAGGCGACATCGCAAAGCGTCTCGAAGAAGTAGAAGATGTTGGCGCGATTGTTGAGTGAATTGCGTTCGAGGTTTTCGAGGATGCAGGAGTGAAGGTCTTCGTCCCATTCGCGGTACTTGATTGCCCAGACAGCGGCTTTCTGAGCAGATGTGACGGAAGCGTTGAGGTGTTGGAGTTGGCTGTTGAAGCGCATGCGGACTTCGAATGGATCCATGGTGCGACTTTTGGAGGTGGAGCTTGGTGGTCGAGAGTGGGTTGGATGGGTGTAGGAGGACGATTGACGGCCCAAGGTTCGTTGGTGTTGGTGGTGGTGAGAAGGCTGAAAAGTGAAGAAGCGCCAGGCTGGATGGGCTTCAGAAGTTTATGGAATTGAACAGGCTCGTGGGCGAGTTGAGCCTGCTGAGAAGGACTCGTGCTGTTGTTCAGCTGCTCGGCGGCGCGGCGGGCGTGTTCGGCGAGGGCAATTGCGCAGGTGCGCTCCGAGGGTCCAAGATACAAAGGCCACCAGCCGTCACGGGCGTCGGGAGGGAAGCGAGGCAGGCCGGTGCGAGGAGGGAGGTTGGGGTCGTCCCAGTCGGAAACAGGACGGAGACGAGGAGTTGGAGGGCACGGCGCGATGGGCTCGTGCTGCTCGTCAATCTGCCAAGCTGGTGCCATCTTTGCTGGAAGCGGCTAGCGGCGGATAGATCCGAGAGATGAAGCCGAGGTCGGCGCAGAAGCTTTGGTGGGGGTTGTGAACGCCCAAACTGAGCAGCGAGGCCCACGCTCCCTGATTCACCATACACACTCTTCTGATTGGCCGCCTGCGTTTGTCCCTCGTCGAACTCATTTCTCGCTCACTTGAACAACATCACAATGGCTTCAGACAATGGCCTCACCCTGACTGTGGTGGGATGCGGTACGTTCATGAACAATCACCCCGTGTGCTAACATGAGTAACCCTTATCATGCTCCGACTATGACAGCGAGAAAGTTGTATACTTTGGAAATGCACAATGGTATAGGGTTTGGACCTGTCTCCAAAGAGAGCCGGCAAAATATCAGCTCTCACTGGACCTCACTCTGGAATTCAATACCATTGTGCATTTTTAAAGCTATACCAATTACATGCTACGCACACGAGAGTCCCCAGATATCGCATATGAGACTGACATATACACCACAGGTACCATGGGTATCGCCATCCTAGGCGGCATCATGGATTCACTCAACTCATCCTCGCAATCCTCCGAACAAGAACAAAACCTACCACCTCGTCTACCCAACCGTTTCAATGCCACATGCCGCAGCGATCGCAGTGCTTCTCGCATCAAGAATGAGCTAGGGAAATACAACGCCAACTTGAATGTCATCCAATCAGACAATGTGCGCGCAATGAAGGAGGCAGATGTGGTCTTGCTGGCCTGCAAGCCCTTCTACGTCAAGGATGTCCTGCAAGCTGATGGCGTACGCGAAGCTCTCGAGGGAAAACTGCTCATCAGTATTCTGGCTGGTGTTCCTGAAGCACAATTGGAAGACTTGCTATACCCTGGCTTATCGCACGAGCAAGTACGCGAGAAGATCACTATTGTGCGCACCATGCCCAACACTGCATCCAAGGTCCGCGAGAGCATGACAGTCATCAACCAATCGACTCCTCCGCTGCCCCAGGACACCAAGAACCTCGTTCACTGGATGATGTCGCGAATTGGCAAGGTTGTCGAGATTGAGCCCAAGAACATGGATGCATGTACCGCCCTCTGTGGCTCTGGTCCCGCATTTGCTGCTTTGATCATGGAAGCACTTGCAGACGGCGGTGTTGCTATGGGTATTCCTAGAGCAGAGGCAAACCTTATGGCCGCCCAGGTTATGAGAGGAACTACTGGTCTGGTTCAGGATGGCGAACACCCTGCTATCTTGAGGGAGAAGGTGTCGACACCTGGCGGTTGCACTATTGGCGGTCTTCTCGCACTCGAGGACGGAGCTGTGAGAAGTCATGTCTCGAGAGCTGTCAGAGAGGCTACTGTTGTTGCTAGCTTGCTCGGCAGTGGAGCAAAGAACGTCAACGGAACCAGACATTGAAGCACTTGAGCGTTCTTCTAGATATCGGACTTTCATGAGATACCCCATGTACACAGCTTCAATTCTATGCTTTGCTGTTCTTGATACGCAAGACTCGGTGAAGATCTCGCCTTCCATCTAGCTCATCTCAACATCAACCTCTCCACCCATCTCGCCAGCGACCTCCACATCATCCTCTGCAGCTTCAATTCTTTCCATCTGCTTCTTAGTCAATGGTCTCTTCTTCTTTCTCCCTGATGGATCAACTCGTGGTGCCGAAATCGCGTCCAGATACTCTTCATTCTTCATCTGACTCTTCAACGGTGTAGCCGCACCAGTATCAGAATGGAAAAGTCGGCTGTGGTAAGTAGAGTACGAAGCTTCCTCATCTTCATCAAAGTACTCCAACCTCGTCCATTTCTCCTCTGCCGCTATCAAGAGAAGGTTCTTGGCTCTGAGGGCTTCTAGGTTTTCGACGTCGCGATTGTCTTTGTAGGTTTGAGCTAGTGCGAGAGCTTGTGGTTGTTTTGCTTGTGCGGCTGCTCCAGAGGGTCCGGTTCCTGAGCCTTCTGCTGCTTCGGTGCGGCGAGCGGCTGTCTCGGCGTGTGTGATTGCGTCGACGTGGTGGAATTGAGGGCGCATCTGCACCACACCATCGACGCGCGTGAGATGGAGCTCATCTGGATTTTGGTCAAAATCGTCTGAATAGATTGTGTACGATTTTCTGGGTCTGAGGTGAAAGGAAGAGGGAGTTGGTGACAGAAGTCGACGAATTGAAAGGAAAGGGTGTAGAAATAGTGATGAGAGAAGACGAATAGAAAAGCAAATGCAAAGAAACTTACCACCACGGAAGGCACCCAACATATAGTTAGGGTTACCTGCTTCATCCTGCAAAATCTGCCCTCCTAGCGTCTGTTTCTGGAAGACTGCATCCCTATTGATAGCGTTCTGGAAATGCGACAAGCCTGCATCAATACTCATCTCACCATTCTCCTGCTTACCCCTTCCCTTGCCTCCCTTCGTCGGCGCAAATCCTGCCGCAGCACCAAAAGTAGCGCTTCCGCCATTAGCCTTGGATTTTCTTATTGCCTCACCCCAGACCAGACTTTGATATTTGTTGAAGTTTGCGCTGGGGTTCATGCCGATGTCCATTTCCATAAATCCGGCTTGAGGTTTGAGACGGAAGTCTACGGGGCGTGCGCCATTGCGCTCGTTGTAGGCTTGACTGCGATTGCGATTGGGATATTGAAGAAGGTAGATTTGTTCGAGTTGGCGTGGTGTGATGAAGACGTTGTATTCTGCAATGACCGGGTCATCGTCCTCGATGTCGCCTGCTCGTGATGCTGATCATACGTGAGTATTCTATTGATTTATCTTACTCCCTGTTTGACTGCTTACGTGACATTTTGATGTTTTTGTGAGATGTGCTGTTGAAGAAATGACTTTGATGGTCGCCGGATTTATTTTTTGATACAAGCCGCTGAGCGAAATGTCTCCCCGCAACTTGTACATGGTCTGTGCTCATATCATCGATGCGAGAGCCACCCTGCTCCAAGAAACAGATCAATGAGTATCCGAGTCCAACGAGTCAAAATTGATCTGAGATACATCACTGGCTGATGCTGATAGATTCACAAGACGACCATAATCAGACAAACGAAGGTGAGGTAGCTGCGGCAACGTCGGGGACATCTGCTTTTCCACTGAACAAAGTTGCGCGAGCACCTTAAACATTATCATCATCAATGAAAATACTCAATGTCGGGGACGATTCAATCACCCATCGACAGTCATCAGACCTTGAAAGAAGGATGCTGTCGCTATTACCACTGTCCACCATCAATTTCCCGTTGACTTGCTGAGCATAAACCAGATATGGCAGGAGCAACTGGACGAATTAAGCTTTCCAGCCACGCGAGGATGATGACCGACCAAACGAAGCTTCTGTCTTTGACAACAAGCCCTTCTTTCGCAACAATGAACATTCAACATTGACATAACTGCGAACAATCATGAATGCCTCGAGGTATTGACCGTGCCGAACCGAGCAGCAGCTTTCTTTTCGTGATGATGCGACATGTCACAGGTAATTACCGTTGCGAACGAGTTCTGGGATCCTTCCTTGGCAAGCCTCCGATACCTAGTCGAATGGTAGGCTGCCACATTCGATCACCGCTGCCGGAAGATAAGAAAAAGGAGATCTGCCACACCTTAGGCAGTCAGATTCCACAGTCACATATATTGTAGGTACCTTTCAACCACGATGGTTCTAGCAGACTGAGACATTTATCTATATCGTTTGTATCTTACATTGCTTTCCTTTGGCTGTCAATTGTGCCCATCTCGTTCCCCTTATCCTCAGCATGTCGTCCAAAAATTGCGATGACAGCAGTGCAGGGGTCTGTCATGGCGGCCGTCCTGACCTGACATTGGGCCTGGAGGACTATGTTATGATCCTCATACCAGCTGCATGTCTGCTCTTGATGGCCCCTCTGAGGCTGAGAAGAACATGGGGCCGTAGTCGGAAGGTCGTGTCGCCTACTGCTCTATGGTGGGCCAAGACGGTGAGCTTCTGATTGAATTAGCCTGCAGCGGCGACCAAGGCCTCGACTGATCTACCGAAAAGATGTCATCCACCTCGTTCGTTGGTCTAAGCCTAGCAGTCCTCATCAGAGGATGTGTGCGACCACATGCGCCATCAGCAGAGATACCTGCCGAAGTGTTCTCGTTCCTAGCCTCGCTAACGGCCGCCATCCTGTCACAATGGGAACACATGCGGTCTATCAGACCAAGCGCACTGCTGCAACTTTATCTGATGGTAGCCTTGGTGGTGCAAGCTGTACACCTTCGCTCGATCTGGCTTCGTGATGAGGATACAATCATGAGAGGTCTGGGTATCGGCCAAATTGTTGCCTGTGCCATCTTCCTCGCTGTCGAAAGCGTGAGCAAGGAGTCCATACTACTGCATCGACAGAAGCGGAGCCCTCAAGACACCAACGACATGTTCAGCCAACGCCTGTTCTGGTGGTTGAACAACATGTTCAAGCGTGGGTACACCTCGGTACTCGCACCCAATGATCTCGATAAGATGGACGAAGATCTCTCATCAACAGACCCACAACGAAGATTTAGACTGGAATGGCGTAAGCACACTACAAAAAATCCCAAGGTCAACATGCTCCGCATCATTTTCAGCGCCATCGGATACGATATGATGTTTCCGGTCATTCCTCGTCTGCTTCTGCTTGCGATCCAGTTCTCTCAACCGTACCTGATCCTGCGTTTCGTTGACTACATCGACAACCCCGATGAGGGTGGTACCGAAGAGGGAATCCTGCTAGTGATAGCCACCGCAATAGTTTATGTGGCTATCGCGACCTTCCAGAGCTGGTATTGGCAGGCGGTTGTCCGTTTCCAGACAAAACTCCGAGGTTGTTTGATCAGTCAGATTCATGACAAGGCCCTCCGCTCTCGGGTTGATACAGACTCCAATCCCCTCATGCTCATGAATGTTGACGTCGAAAAGACACTCGTCGGTATCAGACCGATGCATGAGTTTTGGGCCTGCGGTGTCTCGATTGTTATCGCTCTTGGGCTGCTCTACAGCCAAGTAGGATTACCATTCCTCGCTCCACTCGTGCTTCTTGTGGTGTTTGTTGCAATCGCCTCATCAAATGGCAAAAAAATTGGCCCAAAAACGAAACTCTGGCTTGCAGCAACACAAGAACGTGTCTCCTACATTACCAGCGTAATCGGGTCAATGAAGAATATCAAGTTACTTGGTATTGGACCATCAGTCCTGGACAAAGGCAACAAGCTGCGTGAGAAGGAAGTTCGTGCCCAGAGAGCGATCCGCATGGCGGCTATGATCAATCTGGTAATCTCGCTTGTCAACTCGCAAGCGGCTGCGCTCGTCATGTATGGAGCCTTTGCGATCAAGACTCATCTGACTGGAGTACCGCTGACCAATTCGATCCTCTTCACGTCGTTGGCTGTGTTGAAACTTTTCACTAATCCACTTCTCATGACGATCCAGTATCTACCCTCCTTGCTGCAAGTTTTTGCTGCACTTGCCAGAATTCAAGAGTACCTTGTTACAGAAGACCACACAGATCAGCGTACGATTGATTCGGAAGCCATGGCACATGGCCGCAACACCAAAACAGGCATCTCGGTCTCTGAGACCACTGAACTCGCACAAATGCGGAAACTGACCTGTGGTTACGCTGACGGCGTTGAAGTATTGAAAGATGTTGAACTCAGCTTACCTCGCAATAAACTTAACATCGTCGTTGGAAGGTAAGTTCTGTGATCGCAATATACACGAATAAGCTATTGACAACATGCACAGTGTTGGCTCAGGCAAATCGACTTTGCTCAAAGCTCTCCTCGGCGAGGTTACTGTCAAGTCTGGATCAATAGTTGTCGCAGATGATGAAATTGCCTATTGCAGTCAAAATCCATGGCTCTGGAACGGCAGTATACGTGAGAACATAGTAGGAGCCGACCCCCACGACGATGTGTGGTTGACCAAAGTTTCCTGGGCTTGTGGACTGGACCAGGACTTCCAGGAACTCCCAGATGGTATCGATACTCGCGTTGGCAATGACGGCACTGCTTTGAGTGGTGGGCAGAAGAATCGAATCAGTCTGGCACGAGCCATATACTCCCGCAGGTCATTGGTACTGCTCGATGATGTACTTTCTGGTCTGGATACACGCACAGAGAGACTTGTCTTTAATCGTGTTCTGGGTCCTCAAGGAATTCTTCGTAAGATGAGAAGCACAGTCGTGTTGGCCACGCACGCTATTGGTTGGCTACGCTATGCCGATACAATACTTGTGCTCGAGGACGGAAAACTTGTTTATCAAGGCGCACCGGGCAACGCGCCCGCCTCTTTCATCCGGCAACACGCAGGCATTCCGGAACAAGACCCTGAAGAAGATATCGATAATACCAGCCCGGCTGAGATTCCGATCAAGAAATCACGGTCGTCCAGTGTCTCTTCATCAACAGCAAAAACTGTATCCAATTGGCAACTGTACAAAGACTACTTCAGGTCGTTCGGCACCCTTGGACTTACCTCTTTCACTCTTCTCATCATAGGATTTTCCGTTCTGCAATGTGTACAACAGCTTGTGCTCAAATGGTGGGCTGGAGCCGAAGTAACAAGTTCATCTGGACTGGGCAAGTGGGTTGGTATCCTGGGCGCCATAACTGTGGCCTTCGTAGTCGTTGTGTTCTTGACGCTTTATGTCGGCTTCATATACATGTTCCCACGATCCAGCTTGTACCTGCATGTCAAGCAATTTACAGCACTGGTCAAGGTCCGCTACTCAGCTTGGGGTGGGAAAGAGACTGGCAGTATAGCCAACAGGTTCTCTCAGGACATCTCGATCATCGACATGCAACTGGGAAATGCTTTGCTTAATGTTATGGCAGGTACGACTGACGTTATTGCCATGGCATCGATCATCATTGTGGCCACACCGTTCATTGCTGCGACGCTGCCAGTCCTTGCACTTGTTTTCTGGGTCATTCAAAACATCTATCTACGAACTGGCAAACAGCTACGAATCATGGATCTTGAGGCGAAAGCTCCCCTGTGTACACACTTTTTGGAGACAGTGACTGGTGTTGCGACCATCAAGTCGTTCGGCTGGGCCAAAGCATACAGGGAGAAGAACGAGAAGTTGTTGGAGGAGAGTCAAACGCCATACTATCTCCTTGAATCAGGTGAGAGGACACCAAAGAACCCAGAGAGACTACGCACTAACTACTAAACAGTACAAAACTGGCTCACTCTCGTCCTGAACCTCGTAGTCGCCGGTCTAGCTACAGTAACAATGGCTATAGTCGTGAAACTCCGAGCTAGCAGAGATGCCGGTTATGTTGCTCTGGCTTTGATCAACATCATGGACATCGGACCGATTCTAGAAATGCTCGTTGTAGCTTGGACACAGCTAGAAACGAGTATGGGCGCTATCGCTCGCATGAAAGAATTCATCGAAAGCACCCCAGAAGAAGAGCAAGGAAAGGTCAACCCTCCGTCAGACTGGATGACTGAAGGCAGCATCTCCATCACCAACCTCGAAGCATCCTACTCAGACACTGCGCCATCCACAATCAAGAACATCAACCTGCAGATCAAGCATGGTCAGAAGATTGCCATCTGCGGTCGCACAGGCAGCGGCAAATCCTCACTTGCATCGGCCGTCTTTGGTCTTTTGCACATCAGCAGTGGCTCCCTAAAAATTGACGGCATAGACATCACAACCGTGTCCCAAGAACTCCTTCGCTCGAAAATGATCGCATTACCGCAAGACCCCTACTTCACCTCCGGCACCGTACGCGAGAACCTCTCCCTCCGCGCCACAGACACAAAACGCAGCGATGCAGAGATGCTAGCATCCCTCTCACGCGTAGGCCTCCTCTCCAAGTTCTCAACTCTAGCTGAAGCAGAGGGCTCAACATGGCAAACCGCTCTCGACGTGATTCTGAACCCAGACGACATGCTCACTAAAGGGCAAACCCAGCTGTTCGCCATGGCACGCGCAATACTATCTTCCGGCAGTATTGTTCTGGTAGACGAAGCTACTTCGGGACTTGACCATGAGACTGAAGCTACTGTGCAAAAGTTGTTAAGAGAGGAGTTTGGAGGTAAGACTGTCATCGCGATTGCGCATCATCTGCAGACGATTGTGGATTTTGATGTTGTGGTTGTGCTGGATGGAGGCAGGATTGCTGAAGTGGGTGTGCCTGGGGAGTTGAGAGAAAAGGAGGGCAGTCTGTTCGGGGAGTTGCTTAGAGCTGCCACTTGATGTGATTGATGTCGAGCGCCGTGTCGATACTTGGACTCGTCATATGAAAATTGTCGATGTCTTGAGCTCGCTCCTTCTACTACTCCAGGCCAACATGTGACTATTGATCCATAAGGCAATATCAGAAAGGTTGTCATCGCATAGAATGTCTGCTTCAGGAATCTAGGATATATTATTCATTTGGACCTCGATCAAGACTACGCCGAGCAGAAGTTCAACGTCCTATACACTTGTGTTTCCCCTGTCCGAGAGAATCTGAGCTGACAAGGTGCGCCTCTACAGCTCTGAACCCCACCTTCTGTAGTTGTCTTGAGTCGGTCCCTCAATGGCTCTATCATGTACGTGTACAGAGATACCAGCCTGCTCGAGCTGTCGCTTGCATAGCTTGACATGTTCACAATCAAGCCATTGACAAGGATCTCTCAGAAGATGGACTTCACGAAGAGCTGGTACCGAGTATCTGTGATCTGCAAGTTGCGATAGCTCCTCGAATAACTCGTGTGCCTTCTCATATGCATCTGCTTGGCAAGACAGATTGCTGAGTTCCACGACACGATCTCCCACGACGACTTTGTTATCTGACAGAGCATATGTATGCTCTAGCATTTTGTTGAATGGTTCTCTCGATGTAGCGACCAACGTGAGTCCCTGTAGGGATGGTGGAAAATTCGTGTAGAAAGTATGGTCCTCACGGCGACTCATTTTGCCTGTGGACTGCGAGAACATCTCCAAGGGTGCTGTGAGGCGCTGAAGCTTGCTAAAGCCTTCGAATGCGTGAGACTGGTACGGCTCCATGAATCGAGGAAAAACTCTGTTACCCATCCTCGGATGTGTCCAGTGCTCGCTCGGTCCGGGGTCTAGATCGAGCTCTATGAGGCTATTCTTGATTGATTGCAGAGCGTCAACAGCTTCTTGTATACTGATAGGGTCGTCCATGCTATGTCGCTTGGTGTCCGGGGTCAATTCGGATGTCATTGTCAGGCTCTGCAGATCTCTCGGCATCTGAAGCACGTAAGCCACATCATTGGTGAGAGGCCCACACTCCAAGAGACCGAGATGTGTTATGCTCCAAGTTCCAAACTCAGCGAATGAGGAGTAAACCATAGGATGTTCCGTCATACCCCAGCTTCTGATCTCCAGAAAACGAAGCGTCGGCATCTCCCCGAGCGTGTAACTGATTCTGTCCATCCATTCGACGTCAATGCCCCGACCCGGATCACTCTCGTCTTGCATGGCCAAAGACAATGAAGTTATACCACAAGCCGGAGTCCGGTTTTCCCAGGACATTATCCCCATATATGGCGTTGTAGTATGAAAGAAGTTCAAGTTTTGCAGCGTCGAAGCAGAATGGGCAAAAAGAGAAGTGACCTTCCAGACTGCCAAATCTTCCTCGTTGAGTAACGTTATACCATTGTCATCGAAGTAACTGTCATCTGTTGAAACTTAGTAAAGACCTTGCCTTTTCCTGGTACCGAGGAGATGCTTTGCCATCAAATTTGTGATAGAATCCACCCTGAGAAGCATGTTCATGTGAATTCAGGTTCTTCCATCGACTTACCGCATTGTATATATACCCTATGAACATGTGGCTTCCAGTCATCACGATCCTTGTGCGACTCATAAAAGAGCTCTAGATCACGGCACCAAGTCGCGTCATGATTTGTGTCTTTTGTGAAACCTCCGAGTCCTTGATGTCCGAACACCATGGTATGATACAATCTTTTGCGTGTAATCTGATGCAAAGCGCTCGATAGCTGGCTCATCGCCCTATGGACTCCGATTGAGCTGTACTCCAAGACCCACAGCCATATTTCCAGTGGGAATGTCTCGAGTCCTGTTGGTGTTGACATTGGCGATGGATGATTGAACTAAGAGATAGTGAGTTGTTGTTGACGGATGAGAAGATATAGTCTGGCGGAGGCAATTGTAGTCTTGCAGGTCGATCTTGAATGAGGGGAGCATGGCCTGTGCGTGAGGCAGCCTAGTTCTCGAAAGAGCCAAAAAGGGACGACGGATACCTGCAAACATGAGACAGCAGGCAGACTTCAGACTTCAGACTTGACTCGTGCCAATCGCAGGCAGACCGCATCCATCCAGCGTGCATGTTGATCCAGCAATTAGTTGCGCAATCCTTGCGGCAGAAGTGATCCTTGATTTTTGACTACGTCGTCGAATAGCGCACAAATCTGGCTTCCTGCATATCAAGACATCTCGTGATATCGACCATCGAACGACGTTGCGATAGGGCGTGATTGCGCGATGGCGGGTTGTCGAGCTTGAACCTTCTCTCAAAATTGGGAGGCTTGGATGCTGCGCTCATAACTTCCATGAGAAGTACACTTGCTAGGAGTGTAGTGCTCGGCTGCTCGCATTCAGTAAGCAAACATGTCGGCGAACTAAGACGAAGATTGCCGAAACCAAGGGCTCGCTTGCTTGCGCGTTTTGCTCGTAACCTCATGGGTTGTGGCAACATCATATCTGCTGTCAGCGTCTTATTCTTTGCAGTACTAATCGCTCTCAACCTGGCTTCGATCCGACGACGACATTTGCATCTGCTCTGCTCTAGGTGTCATGCAACATCTGGCATCACAAGCTCTCAGTGCCTTTTGGCCAAGAGCCTTACGAATCTGATCCCCTCGCGCCAGAATGTCAGCCAAGTCATCGTATGCAAGCAGTCACAAGCGTCGTGATCGGTTCAAGAGGCTGCCCTAGTGCTGCCCACTCGCTTGCGGTGAGGATTTCTGGCAAGCCGCCATTATTCTTTTCCGTTGACGCTCATACAGAACTTGAAATCATGACAGCCGAGACCGATGGCTTCGATCATTCCGCATTATGTTTGATCGTAACCGTATGGCAGCTCAAGTCAAGCCAAAGCACCCAAGGAGGATGAGGAACAACAGTCATCAAGGTCATGAGGACTGACAGTTGGGCTGAATCCGAACTCGCAGCCGAGGAAAGCACGCCCCACCAGGACCCTCCACTAGCGGGTCTCGCCATCTTATCAGATCGAGATCCTGATTGGGCAGCTCGATAGGTCTCTTACGACTCTTGCCGGCGGCCAATCTTGATCAAAAGGTGCTTCACTTCCAACTTCTTTCCCACCTCAGTCCTTTCCGTTCATATTCCTATCATCCTTTTATATACTTTTTTGCATCGCTAGTTACGTGATATCTCCAAAGAACGGTGACCATACCTATCTCGGCGTCATCGGCAAATCGAAGCCCTGCCGACCGCAAACCTTCGCTCTGACGCGCTCCAGCCAGTTTTAGGCCGCACCCTGCATCAAAACGTTGTCAAACTGCAAGAGTACGCACCGCTATTTGGTTATTGTTGTTTTTACGTTCGAGGGCCTCGTGCTACTCATTTCTTTCTTTTCTCTTATATTCATGCGGCCAACAACATCTTTCTAGTCCTTGGCATCTCTGATAGCAGTCATGCCAGGCCTTCGGAGACTTTCCAGCGCAGGAGAGACCCTCCCTCGGCGCAGCAGGGAGAAGATGAACAGAGCTCCTGTCGACGATGCATTCTCAGATACGGAATCCGAATCTGATGTCGCGAGCCAACTAAGCGCACAGGCTGGTGTGAAGCGATTAGAGGCAACCGCGGCTCTGTGGTCGAAGTGGTCTCTCATATTTGCATATGGCGGGTAAGTTCGCTCTTCTCCAAACTTCCTCGGAGCATGGTCGCTGATCGTTTTTCAGTCTGTATATGATGGCATATGCAACTTCGTTGGAGGGACAAGTGACTACCAACTTGACCGTGTTCGCCACTAGTTCATTCAAGGCACATGCACTCATCTCGACGGTCTCGGTAATTCAAGGAGTCGTGCTATGTGCGTAAAACTGAAGCATATGATATCGAGTTTCGCTGATCGATTATAGCAATTGTCAAACCGCCTATGGCAAAAGTAGCAGATGTCTGGGGACGTTTCGAGGCCTTCACCTTCAGCGTGTTCTTGTTTACCCTTGGATATATCCAGCAAGCCGCGGCCAACAACGTCAAGACATATGCAGCAGCCCAAATCTTCTACTCGGCAGGTGCCACTGGGCTACAGATTCTGCAGCAAATCTTTATTGCAGACACGAGCGACCTTTTAAACAGAGCCATCGTTTCGACGGTCCCGGATATTCCATATCTTTTGAATGTCTGGATCGGACCTCCAATCGCCAACTCGATACTCAAGAACCTGACTTGGAGATGGGGATACGGCATTTGGGCTATTGTTCTGCCTGTTGCCTACCTGCCGCTCGCACTTGCTCTGTCGCTAAATCAAAGAAAGGCTTCGAAACTGGGAATCTTACCACCGTCACCTTTCGTTGGCAAGGATTGGTTGTATACTCTCAAAAGTTTGTGGTTCGAGATGGACATCTTCGGACTTCTACTCCTTCTTGTTGGCGTCGCTCTACTGCTGATTCCGCTTACACTGGGAGCCAGTGCGCCTGGAGAGTGGAGCAATGGAAGCATCATTGCAATGCTTGTCTGTGGTCTGGTCTGCCTCTGTCTCTTCCCTTTGTGGGAGCGCAGCCCCCGTCTAGCTCCGAGAGCATTCTTTCCCCCTCATCTTTTCCAAAGCACCACCGTCATCGCGGGTGTGCTCATTGCATTCTTTTATTTCAGTGAGTTCAATGATCTTATGGCAGTTGTTCATGACTAACAGCAGGCAGTGGTCTACTATCTCTCCGTGCAGCCATATTTCTACTCTTATCTGCTGGTCGTGCAGGGCAAGTCTGTCTCGGCTGCTGGCCACATTACCCAAACATTCACCTTTACAGCGACCGTCACCTCCATTCTGACTTCCATTGTCATCAAATATACCAAGCACTACAAGTACTTTGTCACGGCAGGTGCTTGCATATATCTCCTTGGCGTTGTTATGATGCTTCGCTACCGCACAGAGGGTGTAACAGATGCTTTCCTCATCGGTTGCCAGGTCTGTGTCGGCATTGGCGGAGGTATGCTGCATGTACCCGCTCAGCTTGGTGTTCAAGCGTCTGTTGGACATGGCGAAGTTGGTGCTGTGACAGCTGCTTTCCTCACCATTCTTGAGATTGGCGGTGCCGTCGGGTCCGCAATCTCAGGCGCCATTTGGTCTGCGAATGTGCCTGTCAAGCTTGCCCAATATCTACCAGAAGAGACACGCGACCAGGCCAGGGAGATCTTTGGCAGCGTGAAAGTTGCATCTACAGAGTACGCGATGGGTACACCAACACGAATCGCCATCAACCGCGCTTACCAAGAGACCATGACCAAGATCCTCACTGTCGCCGTGCTGGTCTGCATTCCTCTGATCCCGCTCTCGCTCATGATGAGGAACTACAAGCTGGATGAGATGAATCAACAAGTGAAGGGTACTGTGATCGGTAACACAAACGACCCCAGCAGTCCCTCAGAAAGGGAGCCTTTTGTTGCCTCGTCTTCTGGTCATCGTCGTTATGATAGTGAAGACGACATCGACTATGATTATGACCGCACTGTCAGAAGTGTGGCCAGCAACAACGGTCTAAGGACATGGAAATCGAATGCAAGCTTGCATCTGAATGATGACTGATAACGACACCAGTAGAAGAGAAGAAATGTCATGACATGACTTGATGACTAGACATAGAACAACCGTCATTGTAACATACCATGGCTGGTTGGCTCAAGAGGCGTTTTGGATTTCCAGAGATACCACCGTACATATTCAATTACCTATCCACATAAGAGTTCACCAATGATACATTAAGCCTGACCTAGTATTACAGCCACAGATTGTCGTATCGCAAGGCACGAGGCACCTGTTTGAGTAGGGGCGTCTTTCCGGCAATCATTGTTGATCAAGCGCTTAATCACAACATTCCACAACAGTCAATTACCCGGAGGTCAAGAAACGTTTATGTAGCAGGTACAGCAAGTTCAGGGAGAATAACGCCAAGTGCAATCACGAGCTAGAGTCGGGAGATGTACCCAGGGCACAGACCCAATTAGCTATATCATAAGGGGCAGCTGGCGGTGTGAAGCTACTAAGATTCGCTGGCGGCCTCGCGGCCAGTTTAGCATGGGTTCGGTGTGTGTTTGCAACGTCTCACTCGATCAATTGAGTCTGTTCACTCTAAACTGTCCTACTGACTTTCAGCAGTCAAGATGCCGATGCTTCACAAGTGAAGCTTGTAGACGTCCGTCGGAAAGTAGCCGAGAAAATCTGCTTCATCTTTGTTGCGACCGGACAAGGCGTGAGACATTGAGGGCGGCTTACGAATCCTACGGCGTACGCCCCGTTGACTGCAAGCAGCTTTAACGAGGCACAAGGGCGGCATTGTTCCAGATGCAATCTGGACAAAACAACGAGGGGACATGGTGGATTGCAGGTCTGAAACAAAACGATGACATTCGAGTTGTTTCGCAGATTTGGCTGTTCACAAAGTTCTTTGGCAGTTGCTTGTTTGGGATAATTCAGTGGGAAGATCGGCAAAATCCAACCCGAATAGGTAATGTCTGGAACGCTGAGGATTGCGACTTTTTGATGTGGAGGGTCTTACAGCGCGGTGAAGAAGGGCCTTCTTGGGAGCAGAGGCAGGGCGGCAGCGGGAGTGGCAGGCCAAGAATCGCGTGCCTCTGGTGGATAGGTAGTGCCTCTAGTATCAAGTTTGCTCTGTGACATCCAGTGTGTACTTATCGTGGCCGTTGACAAAGCCCTTCTCTCCTTGTAACGCATTTGGCCGAGGGGTCTGGTTTGTGATTGTTCGTCTGCTTCGCTTTGGCCCGCGTCGTGCCAGTGTTTACCCCGTTACACCCGCAACCTCTGCCAGCTCACGTTCCCGGGGTCGACCTTATTGCGGGTTCGACACGACAATTCTGCCAGCTGCATCTATCGGGCGAGCCTCAGTCTGGTTGTTGGGTTCAGTGACGCTTCCGAGTAAGTGACGGACGGAGTCGTCACTCCAGCCAGCCGGACGAAACAACAACTGACAGCTCTCTTTCACACCGCAGCACTCACAACCTCCGCCGTCCGCGTCCTCAGATCGTTGACTCCCTCTTGTCGCATCGCCTCTGCCGGCTACCCACGCAGCGCATTCCCACAGATTGCAACCACCCGCTGTGCCGTCGACAGCTTCCCTTCGTTCTTCGTTCGAAACATAACCCACCTCGTCGCCAGAAGCTAGGATAGGAAATCAGCTCGCTCGTGACAAGATGGTCGTCGCTACCATCAAGTATGCTCCCACCTTTCTCCAATCCCTGCTGCATCCGCTAACCTCGCTGTGCGCGTCCAGGTGTGTCGTCGTTGGTGACGGTGCTGTAGGCAAGACCTGCTTGCTGATCTCGTACACCACCAACAAGTTCCCCGCCGAGTATGTCCCCACCGTCTTCGACAACTACGCTGTCACTGTCATGTAAGTCGCAATTCCAGCTATTTCATAGCTCGTTCGGCGACTGACGTGCCGCAGGATTGGCGATGAGCCCTACACCCTCGGACTCTTCGATACTGCCGGACAGGAGGATTACGACCGTCTTCGCCCTCTCTCCTACCCTCAGACCGATGTCTTCCTTGTCTGCTTCTCCGTTGTCTCTCCTGCTTCCTTCGAGAACGTTCGCGAAAAGTGGTTCCCTGAAGTCCACCACCACTGCCCTGGCGTCCCTTGCCTGATTGTCGGAACCCAACTCGATCTGCGCCCACCTAAGGAGAAGCGCGACGACAAGCAGGACCCCGTTCTCCGCAAGCTTCGTGAACAGAAGATGAAGCCCGTCGAGAGAGAGGACGGTGAGAGAATGGCCAGAGAGCTCGGTGCTGTCAAGTATGTCGAGTGCTCTGCCCTGACTCAGGAGAGACTCAAGGACGTCTTTGACGAGGTAAGTTGTGCTCTCGCAGCGAGTCTCAAGTCTAGCCCATTGACACATCTCAGGCCATCGTTGCTGCCCTCGAGCCTCCTGCCACCAAGGAGAAGAAGAAGAACCACAAGTGTGTCATTCTCTAAACGAGAAAACACAACTTGGGGATCTGATTCGACCTCCACGGCCCATTCCAATACAATCTCCTTCGATACAGCGCATCCGGCACGGAACCCAACCCCAATGATATCTCCCGTCGCCGTTCAATGGTGTCTGGCGCAATGAGGCGCAGTTTTTCGGTTGCTTTTTCGTCGCTTCTTCCTTGGCATTTCGCCCGAAGATAGTCGTAGGTTGCGTTTTTCTTTTTAGAAGCGGGGGGTATTCCAGTCTTCTGTTTTTCCAGATTTTCCATCTGCAAGTTTTCCTTCCAGTCAGTCCAGTCTTCTTCCGCGAGCAGCTCCGGGGTATTTTGTCTTATCGACAAGATCTCCAGGGTGTTTTCTTACGCTGCAGATGCAAGTGCAAGGGGCATGTTTCCCATGGCTCTTTTCCTTCCAAACTTTTCCCCAAGAGGTGGAGATGGATTTCCATAGAAATGCATACGGCAAGAGTCGGTTGAAACATTTTCCCGTGTCTGGTTCCTTGTTTGTCCTGGTGGCGTCGAGATCTCTTGAATGGTCGATTACACCTGATGCCGGCCGTCAAGATCAAGAACACAACGCTTCATCTAGATGCGTTGCTTGAGATCTTGAGGTTCGATTGCTCATGGTCGTGTCAAGAGTTGTCGTTGCGTTGGTGTCGGCGTTCCGAAGTGGCCATCAAAGAATGCTGTATGAGTATGTTTCATTGACACTTTCCTCGCATGCTGGCTGACACATCGTTGAAAAGGTCAATCCAAGCTGTAAAACAGCATGCGTGCCCTCCAAACTCTTTGGTGATTAGTATCTCGTCGTTATTGCTGTCGTCGTCGCCAGATACTGGTATTAGTTCGGTATGTGCCAGGCTCTCTTGCTGGCGTTGCTTACCTACGAAGCCTGATATGGCTCTCCTTCCTCTGCTATGCCATCGGCCTCGTAGAGGGGCTTTCAACGCACTTCGCGCAGTAGAAATCGGATGTGGTGATCACGAAGGAGTAGTCGTCGTTGAGTCAAGTTAAGTTCACTGTCTGCTGCAAACATCAGACCGTTTTCGAGTTGTCCAAGAAGCTACGGTCGCCTGGCGCTCTGAAGCTATGACTTGCTGGCGCTCTCTATACAGCTATGACTTGCTGGCGCTCTACAGTTTTGACTTGCTGGCGCTTTGCGGCTCATTGAGTTGTAGTTCTCTTTCTCTTCCATCTCGACCTTCTGTTTCTCTGCGCACTACTTCCTTTCTTTTCTCTCTTCCATGCTGGCAACATGCCGTACATCATCCCACATGTCAGAGATCTCGACCCTCGCCCTCCTCGCATGCTCATTGGACATCGTGTCCTGCCAGAAGCCAATCCTTTGAGACGATTCGAGGAACATAAGAGAAAGACCTGGGCACGAGACTATGCTTACCTGTGCCTGGTAGGCATCATCCCTGATATAGAACCCAGCAAGGGTCGTCCTGATCGCCGCCTCCCTCGAGCTCCGCTGCCTCCGGGATCACGTGCGCGCAAACTCCTTGGGAAGCCCCTGCCGCTCGAACTTCCCGCTCCGCCCTCGCCGCCGGGCCCGTCGCCGTCGCCAAGACCCTCGGAGCATCTCCTCCACCGCGATCTCACCACCTCGAGCCCCCTAGGCCGGTCAAAGAGACCGGTCGTCCCGGTGACAGTTGGGAGCGACGCGCCGTGGAAACGTATCTTCGGACGCATACCTCCTCGGGTTCTTGCTACCATCCCCGAGAACATCAACAACATAACAATGGCTCCTCGTCCCACTCCTGACGAAGATCTTTGCCTCGTGCCTCGGGGCAGCGAGAATGCAGTCCCTACTGTTCGTGGAATCATTGAAGAGTACTATGAGGATAGGGAGTACCAGCAGAGTAGCGTCCAGAAGGAAACTCCTTTGAAGGAGAAGAGAACCCCTGTCTATCTGTCGCCCGAGCAGGCCAAGTACACAGCAGAGGTGATCCGCAGATCGAAGGTGGACTCCGCCGTCCGCCCAACTTCCGTTCGTCTTCCACCCAAGGCCAAGCAGGTCCTTGGCTCTCCTCAGCCGATCAACAACAACAGTGATTGGCATCTCTCGAACAACGTCGAGAAGACTCCTCTTCACTCCAAAGGCAACTCTGTCAACTCACTCAGACACAGCGCGTCATCCAAAGTCGCCAGTCTGCTCACCCCTACCAAGGCAAGAAAGCCATCCACTTCCTCACTTGCGCACGACAAAGTGGTGAAGCACACATCTTCCTCTTCTTACCACACAACAATTTCGCACACACACAAGAACACAAGACCTTCTTCTTCCCCCATCAAGCACTCTTCTATTCTCTCTTCAATCAACATGTCTGCTCACGCCTCGCCCACCAAGCAGGCTGCTGCCGGCGCTTCTTCTGACAAGGGCTCTGCCAAATCTCCTGTCTCCCCCAACAAGCCTACCACTTCGCCCAAGAAGGAGGTCTCTGCTATCAAGCGCACCATGTCGACTTTGTTAACACCCAAGCGCGCTCGCGAAGATGTGCCACCTCCCCCACCTAAGAAGGACACCCCTCCATCGATCACCGAGAAGCCTACCAATCTCAAGATGTCGTCTAACATCATCGACGTTGGTAGACCTTCGGACGCCTACTCTGGCAACGGTTTTGCGGCCACTGTCCAGAATATCGACGACGAGGCTCAGTCCACCAAGTCTCGCGAAACCATTACTGTCGCCTTCGATGACGACGACAACGACGACGACTGCAGCCCTATCAAGCAGGTTAAGTCTGGCGTTGTTAAGATGGCCCATCAGCCCTACTCGCCCTTCATCGGTCAGAAGGCCACCTTCGAGGCCGACCCCAAGCTTGTCAAGGAGATCAATGAAGAGTTCCAATCTCCTCCTATGGACAGTAATCTCTTCCACAGCCCTCAGCTTGGCAAGAAGGTCTCTCCTAAGTCTGCTGAGAAGGCCAAGACTCCACGCTACATGCCTGATGGTCTGCTTGAGGGTGGTTTGCTTCCTCCTACTACTTACCAGCCTCCTGAGATTGGGGAGAAGGCCAGACCCCAGACCGAGATCTACTCTCCTTCGATGTACAGTGTCACCAATGGACACGATGTCTTCCGCGTAAGTCTTCTTTTATTTTTCTCATCTGGCCTTTTCAATTATTGATTCTTCTACTTGCACCTTCCTCTGCCTCGCACCTTCCTCTGCCTCGCACCTTCCTCTGCCTCGCACCTTCCTCTGCCTCGCACCTTTCTCCTTTATTGAAGACCTTCCTTTACTTTCAACTTCTTCCTCAACCGAATCATTCTGGGAAACCTATACTAACTGCTGCCGCTCAGGAGGCTGTCTCGACCCCTGTCGTGCCCTCGAACTCGCCGACCAACGACGACAAGCAGGTCGATGGCACTCTTCCTCGTACTCGCATTCCCGGTATTCAGTACATCAAGACCGTCCAAGACAACGAGTATGTCTACCGTCCCGAGGATCACACCTTCAACCGCTACCGTGGCGAGACCCCAGTCATGACCCACGACTTCGCTACCACTGGCGCTCAGCAGACTCAGGAACGTTCTGTCAGTGGCCCTGCCACCGTTCAGACCCCCACCAGCAACGCCACTGGCTACGATGGCATGCCATTCGAGCACCCTAGCGCTGTTCCTCCTCCCCTCCGTCGCACCTCCCGCGACAACTCGAGCCGTAGCTCATCTGGTCGCTCTCTTCGTGACCGCTTCAAGGAGGCTGGCGGCCTAGGCATTGAGCTCGGCGAGTCTATCAACAGCTACTACAATCACGACAACGGCACTACCCTTGGCGTCGATGGCGATGGCAACTTTGAGAGACGCCGCGCCATTGTCGCCATGAGATCCCCTGACTACTTCAGTAAGCAGGGCAGCTTCGACGCTCCTGCTTCTCAGCTCCCCATGTCTGGTGAGCGCAAGTACAGATCCTTCATCGACGAGTCTTACAAGGGTTTGGATCGTGCCGAGCACACTCGCCATGATGTTCAGATGAGCAAGCTGGATGCCCTGACCGAGAAGATCGACCAGATCTTTGCAGACAACCTCAAGCTTCGCCAGGATGTCAATGCTATTGTTACTGATAATCGCAAGCACCTCGACATCATGGGCGCTGAAAACCGCAAGCATCGCGAGACCGTCGATGTCATCGCTGCCAATAACTACCTGACCCGTGAGAACCTCGAGACCATCGTCACCGAGAACCGCAAGATGCGCAACTCTATCTCTGACATGGCTGAGCACATTCTTGATCACGAGAAGCTGGAGCTGCTCGTCGACAAGATTGTCGAACGCCTTCACCCTACTATCGTCAGAGGCATTGAGAAGAACGACCTCAACACCGAGCGCATCCTTGCTTGCATTGACAAGCGCCACGAGCAGATGCTCCAGGAACTCAACCCCCACAAGTACAAGCAGGGCAAGAGTGTCCGCGCTTCTCCCAGCTCCTCTGCTGGTCAATTCTCACCCAGCTCTCAGGGTTTCTTCTCACCTAGCTCCAATGGCTACTTCTCGCCCAGCTCTACTAAGGGTTACCGCAAGCCTGGCAAGTACACTGAGGAGCCCTCTGAACGCTAAAGGTGTTCTGCCTATGTCGTTGTCGCATTTTGTCTGCTTTGGACTGTTGTATTCTACTCTGGTGGTCTGGCTTCCATCATCGGAGGCTGGAAGAGGGTAAATCTTCAACGGCAACGGTCGATTGCGGCGTTTTTGGCAACGAGTGGGGAAGAGGTTGGTCTCGGTTTGGCTTTCTCTTCAAGCACTGCGCGACACGAAACTTTGACGAACAACGAACGAACGACTTGACGACCACAATGAAATTGATTTTTCGCGATGATATCCCAGCACTGCAAAGATGGAGTTTTAGTTGAACCTTGGCTTTTACTAATAGATGGAAAAGTTGGTAGAAAAAAAGACGGAGATGATACAAAGCAAGGAAGCAGTTCTCAGAAGGATCACATTAACTAGTGGTGGTTTAGCCAATTCCAATTCAATGTTTGTCGATCATTATGACTCTGTTCGTTATTGACATATTGACGTGTTTCAAAGAGCGCATCCCCCAGGTGCCTGATGTCGTTGTCGAGTGTGTGAGGAGGGCCTAATAATAGCGGACAAAGACAGGAAGATAAGGGGAGCGTAGGCGGCCTGGATGCTCAAAGTTCGTGACAGATGGGATTGTAGGTTTTCGAGGCCCATCTCGGTCAGCACGTTGATGGAGCGTGGCACGCGCTGATCCGCGAAACGGGAGTGGCAGGCACGGACGTTTTTCCGCCGGCTGGCAGTGGGGAATGCGACTCTGAAAGTCATGACCGATTCCAAGGGAGGAAGGGAAAGACAAAGACAAAGAAAGCCCTCGTCGGCTGCCTCTGACGCGGAAGCGACTTCCTCATTGTTCCTCTTGCTCTTCCCTCGTCACGATCAGGCCAAAGCTGGGCTTGTACGTGAGTCTTGAGGGATATAGACGCAGTAGCCAGTACCAGATCGGCTACCAACATGTCGGATGCGCCATGCTCTCGTACCCCGTCGCATCCTGCTGCCACACCCACGGCCGCCCGTAGCAACCACCCTTCTAACATGCACCTCGACGCCGACGACGGCAGTCCGGCTGCCAGCCATACCGCTCCTCCTCTGCCATCAATTCATACTCATCACCACCGCGATTTGTCTTCGGATCTCTCTGCCTCTCCTCTGCCGTCATCCTCTTCCAACCCGAACGTGCTGGCCTTCCGTCACAACCACGCCGCCGGTGCCGGCCTTCAGATTCGAACTGACATCCCATCAGCCTTTGCTAATCGCAAGCCGTCGAGCAGTCAGCAAGAAATCCCCGACTCGTTACGCTCAAGTCAATCAGCAGCCTCCCCGTTGCTGACACCAGCGCTACGCCATAACCTGTCTAACTCTAGCTTGAGTCCCAATTCTGCTCTTGCTTCGCCCGCTCTAGCTGCCATGCTCGATATCACTCCCTTGCCGTCTCCCATCATGCTCAACGACCCCAACTCTCCTGGGCCTTGGAAGAGGATACGAAGCGGTCATTTCGACAACAGCACACCCGTGAGACCGCCCTCGAGACTCGCTTCCTCTCCTCCGACATCGAGTATGCTATCTTCGATGTCTGCACCGCCTGGCTCACCACATAAGAAAAAGAAGGGATACGGGAGTTTGGTACATGCTGCTGTCGAGGGTCAAGCAGGCCAGAGCGTTGACTTGGTCATGCGCAAGCAACACAACCGCAATCGCAGCATCAGTGACTTCGTACCTGAAGCCATGCACAACGTGAGGCCGAGGAATGTCACTATCGGGCCTGCTGGCTTGCACATCACAACCACGCCGCCAAATGAGCAGCCAATGCAGCGAGAGCATTACCTTGCTCAGCAGCGTGGTTATGTACAACTCTCGACCTCCTCAGACGACGAGCGCAAGGGTTCTAATCATGCTCAGTCGGATGTAGCGTCCGTGTTGAGGGCCTCTGTCGATTCGGCAAAGGTTCTGCCATCACCACCTCCTTCAAGCAAGGGCATCAGGGAGGAAGAAACAGAGGATACAGACATGCAGAGTGTGGGCGGGGCAGAGGATAGCGATGCCGAGTACTTTATCGTCCGATCAGCACACGAAGACCACAAGCGGAAATGGCGATCAATACGAAGTCTTGGTCAGGGCACTTTCAGCAAGGTCATGCTGGCTACATCACAACAACTACCACCGGGTACACCTTATGACGAGAAACATCTGGACTCGCGGAAATTGGTCGCTGTCAAGATCGTTGAACACGGTCCAGCTGGTGGTGCCGATGAAGAGCGTATCGAGGTGTCTTTGAAGCGAGAAGTCGACATTCTGAAGAGCGTGTCACATCCATCGATTGTCCAGCTCAAGGCGCTCGAATACACCGACGAACGAGCTTTGCTAGTCCTGAGTTACTGTCCAGGAGGTGACCTGTTCGAACTGGCAAGTGAGCATCGCAACATCCTACAGCCTAAGTTGGTCCAACGCATGTTTGCCGAGATGATGAGCGCAGTTCGCTACCTGCACAACAACTATATTGTCCATCGCGACATCAAACTCGAAAGTAAGATTTCCTTAGTCTCTGTTCTTGCATCTCTTACTTACAGGCCACAATAGACGTCTTGGTCGTACCTGCCTACAATATCCTCTCGCATCTCGAAAATCCTCAGACCTATCCTTACCCGCTGGTCTGTCTTACTGACCTCGGACTGTCTCGCCGCATTGCTGCACCTCCCGCTTCACCACTCCTCACAACCCGCTGCGGTAGCGAAGACTATGCCGCTCCTGAGATTCTCCTCGGTCAACCCTACGACGGCCGCAGCACAGATGGCTGGGCCTTGGGTGTCGTCTTATATGCCCTGATGGAAGGTCGCTTACCCTTCGACTGCCCACCCGGCAAACCAGAACGATCAAGGCCTTCGCATCGTATCGCCCGCGCAGACTGGATGTGGTGCAAGTTTGGCGACGAAGATGGAGAGTGGGATGACAAGAGAAATGACACGAAAGAGTTCAAGGGCTGGGTGGGTGCAAGGGGCGTTGTGGAGGGCTTGCTCAAGAAGGTCCGGATGGGAAGGAAACCATTGACCGATATCGAGGAGATGGAATGGGTCAAGGACGGGATACAGGTTGAGGGAGGACTGAAGACTCTTGACGAATCTCCGCCGTTATAGTCGTCGTGAGTCGAGCACTTTGACAAGAACGACGGGGACGAAAGCATGGAATGGGATTTGGGGGTTTCGACGAACCCCCGTCCCGGTTGCTTCTCCAACCACCTTTATTGGCACGAACAATGCCTACCACGTTTCTCACGAGAAATACGCAGCAACAACACGATATATGCACAAATCAGCCTATTAGGGTTGGACACACATGAGTACACAACTACAATACACTGGAAAGGAAAGGGATACAAGGAAAGACTGGAAAGAGGATGGATTATCGAAAGATGGGATACCCAATATTTGTTTTGATCGTCATGGGAATGTAGGATTAATCTGCGGCGTTCTGGATAGCCTTTTCCTTTATCAACATCTCCAAGTTGGAGTCATTTGTGTCTTTTTTATAGACTTGAATCTAAGTATTCATGTGATCGGGGAGTTCAACTGAGATGCAGATGATTGTTCCAAAGGCAAGATGTCAAGAGCTTTCACAAGTGACGCATGTTGCAAAACAGTGCTATCAAAATGCACGATGGTATTGAAACATGTCATCAGATCCGCTGAGACAAATAGCACTACATTGATCTCACTGGAAATTTGTATCATCTTGGAGTAATTTGTGACTTTTCGATGGAGAGTTTGGACTGGTTTCCTTTGTCTGCGGTGTTGTACATCTCCTCCTTTGTCATTAACCCTGTTGTTCGTCTCTGGTGTATATGATATCATGACCAACTACCCATGTCTTGCTTCAAGAAAGTGACTGATCTTTGAGCCACGCAAGAGCAGCCTACTGACCACTCGTACCAACATCATTACCCTCCTCCTAAACCTGGTTCTGACCCCTCTTCAGCTCATCGGCGACGCTTCTGTATTTGCCCTCGCGAGCCTTCTGACGCTCGGCATGGTCGCGAAGCTGCTGGAGAACAAGTTCAGCTTGCTTCTGGGAAGGCAAGCCGGCGAGGTTAGGAGCGCGGGCAGGGTTCAGGGGCTCAACGTGAGCGTTGGGAGCTTCGATGGGTTTGTGAAGGGGTTCAACATGAGGACCGTCGATACGCTGGGGGAGAGGTGGTGGTCCCATGGACTGCTTGCCGTTGCCCTCGTTGCGCATCTGAGGTTGCATGTTAGTGTGTGCGAATGTGGTGGTAGATGCTTTGCGCGTGACTGGTTACTCACGTCCGAGATAGGAAAGTTTGGCGAAGGGGCAGGAAGCTGCATTGGGGTCTTCTTCCAGGAAGATTGAGAGGCCAGCGATCCGTTGCGCGACATGGTTAATTCGAGATCCGACTGTTCGAGCTGAGGATCAAGCATAAAGTTGTTGTTCTGCTGCGCTGCGTTGAGATGATCTGTCTGAGGCTGGCTTGTGGTTACCGAAGAAGTGACTGGAGAGTTGTTGTTCAGTTCGGCAAGATGTTGTGAGGGCATCGTTTTTACGATCTGCGCAAGTCGATTTGCGAATATATCGTGTCTGGTGCCGAGCGTGATTGGGGCCAATGGTGCAGGCTGGAGTCCACCGAGACGGACAAGTCTGCACCTGTTGTCGAACTCGTACCAATCCCATTTCTGGATCGGGATACCCAATCGATGAAGCATCGTCTCCACCTCTCTGGGCTGATCGGCGTGCCGGGAGATTTCTGTTGCGATAGCGTCAAGTCTCTCGAGGTCGCATCCTTCTGGCAGCAAGAACCTCTCACATTCCTCTATAAGACCTAGAGTTCCACTGTTGTATAGGGTCATGTAGATCCAGGCCCAGAGAGCTTCGATGCTGATGCTCCTCTGGCAGTAGTATTCGTCGAGAACCTTGACTACCCAGAAGAAGGCACCATCATGAGGTCTTAGATGCTCCTGTTACATGTAAGTCTTGGTCGAACAGAGTCCAGAAGCATCATCGTGACAAACCTCGAGCTCTTCCAGGAACTGTGTGTCAATGATGGGTGTTGCCATCTGCTGTTCAGGGAGGGAGGCCATGTTGCTGGGTCCGCAGCGAAGCAATCTCGAAGTGTGATTAAGGAGGGGCGGGTTGGTGGGTGCTCACAAATCAACAAGGTGTTGCAAGCCTTTCGCGGCCCCTGCTCGAGTGTCTCGGCATTGCGCCCATCGCTTTGACGACGGTGAGACTGTTTCCACATGACGCTGGAAGTTGGGGGTATACCAAAGACTCCTTGGATCCATATCAAGCACTACAAGAAGCTCATTCAGGGTACTCTCGACGACCAGAAACATCCATCTTCCAGATGTTCATTTGAGATATTTCAACAAGATTCAGGATTAATATCCAAAATTCAGGACGTTCAGTTGAACTCAAAGACCAGAGAAGTGGAACAGTGTGCGACGTGATTCATGTCGGAGGTACTCGACACCAGTCAGGCTAGTTCAAGCCTGAACAACAGCCTTTACTCGACCAAGAGGCCGCCCTTCAAGACCGTCCTTTTGCCGGGTCCATCGTAAAGGTAAACGGCTTCCGCGACAGTACGTCTAGTTCTCCAATCTGGGTCATACTTGCTGAACAGGAGCATATCTGCAGCCTTTTCAGGCTCCAGAGAGAGCATCTTCGCAGAGTTCGAGTCGGCCTCCGCAGATAGTCCGATAGCATGTCTGGCTCTGGTAGAGATACATTCATAAAGGATGTCTCCATCTCTCTTTGTGCCGGCTTGGTAGACGCCGACGCCCAGATTGGCTATTGAGAGGGGATCACAGCTTCCTTGAGGCGTAAAAGCATTTCCAATGTTGTTGATAGAGATCGCAGCATTGAAGCCATAATCTTTGATCAAACGTGGTACAGGCAAAGTTCCCCGAGCACCATTCTCTGTTCTCATCATAAAAAGATCAGATGTTGGCAGTCCAACAAAGCTGATAGGGAGGTCGGCAATCTCTTCCTTGAGTCGTCTCCATTCGTCGTCTTTGAACAATGACAAGCGAGTACAGTGACCCAGGACGATGGTCTTCTTGGTACGGGTTGTCCAGCTTTTAGCTTTGAGTGTATCAATCACATGCCAGACCAAGGGCTCGGTATTGAGATCAAGATTGTAGTCGAGATGGAAGTCCAGGTGAAGGTCTTTCTCGAGAGCAAGGTCAATGGTCCATTCAACGTTCTTCTTCATCTTCTCGCGATCATCTTCAACATACGGCGTACTGCCGAGCACATCGGCAGAATATGTAGGCTTTGCAGCTTCTTCAACAAGACGTCTAATCTCCTTGCCTCCATCTTCGTTTGAGAACAAAGGCAGTTGGGCAAACACACACAATTGAACATGGCATCGAAGATCGGCTTTGTCCTTGAGGGATTTGCCTGCTTCGATACACTTCAAACCAACGATAGGATCAACTTCGACGAATGCCCTCATAGAAGTTACTCCAGCTTGAACACTTTCATCTATGACTCTCAGACCACGTTCGAGCAAGTCGTCGTGTTCGAAATTTGACTTTGCTTTGGACGTCAACTCCATGGCTTCGTCGAAGGAACCTTCCTCAATCTGCAGATGAGAATACTTGGGATGCGAAAGAAGGTAGGCCTTGTCGATGTGGATGTGGGGGTGGCACAAAGCAGGAGCAAGGAGGGCTCCATAGCCATTTATGTATGGTGAAGATGTGTCGTTCTTGAAGACCTCCAAGAGAGCGGGATCATGAGGAGTCACCTTCTGCACAACTCCCGAGAAGGACAGATTGACATCCCAGATAGAGCCCGGCTCGGTACACGGTAAAGATACATTGAGGATATCGTGGACACGACCAGATGGCTGGAGACTGGCAGAAGCAGAGGTAGTCGTAGACTGTGCTGACTTCAACTCAGACTCGACATCAATCCCTGTGGATGCTAAAGATGAAGCAGGCATATTGTTATTTTTCTGGTTTGAATCGAGTTGGGAAGTGGAAGGCTTCATCAACGTCAGTGATGCGTACCTTCCCCAGACATGGATAAACCTCGGCAATCCTGGGTCGGCGTTTGAATGCCCCGAGCTGCGTTTGGCAGAAGCAACCGAGTCGCGTCGCTGACAGAAGCATCAATCGCGCGTGTTATACTTGTCGCATCCACCCACATACAAGATGCAGCCATCATCACGAGGATTCGCAGCTCCGGGCCAGATGCGCCGTCCCACTGGCCAAGGTACGGCGTGAAACACCCCTTCCGTCATGAAACATGCAACTGACTGCTGCCAGGCCCTATGTACGCAGCAGGCCATCAGGCACATGCGCCAGCTATCTCACAGGCTGCCCAAGCACAGCAGCAACAGGAGGAACTCCGCCGTCGCGAAGCTGCTCGAAGACAGGCTCGCAAGCCCACCGATCTCGACATTGACGATGACCTCGCCGAAGCCACCATCACCGATGCTGCCGTTCTTTACCGCAAGCTACGCGACCAGGAGAAGAGACTCGATGCCATCATGACGAAGAAGCGCCTGGATATTCTGGAGGGTACATCTGGTCAGATGCCATCAGAAGGTGTGCTCCGCTTGTTCATTAGCAACACAGCAGAAGGACAGCCCTGGCAGATGGCCAATGACGGAAATGCTGGCTTTAACGAAGACGGCACCTTCGATTTTGCCGACAACAACCAAGCTCGCTACCGTGTCAAGATTGAAGGCAAACTGCTCGAGGGATCAGACGACATCACCGAAGACTCCGAGCTCAAATCAACCCTACCACCCATGGCTCCCATCAAAATGTCGCATTTCTTCAAACGTGTTACTGTCGACTTCAACCGTCCCGCTGCCTTGCAGTCAAACGACTTCAATAAGATTGAGTGGGTCAAGAAGGAAGGTGAGCCCGACGTCGACTGCATTGCCTTTGGTCGCAAGAGCGACGAAGAGCTCCAGGTCACAATCAATCTCTACCTTGATGAGCAGCCCGAGCGTTTCAAGCTGAGCCCACCCCTTGCTTGGCTCCTCGACATGGACACAGCTACCCGCGCCGACGTTGTTCAAGGTATCTGGGACTACGCTCGCCTGTTCAAGTTGACCGACCCTGAGGACGAGCGTCGCGTCACTTGCGATGAGACCCTCAAGCAGCTGTTCCGTCACGAGACTCTTTTCTTCCCCAACCTTCCTGAGCTCATTCTGCAGCACCTCTCACCCCTCGACCCCATCAAGCTACCCTACACGATCCGTATCGACAAGGACTACATCGCTCCAGAAGACGAGTCCATTCCACCATCAAAATACATGATTTGGGACATCCGAGTCAAGGTTCCCAGTACCACAAAGCGCCTCATGCAGGCCATCATCTCATCGCCTAGACACATGGCCAACCTCAAGAAGATCACCCAAGTCAACGACGATACAGCACTTTTGCTCGAGAAGGCACGCCATCTCAACTCCAAACGCAAGTTCCTGCTCTCCCTTTCTCGCGACCCAGCTACATTTGTCAAGCGTTGGACCTCGAGTCAACAACGCGATCTCGAGATCATCCTTGCCGAAGCTGGCAGAGGCGGTGGTGATGAAGGCTACGCTGGCGAAGAGTTCCGTAGGGGTGGTAAGGACGGTGCATGGGGAACTGACTTGGCTCGTGAAGCCGTGGGCTTGTGGCTGGCAAGACAAAAGACACATTAGAATTGGCTACATGGCTTGCAAGATGAGGTTTGGTTGATTTAGCGACGGCGTTGGAATCGGAGTCAAGGGTAGGGAGACTTTGAGGTCAACCACTATGCATTATGGAAAGCGGATTATCAAGGCATCCGGATGATTGAGGCACAAGCTGATGCTCAATCGCATACCAAATTTTCTGGGAAAAGTCACAGCGGCAGATATGAGAGTTCAACGGAGTTGTGACAGATCTGGCAGACAGACCGTATAAATCTCTGAAACTCTCAAGAAGATTTCGCAGAGTGACCATGTGCGAATTGTGATGATACAGGTTGTTCAACGATGCGGTCGAGGGAAGAGGCTGAGCTGAAGCCAAGTCGGCGTGCCAATGCTGATCGGCAAGAATGTGACGTTCCCTCGTTCCTGCCACCAAACAAAGCATTTCTTGACCAGTGACAAGTCAAGCGTGGCATTCCTATTTGACTACGCGAGTCGTACTTGCCATCAGAATTAAGCAAATCCCATGGTTACGCTCAGGCCATAACAAAGAGAGCTTTGTTCCCTTTGTGGCCTTCCATCCATCACCTTTCCGACCATCTATCAATTGCTCCTACAACTTAGTCCTACCTCTGCTCTTGTGCCCATCCATACCTAACAGCTGTTACGACACACCAACGACCTGATGGCTCCTGTCACGATCCATTGCGTCCGTCATGCTCAAGGCTTCCACAACGTCAGCGTTGCGAACCATGCCATGCATGACCCCATGCTGACACCCCTCGGCGAGGAACAATGCAAAGCTCTTCAAACAAAGTTTCCCTTTATGGACCGTGTCGATGCCATTGTAGCTTCTCCCATGAAACGCACTGTATATACTGCTCTTCACTCATTCGCTCCGGTCATCAAGGACAAAAGACTCAAAGTCATGGCTCTACCAGAACTCCAAGAGACATCGGATCTGCCTTGCGATACTGGGAGTAATGTTCAAGATCTCGAGGCAGAATTCAAAGGCCAACCCGTCGACTGGAGCTACATGTACACTCCTCCGGCCAAGGCTTGGAACAGCAAACTCGGCAAGTGGTCTGCAACTGCTTCAGCTGTCGATGACCGCGCAAGGGTCGCTAGAGAATGGCTGTACAGCCGTCCAGAAAAGGAGATTGTCGTCGTCACTCATGGTGGTTTCTTACATTACTTAATCGAGGACTGGATGGACACGAATAAGAACGGTACCGGTAATATCCCCCCTCGTCGTCACCGTCATCGCCGGCGGTCTGAAGCTTCTTCTTCTCCTCCTGTCGTTGTCAATTTAGGCCGTGTTCGATCTCAATCAGAGAGCGGGCCCGACTCTTTGTCTTCACGTCACCATCATCATCACCATCACCACCGCCACCATCACAGTCATGATAAGCAAAAGCTTCCCTCTTCATCACATCGCGTACACAGAGTTCATCATCATCCACATTCTCACAGAATTCCAGGTACTGGCTGGGCCAACACCGAGTATCGTTCCTATACCTTTGGCTCAAACCCTAGAAGCGGTAGACCCGTTTTCATCGAGACACCTCAGAGCCGCGCACGGCGTATGGGGGACGACAAACCTTTGAGCAGATCAGAACAAACCAATCTGCAACGTGTCGAGTCAAGGCAGAGGGCCGAAGAGGAGAAGGCGTATCAAAAAGCCAGCAGCATTCAAGCAAAGGTATAAATCTATGCCGCTGTAAATATCCCTTTCGACTGCAACGAGTACTATCGGAGAAAAGAAGCATGGAAGACGATGTTTTGCGTTATGGTGTCAAGCCGCAATCGCAGACGTCTGTCAGACGTGTATCCGGTCTACCTAGACCTTCATCTCAGGTGGCTACGAGGAGCAAATCTAGGACTACGAAGCAAGGCTAGGCTCGTGAGTGTCACAACTTCTCTTGCAGCTCATGTCCGCGAGCATCTCTATCTTTCTATACTTCTCTTTCATTTGATCCGAGCATCACTGACTTATGAACAGTTACAACTGAGGCGATCAGAGCGCGACCTTGGTGGTTACGGTTACGGTGTCTGACGAGTGATCAATTGCCATCCGATCGCATTCGCATACGAGCATTTGGGTTATGTTTGAAAATTAGAACCTCTCAAACTTGCATTGGTGCATAGCGTTGTTATTTTCCTACTAACAGCGAGGACAAGGTACACGGAATATCACAAGCCGCAAACCTAAGTTAGAATCTTTGCTCCAACTCGTGCAAGTCTTAGACGTAATCGTGAACGATCTGGACTTGTGACCATCGCAATATCCCTCACCCACATCTCCGAGTTCTTGACACTTTCTCTTGAGGTAGCATCAGTGTTCAACCGCTTCTATAAGACCTGGTTGTGGACGAGTTATGAGTGAGGTTATTGAAACCAGGGTGCTACCAGCAGCCATGTATATTTTCTTCTCTTCTTTCTCTTTTTCTATTTGCTATCCCTTTCTTCCCACGTTATCAATCTTGCCATACCAAAAGCTTACATTCATCTTACTCAATGTCTTCTACAAACAGCCAGACAGTCCATGAATAAGTAATTGCTTACAAACTTGAATGACGCGATAGCAATGAGATTCTTGTTCTATTCTGCATCGGACAATTCTTCCCTGGTATCGATGTAAGAACGGCAAGTTCGGAGATTGCTGACCGCATTCTGCTGCGTACAAGGATCTTGACGGGTACTTGCTGTTTCGATCCTCCATGCTCGATGCAACAAGAAACAAGAATTGCATGAATACATAATATGGGTGTGGCTGGAAGACTATCGTAAGACAGAGATTATACCAAATATATTGCTTGACTATTTTGCACCCTTGACGACATGGATTACCTGGTTGCTTTTGCACGATCTCGATTGCATGATAAACCGATTGACACCACTATCATGGGCTCTGGACACAAGGAGGGCGGCAACAGCGATTCTGCAAGACACAGGACAGCAAGAAGGAAAGAACGGGTCACCACAGAACTGTTGCCGATAGAGGAGAAGACTCAGAAGAGGAGATGCATCTTCTTGATGCGTCTGCAACCTCCCTCTATCCACGTCAACATCAACGAAGAGCAGAAACGTGAAATCAACGAGCAAGAGCAGTCAGAGAAACAGAAACAGGGACACGAAGCGCTTAATATCCATCGACGCCATCAACCAACCCATCCAACCCCCTCTCCTCCGCGAAACTAAGAAATCAAAACAAGATCAAATGCAAAAAACATATCACAAAAAAAACGTCGGTTGGAGGAAGCTGTAAGCAAGCTGCATGCGCCCCACAGTACCACAGCATGAGAAACAAAGTGCCAGCAAGCGTTTATGCATTCGAGGGTGGCTGCATGTGTCACACGTTACACAGTTGAAAAAGAGGCGCTTCCCCAAGAATCCTTTTGACCACTTTTTTGTTTGAAGATATCCTTGCTTCGAGCAAGCGGTTGGGAAGACGTAAGCGTTGGGCTTGATTGCATCAAGACTTGCATAGTCGAGGAACCGTGGTTCTGTGATTGTGATACTGCGGTTTTTGCTGTGCAGATGAAAAGGTAAGAAGCAGGAAAGCGAGGTGAGGGAAAAGCGGTAAAAGAGGAGAAATATATGCAAAACATCTCATCACACATCAGCGACACAACATGGACGAAAGTACATTGAAGAGGGGTTATCTGTATTTTTTGGATGCTATGTAGAAGCAGGAGAGACTGATTCCGTAGTTTCTATTCTGTGTGTTATGCATCGATCATTAGAGTGGATAAACGAAAGACAGTACCGAAAGTGCTCAACACGCACTCGTCAACGAGTGAGTGAGCAATCGTGCTTTCCTGCTTTGTAAAAAAAACGAAAGTGAAGACATCTCATGCCCACGAAGAAAACAAAACCGTGAAGACTCAGCTCAAAGGGTAGTAGGGACCATTGCGCCGAAAGAACACCTGCCCAGATACGCCAATGCACATGAACAAGGAAATCTGATAGACACGAAAAAGGAAAGTCGTCATGAACAAAACAGCCAAGGATCGCTCTTGCTGTTTTTGGAGAAGAGGAGAAAGTTGCTCCTCAAGTGCGGCGGACGTACAGCACGAACCAGCCAAGTAGTCTGTAGACTATGATGATAGCCAACAAGATACCAATGTATTCGCCAGTTCTGCCGGCCTTGTAGCCATAGGTGTCGAGGAGAGCAGTGCCAGGAATAAAGCCCTGAGGGCTCAGGGGAGTGTCGTAGGCACAATCATACCCACCATGACCATTGGAGGGGCAAGTGTAGTTTCTGCTGGCAAACTCGTTGACCATCATGCCTTCAAAAACGTAGCTCTGGTAGTCGATGTAATGGAACACGTAGCGCCAGAAGGGATTGAGGTCGGCGGGACGGACCATGAAGCCCATAGTACACATCCAAAGACCGTTGGCGAAAGCAGTGGCGGCGAGAGCAACAACAAAGATAGGAACAAGGCTGGTGATGAAGACAACAAGAGACTCGGCAGCGATCAAGTCAAGGAAGAGCCACATAACCCAAGTCCAGAAGCCGCCAGCGGTGTTGCGGAAGTTGCTGAGCCAGTAGACGACAACGCTGAAAAGGAACGTGATGATGAAGAGATACGGCAGACCAGTCAAGAAGTTGCTAACAAGGAAAGACGTGGGTCCGTAGAGGCCGTTGGCACGTTCCTTCATGAAAATAGCACGGTCCTCGAGGTAGGCAGGGATGTAGGCGACGGCCATGAAGGACATGAAGGCACCTCCGAAGAAAATAGCGTTAGTAAAAGCTTGGAGATTGCCTTGCGAAGGGTCCAGACGCAGCCAGACAGTTCCCATCATGATAGCCAGACCCATGTACATGGCAATCCGAATGCCGTAAGCGATGATATCACGGTACGACTTGATAAAGTTGCGATGAACGAGTGCGACGAGGATATCGAACCAGTGAGCACCGATCTTATCGTTGTCATTGGTATCCTGAGGCGAAGGGTCGCCGTGGGCAATCTCGCGGGCGATGGTGCTCAGCTTCTCGGCGTGAAGACCAGAGCGCTGCCAGGTTCCGGTGACCATCTCGAATTGGGTGCTGACCTCAGTCCTGTTATGAGCAAAGTCGGTGTTCACAAAGTCGATGATGAATTCGGCAGGGTTCATGTAGAGAGGAATGGGGAAGCCGCATGCATCAAAGAAAGATTGAACGTCCTTAACTGGTCCACTGTATGCTGTGTTGCCATGCGAGAGGAGAAGAAGCTTGTCGAACATTGCAAAGGTCGAGGTTGAAGGTTGATGGATGCTTGAGATGACCATCAACTGTGCTTGTGTCAGTGTCTACTCGGCTAGAATGAATGACAGGAGTCTGAACTTACGTTGTGTTTCTTGGCTACGTCCTTGACGAAAGCAATGACCTCGAAAGCAGCGGCTGAGTCCAGACCGGAAGTAGGTTCGTCGAGGAAGAGGATCTTGGGACTAGTGATGAGCTGGTTGGCAACACTGACACGACGCTTCTGACCACCGGAGATACCCTTTCTTATAGGTGTACCGACCAAAGTGTTAGCTTGGCCATTGAGACCGAAAGAGTTGATGAGTGCCTCGACGCGACCGATCCGCTCCTGGGCGCTGACACTCTTAGGTAAGGAGAGACGAGCAGCGAACATCAAAGTCTCTCTGACAGTCAACGAGCCGATAAGGGCGTCTTCCTGTTCGACGTAGCAGCTGATCTTGCGCATTGTCTCACACTCGGCGGGGCGGCCGTTGAGGAAGACATCTGACTGAGCATGAGCGCCCTTAGCAGGGACGCGATTAGCAAGCACGTTGAGGAGAGTTGACTTTCCAGAACCGCTGCGAGACTGTCAGCGAAAGAATAATGCCGAAAGATGGATAAGAACATACGAGGGACCCATGACCGCCATCAGCTCTCCAGCTTTGACGATGCCGCTGACATTGTTCAGAATAGGCTTGTCTAACTGAGTCTGGCGATCCTTGACTGTGACAGAGACACCTCTCCAAAGGAAGCTACGGATGTTGTGGTTGGTGAGTTGCGAGTAATCGCCCATCATCTTCTCCACGTCCGACATGGTCGTGGACCTTGATGCGTGCATCAAAGCTGTGTTTTGGAAGAGCTACGTGGAGTGGTTGTATAAAAGCCGAGAGGTCTGTGGACGCAGCCAAGCAACGACCACAACGAGCAAACGGAAAATTGTTGTAGGGCTGAGTGAGTGTGGTCTCCGAACGACGAGGCAAAGATGTATATCAACCTTTTCTTGAGTGCCACAGTATTGCAAGCAACCACGATAGTTGGAAAAGAGCGAATGCAAAGAGTCTCAGATACGAAAGAGAGAGAGAAGACTGGGCCCGGCAGTCTACAAATGGAAATGCAGTCTTAGGAAGGGCAGGCATTGCTATCTCGCTTGTTGAATGTGTCAAGGCCGGCTGCAGGAATCGAGCAAACACAGACGGCCGCTATGACTACACAAGGAAATGGAGAGGCAAACAGCATGCAAGCGAGAGTCGTCGACTCAGAGGCCATGGAAGGGCGACTGTCGAATCACATGCTGGCGCTGGCTCTTAGCTCACCTCTCAATAGTCGATCCTGGGTGGCTGAAGGCAATTTCAGACGCATCCCAAAAGCCCGGTCACCACGCGATTGACCTTTGTGCATGAAGTCGGATGTATCAGATATCTTCTGGCTTGAGGAGAAGAGGTCGTAGCAGTATGCCCCTGCAGGCTGTAGACAGGAGGCTAATGCAACTAGGGTTTAGCTTCCCCGTACTACGCAACGACTCACGCCAATCCGTCAATACGCGCGGGCCGCAGTGACGTGCTCCCAGGATCTCGAATGCATCGCAACTAAACAGATCCTCGTCGAGGGCAATTTATCCAATCATTTGTAATTCGATTTAGGGTTGTCCAAAGCGGAAAAATCTTCAAAATCCGGTCAGTGGTCATTTTGATTTGACCTGGTATGCAGGATCTAGGGACGCGTCGGAGCTTCGACAATCTGTCACGGTCCGCTGCCGCTGAAGATCACATCCGTCTCTTTTGCCCTTGACAAGGTTGACTTGAAACACGACGCATCTCCATACGATAGATCGATGTCGTCTGAGCGTTTTTGAACGAGAAACGGTTGGTATCGGCGCACGAGGTATGTTATCGTTGGCCACGAGTGAGCGGTCCACCCTTGAGCTTGGCTATCATGGTCGCACCTTCCTCTCGGATGGTTGCTCGTGCCTTCTCCTTTGGCAATCCTGATATCTCCACCTCTTGGTCGCTAGACGCCGTTATTGCTCGTCTAATAAGCCGACGGATCCTGTCCTTAGATCGGCTGGCTGCATTTTGCGAGATGCTGCTGGCCCGAAGTGACTGGTCAAGCACTCTCGCACAGACTGCGGCCATCCTTTTTGCCAGCGACGCGCGCGCTCAGCAATGAGCACTCAATCCTTCTGTCATCAGGAAGCCGTGGCCGCACATCCTGATTCGTCAGAAATCGGCCGTCACAGCGAGTGTCCAGGGTGAGTTGATACGAGGTGGTCAGCACTCACGGGGAGCTAGGTAGTCGCCGGAGAGTTTTCGGTGGCTTCAACCATGACTACCAGATGGCTGCTGGGACTTCCAAGAAGGCGTTCGGGCGTCTGTATCAAGATGAGCCAGCATGGCGGGACTTCTGATATCTAGGATAGTGAAGTCAATGTCACGGCTTCGAAGCATTACCAGATGTGGGACTCGATATGGGAATCTGTCCGGCCTTTGCGATGAGATGCTCACTACTTCGCAAGACGTGACACATTCCGGCTCTCTTCGAGCCAGCAGAAACGGGTACCATCGTAACGCTGTCGTGAAACAATGAAGTCTTTGCCAGCCTCTCATGCTCGTCCTGCTTCCCCCGCAATTGAGCGCCGAGACACGATGACTACGTGGAGGCCGATTCTTTGCACGTTACACAGTCGACACCTGACATAGTGGGACTGTCGGATAGCTGCTGCTGCTCTCTCATTCACATGTTGCTTTGCACGGCTCGACAGTAGATGCCGAATAGGCAAAGACACGACCTGACGTGAAGTCTGCGGAGGATTTTTAGGCTTCATACCGTCTGCTGTCCGCGGGCCGTTCGCGTCGTCCCTGGCTCCCGCTCGTCACAACGCTTGTGGGATAGCTCCGAACTCTGTGACATCCAATCTATCTCAGCCTTCTTGAGTCGTGAGGGCGCCAGGGACGATCGCGTACGAGAAATTTTTCCACCTCCTGCCTGCAGGCACAGTGTCTGTGCTGCCATGGGCTGGAAACATGAACCCGGATTGCGGATTCCTGCTGCGCGTCCAGCAGATCATCCGTCTCGCAACTGCCTAGCAAGCTCCACCTTGGACGCTCTGTCGCATTACCACCACCCAGGATACGCCTGCATTGTGCAAAGGAAAGCTCATCGAGAGAGAACTGACGTGCATCCCCGGCAATAGACAGAGCGCCATGTCGTTCGAGATAGCCAGCATCGCCTCCGGGATTGATTGGCGATCGATGCATCTTCTGTCCAAAATAACTACGCGAGCCGTTGATTCGTCAAACAATCATGATCTCTAGCTCGAACTTGATCTGTGAGTTGACCGTTGACAGGTTGACGGGTCTCTACCGCTTTGACAGCCTTCAGGTTCTGGCTACCTGCGTACAGTGGCTACTGAGACCATGTGTTTTGGTCTAGCAAATGTATCGTTATGCCGCGGATCGGACGCCATGCCATCTGCACACTGTTACCGAGAGCAATCATTGCCTTTGCTCTGCAGAAAGCATGTCTATATACGTCACGTCTGTCCCTTACTCTTGTACCCTTTGCCTCTTCCTTTTCTTTCATCTTCTTTAGTTCGATGGTAATGTTGCTCCTTTTGCCAAAAGCTTAGTCCTCTCTTTTCATTTACTCAAGCGCATACTGTACCGCTAGTCGGAACCATTCTCATATCTCGTTGCTTCCCCCTTCTTCCAAGCGATAGGAAACCGTTTTACCTTTCAGATTGCCGGGCGATCTTGTTTTGAGCCTTATACAACGGGGACCACCCAGCACCGAAACACAAAAGACATCATGTCAGGGACCTCTTCCATCTCAGACGACGACATGTCATCCTACAGCGGTCACGAAGATTATGACTACGAAACCGATTGCACGACACCTGCTCCATCATGTTCTGGAGAACACATAGAGAATGAGGAGGTCGAAAGCTTCAGAGCACGAGAGTATCCTCAACTCGCCGGCAAAATCTATCTTGATCATGGAGGGTCAACAGTAAGCTTACCCCACCCTCGTGACCATTGTTCCCTTTCTCTGACCAATCCCAGCTTTATGCCAAGTCAATGGTCGAGGATTTCTCAAGAGACTTGATCTCAAATTTATATGGCAACCCACACTCAGATTCCACGCCATCGGCAATCGCTGGTCACCGGATAGACGCCATTCGTGAGAAAGCCCTTCGTTTCTTCAAAGCCGACCCTGAGAAGTGGGATCTGGTCTTTGTTGCAAACGCTACTGCCGCTATCAAGCTTACTATCGAGTGCATCAAAGACCATGCCGCCTCCACACATAGGCAACTATGGTATGGCTACCATCGTGACGCTCATACTAGTCTCGTCGGTATTCGCGAGCTCACAACAACGAGTCGATGCTTTGCCAGCGACAATGAGGTAGAAAAGTGGATCGAGTGCGGTGGCACTGGTGGTCCTCTTCCTCGCCAATTAGGTCTCTTCGCCTATCCTGGTCAATCAAACATGACTGGTCGTCGTCTTCCCCTGACGTGGCCCGGTATGATAAGAAAGAAAATCCTACGAGCAAACACCTATACTCTCCTCGATGCTGCTGCTCTTGCCAGCACTGCTCAATTGGACTTGAGCAATACTGATGAAAGTCCTGACTTCGTGGCTCTCAGCTTCTACAAGATCTTCGGCTTTCCCAATGTTGGTGCCCTGCTGGTGCAGAAGTCCTCTTCTCATGTCCTTACAAATCGCAAATACTTTGGAGGTGGCACAGTCGATATGGTTGTGACCATCAACGACATTTGGCATGCAAGGAAGACCGCCAGCACCCATGACGCGCTTGAAGATGGTACTTTGCCTTTCCACTCGATCTTTGCTTTGGATTACGCCATCAACGTTCACGAACGCCTTTATGGACCTGAACCTATGAAGTTCATCTCGCGCCACACAGCACAGCTGTCAAAGCAACTCTACGATAGCCTCTGCAATCTACGACACCGAAATGGCAAACCCGTGGTTCGTGTCTACAAAGAACCTACTACCATTTACGGCGACAGCAAAACTCAAGGTGGCACCATCGCCTTCAACGTGTTGAAGTCCGATGGCTCGCTCGTCCCATACACGGAGGTCGAGAAGTCTGCCAACGGCCACAACATCTATATTCGCAGCGGCTCTCTCTGCAATCCTGGTGGCATGGCTACCTACCTCAACTGGACGCCAGCAGAGATGAAAGCAGCCTTTGCATCCGGCCACCGATGCAGCAATCCCACTGAGATTGTGGATGGAAAAGCCACAGGCGTCGTTCGTGTGTCTCTTGGAGGCATGTCCACAGCTTCAGACATCAGAGCTTTGATCTCTTTCCTCCGCGCCTCTTACGTGGACACCACAACACCGAAAACCACACCTCTTGCTAAGCAGCCTTTGTCACTTCAACGGGCTTCCTTCATCAAAATCCAAATTCCTGAAGAGAGGGAAATGGATGCTGTGGTAGGGGCGACAGCACCTGTCATTTGTCCTCCTCCTATGCGCAACCGCCTGCGAAAGTCTTTTGACTTCAGCGTGGGACCGTCGCCTGGTTCTTCTGTCACTTCCATCTCCTCTGCTGGCCTTCCTCGCTCTCAGTCTTCCAACCTCATTGGCATCAGATCGAAACCAAACATCAGTAGACGCAGAAGTCTACTCAGCGGTTCGGCACCTAAGCCTGTGGTGGGCAAGTGGGACACCTTCTGGAAGGAAGAAACGGCTGCACTTGTTGCTGCTGGAGCTATAGAAAGTGAAGTGAAACCAATTGCTTCTTCAATCGATACCAAGAAGAAAGAGAAGGAGAGGAGTGGATTCAGAAAGGTCGCCAGGGCTTTGACTTTGTCGAGACGACATGACTGATGGTTCATTGATCTGTGTATTCTTTCCCTATCTGTTCATCACATCTAATGTTACATGGCTAGTATTTCTATTTGTTCAAAAGGGTGGTGGCTTTCTTTGGTTTGGTCTGGTTGTTGGTTCCCTTCTTCACACTCTCTCCCTCTCTATCACTAGCTCATTCCTCGTTTCCTTTTCCATATCTTCTTTCCTGTTCTGCTCGTTGTTCATATACCTCCATTTCCTTTCTGCTTTAGCGCTCATGAGACACAGTCACAAGACGATCAAGTACCAAATTTAGAATTGATTTCATGCACTCTCTGACTTGTATTCATCATACCATAGCATTACAACTTCATGCCCTTGTCTTGACTGCTTCCCCCAAACCACATCGACGCAAGTCTCTTTCATTTGGATTCTACCATGACGTGCCAACTAATCTATCCATCGCCCAAGATCTTGTATTCATATACTGTGCATTAAGACCGAACCAGGTCATCGGGCATGGAAAGCACAAACCTCCCAAGTTTCATCTAATCTTTGACAAATCAGTCCACCCTCTAGGGCTGTGCTAGACGACACTACCAGTCCGAGCAGCCATGGAGATACCACGTTCCCAATTCTGCATGAACGAAATACGTGCTTGGTGATCAACAGGGGGTGATCAATGCCTTTACGCGTGGTATGCGTGTGGAAGTAAGATAAGTATCCCATGTGAGACCCACGCTTTTGCAAAGGGTGGCCTGAAAGAAGAAGCAAGACAGTTGGGCTAAAGACTAGATACAGCTTTTTCGTGTCAGGAGGACTTTCATCGCGATGGTAGGGCTAGAGGAGATGGTTAAGCCCTACGCACGAACACTCTTAGCAAGAAGGAAGGAGGAGCAAAGTAAAATAGAGTAATGCATGTATGCAGTAGAAGCCACGCACGAGCATCTACAAGCCCTGCACTTACGACTCCCTTCTACATCCTGAAACCACAAGATCCAGGTATGCAAGATAAATGATAGAAGCAAGAGCACGGAGAGCCCGCAAGTGCAAAACTCAAATACATTAACCATCCACCTATCTACGCTATACTAAACAGAAGCCGTCTCTAAAAGCCCAGACGACATTGCATTAACTCCTCAAGAGAAGATCTGCGGAAGAAAAGTTGGTCGCGTCGAAGGAATAATAGCAAAGAAAGCTAAGTGGGCGATCGTGTGGTTTTAGTGTGTTGCGCCGTCGGTGCAAGCTTGCATATACGGAGAGACGGCTCCCTTTTTCGCAACACGGCTATATATGCAAGTTCGAGAATAGAAATACAGAGGTCACAAGGAGCCGATGGTAAGATAAGAGCATCGCGGTGTGAGAAGAGTTCATCGTGATTGCAAATTTGTATTAGCAGTGCTAGTTAGTAGCAACATAAACTTCGAAGATCTTCCAGTGCGTCTTCGTGAGCCTTCCTCTGATGGGAAATGCTCTGAAGAATGAAAGGAAATGTAGGCACGCAATGAGACTCGCAGACATCACGGATACAAAGACATTGCAAGTCAATTTAAACGTGTCAAATTCATCTTGGAACAGTGATGAGGGCCTGGAAACTCCCAGAGAAATGAGGAGACAAGCGTGACAATAAAAGTTCCTGAACATGTGAAAGAAAAGTCACTGGTGAGAATTGCGGACAGGCTAAAAAAAGGTAGACGTTATGTTTGTATTTTGTTGACGGTAAGAGAGAGATGTCTCCAGCTGGAATAAAGTCACCAATTCCATGTGAATTGGGGAAAGGGACTGAATAAAGCGGAAGTTGGATGTAGGACCAACTATAGACGCCGCATCGTGGAGGAGTGAAGATGACGGCGTATATGCTCGTGGTCCAAGGAAGATGTGTGGTGTAGTCGTTTCCTTGTCACAGTATTTCTTGATCAAGTCGCGGATGATGAGATGATGGTATTCATGAAGCAAATCTGTAGGAGATTGCTCTGTTGAGAGAGCAATGAACGCCGTAAACGCCTTGGCTGGTATGCTTGGAAGGAAGACAGAGGAGAGTCGTGTAGATGCGTAGCTTTTTCATCAGACTAAAGGCGTGTCAGTAGGGCGAGTGAGAAGATGCAGATCAGGAGCGCGCACCATTCAGGTAATCAGCCGCCATGAGCAATTCAAGACAGAGCTCAGGCGGAATGTCCAGGTCGGCGACACCGGTCGAGTCACGGTTCTTCTCATTGTAGTAGAAGTACTCGCACACCTTCTCCAGCACCATACCATTGATGTTTTCGAAGACACATTTGTGCGTCTTGGACTCAGCAAAGCCGTCTGCAGGGTACAGTCAGTATCATGACCGAGGGTTGGAAGGATCGAGGAAGAAAACGCACTGTTTGGGTCAAGCATCCTCTTGATGGCGCCAGAGAGACAGGCTGATTTTCTTTGCACCAGGAACTCGAAGCCGTCGTTACTGACGAGAGTCACGTAGTCGGGTGCGTCAGTCTGCTCTGTACCTGCCATTGTTGAATGTGTATTGCGAGGATGCGCGTGAAAGAGAAAGAAGAAGAAGAAGAAAGAGCTGTCGACTGAAGCTGTGGGCAAAATCGCGTTCGCTCACGCCAAGACATTCCTTGTTCCGAGCTTCACCATCCATCGACTTCCACTTCTGATCAAAGACAGGTCTCTCTCATCATCAACACTACTCGACTTTTGGAATCGTGAGACTATATCTCAATGTAGAATCGTACATCGGGCTAAGTGATTTGCTAGTTTTGAATCTGTCAGAAGAAGATAGCATCCATCAGATCCTATTGAAGAAAGTCTTTTCCTCTGTCTTTCTGTCCCTGCTATTTCTTTATCAAACATGTCTCGAACTATCCTGTCACTGCCGCCATCGATACGGAGTGCTTTCAATGTCGTTGGGCCGGCTCCCTCACGAACTTTCACACAAACACGATCTCTCAAACTTTTTGCCTCATCAAAGCACGCCCTCCGCAGATCAACCTGCCTGGTAACAGGCGCCTCTCGCGGCATAGGTCGCGCAATTGCAGTCGCCTTAGCACGTGAAGGAGCTGGTTGCCTCCTTGTTGGCCGAGACGAATCCGCTCTAAAGGAAACCTACGAGCTCTGCGTCTCTGCCCGCGGTTCAGTCGGTCGTAGTCATTTTGTCCTTACCGGAGACATTACCGACCCATCCTTCTGGTCCACCCTCGACAAGAACCCTTGCTGGGAGCCTGAGAACGGCAGACTAGATGTTTTGGTCAACGCAGCAGGGGTTACGCATTCCAGTCTCTTGATCCGCACCTCACAAGCCAAGGTCGACAACATTCTAAACACAAATTTAAACGCTGCTATCCAAGCTTCTAGATTTGCAGCAAAGAAGATGCTCAAGAACTCTGCAGAGGCCAATAAGGGAGCTGGTCATATTCTGAACATCTCATCTCTACTCGCTACGCATGGCGGCGTGGGCAGTGTAGCTTACGCAGCTTCAAAGGCTGGCATTTTGGGGCTCACTCGCTCACTGTCTGCTGAACTCGGCACCAAAGGCATCAGAGTCAATGCCATCTGCCCTGGCTATGTGGAAACGGACATGACAAAGGCAATGTCGTATGCTGCAAGAGACGCTGCTCTGGCCAAAGTCCCCGCCGGCAGATTTGGTACTGTAGACGAGGTTGCTGATGCGGCTGTCTTCTTGTGCGGAAACCAGTATGCGAACAACACTGTGATAACACTCGATGGTGGCTTGAATGCCATCATGTAAATGGAGAAGATAAATGCATACCAATGCCAGAAGCAACGGAGAAACCCCATTGAGCGCCGTTGTGACCATTTTCTTTGATTATTTGTTCATTTATATCTCTTATTCGTGCTCCAAGACATCTAGTTGATGTGTGAAAGGTAGGTGCTCATATCACTCACTTCATACCTCTGCCCAGCAGCGAAGCAACCCACAGCCCAACATCGTATTGCTACCTTTCAACATCATCTCCATTGAACTGGTGGAATGGTGCAGCGGCAATGGCTCGTGTCTCCCGTCTAGTAGAACAGAGTCCGCCGGCTCGATTCTAGGTCTTCATCACCCTTTACTTAATACCGGAGGTCCTAATAGACCACAACTCAAGAGTAATGTGAAAAGTATTTCTCTTCACCTCCGAGCATTGCGGTGGCTAGGGTTGTTTCTGTTTTGTTGATAGCTGTTCCGCTCTTTTTTTCGCTTGGTTTGTCGATGCGACGTAAGAGGCATGGCAGAGCGAGATGACATGCTATCTTACTAAGACTACATCCACTACAGTCAAACCGATGTCTTTTTGGGCTAGTGCTATCATATAGGAAGTCTCTTCATCTTACCAGAGCCTTTTTGACAAAACCGTTATGAGTAGCGTTACATCACATTGCCGTTGGTGAGTGTGTAGTATAATTCTGAAGGACGTGCCACCCTTACTCTGTCTATTTTCTACCATCTACGACCATATTCACCGGCTCTCCCCTGACGAAGGCTTCAATGGTGTCTCTAACAGTTTGCTTAGTGCCAATAACCGTCTTAGCAGAAAACCAAGCCATGTGCGGCGTAGCAACCAACCCCGGCACATCATCAGCCAGCAAAGGACAGTTCTCCTTAGTCGCAGGTTCATGCTCGAAAACATCCGTTCCAGCACCAAGCAACTTTCCTTCCTTGAGAGCGGTTGCGAGAGCTTGTTCGTTTACAATACCACCACGACCCACATTGATGAGAATGGAGGTCGGAGAAAGTAGAGAGAGTTCGTGGTGGGAGAGCATGTTGTGGGTTGATGGGTCCAGAGGGCAGGTGACGAAGAGGGTTGTGCATTGTCGCAGGACATCTTCGAAGGCAGTGCGGGAGGGGCGGATCTCTGAAGCGCCTTTGCGTTCGGCGATGAGGACGTGCATGTTGAGGGCTTTGCACAGTCTCTCTACGTGTTTGCCTGTGGTGGGATGTGTATGTTAGCATGACTCTAATCCAGCTAGCTTAACAAGCCTCGACGAGTTCCATCTGTGTTTGCTTTTTCTTCCACAGTTTTCTTGAGGCAGTTTTATGCAAAGGACGATACAGAAAAGACATACCTAATGTTCCATATCCAATAATTCCAACAACTTCCTCCTCACAGACTCTAGGCATCACACCTCTGAATTCGCCCACGCACATCCCCTGCTTCTTCCATCCGTTCCCCTCTTTCGTAAACTCATCCAAACTGACAATTCTCCTCTTCACCGCGAAGTACAGGCTCAACGCGTGCTCAGCAACAGTACTGGTGTTTTGAGCAGGAGTATTGGTCACAGTAATTCCACACTCCTTAGCAGCTTGAAGGTCAAATTTATCGCAGCCGGCACCTAAGCAAGAAAGTAGCTGGAGTTTAGATGCAGAGAGGAAGTTGGCTCTTGTGATGGTGACAGCGGTTCCGATTGCAATTGTAGCTGAGGCGATCCGAGAGGGTAGTTCTGCAGGTGAGGTGTGGACGTATTTCTCATAGGTGTGAGGAAACCGGAGAGGAGGAAGGTCAATATGGCCATCCAGCTGGACGATATGGTGTTTGAATTCTTCTGAGGTGGCCATCTTGAGGTTTGACGAGTTTGGATGATCACTCAATATGTGTAGTCAGTTATCTTGGAGCAAGCCTCGGAAGCTCGGTTATATCAGTCGGCGTGTGGTTCAATCTGCGAAGATTGAATTCGAATGATGACTTTCGAAGATGAATCCTATATACTTGAAAGATATGAAAATCGAGTTATGGTCAGAAAGTCAGGGCGTATGTACTGCATCTACTCGGCTTATCGAGCAGGTACGCCCTTTGACACCTCCGATGACCGGCGAGCATCGAAATTCTTGGCGGTAGACCTCTATCAAATCGCATTAGTGTCATGTGTTGACCAGAACACTGTCTGAGCCAAGAGCGGATGCTTGCTTAGAACCATCAGGACATATGACAAACGTACTAGTATAAGGTAGTACAAGATGTTATAGCTCCGACGATTGAGAAACATTCAGTCACAACATTCAGTCTCCAACGAGGTAGACATCACCAAGATTCATTTGTCGACAATACAGAAGACGCAGATTGTGAAGAAAGGGAAAGGTTGTTCTTCATTCCCTATTAACGGTATCGGTTGTGTGTTTGACCTTCCCATGATTTGACGTTGATCCCTCTACCCTCTAGGGGACACTCGGAGGTAGTGAGTAAATTACAGTGAAGCATCAATGGCGTTCCCATCATGCAGTCCAGAAATAAAAAGTGTAACGCCTTGCAGAAAAAAAGTGTATAAGAAATTTAATCCCAACATCGTCGCCCTTCTGCGTCTATTATCTCATCGATATGCCATTGCAGCACCCTTCTTACAGGAGAGCAGCGACACCGAGAACGAAAGCACCGACGGCACCGACAGCGTTCTTGGCAGCAGAGCCCTCAGAGGTGGTGGCAAGGTCAGGAACACCCATGGTGGTCTGGGATACGAGTTAGCTTGGTTCGGCCGACAGAATACCTGATAGAGCAAAACGGATCCGCGTTCGATTCCAATCAACAATGCTGCTTTGAAGCAAGGTCGCTTGTCTCAACAAGCAACTCAGCTGATGGACAGCAATTGAAAATTGGACGAAGCACAAACCCCACATTTGCAGCAGTCCAAAGATACATACCTGGTAGGTCTGGGTGGTGAGCCATGTCTTGGAGACGGGCTTGTGGAAGGTGTTGGTGTAGGTGAAGGTGGTGGTGATGTTGCTGACAGTGACGCCGAAAGTAGAGGCGGACTTGGGAAGAGAGTAGGTGGGGGTGACACCGTTGGTGATGGTGATGACCTTGCTGCCGAGAAGAGTGGGGGAGACGGGCTTGTGGAAGGTGTTGGGGTACTCGTAGTAGATGGTCTCAGTCGAGGTTGTGTCGCTGGTTCTGGAGCTGTTGGCGTCCTCGGCACCAGAAGCGGTAGAGCTGGCCTGGGATGAGGTGGTGGAGGAAGCGCTCGAAGAGGTGGTGACGCTGCTGCCAGCGCTGGCAGAGCTGGAGCGCGAGGAGCGGTCGGTGACGCTGGAGGCAGCGCTGGAAGCACCAGAGCTGACGGACGAGACGGCCGAAGAGACGGCGCTGGAGACCTGAGAGCCCTGGGCGGCAGCAAGAGCGGCGAAGGCGCCGACGACGACAGCGGAGAACTTCATGTTGATTTCCCTGGTGTCGATGGACAAGACGAGTTGGGCGTCGGGTCGATTGGGAGGGGGATGGGGGAAAGGGAAGGAAGGGACGAAGCAGTAAAAAGAAAGGGAAGTGGTGGGTGGGAGGTTGGTTGTTTTTCTCAAAGATGCCCCAAGCAGCCCGTCGTTTCCTCAGAAATTGGCTTTTGATGATTTGGGGCCTTGCCTCGTCCCGCACTCGCACGCTCTTCCCAAACCACCACAAAAAGCCTCTCCGTCATCCGAGCATAACACACGCATCCTTCCGACTTAACCGTGCATCTACCTAGCTTTGGCAGACCTTCTTCGTTGCGACCAGGAGAAGATTGCCTCTTCGAGCAGCATCTCAGCCTGTTGAGCCCTTGTGATTGGCTGACCTTTTAATCGCGCAACCTAGCCTTACTCAACAGGGTAACCAAATCTCGGCAATGAACCAACGTCAAAAACTATGCAACTGCTCAAGAAGAAGAGCCTCGACCATGCCATCATCTCCTGGTCCTTCTCAACAGGAGCCATCTCTTTCGGGCAACATGTCGTCTGCTTGCAGCTCTGCGCTGTCCGTCGCAGTCCGTCGCCATCAATAATCACAGAGGTTTTGCTATCTTGTAGTTGCTTGTTCAACCACCAAGTTCCCGGGCTATCCTTGCTACTCCGCATTTTGACGGAAAATGCGGGCAAGGCCGTGACAATCCACTTGGCTGATACACACCGTGCAAAATTGCAATCATCAACTGCTTCAACGCTTGCAATTTGCTTGCTCTATCAGGAGTCACTCAATGGTCAATGGTAGTATAGAACGCTACATTGATACCTAGTTGCGCGGTCCCTCTGATCATTCTTGAAGAGACTTCAGTGCAATTGCGTGGCCAGCACCAGATGTGCCGTACTGCGCGCGATTTTGAATGCTCGACTCACGGTCCGCAAGCGTCAGGAACGCCCGCGGTCCTATCTCGGCGCCGTATTCCCGCCTGGAGCGTCCGCTCCGGGGATCAACTCGGCACGAACTTGTTTGTTTGTCTCATCTCTCGAGGCCGCTCAAGCCGGTCATATACACCCGTTGCTACTCAAATCATCCGAATCTCGGATGTCAAGCATCTCCAGCTTTTATGTTTTTCGGTCATACTGGGGTATGACAGGTGATGTTGATGCATAGACTCAAATCTGCATATTTTGTCGCTGCCTTCCATGCAGCAGTATCGCCCGCAAGAAGGTTGGTCCTGCGACTAGTCAGCCTCACCATTAAAGCATTCAACAACATAAAACTCGGTCTCAAGAGAGAGCGTGGCGCCGAGTGCCGGGAACAAGCTGGAGCCCCAACTCTTGGCTTGCTGGGGGTCCAGCCCAGCCATCTCGAACCCACATGCTTTTCTCAAGCACACAAGGGTCTGTTCAGCCATGCTCAACAACTGTAGGAAATTGTGTGCTAGCTGCGTACTGCTTGTTATGTACCCTTCAGCTTCCACAAGCACGCACATCTACTTCGACAAGCCTCTGGAGTCCTCGCCGAGGGCTGGAGTTAGAACTGATCATGATCAATAGTCCCGATCTCGTGCTCGGAAATTTGCAAAACGAATCGCGAAGCAGAAGCGTCACGCTAAGTGGCAATATTGACTGGCAGTTTTGGAAGGGGACATAAACAGTCGGTGTACAAGCGCATCTCTATTCACATGTGACAATGGCAGCGACTATCCCCAAATACTTGCACACTTGCACCTAGTACTAACAACCAAACTACGAGACTGTGCTGAAACAAATTGTGACCACGAAGACTATTGCGACTTCTTGCAACGTTAGTGACAGTCAGGCAAGACTATGCAGTAACGTTGGTCGCCAGAGCTCAATACTTTCTTCCGATATTGGGTTGCCGGCAAAATGAAGTGTTTCCCCAGCTAGGCGCATACCACTCTTAAAATTTCCAATTCACGAGATACAGAAGAGCTGTGAGCAAAAAGTATACAATAGTAGGCATAGAACAACGAAGGATTCGCAGAAGCCGACTAGGGCTGTTTATTACTGAGATATGGTGAATGAGAGATGTTGGTTTGGTGAATGTGAGAGGCACCCTGTTCCAACATCATACAACCGTCGTCGGCAGTCGTCGGCTCGTGAATGGTCGTTTATTGTTGGTATATGAATAAGCTAGACACTTTGGCATTCATCAATTGGTTGCGTGGCCCAATGGCAAGGCGCTTGACTACGAATCAAGAGATTCCAGGTTCGACCCCTGGCGTGATCATTGTTTTGTTCATCAGAGCTTTCTTTTTGCGACCCCGTGAAGTACCTTTTTGGGGTTTCTGCTTAATTTTCCATTTCTCGTTTTCTCTTCTATTGTTTTACTTTATCATAGAAATCTGAAGACTTTTGATGCTTTGAGATAATACAACATGCTGTCTTTCATTGCCGCTTTCGTTGTTCTCTCATTGCGTGCCGGTGAGAGCGTGTGCCAGGATGCATCCATCTCCTCACTGTTCGGAAGAGTCTTTGTCGTCTAATGAACGTCAGCTTGTCGCTTAACCTATGGTCAATATTGGTGCTAGATGACTTACAGCAGGATTACCACCATGCCGAATGTTATGGGCAGAGCTAACCACCAGAAGAACCTACGACTCGAGTCAGCAGTTTGTTTCGAGGCAACATATGGCCGCAAAAGCCAATCTGACGGCAACATACACATGCGAATTCTTCAGAGGTGGGAACTCCTCAAAGTTCATTCCAAAGTAACCAGACAAGAAAGTCAAGGGCAGGAAAAGGATGGTGACAAAGGTCAACTGTTGCATGCTCTCATTCTGATATGCCCCCATGGTGTTGAAAATGAGACTGATCATGTTATCACTTTGCGTTCGCATCTGGTCAAGCGAGGCAATAATCATGATACAGTGATCTTCGACATCGCCCAGGTATGTGTGCGCAGCTGGAGAGATGTTGACTGAAGATTGAGTCTGTGACTTGATCAGAGCAGGACCGGCGCTCCGTCGAGCAAGATCAGAGATTGGGTTGGCAGATGAGGAAGTACGGTTGAGGAATTGCGCTGTGCTGTGGTGATCGCGGAGACTGTTGATCAGAGAGGCTATGGGCTGCATCTGCTGTCTTAGCATTGATAGCTCAGATGTCAAGATGTAGAGTGCTTTCGAATGCCCAATGGCAGGCTCAGTGAGGACGTCCATTTCTAGCTCGGCGATAGCTTTCTCGTATGTTGCGACAATTGGGATGGCCAGATCGGTGATTGCATCGATGATTGAATGTACCAAGAGAGAAGCATCGCCACTTCGGCGTAGGATCGTCTCAGGCGAGTTCAATCGCTTCAAGATGGGTTCTTCAATGACATCGCCAGAATGTTCGAAGAATGATACGACTGTGTTGTCGCTGCAGAGGAACACACTGACTTGCTCGATGGAGACGCCTAGACTTTTACGTGTCAGGATTGAGTTCTTCTCCATATACGCCACCCTTTCGGGCGATCTGTCACCACGATAAGATTGCAGGCTACGCAAATGTGTTTGATTGTCTGGTGGCTGGAAGGTCTTCTCGGTCTCCCAAGTGATGCCACTACGGCTGCGTGTTGAATGGCGAGGCTCCGAGCTCGACAAAGCCTTCTGGATGTCCGAATCGCTACGTCCATTTTGCGACGAGAGTTTGGTCAATCGTTGAAGTGTCATAATAATGAAAGCATGCTCTGGATACCAGTCTGCTTTTGTGCGGTTTCCGGTGTGCATCAGATCCTCAATAGCCAGAGGATGAAGTTTCTTATGGTTGCCCAGCAGCTTGATGACATCCCAGCTCAATCCGTTGACGTTGATCCAGCGACAGGTAGCCCATTCTGGCCTTGACTTGGTTAGAAATTCTGCTAGAGAGTTGTTGTCCAGCTCAGTCTGCTCGATTTGGTCTTCACAGAAATCCACTGCTGTTATTTGCGACTGTTACTATGGTTAGTCCTGGGATCGTATTATATCATTCGTCGATTTAAGTTTTACGGGAAAGGTTTTGCCATGCGACACAACGCTATCAGCAGAAGTGTCGATGCCTGGCTCGCTGCCCGGTTGCCACTGGAAAACAGAATTCGAGTCGTAGAAGCCAGAAGTTGTCGAAGGACCTTGATTATGTTTGGTAGATGATGTGCACCGAGAAGATGAGGCAGGTTTGCTTGTTGACTTTAACGTTGGATGGCTATCTGTCGTTGTATGCAGTAGGCGTCTGCATCTGCTTGTAAACCTAGGGGTCTCCCAAAGCACCTGCCTGCATAGAAAGAGCGAGCGCCGCATCTTGTGCTGCTCGGCGAAGTTTGCTGGGATTACAGAAACACAGTTGGTATAAACATTAATTGATGTATCAATATGACGTTGATGTGGTTGCGGTTTGCAAGGAACGATTGGTGGAGCAGTTGATGATGCGCGTCAGTATGAACACCCCTGGTCTATGGTCGCATCAACATTGGAGCTGCGTCGAAGATTGTCTCCACTCTGTAGAAGAACAACATTGTGCTTGTATCGACAACATTTTTATCATGAACCGGTCATGTCAGAACTGCCCATTGATTTTTCCATCGCGAAGGCATCACTTCCACAGGCATTGCTTCCCGATACCACAAATGGGGTCTTTCTGGCCAGGGCTGTGCCTACCTACCGTATTTACCCGGCTTGAGCTCCATGGCTTTGTCGCACTCACTTCCATCTCCCTGCTTTCGCTCTCGACTTCCAGTCCATGCAACCCACAATACGAGTGCAACAAAGTGCAGTTCCAGAAGAGCAGATCAGACATCTGACAGGCACTTGGATCAGAAAATAAGACCCGATATCGTTGTATCAGCATGCATCTGGCCATGTGCTTCTCTTGGATTAAATCGCTTGACGAAGAAAAAAAGTGGGCCTTTTACCAACGCTTTGGACTTCAACCACACAAGCGCTGAACGACAAGACCTTTGTACTATACAAGCGAGTCATGACATCCTCCTTGGAACGATCCTTCGAACAAGTTGCAATACTCATGTAGACAGAATGTCGACAGCGTGCCAGGCTGGCGCATCACGTCTTCAATGCCCAGCAATGCGCAATACGCCCGAAGGATTGGAGCAAGGTCTTGTAGGGCGTGCTGGGCGCCAATAGGCAGGCAGGAGAGAAAAGATGAGAAAATTAGTAGCGAAGTCACGCCGTGCACCCCAAACTCCAGACCCCCAAGCTTGACAACATCACGTTTGTATTACTTAACGAATTACTGCTTGCATCCTAGTGACAATGACGCCTTCTCGACAAATGTTCACGCAAGTGCGTGGCCCTCTTACAAAAGCATGCGGAGGTATTGATCTGATGGATTTCAAGAACTGTTGCACAACTCCCTCGACAAGGAAGGACTTGATATATCCTACTTGGATCTTTGAGAGATGGTCTTCTCATCACTAAAGAAAGTCCAGGAGGTCGAGGTGAAGGATCCCTCGGCCTTTGTGGACTCCGAGACAGCAAGCGACGATGGTCATGATATCTACCAGACTAGCGAAGGTCGACGACAGATTGGTCTCGTCAGTGCCATCTTCCTCATCTTCAATCGCATGATCGGAACTGGTATCTTTGCTACCCCGAGTAGCATCCTATCGAGCAGTGGAAGTGTCGGCCTTGCATTGTTCATCTGGGTAGCTGGATTAATCATTGCCGCCGCTGGCATGGCCGTCTATCTCGAGTTCGGCACAGCACTTCCCAGGAACGGTGGAGAGAAGAACTACCTCGAATACGTGTTCAAGAAGCCTAAGTTCTTGGTCACTGGTCTTTACGTATGTTCTGCTACGAGCTCGCCAATGGTCGCACATGACTGACTTTCAAACAGACTGGCTACGTCGTTCTTCTTGGTTGGGCTGGATCCAACAGCGTCGTCTTTGGTGAATACATCCTCAATGCCGCCCAAGTCCCTGTCAACCGCTGGAATCAAAGAGGAATTGGTCTCGCTTGTATCACGTCGGCCTTCCTTATTCACGGTCTGGCTCTGAAGTGGGGTCTTCGCCTGCAGAACGTTCTTGGTGTTATCAAGCTTGTCATTCTGCTCATTATCGTCATTGCTGGATTCGCCGCCCTTGGAGGCCATTTGCGCATCGATAAACCCCACAACTTCGACAATGCTTTCGAGGGCACCACAGGCTCGGCATACGGAGTGGTCACCGCTTTATACAATGTTATTTGGTCCTTCATCGGTTACAGCAACGCCAACTACTCCATGAGCGAGATGAAGAACCCCGTCAAAACGCTCAAGATCGCAGCTCCCACCGCTATCATGATTGTTGGTGTTCTTTACATTCTCGCCAACGTTGCATACTTCGCAGCGGTCCCCAAGGAAGAGATCATGAGCAGTGGACGTATTCTCGCTGCCCAATTCTTCCGAAACGTGTTTGGACCCAAAGCAGAGAGGGCATTGAGCGTCTTTGTTGCTCTCTCAGCTTACGGAAACGTGCTTTCCGTGATCTTCTCCCAGGGCAGACTTGTCCAAGAACTTGGCCGTGAAGGCATCTTGCCATTCTCTAGACTCTGGGCAAGCAACAAGCCTTTTAACGCACCTTTCATGGGCCTGTTCGAGCACTGGGCTGTCTCGGTCATCATCATGTTGGCTCCTCCTCCTGGTGACGCCTACAACTTCATCCTGAACGTGATCTCCTACCCACTTTCAGTTGTCAACGTTTTTGTCTCACTTGGACTTATCTGGATCTATCTTCATCGCGAGAAATTCAACTGGAATCCTCCGGTCAAAGCTACGCTTCCGGTCACCATCTTCTTCTTCCTCAGCAACATCTACCTGGTCGTTGCACCGTTTGTTCCTCCTCCCACTCCCGAGCTGAACCAGTACAAATCACTCCCCTACTATCTTCACTGTGTTGTTGGTCTGGGTATAATTGCAGCCGGAGGTATCTACTGGGTCTTCTGGGCTGTTCTCCTGCCCAAGATTGGAGGTTACCGCCTTGAGAAGGAAGTTCACAAGGATGCCGAAGGCTGGACTAGGAACGTCTTTATCAAAGTTCCTAAACACCAACCTCCTGTCGAAGGCAGCAGCAGCAGCAGCAACTTCTAAGCACGACACCATGACTTTAACAGTTTTATTAACGACGGGTTACGAAAAGCATTGATTTTTATATTTAGAGATACCCCCACGATTTCAACCATCGTACCTACCACATGTGTTCCATAGAATACTAGAATTCTATTTGCTTTTAGCAGAATACTCTTGACGATCTGTCATACAACCAAAAAGCATGCCACTGTTGATACAATCGTTTTCCAGTCCACCTTCGGGTCCCCCGCTCTTGCTCACAACTTTCCTCTCTTTTGCGAGCCGCCAAGCAGCCTTTACTCTAAGCTCTATAGAGTATCAATCCCGTTCCACGTGATAGTTCTAGCCAACTTCAGGACAGGTCAAACTACTCTGAGGTTGGTGTTATGCAAAGCGGATGGCGCCGTGAGTCGACGAATCGCAGTTGGCTTTGAAAAAAGAGGAGAGGAACCGAAGGTGGACTGGAAAACGATTGTACAAGATAATCAGTTGTAGGACGTGCAGCATTAGCCATCTGCGCAATGCATGCATGATGCATCGAGATCCCTCCGGCTAAATATCAGCTGTGGTATTAAGACACAAAGTTTAATCGCGATGGGCCCTGGTCCCCAGCGCCGGCAATCTCTGGCCAAGAAAGCTGGCGTCTAACTTGACAAGTGAAGAAACGTCTTCGACGTTCTCACTATTGATGAGATTGTCTTTCGTTTTACACATTCCAGCGATCGAGCGAGTCTGCCCATGTCTTTACGCCATTGACTGAGAGCCATGGGTGTGAACGACTGCCTCTTCGCAACACACCGCCTTATTAAAGCCAAGGCCGATGTTTTGTCCGAAGGAGGATGAAGATTTTGGCCATGACTGGCTAGACCTGCAAAGCAGCAGGAACTCTACGTGGTACATCAAAATGCAAGAACTTTCTGAGGATCTGTTTCACGTTCCTTCCGCCTGTATCTTGTATCGAAAAGCTTGGCGGAAGGTTCGAAAGTATATTGGAACAGGCTAAGTGGGCTAACCATACAGACCTCTGCTGCTACCTACCAATTACTACTTACATGCATCTTTCACCTACTTCCATCTCAACGAAACTGCTAGACGAGTTCTTACGGAGACAGTACATTGTCTAGCTGACCCAAACCATCAATCTATCATATCCGCTCCCGCCGTGTTACGTCATGGACCCTTGAACTCGCCATCGACATTCATATCTGTATACACGATTTGGCTGTTGCAAGACGCGGATTTCTGAGAGCCTGTCGAGTCGCATATAACAATACTGTCCTAGAACTCTCCGTCAGTCGGTCCTGTCTTCTTTCGAGCGGGCTGCTTGTCATACGAGATGGGCCTCGCACTGCTCAGCCTACCAAATGAAGTCCTCATTAGCATCATAAAGCATGGGGACAACGCTTGCAAGAGAACCCTCCTCAATCTACGGCTTGTCAACAAGACTTTAGAACAACTCTGTCATGATCGATTTCTCCGCTACCTGGAGAATCTCCGCATAGATCCATCGCAAAAGGACAATCTTCTGCGACTGATGGACATCTTGTCGAGTCCCGCACATGCATGCGCAGTCAGAGCTGTGGCCTTCGACTTTGTACGAGATTGGCGCAACGTATGGGCTGTGACGCCACTGGTCCAACAACTCTTCGATAAATTGAGCACATTGAACGTCACCCTCGAGTTGAAATTCAGTCCTTATGGCAGCAATGAATGGATCTCTGAACCATGCATTGTTCATTACATTGCTGGAATCGTGAAGCAGGTCTTAACATCACACATGTCGGTTAAGCGGCTCATTATCCGGGCGAAGGAATGGGATCCTGACCTTCAGCTCGACAAGATGATATGCAGACTAGAGAAATTGCTTTCAGATCAAGAGAAGGAAGCACAAGCCTTCTCGATGGAATCTTTGATTGTGGAGTTCAAACATGGCGAAGTCACTTATAACCGACGAGATCGTTGTCTCCAGTTCAGTCAAGTAACGGCTCATGACCTCCATGCAATAGGTCAATGGATCCAAGAAAAACACCCTACAGAGCTCTGCTTGACAGACTGTCAATTCTTCGTCGAGCAACTGGACGGGATATTATTACCCATTACTCAGCCATCCAATTCCTTATCCAGCATCACGATCAACAATGCTCGGCTGATGCATATAACCTCGTTCTTCGGAGGAAGCCAGACAGCCACCCCACTACAAAAGCTGCTTTCAAACATTATGCAGCACGCAAATAGCCTGGACCATCTGGATTTGGAGAACATTCGAGTGGAGACGCCACATCCAAGGACACTCAATTTCGTGGGAACGAACAAGGTGCAACTGACGAGCGAGGACAACATTCGCGAGAGACTCACGGTTTTGATGTCACAGTTAGTGGAGGAAGACGAGTCAGAGGCCGAGAGCGAAGACATTGAAGAGGATGATGAAGATGAAGATGAGGATGATGACTAAAGAAGCCTTGAGGGGTTTCCTACTGTCGCTTACGATACCTATGATTTGTACGTTCTTGATTTCAATATAGTAAATGATGCCACAGCAACTTACGGTTTCTTCGATTTGAGTATGGGTTGCACCTGCCTTGCGTATACTCCATAGCTTCTTATGTTGGAAAGATGCTGGGCTCGTGTTGTTCCTGCCTTACTGACGTCGTGGCTGAGATTTATATTTGACCTCCACGAGGAGTCCGATCTATACAGGCTACGTGCCATTAGTCTTTCATTCTTCTTATCTATTAATACGGCATGACACCTCCCTTGCATCAAGTGATGCGTGAGGCAATAATATATTATGTACAGTATCCACTAAAGTTGCGTTCAATCAGAGATTGCATGTAACGCTCCAATATGAATATTTCCACCAGAACTATCAAGGTTCGTCACTCGACCTCGTACGAGTGTCGAGGCTCGATCCAACTTGTGTGATTTTGCTTGCAGAGTGGAGCTCTTTGGGAAAGTAGAACCGGTCCATGCAGGCTTTGCGATGCGGTCAGACCGGTGTCAGCGTCGTGATGTCTGATCCTAGGGATCTCTCTTGGGTGTACCATCGCAGTAACGTTCTGGTCTGAGGCAGAATCTGGATGGTAGACTAGATAGTCCAGGTCGACGAGTGTTGAGCAGTATGAGCCAAGCGCACATTCCAAACTCCAGAAAATGCCGTGCATTTTGCTGGACCCATTGCGTGCCGCCGCGCAAAGCATTACACGACAGCTCTTTTGATTCGTTCCTGGAAGTGCTGCGAATGGCGGTCTGAAAACTTCGAGACCTTGCCGACCTTGAACAGATTGTTCGTTGCTCTTGCTGACTCAGAGTAGGCCTAGTTATCCTTGTAAGAGTCTGCAAACTTCATCATGGCAGGATAATCCCATTCGATAAGCTTTTTGTCATGCTCGGACAGAGCAGAGTTGATCGCACGTAATAAGATCGAGTCCCAGTTCGTAGTCCACCATCGGAAATTTGGCGCGCCCAGAACCACAGAATAATGGGAGAGTACGAGCAGAGAATCCACTTCATGATTTTGCACTCGCAACCAGAACGCATCGCTAACCATAGTAGGCCAGCGACCAATATTCGAGACTCCGTCTGAAGATGTCGCAAGCTCTTTGTGTATAAATTCCAGAAGCTGGTCAGTGGCCAGAATATCCGCTGGATCCTTGAGACGCGCTCGCAGAACCTGGAAACGATGGTCGACTTCGGGTTTCATCTTGATTGGGTGGCCAGCGAAAGTGGCCTTGATCCATTGTGCCAGAGGAGTGCCGGCAAGTGATTCCGGATTCAAGAACCATACAGTTTTGCAGCCTCGCATAAGACTGAACAGATCAAGAATACCATCAAAATCTGGCGGAGTGTCGCATGCGTGTGGAAATGCAAAGGCCAAGATGGCCAGCATCATGCTGAAAATCATGAGAACATGGTGGCTGTCGGACGAACGAGATTGTTCGAGCATGGATCTGAACAGTCTTGTACCGGCATTTTGGTGAGCCAATGCTCTAGTTGCGAATACTTGTCGCTCATTTGGTCGTGTCCGGGCGAGATCCATTGAAGCCAAGGCAAGAATACCATGCATAAGTAAGGGATTTGACTGAGCCTGATGAGGAACCATCTCTTGCCAAATCTCTCGGGAGCCTTGGCCAGCAAACAATTCAAGAGAAGTTTCTATCGTGTAATGGTGCATGAGGGACAGATCGAGCATATCAAAAGTCGACGGATGTTCATAGACTAGAGTTGATGCCGAGGACCCAGGGCTCAGACTTGAACTGTGAGCTGGGCTTGTAGGCACTTTGAGCTGATCATAGGTACACACTACGCTTGCTCTTTGACAATTGGCGCATATCGGACGACCTTCATCACACTTCACGAGTTGCTGATCAGCAACCAAAATCTCACGTTACACAGGGCCAGCTTACTTTGATGTGTCTCTTCTTGCAATGAAGGCACCCGCTACGCGATTTCCTGTGAAACCGGCGGGAAGACATCGGAGCCCTCGCGTGGGGTTTAAAGATTTTGCGGGCTTCTGGGAACAAACGCCAAAGTCGATGCTCACAGGGCTACGTTTCTGTTCGAGTGTGAGAGAACATGCTTGATGTTCGATACGATATGCGCATCATCGGGCGAACCCAACACTCCGGAGGCAGAAGCCGTTACCAAGACCCGCGCATCCCGCCCAGGCCAAATTTGTCGCACAGACTCGCACTGTTCTAGGGTTTGGCTGTCATTCGTGCATAGAAGGAACGCGCGCCGCGCATCCCTCGACTAAGCGACAGCCTCTGACGGCGGATTTGTGGCTAATTGGCATGGCTCAATTTGCAAATTCCATACGAATCGCGATCTTGGCTCCGGTCGTACGAGGAACGCTTTACGAGAAACGCTTCGTAGCTCGTTTGCCAGCGCGCTATCTTCAACGAAACGGCAAAAAGGATAGGCAGGCGTCGAGATGCAATGTCGCAATAATTAATTGATGGTCCTTTTCTAGGCAGGCCAGCACATCGCTTATATCACAACCCTCTGACCCCCCGCCGCGTGTGTTTGTGGTTTCCGTTTTCGAGTCTTCTTCCTGCAGCTGACTCTGTCCAACCTTTGTTTTCAGCCCAGTCGTCATAGCATAACGACGCTGCATTGTCGTCGCGACTGTCAACATGGCACGCGGCTATTGTACACATGTCACACCACAATGCCCTGTATCAGCAACCACCTATGGATACCGGCCTAATCTAGGAGGGGACATATTCTTCTGTGTCGTCTTTGGACTTCTCTTCCTCGCTCAGCTGTTCCTTGGAATCAAAGCTCGTCTGAAGGGCTTCACCTTCGCTGTCAGTGTTGGATGTTTTGGAGAGAGTGTCGGCTATATTGGCCGACTGATCATGCACAACAACCCATGGAGTCAAACGGGTTTTAAGATTCAGATTGTCTGTCTGATTCTATCGCCATCTTTCCTCGCTGCTGGAATCTACCTCACGATTAAGCATTTGGTCATTCACTTCGGCCCTCAATACTCTAGACTGAAGCCCAACCTCTACACCTGGATCTTCATCTCTGCCGATGCAGCTAGTATTCTTGTTCAAGCTGCCGGAGGTGGCATTGCCGCTGGCGAGCAGGAAGATTTGATCAAAATCGGAAACTCAATCATGGTTGCTGGTATCTGCGTCCAGGTTGCTACCATGTTCCTTTGCGGTGTTGTCGCCGTAGACTTCTTCTTCCGCCGCTGGAGATCCCGTGAGGCTCAAAACAATCTTGACGACCCGATGACTCGCTCAACCCCTGGCTTCAAGTTCTACGTTGGCGCCTCGACTCTCGCCTTCGTCACCGTCTTCATTCGTTCCGTGTACCGTATTCCTGAGATGGTCGGTGGTTGGGGTAACCCTTTGATGCAGAACGAGAATGAGTTCCTGATTCTCGACGGAATGTACGTTGTCATTGTTAGACGAATATGGAGAAGCATGTTTGCTAACACTAAAATCAGGATGGTTTGCATCGCCGCTATTGCCCTCACAGTCGCCCACCCTGGAGTCTTCTTCCCCCAAATCAAGGAACACAAGCTCTTCAAGAAGGAAAAGAAGAGCAGAAAGGAGAAGAAGGCTGAGAAGAAGGCCGAGAGGGAGGAGAAGGCTGGACTGGAACTGTCGAGCAGTGGTGACAGTGTCTAAAGAGATGGTTTACGATTATTTTTTTCCTATACCCCTTGATGCGTATCGTCCTTTTCTAAAGTAATGAACATAGCCTCTGAGTCTGCGATACGGCAAGAATTCTTTGAGTTCCAATGACCAACACCCTGAACTTTGAACTATGGACAACACAATCTCAGTAAGGCCAAAGCAAACATCCACACCGATCCCATACAATCTCTCCAAGCAAGCCGAACAACTGGCGGAACATCTCCTCAAACCAGAGAACCACAATGATAAGGCAGAGAAGAGGATAGAGTCGCTTATCAAAAGTAGATCCACGTGGGAGGTACTCAGGGGCCTCGTCTTCTGCCAACAAGTCGACATCAACGACATCAGACGGGTTGACACCAGTGATGCAGGCACGGCAGTATGGTTTGCCGTTTCGATCAGTCTGGCCGACGACTCTCACATGCTGGAAATGCTGGGGAAGATACAGTGTGAATGGCAGTGTGTATGTAGTAGTCGAAGGTAGGAGGATGTACGTGAACGGCAGAGCTTCGGGGGTTTTGGTGACTTGAGAGTTGGCGTGGTCGTCGAGGTGTTTTGCAAGTTTTTGCGCACTGCTGAAAAGACGTACTTTCTTGAGGATATGGTTATTGCCCTCGTGCATGAAGCTTCCAGTCCACTTTCCGGTACCGTACGCGAAGAAGCTAGGGTGCCAATCGTTGGACGGATGGAAGACAAGATATTGAGCTTCGTCGGAATTGACCTCGGCAGGGTACTCGTCAGGATGCATGCACTGCTGCACGTGTTGCAGGACAATGAAGTTGTACACTGCTTCAGCAAACAGGCGTTGATGATTGAGTACTCCTTGGCTTGTGATATTGGTGTTGAGGATTTGTAGACTGGCAGATACCTTCTGTACATGCTTGTTCAGGTTTCTCATGATGCGTGTCATGGCGAAGGTAGCCAGAGAAATCGCAAACACCGTGAATAGCAGGATAAGCGTGAACATCTCAAAGGCCTTAAGTAGAGACTGGGAGGCCACTTCTGTCATATGCTGGAACGATTTGCACGCCTCATGGATAGTTTCCGGATCAAGAGAGTTCAGTTGCTTGTTGACGGCGATGAAGAAGTCGTCCGCTTTCCAGCCTAGCATGGATTGTCCCATGGTAAAAGACGATCAGATTGATGTTCAGCGTATGGGTGAGTAGGCTGATGGATTCTCCTGTTGGCAGGTCTGCGGATGGGTTGGAGGGGTATATGCAGCGGCTTCTTTTGAGAGATGCGACACTTCAGCGACGAGTCAGTGAGACAGCGGCAAACGCAAACGGAGAGCTGTCGATCGATTGTTTGTTTGGTCTCAGACAATCAATCACGGCCGGGTCGGTTGTTTGCCATCCTCTCTCTGACGGTGGAATAATAAACTGCACCGGCAATTCCAGCAACACCTACTGCCAGAAACGCAGCTCCATGGAAAGCAGGTTTGAAGAGCCCTTGTTCCAGCAATCGCATGTTGGAGAAGTACCTAGTAGTGCCATAGGCGATGCTACCAGCTCCACTTCCAAGCAAAGCACCCACGAGAGCGTCTGACTTGTCATTGTGCGTTTGATGGTCATGAAAACGCCGTTTGTGCTTAGTTGGCAGAATCTCGGCCAGGTCGAGTTGATTGAATCTCTCAACTCCAATTCCAAGCGCTAGGAAACCAAGGCCAGTACGCATCCATGCTAGATAGGTTCGTTCCGATGCTAGATGATCGCGAGCGGTCGACCCGGTGTTCTTGAATACAGGTGTGCTGAACCTTGAGAAAAAGGACATGATGGTGATGAGTATGCTGCTATACTCTTTGAAGATTCCAAGGCACTAGCGTACAACAGCAGTGGATATCTAGTGGTGCTGATGCTCAGGAGTGAAAGATGTTAGAGAAAAAGATAAGAAGACTGATGCCGATGAGAACCGAAGGAAGTCGCAGCCGGGAGATAGAAGCTCAAGCCGAGGGTGATGGTATGCTTGGCACGAGCTTCGATTTATTTCGATAGAAGCAGCATGTCGTCGACCGAACATCGATGAACCGTCGCACGTTCTTAACGTGGGTGCTGCCCTGCTTCGCTGTCATCTTCCTTGCGATGCAGCTCTTCAGATACTTTCCACGCGCCCGACTGACCAGCCTAGCTGAATTGCACCGACCTGCCTTCAATCCTTCCTTCTCGCAGCCATACACTTCTTCTGCTCCGAACGACAACATGGCAGACCCCAATCCCCAATCGAATGACCAACAGGACAAGAGAGATCAACCTTTGGGTTTGCCCGAACCTCCTTCTGGTGGCATTCAACTTGATGTCAACTCTGGCGAAGGCGTAGCTCTTGATCACCTTGGCCCTATGGTCGTCAACAAGGATGGCACAATCTCTAGAATCACCAATTGGGACAAGATGGCCGAGATTGAGAAAAAGAACACTTTGAGGATTTTGCAAAAGAGGAACAAGCAGCGTCTGGATGCTCTCAAACAAGCCAACCTGGACACTTCACAAGATGCAAACAAGTCATGATCAACCCACGCCCACAAGTCCGTACCTTCTGGAACGTCAGCCTTGACTCGCACTATCGAGCAGTAGGCTTCTGCGACATCTCCCTGTTCCATGGAGCTGCACACGAGATCTCCTCATAACCATGTCTCTGGCTTTACAAAAGGTCATATGAGCTGAGATGTCATTCGCATCCTCTTGAGCTTGCAGTCCAATATCTGGCCACGTCCTATATATTGATCATCTCGCGTATAATGTTCAAATTGCGCTCAAGATTTTTGTTCTACCGAATGTCGAACAATACACTCGCACTTTGTCTGACAAGCTAGATGTCATAGACCTTCAAGTGACCAAATGGTTGATTTGACAGACTGTTCTGTCAATTCAATGAAAATATCCTGCACTTCAAGTGAACTCGCATGAGCATCGACTCGGTGTACGCAATGTACAGGCAAGGTCTAAGACCGTCTCTCAGCTGAATCACGTCAGGAGGCTGCATGAAATATCCTTGCTGAAAAGCAATGCGATAAGAAGGTTAATTAAGTGCGAACGAGTAGCATGCTTCAATGCAAGCCGTATGCAGTCAGCTCCAGCTTCAAGCGAGCTTGTATACAGAGATCTGCCACGCCAAGTCTTTGTCCTGCACCTCACATGCTGCAGTGTCTTATCACGCATTCGATTTGTGCTGCCCGGCATAATCCAATCATGTCCAACCCCTACAGTACTGCTCTGAAACTACTTATCTGCAACCTTCCTCTCGATTTCCCAAATTTGCTGCTGATGCTTGCTCTTTCGTCTTTGATTCCAAATATCGTTGAGCCATCTTGTAATCACAATGACCACGTCCAAAGATTCAGAGTTGGCCACAGATGTCGCTGCCACGGACCTCGGCTACGACGATCGAGAAGTCTTTACCGATGACAAGAACCATTCAATCCAATATCGTACTCTATCCTGGCCAGCGGCTGCTGTGATCATGATTACCGAAATCGTTACTGGCGGCACTCTGACCCTGCCTCAAGCCATCGCCGTCGTTGGCCTTGTCCCTGGCACTATAATCATTATCTTTTGTGGCATTTGGGCTTTGTTCACTTCCTTCCTGCTCATCGACTTCAAACTCAACCATCCAGAAGTGCACAATATGGGTGATGCTGGATTTATCTTGTTCTCGCCATTTGGACTGGGAGCTGTGGGAAGAGAAGTGTTGAGTGCAGGTACTATCCTTTTTGCTATCACTGGAGTGGGTAGTATGTGTTTGCTTGGGCAGCTTGCTTTGCAAACCTTGAGTCAAGGTGGAATGTGTGCGATGTCTTATCTTGGTATCTGGACATGCATCACCTTCCTATTTTCCGTGCCGAGAACTTTTGGTGGTGGTTTGCAAGGCTTTTCCGTTGCTGCTTGCATCTCTGTCTTGGTCGCAACGTTGATAGCTATGATAGGTAGTGGTGTGGAACCGACACCTAACCGTGTGGTTGTTGCTACGGCTCCCAACTCGTTTTATACAGCATTCTTGGCCATCACCAACCCAGGTAAGAAATGTTGTACAGAAAGAAAGAAGGCAACTGCTGACCTTTGACTGTAGTGCTTGCATATGCTGGACATTTCCTGTTCTTCACCATCATATCCGAAATGAAGGTCCCTAGAGACTCCAAAAAAGCAGCGTGGGCACTTCAAGTTTTCAGCACGGCATGGTATACTATCTTCGCGGTTGTAAGCTACTGTTATCTGGGCTCGACAGTGCAAAGCCCCTCATTTTTAAGCCTGTCAGAGACTTGGGCCAAAGCAGCTTGGGGATTGTTCCTACCCAACATATTGGTTGCTGGAGCTTTGTACAACCACTTTGCTGCCAAGATTGTGTTTGTGAGAATATTCCGAGGAAGCAGGCATTTGATCGAAAACACAGTACTGGGATGGTGTGTCTGGATATTGCTGCTCGCGATTGTGAGTGCTTGTGGATTCGTGTTGGCAACTGGTGTTCCGGTATGGCTATCTTTCTTTATTCTGCCGTACGAAGCTGACGGAAGAAACAGTTCTTTTCCTACCTGGGCGGTATTGTGGCATCTGCCTTTGCATCGTGGTATACGTATGGCCTTGCTGGAGCTTTCTGGTGGCACGATACACATTATCTCGGAGATGGCTGGAGGTCTGTGAGGAAGAAATGGCCCATGTTCTTGCTATGCTTTGGTACATTGGTGTTTGGTGGCTTCATTTGTGTTGGAGGACTTTACGCGATCATCAAGTCGTTGATCGAAGCCTATGCTTCTGGTGCTGTCGGACATCCCTTTACCTGCTGATCGTCTTTATACGCAATATCCAGATCATATCTATTTTCGCTGCGGTATCCAGACTTTGAGAGGCGAACACACCTTAAGGATACAGTTCTATGCACCTTTGATTCAACATTTCGTAGGCCATGCTGTTGTTCATAAACGTGACAATGATATAGGAATCCGTGTTCTCAGGCAAGTTTTGTCGAGCGGCAGTGTTCGGGTACACTTTCCATATCCCAACGATTGGCCAGCAAGTGAAACCAGAATCGGAGCTGCTCATGTCGGTGTCCGTTGGAGCAGAACATTTCTCTCTCCTCCATCTCTTTAGCTTGTTTCTCCTTGAAGACATCATCAGTCCTGATTGTTTGTAAGTCATCTCTTGGGACCATGTCGTCCAAGTCGCCATCGCGGACGTGCCGGAAGCAAGATAGAGCTCGAGCTCGGGCGAGCCCTGGCCTAAATCGAAACTTGCCTGGCCACGGGCCAAGCCGAAGAGGCATCATAGCGAGATGCGCTGGCAACGACCAGGTTCTTGCTGCTCTTTGAAGCCCAAGGCAGATCCTCTGTCAACTTGCCTTCGGCCTTTACCAGTCAATTGGGTCCAGGTATATCCATGCTGCATAACCACATCTGAATCGACGCAGACTTGCGAGTGTTCGAACTTGTTGAGCAGATCGAACAAGCCTCCGCACTGTACTCCCCAGTCTCGGCCATCCACAGGGCCACTGCGTACACGCCTGCTGCAGTGTCACAAATCCACATATCCTTCTGAAATCTGATCGTTAGAGTCTGTGAATAGTCAAAGGACCATGAGCCGGAGTTTGATGAGTCAGGTGTTCTTGTTCCGATTCAGATCTATTCCAGCCCCGGCATCATCGCCCTTCTCAAAGCCGGTCTTCGAATCCGCACTTGAAACACTACCAGGTCGCACCTTCTTTGACTTCAAACGACACTGGACAACAGACTCGACAGCAGATCAACTTGCCTCATTCGTCGCAATCATTGGAATTGGACTGTGTGATTGACAGCAGGAACTACCGGCGCATAAGCTCCAAGTTGTCTAAATATATCGAGGCTTCAAGGTGCGTTTGTCTTTCCTGCGGTTACGACCGTGCTCTGCTTCCCAGCCATGCATGTTTCCTGCCACTTCGATTTACCAAGTCTGCTGCTCATATCCAGCCCCTCGAGCAATAATCATTATCCCTGTTTGACAAAGCGCTGTCCGGGTCACAAATCATGCTCCGGTCCAGTTCCTATGTTCTGCAATTGCTGGCCCGCTTTTTCTGCCCAAACCTTCTTTCATGTCTTTGCACCAAGTCGTCATACATACTAAGGATTGCAGTAGAGGCAGTCTAACGTCGATACAGCATCTGTACACGTACCCGTACAGGTTTGTGGCTTGCGACACAAGAAGTTTAGGCTTCAGCCAAAGGAATTGAGCGGCAACGGTCAAAGTAGCGGCTCTGGATCCACTACCAGCCTTCAAACTGTCGCATCAACGGCGCAGTTCTTTTGACGATCCTCACGACTCCCACGACCCATTGGTATTGTCGCAAAGGCAGCAGCGACGAGCCCAAGACCAAAGCAGCTTCAGTGCGTCGTCCCGGACGTCTACATCCTCGGATCGTACTGGTCCAAGGCCACGCCGAGACCCACGAGCAAACGATTCAAACGATCCTCAGTCCCGTGCGACCAGGCACAGCTCCCCTTTATCCAGAAGCGCAAACGTGAACCCTCCCGAACCACGAAGCGCGCAACAACAATCGACCCTGACATATCTTCAAGATTTCGAACCTCATCCAGCCGTTCGCATCTCTCGCCGTCAGCACTTTGCGATTCTCTACGCAGTTGAAGAAGCTATCCGAACACCATACCCATTCACACCTGTACTGGAAGAAGAGCAGGAGCAAATGTCAGATCTTATGGGCGACAGTAGCCAGGGTGGCGGCCGGTCCGCACCCTCAATACGCACGCCTCGCAACATAATGGCAGATCGTCTTGCTAGAGAGGCCAGAAGACACGCAGAAGCAACTCGTCAGAGAGAAGGCGAACAGAGATCGTCAGACCCTGAGCGCAGAAGAGCCGCCGCTGCTGCCATGGAGTCTATGGCCGGACCCGATCCTGCGCCATCATCGGCTCGCGTCTCAGAGGCTCCTCGAGGTGAAGCACCTTCTAGACAACGATCTCAATCGCAGTCAGCACAACAAGTTCCCAAGGGCCAACCTACCTCTGGACACAGAAGATCTCAAACCACCTCACAGCCTGGACTACGTGTGTCTTCAGCTCCTGACCCTCCTCAAACCACTCAGTCCCGAGATTTCGAATCAGAAGACGTACCTCAGTCGGGCACACACTCGTCATTTCCGCATGCATTCGAGAGATGGGAAAACTTGTCGTCGCATTGGGAGGGACTCACATCTTATTGGCTTCGCAAAATCGAGGGCAATTTCGAGGAGATTCGCCATACCATCCCGTCTGCTGCTTCTATGCAACGTCAAATTCAAGATCTCTCAGCAGCTGGCGCCAATCTTTTTCACGGCTTGGTCGAGTTGCAACGCCTTCGCGCCAGCTCTGAGCGCAAATTTAAGAGATGGTTCTTTGAGATGAGGGCTGAGCAGGAGAAGTGGCAAGAAGATCGTGCTGATTTGGTTGGCCAAATCAATGCCGAGCGCGATCTCAAAGAGCAAGCAGAACGCACCATCGAGAAGATGCGCAAAGAGGTTCTCCTTGAGAAGAACCGTGCGAATGAAGACCGCAGAGAATTGCTCATCGCCAAAGCCGAAGCCAGACGTGCTTGGGAGAGTCTTGGTGACATGGAAGCCAAGAACTCGGAGATCATGACCAACCTTCGTCAGGGCATTCCTACCAACATTGGCGGTATTCAGGTCGTCCCTATGCACGCTGCCAGCACCCAGGAGCCTGAGCGTCGTCCTACCACTGCCGCCACCACTGGTCAGAATCCCCAGTACCACCAGGTCAGATCGCAACAGCCTCAACAGACTCACCACGTTCAACAACAGTACCAGCCTATCGTTCCCGACATCCAGTATCAGGAGGATGAGCCTTCTCCCACCAACACTGATCCCTTCACCGAGTCTGTTAGAGCTGGTCAGCAACTCCACCACGAGCCTGACATGCAGCAGCTCGAGTCCGATGCGCGCCAGCCTTACCCTTCGGGCAGCACTCCCGCTTCGACTTCCACTGCTCGTACTGCCATCTCGCCTCGTCAACAACACCGTGACATCTCTCCTCATGAAGTCTCACCTCTTTCTCCTAATGTCACTACCACTCGTCCTGTCATTCAACCTAGCCAGGCGGCCACCTCAGGTCCGCTCGGTGACCAGCCTGAACTCTTCTACCAGCAGCCTCCTGCTAGGGTGTTCCTCCACTCTTCGCCTGGAAGCGGTACTGCACGTTCCAAGACCCCTGTAGCTGAGGCTGTACAAGGCACTCGCGATCTGGGCTCGCGTCCCTCGTACGAGTCTGATACCACCGAGGGCACAGAGTATGAAATTGACGAGCATGGCGCTGTCCGTCGTGATGCTCAGGGCCGCCCTGTAGTCTATCGCCCTAATCGCGGCGCCGGTCAAAGCACCAGCCACGTTTCTTCCGAAGAATACGACACTGCTGCTGATGTAGCCCGTGAGCGCGAGCTTGCCGCTCGCTATGGTGTGGGCATGCCTCCTTCTCAAATTCCTCGCGCTCCCACTAGCAGTGCTGAGGCTATGGCATCTTTCGCCACCTCAACCGCCGACGACATCGAATCTGCCGGCTACCGTGACGCCGAGCCTGCCGACTATGAGGGTGCAGGTTTTGGCAGTGACTGGGAAGCTCTGCAGAGCAGACATCATCACCCTACTCGTCTCTCGGACGTTCTCGAAGAGGATGAACGCAGTCGCACCACTGCTGAATAGGAGAAGCACACGGATGATACTGACAGCGTCAACCTGGACGGCGTTACCCTCAACAACCCAACCGCCTCGAAGAACGACGGTGCTAGCTGCGATGACGACAGTGACGAGGAAGAAATCATCTTCCGCCCTCGCTCGAGTGATAAGCTCGGTTGAGTAAGGTCGACATCCCTACTCAACAACGACACGATAATTTCATCGTCTCTTTCTCACGTGACGGCAGTGAGATGAGAGTGTGCTCAGCGTCACTCTTTTGTACTAGCCCGACCTCACGAATTTCATCTTTTCACTGGTTTTTTCTTTCTTTCCTTGCATTTCCTCAAAACGCATGCCGTTCTTCAGCAAAGCGCGGCGCCCAATGGAGAGCTTTAGGTGGTGGTAATTACTCTTTGCATACTCGGGATGGTTCTCTTTTCACGACTTCGGATGATGGGGTGGGAGAAGGAGAAGCGCAACCAACGACATCACGCATCGCAAAAATCGCATACACACACACATATGGGCTCTAAATTTCTTCCCCTGCACGTTTACCTTGTCTTCATTTTCTTCTCTTCATAGTTTTCTCGTTTCTTCCTCTTCTGGCTGAGGTGGTTGCTTTCTTCGAGGGTGCTGCTGATGACTCGCCCTTTCTATTTTCCTCTCCTGGCTGAGGTGGTTGCTGCCACCGATGACTTGCCCTTTTTCTTTCTGTCTTCAATTCCCAACTCTTCTCTTCGCTCTGGGTACTTCTTGCAGACTTGATGTTATCCCTTTTTTAATGAGCTCCTTCTTCTTCTTTTCTGTAGCGAATACTTTGCTTCTTCTCTTCACTTTCTATACCCAAATGCTTTTACTTCTTTGCTTCGCTATTCAAAGACTTTGTATTCGAGTTATTATATGAAAAGTTGTTTCTATAGACATATGAGTGCATTTTGTTATTCTTGCTGGTCTCTGCGCGTGTGATTTTGATTGGCTGTCATTGTTTTGGTCTTATGGATGTGCTAGTAGACCCGAAAGGCCGAGAAGCACTTTATGTTCGTAATCCTGGTTGGGAGAATCATGAATCGAAGGCGAAAGAAGCATCTCTTGTATATTGTGCTGTACATCCAATATACCCACTCAAGAAAATCATGTATCCTGGCTTTCCAAAAATGCTGTCCCAAAAAATGCATATCTCATTATCATAACTGCGAACAGCTGAGCCAAAAGAAACATCTCTATCTGTCTGCCCAAAAAAAAACTTCTTACAAAGTATACACAAACTCTGGATTCTCGCGATCGGTGAGATCCAACCATTCCTGATTCTCCAACTTGACGTAAGAGGGTGAAGCACGGATAGCAGCTCTCTTTTTGTTTTGTCGCTTGCAGTACCAGTAGATGAAGAGGATGTCGACGATGCAGGCGGCCCAGCATACAATCTGTGGAAAAAGTTAGTGAGTATGCAACAGGTACAGATGGGAAAGGGGCAAGCTTACAATAACAATCTCAGCAGGAACATATCGTGGTGCATCTTTCGGACGGAAAGTCTGAGGACCGATGATGTTGCCTGCACAGTAACCGATCAAGTATAAGGCAGCTACGGTTGTTTTCTTCGTCCATCCGGCTACGTTCGTGGAGATTAGACTGAGGAGAGCGACGAAACAGGTTGGTGAGGCTTGAGTGAGGTAATAACCAAATAGACGTCCGATGTTATTGTGGAGAGGCAGGCAGACGATCAAGAGCATTCCTAGGATGGAGATCCAGAGGCCGGATGTTGCGACTAACAAGCGGTTTCCGAAGCGATCGCCGAGGTATCCGCAGACGAGGAGAGCGATTACTTCGACGGCGCCGCCGGGTGTACCGTAGAGGAGAGATTCTTCTGCTGTGTAGCCGAAGGATGTGATCAGCTGGGAGAAGAAGTTAGAGATGCCGCCTAGGGTGTCGAGTCAGTGATTATGTATGCTTCAGGTATAGGCTATTTCGCATACCATTGGGAATATCAGCGACCAAAGCATAGAAGAAGAATGCCCAAGTCAGAGGATCCAGAAGCGCTTCCTTGAGCTGATACATTTTGAAATGCTTGTTTCCGATACCTTGTTGGTTGCATCTGACACGCTCAATAGCGAGGACTCGATCTTCCTTGCTAAGGAAACGTGCATTGAGCTGACTGTCTGGAACAACCCAGAGAAAGATAAATCCGACGCAGATTGTCAAGCATCCAGTGACCAAAAAAATGATCTTCCAGGGCTCAATGGCGGAGCCGTGGAGACGCGTACCTTTTGCGATGCCATAAGCTACCAAACCGCCGAAGATTTGTGCGAAGCCGTTGAAGGAGAACCAGATACTTGTGCGAGAACCTTGCTCTTTCTTAGTGTACCACTAGTGATAATCAGCACCTTGCGCAAGATGGATACAATGAGACTGTGGCATACCTGAGATGTCAACAGGGCAAATCCAGGTGTAACAGCAGCTTCAGTAACTTGAGAAATATTAGCTGTGTATTAATTGTTGATCCAAGGAATTGCAACATACCTCCAAGCATAAAACGCACAGCGACTCCGCCTGAAAAGTCCTTGACGGCAGCAAATGTGCTCAAAGTCATGCCCCAGAGAATGATGTTGCAAGCCGAGTATTTTCCCAATGGTAGCCGTTGCAGTAATCTGTTTGTTGGGTATTCCCAGGCGAGGTATCCGAAGTAGAACCTGATCGTCTTAGTTTTCGTGCCTGTTGCCGATAGTGTGGTTCATCTCTTACATTGAACTCAGCCATTGGTAGTCAAGTCCTTCTAGGTGTGTGTCTTTTTTCAATCCCATGACGGAAGCATAGGAAAGTGTCGTCTTGTCCAGGTAGTTCAGTCCATAGACGATGCACATGACCTGCATTATGATCAGTCCATGTTGTTTGTGTCTCCAGAATATGTATGCGTACTGGCATCAGGTTCCAGTCAATCTTCCGTAATAGACGCTTGTTGGTGGCTTCGTCGAGTTCAATGACCTCTCCCTGATGTGAAGCGAAGGCCTTCAAGGCCTCATCTGCATCTCCAGCATGTTGTAGGATAGCTTTGTCTACACTGCCATTACGTATAGCATCTGCGAGAGGAGCAGGAAGCTCCTTCTCAGCATCAAATGGAATTGCTGGCTTCTCGAGATCAGACATGTTGACTGGGAGAGATGCGACACAAAGGGGATAGAAAAGAATAGGAAAGGCCTTATAGAGGCGGATGCATGGCCAAAGTTATATTTGATCGGACAAGGTTCCACTGATAAAGTACATAGATACCGGCGAGCAGAGCGGATTATCATAACCCCTTGGAGTTACCTTATGCTACGCTGCCGTTAGATAGGCACGGCGGAATAGCCAATCGAGCTTGACAGATCTGCATGCTGCGCGTGGAGAAGCAGCATGCCATGATCCTACGATGGAACATCTCACGGCCAAGCTTATACCAAGTTGGGAAGGAGGCTTGTCGACCTCTTGCCCGATGCTTGGCAAGCCGCGGGGTCCTTCTTGCTTTTGTTCGTGTCGACCCCAACTTTGTTGGCAACACAACAACCACGACATCTTCATCTCCATCATCATCGTCCATCATCCAGGACGTTTATCATTAGTGAGTAGACAGAAGCTGTATGTTTTGAAAGGTACAGTGATCGCTTACTCCTAATCAGAAGCACGGCACTTCTTCCAGAGCATCACTTGAGCGTCTCGGAGTCATCAATTCATCCATCAATCCATCGATATCATCAGTTCCACCATCGAAGTTGTTGCTTTCCAACTCTCTCATCCACAACGCAAAGCTAGACATGCATCTGTCACTTTACTTCGCCGTCCTTCTGGCCAGTCTCCTGCAAATCGTAGCCAGCAGTCCGGCTCAACCCTCATCGAACCACAACCTTCGTCGTGATGACCTTGACCCTGACTGGCCTTACTCCATCATGAAGTCTGGCAAAGATTTCAGCGCCTCACAAGCACTCGCATGGCCTGATTAGAACACGGTCAGCTTGATGCTTGCTCCCTACGTCAATATCGAAGCTTTTATGAAAGAATGGAGATCCCGTGCTCCTTCCACTCATCGCGGTTTCGGTAATCAGTCTTCGGCAGCCATCACTTCCCACAGTAAATCTTCAGCACTACTCGCCATCAACAGAAACCCTCAAGATTGGGTTCCCTTCCCTAGCCATGGTGGTCCTCGGCCACTCGTCTCTGCTCGCTATAACAAGGATGCAGCCAGGATTTGGGGAATTGGTCTCGGTATCTTCGGTGGTGTTTTCCTGATTCCGTTAATCATCGCGTCATGCCTCACGATTCGCTACATCCGGAAGATGCAACGCCAGGCTAGCGAAGAGGCACCAAGAGACATGACATTGGAGCAAGTACCAGTCTTGCAAACTTCAGCCCAGTCTCCCTCGTCACCATCGTTGTCCTCATTCTCTTTGAACGCGTCTTCGCAACATCCGGAAATGCAGGTGAGAGGCACAAATTCACCCAGTGCAATCGACCGTCCTGCCTCCGTCTAGACGTACACCCTTACAGTACTATGGTCCGGTGGACAATTTGGTCGATGGTATGATTCTTCCAAATACATCTGGCGGCTTTGCATCTGTAAGTCCGGCCTCTCCGACTGTGAATGCACAATGAGAGAATCAAACTGGTGGTCTTGGAGATCTTTATTGAGTAAAGAACCCTACTTGCTTCAAACGAGAATGCCTACAGAGGCCTACCTAGTACAAATTTTTTTTTGAGAAAGAGGGAGATGTTTTTGGTAAACAGTGAATACAAAAGTTTTACCCAATACTTTTCGTTGATGGGGTTTTTATCCAAATGCGATAAGAAGGGGAGCAACCCTGACTTGACGTATACCCCGCCATGATCACGTCACAGATGTCTTGCTTACAAACACCCGAGTAACCTCGATCTTTTGGTCCAGACAAACAATTTGATCACTCTCTCATGTCCCAGCTACTCACAAGAAGAACACTATCGCTTTCTCGAAATTCCAATCCCAAGTTCCTCCGGACAATTGCCAGAATGAGTTCCTCTTCCGCAGACGCCTCGGCCCATTTCCCCCCACCTGCACTGCGCGATACCCTCAATGAAGTGACCTCGCTCCTCCACTCTCGCAACCAAACCATCGCCATTGCCGAAACCGCAGCAGGAGGTCTACTTTCCTCATCCATCCTTTCCACTCCAGGAGCCTCTAAGATCTACAAAGGTGGTTTGACACTCTACACCCTACCCTCACGAATCGCCTACGCAGGCTGGAGCGACGAAAACATCAAAGGCTACAAAGGACCTACTCCCGAGATTGTCGCTGGACTAGCCAAACATGTGCGAGGAGAACTTAAAGCTGATTATGTGATTGCCGAGTCCGGGACTGCGGGGCCTACTGGTGGAGACACTAGAAACAGAACTCCGGGGTATGTAGCTCTTGCTGTGGATTGTGAGAAGGGGACTTTTACGAGAGAAGTAGAGACAGGATTGGGAGGGGATAGAGTGGGGAACATGGTGAGGTTTGCAGAGGAAGGGTTGAAATTGGTCAAGGATGTTATTAATGGGGATGCTAAGCTGTAAAAGCCTTACAATGTGCCTCTGAGTGCCGGCAGATTGCTTGCAGATGGTGGTATTCTACTCGTCATCATCATCATCGTCGTCGTCTTCTTGGTTCTTCTGGCCTGAGAGCTCGAGGTATTGCTCCATCAAATCCTCAACCATGTCTTCCACAGACTTGAGCTCAATATCAAAAATCCTTTCTGTCTTTTCCTTGCTGAAAACCACACTCTTGGTTTCAATATCTGACGTACAAGGCAACAAGCCTTTCTCAACCTGTTCAGGGAACAAATCCTTAGTGATTGTGCTGACATCATTCCATTGGACTTCCTGCCCAAACAGATATTCTCCAGCAGGGATTCTGTCCTTGTTGAGAGCGGCAATATGAATAGCAGCCACATCCTCAATATGCACCACTGAGGCAATTTCAGCAGGAGAGTCTTTTGGCGCTAGTCCCAATGCCATTCTCAAGAATAGCACGTTGGAGGTGCTCATCAGATCTGCAGGCGAAGTGGCGAGTTCATTGCGTCCTTGCACGTATGTAGGACAGATGTTGACGACGTCGAAGTTTGGCTTGTGGTCTTGCATCCATTGCTGCGACTTTAGGAATGAAGAAGTCTTTGATGCGACGTCTGAAACCAAGACATTGGCGTACGGAGGCGTAATCTCAGTATTGAGATTCTCCTCGGTAAGAACGACGGGTTTGTCCACAGGTCCGACCAACAATTCTGGAGTAATGAAAATGGCGCAGGAAGAACTAATAACCACTCTCTTTATAGAGGCTGACTTATGCGCTGACTGCAAAGCAGAAATGGTATTCGCAATTGTCGGCTCGACCATTTGTTTATACTGCTCTTCAGGGCTGAGAGAGAGATTTTTAAATGGCGCAGGAGAGGCGGAATGAATCATATAATCAGCTCCTGCTGTTGCTTCATCCAAGGCACCTTCGACCTTGAGGTCCGGCACAATGTAAAAGTTGCATCGTGGAGGTCCTCTGGTTAGGGATTTGAAGCATGGGTTGTTGCGCAGAAGATCGGCTTTTGCGGCGGTGCGCACGACAATGCGGATGTTGTAGTCGTATTGCAATGCTTCTTGGAGAATGGCAAAACCGCAGAAGCCAGTAGCTCCCGTAAGCACAAGGGTTTCTGTAGACATGGTTGAAAGAAGAATGTGGTTGCAAAGAAGAAGTATGAATTCAAAACAACAGAAAAAAAAAGCTGGAGGAAGAGAAACTTGACTTTTATTGTTCGTGCTTGTGGGCTGTTCCCTTTCTATCAACGATCTACTAGACTTTGCAACGGTCCTCCTGTTCATTGCAAGTATATGACAGGTAAAACCTGTGGAATCTCCAAGGTCGGCAGTCAATCTGGAACCAATTCTTCGTGCTGGTTGATGGTGTCGCATGCGATAACCGGAGATCGTCAAGCGTTTACGGCGGACCGCTCCAGAATTTCGGACGCCAAGCCAATTCAGCCGTGTGCTCTTGACGCGGAATTTTGCTTCGGAAATTCAATTCGCCAATTGAAGACTGATCGTGGTAGGAACAGGAGACAATGTTTGTCAATGGAAGGAATTTTGAACTTGTTGAGTGGTCTATACGTCTAGTCAAACATCTTGGACATGGCCTTTTGGGCCAACTCGACTCCGAGGAAAGTGGCAGCGTTGGCGGGGACAGCACGAGCCATTGCGGGACCAATACCAGGGAAGAATGCCTTGTAACCTCCTCTTCTGTATAGCTCCTTGATTGTGCCTCCGATGGTAGGGTTGCCTTCTGCTGATTGCAGACGACTCTTGACGGTGTCGACGGGGAAGACGGGAATCCACATGGCAATACCGGCAGCACCACCAGCGGCCATGACGGCAAGAAGACTAAGCTCGCCGGGTGTGCCGTCTGCGTTCTTGGGAGTGAGTTGGCGCTTGACGGTTTCGTAGGCTGCAAAGTATGCTGCTGATCCAGGAGCGTCTCTAGCAAGGGTCATGGCGCTGCCTCTGAAGACGGATCTGATACCACCCTCCTTGTAGAGTTGACGCACGACATCGATACCTCCTGAGTACTTGGGCTTCTCGCCAGGAGCCAATACCTTCTGACCCTGGATCTGCAGCAAGACCTTGACACGCTCGAAGGGGGCGGCAACGGCGGTAGTGGGAACGGCAGAGAAAGCGCCAGCAGCACAGATTTGGCCGGTTGAGAATTGATCGTTGTGTACTGTGCTGAATGACCTGACGAGTTTCTTGCCCAAATCATAGCCCTGTTTTGTGTCAGTCACTGTGAGAGCTCGTTCTAATGAGCGATTGCATCATACCCAGAAGCTGACGGCGACTGTGAGATAGAGTCAGCGATTGCATCTTTCGGAATTGATAAAGCTAGAACTTACACATTGGTGTTACACCAACCAGAGGTGCGGAAACACCGGCATACAGACCCTAGAGCATTGTGAGCGATTGGCGCAGGCGTGACACAGCAAAGCGATGCATACCCTCACGAGACCTTCCTTGGCCACAGTCTTCCTCACGACATCCATGGCACCGCTGTATACACCGGCTTGAGCGGTCTGCAAGCGCACCTTGACCAGATCGAAGGGGTGTCCCACAATGACAGCGCATACACCACCAGCACCGCCTGACACTAGCGACCGCAAACTGGCAAACGTCTCTTTTGTTGCGACAACAGCATCCTGCTTCAGTTCTTCCGCCGACGGCAGGTCGTTGACGCTGGGTACACTTGTTTTGGACATGGTGGATGTGGAGAAGCTGCGGGAGTCAACAGCAGGGGATAGGACTCGGTTTACGAGAAGTCTGGTCTGCAACAGAGGAAGGAACAAGGGGGAGAAGACCAAACAAGAAAGAAGAAACTTGAAGATCAAAAGCCAAATGACAGCGCCGATGATGCTGAGCGGCTTTCTTTACATGTGATGCAACATTTCTCCAACTTTCCCGAGGGGGCCGAAAACAAATCCGGGGAGCCGAGGCTGATCACTGAATGCCGGCCGAATGGACGCCGACTTGGAGCAGCTCCTCCCATACAGTACACGCGGCAACGGATCTTGATGGCTGCCATTCCGAGAGCCGTTGCTCGCTTTCTGTCCGTCTTCTGGAATCAAGTCACGAGCCATTGGTGAACACATGTCGAAAGACCTTAAAGTTCTAATTTTGGTTCATCATGTCTATCTTGGGTTTGTTTAACCGGCCAGCCATCTACTTGATCTCGGCATAGCGAAGGTAGGGCTTGAGTTCGCGGACATTGTTGAACTTCTTCTTTGCGTCCTCGGTCGACACTGAAGGAGGCACAATAACATCCTCGCCAACCTGCCAGTTAATTGGTGTAGCAATGCCCTTCTTGTCGGCAGTCTGAAGCGAGTCGATGACTCTGAGGACCTCGGCGCTGTTTCTGCCAGTGCTGGCAGGGTACATCATGGTCAGACGGACCTTCTTCTGGGGGTCGATGACAAAGACGGAGCGAATTGTGAAGGCAATGGCCTTCTTGGCTGCGTCGTCCAGATCCTCCTGGTTGATCATGTCGTACAAGAAGGCGACTTTGCGATCGTGGTCGGCGATGATGGGGAACTGAAGGTTGGTGTTTGCGATCTCGTTGATGTCCTGGATCCAACCCTCGTGCGATCCGAGGTCGTTGGCGCTCTATCGTACTCTGTCAGCTTTGTCCTGTACCTCCCGAGAGCCTCAATTGCATACCAGGCCAATCATCTTGACACCACGAGCATCAAACTCGTTCTTCAACTTGGCAAAGGCACCAAGCTCAGTAGTGCAGACGGGCGTGTAGTCAGCGGGATGAGAAAACAGAATTGCCCAGCTGTCACCGATCCACTCGTGGAAGGACTTGATGTCGCCCTGATACTGTCAGCGCCTCCCTGGGCCATGAACATCAGACGAACGTACTGCAGTAGTCTTTGCGCTGAAGTCAGGGGCAACAGAACCAAGGCGAATGCGAGGCTGCTCCTGAGTTGTGGCAAGACCACGGTACATGAAAGGTGCAGCTCTGGCACGAGCGGCCAAAGGCTGGCATGCTGATGCACGAGACAGGGCTCTGGGGGCTGATCTGAAGAATGAAGCCATTGTGTATATTTTTTATGAGTTGGTTATACCGGAGTTGTCTGAAGCTCGAGTTCGACACCACAAAACTTCGACCACGTTTACGTCATGTGTTTCCCCGATCTCGGCATGAGCTCTCCAGCTTGAGGCTTCTCCAGAGATCTTTGTTGTTGCACAACAAGAATCACATCTTTCTTCTCGGTCCTGCTCAGAAGGAGTCCGCTGTCAAAGTCATACTTGATCTCTCGTCATGGTCAATGTGCAACAGAGATGCGGCCAAAAGGCATAACACGAAGACGGAAAGGAGTACAGTATGAGCGGAATTCCTCCGTACCTATCAAGGTGGGACTGTGGGGAGGTTGTAAACACAAGTAGCTACCCCGCGGCAGTTCCTAATACGGTCCTCGGCCAAGTACACCTTACTGTCTAGGCCTATCTCTCTTTCTTCCTCTTCTCAGTCTCGATCTTCGTATCCTCATCCTCCAGTCCAGATCAATACTAAGAATCTATCTCTGTCTTTCCAATGGCTGCACAGAAAGTTGCTCTGATTACAGCTGGTACAGCGGGCTTGGGTGCTGCCATTGCTCGTGTCCTAGCACCGGACTTTAGAGTGGTAAGTCCCATACCATCGTAGCAGCCTCTCCATTCCTGATCTCTTCATAGGTGATCAACTATGCAAACAACAGCTCTCGCGCCGAGGACGTCCTCAAAGAACTCAACGCCATCCCCAGCACCGTCTCTTCCAAAGATTCCCCCCGGTTCCACGCCATAAAAGCAGACATTGGCAACCGCGAGGCCATCACCTCTCTCGTCCAAGAAACAATCTCCACAATGGGTCGTTTAGACGTCGTAGTCTCCAACGCTGGCTACACACGCCTAACAAACTTTATGAACTTTGACGAACAGCATTTTGACGAGGATTGGGATAAATGCTTTTTGTACAATGTTAAGGCACATATGTGGTTGGCGTATGCAACAAGAGAACACCTTGAGAAGACTGAGGGTGCTTTTATCACTACGTCGAGTATTGCTGGTGTCAAGCCTTCGGGGAGTTCGTTGCCGTATGCTGTTACCAAAGCCGCGAGTATACACTTGTCAAAGTGTTTGGCCAATATCTGCGCTCCGAAGATCAGGTTCAATTCCGTCTCTCCTGGCTTGATGTTGACGGAGTGGGGAATGAAGTTTTCGGAGCAGAAGAGAGAAGCACACAAGAACAATACCAAATTGAAGAGGTTGCCGGAAGTTGATGTAAGTTTAACTGAAGTGTCGAGCCTAAGGGAGCTAGTTGCTGACTGTCAATCTAGGATGTCGCGGAGCAGGTACGAGTGCTGGCTTTGTCAAGAAGCATGACAGGACAGAATGTTATCATCGATTGTGGTTTGACATGTTGAAGATGGTTATTGAGTTTTGGGAAGAATCGTGTGGTAAGTTCGCATTGAGATCTCTGTTCCTATGAACCCTCTATGTATATGGCGTCTAGTCGATCTAGAACTACAAGACCTTGCCGAGATCAGTGGCATCAACATTTCCTCCTTTCATCTCAAACACGTTTTTGCTTTCGCCCTCAATACTTCTGTCTGTACTCATATCTTCGCCCTCCAGTACTTCTAGAGAGTAGATCGATCTCGGAATCAACGACTCCTTCGCGGGGAACACCTTACTCAAAACTGTATAGACAAAGATGCTCGATACGAAGCCATACAGCCAATCAAAAGAGTAGAGGTGCTTGGCTCCCGCAGAGATATCGCTGGCGTTGATCGAGTTTGCAAGACCTGGCAGATTGGGACAGACGGCTATAAGGAATGCGACCAGACCTTGCCAATTGATGCCATAGATATATCTGTAGCGTCCATGTGGGTCGTAGAGAGCTGGCAAATCAATGTGACGTCGCTTGACTAGCCAATAATCGGCTGCCATGATGCCTGAGAAAGTGTCAGCAGATGTTTCTTGACGCTCGATGGGTTGCAGCACTTACCAGCCATAGGAGCAAGGAAAACTGAGTAACCAGACATGAAGGCGAGGAATGTTTGCGCATTCTTCAGAATCTTCCATGGCACCATGACCCAACAAGACACAACGGCAGCAATGATACATCCACGTCTGATGTTGATGTACTTTGGCGCCATAACACAAAGATCATTAGCCGCAGAGATGGAATTGCCAGTGATATTCGTTCCCACTTGAGCAATGAACCAACTCAATGCAGCAAAGAATGCCGCTGCCCTTCCAGCATGTCCGTTCTTCAGCCATTGTTCCACAATGTTCAAAGGGTTCCAGTAGAATTCGCCATAGACCACCTTGGATGCTGATGTTGTGATGACACCAAGAACACCACACAAGGTAAATAGAATAGGTAAAGCTGGCAGCTGGACATATTGCGCATGGTTTGGTTTGCCATCAGGACGGGCTTTGGCGTAGCGCGAGAAGTCGGCCACGTTTACTGCGAGAGTTGCCCACACTCCTGTCACAGAAGACATGCAGCTGAGCCAGAGGTAAGCCTTAGCTTCTCCTGTCACCGTTCCTGGTTGTGAGAAGATGGCACCGCTGCCACCGGCTTTGTGCACCATGTATCCAAGAGTTGCGATGGCTGTGACAGGAGCTGCGATCATTTTGACAATGAACAGGTAGCGTAACTGGGTAGGCGGGATGAGTAGCATAGGAAGTTGGATAATCCAGAAGACGAAGTAAGCTATCATGCCGGCTGTGCTGATGCCACCACTCTCAGGAAGCTGTCCAAAAATCAGTAAGACGTACCGTAGGAAGTTCAAGATCATCGGCCTTACTGTATTGTTCCGTCCATTCCAATCGTAGGAAGCGAATGATGGCCAGATTGCCATGATCATGATCTGCATGGCGAGCGCACCATTCGCGCTCTGTATGCCCAGCCAAAACATGGCCAAGATACATCTTGATGCAATGCAGAAGTAGGCAAAGTAGTAGCCAAATCCGGAACGAACGATGACACTGAATGGAACATGAAGTTGAGCACCCATGGCTCCGTTGAGGACGACTGGTACGGCAACGCAAAAGCAACCGACGACCATGATAGGGATAGCATCACGCCAAGTTAGGCCAACTTGGATGATTGAACTGGCTGTCTCCCAAGTACCCAAGTTGATAACATCGGTTGCCCAACTTTGTTAAGCATCAGCTATGTGCACACATTGGACATGGCGACTCCACTTACTATGCTATCCAGGTCCACATGCCCCAAGTCTGGTCTGCGATAGGTACAGGGTCCATATCTTTGTTGGTCCAGACATCTTCGGGGGCAATTGTCGATTCTTGCTTTGGCAGGGCCCAGGCCTCAAGAGATGTGCATCGTTTTCGGATTGTCTCCTTCGAAGGAAAGACCGCTTGTGGTGAGAATTTCACAGTCATTGCTGCGACTTACTGCGACTTACTAAAGGAAGGGGCAATGCTCAAGAGGAAGGCGAGGATACTTAACTTATGTAGCAGTCAACGTGATATCTCCGTCAACATCCGCATATCATCCAGTACTACAAACCGGGATCGGACGGTATATGTAGTCCTTATCTAAAGTCTGTTAGGCTGTCTACAATATACAACGATGTCGACTCCAAGGAGTATTACCCCTCATCCTCGTCAACACTTACACAGGAATCAGAGCCGCGAACAGGAACCGAGCGATAAGCCCATTGCTTATCTAGACTTTACTCCATCTACTCCAACGGGGTCTGCCCCTAGTTCTCACGATGGAGAAGGTGGGGAATGCTTATCTGAAAGGCTTGTATTTTGGACTCTTCCTTTTGCTCGACATGTCAAAAACGGTCGAGCCCGTGGCCCAGGAGTCCGGCGTTCGCTTGATACAGCAGCACGCAGCTTTATGTCACTCGCATGTGTTGACAGAATCGAGAGTAATTCTGTTGGACTTGAGAAAACGATCTGCTATCTGTCGATAGCTGTTGCCAACGCATATGGAAGTGACAGACTCGTTCTCAATTTGTCGCGTTCGCAAAGATCTCTTTATGTTAGACGACCTCTTCAACCCAACTAACTTGCGGCAATGATGCCGCCTTGAAAAGCACTGAGAACCGCGGAGTCGCTTAAACCCCTATCAAAGCTTTGGATGACCTTCTGCTGCAGATGCAGCCTGCTACAATGCTGGCTCGCTCTGCTGGTTAATCTGATACGTGGACACACCAGATGCGCTCTTTGTGGTCTATACCTCGAAAGCATTCGAGTTTTCTAGGCTCCTGCAGCATACTCTGCCACAAACTCTGGAGAATCACAGACGGAGCGTGGCGTAATTCGGTCGTCCAAGCTCGAAGACTTCTTGTCGCTGGCCCCTTTGGATATGTAAACTTGATTAATTTGGCTGAGTCTGTGGCTTGCATATGCAAGACTGCAGTCAAAGGCCAGCCAATCATATACGGCCTCGCCAGCCTGGAAGATGAGCATAGTGATTTAAAGAAAGGGCCAGCGCGACATAGTCTGAACATTTTTACTCGTTATCTTATGGTTTTAAAGTACTCGGTGCGGATCAGGTAAATTCGTGAGGTGGGGGCTGAGAAACCCTGCCCCCACCTCACGAATTTACCTGATCCTTGGGGAGTAGCAGCTGGGAAGGAGATAGCAGCCTGGAGATGTTGTGGTGGCACAGCTGCCAAGACCTTTGTGACATCAATTAATATACATACGCATTCATGCTGCCGCCGTGCTCTCGAGCTTGAAGCCATGAAAGCGCAGCGGGGGCCTACCGTTTATGCCTCTCGTGTGCTAAAGACTGTTCGTGTCCCAAGAGACGAGAGCTTCAGTCGGAGGCTACGGTTATTAAGAAGCTATTGGAGCACACGGTTGCATTCAGGACCCAATTCTGGCCATTGAATTAGCCTCTAGATTCGTTCTCTGTGATGGTCTCATCCTTTGCGAGAGTATTCTGCATTTCTGCAGGTGCACTGCAACGGTCTGCTGCACAGAAGAGGTGTATCCAAAAGAGCTGTCTTGACATCTCGCCGACATCGCAGTTTAGTCTCAAGAGATGTCTCGGGGTGAGAGGGCCGCGCTGTGGGGTCAATTGTGCCTCGGCTTGTGTATCTCGGAGCAATTGCTCGAACAAACAATCGGGATTAAGATAGAATAGCTGGACACCACGACCTGACTCTAACTTGCATGACAGCTCTTGCTAGCCATACTTACTCTGACTCTGCAAAACTGCAGGTAGTCGGCGGTTTAGCCAAAAGATGGCAAAGCCGGCTCATCGGCATACCGCATCTGATCGGACCCCGCAATGGGACAAGCAGCTCCCCGCAATATCCGCATGATGATGCATGTCAAAACATATCGTGAGGGCCCTTGATTCTTCTTTCTGCATCTTCTTTTTCGATCCACCTCTGTAACAATGGCAGCCGTTCGCATAGCACCAACCCGAGCAGCAAGAGCACTTAATCTCTTGCGTGCAGTAGGCACACATGGTCCAGGATGTCCATGCCACAGCAACCCAGGACACCACCACAACCCTCTTAGCATCTCACAAGGCCGCCGTGCACTCGCGACACCTATCGACTACTCGCAACAGAAAGAGTATGCCTTTGAGATGGCAGCATCTAGCATTCGATTTGGAGCTGGCTGTACCAAGGAGGTTGGCATGGACTTCAAGAACATGGGTGCCAAGAAGGTCATGATCGTGACCGACAGCACTGTCTTGAACTTGACTGCCATGAAGCAGGTACAGGAAGGCCTCGATAGAGAAGGAATCAAATACGAGATCTACAGCAACTGTCGAGTCGAGCCCAAGGATCATTCGTAAGTCTTGTCGTATGATGTTGGACAGAGAAAGACTTCAATGTTGACTTTATCTAGGATCAAGGAAGCAATTGCATTCGCCAAACCCCACGCTCCGGACGCCTTCCTTGCTGTTGGAGGCGGTTCGGTCATTGACACGGCGAAGCTCATGAACCTTTATACAACCTTCCCTGAGGCTGACTTCCTCGACTTCGTCAACGCCCCTCTTGGTAAAGGATTGCCTATCCAGGGCAAGCTTAAGCCTCTTGTCGCAGTACCCACAACAGCAGGAACTGGCTCTGAGACAACAGGCACGGCCATTTTCGATCTAGTGTCAAGGAAGGCAAAGACGGGTATCGCACATCGCAACCTGAAGCCGACGCTGGGCATATGCGATCCTCTCAACACTCGTACTATGCCTTCTGCTGTGCACGCATCCAGTGGTCTCGATGTTCTTTGTCACTCTCTGGAATCATGGACCGCCATTCCTTACCATGAACGTGTACCAAGACCCCGCAACCCCATCGAACGACCAGCATACCAGGGTGCCAACCCTATCTCAGACATCTTCAGTCTGCAAGCCTTGAGGGATACAGTCAAGTACTTGCCCAGAGCGGTCAAGGACCCAGATGACCACGAAGCACAGAGCAAGATGCTGTTGGCAGCAACCTTGGCAGGTGTTGGTTTCGGTAATGCAGGTGTTCATTTGTGCCACGGCATGAGTTATCCTGTCAGTGGTCAGAATCCAGGCTACAAGCACAATGGTTACGAGGTCGACCACCCGATCATTCCTCACGGTGTCAGTGTCGCCGTTACCGCACCTGCCGTTTTCAAGTTCACTGGAGCAAGCAACCCGGAAAGACATCTTGCGGCAGCCGAGTGCTTCGGTGTGGACATCAGTCAGGTGAAGAAGGAAAGTGCTGGAGAAGTCCTGAGTGAGGCACTGGCCAAATTCTTATTAGATCTGGGTGACCAGCCCAGAGGATTGAAGGATCTGGGCTTTGGCAGGAGCGACGTGGATCAGCTGGTGGAGGGAACCATGCCACAAGCAAGAGTATTGATGTTGGCACCTAGCTTGGATATGCAGAATGTGGACGAGGAAAGGGCACAGCTGAGAGAGCTCTTCGAAGATGCCATGGAACACTAAGGAGACGAAAGGCAAACAGGAAGACAAGAAGTTGATTGGAGAGGAGGCTGGGTTGCTTGTTTGAAGCTTGGACACAGTGAGGCAGCGATGGCGTTGTTGCTTTACCATTGGTATTGGCAGATTGACATAACAAATGCATGTACGAAAACTTGACGTACTGTGCTATCGCCTGTGCCATTGTATGCTCATATCAACAACTCTTTCTCTTCCATGGAACGTGAGAAAGTCGGGATGGAACAAGATGTAGCCTTGGCGTGCCAAGAATCCGACGAGCGCCTCACAGATGCAGACACTCGGACTTTGGCAGCTGCGGTGGCAGGAGTAAACGACGTGGAAGCTCACTTCTCCTTCACATTACCCACTCCGTCTTCTTTCTCGTTGTTCACTTGACTCTGCACCTGTGTGCTCATTGTCTTAATTCTGCTTTGCAATCTCTTTCCTTAATTTGATACCCCTCACAAAGCGCATCACACCACACCCCCGAAACATCCCTCATGGCTGTGAGTCCGCATCTTGCGCTTAATGTGTTTGCTGCTTCATCCATGCTGATGCCTGTCTAGCAACCACCTACCCAACCGCGCTCATACAGCCAGGCCTACATCCCCAACGGCACTTCCGCTCAAGCATCTGGTCCCGTTCCAGGAGCGACGCCACTTCTCCCTAACCAAGGTCGCGTGGTGCAAGCTGGTGGCGCCAGAGTTCTCTGTATCGCGGACGTGCGAGGTGAGCATACAGTGTAGTCGGGAAGGTGGAAATGACACTGATGTGACGGGGCAGGCAACCTTCGATCTCTGAACGAACTCGCTCGCAACGCAAGAGCCGACTACATCATCCACACTGGTGACTTTGGTTTCTACGACAACACTTCGCTCGACCGCATTGCTGAGAAGTGAGCCGCCTCGCTCAACCGCAACCATACATCGACTAATCACCAGCTAGGACCCTTAAGCACGTTGCGCAATATTCTCCTCTCCTGAACGATGCTGTCAAGAATGACATCGCCCGTGCCCCAGCCCAATCGTCGATCAAGGAGCGCTTCCAGCGCGAGAACCTCCCTCTGTCAGAACTGCCGCAATTCCTGAACGGAACCTACACACTTGAGAAGCCCGTCTATACAGTATGGGGCGCATGTGAAGACGTCTCGGTCTTGGAAAAGCTGCGCTCAGGAGAATACAAGATCAACAACCTGTTCGTCATTGATGAGTCGCATGCCCGCCTGCTCGACATTGGCGGTGTCAAGTTGCGCCTTCTGGGTCTTGGAGGCGCTGTTGTCATGCACAAGCTGTTCGACAATGGCGAGGGTCGCACCACTATTGCTGGAGGACAGGGCACAATGTGGACCACACTCCTTCAGATCGGCGAGCTCATCGACACAGCCAACCGTGTTTACGATCCTACCGAGACCCGTGTCTTCGTCACTCACGCATCGCCTGCTCGTGAAGGTCTGCTCAACCAGCTGGCTGTGGCTCTGAAGGCTGATTTCTCCATTTCGGCCGGCTTGCACTTCCGTTACGGCAGCTCCTACAACGAATTTAGCGTCAACCCTACTCTGGATCACTACCGCGGCAAGTTGGCCGCTTCCAAGGCCTCTTTCAACGATGTCTGGGAGACTGTCAAGAGCGAGGTCGAACCTGCAGTTTCCGAGAACGAGTCGCAGCAGCGCCTGCTGAACAATGCTCTTGACTTGGTTTCGAAGATGCCCTCTGTCGCAAACGGCGGCAACCCCTTCGGTGGCGGCTACACTGGTCCTCAGGGCGGTGTTGTTGACGAGAGCGCTTTCAAGAACATGTGGAACTTCAATCTGGCTGATGCCGCCTTCGGCTGGCTTTTGCTTGACATTGACCAGGGCAGAATTGGCACCGAGATGAAGGCTCAGGGTTTCAACTTCTCGCACCGCGCCGGCAAGCCCGCCCAACGCCCTGCACAACCCGTCCAGGCAGCTCAAGCACCCCAGCAACCTAGTGCTCCAGCCACTGCTTCAGCACCTACACCCAGCAATGTACCTACACCTTCCGGCCCTCCCGCTGCTTCGGCACCTGCTCAAGCTCCCGCCAATGCACCTTCGCGTGCTGCTGGTCCTCACCAGACTGCTAGACCCCCGGTTGCTACTCCTCAACAGGTACCTTCTCCTGCTCCTGCCAAGCCTGCAGCAAGCCCTCAGCCTGCAGCCACAACTAATGGCACTCCCGCACCTGCAAAGACTGAAGAGAAGACTGCTGCTACTCCCGCCTCTGACAGTACACCCAAGCCTCAGGAGCCTCCTAAGAGCCAGTCGATCTTCATCCCTCCCATCAACGGCACTGATGACGAGGCCGAAGTGCGCCAGATCTTCAGCGAGGAGGATCAAAAGAAGGTTACCAAGCTGGAGAGAACTAGCAAGGGCTTCTGGATTGCACACTTCAGCTCACACGAGGAGATGCAAGAAGTCCTGAAGCGTAGCCCTGCATCGGATAGCAAGTACTCGACACTGAGAATCAGTGAATTCAAGCAACGCCCAGCTCGCGGTGGATTCCAGGCTGGTACTTGGGGCAGCTCACGCACAGCATCAGGACAGCAGAGCGGATACCGCAGCGGACAATCGGACAGCGAAGGCGCTCGTAGCGGACGTGGTGGCCGTGGAGGACGTGGTCGCGGTGGTATGGAGCGCGGCGGCCGTGGTGGTAGAGGTGGTGCCGGCCGTGGACCCTCTTCAGGCGCAGCTCCTGGCGGCGGCGAGTCTCAGGCATGATTGAGGACAACGACGACATGAAGTATGTGTGGTGCAAGATAGCGGCTTCTCACAGTTGGATGCTACTCAAGGAAGCACATCAGGAACAGAGGCCGCGCCGCGATGAGGTGGTGCATAGTGAGGAAGAAGAAAGAGATGAGCGCCGATTACTTGACGAATGACACGGAGGAAAAGCATAAGGGCGATTTTGAAATAAGAGAGGCTAGAAACTCCACTAGCTACATGAGACGTTATACAGACGGAAGAACATGTAATACTACCATTGAGAGCTATTACCTGCTTCAAATCTTTACAGTTGATATGCACAGAAGATGCAAGATATCAGAGCGAGGCTGGTGCAAGTGTGGCTGAGCTTGGCAGCGTCATTTGACGTCTGGGGCGGGAAGCAAATGCGGAGGCGGCCAGCGGCGCGAGTCGTTCGATTGTAGACGATCAAGGCACCACCTTGATCTGCTCTGTTTCGACACAGACATCGTGTTGAGGCGAGTGTTCATTTCTGTGTGGATCCAAGTAGTCCGCCTCGGACATTCCATATCGCAGCACCCATCCATCACCGCCTCGCGATTACACACTCTTCGTCCGATCACACGTCCCAGCCGCCTCGGTGACTGGTTGTTCGCGAGTTCGACACACGACCTCACCACAATTTCTCACTACGCAAAGCACGACTGAGCACAAACTTAGGAAACCAAAAAGAGCTTGGAAAATGAGATTCATGCGGCCATGGCTCGCAGTGGCGGGTCTGAGCCTGCTATCCGCCTCGGCCTCGGCCGAAACACAGCAATCAGCATTTGGAGTGCAGACAACAGCATCAGATGGCTTTACTCACAAGCATGAGGCTGGAAGATGCGCTATACGTGGACATTGTGGCAAGCAAGGATTCTTCGGATCAGATCTGCCATGTCCTGACAACGGCTTGGCCGAGGAGCCCACCGCCGACACGCGCAAGACGCTCATGTCTATCTGTGGAGACAAGTGGGCTGAAGGCCCTGTGTGTTGCACAGATGAGCAGCTGGGAGCCCTCAGCTCGAATCTGAAGCGTGCCGAATCTATCATAGGCGCCTGCCCTGCTTGCAAAGAGAACTTCTTTAACCTCTTCTGCACGTTTACATGCTCACCCGACCAATCTCTCTTTGTCAATGTTACCGACACTGTCCCCAAGGGCGACAAACTGCTGGTCACCGAACTTGACCAGCTTATCTCTGAAGAGTATGGAAGTGCTTTCTACAACAGCTGTAAGGACGTCAAGTTTGGCGCCACTGGAGGCAAAGCCATGGATCTGATCGGTGGTGGCGCGAAGAACTACACTCAGTTCCTCAAGTTTTTGGGTGACAAGAAACCTTTTGGCAGCCCCTTCCAGATCAACTTCCCCATCCCTAGCAAGGCAGACTTCCCTGGCATGGAGCCAGGATCCGACAAAGCGCACCCTTGCAACAGTACTGACGAGAGATACAAGTGCGCTTGTGTTGATTGTGCTGCTTCCTGTCCTGAGCTGCCTTCAGTCAAGGAAGCTCATGAGTGTAAGGTCGGCGTGTTGCCTTGCCTGTCATTCGCCGTCATTATCGTCTATTCCGTCTTCTTGTTCCTGCTAATCCTGGCTGTCTCTGGTCATGTCGCTTATGCTAAGCACACTAAGAGCCGCAACGAGCGCTTGAGATTGCTGCAGGACGCTTCCCCTAGTGACGATGAAGACGAAGGCGACATTGTACACCAGGCTGGCCTTCTCGAGAAGCCTACCAGAAGCTACCCTCTAAACACGGTCTGTGACAGAATATTCTCACGTCTCGGCCGAACTGCTGCCAACTTCCCTGCTATCACTATCAGCTCTTCCGTTGTACTCGTTGCGCTGCTGAGTCTAGGCTGGATGCGCTTCACCGTCGAGACTGACCCTGTCAAGCTATGGGTTTCTCCTGACTCTGAAGCGGCAAAGGAGAAGGCCTTCTTCGACAAGTCCTTTGGTCCTTTCTTCAGAGCCGAACAAGCATTCCTGGTCAACGATACCCTGTCCACTGGCCCTGGTCCTGTACTGTCATACGACACACTTAACTGGTGGTTTGACGTCGAGAACCGTATCCGCAGACTGAAGTCAATCAACGGTGGCTACACGCTCGATGATGTCTGTTACAAACCCACCGGAGATGCCTGTGTCGTCCAGTCTTTGACCGGCTACTTCGGTGGTGACATTGATCTCGTCGATCCTGACATGTGGGCTGAGGATCTCGAGGCTTGCGCTGAGACCCCCGTCAACTGTCTGCCTGACTTCCAGCAGCCACTCAACCCCCGCTACCTCTTTGGTGGCTACAACGGCAGCGTCATCAATTCTACTGCTATCGTTGTCACATGGGCTGTCAGCAACCATGCCGAGGGCACTTTCGAGCTCGAAAGAGCCATGGACTGGGAAGAGAGCCTCAAGGGACTCTTGCTCACTGTCCAGGAAGAAGCCTCAGAACACGGCCTTCGTCTGTCTTTCAACACCGAAATCAGTCTCGAGGAGGAGCTCAACAAATCGACCAACACTGATGCCAAGATTGTTGCTGTCAGTTATCTGATCATGTTCTTGTACGCATCTATTGCTCTTGGCGCCACTACTTTGACTGTCAGAGATGTGCTCAACAACCCTGCAAACGCTCTGGTTCAGTCAAAGTTCATGCTCGGTGTCGTGGGTATCCTCATCGTTCTTATGTCTGTCTCGGCATCGGTCGGTCTTTTCGCTGCCGCTGGTGTCAAGGCCACTCTGATCATCGCTGAGGTCATCCCATTCCTGGTGCTCGCGGTTGGTGTTGACAACATCTTCCTTATTGTTCATGAGTTCGAACGTGTCAACATCAGTCATGCTGATGAACCAGTGAGTGAGCGGATTGCAAAGGCCCTTGGTCGTATGGGTCCCAGTATCCTTCTGTCTGCGACTACAGAGACTGTTGCATTCGCTCTCGGCGCTGCAGTTGGTATGCCCGCTGTTCGCAACTTCGCCGCCTATGCAGCTGGAGCAGTCTTCATCAACGCCATATTGCAAGTCACTATGTTCATTTCGATTCTTGCACTCAACCAGAAGCGTGTTGAGGCTGGTCGTGCCGATTGCTTCCCTTTCATCAAGGTAAAGGGTGCTGACTCCAACTCTATGGCGATTGCTGGTATGCCTGGCTTGGCAGGTATTGAGGAGGAAGGTTCGCTTCAACGCTTCATTCGCAAGACGTACGCTCCTGCTCTCCTCGGAAAGAAGACCAAGACTGCCATCATCACTATCTTTCTCGGATTCTTCACCATCGGTCTTGCTCTTCTGCCTAATGTCGAGCTTGGACTTGACCAACGCATCGCAATTCCTTCCGACTCATACCTTATCAAATATTTTGATGATCTCTACGACTACTTCGAGGCTGGACCACCAGTCTACTTTGTTACCAAAGACCTGAATGCAACTGCTCGTCAACATCAGCAGCAAATCTGTGGCCGCTTCTCCACTTGTGAGGAGTTCTCTCTCGCGAACATTCTTGAGCAAGAACGTAAGCGCCCAGAGATCAGCTACATTTCCGACTCGACTGCCAGCTGGATCGATGACTTCCTATTCTGGCTCAATCCTTCGCTCGAGGAATGTTGTGTCGATGGATCTCACACTTGCTTCGAGAACCGCAATCCTCCGTGGAACGTCACTCTTCATGGTATGCCCGAAGGCCAGGAGTTCGTTTCGTATCTGGAGCGTTGGCTTCAGGCGCCTACTACCAGTGATTGTCCATTGGCTGGCAAAGCTGCATACGGCAATGCTATTGTTGTTGATAATAGCAGTCTGAGCATCCCAGCCTCGCACTTCCGTACATCGCATACAGCTATGCATAGTCAGAGCGACTTCATCGCAGCTTACAAGTCTGCACGTCGCATTTCACACGATATCACTAGCCGCACAGGTGTAGAAGTCTTCCCTTATAGTAAATTCTACATCTTCTTCGATCAATACGTCTCGATCGTACGTCTCTCTGGAGCTCTTATTGGAGGCGCTTTGGGCTTCATCCTCGTGTTGAGCAGCGTTCTTCTCGGATCTCTGGCCACTGGTCTCGTGGTGACTTTAACAGTCGGTATGACTGTTGTGGACATCATCGGCACCATGTCTCTGGCTGGAGTTTCGCTTAACGCTGTGTCCCTGGTCAACCTCATCATATGTGTTGGTATCTCGGTTGAATTCTGCGCTCACATCGCCCGTGCATTCTCGGTGCCCTCGCCATCGCTTCTTGAGCGCTGCCACAGTTTCCGTGGTAAGGATGCACGTGCTTGGGCTGCTCTTGTCAATGTCGGCGCCTCGGTCTTCTCAGGAATTACAGTCACCAAGCTTCTTGGTGTCTTTGTGCTTGCCTTTACTCGCAGCAAGATCTTTGAGATCTACTACTTCAGAGTCTGGCTGGCACTCGTCATCTGGGCTGCTCTGCACGCTTTGGTCTTCTTGCCGGTCGCTTTGAGCTTCTTTGGTGGAGTTGGTAAGTTTACTGAATCTAGTCAATGCACTCAGAACCATAACTGACTTCTTCCGCAGGCTATGCAGACCCCGACGCAGATGGCGGTCTCGAGCAGGACCTTGCTAGCAGACGTTACCGTGCTATGATGCCGGATGAGGAGTACTACTCGGATGAGTACTAGATGAGATAATGAGATGTGACGTGGCATAGCGGCGTTCTTTCCTTTTATGTACCATACGAATATGAATATGTGTCTTTTGCAATACTGTTGACCAGCCCAGTCCGTGTGCTTCTTCTATCCTCGTCTAACACAGAAGGCGGTGGCCAGTAGTTTCCATGTTGACGGACTGTATCAAATTATTGAAGACTCAGTCACGTTGATAATGCTAACTGGCAACAACTTTATTACAAAACACTCATGTAATACATCTACGGTATCTCACATCGTTTGACTTCGGTCCAGCATGGTGCAAGGAAATTAGTCGTCGAATTCCAGTTGTGCGGTTTATGTTCATTGGAGAACAGGGTCACCCAGGCAGCATTGTGTTTTTCCCATTTTCTGATATGACACCCAAAGTAGGCATGTTTGATTGCTTCAGCATACCTTGTTGTCTCCAAACTGACCCAATCAAGAAGGAGCAACCACAGCGATGCTAATCGTGCCTTGCTGCATGGCATGTTTCATACCACCTTCCCCAATCACACAGCCACTTGGCCCTCGACGCCACAAATTTCTCCATGGCTTGGTTTTCTGTTAGCGCCGCGGGATGGGGGCAGTGACGTATGACGCGTCCTTCCTTAGCCATGCGCCGAGGCCTCCTAAACCCTGTTCTGTTGTATACATTAGATCAGGCCTTGCCGCCGCCGCCTTGTTTCGCCCAAAGCGTTTATTTCTTTTTCCACCTGCGAGTACTACTACGTTACTAGGACACTAAGACGAGAGATTTGAGAGAAGCTTGACTGGGATTAAGACGACCTGTGTATACGGAAAGAGTGATTTCTGAGAAGAGAGACTGGTATACGAGTAAGTGCTTTTGGACTTGCTTACCCTCGATCTCCTGTTTTGCTCCTCGTGCATCTTGTAAGCATTGGACAGAAAAACACTGATACCTTCATAGCCACCTCCTAAACCACCAACGTTTACAAAACCACGTCATCAAAACTCTCACCGATCAACCACCAAAGAACCACCCAAAATGCCTAAACAAGTCCTCACCACCAACCCAACCACAACCGCCCTCTCAACCCCCTCGACCTCCTCCTCCGCGACCTCCACAACCTCCGCACCCGTGAAACGCATCACACCAGGCGTAAAGTTGCCTTGCTGGTGCGGCGACGACTGTTCCTGCTGCATCATCCCTTGCACGGTAATGTAGAGAGATTACCCTGCAACAGCACACCATCCCTCCTCCCGCCAAAGGATCTCGCACTTTCATGTGCATGGGAAATATGGGTGTGTCAAAAAGGGATATAAGTGGAAAGTCGAGGAAGAAGAGAAGATTGAGGGTCTAAGGAAGAGGATAAGGAGGTTCTGGAGGAGGAAAGTGCAAAGGCCTTGGAGGAGGTGGTTTGGGAGGAGGGAGAGTTGGATTGGGACGTATTATTTCAAGTGACGAGAGGCATAAGCTTGCTTGCTCTCTTTTCTGTGAGATGGGTTTGGGGTTTGGAGTTTTTTTTTTGGTGGTTTATGGATTCTTGAAGCATGGTGTTTCTATTCTCTTTCGTTTCTACCCACGTCCTCTCTGAATGAAAGGCTATTTCACAAGTCGTGCAAAGAATGACATCCGTCATGGCAATGTGAATATGTGTGTTTTCTCAATGCGACTCACACTGCAGCTGGGATCTTTATAAATCTGCTTGGACGGTTCAAGAGACGAATTCGTCTTCAATCGCAATTACATCTCACACATGTCAAGCATATGAAGCGTTGGCTAATAATGCATTTGCTTATAAAAGTATATCAACAGCGCGAGAAAAGAGAAGCAGGCTAGGTACATAAAAGCAATAGTAACATCAGAGTTGCAGAGCAGTCTCAGCGAAGGTGCCCTATCCGCGACTCAGAAGTTTCGAGGTCGAGGAGCAGTACATGGCAGCCGCTGATCCTTAGGAATATAGATCGGGCCAAAGTCCAGAAAGTGATTCCCAGGTCTAGGGACATTCCTCTGGGTTTTGTTGGAGACGTTCTTCTAGACTTGCTTCCAGGTCATACCCGGTCTCTCCACATGAGGTGTCTTAACCGCATTGGAATCTCCAAATGGATCGTCCTCGTCATCTTCCTCGTACTCATTCTCGCTGTCATCACTTTCCTCTGCTTTTGCCTTGCCAAAACTAGGTACAGCGGGCATAGCAAGATTAGTAGGTCGAGGAGGTTTAGGTGGTGCTGCTTCCTCTCCACCGAGTTTAAGTCCAGCAAGCTGTGATTCGGCACCAGTGGCGTGAGATCCATGTTCAGGCGCCTGTTCCCAAGCGTCACTATCGCTGTCGTCGTCAAGTGCTCTATCCATGATCTCGTAGCTAGTGAGTGCTTTGACCAATTCGTCATTTGCGGACAGCAGACTTCCAATCCACTCGTCACTTTCCACCAGTTGAATATATCTCAAAATGTTCCTTCTCAGTAACTTGCACACCTCGAACCGGTTCATAACCTCTGGGTTCTCGGAAACTCGCTCGTTTTCGCGGTTGATGAGTTGAAGACCATTGAGGAGATTAGTCGAGGCAATTGACGCTTGAGCTATACTTTGAATCATGTTCGGCTTTTCCTTCTGGAAGTCGAATTTCGTGGAGGCATTCTTGTCCTTCTTTTTCGTGGATGCCTTGACAGCATCACGGAAAGAGTAATGGGGTGTTGGTGTAAGCGAGACAGGGCGAGAAGTTGAAGCAGAAGCATTGGCAGCAGAGCTCGTCCGTGAGTGGCCCCGGGAATGTCCACCAGCAGGAGCAGGCGGAGGAGTCGGTGCAGGGTCTTCGCGAGCATCTTCCTCTGTCTCGCGAAGAACCTTTGATTGCGCTTGACTGTGACGAGGGCGAGGCTTCTGAGGTAGTTGCTTGTACAGTGTTGCAATGTTGTGGAGACCAGGAGTATCTTTGTAGGCTACGGCCCATTGGCGGTAGAGTACGTTGCACTTGTTGCGTACATCGATGTCGACCATGTCATCTCGGACCATGAGTCGGAGACGCTCGAGTAAAGGTTCATCGGCAAAAGTCTTTTGGAAGCGGTTTCCAGCATTTTGAATCAGACCATCCAGGATGGTAAGAGCTCTGATTTGGCGATGGGCATTGCCATACTTGCTATTTCGAGTCAGCCAACCAGTCCACTGACGGCACGACCACTTTCGAGTCGGGTTCAGTGAACTCACAGCTTCTTACGAATAGCTCTGGCAGCTTCGGTAGGTCCAGATGCTTGAATGCGAATGACTTCAACCAGATCGATGATACCACTGAGATCGTCTTCCTCAAACTGCTCGCTGGTCATGCGATCAATTTGTACTGATACAGCCGAATACGGCTTTCTCTGTTGGACAACCCATCGTCTTAGTATCGATTTCAGATCACGCAGGCGGCAGACGGGGCAAGACAATGAGTAGCGAGAAAGACGGCATGGGAGGGCGGAGTATTTTGGAGGTGGACGAGAGGGAGATCCAAGAGCTTTGCACTTTGCTGCTCTCTTCAACTCTTTCTTTTGCCGTCGCTTTTCGTGAATGGCTTCACATTCTTTCTTCCACTCATCCACCTCGGCAGGATTGCAGGCGCCATATGGACAAGGGTAGGCCATGCACCAAGTAAAGAACTCCATGGTAGGCGTGGTATGAATTATTGTGGATGTAGAAGGTTGAAAGGAACATAGAACATGATGGGGAAGGACGTGCAGTAAATAGAGAATGTAAGATCAAAGTGTAACATACCGATGAGCTTCCCAACATGGTGGTGATTCACCAATGTATGCACCGGTAAGGGTATTAGTGACACAGGACGAAGGAGGTGCAGCTAAACCAACAAGATGGCGTCACGAAAAGTCCGAGTGTTGTGGTAAGGATTGAGTGTGCGAAGGACAGTGGGGGATCCGTAATCGTAGATTGCTTTCAGCCGTCAAACCCTAAGGTGTTATTGTGCCTGACTGTCAAAGCAAAGAAGAAAATATCAGCCTTTTCCAATTCTTGTATCACATGCAAGAGCGGTATGATGGCTTGAGGCTTGCAGTGAACCATTGAATTAACCTTACGGCGCAAAGATGACCCAATGGCGCAGTGCTCAATGCCATGTCGGGAAAGCGACTCACCAAAAGCAATAGAAGAGCTCGAGATGTCCCTCACACAACAGAAAGATAACCACGAGTTCTGAGAGATCAGCCCGTGTGGTCAAATGGCGTATCGCCGTGCGTCTTCGACTGGGATTAGCTGGACACAGAACCGCAGACTGAGGAGCCGATAAGCAGGAACAGTCCCTTGACCTTCCTTCTTTATTCCTGCTCACCGAAGATTGCGCTTACGCGAGGCAGGAACGATTGTACAAGAGTTTCGGTCAGCAATGGACGGTCGATAAGTGTCAGCAAGAGCTCACACCCAAGAAATTCCAGAAAGATAGAGACGTTTTGTTGTTGGCCAGCTCGTGATTGGGAACGTTGTCGGTGAGCACAGCCGTCATCTCCAAGGATGCCCCACTTTGTGCCCGATGCTTCCTTTCTCGGCCCGCTGCCTGCAGCCCGATTGCGGAGGTTAAATCCGGGCCTTTCTCTACTGCTGGGACTTCTCCTCGCACAACATCCAGCCCCTGCTATTAATACCTGTGCCTGGTCTTATCCAGTATCCAAAGGTCACTTTGTAATAATCCTCTGACCGGGGACCTGACCAGTCGAACCTAACAGGGGCAGCCATCATTGCGTCGAGACGAAGCTGACCATCAATCTGCATGAACGTTTACTGCTCATGCTTGACTGCACAGATCCAGCAACTGCACGATCTGGGTTGTCAAGAATCTGACATCTTCGAAAGTCGCAGCACTTCTCCACGTATTCATTGTATGTGAAACAGAACGAGGCTGCATTTCCGTTTCCCACGTTTTTTGTCCGAGATCTGCAAATGGCCGGTGTCACGGAGGCTTCAGCTACACAGAGGTATGTGGCTATCATTTCGTGAAGCCTCTCATGGCTGACATTTCTTTTTTGGTCTCCTAGTGCATGGCTCGAAGAGCTTGCAGATGTCGACCTCGAGTGGGACAACATATCGCTGCCAAGCACTCCAAAGCATCCGACACCTGGTACCGTCGCATTGTCTTCTTCAACCGAAGATGTTGCATCACTGCCACATGGCTTTTCAAATGCCATCTCCCGTCCGGTCCTGTCATCTTCAACAGACGACGACTTCTTTTGTGATACAACTGATTTCGAAACCTTCCTTCGCGAAACAGAAGGCGTCGACTTCTCTAGCACGGCATCGACTTTAACTCTAGCTTCCACACCCGCCGACTCATGCGTTCGCCCGGGATCATCTTCATCTGACCCTTCCACTACTCAGACTCCTAAGCGAATCATCCGGGGCACCTTTCCTCCAGCCTTAAAATCGAACTCGCCAATCCCGGGCCTCACATCCTCGATCTACCTCCGCACACTGTTTTGTCTCGGAGAAGCCTTGAACGTAGGATGCCAAGCCGCTCGCGACAATCAGGACATCATACTTGAGTTCTATTGTCGTGTTATGTCCTCTTACCGCGAAGACAACACACAGCATTTCGTGCTTGCTGATCTCACTCATGACAACCCGCCTTTCATCAATGCCGTATTTGCGTCTTAGAAAGGCGTGCCGCTGTTTGATGATGATGCCAGAGTCTTCCTCGATGGCAAGGACCACAATGGTAGAATGTGCAGATGCCTCGGCAAGATGAAGAGATATGGGAGTAAATGGGTATATGAGTTGATGAGCATCTGGCAGGCCACTTCTGATGATGTCAAGCATGTCGCTGATGTTGTGACCTGACGCTGCAGATGAATTTGCTGGATCTTTATATTTGGCTCTTGTTGTTCGAAGATCTCGTTGCTCTTTTGTGGTTGTTGCTTGGAGGGTTGGCTCAAATTTCTTGCTCATTTTGCTAAAATGTCAAGATTGCTGTTCGGAGAAGAAATCTCTTTAAAACATAAAAACAAAAGTCCTTTGCTCATGTCCATCACTATATCAACATCGGTTACTAGTGAGAATGACAAAGACGCTTCAGCGACCGAAGCAACTTGGGAACTCAACTATGGTCACTCGATCGGGTACAAATTCCGAACTACCTGCCCATAACACCATCATTGTCCGCTGTAACCACTGCAAACAGCCCGTGCTGAGGCACAAAGCCAAGGCCCACATCGAAGAGTGCATACAAAAGAAGCAAGGGTCACACCTGAGCTTCTAGCACTGCATGTGAAGGCACTCGAGTACGACAACCACGTCCATAACCGTAGCGGAAAGAGCCTGCTTCCCTGGTGGACGTGTACAAATTGGTGGTATTGCGTCAATGCAACGTATAATGGCGATTTTATCACGGCCTGGCGAGAAACAATGGCAAGGCACTTCTACATGACTTTGTTGGACACTATTATGCAATTTCATGGCTCCACTATGGCAGTCTTTCGCATATGGACAAGGTATGGTTATCACTCGGGACTGTAAGACAGCCAAGGGTGTTTACTCAATTCACCCGCCTTCTGCCTCTCCCTTGGATCTGAAGCCATCATCTTTCTCAAGAAATCGCAGAACAGGTCCAATTCATTGATAGGCATCATTCCTTGTGCGTCGCCTGCGAAGCTCTGTCCTACCAAAGTCTCCAAAGAGACAGGGAATCCATGTCCGTTGATGGCCTCCTGCTGGTATTCTTGTCCTCGTGCGGCATTTTCTAAGACGATGCTCGGGATGGGTCCAAAAGTAGATACCAGCAGTGCTATACGGTCTTGTTCTGCGGTCACGCCTGGACCTGGTCGTCCTACGAAAGGCAATTCTCCAGTCAGGAACTGGAAGAGCAGACAACCGAGACTGAAGATGTCAACACTAGGATCCCATGGTGCTTCCAGTGTGATTTCCGGCGCGCGCAGATATTCAGATTGGATGTCATCTGTAAGGTGTTGATCTATGAAGCAAGCGATACCCAAGTCGTTGAGGCGGAACTGCATATTCGGATCCATGAGCTCTGGGCCCGAAGATTGTGTGCGCACAAGATCTTCAATCTCCTGAGGCGATTGACCTTGGTCGTCCTTAAGGATGTTGGATGGCTGGAGGTCGGTATGGATAATGCCGCACTCGTTGTGTAGGAAGTCTAACGCTTCGAGCATTTGCTTTGCGATGTTTCTGACTGTTGGTGGAGGTATGCGCATGATGTGTCCAGTCGTGGCTTTTTCTGCGATGCTGTCGCCTAGCAAAGGCATGACCATGCAGACGTGTTTGCCTGTGGGCCCTTGGATCTCGAAGTGGTTCTTCAGGTAGGTAACATGGTTTCGCCCAGGATGTGTTGAGGTATTAGAACGCGCTGTTAATGCCTGCATGACTTCTAGCTCAAATATTTGGTGGTGACCATTGTAGAAGTCGCTATTCAGGATTTTAAGAGCAGCATGTTCGCCATTTCTGCAGATTGTCAGTACTGTGTTTGGGACAAGACGGAGGGAAGACTAACGTGCTGTCAATGACCAGCCAAACAGAAGCGTATCTGCCGGAGCCTAGATGTGTCTCTACTCTGTATCGATCCAAGAAGACCTGGCCAACCTCGACTTTGTAAAACTTGTCATTGACATTGTCGGTTAATGCTCTCTTGAGCAGCGAACGGAAACCCATGATGACTTTGTGGTATGCGTGGGAGAAGTGTACAAGACGAAGTTGGAAGAAGTAGATCGTAAACCAAGATGATCGAGGACAAAAGGAGTCTTGAACCAAATAGGTTAACACAAGCCTCCTACATACCTGTCTTCTTGCGCTCAAACGTTCAATCGGTGAAGTCATGCGCGAAAGTTTCCATATTCTCGAACAGAAGCCGAGGAACCTTAGCTGGTTTACATGTTTCTAACCAGTTCTCACACCTGGAAGTCGATGATTGGTCATACCTTTGGCGTTTGTGCTCAGGTAGCCAACTTGCTGTAGAACATGGCAGATACAATATTCCAAATCGATTGCTTTGTCACATAATACATTGTCACAAGGCAAGGAGATCAACAGGAACAATATTGAACGTCTGCGCAGATCAAGCAAGCCGATGAACTTGGAACCGTGGAGACACATCCGGCCGTGAGCCGGGCAGCCACCATGATGTCACGCCCAGACGCGATCCTGGCGCGTCTGCCTCTGCCTTCTCTGAAACACTTTTAGAGCTTCATGGTTTGAGCCTCCAACGTCCATAAGTACGAGTCAATTATCTTCGTTCTGAAACACATATTCGAGTACAACAAAGATGCCACCTCAACCAGTATACGTTTCTCCCAACCCTGAAACCACAAAGCGTGGTGCTTTTACCGAATTCTTCCTCGAGCGACAGTGTCCTGACGGAGCCGATTCCAAGTATAAGCATCTGTTCTTCACCCACCAGAACCTCATGAGAATGTTGATCAACGATTCTGCCATGGACCCAAACCGAGAGCAGACCTTCTCTACACCAGCAAACAGTAAGAACAAGGTGTACTTCATGTAAGGAATTGCTTGTTGTCTATGTCTGTTCATCATGCTGACATACTTGCATAGGTGGGACTTTGTCACCCGTACCTTTCAAATGCTTGTAGCAACTGTCAACCCAGGGAACCCCAGCAACAGCGGTGAAGCTTGGATGGTACGTTCGTGTGAACGCTGTACCATGCACATGCTAACTGAAGGTTAGGACATCTTGACGAGGTCAATGCTGGCTCAGCAGTTAATTCTCGACACAACTGGCAGACTGGAGCAAATGAACCAGTCTGTTGGCTACAACGACGATGCTGGCATCGAATTCAGTGCCGAGATCAAGGCAGAGGCGGAGAAGCTGGATGATATTTAGAGAGCTGGATTCTCAAGACATGAAGTAATGAAATGTGGCTGGGACACATACGAATTAACAAAGCAACCCATGAAATTGTCAAGAAGCCTCGCAAGCTCCACCAGAGCAGTAAACAGTTGCAGCACCTTCCTGCATACTCAAGCATGTGGAATACAGACCATTAAAAGGCACACACGGTTTAGGAAGCAGGAACAATTACATAGAGAGTCGATCACTTGTTGCCTCTCGATAGCATCTTGTTTCCTGTTATTGTTGTACATCCCTACAGTTATAACAGACTTTATAGCACTCAGGAAGGGAGCACGAAAGTTGCAGCATGGTTGTTGATCAATTGATCGGAAGTCGGAGCTTTGGACCCTCAAATGAGGGAAACGCTTGGACCTCCTCCTGGCAAAAAAATACAACTCGACAAGCAAATGCGTCGCTTTCCCTCTTGACATCCTCTCCCAAAGGCATATCTCTCTGCCTTTGTTCTGTTTTGCTTTTTTCTTTCCTTTTTGATACCCCGAATAATCTCAAGATGGATGAGCAGCAGTTCGTCGGACTCCTCGAGAGTCTGATGCAGCGTGAGTCCATGACTTCAGGCCACTCTTATTTCGAGGCTGACTGAAGACAACAGCCGACACCGACCGTGTCAAGGCCGCAACTGCCACCTTGAACAAGACATACTACAGCAACCCTGCTTCGCTCACAGCCTTGCTCCACATCTTGGTTTCGCACCAGAGCCCCAACCTTCGTCAGCTGGCTGCCATCGAATCTCGCAAGCTTGTCAAGAAGCACTGGCTCGACCTGCCCAACGACCAGAAGCCCCAAATCCGCGAGCAGCTCCTGCAGTCCACTCTCAATGAGGATCAGTCACTCGCCCGTCACTCAAAGGCCCGCGTCATTGCATCGATCGCCCAGATTGACCTTGCCGATGGCCAATGGTCCGACCTCCCCGACTTCTTGCAGAAGGCCTCGACCAGCCAGACTGCCAGCCACCGCGAGGTTGGTGTCTACATCATCTACACACTGCTCGAGACCATGCCCGATATGTTCCAAGAGAACATGGGCGCTATGCTCCAGCTCTTCACACAAACCATCCAGGACCCCGAGAACGCCGAGGTCAGAATCAACACAATGCTTGCTCTTTCCGAGATCTGCATGGTTCTTGACACCGACGAGGATCCCCAATCGCTCAAGGCTTTCCAAAATACCATTCCACACATGGTCCGCGTTCTGCAGCAGGCTGTTGACGACGGTGAGGAGGATCGCGCCATGCAGGCCTTCGAGGTCTTCAACAAACTCCTCAGTTACGAGTCGGCCTTCTTGAACGCCCACTTTGGCGATCTCATGCAGTTCATGATGCAACTCGCCGCCAACACCAACATCGACGACGACTCGCGTTCCCAGGCTCTTTCTTTCCTCATGCAGGCTGTCAGATACCGCAAGCTCAAGGTCCAGGGTCTGCGCATTGGTGAGCAGCTTACCACCACTTCTCTCCACATTGTCACCGAGCTTGGTGAGCTTTCCGCCGAGGGCGAGGACATTACTCCTGCCCGCTCTGCTCTTGGTCTGCTCGACATTCTTTCCGAGAACCTCCCTCCTAGCCAAGTCGCTGTTCCTCTCCTCCGCGCCATTGGTCCCTTCGTCCAGAACCCCAACGCTGACTACCGTCGCGCTGGTATTCTCGCTTTGGGTATGTGCGTTGAGGGTGCTCCTGATTTCATCAGCACTCAGCTTGCTGAGATTCTCCCCATGGTCCTCCACTTGCTCGAGGATCCCGAGGTTCGCGTCCGCTCGGCTGCTTTGAACGGTGTTGCCAGACTTGCCGACGATCTCGCTGAAGAGATGGGCAAGGAGCACGCCCGTTTGATCCCTGCTCTCGTCAAGAACTTCGACCTCGCTATGCAGCAGCTTAACGGTCCTGCTGGTGACGAGAACCTGGCCATCATCAAGCAGAGCTGTATGGCCATTGACTCCCTGATTGAAGGTCTCGACAAGGAGGACGCTTCCAAGTACGTTGGCGAGCTGGTTCCTAGACTCAGCCCCCTGTTCCAGCACCCCGATGTCAAGGTCCAGATCTCGGCAATCGGTGCCACTGGTTCCATCGCCTCTGCCAGCGAGGAGGCTTTCATGCCTTACTTCGAGGGCACCATGCAGACTCTTGGCCAATTTGTTTCTCTCAAGGATTCCGAGGACGAGCTCGAGCTCCGTGGCGTTGTCTGCGACTCGCTTGGCAAGATCGCTTCTGCTGTCGGCGCCGATGCCTTCCAGCCTTACGTTACCCCCCTCATGCAGGCTTCTGAGGAGGCCCTCCACCTCGACCACCCCAGACTCCGTGAGACCAGCTATATTCTCTGGAGCACTATGTCCAAGGTTTACGACGACAAGTTTGCCCCCTACCTTGCTGGTGTCGTCAAGGGCCTGATCGAGTGCCTTCAGCAAGACGAGAGCGAGGACGGTGTTACCCTCGGCGAGGAAGCCAGAGAGCTTCTTGGTCAAGAGATTACCATCGCCGGAAAGAAGGTCAAGGTTGCTGATATTGATGCTGGCGCCGACGATGATACCACCATCGACATCGACGACGAGGACGAGGATGACTGGGATGACCTTGGTGCTGTCACTGCCGTCGCTATGGAGAAGGAGATCGCTGTTGAGGTTATCGGTGACGTTCTCACCCACACTCGCGGTCACTTCCTGCCCTACTTCCAGCAGTGTGTTGAGGCTGTTCTCGCCCTTGTTGACCACACTTTCGAGGGTGTTCGCAGATCTGCCATCGGTACTCTTTGGAGAGGTTACGCCGCTCTCTGGTCCTTGGCTGAGGACCAAGGCATGGCCAAGTGGCAATCTGGCCTTCCTCTCAAGGTCCAGGCCACTGAGGACCTGATGAAGCTCGGTAGCTTGATCATGACTGCTACTATTGCTCTCTGGCAGGACGAAGTTGACCGGTACGTAACTAATCATTTCTCATTCCCAGCAAACATCCTTTTCATGATGACTACACTTCGTTACACCCAGCTCACTTTGATGCACAAATGTGCACTTGATGCGAACGCGATTCTGTTTCTGATTCGATCTCTTGATCACTTCCTTTGCCTCTCACTCTTTTGTCGAGTCTGAATCAATAGCTGACATGATTTTTATAGTGGTACCGTCACCGACATCCACCGCAACCTCGCCGCTACCCTTAAGCTTTGCGGACCTGCCATCCTGACCGCCAACATTGGCGAGAACGCCGCTCCCCCAGTCCAGCAAATCGTCGAGATGGTCATCTCCATCTTGCAGAAGAAGCACATCTGCCAACAAGACCTCGATGGCGAGGACGAGTTCGATGCTGAGATGGAGTCATCCGAGTACGACTGGCTGGTCATCGAGACCGCCATGGAGGTCATCACCTGCCTTGCCGCTGCCCTCGGCGAGTCCTTCGGTGAGCTCTGGCAAATCTTCGAGAAGCCTGTTGTCAAGTACATCAGCGGACAGGAGAAGTACGAGCGCAGCGCTGCTGTTGGCACCATCGCCGAGGCCATTGGTAACATGGGTGCTTCCGTCACTCCTTACACCGGTAGCCTTATGAAGATGCTGCTCAAGCGCCTTGGAGACGAGGATCCGGAGGTTCGTAGTAACGCAGCCTACGGTACCGGTCTCCTCTGCGAGAAGAGCACCGACGAGAACCAGATCACTGGCCAGTACAACACTATCCTTGGCAAGCTCGAGCCTCTGTTGCACCAACAGCAGGAGGCCCGTCTGCTCGACAACTCTGCCGGCTGTGTTGCTCGCATGATCAAGAGACACCCTAACAACGTTCCTCTTGCTGAGGTTCTTCCCGTTCTGATCCAGCTCCTTCCTCTCAGAGAGGATTACGAGGAGAACGAGGCCGTCTTTGAGATGATCGTTTCGCTCTACCAGCAGCAGAACACTGTCATCCAGGGTCTTACCGGATCCATCTTGCCAGTTCTGCAAAAGGTGCTGAGCCCTCCTGAGGAGCAGCTCAGCGACGAGACCCGTCAAAAGGTGATGCAGTTGGCGCAGTACCTCCAGTCGCAATAAGAAGCGACATGTAGTGGAGATGTTTTTTGTGAAGTCTGAGAAGCTACGTTGTCACGCACTAGAGGATACCCCGAGCATAGAGCTCTTTCTTGTTCTTGTTTTTAGTTTTGCATAGCTTGCGGAAATGTTCAAAAGTACATTTGTTTATTCAAACATTGTTTGCCAGAGTCCAAGTGTCTGCTTGTTGCAGTGACCTAGAAATGGTCACAAGGAAGGAAGTCCGACGAGAGTTGTCGGTTGGACGGTTTGGCAAGGGCGGGTCGGACGGTTGAACCCTGATTTCCTGATGATCCTCATGTGGCTTTTGCTTATTAGTCGGTACTGCAGTAAACAGAGTTTCAGTCTTCCTTGTAATGCACCGTCACTGTGCATGGCCCTTCCGCGGTTAGCAGCTGAAGCCTGGTAGTTCTCCTTTTCTTGTCGCCATTGTCGCACATCTCTGACACGACCATGCGCAGCCCGGAGTGCTGAGAAGCACAATACGATAGTCCCGAAGCCCAAGAGATTACAGGACCATCGCCATGTCTGGCCGCACACCAGCAGGAGGGAGCGCAGACAGGACGCGTCCCCCTCTTGCGAGGTTGGGCAGCTCTTCAGCCAGAGGTCCTACACTGTCGACAGCAGCTCGTCCTGGAAGCAGTGCGTCTGTCAGATCTGCAACAAGTAGCACTGCAGCGACAGCAGCCCGACAGCCTTTGCGCATGGCCAGCGTTGAAGAGAACAAGAGACCGACCCTCAATGGTGTGTCAAGGCGCATGTCATCTATGAACAGTGTTCCTACCACCTCAAGGCCTTCTTCACGACTGAGTACTACATCGTCGTCTACCACTCGAACTCCTACGACAGCCAGCAGGACCGCTCCCAGGGCACCTCTGAACTCGACACCGACACCTCGCGCTCCTTTGAACTCGACTCCTCGTGCTCCTCTAAATTCGACTCCTCGTGCCACTGCTGCTCCGACTACAGTCAAT